TGGCTCTCCGGATCGCGGAAATGCTGGAGGGCATCTCTGAGATTTCGGGTCGCGGTGACATCCCTTCCTCGTCGCTTTCTTCGTTTTCGTGTGTGGCTGTCGAGAAGACAATGAGGTGAAGATCGTTGCCGTTACCCCCAGACGTACGAGCTGGCGTCGTATTGCGGCGGGTCGAGGAGCGAGACGTGCTTGAGAGAGAACACAATAGGCGACTGCCAGTCGCCGGGATGGAGTTCGATAACTCGTATCTCATTCTTGCGCAAGGATTGATAAGTAGGGTATACTAGGAATAATCTAGTTAGTTAATCGTTTTAGCGACTAATGCCATAAGGAAACAATTCACCTTTCGTTACGTCTGAACTTAAAGTCATAATAGGATCAGATTTTAGTAAGGTTATGCTAGAAGATGATCTACAGAGTTTATGAAAGTAATGGCAAGGGTTGGGCGCAAAGCTGATGCCTGTTCAGTCGTTATAACATCGTCATACTATAGCTGTGCACCAACGTGATTAGTCTATTCTGCCTACCGTTTTACACTGATCTGCCCACAAGTTGTGCTTAGCCCCACCTTCCGTACTTAGTCAAGCGCTACTTGTCAGCATTATCGAAACAATCTCATTGGCCAGCAGTCCATAATTTATAGGTCGTTTCCTTGCTGGCAGGTCGGCCTCAGTTGATGTTGCTGACTGCGTAAAGCCGCATTTGCTAGCGACTGTTCCTGTAAGGCTCCCTATGCTACGATAGTATACTTCCAGGATTACCTTGCATAGGGTAACATTGGGATGTAACTGTAGCGTCTACATCTTGATGTTTCGTCTAGCGCCCAAGGTAGAACTAATTATAGCACCGCATAGAAGTCTGAAAGAGGCTGCGCTTGCATGTTATATCTCAATCTAATTTAGCATATTTAGATTCTATTCTGTTCTCGCGTCCCGCAGCTATGATAGACAAAATTATATTAGTAATTTAGTATTAGATATCTTATTAGTATATTAGAGGCTCTAAAATTAATATATAGTATAAGTAAAAAGAGTAAGCTAAATTCTACTTTCTTAATAACTTAATTATATATCTTACTGTTAAGATATTTTTTAATAATAAAGAAGAAGATAGTCTTAGTAGAAACCAACTTATATAATAGAGTAATCTATATAATTTAATAGTAATTTATATTACTTATTAAATAACTTTTCTATATATAAGTTCTAGCATTAAATATTAAACACCAATATACTAGAATACTATATCTAAATAAGCTTACTGCTAATAAGCTATCTTATCTAGTATCTATAGTGGTAGGTACTTTGTAAATAGCTATATTAAATGCATTACTCTTAGAATTATCGCTATCTATTTAAAGTTTGCTAGCTCTTACAGCTCCTTAATAAATGCTATATGCCTAGAGTCTTGTGCATCTCCTGCTCTTTCATATGACTAGTCTCCTACTTGTCACAGTCATAGCTTAACTCCACTGGTATTATGCGAGTTCCCTACATCATGACAATGCGGATGTAATAATCGCGTATCTTGTGATGATTCTGTTGGCTGGGACGCAGCTACCCGCGATATCATCTCCCACGACCGCGCACTCAGAGCGGGCCAACGCTAGTAGATGACACCGGGAAATCAGTTTGAAGTGTCCACGCACAATTGACTAAACTGGCGTACTGGGTCTAGTGTCCATACGAGCAGAGGTACACCTTTGGTAAATTGAGTGGTACCATGTCATGGTAGTGTTGTTTGAAGCCAGCCACCAATACAGCTGATAGGCCATCGCCCCAAACAATACACATCAGTGAGCAGGCGCGGCAACGGGAACACTACGCGATCCCCTGTGATCCAGCGGAACGAGAAGTGTACCAAGTAACTTTGAAATGGTGGAGAAACAGTGGCTTGACAGTTCGCAGAGAACAGGGAGCGAATTTTATGCAAAAACACTCCACTTTGGCCAGAAGAACGTTCAAAATTAGGAAAATACACAAGAATGCTTAGGCATAGGTATCCTCTCGATCAGCCGTGTCCAGCGCCAAGACTCGTCGTGACACCAGAACCTAGTGCTGGCTTGTCGCTTCAGTCATACCCATCATCGCCACCAGATTCCCAGTAATGGCTCTCCAGCGCTTCATTACGTCCGCACATCTCATAGCCGTACAGAGTGAGCTTCCTGAAGTTGCCATGTCGACGAAAGCAATGCAAGCAGAGCGAGTTTTCCCTCCACTCGTCTCCATGTACCTTCTTGTAAATGGAAACATCTGTATCGACAAGGTGTAAAGATTGCGCATAAGAGGGCGTGCCATCGTACTCTGGACTGGAGTCTCGTTCGATTAAGGATGATCTGCGTGTTGATGATTGGATCGATGTCCGGGCCAAGGGACCAACCCCTTGCGGACCGACAACTTCAGGTCTGAAAGAAGAAAGCTCCGGGGACACAAAGTCCTTGAAGGAGCTGGCTTGGTCGAGTAACGCAGGGTTTCTTTCAGAGAACGTCGCTCCCCTCAGCAGTGATCTGTTGTCGCTGCCGATGCTGTTACGCCATGTTGATCTTCCCAAAGGGTATGATGTGTGGCTAGTCTGGAACGCTGGCAGGGTCATCGTTCGCATCTTCTTTGCCAGCAAGTGCGACGAGGTATCTGGGCTGCGAGCTCTTTTCTCTGCTGGATCTTCGGTCAGTACGGTCAGCGAAACTGGGTAAGGCAATCGTACGACTACGGCTTCCCGAGGCATTAGATGCTCTTTGCCGACCTTCAGAGATTGAGGTCGCATCTGTCAAAGCTGCAGAGAGCGCCGATGTTGGAGGTTCGGTTGGCGAAGGTGTGGCCGAGATGTCGGAGTCGATGTCGCAGAAGATGAGTGGCGACTCTATCCTGTTGATGCCATTTGAGAGCGGAAAATACGTGTCAGAGGTGGTCGGCCCCGAGAGATATAGACTGTGAATAGCAGAGCTAAGTTGTGGATCGCCATGCACCATAGCTGATGTCCTCGCACCAATGGCTGCTGAAGTCGCCATCGCAGGAATGTGTGGATCAAGTGGACTTATGTTTGCAGAGCTCTTGTCAGACGAGGAAGGCGACGAGCCACAGCACTGAGTCTCTAGGGCCAAATTCGGTCTCAGTACATCGGGTGAACCGTCGTGCGCGGCGGGACAAGTTCCGGAAAGACGTATTTCATCTGCTGCGCGTAACTTCCTTCGAGCTTCTTGCGCAATGGGCGCACCGCCAACCTAGACTGATGACGCCCGTGCGCTTCCATTCGAGCTGGCATTCGACCGCGGCGTTGCTTGAGCACTTGGTTGTTCATGGAGTTTGTTTGCTGTGCCTGAGCCATTGATCTCCTCGAGAAGTTGCTGGAGGAAGGAACCGGATGGTACGAGATTTTTGAGGGACGCGCTGCTCGGCTGGCGAGTAGGAGTACTCATGCCGTCATATGATGCTCAAGTGATGCGCGCGGGTAAGCGATGCAGGATAGCCGATGCAGTAAAACAATTCGTGTAGTGCTGTGGAGGAGAGGGGAGAGGAAGAGTAAAGGAAGACGTGGAGGAGAAGGCTGGAAGCCATAGCGGGGCTTGTGACTGCCAATGAGGGAACAGCGCTGAAGAGGTGCGAGGCCTCGACAAAGGGGAAGAAACAACACGTGGTGCAAAGACAAGGCCACAGCGGAGGAAAGAACGTCACGTCATCAAAACATGCAACCGTGGTCATCATCATCATGAGTTAGGGTTGGCAGTGAGATGCCTGTGGCTCTCACCTGGTATGGTATACTACGTGCCTCATCCTATCATGCGGAGGCTGATCCGTTGCGCCATTTCGTATCGTCTGAAACTCGTAATGCTCATTGCTCGGACATCTCGGTGTCCTCGGGCTTCGCAAGGCCGTGCTCCTTCAACAGAGCATCGATCTCATCGGCGCTCCAGAGGTGGTGGTAGATCTTGCCCGCCTTGGTCTTTCCCACTGTCGCGAATTCAACTGCAGGGTGTTAGTGTTCGTCACGTGTTTAGCCGGGAAAGTAAACGCACTCTTCTCACTGCTGAGCTTGGTCGAGTCCATGGTCTTGCTGAGCACCTTGACCGCCAAGCCGCATGCCTCCTTCAGGTCGCACTCCTCCTTGTAGTCCTGCTTCAACAAGCTCTGTGCGGATGCGTTGTTCGCGCCGACGCTCGTCGCCTTCCAGCCGCCGTAGTTGCCACTCGGGTTGCTCTGATACAGCTGGAACTGGCGCTGGGGGTCCCAACCGGCGTAGATGAAGGACACTCCGAATGGACGGAGCCCACCGTGCTGCGTGTAGCCCTGCTTGAGATCGCATAGACGGCGCACGAGCTGCTCGCAGGGAATGTCTTCGTTGTATGTGAGGAGGTAGCGCTGAGCGGCTTGGCGGGCGTAGTTGATGAGGATGTTGGCATCGGCCGTCATACCTGCTACGGCGCAGATCATGTTGCTGGGGAGGAATTAGCATATGATTGTTACGGCGAGGTGGTGACGCACTCGTTCAGGATGTACAGCTTCTCGGCGGATGTGTCCTGCTCCAATAGCTTGCTGGTGACCTTCCTCTCGGCGGCGAGAACAATGCCATCCTGCGCTAATATGCCTAGTGCGGTTCCGGCGTGCGAGATGGCTTCGAGGGCGTATTCGACCTGGTAGAGGCGGCCTTCGGGAGAGAAGATGGTCGTCTGCTTGCTGTTAGCTGTGATGCTGCTGGAGGCAGACGTCGGACATCGGACTTACCCGGGAATCGTATCTCCGTGACATGATTGCGGCTTAGTCTGGGGTTCTTGGGGTAGTGTGAGGTTGGCGAGGAGCAGCAAAGACGGCGAGAGAGGTTGGTGGGGAGCTGCGGTGGTGTTGTCGAGCTCCAGGCACAAGCTCCTACGCGTCGGCGATCTCCAAATCTTGGCGCCGACCACTTTTTGACGGGGAGGAGCCGCAGCACCAACAACACTACAAACTCCCCGATAGAGGGAATTTATCATCATATCAAGCACTGCAAGGTCGCAAAATGTCCGACTTACCCACGCGACCGCCGGCACTCGCGCCGCCTCTGCCTGCAGGCTGGACGGAGCACAAGGCGCCCTCTGGTAGCTATAGCTTTACTGCGTCATGGGACAGTGCTAACATTCGCCAGGACATACATACTACTACAACAAAGAGACGAAGAAGTCGACATACAAGCGACCTACGGCAGTGATACCACAATTTCAAGCTCCAGCGCCCTCATTGGACCACTCATCCTTTGATCTGCCTTTGACCGGCGCCTACAACGCGCAACCCAAGCAAGACACCTTCAACCCCCAGCGGCAGATACAAGATCTCATCTTTGGAGGCGCACCACAGCAATTTCCTCAGCAGCATGGCGGTCCACAAAACCCAGCAAGAGGGGGACATCGAGGAGGATTCCGTGGGGGTCAGAACAACTTTTCAGACAGGAGACGGGAGCGGGATGACAGGCCGAAGCACCGAAACGACATCCCAAACTGCGCGCCATGGATCTTGGTCAAGACGAAGTTCGGGCGACGCTTTGTGTGGAATAAGGAGACCAATGAGAGCTTCTGGAAGTTCCCACCAGACGTGATGAAGGCGGTGGTTGAGTTTGATCGCAAAGAGCGCGAAAAGAAGGAGCGCAGAGAACGCGGCGAGCCAAGCGATGTCGAGGAAGACGACGCGATGGCGGAGATCGAGGCGGAACTTGCGGCTGCGGAAGAGGAGGTCGAGATTGTGTCCGTTGATGGAGATGCTGGCATGGAGGACGATGAAGAGTACGAGGAGGTTGAGGTCACCGACGACGAGGGCGAAGAACCAAGCAACGCGCTAAAGCGACAAAGAACGGAGGGCGCAAGTGGAGATCAGCCAGGTGAAGCCGAAGACGATGATCTTGCGTGGCAGCTAGCGCAAATGGAAGAGATGGAACTGCAGGGAGGGGAGGAAGAGGAGTATTACGAGGATGAGGATCCAATATTGAGCGAAGAGGATTGCAAGGCCTTGTTTAAAGAGCTACTTGACGACACACGGATAAGTCCCTATACGCCATGGGACAAGATCCTCGAAGACGGCATACTCTACGACGACGAGCGCTACAAAGCCCTCCCCAACATGAAAGCCCGCAACGAATGCTTCAACGAATGGTCTCGCGAAAAGATGCAATTCCTCAAAGAAGAAAAAGCCAAACAACTAAAACTCGACCCACGGATACCCTACCTCGCCCTCCTCGACCGCCACGCCACCCCAAAACTCTACTGGCCAGAATTCCGCCGCAAATACAAGAAAGAGCCAGAAATGAAAGACGGCAAGCTGTCCGACAAGGACAAGGAGAAGCTCTACCGCGACCACATCAAGCGACTAGGCATGCGTTCTTCCGACCTCAAATCCGACCTCACAGCCCTCCTCCGCTCCCAACCCCTCGTCTCCCTCAACCGCTCCACAACACTCGACACACTACCTACAGCCATCCTCACCGATCTGCGCTACATATCCCTTCCGCCTTCCACGCGCAACACGATGATCGAAACATTCATCTCCACGCTCCCGCCCGCGCCTGAAGGTGCCGTGCTCTCGGCTGAAGAAGAAGCCGCCCAAGCGAAGAAGTGGGCTGAGCGAGAAAGGAGGGAGAAGGCGCTAAAGGATCGCGAGAGGAGGGTGGAGGAGCAGAAGAGGAAACAAGAGAGGGATCTGGCGTATGGGAAAGGTAGGTTGAGGGAGGAAGAGGAGGAGATTGAGAGGGCGATGAGGGTGGGGAAGGATGGGCTGAAGGGGCATTTGAATGGTTAGTTAGATCCCCGGGAAGAATATCATGGTGTTATATGTGGATTCAGTTGCGCAGAAGGTCAGGCGGCTGTCTTGTGCTTCGTTGTGCATGTTGTATCGCACCTGACTTGTTCATCGCACGCGGGCTAGCACCTTGCTTTGTGGTACAGCGGGACTGGCTTTCGCAGCCTGTCGACACATCATAAGATGATCCATAGCTCTTTACCTGTGATCTTCCGCTCTTTATTTTCATGTCCACACAATCATGATGTCTGAAGGACCCGCCGACGGCAGCCCCGGTTACAACTTTGAGAAGCCTAGTCGGAAACTGCCCCAAAATGCCCCTGCAAGCGCCGAACGCAGACCCGCTCCAGGCTCCGCCTTCCAATACGATTCACTTGATCATGAGACGGACTCCATTCGGCTGATCCAGATCCTGCCTGGCCCAGATGGAGAAGTCGTTCGATGCACGATACGCCATACGACGATCAGTGAGTCGTCGTACACGTGTTTGTCATATACGTGGCAGCCGGAGTTTCCGAACCACGACGTCGAGATCAATGCGTGTTCTCTCTCAGTTGGCGAGAATCTGTATCAGTTCCTGCATGCCTACTGCGCATATGCGATGCGGAGAAGCCCAGTAGATTACAGCTGGCTCAAATACAAGCGCACTCTCTCTCCCTCTCTATGGATCGATGCCATCTGTATACGCCAGTCCGATGGCACTGAGAAGAATCATCAAGTACGACAGATGTCCCAGATATACACAGACGCAGATCACGTCTTGATCTGGTTGGGCCAGCTCGAGGACTGCGAGCATCTCTTCCGAGACCTCAACAATGCGTACAATTCCAGGTTCCCAGTCGTGGCTATCGATGAAAAGGAGAGACTCGAATACGAGCTTCTGGCGTTCTATAACTCGCCCTACTGGTCTCGGCTGTGGGTCGTACAGGAAATATTGGTGGCATGTGGAACCCCTGATCGCAAGATAGCGATATTTTCAGGCCAGCAGTTGATCGATTTCGACAGTCTCTACATAGCTATCTCGAAAACGACAGGGAATATTGGCAGGTTTGCCATCACTTGTTTGACCAATTCTCAATTTCACAAATACGGAAGACATAGCCTGTTTCGCACGAGGCCAAGGGGCGACTTCGTTGTGCCGAGCCCTCTCAGAGATCTACTCGTCGCTTTCCCACAGGAATGTCGAGACAAGCGGGATCGAGTTTTCGCATTGCTTTCTGTGAGCAACGATACATCGTTTATTCAAGTCGATTATGACTTGACAAAGGGAGAACTTTTTCAACACGTCTTCGCACAATACGTTCACGACATCCATCTAGATGAGTGCGCCAGCTTCGGCGCCATCCTGATCGAATCGCTTGAGCTAGGAGACCCCTCGGCAGACTTGGAGTTCTCGAATCTATCGGCCTTTTCAAGTTTGTCAGATAACCATCCCCAACACACGTACTAGCTTACACATGGGAAGAGGGATGTTTATGGGTCGACCAGGAAAAGATTACAATATACCGTACGGAACAAACCTCTAAGATGGAAGTGATCTGGGTGTCGTTTCAGGTTTTCAAGGGTAGTTACTGGTACGCTTTCGAGTGTGCTATACAGAACCTCGCAACGTGTGTTCGAGTAAGGTATATACTTCTTGAAATACGTCTTCAAAAGATGAAGCTTGAGCATGCGAGCTGGAGAGGCGATCTGCGATACCACAAGCAACGGTCATGGCACCTGGTAAGACCTGCTCCTGAGTGGCTCATAGCTGTCAGCAAGGACTATGTTGACACCGATCTTGACACCGATCTTGACATCGATGCTGAGTCTGATGCTGAGAGCGATGTCGATAACGATGCTGATAGTGATGTTGATAGCGGTGTTGAAAGCGATGTTGAAAGCGATGACGAGGGCGACAATGAGAGCGATGATAAGAGCCACGATGAGAGAGATGCTGATAGCGATGTTGATAGCGATGTTGAGAGCGATGATGCTGACGCGGATGCCGACGCGGATGCCGACGCTGATGCCGACGCTGATGCTGATGTCGACGCTGATATTGTCACTGTTATTTATACTGATATTGACGCTGATGTGGATATTAAGGCTACATCTGAGCTATCTTGAAGGCCTTCTTGGAGGCTTCAGGTTCAAAAGAATTCTTTGTATCAATATACCCCTAGCTAGAACAGTCTGTTTTCGCTCATCTAGAGGCAATTTAAGCATCTCAACATCTTCATAGACTTTGTTCAACTCTTTTTCTGTTCTACGTCCCGGTATAAGAGATACTAACAACTAGGATTGTCTGCATGCTTTTCATGTGCCCTCCACTACAAACAATTCCGCTGAGGCGGCAAAACCTTGGATTATTACATGTTATATGGTTTGGCCTTGTTCGAGTCTAGAGAAGATGATCGCATATAACAACAAGCTGTGGTCTGGGTACCATAGCGATCAGGTCCTTAGTAGTAAGTAATTGGTGACATCATGCGTGAGACCGTAGGCTCGATCATGCTGTCAGTAACGAGAGCATTAGATCGAATGAACACCTGTACACACAGTTGGCTGGACACGATAGCAATGTTCTCAGAGAAAATCCCGATTCTGTGGGTACAAACGATGCTTAATCGCTATCATCTGAACCGCTCTGCGGCTCGTACTCGCTGCCTTCCTCGTCTTCTGACGCCTCGATTTCCTCTTCCTCCTCTTACTCTTCCACCTCAAGTACTCCTACACTCCCAATAACTTCATCAGGTCGATTCTCCTCTCCTGCATCTTCTGCGTCGCCTTCCACGACACCCTGACCCTCATTCACACCCGATACTCTGGTAACGTCATCACTTCGACTCGCTTCTTCTTCTTCTTCTTCTTCTTCTTCTTCTTCTTCTTCTTCCTCATCGCCCTCCAGCGGAATGCTAAGCTTAATCTGCCATAGCATCTCTGGCCACAGATTCACAGAGGTCGTACAGGTACTCACGGAGGTCGTACGGGTACTCACGTCACGCAGCTGCCTCCGGGCAATATCAAAGACCTGCCCCATCTTGTACCCTGTACTCTCTTCCCAGGACTCCGACGATTCTTCCTTTTTATGCGGTATCCCCATCATGAACCAACCAAAGATATAGCCGTGGAGCTCTGTGCGAGTTACCGGCGGATATGAAACGAACATGGAATCGAGGAGTGCCTTCGCCTGAGTCTCGTGACCCTGTGGGAGCTTCGGGTATTGGCTCGTGGGGTTCTCCCGCGAAACGAAGGGACTGTATGGGTCGCCGCGCATAAGGTACGTGTCTTCGATAGAATCTGGTCGGGAATCCCTGTGGACTGGTCGTGATTTGATGTATGGGTTAAGACGAATGTGCGCCCAGAAGTCTTCTGGTGTATGTTCGCTGTCTTCAATCTTTTTGTACGTTTCATTCCACTGCTCTTGCACCCATGCCGCACGTTCTGCGTCATCTGCATGGCTCTCATCTTTCTCCTTCGGAGGGCGAAACATTTTCTCTCGCAGATTGTCTTCGCTGTCAAATACCGCTGTCCAAGTAGAGTTCAGACAGTAAAGGGTGACAAGGTCGACGATTTCCAAGTGTTCCAGGACCATCATTGAAATCTCTTGTCGGCAGATAGGGATCAGCCGGCGCACTGGAACTGTAGCCACGGGTTGGGCCATGGCTGAGGCGACGATTTTATCAAACCAGGACGGATGGGAGGGCGGGCTCACTATATGTATCCTACATAGTTTGCTGCAGGATCAAGCAGGTAGTCATGCGTACAAGAACAGATTGTCACAGCAACATCATTGTCAGAATGGTTTTGAAGAATTACATGTCATCAATAATACATTACATATGAAATCTATTTTCCTTTACCCCACCGTCTCCCACCTTACAGGACCATCGCAACAGCCACAGCAATGAGTGCTACAGCACTGCCACCCTGCATGCCTGACGCCGCGCCCGTGAACATTGGCGGTGCGTATCCAGTCTTGCTGGCAATTGGCTGGACGCCCGTTCCAACGCTCATCGTGCCGTTATTACCGGCAGTCTGTGCTGGCATCCCAGTACCATAAGCCGGGATAATGGGCTTGCTGGCAGCTGGGACCTCAGCAGATTTGGACTGAGAAGCTGCGGGAGTGGACGCATTGCTAAGCGTGATGATCATTGTTTGGTAGATCTTGGTGGGGATGGTCTCGAAATCGGGGGCCATGGGGGTGGGCTTGTACGCATCAGGAAAGGCGGGAGTAGGCTTGCCCGCGGGGACGTCTGGCGTGGGTGTGGCGACGTAGTCGCAATTTGTGCAATGCACGGTCACGGTAACGGTCTTTGGTCCGCTGCGGCAGTCCTTGTTGTACACCTTGGTGGTGTTCGAAGATGAGACCATAGTGCTCGAACCCAATAAGTTCAAACTCGTGCTCGAAGTCGACGCAGACGAAGAAGTGCTCGGCGTCGCGGCCGAGGACGACGAGTTCACCACCGCTTTCTTCTTGAAAGTCCTAAAAGACCCAATCCTCCACGCCTGATTCTTAAAAACATCAGGGTTCTTCGCGACGTACTTCTTGCACGAGTCCTCTGGGCTCAACTGCTTGCCCGCGTCATCCTTTTGCAGAGGGCAGCTGGGCGTGGAGCCGAAGACATTGCCCGCCCAGTCGCCGCAGAAGTTGTTGGTGACTAGATCATATTAGCAGATGCGAGTGGTGGGATAGGTTGTCAACGTACAAATGAATCGCTGATCCTTGATCCTCTCTTCAATGTTGCAATCGCCCTGAAAATTTGCCGCTGGCTGTCCAAACTGCGCCGTATCGGGAGCGTCCGAAGTAAGCGAGGGTGGGAGTGTCTTGTCCCTAGGGAAGAACCAAGTGCGAATTGCATCGCTGTCCCATTCCATAACGTAGTAACCGCCACCACCGCTCCCACTGAGACCTTTGATGTTGTTGAAGTTCTTGCCGAAGGAGTTAGTGCGGGCTTCGTTGACGTCGCAGCCGAGTGTGCCTCCAGTGTCATGGGCGCAGTCATTGTGTACTTGAGGATTTGTCTGACCGCGGCCGTTGACTTTGCAGTTGGTGTCGGTGTGCAAGGCCATCTTGTTGACTTGGTTGTCATTCACGCCTTCGATGATGTCGATCTACATGGCATTAGTACCTTATGTGCTCGGGGATGTATGATATACGTACCTCTCCCTTTACGGGCCAGGGCTCGCGGCCCAGAGACCAAAAGGATGGCCACATGCCACAGACACCGGGCATCTGCTTAACATCGAGGATGAAGAGACCCTTGTTGTAGTCGGTCTTGCCCTCGAGACGGACACTCTTGCGTCCAGGCCCGTTGACGTCTAGAGTCTCAGTACCGTCGGGCCCGAAGACGACGTCGTTGCCTTCAATCCTGTAGAGCTTTCTGTTCTTTGCGGTGGCCTCATTGACGTAGTTGACGTAGCCATAAGTCAACTCATCCTGTCTGAACTCAAACGCATCAAGCCAATTCGTGGAATTGTAGACTTCGTGCTTATCGTACTTGGTAGCGAAAGCAGTGGAAGTGAGAGACGCAAGGACAGTGCCAACGCTCAGAATGAGTGACGAGGAAGGCATGATAATTAAATATTAGAAAGAGTGACTATATTAAGTAATAAAATTGGACAAGCGGGAGGACGGCTATGGTGGCCACGAACAAATCGAGAAATTCGTTGAAAGAAAAGAGGTCAACACGGAGAGGTTCTGTGTACTTTACATCCCTCTGGACTCATTACAATTGCACCGAAACCATTCATTGTATTTTGCTAGGCGCAACTCGGCTTGACTATTACCAGCTCGACAGCTGGAAGACGCAGGCCACGAGGAAATGACCATGGGCCAATCCGGACTTATTCGACCTTGTCCGGCCTGTGAGATTATAGCCCTAACAGCCATGTCTGCAGGAACGTGTTCTGACGGTGCCACCATCGTGAAAGTGCTCGCCGAATATCGTTAGCGTTCGGCTTTACCTTGATAGAAACCACGCGCGGACGAGCTGACCATCGGCGTCTCCAGTTGGGAAAAGCGCGCGTGGCTGAAGGCCCTTATGCGAACAGGTGATGTTGGGTGGGTGGTTGTAGCCGTGGCTGAAGACCGTAATGCAAGTGCGTAGTGCTGAGTGGAACCTAGGTAGGGTTGTATTCGAGACGGGCCCGCCGTATGCCGCCAGGCGAGCGTAGCATGCATCCAGGGGTAACCAAGCCTAGATCTACTGGTACATACTGCGGTTGCAGGCAAAAGTAGTGTATATGGTCCCTGCACAGCTACATGGTACGAAGGAGCTCGTTTTTTCTGAGTTTCACCCCACCAAAAGTCAACGTACGCGATAAAGGCTTGCGCGACACCACCACCCAATAATTTTCTAAAGACTTTGTGGTTACTAGTTTAAATACCAGATGCAAAGGTCGGGAGATTTCAAACTTTTCAAACTTGTAGTTGTGGTTTGACGCTGGTTGAAAGTAGGGCGGAGATTTTGAGGTGCAACTCAAAAAAAATACGAGCTCCTTCGTAGAAGCCCCTGTCGTGCAGGGACCATGTACACTACTTCTGCCTGTAACCACAGTAGGAACTAGCGAAACAATTGATGGAAACCCGAAGACGAAAACTTCAAAGACAACAGTCCGCAGGCCGATGAAGACGTGGAAATGATGTCGCGTCCCGTCTTGGTACATGGTCGCGCCGCCAACACAGTTCTAGACGGTGTCTTTTCCTGCAGTCCGGAACATTCACTCCGCCGCCGTAGTTATGCCAAAGCTCAGGCCACTACACGACAAGACGTTGATGAGCTTGCAAGCGAAATGCGGGAACGAAAGGTCTATGCTTCTTCCGGCCAGAACGGTCCAAACCCAAAAAAAGAAAACCTTAAGCCGTCAACGTCGGGTGTAAATCGTACGACCAAAGATGTGCTCATTATTTTCCATGGGACATCTCTTGCGAAAGCGCAAATACCACACTCTAGCCTCTTCTTCACTTTTGATACCCTGCACCTGCAACGACCTGCATTCATAGCGCTTCCAATATTCGGTATTACTACCATGGCTACAAGCCAGGGCTTAGCGAGCTTCAGCCTCGTTCAGAGTAGAGCCCTGTCGGCGGTGATCGCCTAGGGTACATATACGGCCCGTAGCCGTATTACAGCCAAGATCACGTGTAGCCAACAGTCGATAAGGCTTAGCGTTCACAATGTCAAGAGATCGGACCGAGATTCTGAGATGCCCCTTACAGGCCTACATACTGCACGAACGCTGAGCAGACCGTACGTCGCTCTCGGACCAAACAGAGTTCCATCCGGAAAAATTTCAAGAGGCGCCGCACGAGCAACGCTTTGGGATTTTGCAGTGTTTGGGCCAGGTACGGTCAATAAAACAATCATGGCCGACTGTTGCGGACCTACTTTACTCACCCTAAGCCAGTTACAGCATTCAACTGCAACAAGTAGCTAGGTATCAGTATCAATAACTAGTAGAGGCGCTGGGGACGTAGAAACGACTCGAGTGCAGCCAAATATAGGAACAAATTGCCCATGCTCCTTCCCAAAGCGTCAAGTGTAATAGAGCGATGCAAGCTTTCAAGCCGCCGAAGCATCTCAATCGCATGTGCCGTGAGGAACCAAGAATGTACACGTCCGGAACAATGTCGCCATTTTGAGAGAAGGCGCGAATAGGGACGTCTAACCTTCCTCCACAGATACGAGACGACGTGCATGTTGCTCATGCCCTCTTCCCCAATCCATAAAGACAACAACATGCGCTATTACCACGAACAAAGCGGACCGATCTTGAAGAAGCTTCCAGGCCCATCTCTCTACCAGAATAGCATGTTAGCAGGCAAGTTTATACCATCATCGTGATCTGCAGCAAAGGCGGGAGTGAAGCAATCGGATCGTTTTTCTTGCGGCTCTACACGCGCTGCGCCTCGCATCACATGTTCGCGACAGAAGCCCACGTCAATTTCCATGAAGAATTTCCGGGCTAGGAAGAGTGGAGGGGAGTGCTTTGCACGCTGCGGAAATCAGACATGGCGCGCTATTGTAGTTATGTACTTTGCAATACTACCACTTCACCCTCACGCCCTTCTTTCTGTGAATATCACATCACATCACATCACAACCATCACATGGTCAAGTAAAAATTTGAGACCCCGTAAAACTTTCATATCCAACTATCCGAAGCCATACAGCAAGAAGCCGGCTAACTGAGCAGGAATCATACCACCCTAAAGGCCAAAGAAAGAAGCATCCGGGTATTAGAAAACAAGAAGGAGTTAAGAAAAAAAAAAGCCACACAAGAAGCACCTGGTCGCATCAAATGCACCAGCAACGCGAAACGCCGCTTCGTCAGAATCCACATTAGTTCGCGCCATCCACACCTCTCTACAATCCCTCCCTCTGCTTGATCTACGCACTCTGCTCCTGCCCGCCCTGCCCTCCTCCTTGACCCCCATTCTTCCTCAATAGATCCGTCAACACACCAAAATTCGTCCTCGCATCAGGATGCTCTTCCACAATGTGTCTGAGGTTAATCATCTGGAGCTCGCTAATCGCCTGATTGGTATTCAGATTCTGCGCCAAAATGTGCGCGATGACGGGGGCGTCAATATACGGACCCATGATCTCGAGGGCACGGGGGATTTGGTGATGTGCTGGAGGAGGAGGGACTGCTGCTTGGGGGTAGTAACCTGGAGGAGGAGGTTGTTGGGGATGTTGGGCGGGTGGGAATGATGGCGCCATGGGTGAGTACTGTGGGGCGTGAGGGTTGTGGGTTACTGGAGATGGCGAGGGACCTGGCTGTTGTTGTGACGGTGGTTGTTGGTGCGCGACTTGAGCTGCTGCAATGTCCTGGGTGGGGAAACGTTCAAAGTGTTCTGTGGCGGGGAGCTCAGGCTTGACTTCGGGCAGCTTGGCGACGAGGGCGAGCAGGACCATGTGTTCTTTCCGGGGTGTCTCGATGGTGCAGTATTCGAGCATGTCGATGAAAGGAGGGAGGTTGCTGCCGCCTGCTTCGATAGGAATAATGTACAGATCTCGCATGATACCGGCTCCGGTGTCCTCGACTGGTACCACACCCCATCGGCCGCGGGAGTGGAAGTACTGGTAGAAATGGTCCATGACACCTCGACCATCGGTAGTAACGGGGCTGAGGGCAAGGACGGCAACGTCGTATGTCTCGGAGTGACCGATGCCGCGGATGTAGTCGTCGCCCTTGGAGCTTTCGATGCGGCCTTGGACTGAGAGAACGTTGGCTAGCAGCTTGTTCCACGGCACTACTTGCCCAAAATCACCACCCGCAACGAAACGGGCGACGGCATCGAAAGGCTGCATGGACTGCATGCTGACAGTTCCCTGCCAGCATACGGTCGGATCTGATGAGTAGCCGGACATCTCGACGTCGTTGTCTTCATCTTTGAGGAGGCGGTCCACGTCTGCATCGTCAACGGCAGCATGCGACTTTTCTTGGTTCTGCAGAGAGCTCTGTCGTCGGATCATGAATGTCTGCTGGTCGTGCTGGGGCGATCGAACTTTGTCGAAGACGGCATTAAGGTCAAAGTTTGCAGATGGTCGTCGCACACTATCAGTTGGAGTGCCTGCTGTGTCTACCGCCAATGGGTGGGCAGCGTCTGCTGGACTCTCTGGCGGGCGGTGGCTCATTGGCGACTGCATCGATGCGTCTTCGGTAGCACTGTCTCTGGTCTGGACCGTGGGCTGCTTGAACTCTTGACTGTCAAAGTTGTCCTCGCCAACAATCTCCTCGCCCTTGTGTGTCTTCCGCAGGCGAGGGCCAGTCTCCTCTGTCAGAATCATCTGCTTCTCGGCGGCCTCACGGATGGCAGCAAACTCTTTCTGTTTGTCTTCGCTTGCCATCTCTTCAGTAGGCATGCTGACAAGCTCCTGTGGCTTGAGGCTTCCAGAAAGGAGGCGGTCAACAAGGATGGGATTCTTCTTCGCGTTGAACATGATGGCGCGCAGACGGATGGAAGAGGGCGAATCTCCAGCAGTAGGCTCGCCATAGTGCTCGACAGCGGCAGTGTTGAGCTGGAACGCCAGTCGAGCTCCGAGAGAGGTGGCGGTCTCGCCATCGGGGATGCGATAGCCCCTGGCATCCGAGGCAGTCTTGATGAGGGGCGACAGAACATCGCGCAGCTTCTCTGCGAAGGGTTTCTGTGTAGCAGGCAGGCTGTCGATGTCGCCCACCGAGGGTGTGGGTGGCGCTGACTTGTCCTGGTGCTGGCTTGACTTCCTGCGCTTCTTACTCGCGTTGGCCTTTTCAGCGGGAGCTTCATGGCGGCGCTTCTCACCGGCCGGCGACTGTGGCTGGCTCTTGACCTGTGGGGGTGTTAGTGAAAACAGAGGAAGAGTGCAGACAGGGCTGATGCTCACCTTGGTCTCTGCATGCCCGTTGGATGCGTCCTGGGTCTGCACGGCGAGGGACGCGGGCGCGGGCGCGGGCGCAGGCGTGGGCGTGGGCTCCTGAACTGGCGGTGCAGCTGCCGGCGAGGGCGGCACACTGGCGGATGGCTGTGGTGTTTGCGGCTTGTCGTCCGGCTTGACGTCGCTGGGGCGAGGCTTGTTGCCCTTGGAGCCCTTCTTGCGCGCCCACGGCTTCTCTCCACGGGCCATGGCAGCGAGCAGTTCCTGGTGGTCTTGCGGGTGACATTGCTCGCAGTAGTAGTTCTTGCCCTCCCAGAAGTCGCCTTCGGGCAAACCCAAACATTTGTTGTGCTGCCATGCCTCGCATTTGTCGCAGCAGATCATTTGCCTGCCGCGGATGTCGCGCTGGTCGCCGCAGACACAGCGGATGATGGCATCGTCTTCCTCGTCGCCCTGTTCTTCCGACTGTGCTGATTGCGCGCGGGGCGTGTCCGACTTTGCCTTGGAGTGGCCCTTCTTGCTGTCGGCTTTGGCCGGGCCCTTGGTCTTGGGCGCGGCAGGCTCATCGAGCAGGTCGGGCAGTTTGGTGTGCTGGCCCTTGTTGGCGCGCCCGGAGCGACGAGTCTCGTCTGCAGCAGAGGAATCAGCATCAGCATCAATGCGTGGTTGGGGGACGCGCGTGCGCGTCTTCGTCTGCGTCTTCGTCTTCGCAGGCTGGCTACGTGACGCATGCGACGTCGGCGGGCTTGTAGGTGGTGTCTGCTTACCGGTCATGGTGTAGGACACGGAGTGATGGGCTCAGATATGCAGACGCGACCACGGATGCAGCTTATTCAATGTGCGCAACAAGTTCAAAAATGTCTCTACGGAAAAGCCACCGACCGTCTCCCGGGCCTGTCTCTGCGGGCGAGCGGACAGACTGAGACCGTCTCTAACTAGAAACCAAGCGCAATGAATACCTCCTGCCTCTGCTTTTTTAGATGCAGCAGGCGCGGTGCGTCGTGCGACTGCCTGCGTGTGCGGTCGTGGCTGCCCGTGTGCGGCACCTTCCCGGCCAGAGCTGCTTTCGCGCAACGGTGAGCGCGTGAGGCAGGCAATGGGTCGCGTTAACGTCAGCAGTGGATGCGCAACAGCGTGCGCGAGACGGCAAAGATGTGAGTTGTGGTGGCGCGCGGTGCTGGGTCAGGCTCCGTCAGAGTCAGCGGGTGTCGTGTGGGTGTTGACGTTCGTGAGGAGAAGGTGGGCAGGAACGGGAGCTTTGACGGTTTTGCCGACTTAGCGGCTGAACCGTGGAACTGCCTCGACAGCCGCACAGCCAACCGCAGGCGTCGGCCCTGGACCCTTGCGCTCTGAAGTCATTCCTGCACGCGCCAGACATTTGCCAGACTGCAGCAACACCATCACGCAACCGGACCACGATTGCTAAGCACTTCTCGAAGCTTCCCCTTGCCGCACTCGAACGCACTCAATTAGCCACTACACCATGGCGGACGTGCGATCACTGCTCCGCCAGCAGCGGGCGGCGAGACAGCAGGCGCCAAAACCCCAGAAGCAGTCGGCAGCTCCCGCAGCAGCACCCATCTCAAAGAAGCGCAAAGCTGTAGATGACGGTGCAGAGGAGAGGAAACGGACGCGCACCGAGGAGGAAGCTGGTGTCCCCGCCGGTTTCTTCGATGCTGGGGCTGCCAATGTCGAGGATGAAGGCACACTCGAGCCACCCACCACAGCGCAGGAAGACGTCCCCACACCAGAAGTGCCTATACCAGAGCCGACCTCACAAGCTGCACCACTCGACCCGAACGCCGAAGCCGACCTAGATGCATTCATGAACGAAATGCAGAAAGAGCCACCAAAGCCCGCACCCACCTATGCGTCGGGCGCCGTGATTGAAGCCAAGCCCATGACGGCGGCTGAGATCGCTGCACAAGCACGAGAAGACCAGAGCGCACAGCGAGCACAGAGGGACGAGGAGATGGAGGGCGAGAAGGAGGATGCTGCACGTGCACTGGAGGATGAGTTTGAAGAGATGGAGGGCCTCGAAGAGCGAGTAAAGAGGCTGCGGGAGCAGAGGGAAGCATTGCGATTAAAGCGTGGCGGGGTCACCGAAGTTGAGGTCGCTGCGCCAACTACAGATCCAGTCCATGACGAGGAAGGCAGTGATTCAGAGGATGAGGACTGGGACGACTGGAGGTTTCGCCCAGCTTGAGCATTTTGAGGATTGAGGAGGAAAGCAATCTCATGTACCATAATGTAAAATAGCGCCTTTGATACCCGGCTAGGCGTCTAATAGCCATAATTCTGAATGCAATCACATGCATATCTGGCACGACCAGGTCACAAAATGTGGTTCAACTGCTGAACTACTTTGCAGTGTGGGTAGTCAACCAATACTGTTACCGTAAACCCTTTTCTCAATCCATGGTTGCATCGGTAGCGCAGGACTGATTGCGGCCCATGGTTCTAGTCGCGCCAAGCAATCAACGTCAATGGCGAGGGACATTGGACGTTTCGGGCTCGAATAAAGTGAGCTCCCAACCCTCTCTTACCACAACTCTCAAAACAACACGTGCACCTGTGACTACTTCACCGCAGCCTCGGAATCCAGCTCTCGTATCCGCGACCCTATACGACGGCTCTCAGCATCACACGACCCGTACCCCACCATGTCGCGGCGGCCCAACCCTGCCGCTGATCGCGCTGAGCAGAATCGAGCGACTTTGAAAAATCTCGTGAAGCTCGAGGGCAACAAGACATGTTCCGACTGCAAGAGGAACAAGCGTAGGTAATTTCGCTTCTGTAGGCAACTGCGCTGACATTGCGACAGACCCACGATGGGCAAGCTGGAACCTGGGCGTCTTCATCTGCATTCGCTGCTCTGGCATACACCGCGGAATGGGTACACATATCAGCAAAGTCAAATCCGTTGACCTCGACACCTGGACCGACGAGCAACTGCAGAGCGTGCTGAAGTGGGGCAATGCGCGTGCGAACAAGTACTGGGAGGCAAAACTGGCGCCAGGACACGTGCCGTCCGAGGCAAAGATTGAGAACTTCATTCGCACAAAATATGAGTCGAAGCGCTGGACCATGGACGGGCCCATACCCGACCCTGCGACCCTGGAGACGGACGATGACGACCTGGTTTGTGGCACCTTTGAAGATTCGAGGAACACGACTAACATGTTACAGCCATTGAGCAAGGTGCAAGAAAAGGTACAAGTAGAGCGCTCAGCATCGCAACGTCTCGGAGGAAGCTCAAGCCGGCCTGCACCACCACCGCAAGCAAGACCGCAGCAGACCATCGATCTCTTTGGCGACGACACGCCTGCCCCTCCCCGACCGAGCACCGGACCGCCTTCGAATGTGCGCTCAGCCCCACCAAAAGCCGAAGCCGCGCCACCGAAACAAACGAAGGCTGGCGATTCATTGTTGGGACTGGATTTCTTGGGAGGAGGTCCTGCATCGCAGCCCGCTAGACCATCCAGCACTGGGCCTGCTACCTCTGCCGCGCCCTCAAGGCCCGACCTCAAGCAATCTATTCTCTCGCTGTATGCTTCAAAGCCAGCAGCAGCTCCGCAGCCCCAGCAACATGCGCGGCAAGAGTCGTTTGGTGCCCTGGCCTCTCCCCAGGGACAGACCTCTCCGCAACAGTCAGGCTTTGGTGGTATGAACGACGCATTCAGCAGCTTGTCCTTTAACCAGGCCGCGCAACCGGCACCCAAGGCATCGCCTTTCTCCGGCCTTGACAGCTTCTCCGGCACAAAGTCCCCACCCACCACATCATCCTCCAACATGTTCGGTGGCGGTGGCAACTTCTTCGACTCCAAGCCCAAGACACCTTCATACACACAAGCACAAAACCGCACGACCAGCCCATCCAGCGGCCTCGGCGGCGACTTCTCCGCCTTTTCAACCCCAGCACCATCCCAGCCCGCCGCATCATCCTCCGGCCTCGGCGACCTGCTCGACCTCTCCATGCCCTCCGCGCCCGCACCAGCGCCCAAAGCCGCTACCCCCATGGCCTCCCCACCCATGAACTCTGCATTCAACCTCACATCGCCCGCCGCGCCCTCGGCACCCACACCACAAGCTCAAGCTGCGCCCAACTACAGCAGCGGCTTCTCCAACATGGATGCATGGGGAAGCAACGACGTGTGGGGATCTTCCGCACCCAGCCAACCCGCTGCAACCACCACCGCAGCGCCGAAGAGTCCCGGCTGGGGCGCGCCGCAGGTTGCGCAGGACGATGACTTTGGCGGGTGGAGTAGCGCGGCGCCTACGACGACAACGACGCATACTTCGACGAACCAGAGTGCGACCAAGCCGGCGGGCGGGTTTGGGGGGAGCGACGATTTATTCTCGAATGTTTGGGAGTAAGAGGGATGGGATGTGGATGATTTGTATAACGGGAGACGTTTGTACATATAGCCAAGCCAAGACAGAAAGAAAGAAAAGATACGAAATTGTGCATCACCATCACCATCACCATCCAGCGCAACCGTCAATTACACAATTTGTCCCGCTAAACTCAAAACTGCCCAGTAACGCCTTACTATGCTCCCATATCAATGTCCACCAAATATTTACACACCTGCTCCAAAGCGAGGAGGGTCTAGAAAAACCAACTGCCAACCCACCACAGCACCACAATCACGCCAACCAACATGCCTGCGAGCTTGAATATCGCCACTTTGTTCCCGCTCTGCGCCATGCGCGTCAGGCGGCCTGCGCTGCCCTTGAGCGACGTGCTGAAGGAGGAGAATGTTTCGGACTAGAAAGCGGATTAGCGAGTGCGAGGGGGTTAGAGTGGAGGGAGAGTATGAGCGGCGAAGCAGTGAGCCGCGAGTATGATCCTGCCCGCTCTGGATATGTGGAAGTAAAACGTACGGTGCTGTCGATGACATGTTGGTCGCGCGCGCTGTCGTAGATGTCAATTGTGACGCCGCGCAGCGCGGACACTTTGGAGGCGAGGTCCGAGAGACGCGAGTCGTTTTGTCTGCATGCTGGTTAGCGTGTGTGTTGGAGAATATGGGGTCTTGCTACGGGAGGTAGAGACGTACTGTTCGCGCTCGTAGGCTTGCGACATTGTGCCGGAGGGGGAGGAGAAGGAGTGCGCTCGGTCGCGGGCGGGCTTTTGAGAGTGAACAGGCAGTCGGGAGGTAACGGGTGTTTTGGCTATATGAAGAGAGGGCTTAAGGGTTGTTCGGTATCGTGAGGTTTGTATTTGCGCTTTCAAAAGTCTCGTGTTTTGGGATGCACATGCAAGTGACGTTGCACTTGGCACGAGACCCTGGAAATGAATTCGGTCTAGCGCCATGGGGCCTGTCTGGGGAAGTGGGAGCCCTCGTGTTCCTCCGTATTGCATCCAACTTTGTCTCAGCCAAACCCACCTTCTCTAGAAAATTGCATCTGCTAGATTGCTGCGCTACAATATGGTGGCACTCGGAGATTGCAAAGGTCATTGTCTATGGCGCATTTCTTCTACACCACCAATGTCCTGAGCAAGCCACAACAAATGATACCGGACCCAGCTTAAAGACGTCCGTTCTACAACTGGTCGTTTCCGAACTCCATGGCTATATACAGGTTGTATAAAACCCCTGCATTTCCGTTTCCGTACGATGGAGGACCCAGAACGCAAGGCTATGTCGTTATGTGGCACAGTCTCGCAGCCAATGGCTTACCATTCGTTCTCGCGGCGAAGCAGTCCTAGCATGCTGTACTTGCTTGGGTGGCATCATGAGACAGAAGCCTATGGTTGTCAACATGGTCGACGTTGTGGAAACGGACCCCAATCTTGCAGAGCTGCTTTGTATACTTTACAGGCCCGCTTCCTCCACGATGAATTTTACGTGCGCCAACTGTGAAGCGATTTCGTCCTTGAATCGAGATGATCTACTCAAATTGTATCTCCATGGCCCTGGTGCTCAGTCTCGTCGCCTGCACCCCGTCATATCCCGCGTTGCATCACTCCACCCGAGTTCGCACCCCACCTGGTGTTACACCAGACGAAGTCATATCCGTCGTCAAATCAGAGCTAGCTGTTGCCGCTCTATACAACCATGAGGACCTCAGCAGTACTCAAAAGTTGGTAAAGGCTTGGAGTGGAGCAACTCTGCTTTCTGTGTACGCAGCCATTGGTCAACGTGCTTCACGTGAATGACTAACTTTTGCTCAGGCAAGTACCGCAGGGTCAGTCGCAAAACAACATCGATCGAACGGGCAATTTGACAGTCACTTGCACGACTTGCTACTTCAAAGGCATCGTGAAGGTCGGTCTTGAAGTGGACGACAACTTCAATGTCACGGAAGCGGTGAATGCCACTGTGAGCTCGATCGGTAGCAATGTCCGAAATTTGACAGACTCTGTGGGAGACTATCTGACAAACTACACTACGGGCGTCTTGTCAAATGTTCAGGACGGCGTTGACGCATCAGATTTCGCGCTTCCCACATTTCCATTTGCATTCGACCTCACCGTTCCCGAAATACCGGAGACCCATATCAAGATCCAGTTTGACGAGTTGGAGCTGTACCTAGAGCTAAATACAGTGATTTCATACGGTGTGACTTATGAGATCAATTTGTTCTCTTCAACATCACCCTACGGCGTAAGGGTCGGGGACGTCTTGCAACTGGGGATAGTTGCAGCTGTGGACCTCATTATGTCGATCGAATCAACGGATAAAGTCGACATCAGTACTGGATTCCACATCAAGCTCGAGGATGGGATCATGTTTGATCTCGCTCTTTTCAGTGATAAGGTGTCGGACATGGTCTTGTAAGTGTTTACAGAATCATATGCTACAATGCCTCCAACTGACGAATGCTTTAGCAACGGCGGTCAATTTGAGTTCCTTCCCGTCACCGTCGAAACTGCTGGAGTCAGCATCGCAGCAGTCTTGCGAATTGGTATATATTGTGGCATAGAAGTTGCTCCCACTGAAGCACCGGGCAAACTTCCCGGTGGACCTGAAGTTCGTGCTGGTATAGAAGTGGCCTTGGTGGCTCATGTTGCAGAATCCATCACGAACATTACATACGCACCAGACGATAAAGACTGCAAGCTGAAAGTCGAGCAAGAATACAACTTTGCTTTGGGCGCAATTGCTGGTGCATCGGTGGGACTCAAGGTGTCTTTGCTTGGGGTTCCCATGCAAACGTTGGGTCCGGTTATCACAACCTCGACGGCCATCTTTACATCGACTCTTCCTCCTGGATGCGCGATCTCAGCATCGCCAAAAGTCTCGCCATCGCAAATTACTCTAGCGGCGAACAAACGCGGAGACCTCAGCACGAAGATCTTGACATCGAAAATCACCACCAGCGGAGTGAGCTGCCAGTTATCCGGTGTTATCAACTGTCCTGTATCCATGCAAAAGACTATCAAGACTACTTACACCAAGTACCACACTACTGCTGTACCCTCTGGGGCTGACCCAACATTTCCCGCCTCCACATTCGACAGCATCGAAAGCTTGAAACCGTTCGGAACCCGTGTCGGCACGATGCAAGTACTCTCTGGGAGCCCTACCCGTTTTACCGCCTCTGCCGAAGCTACGAATGCGGACCCCACGCATGCCAAGGATGCTGGGACTAAGAGCAATGGCAATGGCAAGGAGATAGGAATCGGGGTTGGTGTCGGCTTGGGAGTACCGCTTATAGCAGCTATTGCGTGTGCATTTGTGTAAGTCTACTTGCGCGAAGATATGCTCTGTGCTAACGGAGGACTCCAGGTTCGGTTGGCGTCGCAGAAACAAGGTTGCGCAAAATGTAGGCACGACATGGGAGGGCAGTGGCTGAGCCATGCAGTGCAGAGATCAACCATGCGATCACAGACACAAGGTTGCGCAACACGTCGCAACCTTGACAGGAACACTAAGATCGTTCTTCGTCACCTCTTATCTCGCATTACGCTGTTTCAAGAGGCTCCACTCACGCAGCGCAACATAGCCCCGATCGAGTTAGAGCGAGGCGAAGCACGAACCACTGCGCTGGGTGCGACGTTTCTTTGGGGGCTGAAAGTTACTCTAGACAACTATTATTGGGGTCTGTTATGCACTTCTCGGCCATACTACACATTGTCTGGCAAAAGTCTCGACGATCTACTTCGGGTCGCGTTACTCCCGCAAGGCTGCTGTCTTGGCCAGCTCGCTAGCGCACGCTTTAGCGTGAAGATTAATCTAATTTGACGAATAGGATATTTTGTGTAGTCGCCCTGAGGTGCAGCTGCATTTTGGGTTGAGCTTTTTTCCCGGGGACGTACATGGTGTGGTGATGGATTCGAGATCCCAGCTCCAGTCTCGCGAGCGAAGATATATGATAGCTGTATCTTTGTTACGCAGATTCACATGTCGTCGCAATAGGTTCATCTCCAACTCTTGTTGCTTCTATTGGAACTTGCATCGATTGTCGTCATCATGTCGAATGCCGCTTCAGTCCACACTGGACTCTGGACCAACCACCAGCTCAGCTCTGCTCAAGGAGCAACTTTGACATTGACAACAACAAACGCGGCCTATCTCGTGGCTTTTCTTGCTTTGTTCCTCGGTTTTGTGGCTGGTCATTTCTGGGCAATCGTCTCATACGCAGTCTTCCAGATCCGATCAACTCTTGCGCCACGCAACGGCCAACACCATCAGCAGCAAGCGATTCTCCGCAACTATCACGCCCCAGGTGCGGCGATATGGCAGCTGTTCCAGCTTTCATGGACAACCCGACAACGAAGAGGGGCCGTTGCGTTTGCATCAGCTCTGCCGGTAACTGTGCTGGCATTGGTCAGTCTGATGGCATTCGGCGCGGCTGGTATCCTGTCCGCAAAGGTCACGAGCAAAGAGTCAGACGTTTTGATTAAGAGCTCAGAGTGCGGCTTCTGGGATAATCGAACTGGCATTGCTGTTCCTGGTAACTACAGTCAGCGCAAATCATTCCAGGCCAATGTCGTCGAGGACTTCAATCTGGCATCTACAATGGCTACCGCTTGCCAGCAGAACTCAACGGTTGCATCTGATTGCATCTCCTATGCACCAAAACAGCTCACGTGGACCACAAGCACAAACGAATCTTGTCCCTTCGACAAGAAGATATGTTATCAGAACACTACCGTGCGATTTGATTCTGGACTACTAGATAGCACAGAACATTTCGGTATCAACGCAGTGAGCTCTGACAGGATCCAGCTCCGAGCCGTAATGACATGTACTCCATTGATGCGCGAGGGCTATGTAAGCGATTGGCACGATATGAATGGTACTAGATTTGCACCTGGCCAGCTGCCTGGGGACGTCATGCATACGGCGCCTGGAGAGTTATGGTTGGAGTGGTTCTACGGACCAACTGCACGCATGGACACAAACTCGACAATAATCTACAGTGATCGAGAAGGTACAGTCAGCATGTTCGGCACGCAACTCTACTCACTTGCGTAAGTCTCATGATTTCAATCTGCGTTACAGCTCACTCACATTCGACAGCGCCAATGAATATATAGTCGGATCGTGGGGTCGGACGGAACCCAGTTGGATCCCGATTCCAGAATTGAACCGCACCGACGCAGATATCGAACTCCTGTTCCTGCGCCAAGTCAATGGCATGCAATATGCCGAACCCGTGACGGATCCTTGGTTCGAATCTACCGTCCCAATCACAAGCGAGTATATGGACCAGCCAGGCCAATACAAGAATGTGACAGTGTTTGGCTCAGAATACCCCATCAACGCCGTCGGCTGCGCGAGGCAGTTCCAATGGTGCGATACAAGTACAGGATCAAACCCCACCTGCACTGAACTCACCGGCCTCCAACCGGCCATCACCCAGTCTAGAAAGATCTTCAAATCCACCAGGCAACGCGTGACTCTGGAACGCCTGATCTACATCCTGAATTGGGGAATGGGTTTCGAAGCCATCGTAGGTGCCATGGCCGGCAACGTACTTCTCATGAATAAATACGGCAACTACCGCACCGCCTCTCCACGGCCGGATCAATGGATCCAAGAACTCAGCCACATGTTTGGTACGCTGTTAACGAACTGGCAAATCAGGAATTACAGATACACGGGAGGGTACCAGTCGTCGATTGACATCGAGCCGATTATTGGCGCGCCGTTCGCGAACGAGACGTGGATGTGCGATGCGCAACTCGTGCGCAGAGAGGATTATCAGTCGCTTAGCGTGCTGGGACTCGCGTTGATTTGCGCCATCGGCGGACTTATTGTCATCATCAATCTGAGTCTCGACTCGATTGTGGGATGGTACCAAAAAAAGTACAAGACGCGCGAGCACGCGACAGCGGAATGGGAGATGTTGCAGGCTGAGGCGCTGCAGAGACAGTTGTACAAGTCGCATGGTGTGGACTTGAGAGAAGCGGATGCTAGTATGGCGAATGTGTTGGAAAGGATGAAAGAGTGGAGGGTTGGAGATACCATGGCGACGCTGGTGGAGAAGAAATGGACGCTGAAGAGTGTTTCGAGCGATGCGACGTTGAAGAATAAAGGGAGTGTTGTGGGTGTTGATGTAAGGAGGGTCGATTCGGACAGAACATCGCCGGTGAGTCCGCTGGCGAGGAGTGAGTTTGTCTAGGCAAGGAATTATGATGAACCTCATGAAGTTTGCTCTATTTGTGCCTCTGATCATTGCGTCAATGTGATAGTTTCTGATCTGTCGCATGGTGTTCTGATTCTTCACACGACTTCTTCGGTGCCTTGTAACGGCCCCTGGTGCTTTCGCACATGTCTCTTCGCTTACTCTTCCAGCAAACTTGTACAAGGTATTTATAATCTGTTCTTTTGTGCATTCTTGGACATAATTCTGTCTCTCAGTCATATCAACGAAGACACCATGTGCCGTATCATCCCTGCCTTCCCGAACGAGATCACATTGATCATACTTCATGAACTTCCACTCGCCGACCTCGTCATTTGGTATACAATCAAGGGAACCCTGTCCTGAAGGTGATCCCGATGGCGATGAAGAGTTTCGGAAAAAAATGTTCAGGATTTCCAAGAAGCACGATGTCGATGATGCGACACGGTTTGCGTGGGTACAGAACCAGTGGACGGAGACGTATGCGAAGATGGAGACCAATGAGACGTCTGCAGAAGATTTCTGGTCGCACATAGAAGTCAACCCGCTACTCTTATCTTTGGACACACCTTTCAGAAGAACGAAAACGGCTGAGCGAGATGCCATTGGCTACGATACATTATGTTTCCCCCGGCAGAAAATCTTCTACGAGGTCCCTGGAAAATCCAACCTTACCAGCTTCCAAGCTGTAAGAGCCAGAGAATTGATCTACTCAATGTTTGTTTCATACTCTCCTGTCACGCGCATTACTTCACAGGGTGATCAAAATCCCCGGCAAACCATATCTGCAGGTTATAGGCCAGTATTTCGCGGATGACGAAGGTTTTTAACTGCTTCGGGTTTGCTACCAAGCCGCACTTTCACATGACCCCTGGGTCACTAACCGACCTTGATGTTGAGCTCTTCCTTCCCTGTACCGTCAGAACTGACCTCAGCGAGGCGCGGCCGGACAGTGGCGTCAAGATCGCTCCTTTACCCGCCCTTACGATTAGTACTACATCCGTCTCTACGCGCAAGACTGTTCGCTTCTATGAGGGCGTCAAGCGTCGACTTTATGACCTCAGTGGTCCAGCTAAGGGCGTCAATACTCCACTCGACAAGCGCAACTGGGAACCGCTGATGGGCGGCGCTGCCTATCCGGGTAGTGCTATCCCCATCGGTTTCGACTCAATATTCATATCTACTAGCCTGAAGACCATTGCCCTGAAGCGCCGCGTCCTTAACCGCTTCAAGGCCGTCCAAGAATACGAGAAACGTCGCAGGCAGGCCGCTATTGCTTTCGGTGACGACAACCCGCCGCTTGATCAGTTGGAGTACGGTAACGCAGACCACAAGCTTGCGCTCCAGGCCACCAAGGTCATCACCATCGACGACATTGGCACCTTTATGAGCCCGCTCGAGCTTGGGATCCCGCCTACCACTTAGAACAGCGGTCCGCTGCTGCACTTTGGTAGGTTTGAACACTATTTGGGCCGCGTCTTTGAGACCGGTTGCATTTCTGAGAGGCCTGCGGCGTTCAAGCTGCCGGTCAGCTGGGACGACGCGCCTAGGTCTGAGCCTGATCTGCACAGGTGGACCAAGGCGATTTTCTGTAGCCTGCAGCCTGCAGACCAGGCGCACTAATTTGAGGAGCCATTATCATCAGTATCAAGATGGAACGACTTGTAAGACTGAGGAATTTTTTTTTTTGAAATGGTTGTGTGAAGATGAGATTGGTTTAAGAAGGGCAAGTACCTTCGTTCTCAACATTGATGCTCAGCTGACGGCAACTCCGCCAGATGAGTAAATTGTTCCAAGCAGAAAGACGAAGAGATTGAAGAGGTGGACGATGATTGCCATCGAGGCGGTGAGCACTCGGGCGACACATGATCTCATGTTTACCTTTGGTAAAGTATCACCACTCTCACTGTATGACATACGCTAGGCACATCATAGATCATCCCCATTTGAACAATAAAGCGAGGCGTCCTTTTAGACTGGGCGGGGTATATGGTGGACCTTGCTTTCCACGACGACTCTTCGATCGACTGATCGTCAACTTTTCGAGCGAACGCAAACCAACCGAACCATGGTAAGACGGTGGTTGACAAGGTTGCGGTGCTAATTTCGGCCGAGGGGCTCTCCAAACTCTTTTTCACTTTGGCTGTTCGTCCTAGGTGTATTCTCTGTCGCAACAATCAATGATTCATGTAACAATCAATCTCATGCTGTACCTGCTCTGCGATCGAGATATGCTACCCCAGGATCCAACTGTCTGGATTCTGTTCAACAAGGTAGCGGGGCTAGTCGTACCGAATGTACCACTCGGGAGATCATCGCCGAAAGCACTACGACAGTTTGGACGCTCAGATGCCGCCGGAATCGAACCGAGGAAAGATCAGGCCGCGATCAATCTCTTCTAGAACTGTTCTGACCACCATTGATTGGCCGAGCGGCGTACCAAGCCCACGTGCAGTTGGAAAGCATCAATGTGTTCCTGAGCCAGTATCCAGGTTCACCCTCGCTGCCCTGCATGTAAGCGGCGAATCTTCTGCGGTAGCAGCACGTGAGGCGGTGATTGGGCAGGTGTTATCAGGAGCGATGTGAAGTTAGGCAGTTAAAGGAATGTGGTGCTGCGCGCCAAGTCAATTTCAGCCACCGCCAAGGGGACACGGAGCGGAGTACACCGTCCTCGTATTCCTCAACGACATCCATATAACGTCGATCGCAGCAGATATGGGGTCGCTCTGTGTTTTCGTGCGTCTCGGTCGATTTTCTCTCGATTCCAAAAGTTGCGGAGAGCACAGATGAGGTTCTCAACACGTTCCAGCGTGCCGTTCGCGCTCCTTGCGCTAGCGGCGACTTCATCCGCAGAAGAAGCGCTGTACAGCCGACGGATGGCAAAGCGAGGTCTTGATGCTCAAGGCAATTACAACATTTGTGAGTGGTTCGATCTAAATTCGAGGTGTTTTTGCTCACGTGACGACAGCCTTCTTCCACATCAACGATGTCCACGCTCATCTGGACGAGTTCAGCTCATCAGGCACAGACTGCACAAAGCCAGAGCGTGGCTGCTACGGTGGCTATTCCCGCGTCAAGACCGTTATTGAGGAGCAACGACCGAAGTACAACGACAGTCTCTGGCTCAATGTTGGCGATGAGTTCCAAGGAACGCTATTCTACTCTTTCTATGGAGGAGAGAAAATTGCACAGACGCTCAATCAATTGGAATTTGACGCCATGACTCTCGGAAACCACGAGTTTGATGGTGGTGAGGACAAGCTTGGAGATTTTTTGCAGAACTTGACGTTCCCTATCGTCTGCGCGAATTTGAAGTCCGCCAACGAGAAAGTGGCGAGCAAGGTTAAGCCATACCACATCTTCGAGGACAAGGGCGTGGCAATTATCGGTGTTACAACCGAAGAGATTCCAAGTCTCGCGAATCCCGATGAAGGCACTACATTTTCTGATGTTGTCGAGGTATGTTGAAACACAATATCTCATCGGCTCATATCAGTTAACTCTCCGACAGTCTGTGCAAAATGCCATTGACGAGATCAAGTCCACAACCAACATCACTAGGATCGCGGCTATCACCCATATCGGCTACGAAGAAGATCAGAAGCTAGCCAAGGCGACCACCGGTCTTCAGCTAATCATGGGAGGTCACAGCCACACCCTCCTTGGTGACATGCCCAAAGCGCTGGGCAAGTACCCCACGATTGTCGACAACAAAGACGGCGACGAAGTTTTCATTGTCACAGCTTACCGATGGGGCGAGTATGTTGGCTACATCGATGTCACTTACGACACCAAGGGCAAGATTCTTGCTTACCATGGCGCACCCATCCACCTCACCAACACCACTAAGCAGGAGCCCAAACTCCAGGCGCAGGTTAAAGAATGGCGCGGCCCTTTCGAAGCCTTCGCTTCGGAGGTGCTTGGCAAGAGCGAGGTTGAGCTTGACCAGACCGGCTGCCAGAAAGGAGAGTGCTTACTCGGCGACTTCATGTCGGATGCTATGCTGGATTACCGTAAGAAGAACACCCAGGATGTCGACTTCGCCATCATTAACGCTGGTGGTGTGCGTGCCACCATCGATGAAGGTGACATCACCCGTGGCGAAGTTCTTACCTCTTTCCCCTTCGGAAACGCCATTGTCCAGATCGCTTTGACTGGCAAACAAATCTGGGAGGCTCTCGAGGGAATTGTCACCGGTGTCAGCGTTACAAACGGCAAGCCTGTCACCTCATTCTTCCAGGTCAGCAAGGGCATCAAGGTTGAATACAACCCGAAAGCTTCCAATGGCACTAGACTGGTTTCTGTGACCATCAGCGATAAGTCATTGGTAAACACCACAACCTACCAGGTGGTAACTCTCGACTTCATTGCTGGCGGCGGAGACAATTTCTTCAACCCCATCACGGATTTTATCAGTCTCGATACCCAGGACGAAGTTCTCACAGATTACATCAAGTCACAATCTCCAGTCAAGATTAGCCTCGACAAGCGTATCGAAGCTGTTGACCGTCAAAGGCCTAGCACACCTGGAGGTGGTAACGGAACGACGAATGGCACTGCGCCTAGTTCTGGAAGCCCACCCGCTGCAACCGGTGCGGCAGCACGCCTCAGTGCAAGTGCTGTCAGCGCCAGTATTCTGGGAGCTGTTGCTGGCCTTTTCATGTTGTAAAATGTTAAATAATTCGGCGTTGTACTGAACGGCATGACCATAATGATAGGTTGTCTACCGGCTCAAACCGAGGGACGATAGCACAAAAATAAATACTAATGCGAGATGAGCCTTTTTCTTTGTTTAACGTGACGATAGCCTCCTTTGTCGTACTTTCGTGTGAGAAGAGAACAAAGGACTGTTGTACTAGGCGATGTCTTTGTGATCACGGAATTGGTTCGCTAGTCATAACACATCGTGGAGACACTCAAGAACTATCGGCAAAGCCTCATTTCGTTCAACGGACAAAGCCAGCTCGCAATGATGAAATGCCACTCGGCTAACGCAATGTTATCGGCTCTCCACTCCGACGACGCTCTCAATAAGTACGATAATCTTCAATCTCATTACACTCATTCTTCAGACCATAGTAACATCAAGGTAGATAAAAACTTTCGTCTTGCTACGCTGAACGCCAGCGAATATTTATCAGCAGACCCCAAACAACATGACCCGACGTGGCAAGCGGTTGCGCGATGACTCTGAGTCGCCTGCTGAACAGCAACCTACCAAGACGTCCGGACAACTTCCACCTATAGCTGAAGAGGTCACGGACAGTACATCAGAATGCAATCCTTCAACAGACAAGCCGCGTATATCCACGTCCTCGTCGCCCGCTTCGTCTCCTGAGCCTTACTTCGGTTCAAAACAGCAAAAAGCATTGTCAGAGCGTGCAAGACGCGCCGAAAGACGATCATCACAAAATGTAAGTGGTTCACTCCGTTCCATACCGTAGTGGCATACTGATAATAATGTAGCACACGGACACTGCAAGCCCGCCTACCAAGCGTTCATCTGAGCGAAAGAGAGCCAAAGAAAAGCCAGAGGATCGCATAACTCCTCAAAAAGATCACAAGCAGCTTCTTAGGCACGCCTCAAACGTGAGCATAAAACGCAAGTTCCTAAAAGCATCTCTGATAGGCTCATCTTCGGGTGACGAGGAACTTCTGATTCAGCGGAAGAAGCCGCGCCTTGGCGAATCTTCTCATGTATCCAAGAAGAAGACGCTGGAACCACTTAATCTGCACAAGGCTTTGAAAGAACTAAGGGCGGCGGAAGCAGCTTTGACTCTAGCCACACCGCAGTTCCTTCTGTCACCTACGCTGGAGAACAACATCTTTGCACGGCAAACGTCGATGAGCCAATTACCCGCGACTACACCGAACTCCCCTCACAACATTGGAAAGCCCTTTGCCAACCATAAGCAAGCTACTGTTGAAGATGAAAGTGTGAAACATGTCAATGCCAAAGCGTCCTTCAACTCACCGTCGCCAGTCAGCAAGAATACCGATATCAACGACGACGCGAGCTTCTTAGCTTTTATGCGACGCCTTTCGGCCTCTGCGCGGAAACTGGCGAAAGAAAATCACAGAACTCCGGGGTCTGAAAATACAAGCTTAAGCGATGAATCTTTGGGTTCAGGCGAACTCAATAACATCACCACCGCAGCTGGTGCAACAGCTCAACAAGCTCAAGTGCTGCTGCAAACACTCACTGGAACTGTAAAGAGGCAGCAGGAGATTACCGAAGTGACCGAATAGTGTCTGATGATCGACTCGCAGCGTATCGCCACACAACGGGCCACGCAGCCTCCAGCTGCAATGACCCCTGCTGAACTATACAAGTTTGCGCAAACTGCACTCGAACAGGGCGCTGGAAATGCTATCCGCGGCCTCCAAAGCGCTAACGGCTACCACGACCCAAACAAACAGCCGCTACTTTTCAACAATAAGCCGATTGAGTATAATCGTAGACGGACCTCACTTTTTGCCGGGTCACAGCCTCAAAGCTTCACACCGATGTCAGCCGAGGATATGTACTATTGTCTCAAAGTTGATGAGCAACGATACCGTTCGGCTTTCATGACTTGTCCGTACCTGTGGCGGTATTTCGGCGGCCCAGCTGATCGATCCGAAAACCCCGTGTCAAAATACCCGCTGTAGGATGTAGCGCAAAAGAACATGACAGAAGCTGCTAAGCCACTGGAAGAACGTGATCGACTGTCTAGAGCCCCTGGCACCCGGCATGGAATAGTCAACGCATCCACCACAGACTTTGGGTCTTCGCTATCAGTTCCAAACGCATCATACGAGATACGCCGACCTTCATGGGAAATGGAAGTTGATGCAACGACACGGAGTGAATTAAAGTAGGTTTTTCTTACATACACCGTAGTGAATTCAGATTTGCGAGCATATCTACCTCCCCAACAAGAACTTAGAGCCGAGCACCAGTATGGTCATAGAAATGGCAACAAGTCAGTGCACCAGCTCCTGAGCTCCGGGTTGCAATGATGGAAATGCCGTGTGTCTAAGGACGCACAATTGAGTGGAAGCGGGCAGCCGCATGAGCATTTCCCAAAGGCACATTATTGCCCTAACAGTGCTTGTGCCTCATACCTTAGCAAAGTAAGTGGTCCTATCTCCTCTTCGCACCAATCTGTAATAACCTCTCCCTTCAAGTTCAATAAGGCAGAGTTCAACTTCCTCGTGCATAACCGCGTTCCTGTCCTCCCTTTCCAGCTCGCGGCAATCCATTTTCGCGCGCGTCAGCCGACGATGTATGTCAGAACGCTGGAAGATGTCGATGGGTATTCGTTGATCGTAATTGAGTCCAGGATAGGAAGTGATGCGACTAGAGTGCGGGGAAGCTTTTGAAGGTCTTAGAAGGTGTATGCGTGAGCGTAGTTGCCGTTGCAGTAAGGTAATGCTTTGCCCAAAGCTAGTAGGAGAAGTTTTTGATATAATGCTCTCAATTTAGTGTAGGATGGGGTATCGATAGTGGTCGTAAGCGGGAAACAAGAAAGTGCAGTTGGAGGGCATAGGCAGCGAGGACGGGCACAATTTTGTCCGTCATTGTGGAGAATCGAGTCCAAAACATGATATTTTGTACTGAATGACAAGTGGTTTACGAGAAGGCTTCAATACTGATGCATATGTTAGGGGCGAACGCATGTGAGGTTAGCAAATGTCTACATCAACATACTATTACGCTGAATGAATTTTCTTTCCCCCGTGAATATGGCCTTTCACTTCTTCACTAATCGCAGCTTGCGGGAGCATGTGATATGGTCGGCACCCACACTACTCCTGTCCCGACCCCAATATTCCTCACCGACTACTCTCCGAACTGGCAGAATACATCTTCTTAGCCACTTCTCAATACGGGACAAACACTAGCTCTCAATCCGCCTCTACGAGGCTTTTATCCAACCTAGCATTCAGAGAAACTGCCACTTGGTGCCAGTCTTGGACGCAGATACCAGCGAATCACTCCAAGAAGTCCCAGACGAAAACTTAAAACTTCGTGGAGCGACGAGTCCAGACACACCCGCTCGTTTTGACACGCCGCAACAAGTATGGCTTTCACTGACGAAGATAATGCCGCGAGCTTCCCGATTTCCGGAAGTGGGCTCGGGTTTACCCCAGACGGCGAAGCATTAAAATTCGATGCACATTCATCTGCCGATGCCTTGCCAGCTGGCGCAGGATCTGCCAGCGATACCGCTAACGACGACGTGGAGATGAGCGATGAGAATGCTTCTGCAGTCCACTCCGACGCGGATATGAGCGACGAGGACCCCTCTGCAGTCCACTCAGACAACGACTATTGCGAATGCAGAGATTGTGATAAGGGAGCGGCTGGCCACGGATTCCAGACCGGCGACTACCATGCGACCAATTGCTGGGACAAGGATTGCGAACAGTGTCAGACTCGTCGCCCCGGCGTCCAGCGCTGGCATGCGGACAGCCGACCGGATTGTAAGGACACTTTCGTTGAGGATGACTCCCACATGGTGGAGACGTACGTCGACGGCTTCAATCGCGTCGGCATGATGCCTAATCGCGAGCTCGTCAACCTGATGAAATCTAGTGCGAAATCGGGCCGCAGGTTTCGCGACCTGAAGAACGAGCTTAGTCCGGAGATGGATGAGGCTCGGAAGCAAATGAACATTGGCCTAGATTCCATAACAGATCTCAAGGAGAGGATTCAGGTGATGGACCAGGGCATTCGAGAGCCTAAAGAAGGAGACAAGGAAGATGACCTGGCATCCATGAGGAAAGTACGCCGCAACTTGCGCTTGCAATACATTGACGCCCGCGATGTCTATGGTGAGCAGCGCGATATGCTGGAGCGTATGATCGAGGCTCTGAAGAGCGAAGAGCGGATGTGGATGAGTACCATGCGCAGATTGAGTCACAAGCAAGACGCCCTTCTCACTGCTAGCGGCCTGCTGGATGACGACGTTGGCGAGCCAGAATGGACAGACGAGCAATACGAGATCGAAAGCGTGGGTGAAGTACCCGAGATCCTGGAGCTTGAAGAGGAAGTGGAGGAGATTGATGAAGCTTTCCAACTGTTCGTGCAACAGCAGGCTGACGCGGCTCAGCCGACACAACCGCCCACCGAGGTGGAAACAGGCGCTCAGGTCGAGCGCAAAGAGCAAAACGAGTCCCTCGAAAGGGCCATCGATGTCGCGCGCGAGGCCAACGAAGCTCACCGCGACAACTACAAGATTCTCCTCGCGCGACATGTCGCCGAGCAGACTCAAGCCGGGCGCACCGCAACTGATCACGAGTACGCCGACGAGTTCACATACATATACCTGACAGAGGGTGAGAGGCTCTCGATCATCTTGCGCGATGCAGAACAAGCTCTCATCGAGTTTGAGACGAGGTTCTGGGCTGTAGTGCCATCGGGAGAGTATCGACTCGAGCTCGATACCACGGGCTATCACAAGGATGTCCAAGAGGCATGAGAAGGATATCAGGGCCGAAGGTTTTGATTCATCCAGGACGCTCGATAGAGCAAGAATCGACGGGTGGAAAGAGGATGTCCCCCGGGAGGGGGGTGACTGGGCAGAGACTATTGTCGATGAACCAGAGATTATCGAAGACAAAATGGCAGTCGTCGACGAATGCGCTCTCGATGTCGTCGATGAGCCCGAGCCATCTCCAAAGAAGCGCTCACGCAAGCGCGGAGCCGATACCGTCCTCGAGTCCAGCGGGGCCAAAAAGCGCCGTCATAACGAAGATGGCGAGGCCTCTGCAGCGCCAGTCACCCGCATTCATCAGCACAAGTACAACCTTCGAGCGCGAAAGGGCCCAGATCCGGCTTTGGTACCGAAGAAGCGGGTGTCTCGGAAGGCAAAGGGCAAGGACCCCAGAAAAGCTGCAGCTAAGGGCAAACAGCCTATGGTTGAAGACGACGATGAGGTCGACGCCGCGAAAGCCCAAGTGGCGAAGAAGAGCAAAGGCAAGGGCAAACAGCCCATGATCGAGGAAGACAATGAGGACGACGCACCGATAGCGCAGAAGGCCAAATTAAAGGGCAAGCAGCCACTCATCCAAGACAGCGACGACGAAGACGACGCAGCTGGCCCTTCAGCCGCAAAGAAGCAGCACACAGTCAAGCGCGTCCGCTCCCCGTCCCCACCGGCATCTGCCTCCAACAAGATCAAGAACAAGAATAGGTCCGCCGAGCTCGCCGAAATCCCTCTCTTCGCACCTACCGCCATCTCCCGCCCCCTCGACATCGGCGCCCAGTTGGCTGCCGGCAACACGATCTGTGAGGCGGAGGACTATGGCCGCTTTCGGTTGCACCTTTGGAGGAAGAAGAATGGGTTTGAGGAGTTGTGAACAAATTGGAAGGTAAAAGGAGATGAAGAGTACAGCACACATATTGCTGCGTTGTCAGGGAGGAGAAGAGTCGAATGTTTGCGTTTTATCGCGCCGGCGAGAGACGGATGATTTGATAGTTCTGCTTGCCCCTTTTCGCGCCGTTGGATGACGGGTCAATAAAAGTGCGCTCATTGAGATTTGAGATTTAAGTGCATTGCAACAACATGTTCATTAAAAGATTTGAAAGGTGGATCTGAGATGTGACCGGTACTTTAAAATGATGGGTGGCATATGATAACTGACTCGCTAGAAACACAGCAGACTCCAAGGAACTCCTCTATCTCTCGACAATACATCAGAGAGGGAAACACGACGAAAGAAACGATCTAGAAGCAATTTGGTCCTCCATATCAACGCAGCTCGTATACAATCGAGATAGCACTCATGACAATGTACCTTGTCGATTCCTTTCGGATCCAGCAGGCGCGGTACCAACATGACTGACGGCTTCCGCCTCTTCGGCTCTGGTCTTGAGTTCGTCTTCTAGGCCAGTGGTTCGAGTCCGCATAGGGCTCGTGGCATCGGCAGCGCTATCGTCAACATCAAGCTCTTTATGCTTGCGTCTGACAGTAGACATGCTCATGACGCTACAGTCATCGCCTTCTTTCTTCTGCGACCTCTCAGTCTCGCTGTTGACGACCTCGATAGTGACATCGGCGTTGTCCTTGGAGAAGACGCGAAGACCAACAACAGCGACCGCGTTCCATGGATCGCGCTCGAACTCGTCTTCATCCTCAACGTATGGGTAGCGGGCGCCGTTATACCAGACGTACTGTGGACGTTGGCGCTCAGCCTGGAAGCGACGAGCTTCGTCCTCATCCGATGACATATCGGAATCGAGAGAGCACGGGCCATCAAATTCAGAATCCCATGAAGAGTCGTCAGAATAAGGATCAGGCGAGTACATGCCGTGGTGAGCACGGTTTGAATTGATGCTGATACCGCGACCACGAGTAACTTGGATGCCTGGACGTAGACCTGGGATCGGTGTCAGGGTCGCCTTGCGGCCGGGCATCAAGCTACCCCGCTCCGGGCGTGGGCTATACGTCCGTTGCGATGGTGTTCCAGGGCGAAAGTCTTCTGTCATTGGTGTCGGGATGGGAGACTCTGTGGTCGCACCCTCGTTGTACCCACCTCGGCCGCTGTATTCATCTCGACCTTGATAAGTGCCAGGTAGCTCAGTGTTGTAGCCGCCCCGGCCCTGGAGCTCGCCAGGCATATTTTGATTGTAGCCTCCCCTGCCGTGAAGGTCACCAGGCAGGTTCTGGTTGTAGCCTCCTCTGCCCTGGAAATCACCAGGCATGTTCTGGTTGTAGCCGCCACGACCGTGAAAGCCTTGGCCAGTTGCGGCAGGAGTGCTCTGAGAGCTATGGTTGTAGCCGCCACGGCCCTGCAGTCCCTCGCCCGTGGATGAAGGCTGGATCTCGCGATTGTACCCGCCGCGGCCCTGCAAGGCCCCGGGCAGGGTTGCGTTGTAGGCATCAAGACCTTTGTTATATCCGCCTCGGCCTTGGAATCCACCGCCAGGGCTAGCTGAGCGCTCGCGAATAGCGCCAGTGCTGGCAGCGCGGTGGTGTCTGGATACGGCAGGGTGCGTCGGCTTGGCTTCGTCCTCACCAGATGGCTGTTGATCTTCAACGTTGATACCGAGTCCAGACAGTTCCTGGAGCCTTTCTTCAACTTCCCGCATCTCTCCACCAGTCTTGTTCATCTTGCGTGTTTCCTTAGCAGCCTTCTTTTGTTCACGAAGCTTAGCCTTGCTGCGTAGCTTCTTGCGCTGCTCGTGCGAGCTCTTCATTTCGGCCTTCTTCCGCTCGCGCTTCTGCTCCTTTTGGCGTAGGATCTTTTCTTTTTCTTGCTCACGGAATTGACCTTTGGCGTGAGCCAAGTCATAAGAGAGGCCAGTAGCCAGAAGTTTCTCGCGTCGCTTTACGCATGTGGTTCGAATGACTTCATCAGGTGTAGGATTTGGTACACGCGTGGCTTTGATCTTCATCAAGACCGTGTATTCGCCAGCTTCCAGATTGAGTTCGGTTGAGACGGACCGCTTCATGTAGTAGGTACCGTTACTGCGCACGATGTACTCTTCCTCGTCATCTTTGTGCAGGCGGAACTGCAGGTTGAACTCATACTGCCCTTCCAAGCCTAGATAGTAACGATCGTCAAGTTGGCTGAGCACAATGACTACGGGGCCTGACTTTGCGAGGCTGATCTTGAATTTGGTGTCCAGGTAATCCACGCTCCAGGGTACATTAACACTAGTCCATTGCTGAGAAACAGTCCACTCTGGGCCAAAGAGCCGCGTGCGATCGAAATGCTGGTAATGTCGGAGCAGATCCTTGTAGGAGATCCAGAAGACGCCATCGTCACCAAACTTGTGGTTGAGCTTGTGCATCCATTCGGGTGTCCACTCTTCGGAACCATCGCTCCAGCGTCCTGTCCATTCTGTTCGACCCCATGGATTTCGTAGCTTCAGAAGGCGCTGGCCATCGATTTCGCGGGCTTCCATGATGGAGTAAGCGTGCTTCTCCTGGATGCCTCTCCGCTCGCCATAGGCGCCGCCCATCTGGCCGCAACCGAACAAGAATGTTTTGTTGACATTCATCAGTTCTTCGCGCCAGAACTTGTTCTTGTCCAGAATGTCGGTAGCAAACACTTCTGACGTGACACCACCGGTTAGGTCCTCAATGCCCTCACCGACGAAGCCACCGTCGATCGCCGAGTAATCTCCGTGAGCTTTCGCAAACGCTTTTTCGAGCAATGGCAGCCATGTCTCATTCGGATCACTACACTGCGCAAAGTAAAGCGCTCTTGAGCCGGTCTGCATCACCATGCGATACTCTTCCTCTGGGGTCTTGCGGTTCTGCAACTCCAACCAATGATATCGTTCGATCTTGGCTTCATCGAAATCTTCCTTGATGAGGTAGAGCTTATCGTCAATGACTTCTGAGATCCACTCGCCATCTGTGTAACAATAAGCATGAGTTTGGAGTGGTACAGATATTTGCGCTTACCTCGGTGAAATACGAAACCGTAAACGCCGACCTGTTCATCCCGAGCGACACAGACTCGCTGGATCAACTCCTCCTTATTGCTTATGGTGGCAAGCGCTGCCATGAACCAACAATCGCCGTCGTTTCCTTGTCTCACATCGTTGGCGGTCGCACCTCCGATATAGAATTGGGGTTTGTCGAAAATATCCTGAGACATTGTTAGCGCTGCACAGAAGCCCGAAGTGTTTTAACCCACCTCAACACGCTTGACAGACATGGGCTGAAAGTCAGATTGCTCCTTGTCCAGTCCTGTGAGGCAGTCGGCGGGTGTGTCTGGTAATGCCTGGGATCGCTTGAAGTCGGCTTCAATATCGAAATGCGGATCCCGGTACTTTTGGTTCAGGCGACGGCACTCTTTGACGATCTTCGCGACTTTGTTCCTGCACGACTCGACAGCTTGTTCGTAGGACGCAAGGGCATTGACACCCGGTATGGAGCCTTTCGGAGCATGTGCAGCTGCTCTCTTAGCATAGAGATTGTCTGGTAAGATGGTAAAGATTTTTCCAGGGTGTTTCGTGGTGAACTTGGCCCAGAAGTCATCAATGCTTTGCTGGGGTGCATGTTTACGAGCGGGTAGGCGGGAACGTGAGGCCATGGCGGTAGCTGTGGCTGGTGTGGCTACGTGTTGGTCCTGTATCATACTCGGAGATCTCGAGTGAGGTCTGGAATGAGGTTTGGTAATGTTGATGAATTCGTGGGTACCCTGGGAGTCCATGGTCACGACTTTGGCAAAGAGCTCAGGGGCTTCGAGATCGGCACAGAGCGTAGGGCGTCCATTGTGGGCTCAGAGGTAGAATATAAGGCATTCGGGACGGCGACGCGACTTTTCAGCCCCCATCTGGAGCTCCGCGAGCCCATGCCGATGATGAGGTATGTTTAGAGCAGTAAGAAAAACAGTGGGGCGGTCAGACACGAGGGCGCTGCTCGGCACCGCCGCTGGGACCCCGCTATACTGGCTCCGCGAATCAGCATCCCGCGCACGACCCGACCACGCTGGAGCGTCGATTGAGTAGATCTCGAAAGGGCGGACAAGGAGAAGGAACGTCAACATGCCCAGACGCAGTCGCGTCCATGTCCAGCTGCAGCTGCACGCGCTCGACGAATGAGATTCCTGTGATCAGCTGCATCGCTGCAAGGTGGACTCGTGGTTCGTCGTAGACGGGTGAGAAACCCATGCGTCTGGCTGGATTCGCCTGGGGGCGGCTCGCTAAGCCCAAAAGAACGCACTATTGCAGACAGCTTGACCGACTCGATGGTCGCATGCTGTCCCATGAAGGTCCTGTAGTGTGTTGCTCGGGAAAAGAAGAAGTTTTCCCTTCGGCCATATTACTGTGCATGTCATACAGCACAGGAAGACTCAACATATCGGTGGGTTCTCGAGCACGGAAGATGCTGCAGGGTAGCAGCGCAGCCGTTCAGTGATACGGGCGATCAGTCGATGAAACGATGCACATTGGGGCGCTGCGTCACCTCCCCTCGATGTGCGTCGTGCGACAACGTTTCAGCCTTGCCAGGTCTTTTTTTTTTTTTAAGAACAGTTCCGGGGATATCTTACGGCATAGACAATGAAAACGTTAAGTCCGTATATGAGTCGGAAGTCGTCGACAATGACTCTTTGATGATTCCCAACGAGCAACATGGTCCCCACGTAAGCAGTTCAAGGCAAGTCGAATGATGAAGTCGTGGTTCCTGATCCCGACCCCATTTCGAGGGGCGCCAGCCGAAAAGCTGTGGCACACCAGGTCCAGACGATTGGCTTCCTACTGTAGGCAGGAGAACTCCCAAGAAAGAACATCTTCTGAGGGTATCCTTGATACTGAGGTTGATGCTATTCGCAGCCATCAGACACGGCTGTGCCCGCATTGTCTGCTTTTTCGAGGGCATCGGCAGCAGCTGGTGGTTACACCGAGCCGAAAAGCAGTACCGGTAGCGGGCTGTGCCCAATTTCGCGTAACGTTCAACACGATGCGGCTCTCGAACGTCCATGTCATCCTTCCAGCTTCGTCATCAAGAGGGACCCGTACGATACCTGGTAATCAGCCCTATTGAACGGTACTGCATCTTCTTGCATGTGTGATCCTTCGAATCTCACCGTTCTTCTGCAGGATTGACCAATCGCGATCCAGGGCGGGAAGGTTTCCAGAAGCCACTGGGGGATATTTCGACCACGCGCGAAGTGATTGGTGACACGGTAAATTGAGGCAGGGCAATCAGCTCGAACTGCTTCTGATATTGAATGGTACCGATGGGGGCCATAGGACAAGCGCTTAACGAGCAAGCTGAGTAGACAGGAATACGATCGCTATTGCTTGGCTAGCTGTGGTGTTTCCCCACTCCTCATGGCATGCTGGAAACAAGAGGGGCGTAAACAATATCTTCCGAGAGGATTAAGCTCTTCGCTTGGTGTAGGCGTTTGCCGCAAAATACGCCTTACTTCGCCCCAGCTGAGGACAGTGTTCGCGAAGTGTTCGCCTTCACAAACGACGAACGCAAATCTTGTACATCTCCATCTGGATGGTCATCGCATTGATCGCAAACGAACTGAGATGAAGACGGGGTTCGCGAGGCTGCTTCGGCGAGGCGGTATGAAGGTCGCAGGGGTAAAGTTAGGATGAGCGGTGAGGGTGGGTGTCAGCCCCCACCTCTGGAATGTTTGCCCTGTTACGTCACCACGAACATCGCTACTCTATCAAGTCCAGCATCACATCTCCGCCTGACAGTGCAGATGTAGATGTGCTGTTCAATGCATTATGGTCGAGACAATTTCAGCGATTGTATTCCTGAATATGGACCGTATACACTTGCCAGCGCGCTCTAAATGAACGCGACATCACAAAGCACATGTTCGAACGAAACTGTCTTGATGCAGCACCCCGATGGCATACAAACAACAAAATCACATGTCTCCGTCTTCTTCTCGTCCATCCTTCTCAAGATCTATCATCTCCTGCAAATCCATCCTCTCATCCTCTATCATACCCTCCCATCTTCGCGCGAAATCCCTCATTCTTATTACGCAAAAGCCCAACACTTCACCACCGTGCCATATCCTCGATATGTGCTGTGATAACCAAGTCGATCGGGATCACTGCTGCTGTGGTGTAGGTCTTGTGGGACAGTTTTTGGTTGCCTTGGCTATTGCGACAGTTGGAGTCATGGATCGGGTCAGGGATAAGATACAGGAAAGAGATAGCTTCTAGAAAAGAATTTGACAGTTTATTCGAAGCTTCCAGCGTCTCCGTTGTCACGATGCAGTACAAGCATGTCCTACTTCACGGCTAGTAATACCAACTCCACAGTTGTTATTACCAACACATTAGCCAACATCTGATACACTTACAGCATCTTGCCACTCATTCTTACCTTTTCATGTTAAGTATTCTGATACACTCAACTCTGATAAGATCACCTACTTGTAAAGATTGGCATTCTATGCGTCTCACAACCTGTAGTAAGCGACGGAAGGCAAGTACAAGAATGCTAGCGGCACTGAGCCCGGGCTGCGAAGCGCATGAAAGACAACATCGATACAGACCGTGCAACTGGACACTCCAGTGTTTGTATCAGTGGAATATCCCCAAAGCTTGATCATTTTTCGCGAACAAACTGTCTTAGACCAAGTTTGAGACAACTGCGTCTCATTGTAAAACTGAAAAATCACAGATCATTGCACCTATATAGCTTCCGTATCTTGTGCCATCTTTCGCCTTATCATACGCAGAATACCGCCTTGCAAGATCTCCGGACCCTCTCCAACCATCCTATCATCTCTAGGTTCTCCCATCTTATCGAATCAGCACATACATACGACAATGTCAACTTATCACAACTCCACTGCCTCACGCAATGACTGGCATCTCGTCTACATCAGACTCGATGAGAACAACCTCCCGCTCCGCCTCGCTATCAGAATCGAAAGCATCGAGATCAACGTTGATGTGGCCAACTGGTTCTTCATCGATCTCCAACTCAACGCTGTTGACACACGAAGATCTAACACCACGACCTCTCGTATTGTGCGTGAGCTAGGCTGGTTCGATGATGTGGCGAATTTCACACAAATCTGTGCGAACCAAAGAGTGCCAGCAGGACTACAGCAGGGCGACGTTTTCCAGTCGTGGATATCAGGCCTCTTGCTAAATCTCGCGACCAACAATCAAAACTCCTGGATCCTGAATGATGGCTGTTCATGATGGGTTGCACCGTCTCTCATATCGTCGCGGAACACGAACAGTGGAAATGATTTGATTGCGGACCATGTATCAATGTATCAAAGCCATGAGGAAGGAGTGATATATTTTGAAGTACTACATAGTCATACAAATTAAACAAGCTTGATAAGCTGCATGTACACAACTCTCAACCGCGAACACAGTCTCGCAGATCTTAACCCCTTACCCTACAAAAGCCCATATGTAAGATTGTGTTGCAGATCAACAAACAGTTCTCTTTGGTCTGTGTAGTCTTCCCCAAGACGTGTTGCAACATACTCCACATACTCAAGCGTTTCCGCGGCATTTATTTTCTCCACGGATGATACCATTGTCAATGTCTCTTTGAGGCACCAAGTCTGCATCCAAGCTGGGAGCCACCCTGGCTTCTGACCAGTCGATTAATGTGACTTCCCAATCTTCCTTGCCCTCTGGTCCCACGATCTGTCGGATGATGGTATTGCCCACGCTATGGATCCATGTGAGTTAACACAGGCTGGCGGCCGTTGCATGAACGCAGCGTGGTTTCCATACGCGACAGGGCATTCAATTCTGAGGAATGGAATTCTGGGAGTATATTCCCCACTGCTTGAATCCCGCGCGCCGAGGTAGTAAGCGCTGTGATAAATTCCTCGTACGTATCAAATGGCCCGGAAGCGCCCGGTTGCATTTTTCGAAGGAAAGACAACCATGGTGGCCACCCTTGCCTATGGACGTGGCCATAATACCCCTCGGAGGGGATGGATCGTAGAATTTGGAACTGTTCGCAAAGCCTTGACAAAATGATCGACCGCGACGTGTCGCTTAGACTGAGCCATTTCTCACCGCTCAACGTCTCGCCTTCGATGTAATCCATAATTATGAAGTGCTTTGTCCATTCGAAAAGTTGCCTTGTGAAGGCAGCGTAGACTTTGGGCGCTCGCACCTGCGAGTTTGCTTGCAGGAACAGTAGGGTTTCGGCTTCCTGCGAGCAGGTTAGTCACTGCGCATTGTAATCAATGAAATACTGACCTGAAATATGCGTGCATCGCCGCCAAACTTGACTACGAATGCCCCGACTCTGAATGCTTTTTCGATGTTCCCCCCCCGCGGCTTACAATGCCCTTTGAACGCTTGCTCGACCTCATCCCATGATGGCAGAGGGGGGTGGCTGGGTGCCTCGAATGGGATTTGTATTTTTGTAAAGCCAGTATAAGATTCGTCCCTAGTCATAGCCAGCAGGCGTACACCGCAAATTCGCGAGGCTTCTTCAAATGTGCTCACACCAAAATGCTCTTGGAGAGTGGCTTTCTTGGAAGCCATTGCGAAATAAATAAGAATTGTATGATTCTCATAGAGGTGGGTATGATTCAAGAGAGCCGCTGAGCCTTTAAGTACGATTCTGCTTACAGGTCTATGCAAGGCTATGCGATTTATTTTCTTTATGCAGCCATATCTTACTAATAGCATCTGATTGGTTTTCATTCCGAGAACCGGATACCATTATGTTTATTCATTGTGTTTATATCACCCTGCTTTCCGTTTTCGGCAATCTTGGCAATATGGCTGAATGTGGCGTTGAGGTATCCTTTATGTTCATTCATTGTGGCCATGTCTTTCTGCTTTCTGTTTTCGCCGTTCTTGTCGATCTGGTTGACTATAGCATCGGGGTCTTCTTTGTTCTCGGAGACGAATTTCTCCGTATTCATTCATTGTCGAGCTCGAACACTAGAATCACCCTGGCATTTGGGTCTCCTTTGTTCTGGGAAAATGCCTTGCCGGCTCCTCTTGCAATGACTGATATTAAGCATGCATGTGATGTTGCCCGCAACAATATCATACATCCGCGCTAATCAACACTAACTCCCGTCAACTATGACCACGCAACGAACACTACAGTAAACAAAGAATATACTCACAGTTGAACTCTAGTGACCTGAGACTTGTCACCCAATGTGGAGAAGTAAGATCAACAACGATTCGCATAGCTCGGACCAAAATTCTGCTTCACAAGCGACGCCCCAGCATCATCAGCCATCATGAATGCGATTCTCAAAAGTACTACCATGTCAGTCAAGCTACAGCACCATACAATCTACACACCAAACTTGACAGTGTATCGCCTGTGCTGCAGAGGCAAGGGTTTTTTCTTGGTCAAACGCAGGCAGGAACTACATTTCGTGGATATAGCGTGTGGTGTTTCGCCACGCTTGGCAGGAACAAACTCCGAAAGAGAAGAGGGAGCGAAACAGGAAGCGAAAATAGATAGAACATAGACTAATGGACGATGAAATGACACAAATACTTGGAGTTCATTGGCGAAACAGTGTGAAGAATCATGAATCGTCCAAGGTCGAGCCGTCTTATGTGATCTGAAATGTGGAAGTGCTACTATATCATCTACCAAGAAATGAACACTTTCAGCAAGCATGGAGCTTCATCAATGTTGCACGCGCGGGAAGAAGGAATTGACGTGCGCGGTGGATGGCAGTTGAACTTTGTCAAAGGCAGATGCAATGTAAAAGACAATTCATAGTAAGCAGAGGATATGATGGATCAATAAGGTGATGAAATCGGCTTGGAGTCATGATTTGTATTGGTAGCATAGATGGCGGATACATAATATGAAACCCTTTTTTTGAAGGTTCATTATCTTTGCGAGTCGCTAGGGCAGTAAGATCTCGTAAACGAAAGCCGTCTACAATCGAAGCTGTGTGTAAATCGCGCGATGCTGCTCCGGCAATCATCTTGCGGTTGTCAAAAATCTACCATTGTATTCAAAGACTTTACAATGAACATCGAGACACGATATCGAAACCTCATTAATCAACTCTCCACCATGAACTTTCCATTGACTTTGATATCCAGCCTCACATCCTCCGGCTCGAACTGCAACTCGCCCCTGTCGACAACTCTGCCGTGGATCCTCTGTCTCTTGCCATAATGTAGTTGCGGTTTCGTACTCTGCTGGTAGTACGAGTCCTCATTGATGTGAATTGCTTTGACCATGGTCACAGCCTCCTCAGCGGAGAGATCAGCGAACACTTCGGCGTAGTCGCGCGCACGCTGCAACGCATTTTGCGCAGCGCGCTTTCGGGCGCCTCCTTCAATTGAAGCAAGAGTTGCGTCGGTGAGTTTCCAACCAATGCTCTTGATGCTAACGTTCTCCATGGCCGAGAACTGGGTTGCGAGTTTGTCGAGCGCATTGAAGTCGCTGAACTTGATGTTGAACTCTGCGCGTGCATAGTATGTAGTATCGTATTTAGGCGCTTCGTCTGTTCTGATCTCAGAAGCTGGGCGACGCTCGCGCTGACTGCTAGTGTCGAGGGTGCTCATGGAGTAATGCGAGATTGCGGCATCTTCTTTGGTGCGCCCGGTCTCCTCATCTTGTGGACAGAATGGGGCGATAGCATCGCGCAGGATGTTTGCTGTCACTGTGACAACTGCAGATGCTTCTTCGGGAGAAGGGAGTTGCTGCGACTGGGCTTGGAGGACGAGAATGCCGCGTTCGGCACGACGAATGGCTGTGCCAGTGCCTGTAACATTGATCTCGAGCTGCGTCATGGCCTTCTTGGTCTTGGTGGGGGCTGTTGGAAATTCTTTGAGGTATTGTAGCGACTGGCGACACTTATATAGTTTTTCTTGTGGTGGCTGCCTTGCGTTGGATGGGCTGCCTTGCGGCTGCCTGCTGATCGAATTCGTAAGCTTGTGTGCCTAGCACAAACACGAGGGGAAGTCGTACCAAAATTCAGCGGTTAGAGCAGGTCGGAATTTCGGCGCTCATTGAACAGCAAATGCCGAAGAATGACTGCTGACTCCGATCGGTACACGTCCACTGACGGCACGACTATTATAGCAGACGAAGTAGATATGTGTTTTGCGTACTAGAAAGCCTGTGACACGCCGGAAAAGGGTTATTATACAAACAATGAAAAAGTGCAAAAGCTGAATTCGAAAGCGACGCGCGTGAAGTAAGCAAGTGGAATAGCGAACACGCAACCTAGACAGCCCTAAGAAAGCTCTAGAAACCTCAGAAAGTTGCAGAATAAAGCTAGTCTTACTAACAAACGGTAAGTATCACGACATTGACGATTCAAGAATAATTTCCGATTGAATTAATTGAACATGCTAAACACTAAACTGCGCAGGAGGGAAACAAGGACGAGAAATAGAACGAAACACTGGAGAGAACACTAAAAACTAAAATCACCGCACCAAACTGAACTGACCACGAAATGAAATCCAGTACACACGATGTGCCGAATAGAAAAAAACAGAGAGAAAAGCTAGGCAGCCCCAACATAAGTTATATGACTGCCTAGATGCCCCAAGCCAGTGACGTAGCAAGTTCTCGGTGATGCACAGCCCAGACACAAGTTGCGTTACCATCCCATCGACGCAGTGCGAAGAGGAGTGATCGGAGAGATAAATTGCGAAAAGTAGATAAGGAAAGCGAAGGCCGAGAACTTGACGATAGGGTATGATGAGTATTTTCCAACACTGCGTCGATCACAACTGTATGTAGATGCTGTCATTAGAGGTAGAACATTTTCTTGTCGAGATCCGGGTGCCAAGGGTTCTTGCGGCGCGGAGGTGGCACTTGGGCGGTGGGGGCGGTGGCTTGCATGCTCACAATGGGCGATTTGAATCCCAGAAGATAGTTATTCAACATCTGACACATCCCTAGTTCCGCTTGGTTTCCTGCAAAGTACAAGCGGTGTTGCTCAGATGGCACCGCGTCGAATCTGTTCGTCTTGGCAAAGCGGATGTATTCGAAGGTACGAGAGGCGAGCTTTTTGGCGTAGTGAACAGGCAACACGATTGCAATTGTTCCGTTGTTGCTCTGTTGGTAGCTCTGATTCAAGTTCCTGGTCTACAAGATGTTAGTGTTTTGTTTCCAATAGCATGAATAGAGGTTACTTACCAAATGCTGGAGCTCTGAACAGATCATGGTGTTCTCGCTGCTGGAGGTATACATGACGTCATAATCGTACTTGTTGGAACTTTCCATGTCCAAACTTCCAGTTACCGTCCCTGCTGACTTCACGAAACCCAACGGGTAGGTTTGCTTGTGATGGACCAGAATGTATGTCAAATCCACTGGCCCTTGCCATTGCTTTGTCATGGCTTCCCTAATAGCTTTGTGTTCGGCTTGGACAATGTCTTTGGTGATGTCCTTAGGGCAGCCGTCGAGGCCGTGAGGATAAAACACAATTCTTGGCTTACCGAAAGTCCATGCATCTAGGCGACTAGCTACCATTTCTTCAAGGTCGCGCATCTCTGCTGGTAGACATTGCTTGGGGTCGTTTCTTACGGTCATGGGGTCTTCCCATGCTGGTTGCAATCGTGCTTCGCCTGGCCAATTCACCATGGCCAAGTCCAGGTTTGCTACAAGTGTAGCGACAGAGGGACAATGTTTGGCCGAGTCAGCAGGCGGATGGGATAGGTACCCGCCAAGGACTAACAAAGGTGCTTTCTCAGAGGTCGGTTGTACTGAAAGACCTTGACACGGTTCTCTCTTGAAATTTGCTTCGCCATGCATAGCACGCAGACGCTGTAACAAGAGATGGGGAAAGTGCTCTGCGTTCTCCTTGTGCCGGATGAGCTGCGCTTCGACTGTTCTTCTGCATACGCAGATGATCACAGCACCGAGTTTCCTGTTGCCAAATTCCTGCAAATCTGCACAAATGTCTAGGTAATCCTGAGGACTTCTCCCTGTTTGGTCGACGACGGCAATGATGCTATTTGGGCGTTTGGTTCTGAAAAGCTCCAAGTCTGGCACCTTCGTTTTTGTCATCCACTCTGTATTGGTGAGTTGCTTCGTATCTGTCATCGTAAGTATGTGTCCCCTAAAGTCTGGATCAATCCTGACAATCGGATCAGCCTCCCCGATTTGATTGTTGCTGAAGAGCCTGCCTGAAAGTGATCTGATGAACGCATCGTGATCAGTTCCTGGGAAATTCGATGCTACGTACAGAATACCTGCCTTGATCGTTACGTTGCCGGCTCCAACTGGCAATTGCGCTCGTGTAACAGACTTCTTTTCTCCAAAAGGGCTGTTCGACGCAGGTGTCAATCTTGGCGTGAAAGAAGGTGAATGAGGGATCGAATGCTTCCACTGCCCAGTCTTCCTAAGGCAGCCAAAGACATGCCCCAGCATGTTTTGTTGCTCTTTTACGTTTTCGAGGCACGGAGTATCCCTGATCAAGGAAGTGATGCGTTCATTCATTAGGCCTGGACAGCGTAACAATTGATCTCCACAAGTGGTAAGCTTCTCAAGAGGGACCCATGCTTTGGGTCCTATCTGGGCGTACGGGTATCCAGGGTAAAGGAGTGATTGTCCAAGATCTGTATATGTTAGCCGGCAGTCAAGCAACATTGAAGTTGGTCATGCAAGTACTTACGTTCGTTGAAATATGTCTCGACAGAGATGTAGGGACCTTTCCCGTTCACTTGGAACCATCGGACCTTGTCAGGATTCCGGATATCCCAGATGCGGCATCTGGGACCCTGTGTTACCTTGGGGTCGTAGATACGAGTGACCTCAAGGCCCACAAGCATCGATCGTATAGTGCTGACGTCTCTTGCCCAATCAGAGCCAAGGAGGAGCTCACCAAATATGCTTCGGACAGGGTTACACAAAACCGTAACGTGTTCCAGACCGGGAGAGACAGAGACCTCGCAACGCAGTTGACGATCTTGCGTGGGATCGAGCTTTGGGTGCATGACATAAAATAGGGGGATAAATCCACCTTGATCGACTGACACAGGTTTAGCATTCTCCGGCTCCTGATGTGTAGGCGCGTTCTTGCATTTGCCAATAATTCTCCTCTGTAATTCGTGACCAATCGGGCTGGTTGATGATGCAGGAGGAATGAGATCCTGCAGTAAGAATTGGAGTTTTTCTAAAAAGTGATGCTCTGGGTTGCCTGGCACAAGATTGACAGACTGAAGACGCAGGTATGACAGAGGTTTCTGAATCAAATGTCCTCTGTCGTTTCTGGACGAGTGGAAGACATTAGCTATTCTCGTGTAAACTTGGTGTTTGAATGCGTCTTCGATATGGCCCAGTTCTCCCTGATCATTCTTATCGTGACCCCAAAGCACAATGATATGGTCGATGGGGATATGGTCGATGGGGATATGGTCGATGCCGTCCATTCTGTCTTTCTTGACCGAGAGCTGGATCGAAACGCGGCCCTCGAAGGATGCAAAGTGCTCGTCGACCATACTCAAGATCGGCTTCCTGTCTTTCGTTTCGGTTTTTTCGGTCCAGATGATGACCTCATAGAGGCGAATCTTGGGTGGGTAATCGATGAGCTTGAAAGCGGCTGTCTGAAAACAGCATTAAGTGTGGAATCAATGTTAGATCTGCGCGACAAAGAGTTGTTCGCCATGTTGAACGGCTTTTGGTAAGTCAGCAATGAAGATGCCACCAATGATCGGATCTGTGGTGCTTTCCTTTTGGCCCAGGGGCTATCGATCTACTTATACAAGTTCAGTGTATCTTTATTTGCTTGCTGTTCCTAGTTCTGGGCGACATCCAGCTCTTGTTCCAGGTCAAGTGCGTCTCGCACATGCTTCTCGAACAGCTGGATTGTCCGAAAGCATGACAATGATGCGCCATTGTTGTGAACTCACGTGGTGATTACCTGTGGTCATAAACGACTGAGCAATCATGATGTGTTGATGACAGGCAAGCGTGACCGCTCAGGCTTGTGCTCGTTATCGAATATCAAGTCATCACTACCTTGCTGGAGATTGAGTATTTTCACGTGGTTCGAAAATGCTTGCTTGCGCACATCGCGTGTTCGGTTTCGTAAGAAGCCTTTTTTTGCAGCCTTCACTTTGATATCATTCCTGGCGCCAAACAAAGATGTGCCATCCTGGTAGACTCGTCCGGCCTTGTCTTGACAGACTCTAGTGGAATGTTCGTCAGTAACAATGTAGAAGTTGTGTACTAAGCGCAATGGAGATGTTAATGTTCCTCCTTTAGTTTCGTCGGGTATTGAAGACATTGAGGCATGCGGCATACGTCTTTCCTGGCGTGGACTGTGTGTGTTGGTGTTTGTTGTGAAAGACGCGTCAAAATTTAGCGTCTTGGCATATACGTCATCACGGCTTTCACTTCCTCACATCATCCTCACGTAGGCTCATTGAACGCAAATATTCCCCTTCAATTCTGCAAACATCTTCCTCGCACGCCTCCTGGCTGGTGCCTAGAGTAAGGAAATGATTTAGCGCGTTACGATGCTGCTCATGTGCATGCGACCGCGAAGCGTATCAGGTACCATGCCCAATATGGCCGGAACCGACCTTGGGGTCTCAACTACCGATCAATATATCGTGTACTCGCGCGCTTTTGTCAAACGTCTTCAAGCTTCTCGAATATTTTGCAAATCCGCCCACTTCTGCGATACCGCGTGTGAACGCAGCGTCGCAACGCAACATGGCTGCTTTCGACGCGTACACAGTCCCTTGTATGCCCTCATCTCCTTTAGTGCTTGAGTTGGCGGGGCTCGCTTGCCCCTCTTCTTTGCTGCTCCGGGCATAGGGGTGGCTGGGACTGTCTCGGAACGATCGCTGGCGGCAATGGAGTTGCGCATACTATCCCTGGCGACGGACATGCTGTTCCTCATGCTTGTGGCCTCGTGCACGTCGTGAGTAGGTGCAGCAAAAACTTCTGGCGTCGCTTCCTTCAAGTCAAGCTCATCTTCTCTGACTTGCTCGATAGCTATCTCCTGAGGTCCGAGTTTCATTCTCTTGTTGGCGGGCTCGGGAGCTGGTGTGAGCTCGACACCGGACGGTGAACTTGGGGTAGATGCGGTCTTGTGGGGAGTGTTACTGCCGGAAGCGTTATTTCCTTCGCCGGCGTGATTTTTGTCCGCCTCATCCACAACAGTCTGACGAACCTCAGCAACAGGTGTGAGCGCTGCCGAGACCTCTCGAGAGACCTCCGGTCCATAGAACTCCCTAAACTGCTGGTCTATCATGAGTTTCACCGCCTTCGGATCGATGTGCATCATTCTACACAAGGTGAAAACCCCGTTTTTGAGCTGCTTCCCTGCGTCTGCGAGGATAATGCTGTCGACTTGATCTCGATCGATAAGCGGGACTTCTTCGCGGATGCGGCCGATGACCTCGTGCTCCTGGACAAAGCTGAGGTTGAGCGCCTTGTAATCGGTGTACGTGAGGCTAGCGATATCGAAGTCCTTGGGTATGGCCGGCTCGTGAGTCTTTGGGTCTGCGGGTGCAAAATTGGCTGGGTAGACCCGAGGAGGCGGAGTTGCGGGAGATTCGAGGCTTTGTAGGTAAAGATCCATCATGGTCGGAAGAGATGGCATGGGCATATCCTCATAGTCAAATGCAAGCTTAGCCCTAAGCTTCCGATTGCGTATGTCGTTAGTCGTCATCTTGGGGTTGTTAGGGGTTGGCCTTGGTTGCGATCTGTGGTTTGGTTGAGACGTTAGGGGTGGATGTTATGGTCGTTGTTCCAAGTAGCGATTTATCACAATCTAGAAGTGTTTGTCGTACTGTATCACTTTCACATTCACTCCAGATGGTACCACGCGCAGGGCCCTGTAGGCCTTGGCGCCTGCTTCCCGAGCTGGACTGTACATTATTGGTTCACCACCGTCCGACTCAGATCCTCGATCTCAATACCCTGTAATCTGTATGGCCAACTGTGAACACAGAAGTAGAAGCCTGGGAGACTTTGTAAACAGGCCGGCGCAATCTGACCTCTTCTGGGACATGTCACTCACGTGCCGCAGTGCACACATATGACGCTTACAAACGGATGTCGGATGTTTCACTTTTGTGGCCATTCAAAACCAACTAAGCCACCCGCTCATCCCGTCATTTACCTAGGTAACTTATAAGCGGTTATTTACAAACTACAGTCGCCTCGTACGCCCTTCTCCGTCAGCTGATCAACCCGGTGGACTACCATAGACAACAGTTATCGCGACTGCGATACTACGAGCTAGGACTATTGCAAGCGCTATCCGTCGTTCAACATGCCCCCGGATAAGATTACGGAGCGAGATCCAAACGAGCAGATCTCTCCTTGCAAGGCGCAAGGTCCCCAACAAGTCCCGCCCAGGTCCCATAACACGACCGCCTCCAAGTTGGGCAATAAAAACATGAGCAACTATGGTGTCAACCGATCGTTACCGTCCATCATATCGCTCAACTCAAGAGCTTCCTCCCATCACTCGGGGACCTGGCGCACGTACACCCAAGCCATGCATGCCATAAGTTACCCTTATCTTTGATGATTATTCGAGAAATGTTTGGATTGGCAACTTCACTCATGATTAGGGGCAAGGGAACCTCTCATAGACGCATACAATACTATTGGTATGCAGAAGTGTACTATTGATGTATTGGAGCCAGCATTGTTGTACTCATCAAGAACTGCATGTCGTTAAGAGACTGGGTATTTACAGGCGCTTTGGATTTCGCCTCAACTATGTCATTCAATGGACATCTTGTGGAGCTTCGTAGGCCAGCAAGATACATTTTCATAGAGCCAACAGCCCATGTGAACGGCTATTCAGAAGCAACTTCAATCATGTCTTTATTGCGCAAGGGCGATCACTGGATCATCAACTTCAGTGCCTTCTGGGAGACGCGGGTGTGATTCCCGAAGAAGACGTTGATCATTGAGTCGAGAGGGATTACGAACTCGACTTCTTTCTGAAGTCTCGCCACTTCGCAGAAATGGAAGAATCGGTGGAAGGAGAAGTCGCTTCAATTACAGGCGAAGAAGAAAGCGAGACACCGGAGGATCAAGCCCTTCGAGGTCGCCACGATTACCACGAGCAGCAAATCAAGACTTGCCAAATGGAATTTGAGCGAGCAGATGGAACTCACAGCCAGCATCGAGAGATCTACCACATGCTGCTCAGAGAGTTCAGGTAAATGAACCCACAATTCTCCGGGCTCGAAGCTGAGCAGAGGTTCGGGCCTGTGTACGTGCAACAATGGAAATGTTGCATTCAAGCCCTGAGGAACGCAGAAGAGGCGTTCAACACCGCTAAAGCAGAAGTTGACGACGAGCTTACTAAAAGCTAGTTCGAGCTGGAAAAGAAAGAAGCGAAAGAGAGGTCCCTCGAAGAGAAGATACAATGGATGACCAAGACATCCATCGATGGATGCAACCGCGCTCGTATCAAGAAATGGCTGTCCGAGGTTGCCACAGACCCGGAGGTAGCAGTGCTGTCGATTGAGGACACTGTGAAGCTGTGGAAGGAGCCTGGGTACCAATCCACGACAAAGCAGAATCGCATGAAGGTTTCCACTGGTGCTGGTATCTCCCGGAACACACTTGACGGCAACATGAGCGTGGACGATGGTGATGAGGAGTGGGTCTTTGTAACTCGCGAGGAGACTGCAACGATCCCAATCTTTGGCTCGGAATGTTCGGATAGGACACCGCACCTGAAGATAGTGTTCTCGGACAGCGCCAGCATCTTCGATGGCGACTTTAACTACCGTGGCGACATCGATAAATGTGCGCGAAACTTGCGGAATGGATATTACTGAGAATTGATACAGAGCTAGAGCTTCGTGTCAGTCGGGAAGGATGGAATGGAATACGCGTTGGGCGCGTTACCCAGAGGGCTGCGTTGCGTTGTTCTTGCTTTTGGGCTTTTGCTCTCACTTGTTTTCCGTTCCACGTTTGGTTATAGAAAAAAAATGAGAAGTCTCGTATTCTGAAAAAGCGCAAGTTTCGCGTGATGAAACCCAAATGACTACCTAGGTATCTTATTGGAGGACATGTTTTCATAGCCCTATGACATACACACCAAGTCTGGTGTCTGTTTCGAGAATGTACGCAGTCAAAAGATTCTCCCAGGATTACGAGATTGCTTGAGACTGTTAAAGGAAGCGTACTGGCGGAATTCTGCAGCGGTGATGATACCTGGTGCTTGATATTCACTGGCAAAGAAACACCGCGGTGCAGGAGTGTCCGTGCCTAGCATACTCACGTCTGCAGTTAGTTGCCTGGAATATTCCGTTGCCTGATTCACTCCAAGCTGTGTTCCCTTCTGTATAAGATCTGCTGAAAGCTTCGATGGTTATCATCTACCGTCCCTCCAATACGATATCCTCAACCCTCCTTGCAATCCAGTACACCTGGCCAGTGTAGCTTGAGACTTAAATAAAATGCCTCATCAATATCTTGAACCTGATACACTGGAACAAATTATCGATCGCTATTCATCACCCGCTCCGGGCACCTCACAAACCATGCCCCGTCAGCGACCTTATGGAAGCACGCCACAACATGGCGTATATGGTGGAAGAGCTTCATCTATTCGTTCATCACCACTACCTTACTACGTTGAGATGCCGCGTCGACGTCAGCCGTCGACCAACTCCGGATACTTCAGTCGCGCGGAGCTCTTTGGTCGCGCTTCGCCTACTCCACTGAGTTTTGTGCCTTCATCGCGTGCATTGAAGCGCATCGAGGCTCGCCGTCGTAACGATTACGGTATGCCAAATACAGAAACTATGTCAAGCCCTCTTCCGGGCATGTCCGACTCAATAGAGCACACTCCTTCTGTCGATCTGTCGGCGCAGGGTCTACATGCAGCACGCGCATCCACCTTCAACTCACCAGACGTGCGAGAATCTCTGAATACTGAGGCTGCATCCTTCAAGACCTTGCGTAATAACTTCTCGGACCTGCCAAAGGACGAGTGGATGCAAGCCGGAGCCCCGAACAAACAGATGACTGGTAGTGGAATTGGACCCGGTCCAACACTGAAGTCTCAAGCATCCTTCCGTTTCTCTAGCGCCGTCACGAATCCCGAAGGAAAGCAGAGTAATGGCGCTTCCAAATCTGTGAACGACGTGCGCAGGGTTTCTCCCGCCGAGGAAGCACTTCGTCTCACTCTATCAACCGTCGATCATTCTCGTCCGTCAGCACTGAAGTCCCGTGGTTCGGTCCGGGCGAGCAAGTTGTTCAAACACCAGGAGTCTATGAGCACACAGCTTACAACCGTAGTGTCGCCCATCTCGGACGGCAACTCCTCAGACATTGGACATGTAGAGCCTTCACTGCCGCGTGAGTCACCCCCAGCAATTCTGGCTCGTGCTCGAGAGCGTGAAGATGCACCCCAGCGAGGTGGTGAGTTGCAAGCCGATCCTACTCCTGACAAGTCTTCAAATGAGTGTGTGTCTTCTTCCGTGATTTTAAATGACCGCGCTATCTCTGAAGATGTGGACGTCGGAGACAACGCGGCCAATGATAGTATCGCGCTCAAGTCATCAGACTCAAGCTGGCTCACCTACACTCCATCCATTATCGATGGCCACGATTCTACGTCCGGTATAGTTGCTACGACCGACACTTCGCATCGGGCTCTCGTGACTCAGAGTCTACCAGCTGAGGAAACGCCCGTCTCGTCGACCAGAGCCACGTTTTTCGAGCTATCGCAGTCAAACATACCTGCCGCGGGTCATGCTCCTAATTTTGAAAACGAGTCAGAGTCAGCTATACCACAGGAGCTGAGACTGAGCTCCATTATGGAGGTCATCAACCAGGAGCCTTATTCTCCAGCTCCTCCAAGCATGGAATTCTCTCTCATCACGGAGCTTATCAACCAGGAGCCAGTGGTCTTGCATAGCGCAAGTGGCTTGTCCTTTGCCGCCGTCAGCGCCATTACATATGGCTGCGTGACCATAGCTGCAATGCGATATGCTCTGTACAACATCGGCGGCAGTGTGAGAGCTGTAGACCTGGCTTCAGAAATGGTTCTTGCAGCTATGATCGGCTTCATTGTCTGTGCAATTCTTCAATTCGCAGATGGCGGTCAACTTCGACGCTTGATCGATTGTGTACTACGAATCTTGGGTAACTGAGCTCAACTGGGCCGCTGCCCAATTATACGTCATGGTATAGAAGACTGACGTGAGGAGTAAAGACACGTGGAACGAAAGTTCTAACAAACTCCAAAGCGAGACTTGAGGAGTTATTGATTTATGAAATGGGCTACAAAACCCTTATACTTGGATCTCAATATATTGAATACTTGCATACAACGGCAATGGATTAGTCTGTACACAATAATTCACCTAGTATCATGGCGCGAATATTGTTTCATGACCTTTTGACAAAAGCCTAGTCAAATAGCGGTACAAAAATGCTCTGCATCCATCCTAATTCCGTTTTCGACTATCAACCTCCCACACCTGATTGCCTAAGAAGGTTGATCAGATATTGGACACTGCCGCGCGGTGAGATAACTTACGTGGAGTTAGATAATTAGTTGAAGAAAATAGCTCAGTAAGAGGAACCTCGATAGCACTGTAGTGCAGACCAATCATCTCCAAACTCGCCGCACTCCACTTCTTTACTGAGGTGGAGCTTATCGATAGTGTGTGGGTATGAAGACAGGCACAAGTTGATTCGAAACTTTGTGGCTTTGCTCAGTACCCTCTCTTCTAGTTCTAGATTCCCGAAAATCATACGGAATTCATAATTTAGGCCTTTGAGAGGAGGATATTCAGGCTGATTGACGCAGGCGAGAAGTTGCCGGAGCGGTATGTTGTTCGGTATATGCTTCAGGCGAACCTCATTCTCGGAGACTTCTGCAGCAACGTCGAATTGCCAGGGGGTGTAGCTCGAACCGGTGCCTCTTCGCATCCAATTTTGAGCAACCGAGATGAGCAACTGATATCCACTCTCCAGCGGGAGATTCTTGAGCAGACAGGGACAGCTGCGCGGATCGAGAGTGTTCTAATCGTTCCTGCGCACTCAATTGGCTGCCAGGAGAAAGCCAGAGATGCAAACACAAGCACCGCGGTTGCAGGCGATCATGTGATCATCAAGTAGGGTGATGTCGTGGATTTCGCTCACATGATGTCTTCGGCCTCGTCGTACACGTGTCGATATGTGGCCAAGACTGCCGTAGATGCCGTTCTGTCGATGAAGCAAGCTCACAGGGATTTTGGGCAAACAGGCTAGATTTGAGTAGCTTATGCTCCTTGACGTCAATTGGTAAGCGCTCGTAGATCATCATGCGGACCTCTGTTGGAAGCCGCAGGAATGCAGACGGTTCGGGTGGTAGCAGCGGCATTTCCGAGAATACAGGGTCTGACGTCGCAGGCGTGTTAGAATCGAAGGGGGTGGTATGAGATCGTCTTGGCGACTCAGATGTCACTTCACCAAGCCATGAACTACATCAAAACACAATCAACGACCGAAGATGAGTATCAAATTCTGAAAGATTCAAACTAGGCAAAATCCGAGAAACGTCGCTGTTTCTGCGAGCTGCATCGCGACACACCTGTGTTATCATATGCATGTAGCTCTGATCTTGACATTGACAAATGTACCCCAGCGTCTTCGACCTCCACGAACAAAATTAATGTATGCATCATCTCCTTCTAAAGCCTGTACCCGTTGCCAAACCCTCGTCCGAAGCGCCCGACTGCTCTCCCACACACCCAACCAAAGCCTTCGATACCCATCTCCAGTCCGTGGCTAACAACTGTCATAGCAGACCACAACTTCTGGAAACAATCCGCCACTATGCTTGCCACAAGTTTTGGTCCCAAAATCGCTAACATGATAGCGGCTGTGACGACGAGTGCGAGGAGCAGCACAATTGGCCACACACGGCCGGCGGTGGAGCGTGAGCGCGCTAGTGTGTGTGTGTAATATTCGAACGAGAAAAAGGATTGCTCAGAACAAGATGAGCTGTCGGTCGTGGGTGTGAAAGGCGTAAGTGGCGGGGTTCTCGGCATTTCGTTGATGTCGGCATGTCCTGCGTGGCCGTTGCTTTTCAATTCCTCCGCGTCGACGATCTCAGAATCGCTGTCATGCATCTGAAGTCTCATTAGCATGTTTTGCGCATTACTTTGAAATGACAGCGCATACTTTGTGGATTGAGGTCTAGCAGGCGAAGCGCACGAGTGTCCAATTTCTTATGTGAACGTTGCGTCGCAGACGCGAACATCGCGGGCGCAGGAGACTGCGGCATGAAGTCGCATGGCTCACGTAACTTGGTCTATTCCGGCGTCATTGCACTTCCTTGGTCTACAAGCTGTCGATGCTTGGTTGTGCGGAAGGTTGGGAATGAGAACTGAGCCATAATTTATCAGAGTTGAGGTGGGAACAGGATGGTATGTTTACCGCCCTCTCCAAAGAATCACAGTCCCCAAGTCAATATTATCTTAGTGGCGCAAGAGATATTTTTCATTACGCTAGTTACTATTCACTCTTAGGCGAATATGGAGAGCGCTCGTGGCTTCTACGTTTTGACACATCAGTTCCTTAGTACCCCAGTCCACCATCTGTGCAAAGAACCGTGCGAGTCTGATGTCCAGATACTCCGTCATCGGAAGTCACTCTGTCTTTGGCTCCACCTTGACATCATCAGCCACCGCACGGAGGGTCTCGGCAAGCACCACCACCACCCTCTCGAAGACCTTTGAGGCCACGTGAACAATCTGATCGACCACAATGTCCTTCATCCACTCTAAAGGGTCGAGGAACAAGTCCTGTGTGTCGACAGGGGTGCCGCTTTTTTCTTTCGCTGAGGTGTAAACGATTAAGGCGATTGCAGCCCCGAAAATCGAGTAGAACATGGTGGGCAGGTCCACGGAACAGAACAATGAGTGCGACCCAGACGTAGACCATGACAACACCAAGCTGTGCAACGGAAGCCAGAGCGATATCCTTGATAATCATGTTGCCAGCCGCCTTCGGAGTACCGAACAGCTTACTACGTCCGGCTCGGGCAGGGTCAGTAAACCTATCGGAGCGATTCTTGCGCTGCTTAATTTCCGCGCGGAAGCTGAGAACCATGGAATCAGCGCCAATATCTGCGACGGCGGTGTCCTGCATGTGAACATGCTCCGACTCAGCGATTTTGCTGGCGACATATTCACGGATACCCTGGCTGTGGCTGTCTTCACCATCGAAGATGTTGGATGCGAAGGATGAGCCTGTGCTACGGCGATCGCCGTCCTCACTTGTGTTGAAGAAGGTATCGCTACCTTCTTTATCGCTGTCAGCTGGGTTCATAGCGGAAAGAATGAAGTAGACTCACCATTGTAGAAGGTTCCAGAGTCCGGGAACGTGAACATCGCTCTTCCATGCCGCTTGTCTTGATCGGTAGCGGAAGGGAAGGTGAACTTCGGCTGTCGGTGTTGTAAACCTAGGCTCCTGTCTCGTCCGTCGAAGCTAGTAGTTTCAGGATCTAGGGAAGTGCCTGACTTTGGATTATGATTCTCGTCGATGGTGACTGTGGAAATGTCAGTTCGATCAGTTGACTGTGCTTGGAGATATCTACCATGTGTACCAATGGCAAACCTTGGTGTCTCGGACTCATCACAGTCGCCAAACGCGCTGTCGCCTGCTGAATGGTATTAGCCAAACTCTCTGCCGCCGAAAAGCCTCATGAGTACCGTTACCTGTGGTCGATGACTCCATGCGACCTTTCTCTCGTAGCTCTTCTTGGCTCTTGGAGTGGCTAAGTGAGCGCAGAGGAACATCTTTGATGTTGTTGACGGAATCCACGCTCTCCATCGGCTCACCCTTGACTACACCCTCAGCGCGTTGAGACTTGTTCTCCATCATCGCGTCTTTGAACGCTTCAGCGATCTGGTTAACCTCCCTAGTCTTCTCTGTCTCTTGAAAGTTCTTAGCCGCTTCGTCTGTAGTACCGACGCCTGCCATGTCAAGTCTAGTGTCCAGATTGTGCGGAACACTAACGCCTCTCAAATCTCGCACTTGATTCTCGAGTGCTTGCGCAACCCGACAGCCTCCGCTATCCTGAAGAGCTTGCTTGACGTCGCTGATGGGTTCTTGCTCGCTGGGCAGCAGTCCAACTTGGTCGAACCCAGGCCTGATGGTGGGTGATGTCGGAGACGTTGGAGGGGAGAGCGGACTCTTCACTGGTGAAGATCTAGTCATGGTGTCTACGAGGGAGTTGTTGCTGCTTGAACGCGATCGAAATATGTCGCGGAAGCGGCTGGACTTGCGCACATGATCTGGCGTCATGGTGGCATTGGCGCGGTAGTGTTCGACACTGAGGCGGGCCATGAAGTGAAGTTTCGAAGTGGGAGTATACAGCGAACTACTATTTTGTTTACGATTGTGCGAGAAAAAGACTTAGTCAGGTCGCGAGTGTTTGTTTGAGCGTTGTCGCGGTGATTGCGTAAGCAAGCTAGCGGTAAAAGAGTGCAGATTGATGACGCTCTGCGCAAACTACAAACACTCAATCCATCTCACCCCGCAGCGTCTATCACTCCAAAATTTTTGCGGCTTCTTCATGGAGTACTACACAATGAACGACCACAATCACCACATTTTGAGCCTGAGACTTCCTCCTCAACGCATCCTATGCTGCCTGCGCCTGTGGCTCCCAAGGAGAAAGACTCCTTCCGATTGCTCGATCTACCAACGGAACTCTGTATCATTATCTATAAGCTTCAGTCCATAGAAAAATCAGAGCACATATTCATGAATAGCGCTGTCGAAGGGCACAACTACAAGTTCAAAATGAACACCCCGCCCACTTCGGTCAACGTCTATACCACCTGTCGCCAGGTCAACACCGAGGTATTCAGTCCCATGGCGAACAACTTAGCGGAGCTATCTCCTCTTCCTCGCGTTATAGTCGAAGTTGAGTCGCTTCGATTCATTCATTGTGACTATGGACGGCTATGGTTCGTCAGCGTTCATCTACTTCTCGTGGCCCGAGATCGAGACAACAATGGTGAAATTGACCTATCCGATGCCATGGTTTTCGCCCTGAAGAGAGCTGAGAACTGGATGGATGGTAAAGTGCTAGGCCTTGTTGCTTGCATGCAGAAGTGGTTCGTCCTCTTCGAAAGAAAGAGATTGTTGGCCGGCCAGCATAGCACATTGGACTCAGTACCTACTGTTGTATTGCCATCTCCTCATATCTCATATATCCAGGGAGCGACCCGCAGTCGGTGAGGGAAGGATAGATTTCAGCATCTAGCTAGCTTTTCGATAGATGTCGGTGAGGTCCTGAGCCCTCAGGGTGATCTAATCTAATATACTGGCTGCTTACTTCATCATCCGATCACGTGCGCAACTACTACACCACACTACAGTGGAAATGGAGATCCGTAATGCAAATTTCGGTGTTGAATATGGACTTGTTTACCACAGTACAAGTATTTTTCAAGCTATTTCGCGCTACACCTGCTGTTCATGCCCTTTGTCAGAAGATTCTTGCTCCTATAAAATCATCACGTTCCCTTCTAATGTCGGCCCAAGGGTTTTTCTGGCCGAATTCTCAGCTTCGCTCGCTTACCGTATGAAGAGCTTTGCCGCTAGTACAAAGATATCTACAGACAACGAAAGAGTGGTCAACGCTCAACTGGGGAGTCCTTGTGAGGACGCAGAGCCCTGGGAAATCTGGTCCGCCTGAGGACTGACGGGGTTGGAACTGCCCAACAAGGACTGGATATGGCCTCCGATCTTGAGATTTTATTGCACAATATCCAAAACGTGTGTGACTGCGTACAACTCTTGACAATACCATTTGTATTGACGATATCGTGGTGTATTAACCTACAAAAAGTTTCACTAGCCCGGCATGCACGAGTTCTAATAGCGCTCCGAATGAATTTCGGGCGTAGTGCAAGGGCTGTTGCAGTGCGGCTATGTGATCCAAAATTTGCTTGAATGAGACCCACTAAATCCTGTGGGGGCGAGTTGGGTGGGCGCTAACTTAAGTTACTAACTTAGGCCAACCCCAAGCCACAGCGAAACAGCCTCACCTCATCATAGGCTCCAGACCTTCCCTAGACACACAATGCTCTCTCCATCCTTAAGAATCTATGGAATTTTTTCAACAATCACCATTATCAGCAGATCTCGATAAGCACCAATTACAGCTCATCACTACAATCATGGACAAAGTTCCAGCCGAATTGATCGACCACATCAGCAGTTTTCTCGCGAACGACGACCTCAAGAACACCCTGCTAGTTTCCAAAGCTTTTGGCTTTGCTGCGGAGAAACACTCTCACGCCTTCAACGAATTTTCGCTTCACGAAGGGAATGTCGACAAATTCTTGAGCACTTATTCTGGCCACCGCTTTTCATATCTGCGCGTGGTTGAACTATGGACAGAGCTTCCACGCGTCGAGGACGACGACATGATATGTCGTGAGAGTATGGAACGATTGCGGAAGAACGACCAGATTATGACTCGGCAAATCAACCTCTTCTTCGAAACCATCCAAGTGGTTGAACAGCGTGCCGGAAAACGAGGCTATTCGGCCAAAATACTGCTCAACCTAGCCGACCCAGGTCGAGATGTATCGAATGTATTTTCTTCGATCGAATATCCTCGGCACATGAGCTGGCGCGTGCATCTGCTTGACCCAGCTAGTCTTCCCTCGCTTCAATGTGTGCGACATCTGCAGATAGGAGTGGGGTCGCGGTACCCATTCGAAGACACGCCGGAGGGATATACTGGTGATCTCGTAAAGATGGACTACCGTATCATAGTAGACATCGCTATGAAATGTCCAAATCTCCAATACCTGGGCTGTGAACTTGGACATGATGAGTGGCAGCGGAAATGGATGACCAAAGGCGAAAGGTATCTCTCCCGTGACTGGGCTGGTCCTCGTAGGGACACAAGGAAAGACTTCGCGCAAGCCCTAGAGTCGGCAAATCTACCAAAGTCACTTCGGCATATCAACCTCAACTTTCTTCATCCAATTGATGATGTCACAAGAATCGACCACAACGATGCGCATCCGAACATGGTATCCCCGGCGACCAGCGATCCATTCAGCACCAGCCTTCATCATTTCTCTCAGAACCTTCGGAGAATCAACCTTTGCGTTATCGCAGACGAGTCATTGTTTTGGCCTGAATCTGGTCGCGTGACCTCTTGGCCCAATCTAGAGAGCTTTGTTGTCATGTTTCACATGGTCAGCCCTTCCGGGAAATGGTATTTCCACGGCCCAAACGGCGAAGGTCGTACCGCAGTCGGATTCGAAATCAACGAAGACTCTTACCCGTCCCTGCAAGCGAGCGATTTAGACGTGCGTATGTGGGAGGAAGTTGAAAGAGACGGACATCTACAGAACGACCAACTCACTGATCGATTTCGTATCATTCCCAATGACATTATCTTGCGACCATTCCTAAAAGGATTCGCTTGCGCAGCGGCACAGATGTTATCTCTCAAAGAAGCAGTACTTTGGTGCCCTCTCAGCTGGGAACGGTGGGATGACTGGACCTTTGACGGTGATGAGGGGGAAGGTGAGGAAAGAAATTGGCTTGGATCAAGATTTGAACAAGAGCTGGCTTGGGGCATCCAGTACCTGCGTGCTGGGGAGAAGGAGTTCAAACACCGTCGTAAGCTATCGCTGGAGACTCCGCATCTCTGGTGGAAGGTCTCCAAGTGGCGCCCCGATCCTGAGCTGCATGATCTATTCCACAAAATCGGATGCCAGTCCCAGCGAGGTGACTTGGTAGAGCATTGGGTTGATGAAACTTCTGGACAGAAGCTTGTGGGTCGGAATCAATTCGAGGGGTTCATGGTCCGAGAATTAATGTACCGTTGAGAATTGCCACAGAACCAATTTCCAATTACATATACAGATAGTGACTGCATTGGATTGATACAGATGAAACTTGCTAAAGTCTCCAATGACAGGAAAAAGAACACAATGCGATACTCTGCGCGCGCATCGAGCATATTTACCAGGGCTTGTTCCAGTTCTTGGACTCGCTCCATGTCTTCTCTAGGTCGACTAAGATCTTCTCAATATCTTCGCGCGCTTTCCTAAACTCAGCAATATTCTTCCTGTCATTGTCTTTCTTTTTGGTATCGTCCTTCGCGGCATCTTTTGCCTTTTGTGTGGTGTATTCATCCTTCAAGGCGCTGGATATTGTCCTCAATGAATTTAGTGCCCTTTCCCTTGGCCGTCTTGAACGCCTCATCCATTTAATTTTCCCACTTGGCTCCGAGACCGAGAGTCGTCCATGGAACATATGTAATCCCATCTTCCCCGCGGGGAGTCTTTGGGAGGTTCTTGTCGATGCCGTCTATAGCAATTCCGATTCCTACCTTCTCATCTTTGAAGATCTTCGCAATTTCAGGCTCCTGCATATATTTGAATACGCCTATGACAGATCTTATGCGATAGATAGCTTCGCGAGGACTGTTAATCTGAGGTTCGTTCATTGACCACTTGATTAACTTGACCATGTCATTTTCTTGACAGATGGACTTCTTGGGGTCGAACATCTTGGACAGGCCGTGTCAGAAAATCGATCAAGTGCTTGCTTTTGGTAATATGACTTACAAAATTCTTCACTGGTGAGTTGATCCACTTCTGGGGCAACACGAACTCGTGCGTAAAATCGCCACAACCATTGATACTGTAATAAGGATAAGTTGCAGCTATCTTTCCAATGGGGTCATGGTTAGTTGTCTAGACCTTAGCTCCCGATTGCGGTGCAGGGTTGTCCATAACTTGAGTCGGCCGCAGGACAAGCAGCGTGTCATATACCGACCTTCCAAGAGTGTCGTGTCTATCATGGACAGGCTGTTGATATGGTCGAATCTGAGAACGGGTGGATAGGTGGAGAGTTCAACTTGTATGAAAACTAAGCTTGGCACGTATAATGCGCGCTGGATGAAGATTTGGAGCTGCAGTCGAGCTAGGGAAAGTTTGAAATGCGAAGCAATTACAATAAACAGTTGCACAATTATCCAAATTCGTAGATCAGTATAAAATAGGCAGAACAATGCAACGCATCCGACAATATCAGCCACTTATCCCATGGCATGTGATTGTGACTGTCGGTCAACGAGTTTTACGTGACAAGGATATCTATCGGCGGGATGCGCACCTGCCCTTCCAGTTTGATATGCTCTTTCGCCCCTCACTGTCTTGATCGGAGGATTTTTAGAGCGCATGAGTTTCGTCCACCAGCTTTCTCGTGCTCTTTGTTTAGCCTCCCATTCCTCGTATGCCGGCGCAATGTCAAAAGTGCGGGCGGTGAGAATCAAAACGATGCGTAGTTCGTTCATGACCAGTGCTTGTCCAATGCAATTTCGCGATCCATGCTCGAATGGGCGGTAGGCTCCATTCTGTGGCGGGTATAGCTCGTGTCCGGCGTCCACCAGCCAACGTTCAGGTAAGAAATCATCGGGTCGCACCCAATAGCGCGGATGTCTGTGTAGGATCCCATGTAAGATCATGCTTTCGAGGTGGCTCACGGGATAGGACCTATCGTTCTGATCTTGGATTGACACCCCGTGTCGCGTGCCCCGGACAGCACCTGCAGGAGGGAACAGACGGATAACTTCCTTAATGATGGCGAGCGTATAGCGACATTTGTTGATGAGCGCCGGCTTCTCCTTGAGCTGCGCGGCAGCATCAGTGCTGCCGAAGACCTCGTCATGCTCTCTCCGAAGGCGAGCCATCGCTCCCGGGTGTTTGTGCAGCATATGATGGGCATACACAATGGTACTTGATGTTGAGTCGTTTCCAGCAAAGATGAATAGACGGATTTGAGTAGTGGCTAGGCGCGCGAAACTTTCATCGACCTGCTGAGGCAATGCTACTTCTGAAGAACCAATACGCTGTTGCTTCAAATAATCATCTAACGCAAGGGCGATAACGGATTTACCTCTTCTCGTACCGCTCGCCTTTACCGAAGTTGAGGTGTCCTTCATTTCTAGATAACGCTTCTGAAGCTCTGTGCGAAGGAATGTATCCAAGATCGAGCCGTAATACCACTGAACGAAGGGCCGCAGTGGGTTGAGCAGAATGCGCGGATCCCAGAACGAGTGCCAATCGAGGATCGTATTGAGAGCTTTGGAAGCGCAGTGCTCTTCCCGCTGATTGTCCAGATTAGTATCCAGTGTAACTTTCGTGATGATGTCCATAGTAAGTCGCGATGCTAAGTCGTCGAGAGAGACCAGAGCTGAGCCAGCGCTCTTGCGTAGTAACTCGCAAAACACCTCCACGGAGTCAACAACAGCAGGAATCAGTTCTGCCATGTGACTGCCACTGAAACCCGGGTTGAAGAGAGCTCTAAGGGGCTTCCATGCCTCATGGCTCATCGTAATCATACTTTCCCCTCCAACAACCGGCGTGAAACCCTTGTGCTGGCCAGCGGGCTTGCCCAAGTTGTATTTTACTGTGATCTGGTTCGCGGCTTCAGGATCCCACACCATTAGATGTGGTGGATACATCGGCCACAAGTCCACGAGCAATACATTCGTATCAGGATCGCGCTCGAACAACTCTAGCCACGCATCAAGAACATTGACATCCGAGGGCATTTTCTTCAAAAAGCCGTCCAATACCAGGAGATGGCCAGTCCACCAGCTCCAACCGTCGACAGTTGGCTACATCAAGCATCAGTGGTGTTCTTCCTAAGCTGTGAAATTATGCGACTGACGATGCCATCTCTTCGCAACTGATAGACAAGCTTCCGCTTCTGATAACCCAGGTGTAAGAAATATGCGACGCTAGAAGCAAACACCACCGCGAGAGAAGATAGCATAGCTATAGATAACATTATGGACGAAAAAAAGAGCTACGAAAAGAGCGATGGAGAACAGGCAATCGGCTCTGGTTGAGGAAACGGGTTCAAGTGTGTGGCGCAAGCAATTGTGGACGATGCGTGGACTGGCGCAACCAGGCTATAAGTCCAGCGGATGCAAAGCAGGATTCTCATCGCTTCGTCGAGAGACGATATCATTGAGACCCGCTAATCGACGGCGCGCAACAGAGACGTCGAGGTTGCGCCAAGCACTGCAGGGCGTAGCCTGGCGTCACGCCGTCAGCATGTGTGCTGACCGATGCACGCAGTCCGGCAGATCTCGACGACGCGATGAGGCGATCGAACTGTGTGACATCGCGGGATTTTCCTCACATGCAGTGCGGTGAAGTAAGATTGTGCGACGTCGCGGGATGCTTCTGAATTTGAAGAGGTGGGTGTTGTGCGACGGCGAAGACGCCAAAAAGGAACAACAAAGCACGGTCCGTGCGGTCCATTTCACCAGCCGTCGATGGCATCAACATACGACCAGGATCGACATTTCGCTGCTTTCCTGATCAAATGTTCGGACCTATGCTACCTTGCTCAACTGTTCTTTGGACTGTTTCCGCTATGGAGTGTGCGTAGCAACACCGGAGCGCAGCACATGACGCCATGCGAAGCTTCTCGACAATTTCGCAAATACACCATCCACACTCACGTCATACAGTGAGGCACAAAGATGATATCCCAAATTCCTCAAAGTGACCTCGAGCGGGACACATACAATTGATGTTGACATCGCAGCCATATGCTTTCTGGACAGTGAGAATCTGCAGAAGCCTCTAGAATGATGCACCCTGTGCTACACGCTCCGGTGACTTCCTCTGACTGTGAGGATTTGAGAGAGACAGCGATGCTTGACAAGAATCTTTTCGCAGCCAAGAGACGCTCGCGAGCGTGCGAAGGCTGCTTGGCAGACATCATGGTGCTCAATCGCACATTTGGGCCTTCAGAATTCGTAGACAATTCGTCGCATATCAATTTGCGAGTTGAACGATATCGACAAAAGCAGCCGAAATGAGATTGACGTGGGCTTTCGGGCTGCTTGCCGGACCCTGGACGACCATCCTGGCTGCTAGAGAGACCACCAAACCGCAACATCGGATGCAATTACAAGCGCTGCAGAGCCAACTTACACCCCCGATGATTTGCACATTGCACAGGACCCTATGCAGATGGGCGCAATGCCTGCAAGTAATGCGGATAGTTCACCAAGACATCGACAAGAGAAGGCACACCTGATGAAGCGGATGAGTCGCAAGCATGGCAGTTGGGGCACCAGTCATCCACGGTATCGACTCTTCGAAGCTTTGTGGGGATTTAGCAGATGTCGCGATCGCAATGTGGCAGAACTTGAGAAATGGAGAAGGTTGTACCAGAACGTTGGAAAGAAGCAGAAAAAGGTGCGAGGAATGCTGCGATGCTTCTTTCCGTGCTGATCAATTGCCAGACATTGGAGCGCGTAGTGGACTATAAGCAGAAGCTAGACGATGTAGAAGAGCTGATCTTCGAGAATTTCATGATTTGCAAAGACATCGTCTCTACCGCTATGCAATACTATGGTGTTACGCAGCAAGGAGCTTGACAAGCACATCAAAGAAGCCGAAGAAGCTGGACGTCAGGTGGATAGCTACAGTCCTGGTCAGACTCTGAAGCATTTTGTGCGGGACTGGGCAGAACAGGGCGCGAAAGAGCGTGCTGACGCTTTCCCTTGCGTTCTCAGCACGCTCTCAGATCTCAAAGGCGACGTTTCGAAGGGCGCCTCTTTGAAAGTGCTACTCCCGGGGTCCGGGCTTGGTCGGCTTGGCCACGAAGTTTCCAGTCTCGGAGGTTAGCTATTCGTGTACCCATAAGGAAATGTGCTTACGCGACGCAGATTTCGAAGTAACTGTCAACGAGTGGTCGATGTTCATGAACGTGGCGTACAGATTCCTGGAAACTCGTACAACGACTCGGTCCTTCGCTCTACATCCGTTTATCGATGGAATGTCACACCATGCTACGACGAGCGACATGCTGCGTAAAGTCACGGTGCCCGATAGATCTCCAGATCCTTCGGTTTTGCTGGTCGAAGGCGATTTCAATACTGCCTTCGCCGACCAAGGTGGGCAGTATGACATTGTGGTCACACATTTCTTCATCGACACAGCCCGCAATCTCATGTCATACTTTGACACGATCAAATTTCTGCTCAAGCCCGGCGGCAAATGGCTGAATTTTGGGCCGCTACTCTACGGTACTGGACCATTCGTTCAATTGAGCTTGGACGAGATCATCGCGGTTGTGGAAGAGATGGGATTCGAATTCGAGGATATTGGCAGCGAGTGCGGATCTCTTACGTTTGAGGACAAGAAAGTCAGAAGTACCGAGGCTGAGTATGGCTTCAACACTAAGGCGCTGACGAAGAACGCTTATTCGGCGCAGGTGTGGGTTGCTACTAGAAAGTGAAAATGCCAACAGGCCCTGTTTGTCGTTGATTGTGGCTCATTCACGGAAGAATATATCACGTGCAATGTTCGTAGCGCGTGATCGATGTGTAAACACTTGGGGCTTTGCGCCGCTAGCTCTCAGTCTACTGTTCATCCAGCTCTCCCCCCTTAATTCTTCTACTCACCGACCTTCCTGTCACAGCAGAACGCCTCTACCAGCTCACAGCTCACCACAAGACCTGACACTCGTGACTGCCACGCATCAGTGTCAAACCTGCGAAAGTCTTGCGCAGCTCGAGTTGAATACTCCCTTCCCTCCAGTCGAACAACGGATTCAGATGGAGTCCTCCGCTTCAACTACACCTACTCCCAAATTTACCGTCCTCTTCAAGATCATCCCTGGGCCAGGCATTCGGCCACTTCAGTCAGATGGTCAATACTATCCTAGACACGCCGTCCACGAGATTCGCCTGCAATGGCTCAAGACCATGTTCGCACCTCATGACCTCATCAAGATCTTGCCGTGCCTCAATCCTTGGAATGGAAATGCCTTTCCCGAGCTGTTCATCGCTACTTTTCGAGACTTCGATGCGTATCACGGTGCCCTGGGTTCCTGGAACAGTACGGAACTGGAGCCAAATGCGTTCATCAGGATGGTCGTATTCCTAAATATAATTGAGGAGGATACGAAAACCGCACAGCTTCTAGGTCCTATCCAGGGGTCGAAGACGGTCAAGCCATCTAGGAATTTGCCTGCACCTCCCCTCTACCATCCCGAGAACTTGTTCGAGGATTGGTGGGCTGCGCTAGATCCTGATAATTGGAACCAGCGCCGCCGTCGTATCGAGCACAAGGCTCTGCTCTCTCACTGCGGCGCATGGTTGTACTATAGTTATTCTGGTGAGCGATCGTTCCGTTCAGACCCCATTTCATTCTCATTTGAGACGCCTGCGATCTTGGAATACGAGTTCCTCAGCCGGAACTTACGGAATAGCCGGAAGAAAGAGGCAGAGGAGCCGGTTACAACGATCGATTGGGACGCGACCCACCAGTGCCGCAAGCTATCGCTACAGCTGAGCTCATCTTTCACCATGTACATGGAGCAGCTCAAGATTGATTCGCCATCTGCCTCATCCGATGAAGAAGATGCTTTTGAGCTCGAGAATGAGGCTCGCCCTGACACACCGAACACATCACCACCAACCTCGCCGCGGACAGGTTCCGACCTACTCTCCGCTCATGGTATAAATTTAATGTCCTTGGAAGATTTCGAGGAACATCTTGGGCGCGAAACCTCTCTTGCAATCAGACCTTCTCACTTGCAGCCTGGTATCAAGAGCACGCAGGCCGTTGTAGCCCCTGCGACAGGTTTGATGAAGGAACTCGAAACCTTGATGAGCCGCCTTCCCACATATTCGGAAGAGGAACTCGGCATTCCAGATATGCGCAAGGAAGTCGCTGCAGCGTGGGTTCTTGAGCCTGAGGATATCGGCGACCTGAGTAACAAGCATTCTCGGTCCTCTAATCCTACATCTATTTACGACTTTATGAACGGCGAGTATGCTTTGCGGCAGCGAGGATCGCCAGTAGAGCCGTTCGGATTACGGCCGTCCGACCACGGCCCCGTGGCTGCATATACAGCCGAGAGCACCACGTATCTTTTCACTGACCAGATGGCAGCGTGGTATGCCGCTGCGGACGATGTGAAGCCAGCCGGTCACAGTAGCCAAGACTTCAATGACAACCTAGCAGCACTAATGAAGGGATGTGCGGCATCAACCGCATCTGGGGACACTGCATCACCTCAGTCCTCATCGATCGAGCTTGTCGTTCAATCCTCGAACGAGTCCCATATCGATCCGGAACAAGAATGGTATGCTTCACTTCTGGCCGAACCGAAGGTCGAGAAGGTCTATAGCTCAACTATCGAGCATGGAACCAGCAAAGAGTCTTATCCTGGTGATATACTTCAGGCACGACTAAGTGCCCAGGCATGTGACGATGAGCTCTTGGCGGCGAACGACATCACGGAGCATGTCGCAGGCCCCAAGAACTCACAGCTTGTTGAAGTCGCCCACATCACATCTAAGGATGGCGAAGATGCGGAAGTGGCAGTCATTCCGTGTTCTGACGACCAACAACTCCCCAATGATGGTCTCATGGTTTCATCCAGCTTCGAGCTTCTTCTGGACGAGCATGTTCCTCCCGAGAGCAGCGCTTTGGAGATGATCGGTACGCCAACCGTAGGCACCACTTGCGACACTTCGTATTTCTGGACGAAGCTCTTCATGCTCCCAGTCTTCGACTACTTCTCGCTGGGTCTTCTTCCGACTCTGATCCACCACCCGATCTTCTCACTTCTCGTCTTCCTCATGCTGTATGTGGTCAGCCTGCAATTCCAGGAACTCAAAGAAAAGAACGAGCGTCTTCGGAACTACAATGAAGTGTTGCGCGGCATGTGAGATGTCCGGGATAGGCTCGGCGCTATGTCCTGGATGGCGCGAGATATCTCCGGGTGATACATGGTTTGGTACAACATTGTACAGTGGGGCCCTTTGCCTAGGATCCGCGGGCCGCTTGGTGTCTTTCTCCATTTTTCAATAATTATGTGAAGGGTTTAAGCGTCTTGCGATCCAGGTAGTGGATGTCTCTGTCGGCATTGCGTGTTTGTAATCGTAACAAGCGTTGTCGCTATCACATTACTTGGCGTTTGTATCTCCTACTTTTAGCAATGCATCGATTTTCCAATACAACGTCTTGTACGCATCTCTCGTTGTACGAAATATCTCTTGATGTACGATCGACCATGCCGTCTCCACCAACCGACACCATAATGCGGGGTACTAGCGCGCCCTCGGCCGAAATTCGTTAGCCCTTTCCAATGACGCCCATTCGCAGATCTAATATCAGAATCTGCGACTACCGTCAAGACCAACTATGTAGTTGTCCCTGCTTTGCTTTGCTTAGTGCCCTTCAACCTCAATACATCATGGACTCCGCATACATCCTCCCCATCTCGATCGCCCTCTTCTTCACATACGTCATCTCCATCTTCATCACCGACCCACTCTCTCGCATTCCAGGCCCATTTTTTGCCCGATTCTCGCGACTATGGCTTGTTCAGCACTCCATCGCCGGAGACATGCACACGACGATGATCGACCTGCACAAGAAACATGGCAAATTAGTTCGCACTGCGCACAACGAAGTCAGCATCTCTGACCCTACAGCCATCAAGACTATCTACGGTGCTGGTACTAAGTTTCGGAAGAGCGAGTGGTACAGCGTTTGGCAAGGTCATCGCAAGTTTGACCTGTTCGGCGGCAGGGATGAGAAGGTGCACGGTCAGCATCGGCGCCTGATCAGCAGTATCTACAGCCTGGAGCAGTTGAAGAAGCTGGAGCCTGGCGTAGATAGTGCTATAACACTAATGATCAAGAGATTGGGCGAAGTTTCGAAAGACGAAGGCGCGGTAGACATGTCGAAGTGGGCGCAAATGTTTGCTTTCGATGTCATTGGCGAAGTCACATTTTCGAAATCTTTCGGATTTTTAGCTGCAGGCAAAGACGACGGGAGCTTTGCAGCTATAGACGAAGCACTGGTAAGTGCGGCGTGGATCGGTCAGGTATCTTGGTTATACTGGCTACATGATCGGTTCATGCCAATCATCGGCAATTGGATTGGTGCGAACAATCGGAATGGCAGTTTGAGACAGTTCGCATCGAAAGAGTGTGAGGCAAGAAAAGGCAGGAAAAGCGAAAGGAAGGATATTCTGAGTTCATTGTTTGCAGTCCAGGATGCGAAGCCTAATGAGTTCGACGATAATAGTGTGCTGAGTATGGCGTCGAGTAACATCTTTGCTGGAAGCGATACAACGGGAATCTCGATTGGGGCGGTGATGTATAACTTGTGCAAGCATCCGCGATGCAAGCAGAAGCTAATGGATGAAATCGAAGAGACGGTCAAACGGGATGAGCTAGATGCGAGCAAGAACATGCCGTTCGAAGCAGGCTTTGGGATGCCGTATCTACAAGCGTGTATTTACGAAGCACTGCGTATGCACCCGGCGGTCGGCATGGCTTTACCCAGAGTGGTGCCGCCAGATGGCTTCGAGGTTGAGGGAGTGTATCTACCCGGTGGAGTAAGTAGAACACTCGAGTGCATGATGAGATGGCCTAATAGAGCGACAGACAATCATTGGTGCCAATCCTTGGGTCATACATCGTCAGAAAGAGATTTTTGGTGATGACTGCGACATCTTCCGACCTGAGAGATGGCTGGAGGGTGACAGAGGGCAACTCGGTATTGGATTCAGCATTCAAAAGGTCATACCGTGATTTGCTGATTGAGTGCACAGATCGCTTCTTCTTTGCATTCGGAGCTGGCGCACGCATGTGCCTTGGTCGAAGTAGGATCGCATCCATGCCTTGCCGTTGAAGCGCGTACTAACAATGTACCAGACCTGAGCTGGATCGAGATGACCAAACTCATCCCTTCGCTGCTCCTCAAGTTTGACGTAGAGCTCATAGATGCAAATCAGGAGCCGAAGCAGCATTGCTGGTAGGGAGCACACCCGACCATTCAAGTTGTGGATATCAGCTGATACTCATAGGTGGTTCGTGAAACAAGAAGCGCTGCACATGAACTTTAGCCCAAAGCAGCAGTGATGAGATTCGTTTTGAAGTAATCTTCCTGCAAAGATATTCACATCGGCAAATATCAAATTTGTAGAAACATAAAGAACCGTGTGGTTCTTCCAGCTCCATATCAACATCGTGAACATTGCTTCCAAATCATCATGTTTAGCTAATTCACCGATGTTTCGGCCAATGCAATCGGCTTTGGAGTTGTTTGGACAGGGATTTCACTGTTCCAAGTTTGTCCGACATGAGAGAAAAACCGAGCACAGTTCTAATCAAACTATCGCGTCTCCATTCTGAGATGAACCCAAAGCTTCTCTCCAAAGATGATCAAAAGTTCATCCGCTTTTTCGGCGGCCCAATTCACATGATGATGTTACGATATCGCTTCGTGGAGGAGGGCCTTGCCCAGGGCAAACCCGAAACAAAGCGCGTCATCGCGGATACGCGGAAGAACGTCAAGTTGTGGAATCGAGGAGACGAACAAGAGAAGGTGAAGGGTCAAGAACGTGAGAGCCTCGAGCAATACCGTCACGTTCTGTCCCAAGAAAAGGTGTTGCTCTCCAATGCCCTTGCGGCGATGCTGGAAGGAGCCCATGAAGGCTTATGCTCTAAGTGCAGCTATCGGGAGACTTATGCCGCGCCACAGGCTCATACATTCGGCGGGGTCGTTCTTTGTGCCAGATGTAAGCAAAAGTTGGGCGCTTATACGGAGATCATTCTCGAACGAACGGTCAAAACTTTTCCGGAGGCTGCCGAGACAATTCGTCTCAGTAAGATGCGTGCAACGTCATCAGTTAAGAGATAAGCATTTCTCAGTTTTCATGGAGTCCAAAGACAATGTTTGGGTTTAATTTAATTTTCGGTGCTGTTAGGCTGATGTCTCGATTCCGCGGAAGAGAACAGCAGTTATCAGATGATATTTATTTGCCTGATCCATGGAGCTTGACGTTAACGAACTTCTATCCTTCGCCACAAGCAATCCACGTGAATTACAAAAGCCATATCCAGATGTTTGTGCCACACGCGTCAAAGTGAACTTTTTTATCATTACACGTGTGAATTTAAAAGCAGATGAACTGGACTCAGGCTCACGCCGAAATTAACAAAATATCAGAGGAAACGCCCCAAGCTTTTTGAAAGAGCCTCCTGACTACCAAGCGTACTACTTCAAGCTCAGAGCGAGTCCGGCTCCTTAGTAAGCTTGCTTTTGTGCATTCTCCTGCTTTCACTCAAGGAATTATCTCATATCTTCGTCTCCAAGAAGCACTGAGTGATAAGTCATTGCCCACTGACTCGAATCGTCTACGGCAATGGCAGTATTGACTTCGTGAGCATCAGGGCGTCTTCGTCCTCAATCCCGACGTGAACGTTTCGTAGCACGAACTGGATTATCTGACGACTATTCAACCATTAGTGTTGAAAAACAATGAAACGGAGCGAGTGTAAACTTACGAAAGCACTGCTGTTTCGAATTTTCTGAGCCCATTCTGCACGAGATAAGCTGTAGTCGAAGTCGTATGCTGTGAGTTGAGCATCTCGATCAGTCGTGCAAGCCTGTCCCCTGAGGATCAAAGGTTGATTATATTCACCTTCGACCTTAATGTTCCAGCCTTGATCTTTCAGGTCGTATACCAACGGCACCAGAACTTCTGCAAACTTGGCGCCATGGTTGGGAGTCGTACAGTCAACACGTAGGAGTAAGGTACGCTGAGCACCTGCATTATTCCTCTTTACCAGCGCCTTTAGTAATTCGGTACCCCTCAAGGCTGCCACAAAATGCTGCTTAAGTGGCTCATCGAACTTCGGCGAAGACCACTCACGGCAGTTCCCAGTCCTGACGTTGAAAAGTTTGAGCGAAAGATCGATGCTGATGAAACGAACGAAGTCAGCTGGCACACACAGCAGTCCAGAATCGATCGTCAGACAAGAAACCCTCCAACTCTCCTGGGTGCTGGAGAATGAAGTGCTTCTCTTTGTGGAACTGCTTGGAGAGCTCTGTGACGAAGTCCGTGCCCACGTAATCTGACTGGAAGTAGTGCGGATAGTCTGTGCACCCCCGAAGCTCATTGTGTTCGGGACTTGAGCCACTGTAGACCCATCGTGAGGATGGTTTGTCTTGACGGCGACGCTCCTCACGATCGAAGTCTGGAGGCCCATGGTGCATGAGCTCGCGATAGATCATGTCCTTGAGCTCTTGAGGCAGACGCTGAACGATGTTTGAGGCAAATCCAAGGTTCCAGACACGAGCGTACGAGTCGGAAACGCTGACGATGGATCTGCATATTTTTTAGACAAACTCCAAGGGTGATTACAGTCCCGAGCCTTACTTCTCCAGCGAATCAGCATAACCTTCAAGGCGTCGTCCTTCAACCGATCTGAGATAGGTCGGGGCGTCTCCATCGACATCTTTTAGCCTGCAAGTCGTAAGCGAATCGTCGCAAACCCTCGTGCATGAAGACGTACTTTTGAAGGGTGATATGGCGATCTTTGGTCAACCTAGATGCCATTAGTCGTCATGGCTGTTTTCAAAGATCCTCGTGCAATCTTACTGAAGCAGAAAGTTGAGCTGCGCATTCAGCGCCGACTGCGATGAATGTCCTCTCATTTTGCTTGGTTGAGACGCTACAAGCGTTGGCGATGGTGGTGTGTGGTGCTGCGAAGACAAAATGAGTGCAACTTACAAACAGCTCAGGCAGGCTAGCAAGCTCCAACACGTGGTCTTCGAGCTTCTATGCACTTCTACAAACAAAACCCTTTATGACGTCAATCGCAGGTGAAGGCAAGTGAAGACATGCCATGAATCATCAAATACTTCACACCCCTTCAAATTCTAGCGAGTACCCTCGCTTCGATTTGAAAAGGGTAAGGTTGATGCTAACGCATTGCTATGACCGCATGACAAGCTTCAAGTCACTCGTCAAGTGTCATGCTAAAGTCTTCAACGCGGAACCTCCATACCCTGTCGGACGAGATGCGCCTCAATTTTGCGGATTATATGTCAACAGCCCGGCAAACGTATCTTATACTAGATTTCCTACCTAGATCAAGGGCTCACTGTTTTCAACGTACAGATGCAATAAAGAAAGCATCAAATTCCTGGCTGTCGAAAGGGAACTAATCCAAAGAGGGCTTAGCTGTATCTGCTCTAGTCTTCAATGTCTCTGGGCCATGACTTCTGCTCCTTTCACAAAGACATGTATCAGGCAGAAACATTCAATCGCTAGCAACAACACGTTTTCTTGCAAGGGCCTGTTGCGCGTAGCATCCGTCTCCTTTACCTTTCGCACCTGCAGACTCACCGAGTTTGCCACACCTGAGCCAGAACACCCAGTCTCTACCACCCCAACGCAACTAATCACCTACCTCACAACCACCAGTATATTGTATAAAGTACCCTCAAACCAATCTCGCAACCTCGCACCATAACGCCCCATCCTTCCGCAGCTTATCGATAAGCCCGAGCTCCGCCCCCAAGGCCACCCGCCGATCCCACACAAGCCACCCGAGCGGACCACAAAAGGTTTCACAAAAAGTACGAAGGCAGGTTCAATCGGAATTAGTTTTAAAAATAAGCATCACGCTTATTGGGTGGGATTCACAGACTTGCATGTAGCGTGTAAGCTTTTGTGGTGCAAGGCTGATTTGGCGGGTCTGAGTACGGCGCGGTTGTGGTTGGTATGGGTAAGATCTGGCTGCCTAGAGATGCGAATACGTATATACATTGCGACTTTCCTTCTTGACCTTTCGAGCTTCATCAAACATTTACATTCAAATTACATATCTCATCAAACCATTCACCGTCACACAAGTCCGCCACAATGCCCGGCCCCCTCCTCAACTTTACAATCTTCACAAAGTCCACCCCACATGCCCTGCGCGCCATATCGCTCGCAACCTTTGTTCCGGCCTTTATCATCTTGCTGATTGCGGGTATTGGCCTCGAGGCCGCCAATCCTGCGATCGGCATCATCCCTCTATTCTTCAGCTCCGCATTCAGCGCACTGCTCCTTGCCAACGAGAAGAAGTGCGGATGTCAAGCCAGTGGTCTAACAGGCACACCGGTGCATCTTGTATTTGACCTAGCTCTCGGTCTGAGTCTGCTTATGTTCACAATCTTGGGATGGTTGAGCATGGGCAGTGGGTATGCGGATCGAGGATTTATTGTGTTGGGGACATATGGGACGAACTTCATGGCCTTTAACTTGTACGCATACTTCTATCGCGAGACGTTGCATCTTGACTGACAATAGCAGTATCGTGCACTTTTACTTCGTCGGTCTCCAAGTGCAGGAGTCTCTGAACCCAGGCCAGAGCTATCCGATGTCATGCCCACAATGCCAGAACTCGTCGTTCTCGGTTGGAAATATCAAGCTTGCGAATGTTACAGCTGGTTTGAAGGACGGATATGCGCCACTTCTTGATCGTGAAGGCGAGCCGAGGACAAGTGTGGAGGACAGGGCGCCGACTGAGGATGGCGAGATAGTGTGATGAAGTTCATGGCGCGCGCTCTGCCCACAGCGCTTCCGTCACGGTAAAGATCGTAGCGCATGGTGATGGGCACTAAGACCGCCGAATGCTTCGGTCCGTAGAGGGAGCCGCATCAACTTCGAGGGATTCCCCAATTTTAGAACGGGTGTTAACGCATAAGATTTACAGAAATTTGTCGTTATCTAAATAAAAGCTTTCATAATTACCCTAAGCGTGCACGACCTATCGCATGATTGTTAGACGATATAAAGCAGTGGCGACTTCTCAGTGATATCGGCTTCGTATAGAGGGATGTGAGAAACATCTGGTGCACTACGCCCAGGAGGCTGATATCGTATCGTGGAGCAAGACTTGAGTGTGCTACACATGTAATCAGTGGTGATTAATGGGAGTCTGGAGAGAGTTGTCTCCTTCTACATCGTAACTACTTGTTTGGATCTTGTCGTTGTTGAGGCGTGAGGTGTTCGTCAAGCATTAGATTTCCCCACCTACGGCCTTTCCTCTTTAGGTCTGGCCACTTGCCCCACAATAGCATGGCATCTGCTTTCATTATCACACCATGTCACCGACTTTATCTCAGAGTATTCAAAAACTTGCTGAACCAGGAACAGATATTTTTGCACTCCTTCGCTATGCCACTGTCATTATGGAAGCTCAGATCTCAAAACAACAGGAAGTCAAGGATGACTAAAATAGGTATCGTCTTCATATCTTTTTATTCATATTCTCATAGGCTAGCAACATACTCCTTATAAATCTGCACGCAGTTCTCATCAAACAATAAGCCCATCCTCGTCGCATTCCCAAACTCCGCTGTCTGCGGCCAACTGTTCAGCAACCGCTCGGCGTCCGGATCCCTCTGCGTGCGCAACAGGCTCAACTTCTCCTTGCCACAAACTTCCACAAACGCATCGTACATCTCGCCCACGGTCACCGAGATTCCAGGCATGTATACCGCGCGGATGTGCGCGGGCATGGCGTCGTTGGGAGCGCGCATCACACGCACAAAGTTCTCGATCATGACGCGCGGACTGCAAATCATCTGGCGCGCGGCCTTGTCTTCGATGGGCACGATGCATTCGAGGCCGGCCATGGGTTCGCGGAGCATACCGCTAAGGAAGGATGCTGCGGAGCGACTTGGGGCGCCCGGTCGGACTACGACTGTGGGTAAACGCACGGCGAAGGCGTCGATGATGCCGCGGCGGTTGAGATCGTTGATGTGGTTCTCCATGATCAACTTATGTGTGCCGTAGACGCCAATGGGCGTGGCGGGTGTGTCGTCTGTGATGGTGCCGTTGGTCGTATAAGGAGGGCCGTATACGGCTTGTGTTGAAGCATACACGATTCTTGGCTTGGGGCCTGGGAGTTGCGAAATAGCTGCGATCACCGCTTGTGTGGCTTCGAGGTTGACTTTTGTTGATAGTGCTGGGTTGTCCTCACATCCCTGGGACATGATGCCGTGGAAAAGGAAGATGGCATTCCATTGTGGGCGCAAGGAGAGGAGGCGTTTGATGTCGTCTGCTACGGTAAGGTTGGATGCTGCGAGTTCCAGATTTGAAGCGTCGGTTACGCCAGCTGGCTGTGGAGGGGTTTGCAGATCTGTAAGTACCACACTGTTGGTGCCTTCCTTGAGGAGTTTGGCCGCTAGCATAGGGCCTAGGAAGCCAGCACCTCCGGTTATGAGGATGTTGTTCATGGTGCTCATTTTTCTGGCAAAGACTGGGAAACTTTTAGGTGTTGGAAGGTATAGAAAGTCGTGTACCAGAGACCGAGCCTTGCGAGGCCGACTTGCTTTTATATTCGACCACAGAACTGCTTCCTGTAAGTTTGTAGAGCCTTTCGCAGCTAGTGGATGTCTCGCCTCGAGGACGATGTGGATCAGACTGCTCGCTAAACCCTCCCATTGGTCTCCAGCTCGCCTACAGAAGCTGGAGAACCCCACGATCGTCACGACCTCTACATCGTTCTCCGTCTTGATTTCCAATTCGGCGAAGCCCGGAACATGTCACTCGAACATGGGTACCTGCAAAGAATATCAGGATGCATGGTACCCAAAGGTTGCGTGCAGAAATTCGGATTTGAAGATATGCCGGACACATGAAAAGATTTGCCAACCTCCAAAAACATTTCGCAGTACCTGTATTCACTCGCAGTGAAATCGGTCTCTGCGCAAACCCTTTCCAAAGCTCATTTCACGGCGGCAGTGTTATCTAAATCTTGCTGGTCCAACACTCAATGACCAAACTTCTACCGCACCAAACGTTAGAAACCACGCCTCCACCCCGGTACTATACATCAGCCCTATCGACCTGCGACTTCATATGCTCCTTCTTGCCATGTTCCCAATGAATTCTACAAATTGTATCGTATCCATCGCATACGACAAGATCTCGTTGTCTCTGTGACCCCTGATTGAAAATACGTCGTTGGGGTGACTTGATGGCAACTCGGATAAGAAGGTCTCGATTATGCGCGATCAGATACTTGAACACGATCACCGAACAACAAAAACTGCCATTTAAGTCGAGAGCTTAGCTGTATTAAGATCGTAGCACAACTACGCTCGCAAGAATTCCAGCATGGCTTGGGCATTTCTGCCTCCGTCCAAGTGTCTACTCATCGACGCCGTTTCTCTTCCAAAAGTATACCTGCTTCAGGCATGAGTTTTAGAACATGTACCTTGTCGCTCAGCACGACGAGCTGTGTTTGACATGGAAAATAAGATCATGTTGCACTCACCGATGAATTCCGGGTTTCTTCTTCGATATTAGTGGAGATGGATACATTCTATGCTCGTGAGATAACCGGGATGGGGTTTGAAAATCGATGTTGCACTGTTGGCAGTGTTTAAGCACTGAGATTACAGATAACCTCACAACTGCGACGTCGGCTTGTTTAAACTCTCAAGAGCTCGGAATGAGCATGGGGGCTTCTTGATGCATACACTTCCCACAAAACTTCGCTCCAAGAAGACATCAAACCAGTATACTCATTCACAAATCCCGCTTCATATGCTCCTCCGCCTCCTTCTTGTACTCCTCCCTCCACCTCGAAAGCGGGGCTCTCTCGCTCACTATGTCCCCCACACTCCAAAGCATCCTCTTCTTATCCATCTCCTCGCTAACATCATTATCCGGACAGATAATGTAAAACTTGCCATCGGTCATTTTCTTATACATGTACTCGACAACCTGCGCGGCCGACCACGCACCATCCGGTTTCTGCTTGCCTGCACCAGGAACATTACCCGACTATTGTCTATTAGATTAATGTAGTTGGGAAAAGGGGAGAAATGTGACGCACGAGGCCAGTAAACGTCCACCCCGGAACGAGCAAATGCACGCTTGTCGCGCTGTCTTTCAAATCAAAGCTAAGATGTTCCGCGAGGGATTTAACCGCCGCTTTACTCGCATTGTATGCCGCGTTGCCTGGTGGGTTTGTGATGCCCTGCTTGCTGCCTGTGATGACGATTGCAGAAGCATCGCCAGAACCACGAGACTGGAAGGATGGAGCATAGCTGTTCAGGCCGTTGATCACGCCGTTCAAATTTGTATGAAGAATCTGTCATCCCTAGTAAGTTTCAACCAAACTTTTGATATTTGTCTCGTTTTGCGGCTAGTTTGATGCGGAGTTGATGTTGGGGGTGTTGTTCTTTTTTACCTTATCGAAATACTCCTCGTCACCCCACGTCCCCTGCCCTCCTACGCCTGCGTTCAACATCAGAAAGTCCACGGAGCCAACTTGCGATTTCAATTTCTTCCAGTCTGCTCGATCGCCAACATCAATCTTCACGCATGTAACATCGCCGCTGAGATTCTTCGCTGCGAGGTCTAGCGTCTCTTGGTTGGAGTCTGCTATGGTGACGTGCATCGAGTGCTTCAAGCACAGCTCGGCAACCGCATAGCCGATGCCGGATGCACCGCCTGTGATGAGCGCGCGGGCGGAGGGACGGAATACGGCAGCCATTGTTCTGTGTATCGAAAGGAACTGAAAATAAATGGTAGAGAATGAGTTGCGTGTTGTTGGGCAATCGGAAGCGGGGCTGGTCTATGACGAACCCGCCCATTCCCGCGCCGACACGTCACTAGACCTCATTCGCGTAGGTTTCGAAGAGTGATTAGGTACCGGGTATGTAATAGGATGTGTATACATCTAATCACATGCCCAAAGCAGCAATGTTCATATAGTAGACAAATTCTATCTTTAGGCTAATTATACCTGGGTCTACAAGATCAAACATACAAGTACACTACCCTAATCTACCTCCCCCAATCAATTATATAATTTCTTCCACACACCGCTCAAGCCTTTCCATTCCCCATAGCCAGCAAACCAAGATCCTCTTGCGCTGTCTGGAATCTCTCAACAGGAGGTCTATCCACCTTCTGCGCGCCCTCAACCTCTTCTGGCTCAGCACCACTGCTGAATAAACCAGCGCCGGGAGCAGCAGTGTAGAAGCGTTCAGGCGTAGGTCGGTCTCCGCTCTCCTTGGAAGGCTCCACCACAGGATCAATCGCGCTAAGCTCTTTCTCTGAGTGTGGCACATCGACCGCTGGTGGTGTGGCAATGCCGACGCTATCCAATGTAAGCATACTGGCATTTGCATGCTGTCCAGCCACACTGAGACTGAACGGGTATGCGATCCCTCCCTTTGTTGGTCTGGTGCTTGACCCATCCGTGGCTGGGATGAGGGTTGCTGGTGACTCTGGGTGATCTGATATTACAATACCTGGACCCAAGGACGGAAGATTTTCTGGACTATCCAGCTCGCCGGTGGGCGAGGGTAGTGGCGAGGCTCTACGCTCCGGTGCAATTTGCGTGGCTTCTGCCAGAGGAGCAGGAGGGGCGATGCTGGATACCTTTTCAAGAGACGTATTGGCTTGACCCTTGTCGGTGACGGCAGAGTGGCGAGAGTGTGAACGTGTGCGCGAAGGTCGGAGTGCTGCAAGAGTCGTCCCACGGCTTCGCTTGGGGCTGGTAGCGGATTTGGCGTCCACAGCTCCATCTGTTCGTAGTTGATCGGGCTTCTGCGTAGCTGTTGATGGCTCGGATGGATTGCCAGAATGATCTGCATCCTTTTCACGATCGATCTGGTCCAAACATTAACAATTAAGCGTAGAACGTTTGAGATGGAACTTACGGTTGCCGAGTCATGCTTACTTCCCCAGCCAGCCCACATAGACATACCCCAACTCCTTTTCTTTGGTTTCTCGGCCTTCATGCCCTTGACTCTCCGACCGGCCAGTGCGGTTGGTGGGGGAATCTCTCCATCAAACCCTTCGAAGCCTTTCTCCATATCTTTCATCCTTTGCTTCTGGATCTTGATCTTCTGTTTTGCAAATTTGCTGTTCCACTGTTGCTGAGCTTTCATCCACTTGCTTACAGGTCCTTTCTTTGGTACGCCCACATCGGCTACAGGCATTTGAAGAGCCACCAGCTCCTCTTTGGCCATGAGCGGGTATATACGGCCGTGTCGATCGATACGCTGGCGTATCATGTGATTTTCGAAGGGAGGTAGAGGATCGCCTGCTCTACCAACGGTCGCGGCTGGTTTCTGTTGCTGGCTCGGGAGGATGCCAGCTGTTGGCGCGTCCACCGCTTTTGCCTTTTTGGGATCTTCCAGTGACGAGTCCGACGCCGCAGGCTTGTCTGATTCAGATGAATCGGTTGACCCACTGCTAATGAAAGAAATATCATCATCGTCGACAATGTCAATAGATTTCTTCTGAGCCCGAGCAAGCGCCCAAGCACCAAATTGTGCGATGCTACGGTACATGTGCTTCGCTGGACGCGTGAAGCTGAGGGTCGGACACACATGGCAAAGGTCATCCCAGACCTGGATATTGACGTTGGTGGGCTTGTACCTTGCAGCCTGCGCTTGTATTTCTTCAGCAGTTTGATTGTTCGACGGTGGTGGAAGATAAGCCAATGGCTGGGCAGCTTTGTGGGCGATGTAGATTTGCTCGTCGCGGAGCAGTTCTCCGCCTCCAGTTTGGATAAGGAGAGGCGGCAGTCCACCTAGAGTTGGCTGAAGAGCTGGCGACACCAGTGGGTGCGTCAAGAGGTGGTTGGCTGCGTACATCTGGATCTGGTCCTTGATCTCGATGCGCATGTCGCTGTCGAGCTGCACGGAAAGCATGCTTTTCGGTCCAACGCTGTACTTTCCGTCCGGCGAGACCCACGTGTCGGCTTCCTCGCCAGCACCTTGCAAGACGTCTTTCAGATCGGGTTGGTCTGACGAGCGGATCGAGTAGCCTCTCACGCGGTCCTTCTTAGCCTCCTTTTGTGCCTCCCGGTCTTCCTTGTTGTCCTTGGACGTCGATACTCGAGGCGGGTTCTTCGCTGAGTGCTGGGCGGTGCGGGCGCGATCGTACTGGAGCAAGTCGTCGGCGTTGGGGGGCGCTGCAGGGAGATTAGCGCAGGAGCAGACGGAGAGTAGGAGAGAGGTGCTTACGCCAACTCATGCTCGGCTTGTGAACGAAGCCATGGGCGGGAATGTAGTCCATCTTGCCATCGCCACCAAGACTGGGGAAACTGTGGGTGAGATCGACCCATGGGCTGATGAGAACAGCGCCAGCAGGGAGAGGTATCCCTTGATCCCGCAGCGTCACCAGCATGCTCAGTACCATGCCGCCTCCTGCCGAGTCGCCGGCGAGGATGATGGTGTTTGGGTCGTGCTTTTCCTCAAGGAGATGCAGGTATACCGCCAGGCCTGTACGCGTCGTCAGCATCCATAGTAGTAGTAGCAGCCACTCGTCCATCACTCACAGTCATGCAGGCCACAGGGGAAAGGAAACTGCGGCGCCAGCCTGTATCTGGGCGCTATCACCCGGGCCTTGAGCTTGCGGGCATGTCGCTGCATCTGATAGCGGTGCTCGTCGACGCTGCCGAAAAAGTAGGCGCCCCCATGCACGTACAGCATGATGCGGTCGCCCTTTGTGATATTCAGCTGCTTGCGTGCATCGTGGTCCTTGCGCATCTCAATCCATTCGGCGCTCAGGACGGTGCCGTCTCGTCTCCACTGCCACCAGTTCTGCCCGCCGACAGCCGCGATGCCTCTTGGTCCCAACTGCGCGCTGATGAGCTCGGCAGAGCGCGCTAATTGCGCACCCGCGATTTCAACCACTTTGACATGCACCCAATGCGGCACCGGCACCCATTGCGACGTGAAGGCCTGCAGCTCGTCGACAGTGTGGAAAGACGCGTAGTTGAGGAAGCGGCGGATAAGCTCGAGGCCCTCGTGGTATGAAATGTGCGCAGTCGGCTTCTGGGCCAAGGGTCTGCGGTTCAGGTAGTGGGAGAGATATGTCTGGATCACCGTAGGCGTGACGGCAGCGCTCACAGAGAGCGTGTTTACAGGCATCTTGAGACTGTTTGAGAATTAGGGGGAACGCGGAGATATTCGATGCTTCTGTCCACGCGACCACTCTGACCGCACAATGATGGGATGAAAGAGACGCGCAATAGCTAGCACTATGCGCAGCAGACTCAACACCAAAAAGAAAGGAGATAGGAGGCGTGCAGGAGCAAGAGCACCGCCGATAGCATGTGGAGCAGATCCCCAGATTTTCGAAGTTCGCGCCGTTCCTGAGACAGTGGAGCCCGGGCCCACTGTCTACGTCATTCATCATGTCCGCATCTGGTCTAGTCAGGGTTGTTCTTTAAGCCACCCGTGGAGTCGTGCTCGTAAGTACACCTTTATTGTCACGTCGAGATCATCGAGGTCACGACGCTCATGCTTTTGGGCAATTACACTGTCGAGACGAGTGCATACACTGTGCCCGCTCGACTGAACAATACAGCTGCCACAAAAGACTCGAGTACGGAGTGGATGGGCTCTGGCGGCCAGATTCGAAGTTGTCCAGGGCAAAACCTCGTTTGATTCTTTGTGATCCAATTCTTGGGGAAACTGGTGATGGTTTGGCAGATGGATTGCGTGCACCGCAGTTTGAAGGCGGGGTGAAGATTGTGTCGGTACATGTCACCTATGACTGTCGTCCGACGTTAGTTGGCCACGATTCCAGTACCAAACGCAATACCAAGGCAACGTTAGTTCCAGCAGCACACAGTATCAACGAAAAACCATGAAATTGAATGTTATCATCATCTACACGCCCCCTCCCCAACTCAGACATAGCCCCACGACAGCACCGAGCACTGCGTCCCACCCCAGTGCTTTCACGGCAAACCCACCCTTCAGCAAAGATTGAAGCTCCGCTCCTAGCTTCGCGTCTTTGCGCCCCATCCACTGACTCGCCATCATGAACCCTGCGCTGATCATCATGCTCTTGTCCACGTCGCTGTCCTTCAGACTAATCAAGCCCGTGTGCGGCAGCAACAAGACGAAACGCTCGAGAATGATAAGCGTGTTGAAGATGGAGTGTTTGCGAAGAGAAGGCTGGGCCAGCAAACAAGCGTTGAGCAGGATGTTGGGAAGTTGGAGAGACGCAATTGGCGCGCGAGTGACCAATGTCGTGGATTTGGAGGTGGCCTTGTTCTTCGATGCTGGCGGTTGGATATCCGGGCTGGACACATGCAGTTCAATCAAGAACAGGCTGATTGTGAAGCTGATGGGCAGAATCTGGCTGAGCAGGATGAAGTTGCGCATTGTTGATGCGTCGAAACGTCGCGTCCGGGCTTTACTTGATGTTAGTCTCATATACTGCGTTCCATGCGAACGACAGACATACCTTTTGCTGCCATCCATATGTTCCAATACCACGTCCCAAGAATTGCTACTTGGGTCACCGCCGCGTTGCCTTTGCTCTGCACCAATTCGCTTGCAAAGTCCTGGAACAGTGTCGACTGCAGCATCCAGCCTTTGATTTTCGAGCCGCTTATAGCAGATAGGTCCCGATGTTTGTCGCCAGTCCAGTTGAGGTAGTGTGTGATGAGGAAGAATAGCATGTGATATGACAATGTGGCGAAACTTATAGACGCAAGAAAAGCATAGATCTTGATGTGTTTGACGCGCGCTGCTTTGTATGCTTCGAGTTTCGCATCCTTGGAAGCTTTCCCTGAATGGTATATCGAAGCATACCGTTTGTATAGATCGATTACAATGCTCAAAGTGGCGTATAACGCGGCAACAATATAGAAAAGAAAGATTGCGGAGCCGACATAGCTGTTTGGTGGTGTGGCGTAGTACACCAAGTCGTCGTAAATCGGTATACCCATTATTGCCCAATGCTTAATATGAAAAACCTGGGGAACTCAGGAAATTATATCTAGCTGCTCGGTTGAAGCCACATGGCGGACGGATGGTGATTCGCGATACGTGACGTAATGAGACAATTGGCGTGTGAGATTTCGGGCTACGAGACATTCGGCTGCATCCGCACCTTTTGAACCTGAGAACACCAAGTAGTCAAAGGTACCGACGCTTCATCGTACAATTAGATATGTATGTTGCTGCATCTTCATTGCTTGACGTATGCAAAAATATCAATCGTGTTGCAGGCGATTAGTGCTACACGGAACAATGACCGGGGGCCGATGAAGCGAGAAGCACACCATGATCCTCATGGTCGCGATAGTTGCCTTTCAGCGGAGTTGTACCGGTATGATTGCTCTCCTTTCTGATACAGGCCCAGACACAACATTGCAGGTGATTTTGCAACATCATTTCTTGAGACATCCAGTATCGGCGTTTCCATGCGCTCTTCAAACCCGTCTAGGCCCGATTCCTACCAATCTGCAGACACTGTAGTTTTGGCAAGATTCCAACAGAAAGCGCGTCGTCCGAGATATGCTTACAGATATTGTCGCTGCAGCATATATAAGACGCTGTTTGCGCCCTCAGGTACTGCCACTCTTAAGATCGGCCTAATGGTCGCCAGACTCAGTGGCAAGAATCATGGATCCTGCATATACAGCGGAGTACGTTTCTCTTGCACATGTCGCACCGAAGCAAGAAACCCACCATTTAGATCAAATGCCAACCGATTTAATCTCACCAGCACCGAACCAGTGTTCGGAGGAATCACGTCAACGCGAGCGTAATTTCTCGGCGCCGCCGGTACCACTGTCAATGGACGTAGTCGCGAGCTGCGAGGACTGGGCTTGCAGTGAACGTCCCCGAGAAGCTTCAGACCGCGCATCAAGACATGTAAATTTGACCCTGAGACTTCCAACAGTCGACACCAACGCTGCTGCAGCACTGCCAAAGGGAATCGTCATCGAACCGATGAAGAAGAGCGACCCGAGCGATGGCGCAAGAGTCAGGCAAGCTCCAAGTTTCGGTGGAAGTGAAGACGCAAGGGTTTCGCAAGCGATGGGGGTGTCGTGCTATATGAAAACATTAATGTCGACGTACATTCGGGGCGGCTAATAATAACTTGCTTGCTGCAACATCTGCCAAAGCGACTTCTTTGAGAAAAATATGCGCACGCCACTTTATTGGCTGCTTGTCGCTGTTGCATAGGCTGTCGCTTCTGCTTGTGTCAAAATTAAACGAATTGTTCAGGGCAGCTTTGCTCAGGTAGTGGCCGCTTTCCCACGTGCTCTCATCGCAATGGGCTTTACGGGGGCGTGTGTCGCCCTTAATCCCGAGCGTTGTCGCGTGCTGCGGAGTGGAGACTTGCACGTTATCCGAGGCAAAACGGCTTACTGCGACGAGTTCAAGTAGGCAGCTCTGCGCATCGATTATGAAGTACGAATTTCGTGACTGTCAACGTTCGGGGTACTACATGACTTGAAGCTGCCTAGTTCGGGGCGCTGCGAAGGATGCAGCCGCGTACGGGGATATGTTCAAAACTGCAAACGGCTGTCTCGTGGACGTGATGGCTGTCTTCGAGTGGGGCGAATATGTCGCTATGGCGTTTTGAGATTTTTCCTAGCCCTCGACGGCACGTCTCTTTCGCCTTTCTGATCAAAACCTGCATTTTGCGATCGCAACGCGGCGCGCATTTCTTTGCTTAGCAGACCCTTGCCGCTGTGCGAGCTCACGACGTCATCATCTCCTTGCATCTGTCACACCCACCACAAAAGAGATTCGCATGCGAGTTAGACTTGTAAGGAGTCATCGCAGCGCTAAAATCAGGTCTGCTTCTGGGCTGGAGAATTGATTGAAACGCGGCAATAACTTCCACGCCAATTTGTGCTTGAATGGACGACGAAATCAAAGGGTTGCCGAGGGAGAATCCCGCAGCTCCTTCGAATTCCAGACTTGAAGAAGACGGGAGCGTTAGAAAGAAATACTCCTCAATGCACCATGACGGTGAGGAGGAAGTCATCGAAACCCCCGCCTCAAAAGAAGCCAACATCGCGCGTTCTGGAACAAGTCAACGCAGGCGCTCGCACGATAGCCGAAGTCTGAAAATAACAAGGTCACACCAATCCCGAGGCGGAGGAGACGGCTATACGTGTTTCGACACGGATCCAGAAAGCCCTCGACCGACCAAACCCGGTGGCCAGCAGCCATACACCGTGACCTGGGATGGCGACGCGGACCCGGAAAACCCGCGCTCAATGTCCAAACTAAGGCGGTGGTGTATCGTTTTGATATGCAGTAGTAGCTCGCTGTGTGTGTACGTCACGTTCTCGAGCAAGTCATGGAAGCACATCTAACGATTGATGGGGTGACAGGACTTGTACGAGTTCGTTGTACACTTCGACCTACTCCCAGCTCGAACCTGAGTTCGGCTCTTCCCGCCTTGTATGTACGCTGGGCTTGTCGCTTTTCGTGGCCGGCCTGGGTACTGGGCCCATGGTGTTGAGTCCGTTGTCCGAGGTACGCGCGAGAGCAAGTTTGCTATCAATCCACTCACCTTGACAGTTCTATGGGCGGAGACCCATCTACCTATGCTCATTCGCTTTCTTCTTGATCTGGATGTTTCCGTGCGCGTTCGCGAATAACATCCAAACTATGCTGATTGCCAGGTTCTTGGACGGTCTCGCGGGATCAGCGTTCCTCAGTGTTGCTGGAGGCACTGTCGGTGACATGTTTGCGAAGCATGTTTGTTGCGTGTGTCCCGGCTGACCTATTATCACTGATTGAAAGCAGGAACTTTCTGCACCTATGATGGTTTACACTGCATCACCATTTGTGGGCCCTGAAGTCGGACCGCTCATTGGCGGCTATATCGTTGAGAATACCACATGGAGATGGTAAGTTGCACATCAGACCCACCGATAATATAAGCCTGCCTTTGTGGTGCACCATGTGAAAAGCCCCCGTCAGTCGTTTCTAAGCACTCTCGCGGTGTCAGCTATTGGGGCGACTTTGAACGGTATTGGTAAATGTGCTAATGTCAGAACTAGGTGCTTTTACCTGCGTATGTACTGATCCCGCGAAGTGAGAGTGAAACAATGGTGAGATGCTGATTTTGTGCTTTGCTCGTCAGTCATCATATGGTCAGGAGTACAGCTGTGCCTCATTACACTATTTGTGCCTGAGACCTATCATCCAGTCCTTCTTCGCAGGAAAGCAATTCGATTGCGAAAAGAAACCGGAAACACAGAGTGGATAGCGCCTATTGAGAAGATGGACCGATCAATTGCCCGAACGGTACTTTGGTCATGCATACGACCTTTTGAGCTTTTGTTCTTCGAGCCAATGGTGCGTCGGCCAAAATGACTGATTCCCTGTAATACTGACAGCTAGGTGGTAGTGTTTGAACCTCTGTGTGCTGTCCGCGATCTTACTAGGTATACTGTATCTTTTCTTTGGTGCGTTTCCACTCGTCTTCCAGAATAATCACGGATTTAGCCTTTCCCAGACTGGGCTTGCCTTCCTAGGGCTTCTCGTAGGTATGCTTGCAGGGGTAGGTAGCGATCCAATCTGGAGAAGAGTCTATGGAAGGCTTGTGCGGCGGCGCGAGGAGCAAGGAGGAGAATTTGGCGCTTCTGAGCCAGAGGATCGCCTGCCGTCAACAATTCTCGGCGCTTGGGTTATTCCCATCGCTCTTTTCGGTAAGCCGATGCACGCGTGTGGTGTGGAACAATCATTTAATCACGTTTCAGGCTTTGGGTGGACCACGTACTCGAGCGTAAGTGTTAACTCAATCCAGAACGCAATCGTATGTGGCTGATGTGCTGATTTTGCAGGTCCACTGGATAGGTACACAGCAGCGTGTCTTTGAGCCGAAATCATGGCTGATCATTGCACGACAGTTCCAATAATCTTCTCAGCTGTATTCGGTATCGGGTTAGTTATTCATTTGGAGTCAATGTACTTGTCATTGATGAACGGATACTGACCGCCTTCTCGCGTAGCGTCATCTGGGTTTGTAAGTTGTTTCCCATCCCTTGAATTGGAAGCAGCTGACGTGACAATTTAGATTCCGGGGTCTTCACCTTCCTGGTTGAGGCTGTGAGTTGGACCGACATCGGACCAGGGCACAAATACTGACCTCGCCGACCACTAGTACCCTCTGTATGCCGCATCTGCCCTAGCCGCTAATAGCTTCGCTCGCTCTTACTTTGCAGCAGCCTTTCCGTTGGGTATGAGCACTTGGTGCATGCGCTGTGCAAACGTTCCACTAATGCCTTGATAGTAAGCAATCATCCTGTGCGAGACGAGCATCATGGCATGTCAAAAATGTTCCTTGTCGTCAGCGAGTCTCAAGCATTGGTTCATGACGTGTCGCACATGGTGGTGTCTATACGACGATTTAGAATATCTGCTAATGTAATGGTCATGACAGTTCGGCGTGCAACTGTATAACAGTAAGCTCTGAGACTGCGTAACTCGATTGAAATGGCGGTCACTAATTCGGTAAAGATCTCGGTTATCAATGGGCAAGCACGCTGCTTGGGTTTATAGCTCTGGTCATGGCCCCGTGAGTGGTTTCCAGCGTGGTGGTAACGAAGCGCTAAGTTGTGACTTTGCAGGTTCCCAATCTTTTTCTTTTTGCAAGGGAAGAGGCTCAGGGGTAGAAGTCGGTATGCATCAGCGTAAACGGCGTGGGATGGCGAGGGAAACGATGTGGCGGATCTGAATGGAAGATGGCTAAGAATAGCAGTCACACGGCATTTGCATGCCGTGATGATATTTATTGAATCAAGAACCTGTGAGACGACCTGAGGCACGCTGGCGGGGCCCTTGTGCGACGCGACTAAACGTGCGCCACGAGGGCTGCTCGAGGAACGAGGGAACACAGCGACTGAAGCGGTTACGGATGGCACCGTTGGCGAGGGCGCGCGTGTGAACGTGGCCGGTAAGCCAGAGACACGGACTGCGTCACAGCTGAGCAACATGGGGCGTACTCGCGAAGGGTAGCGAGGGGTGACAAAGGGCAGATGGTGAGATGGCAGTGATGATAGTCGGTAGTACAAGGCGTTGAGAGGCTGAGGATGGGCCAGTCATGTCCGGACGCCAAGGCTCGCAATCAGTTGCGGCATGCATACTTGGTAGGCGAGCTGTGAGGCACACTCAATATCGAGGCCGACGTAGCAGCGGATGCGTGCTTCTGGGCGGGCCCGTCATGTAGTTGAGGTGTTGGGATGGCTATGTTGTGTGTGTAGTGTGTGTGTGTATGTGCAGTGTGGTGTATATGCGCCTGCTGGGGTAAAAACTTGACAGTACCGGCTATCTCATGTCGCGAGGGCCACGGGCATTTGGTGGCGGTGGGTCGTCCCCTTAGCCCCGGTGTGTTTGGTGGAGGCGAGCTGTCGATTCTGGTGCAGTCGTCAGGACTCAAGTGAGTCGTCGAGGAGTTCGGTGACGTCTGAATGGTGGAGACGGTTGGGTGGCTCGCTAGTGGCGCCAAGCGACTGTGGAGGCCGTGTTAGCCCCGGCCACAGGGACCGAGACCGAGGCAGAGGCAGGAGCGTGCCTGTGCTGTGGCTGCACCTTCCACTTGTTCAGCAAATCTCGACGACGGATTTGCGGGGAATCAGTCGCAGTTGCGCGCACCTCCAACGACACCCACGGCCACACCGCGACGCCTCGAATCGACCGCCGACCCCCTCCAGCGTCTATCGCGCCCTTCAGCCCACTTGCAGCGCCCACGGACGTCCAAAGCCGCAGGCCGCAAGCCGCAAGCCGCGTGCTAGCACATCTCGAGCAACTGCTCCTCCAGCGTCTCCACCGCATCTGCGTGCACACAGCCCTCCCCCAGCAGCGTCCCACAGCGTCGCCTACTGCTGCTTCCTTTGCTCCTGTGCTCCTTTGCGCCTTCCCTTCCTTGCTGCCCACTGCCCACGCCGCCCCACCCCACCATCGACTGCCCCGGCGCGCGCTGTAGTGTGCACCATACGTCCCACGGCCTCGTTCCCACAGTAATGGGCCTCGTGTCTTGGTAGCATCCGGCCATGTACCATGATTCTGTGTGCAACTGTAATGCCCATTCGACTGCAGCGACCCCGGCCTTGTACCACGACAGTATTATTCGATACCCGCCCGCCGGATTGAGGGCCGCCCTCCTACTGGCTCCACCTCTAGTCTCCGTCCTTGAGCTGTCAAAGTGTACGGCAGCAACCGTCGAGCAGCCAGCGCACGCGTGATTGACTCTAAAACACGCCGCTGGATCGCCTCGAGCCGTGCGCGCTGAACCGTTGGGCTGGGTACTGGAAGCTGCACCCACGCTACGCCTGCGTCCCCAGCGCCCACGGCACCCAGCACAGCAGCATCTGTGCGCGCTGCCACGAGTAGAGGGATATCATGGCCTCCCCAGACGCCGAGGATGCATCTCCCTCGCCCGAGTACAGGAGTGACCTGGACGACGACATGGCTGCCGAACAGAAGACCGACGACGGCTCCCCCTCTCAAAAGAGCTCCAACGGCCAGAAGCCCGCCTCCAATGCAAAGGATCCCTTGAGGCCACGCAGGAAGAAGGCGCGCCGAGCATGCTTTGCCTGCCAGCGCGCCCATCTGACTTGTGGTGAGTAGCATCCCATCTGCCCTCATGTCATGTGATTTCTGCGTACATGCCTTTCTGACAGGAACAGGCGATGAAAGGCCATGTACTCGTTGCATCAAGCGCGGCCTCCAGGATCATTGTATGGACGGTGTGCGCAAGAAGGCAAAGTACCTTCACGATGCGCCAGATGGCGCTCTGATGCCCGGAGTGGGCGGACACTATCCGTACATGAACGGCAACCGTCCAACACCACTCCCAAGCCAGGACACGCATAATGTCCCCATGGCGCCACAAGGCAACATGTACACGCAAGCTCCCTCAGGAACCTTCTACCAACCGCCTTCGGCACAGATACCCTTACCACAAGCTCAACACGGCCGGTCTTTTAGCGACCAGCAATCCCCTCTCTCGCCACCTTTCAGCCAAGCGCACCACGGGCCCAATGTCAACCCGCCGAGCTCAATCTCGCAAGGTCAACCCGGCCAGATGCAGCAGTTTGGACCTCTCTTCGATCCGAGCGACCCCGCTCTCTTCAACTTCGACATCTCCAGCCTCAACTTTGGAAACCACTATGGCGCACTGGAATTCGGCATGCTGGGGCACATGTCCTCGGCGGTCGATGCGCCCAACGACAACACCATGATGAACGCAATGAACCAGACCGCGAATATGTATGGGCCCCAGATGGCTGGTGCGTACGGCCCAAACAACCCTAATGCTGCAATGCCGTTTGCACAGAATAGCTTGCCTGCAGGCGAATGGCAGGAGTCGCAATCACGACAGAACAGCATGCACATCCATACTCCCACCAGTTCAGCCACAGCACTTGACCACGGCGGGCACCGCCATGACAGCCTCAACGGCCCGCATGCTTTTGCAATTGGACAAGGCCCCTCCAGTCACTCCACAGCCAGTCCAGCCTCCACCGATGCATCTGCGTTCGAGAACGATAATCCATTATCGACGGCAACCTTCTTTGCCAACACCAACCGTGGCCAGCCCCAACGTTCACCTACTACCAACCGACACCACCAAGGTAACAGGCCGCCAAGTACAGCACTCCAGCCGATCCACTCCAATGGAGTTCGCAAACGCCACCGTGATACGAAAAGCATTTATCAAGGCATCAAGAAGCCGTTCGACTATGTCAAGGGCTACCATAGGCTGTTCCAAATATGCCACAAGAAATTTTCGAAAAGCCTGCTTGCACAAGCACAGCAGTATTTGAACTTGTACCGCCCAGTCTTGCTTTCAGTGCGCGAAGAGATGGACACGGACGACTTGATTCACCAAGAGATGGGTCTGCAACGTAATCTGATGACACTCCAGGATCACTTTACGGAAGTAGGCACTCCATTCTTGATCTGCAGGCGATCAGGAGAGATTGTCAGCTGCAACAAAGAGTTCACCATACTCACAGGCTGGCGGCAGGATGTTCTGCTGGGAAGGGAGCCGAATCTCAATGTCAACCTGGGCAACAGCCGGGAAGCAGATGAAAGCGAGATGTCTACGCAAACCAATACCACACCCAACCTCACGGGTCAGGAGGCCGAGACGGGGACGCCAGCTGTCAACGCCATCCAGCTCATGGACGCCAAGTCGGCACTCGAATATCTGCAAAACTTTTCCGAGCTGTGCTGGCAGGATCCTCACGGCCATGCAAAACAGCGCGCCAACATGCTGCGCTATCAGACCAAGGCAGATTTTGATCGCATCCAGGAAATGAAGGCCAACGCCGATCACAAGTCGGACGCGTTTGTGAAAATGGAAGGTGGGGCCGTGCATCAAGGTGAATCGGCCATGCAGCGGCTCGGCGCGAAAAACGGTATGGTGGACTGCATGATTTGGTGGCATATCAAGCGCGACATCTTTGAGATGCCCGTTTTGGTTTGCATGTCGGTAAGTCCATGAACCGCAGGTCTTAGCGTGCGCGCATCTCCACTTGTATACGTACTAATGCATGTGATTAGGTTATGCCGGTGCTAGACAAGGGTTTGCAATGATTTGTTGGCCGCACATCGGTCTTTTGATTTCTTACACGTCACTTTCTCGATCTTGCCTTTTGGGATTTATGTAGCTTGCTTTGGGACACGCTTGGCGCGATAGATGAGGAAAAGCTTTCTGGTAGCTGCAGAGTAAGATGCGCTTAGCTCATGCATGCCATCGATGCAAGGCCCACCGTCACCCATGAACGGCCCGGCCGATGGAGTCGATGGCTCTTCTGCAAGTCATATGAGGATGTACATGCGGGCATATATACCCAGCCAATGATAATGGTTAATGTTGTTAGCATCAGCGTTTGGGCAAGTCGGGTGTCAACTGGGCGTTGTGGGAAAAAAACTAGAACGTGGCTCGACTGGAGCACTTTGCCACAAGCAAGTGTTCGACACGTCCATTCTCTCAATCGAAATCCACAGTATACAATCATACACGCATCGCTATGCCCACTCATTGCCTCATCTACTCCATCCTACTCACCCCGACCCCATCCACCTGCCCAACCTGCCCCCCACCCTTCCCTCTCAACCACTCATCCCGCTTCCAGCTCTGATACGCCTCCCTCTCCAAACTCTTCTGCGCAACCCTGATGTCGGTGCGTATGTCCTCGACCAGCGCCTCGACACTGACATAGTCGTACTCGGGCCGTATAAACCCCAGTATAACCAAGCTCAACGTCGCGCCGTAAAAGTCCGCGGGGAAATTCGCCAGGATGTGGATCTCGATGCTGCGCTGCGTGTTCTTGTAGTACGGGTTGAACCCGATGCTCAGCACGGTGGGGTAGATAGTCGTACTGGACGGCGCGGGCGCGGAGGTGTATTCGAGATCCGCGACGGCGTGATTCGACGAGCGCGACGGCGGTGAGGTGTCCTCCGTTGCGCTCGGGACGCTCGTGGTCGTTGTTTGTGCTGCAATCGAACTGTGGTCCAGCGTGCACCAGCCGTAGTATATGCCCGAGTCCAGGTCGTCGTGGCCGCCGATGGACAGGCCTTCGAGCGGAATGTTGGCCGTGGGGATGCCGAGCTCTTTGCTGCCGCGGCCGAAGCCCTTGATGACGGGGCCGCGAAGGCGGAGGGGGAAGGGTGGCGCTGGGGTGTCGGGGCCGGCGATTGGGTCGCGGGGGCCGGATGGTCGGGGCATGCTGCGTGCAATTGGTGTGGATGCTGCTTTCGTTTCGCGTGGTGAGGGTTGGGGACGCAAGCAGGTAGTGGTGTTGACGGGTTAAGCTTCGAGCACTTTCTGGGAGCGATTACAGGGTCCAATGGACGTGGTGGGGCGCGGAGTGACAGGCGTCATACAGCTGCTTAGTAAGACAAGTGCGAGACATCACCTTTTTTGATCTTTCGCAAACCATACATTTGTCAGTCTACGCTTGGTCAGTGACAAGGATCTGCTGCGGCACAACAAGAGTAAGATGCCTGTGGCCGAAGATTAGTTCTTCTACACTTTAGGACGATGTAAGAGAAGTTGAATGGATGTGGAAACAAGTTCTTTGTTGCTACCAATACTTTGCCAGAACCCGTCGTTCCAGAACCAATCTCCAAAATGGCCCTTCTTTTCGCAGCCGACTCGCAAACAATGCTTTTTGAAATTTAGTGTACAGATGTAGTAAAGAGAAAGCGTGCTTAATCGCCAGTGTCCGTAGGCTCCTTCTTTCGTTTCGCAAATAAAGAGCCAACAACCGAGTGAAGTATTCGTGGGCGGATGCGCGAAACTCCGGACCGATTAGACAGGTAGCCGTTGTCCGAAATAATAGGTTGTTGCAACGAGGCTAAAAAGAACGCATCAACACCATATTACGACTCATTACTTCTTCCCGATTACATCATCGTTCTCCAAGCAAGGGCTGGGATTCGCTGCCGTCTCCCGCATTGCCCTTCTTCTTCTTACCTCGCTTCTTCCTCTTCTTTTTGCTTCCTCCCGCTTGGCTGCCAGGATTCGCTGAATCTGCGTCCGAGTGACCCTTGGAATCGTCTTGCGCACCGTCAGTAGGGCTAAGTAGGATAACCTTGTCATCGGAATCACTCGAACTTGTGGTCTCCAAGACAATCTTCTTGACGCCGTTCACGTCGACAACATTCTCGGAGATGCTGCCGCTGCGAGCGGTGTGGCGTTTCTTCGGGGGACTCTTTGACCGCGAGCGTGCAGAGCGTAGGGAAGCGATTGTGCTGACTGATCTTGCGCGGGATCTCGAGTCATGGTTGTGGTTGTCGTCCTCGTCCTCGTCCTCGTCGTGTTGCTTTGAGTTGTCGACAACCAAATAGTCGCCTCCATTAGCGTTGGACTTTGGCGAGCGTGGCTCTTCCTCTGCGTCTCTCAAGCCAGAGCGACCGGATTTCCAGGACATGCGATCGCCACCTGGTGCCATGGTACCGTATCCCACTGCCACGCTATGAACACCATCGCTGGCCTCACGCCCGGCTGAAGCAAGTAGTCCTTCCCCTACACCGCCTTGTAGTCCCTTTGATTCCGGTAGCACCACGCCTGAAGACGACCCCAGTGATGATCGATCGGGTATGGCTGGACGTTCGTATTCGGGAATGGTCTGGGGAATTGCAGCGGCGGTTGAGGGCTTGATCTTGACGGTGTTGATGCGCGTTGACTTGGGCCTGCTGGCGGCATTGGACGGTCCGAGGTGCTTCAGGTGACGGTAGACCTCGGGGTCATCGCTGCGAAGAGGCTCTGCCCCTTTGTTTCCGCTGCTACGGCGTCGTACTAGAAACGAAGTCAATGGAGGGTTCTCAGAAGTCTCTGGCAGGGACAGCTTGCGTGGCGCATGACCATTGGGCTGAGCCTCCTCTTCGACGTCGATGAGCGGTTGTTCGGATGCTTTGCGAGGGACGTCGGTGATGACCTTGCCCCGGGGCACGCGTGCGCGAGGAGCCGGGGCCATGCGGCGGATGGCTTTGTGGACGTCAATGAAGACGTCGGACTCGTCAATGATTTCCCTAGTCGTGTTAGCGGCACTACTACATATTGTCAGACAGCTACTCACTCTCCAATGAGTTCCTCGATGACGTCCTCCAGTGTGACAACACCGACAGCGCCGCGGGACTCGGCTGGGAAGTCGGACACGAGTACCATGTGCGACTTGCCTTCCTGGAAGAAGTTGAGGATATCTAGACAGCTGGTCTCGGGACGGGTTTCGGGGAGCGTGGCGAGGGCGAAGTCGCGTACACGCAAGGCGTCCTCGGGATCGTAGGTGATGAGCATCTTGACAAGCAGCATGCCGACGAAGTCGTTCTTGTTGCCGGGATTGTGGATAGGAATGCGCGAGTACCCCGCAGAAAGGATGTTGTCCATCATCTTCTCGTCCAAGATGGTATCGGACGACATGGTGAAGACGTCCTTCATGGGTGTCATGATGTTGCCCACGGCCTTGGCCTTCAGGTCCAGCACAGCGGTAATGATTGTGACCTCGTCCTCGTTGAGACGTTCTTCGGCGTGACCGAGCGACTGATGCAGCGTGACGAGCGTCTTGAGGCCCGTCTTCTTGTATATGGGTGCCGTGGTCTTCGCCGAGGAGGTAATCGAGGAGCTTCGCAGTGGGCCAGGCGGCGATGCCCATGATGTACATGAGCACGAGGACGAGGGGCGACATCCAGGCGCCGATGGGCAGTCCGTAGCGGACGCATATCGACTGAGGCACGACTTCACCGAAGATGACAATGAGGACCGTGGAGCTAACAACGGCCGGCCAGCCTCCCCCCAGCGAGCGGTCGAGCACAATGGGCAGCGTCTCGTTGGTGATGACGTTGCTGAGGAGGAGCGTCACCAGGACCCAGTGCTTGCCGCGCTTCAGCAGTCGCAGCACGCGGGCCGCGTTCTTGCGCTCGTGCGGCTCGCCAGACTGGGCAAGGACCTGGAGGTAGATTTCGTCCTGGCCCATGAGCCTGTGGGATGTTAGCACGCGTGTGCGCAGACGTTGAACCGCGCACCGGGTGACTTACGCAATGGTCAAGCCCGCAAAAACACCACCCGCCAGGACAAGCGCAATTGCGATGCCCAAGTACAGCACGAGGCTGGCATCGTTCTTTGGGTGCGCCTCTTCACCGAGCGCGTGGACGAGGCCGCCCAAGGGCAGGGGCAGCGCCTTGACGATGGGCGCAAAGGCGTGGAAGACGAAGACCAGCAGCATGTTGACGCGTGCAACGCCGGGCGACGAGAAGCCATTGGCGGCGCCGGGGCGCGAGCGAGCGGCGCTGATGGCAGAGGCCATAGCTGTATTAAGCACCTGAGTGCGGGGAGATGAAGAATATCCCAGTGACGGGTGTCGGCGACGTAATTGACGATGAGTGTAGAATCGCAGAAGCGCCGTGGAGCACCGCAAATTGATGCGGAAGCGGCGGTTTGGCTGGCTAGCGGCTGCACGTGCGACGGGAACGCAAGCTTTCAATGTTGGGAACTAATGGGCCAGCCGTCAAGGTGCGCGCTTACAGGCAATCACAAAGTCTCCAAGCACAGCCAAGCAGCACGCCTTATTGTTGCATGCGAAGTGGCTGTCTGTGGAACGAGCAGCTATCCCGCCGACTAGCAGCAGTACCTGACGAGCTGGACTTTTTTTTTTCCGGCTAGACCCCGCTGTGGTTCGAAGCCATCTGCGACGAACTGTGGAGCTAGCCGGCCTTGCAGACGACCTGGGTACCGATGTCATCGCGCGTCAGATCAGATCAGTGTCACGTGCAGCGCCGTTCGGAGTTTCTCTGCCAAGTTGTCTAAACACCGACATGTGGAAATCTGGGGTAGAGCCGCCGGTAGCCGCGACGGTCGGCTATGGCATTGCACACCTGCCACTTTGTGTTTCGCGTCTGAGCATGAAGTCTGTGTGTTTGTGTTTCCTTCTGCATGCTCGTGAGTGAGTGAGTGAGTGACTGACTGACTGTACACATTCGCCATAGTATCATGGCTTCGAAAACACCCTCCATCCGCGCCCTGTCGCGCTACCTCCTCCGCCCGCAAGCGCCCCACTCGCACTGTCAACACCAGCGCAAGCAATACTCCGCTGCCGCAGCTGGTGCGCGCCTCAATGGCACAGTCGAGTACGACACGACGCCAATCCTGAACCACACGTCCAAATCCACCCTGGCCAACCCTGAGCTGCCTGCCGAGATTCGCAAAGGGCAGACCAAGCGCATAAACCTCTACACCGCCGTCAACGAAGCACTGCGGCATGCGCTGCAGACAGACGAGCGGGTCCTGGTGTTTGGGGAGGACATTCAGTTTGGCGGTGTCTTCCGGTGTACCATGAACTTGGCGGCAGACTTTGGTACAGAGCGCGTCTTCAACACGCCGCTGAGCGAGCAAGGCTTGGTCGGCTTCGCAGTGGGAGCCGCCGCCGAGGGCATGAGGCCTGTCGCCGAGATACAGTTCGCCGACTATGTCTTCCCGGCATTCGACCAGATACACAACGAGGTGGCCAAGTACAGGTACCGCTCAGGCTCAACCGGAGCAAACTGCGGTGGGCTGGTCATCCGCATGCCTTCGGGGAGTGTTGGCCATGGTGCATTGTGAGACACGACGCACTGAACTACGCGATCAGGACTGACCTGCTTAGATACCACACACAGTCTCCCGAGGCTCTCTTCACCCACACCCCGGGCCTCCGTGTCGTCATACCTCGCTCGCCCATTCAAGCCAAGGGTCTACTCTTGTCCGCCATCCGCTGCAACGACCCTGTCATCTTCATGGAGCCCAAGATCCTATACCGCGCTGCCGTCGAGCAGGTCCCCGTCGATGCCTTCCACCTGCCACTAGACAAAGCCGAGGTCATCAAGCCGGGCAAACACGTCACCATCATCTCGTACGGAACTCCGCTGTACACATGCTCAGCAGCGATAGCAGCAGCCGAAAAGGACTTTGGATGCAGCGTTGAGCTCATTGACCTTCGCACAATATACCCCTGGGACCGAGAGACTGTTTTGAACAGCGTGAAGAAGACTGGCAGGGCCATTGTGGTGCATGAGAGTATGATGAACGCAGGTGTCGGCGCCGAAGTTGCTGCTACGATACAGGAAAAGGCGTTTCTGCGGTTAGAAGCGCCCGTGAAGAGAGTAGCAGGATGGGCGACCCATACTGGGTTGATGTTTGAGCAGTTCATCATTCCGGATGTCACACGTGAGTTTGGCCTTCTACTTGCATCAAATCAGTGCTAACCGCTGCAGGTGTATACGATGCGATCAAACAGACCATAGGCTACTAACAATAGAATAATCTTTATTTACACAGCAAGTCATGTCATGGTTCACCATTCCCTTGCACACTCCACCCCATTCTACATCGTCTCGCACCTCACCGTCGTCCAAACATTGTCCTTCGTCGCTCTACTATACGGACACACCTGTCTCGCCTTGTACACCACCTCCTCCAACTTCTCCTTCTCAATACCCCGCACCCTAACCAACAATTCCACCCTCAACCCCATATCCAAGTCCTTCATCGACCCCACCAAATGCACCGTGCTCTCCACAACACTGTCTTCAGGCTTCGAAGGCATCTTGACGCCCAGCGTCGGCGCCACGGCGTTCATGGCGGATTGGAAGCACGCGCCGTAGCCCGCGGCGAACAGCTCTTCAGGGTTGGTCTTGTCTTTGTCGCCCGGGCCGCCGAGGGCTTTGGCCATGGTCAAGTCGACTTTTAGCGACTCGCCGTCGACGTGGCTGGGACATGTTAGCCACGCACTCTTCGAAAGACGATGGAACGTACCCTGTGCGTGCGCCGATGACATGCGCGCGAGCTGAGTATAGACTTGGCGCTGTTTCGGTGTTGAGGAAGCGGCGTGAAGCCCGCGACGAGACGCGTAGAGATTGTCGGAGCATGGGGGTCACGGTTCGGGATGCCATTGGGGAGTTTTTTTGTGCAATTGGAATTTGGCTGGGGGAGGTAGAGTGGGATTATTTTGTGCTCACGCCTCTGAAGACGTCGACGGTCTGGGCCGGTGACGGAGTCCATGACGTCTTTCAAGCCTCAAGGTCCAAGTGTTGATCGAGCCGCATCGAGCCGCTAGCCATCCCCATTTCTGGGTCCTGTAATAGTGCGCCATACCCGTCGGATCGAGCCGAGTGATTACTGTCCAACCATGGCAGATCCGGGCTACTTGCTCTTGTCTACAACCTCTCCCCCTCCCTCTCCAAAACAACAACCAACATCCCCTCCGCCACCTCCTCCCCATCCTCAACTTCCATGACCCACCCCACCCTCCCTCTCCTCGGACTCCGTACCTCCAGTTCCATCTTCATCTGCTGCACCACGCACAACACGTCTCCCTCCCTAACCACATCCCCCACATCAACCAGCACCTCTACCAATTTCCCGGGAAATGGCACGCTGATGTGTGAAGGATCAGACGGATTGCCGCGCCGGTGCTGCGAGGTTGATGCAGCTGCGCTAGCGGACGTCGAGGCCATGGTGAGCGTGTAGGGCGTGGAAGTAGCGGGCGTGGTGAAGAGGATCTCAGCGGTGAGCGAGGTGGGGAAGTCGTTGCGGAGGACGCGGGTCAGCTCGAGATGGTGTGACGCAGGCTCAGATTTGTTTGACGAGAGGCTGAGGGACCATGCGTCGCCGGCGCGGAAGAGGGTGGATGCCGTGGTGAGCTGCAAGCTCGGGGATGTTGTGGCGTCGGTGCTGGGGATGTTTGTGCGTGCGGACGACATCTTGAGAGACTGGGCGAGGAGCGAGGAGTGGTTGCGTTCGAGCCATTGCGTGTCGCATGCACCTGCTGAGAAGTCTGGATGCGCGAGGATCGCACGCAGGATGGAAATGTTCGTCTTGACGCCCGAGATTTGCGTGTCGGAGAGAGCGCGTTGGGCTTTTTTGACTGCGGACGACCAGGAGGATGCTGTGATGATGATTTTCGCAAGAAGGCTGTCGAAGTCTGCTGAGACGATGGATGGTTGGCTGGGGATGAGATGGGTATCTATCCGCACACCGTTTCCTGTGGGAAATTGGAAGGATGTGATCTTGCCAATTGATAGTGACCAGTCGCTCTGTACATTTTCAGCCGTCACACGCAGCTGTATTGAGTGCGCTACTGGTGGTGTTCTTGGATCTCGTTCAGCATTGGGCAGGCTGCATTGATCCAGTTTGGCTCCTTGGGCGAGAAACAACTGGGCCTGGACAATATCCGTCATCGAGATGGACTCAGTGATGGTGTGCTCGACCTGTAAACGTGGGTTTACCTCGAGAAAGTAATACTCTCCCGATGTAAAATTGACCAGGAACTCGAAGGTACCCAACGAGAAGTATCGAACCTAAGAAAATCGTCAACGAAACCTATTTTTAGAGAGTTTCCGGCCTTCATACCTCCCTAGCTATCCTCAGCGCATCCTCAGTAACCTTGGCAATTAACTCGCGGTTCGACACCATACTCGGAGCCAATTCAATCACTTTCTGATACCTCCTCTGCAACGAGCACTCACGTTCCCATAAATGCGTGACGTTACCAGTGCCGTCTCCGATAATCTGAATTTCGATATGTCGAAATCCATCAACAGCCGCCTTCTCAGCAAACACCTGCTTCGATGGGCTTTCCTCCACAGCACGTCTGACCAGCGAAGCTAACTGATCCTCACTCCTAATCAACCGAATGCCTCTCCCCCCGCCCCCGTCGACTGCTTTGACCATAATCGGATACCCCACTGCTGCAGCGAAGCGTCGGACATCTTCTACGCTGTTTGTAGGCTGCAGCAGAGCCGGAGATACTGGAACGTTGCCTATAACAAGGTTAGGGGTTTTTTCCGGACGAAGCAGTTTTAGTCATCTCTTACAGCGCTCCGCAAGCCCTCGCGCCTTCAACTTGTCCCCCGTCTCCGCAAGGATCTCCCACCCGGGACCAACTACCGCCGCACCTGCTTCGTCCCACATGCGCTTTGCAAACGCTGCGGATTCGGAGAGGAAGCCGTAGCCTGGGTGGACGGCGTCGATCTGATGTTTTTTTACCATCTCAATTAATGCGCTAATGTCCATAAAGGTCGCAGCTGATGGCAGCTCGATGCCATGGGTAGCTCTGGATGCATGTGATGCGTCGCCTGATATGTAGATGGCATATGTTTCGATGTCTAGTTCTCGGGCGGATGAGATTATTCTTGTCGCTATCTCGCCTCTGTGGTGAGGTTAGGATGGTGATGGGAAGAAGTATGTGGTGGACTGACCTGTTGGCGATTAAGAGGCGCTTTATGGGTCTTGGTGGTGGTCGGTTCATTTTAGCTGATAGGAGATTTGGACAAGATGCCTATTCAAGTATTTCTACAATGAACTGTGATGATCTGGGTTAGAAAAAGTTGCGTCCGCACTGTCAAGGTCGGCCTTGAACTACTCTTCCCCGCCGTGAGTATTTACAGCACTCAATGGGGTTGTTTCCAAGTGTTCCGGGATAGCACAGTGTTTCCATGGTTGTTCAATCACGTTCGTAGTCGTGCTGAAGTGTAACAAGCCAAAGGAGGCGGGGAAGCGGCAACTGCCTCGGTCCCCAGCAGCCACCCGACACTTGCCTGTCTGCGACAATCCCACGCGCTTTGGAGCCGCCATCATGTAGATCCATTCGATTGCTTCTCCTCGGGAGCATCTGATAGCAGCACAAAAGTCCTCTTTAATTGAGATGGCCGGAGACGAACAACCACCGCCAAAAGACGCGTCGACGGCAAAAGACCGTCTCGCGCAGGTCAGCTCTCACATCGCGCCAAACCCGCCAAAACGTCGAAGGAAGAAGAATGCAGATTCAGATCTGCCCGCCGACTACTCAGATATTCTTGGCCAGATTGCGACGCTCCGTAAGATTGCTTCAACCCCAGACACAAAGAACAGGGGCTATGTACGACAGAAAGCGGCCGGCAAGCTCTGGGTCCGTGAACGCGTTGAACAATTGCTGGATGTTGGGAGCTTCCAAGAGGTTGGTAGTGTGAGCGGTACTGTAACTTGGAAAAAAGTTGGGCCGACGAAGGAAGAGCCTGTGGATTTTGTGCCGTCGAACAATGTGCAGGGTACGTAGGACATGTTGGTACGGCTGGCCGAACTGACATGATCAAGGTTTCGGACGACTACGAGGCCGAAAGATTGTGTTTACTGCTGATGACTTCTCGATACGTGCTGGTCATGCTGATGGGTCGTTGATGGAGAAGACGGTGCGTACTTGTTGACACGGCACTGATGGCCCATGCTGATCGTGTGTAGCTATACATGGAGCAGCTCGCACTTGCGTTGAAAATACCCATAATCAAACTTGTCGATGGCTCCTCTGGCGGAGGTTCAGTAACGACAATTCGCTCAACAGGCTTCTCTTACATCCCTCCCCTGCCATCCTTCACGCAGGTCGTGCAGCAACTCAACATGGGCATTCCCAACTTAGGAGCCGTCCTTGGCCCAGCCATAGGACTTGGTGCCGCACGCGTTGTTGCATGCCATTTTTCTGTCATGGCAGCCGACATTGGCTCCCTCTTCAATAGCGGTCCAAATATCGTCAAGAACGCTACATTTGAAGAAGGATTGTCTTTGAACGATCTTGGCGGGCCGGCTATGCACTGCACGAACGGAACCATCGATAACCTCGCCCCCGATGAAGCAGGCTGTTTCGAGCAGGTTCGGACTGTGTTGAGTTACCTGCCCGATTGTGGCACGAAGCTTCCACCCACCGTGGAACCGTCCGATCCAATTGATCGTGTGTCAGAAAAGCTACGATCTATAATACCGCGTGCTAAGAACCGGAGCTATAATCCGCGTGCTATTATCAAAGAAGTTGTCGACGACCAATCGTTTTTCGAGATCGGGGAACTATGGTATGCTTCCCAAGTATTGCACAGGAAGACCGCTAACGAGCCACAAGGGGTAGAACGGCCATAGTTGGCCTGGCTCGCTTTGGCGGTAAGCCAGTCGGCATCGTGTCACTGAATTGCGAAGTCAACGCCGGAGCTCTTGACGCGCTTGGATCGCAAAAGATCACACGCATGCTGAAGTTTCTGGATGTCTTTAACCTCCCTCTAGTCCAGTTCATAGGTGCGAACGTGCTGTTCATTTCCTTCCACATGTTTTTACTAACGAGTACCGCTTAGATATCCCGGGCTACGCAATCGGAACCGTGGCTGAGCGAACGGCAACTATGCGCCATGGTATTACTCTCGCTACAACATACTACAGTACTACGATGCCAATTTTCAGCATTGTGACGCGGCGTGTGTATGGAGTTGTAAGCCACCTTCCCCTGATATATCCTCTAAATCTAATCGCTCTTTCAGGCTGGTGGAGTTATGCTAGACTGCCGCACGCCTCGCATGCGGGTAGCCTGGCCTTCCGGGGTCTGGGGCTCGCTCCCACTAGAAGGTGGCATCGAAGTCGGACATTCATTCGAACTCAAAGAGATCGAGCGCAAAGAGGGCAAGGCAAAGCGAGACGAGCGGTATGCTGAATTAGCGAACGACTACGCACGACTGATGAATCCGGTACGTACGGCGAATCATTTTGGTATTGAGGAGATAATTGACCCGCGGAACACACGGCCGGTTGTTTGTGAGTGGGTTGGTCACGTGTATGAGAACTTGCTGCCGCAGAGGGTCATGGAGCGAGTTAGTGGAAAGCTTCAGCCCATGTTTGCGTAGAGGCCGTGTATGTTATTGTCCGAGGAACATGAAGCGTTGTTGTCCGATAATTTGCATCTTGTATAATCTCCTTTGCACGTCTGCGCTCATTAAGCTCGGGTAACACTCGTCGATCTCACGTCTCAATACAAAGCGTGCAATCTTCCTCTCTTCGACGATATCGGATGTGAGTCTTTGACCTGGCAATCCTTCAATGCTTGACAGCAAATCTGACACTAAACAACAAAATCAACCCAGCAATGACGAAGACTTGACACCAGCCTTGCAAGCCTCGCAAGAGGGGTGACCCGATGTCCGTAGTACTCCAATCCCATACCTGCATGCTCGCTGCTGACTAACGTAGCAGCATGATCACTTGGATAACGATGACGATCAAGAGGACGGGCTGAGAACGTTGATGGACACAGTCGTGAAATGCTGCTACATAATGTCTTTGTACATCATCCTAACGATCTCCTCAAAAACGTAGACTATCGGATGCAGGGATCTGTTAGGGTGAGCATAGTCTCCATTGTTGTGCTTACTTGAGCGTATGTTTGGCAGCGCTATGCGAATCATTTGGCCGATGGGCGGATCGAGTGCATTCCAATCCCCATTCACAGCACAAATGCCTTAGACGACCCTACCTGTGCTACTGGCTGGATTATGTGGAGTTATTCTTTACATGGGGCACGATCTGTTCACTGCGTTTTGCTATGCGTTCTTTATTCATAGGCAAACAGCCGTTAGCGGACCTTTAGCGTCGATCGGAGAGAAAGGGCTGCGGTCTAAAGGCGCGGTTCATGTTCATCGTCGCCATTCCAGTGTTGCTATGCTTATCTTACTAGTGAAGAGAGAAGACACAATTTAGGCTTACTAGTCTACCGAGTTAGGGCTGACCGGTCGAATTGTCGCCATGATCATACCATTAAGTGGTGCTTGTAGGGTTATCCTGCAATCTCCGTCTTGTTTCCAACGAATGGCATTGCTTTTGGCTTGTTGATTGGGTCTTTCCGATGGACCTTCACATGTACCTACGCAGTTTTCAATCAAACATATCCCTGAGCAGCACAGAACGAATACATGAAGTGCGCCTGCTATCGAAGAGTTAGAGGTAGCGTGATTGGACAGATTCCCACGTATGACTTCGCTTAACCTTGAGTATGCTTGAGCGCAGGTCCAGGATACTTTCGGCCCGACGTCGCATGTATTGAGCGACAATCGAAGTGCCGTGCCGCGGAAGTCGAACCCTCTTCAGCATTCACACCCTGAAGCCACCGTGATTTATTTCAGGTTATAGCCACGCCCGAGTGATTCGCATGGCCGGACTACGCCCCAGATTCTGTCGCGCGGTACCAATGATTGACTCGTGCGCATGTGGCACAGGCAAAAGCTGGGGTACTCCCGGCGGCGACTTTAACCCCCTTGGCGCATCCTCGTATATTGACGAGGCTGGATGCGAGCTCCTGGGTAGCCCTCTGTTGTTCCAGTGTCCATGGACACGACACGAAATATTGTGCCAATTATGAGCATCGTGCGCTTTACTTGCTGCGACAGCTTTCCTGCTTACCTGAAGGTTTCGTCTTTTGTACCCGACCCGAACCGCTCACCAGCATCTCCATGCACGGAATACTGCGGCAGGCGGCCCGATTCGTCGTAGCCTGACTTGCATTTTACCAACACGCGGGGCGAAGTCCAACGCATTCTAGCCGTCTAAAGCACTTGCGCTCGTGTCCATGCCGCACCGCCGGCTGGTAAATTTGACGCCTGAGCCTTGAAGACCGACTGGATGTCTGACCATGTCTGACCATATGTATACCCGCGCATCCCCGCCCGCGGATGCTGCTGATCGTCTGCGTATCAACCGGCGCACCACTTCCGTAAAGTCAACAACCCTGGCCCTTTTGAGGATTGTCCACGGCACCATCGAGGGCAAAGCTCGAAAGTAAGCGCGTTGAGTAGAACGCGCGGAAATGTCATGGCACCCGTCGGCGCAGCTGCTACCGCCAGACAAGCTGATCCGGTGCTCACACGCATCGTCGAGCAAGATCAGGTCCCCTGGTACCGTAAACGCAATCTTCGGAGACTGTACATGTTATTGCTACCGACATGCATCGGCATCGAGATAACCTCTGGCTTCGACTCGCAGATGATCAACGCAGTTCAGATATCGCCACAGTGGCAGCTTTGTACGACACTTGTACTTGAAGATGAACTTGTCGTTGCTGATGACTGTAGACTTCAATAACCCCAAGGGGGCGCTTCTCGGCATCATCTCCGCGTCGTACAACTTAGGAGCTATTCTCGCACTCCCCTTGGTCCCGTACGTGAACGATCGGTTCGGTCGTAGATGGTCTATCTTCCTGGGTTCATGGATCATGGTGATAGGTTCCCTTATCCAAGGGCTCTCGATCAGCGGCAAGTGCACCTCACACAGCAACATCGCGTACTAATTTTTGCTAGCTGGTATGTACATTATTGCGCGACTTTTACTTGGATTCGGCATTCCCTTCTGCATCATCGCAGGCTCAAGTCTTATGGGAGAGCTTGCATATCCAAAAGAAAGAGCTGCGATGACGAGTTTGTTCAACGCCCTTTGGTTTGCCGGTTCTCTAATCGCCGCCGGCATATCGTTTGGAACACAGTCGTTAAAAGACGATTGGGCGTGGCGTCTGCCGTCCCTTCTCCAGATGGTTCCATCGATTGTTCAAATATCCACCATCTTGTACAAAAAGCTACCTGCCCCACTCCAGAGACTGCAAACTGACTGCAAGATTAGTATGATACCCGAATCTCCTCGCTTCCTTATTTCGAAGGATCGTCGCGAGGAAGCATATCGCACACTTGTCTTTTATCATGCCGAAAACGACCACCACTCCGCTTTCGCAGCGGCTGAAATGGCTCAGATCGAACACACCTTGCGGATTGAACTTGCGAACTCCAAAAGGTCATGGCGCGAGCTTCTAGTCGTCCCTGGCTTACGCAAGCGTATTATCGTCGGTGCCGCGTTAGGCCTCTTCACCCAATGGAGCGGCAATACTTTGTTGTCATATTACCTCAACGATATCCTACGCTTGATTGGGTTCAAAGACTCCAAGTTCATAGGGAAGCTGAATGTTGGCCTGAACAGCTGGAACTTGGTAAACGCAGTGTGTATCTCGCTGCTCGTCCGGCGCTTTCCACGACGAAAGATGTACTTGACTTGCTCAGTCAGTTTGCTTCTCTGCTATATGACTTGGTATGCCCTACATGTCCTTGCTCTGGATCAATCTTGGAATTAATTAACCCAAACCCGCAGGACGATCAGTGTCGCTCAGTATGCGGAAGATACCGCCCGCAAAGAGGTGGCTCGACTGACCATAGCTATCATCTTCATATATCAGACGTGTTACCTGATTGGCTTTAATGGGTCCGTATTGCGAGGACGAAATCCACCGACAAATTACGCTAACATTCAGTAGTATGTACTGCCTCAGCCCCTGGCTGTCATAAGGTAAATCTTCCTAAGCTTCGATCGAGTGCTAACTTTGTCCCACTATTACCAGCTCTCACATACAGTAAGTGTTGTGCCAGATAATGACACATTCCAAAAACTGACGGGCCTGAAGCATACCTCGTCGAGCTATTTCCATTTGCGCAGCGTGCGAAAGGTATCACGGTTTTTCAGTTCTTTGGCCGGTCGGCGGGCTTTTTCAACACGTTTGTAAACCCCATTGGGTTGAAAATCGGCTATCGGTATATGATCACATACTGTGCGTGGCTAGCGTTCGAGATCGTTTTTATCGTACGTCTGACTCTTCTGATACTCATTAACCCGGACGCTGATGCTCTCTCGTAGTACTTCATGTTCCCCGAGACATACGGTAGGACTCTTGAAGAGCTCGCTTTCCTGTTCGAAGACCGGTCTCTCGCCGACGAAGCGACAAAACAGGTGGAGAAGCAAATGGAATGGTCCTCGGAGCACAGGTGGTCACGTCTTGACAACAGCATGAGCTGGGACATGGATGTTATGATGCCGAACAAATCCGACGTACAAACCGACGACGAATGCAGAGGGATTGGTGGCGGAGACAGGATCAGAAGCGACAGTACTGGACGAGAGATTCAGCCCGTCAGGGCTAAACCCAGGCAGGCGATTCGCGGCGAAGGCGGCAGCTGGCGACAAAACCAGTACTAGCCGTGGGTGTCGGTGATTAGTGCTTAAACTGGCTGGCAAAGCAGTGCAGGTCAACAGCAACCATTAAAAGTTCCACACTCACTTGCCTAATTATTCAGCCATCACAGGGGCAGCAGAATCTCATGTCGTGTGTACCGCCTCAACAAGCCCTTTCGTCGCGAACGCAAGTGGGATTATGTGTGGATTGACGCCGCCGGTCTGCCCATGGACGATAGCGCGCAGAAAGTCGCAGCATGGAATGAGGTCATGGTTGACATCGATACGGCCTAATACATGGTCAAAGAGCTGGAAGCACACATTGCTGTCGGCATTTAGGTATGTGCTGTGAAACGCTACTACTCTTGTCAAGAATCATACTGTCTCTGTCAGTTTCTTCAGACTCGGTGTGAGGATTAACGAATTACAGGATCAAAAAGCGGACAGGTACACTGCGTGAGCAAAGCTGTGTGTGCTACCAGAAGTGCTCCCATTCCCCTGTGGGAATTCTAGTCGAGTCGTGCGTCCAACTGGCTGAGGTTGACGACAATAGGGAGATTGCACGCCACGCGTCCAAACCGTCTTTATGGTCTGATTATAAGCTTCTAACAATACGTGAAGAGCCTCACATGCTTGGAATTCCGCTACCAAGAAATTGACGAGTGCCAATTTCATGTCGGGCCTCCGACGTTCCTTCGCGCGCCAAGCTGTCTTGTCGTTTCACACTCACTTTTAGCCGAGCTGCACCAATAACAAAACGAGGCTGGACCCGCAGTAGGCTTGGACAGTGCATTTCCCTGGCATCCCGCTATGTAAGCTTCTCCATGGGGTTCGAAGAGGAGACTTGGCATGAGCGCGAAGCTCGGAGAATTCCTCCAGCCAAGATCTGCGAGACGAGGCACCTGTAACAATGATGCCTCAAACATCGGGAACCAAGTTCCCATACCGTACCAAGCCTTGGTATTCAGGTGTCCGCCATGCCACACAGAGACTTTTCGAATTCGTATAAAGGCACTTTGCGCGCCATGATTATCAAACCAGGAGTTGCACACTGTTGAACAGTCTCTCTTCATACACATTCATTTCTTGCCTTTATCTGCATTTGCATTTACTTCCATTCATTTCATTCCGAGATACCCATAATGAAGACCACTACTCTCTCATTCTTCGCGGGCTTGATGCTCGGCGCCGCCGCCGCTCCCATCGCCGGAGCCAGCAACGGAGTCATCACCGTCCAAGTCAGCCTCGACATGAACCAGGCTGGCATCGCCGCAGCCAACGCCTTCGATGCCAACCAGCTCTTTGCGTTCACGTCCATGCAGCATATTAATGCTGTTCCTGAGGAAGTCGTCAACGGAACGGAGGCCACAGGTGGTCTCGCAGGCGCGTCAGGAACCTTTATCTTCGGACTCAACTCTGCCGCGAACATGATTTGCTACAACATCACGCTCCACAACTTCCAGGGCGAGTTCTCATCTCCTGCGACGACTGCGACGCACATCCACGAAGCCGCCAAGGGCGCATCCGGGCCACCCAGAATCTCCTTCCCGAACCCCGAGCCAGTTGGCGCAGACGCTGTGGTCCGCAACAGCGCTGGATGCCTGAAGGGTCCGTTCGTCACGGGCGTGATGGTCGATGGCAAGGATTCTGGCGAAGGCTTCCACGTTTCCATGATCGAGGCAAACCCCACAGCATTTATGGCAGACACGCACTCATCTCTCGCGTTGCCAGGAGCTGTGCGCGGTCAGCTTGCTTGATTCCTAGTCAAGAGGCTTGGTGAGGTGGAGAAGATGGAAATAATGGTAATGTAGATAATTTAAACTATACAAGAAAAGAAACACTATACCACACCTTTGGTCTCTTGAGATATGCACTGTGACGATCGAGTTGTATCGAAGAACAACAGGGCTCATACAGGAATAGATTGAGGACGGGTGAATAATATGGTGAAGTATCGTGCCCACGTGACAAGCGATGGACTCGATCACCCGCATGGCGCTCCTCCGTTCTTAGCGTAGCTATTACGTCATTGCTTAATTATGGACTCGACGTAACATCGAAGGCTTTCGTTCAGGTAACGATGCGCAGATGCGGGGTACGACGTCCCGTGGAATTCCAGCAAACATGCTGCGCTTCAAGAACCACTGAAAGCCGGCCTGCCGTTCTCCAAAGATAACCGCAATGAGGCTGTCACAGCTTTTGCTTACCATCGGGTGCACCGTAGCTCAAGATGTAGATTATTCACAATACGTGAATCCCTTCATTGGGTCGGAGGGCGCCATACCGGGATATTCGTGTAGGTCAATTGCATCTGCGGTTTGATCATATGTACAGCTAATGAAACAGTTGGCGGGGGAGACGTTTTCGTAGGAGCTGCGAGGCCTTTCGGAATGGTTAAATTGGGTATCGACACGTACGAAGAGCCTATCAACCAAAGTGCACTCAATGGCGGTTACACACCGCAAGGATTTGTAACAGGGATTAGTATGATGCACGTATCAGGAACTGGCGGAGGCCCAAAGTATGGTTTTCCAGCGCAGATGCCGCTCACTGAAATCGACGGAGACGTCAACTTGCTGGATAATCGTACATACTGGCAGAAAAGGGTAAGTACGAATACTCCTCAACTTGGCAGCAATGTTGATCAATGGACAGATTGGCGACGACGTTGCCTCTGTGGGCTACTTTCGTTCAACACTGGAGTCGGGCATAATGATAGAGCTTGCTGCTTCACGTCATGCAGGGCTGTATCACTACACATATTCTCCATCATCAGAGAAGCACGTGTTAGTTGATCTCTCGCATTACTTGCCACATCCGACGCGATCCTGGGATTCGCAGTTCTATACTGGTGGCGAGATCGAGATACAACTAGAATCAAGGACCTACACTGGGTACACATCCATTGCGGGTGGCTGGTGCCTTGGTCCACCAGTAACAATATACGTCTGCGGCGAATTCGATAGTCCACCTGTCAGTGCGAAAGCATTCAAGGGCAGAAACACGTTTCCGGTCGGCCGCCATTTCCGCACTTTTGGCAACAATACGATACCACACCCTACCTATACCGGTCTCCGCGCAAGATCGGGACCCCTGAACGACCGGGTTGGTGCCATCTTTACTTGGGAGAACAGCACTGAGGTAAAATCGCGGGTTGGTGTATCCTTGATCAGCGTGGAAAAAGCTTGTGCCTACAAGAACTCGGAACTGGCGTCTTGGTCTATCGAAGAGACTACGCAAGCTGCACGTGACGAGTGGAACCGAGAAGTCTTCTCCAAGATCAGGGTCGATACCTCTGACTCTGCCAACAAGACACGCATTGCGTTACTGTACTCGTCATTGTATTTCATGAACTTGATGCCCAGTGAGCGTATCGGCGAAAACCCACTCTGGGAATCGGACGAGCCATCTTGGGACGACTTCTACACTCTCTGGGATCTATTCAGAAACCAGGTATCTTTGTGGCATCTCATAATGCCAAGTTACTACGAGTCAATGCTTCGATCCCTGATCGATATCTTCAAGAATGAAGGTTATCTTCCAGATGGTAGATCGGGCAACTACAACGGGCTGGTCCAAGGTGGTTCAAATGCGGATAATGTCCTCGCAGATGCTTATGTGAAAGGCTTACGGGGCGCCATAAACTGGACCGAGGGTTACGCTGCGGTCAAGAAGAATGCTGAAGTCTTGCCATTTTTCGATGAGAATCCTGTCGACATAACAGGCTCTCTTAAAGAGGGTCGATCAGCATTGGACGACTGGATTCCACTCGGCTATGTCTCAGCCAACCGCAACTCGCGTGCTGTGTCCAAAACAGTCGAGTACTCCCTCAACGACTTCGCAGTCAGCCAGATTGCTGCCGGAGAAGCACCAGATGAGCAAGGTATTTATTTCCGACGCTCTGGTGGTTGGCAGCTTTCTTGGGATGCCAAAGCTACAAGTCGTAATTTTTCAGGCTTTGTTATGCCTCGATTCTCTAATGGAACATTTCACGAGACATACAATATAACTAATTGTGGCGAATGTAACTGGCAACAGGAAAGCTACGAAGGTGTCTCATTCGAATATTCGTTCGTTATACCGCATGACATGGCGCGCCTCATCGAACTCATGGGTGGACCAGATGGGTTTGAGAGTAGATTGGACTACATATTCCAGCCAAATACTTCTGGTGTTGATCTTGGTGTCAATGGCTTGGGCATCACCACGATCAATAATGTGGCAAACGAGCCGGACTTCCAGACGCCATATTTGTACAATTACATTTCTAAACAGTTCAAAAGCGTCGAGCGATCGAGGCAGCTGGCGAACGACTTCTACTTCAACACCAGCACCGGTATCCCTGGCAACTCCGATGCTGGTGCGCTCAACTGCTGGTTGATCTGGCAGATGCTGGGCTTGTATCCAGTTGTTACTACGCCTGTGTATCTTCTGGAGAGTCCATGGTTTAATGACATCAACATCACTGTCAATCACAACCATACACTCCGCATCCTTGCAGAAGGTCTCGACGATGGAGATGGAAAACAAGGCTACTATGTTCAAGGCGTGCGCATAAACGGTAAGGAATGGATTCAAAACTGGTTCGAGCATGATGACGCAGATGGAATCATGACAAACGGCGGCGAGATCTTGTTCAATCTTGGAACCGAGCAGAAAGCTTGGGACACTGGAGACGTACCCCCGAGTCCTGGACACCAAGTTGTCGACATGGGGATGAGATGATGGAACATAATGAATGACCTGAGTGTATTTCCATACTCTTATATCCCTCTCTCGAATAAGAACGAATAGCTTCGAAGGCATACTCGGCCAGATACAACCTTGCGAGCACTTTGCCGTTCACTTCTGAAGTGCCTGTGCGAGACTTGTGTGGCCATCGGAAGCAAGCATGCGGGCGGTCCTGCAGCCCATTTCCCTGAACACGGTCACCGTCACCAGATCTCCACAGAAGCCTTGCGAGTAGCGACAAACATCTTATGTCATTACACCAATCAGCGACCTAGTTCAAGGAATCATGCGACTTCTTACCATGGCCGGGGTGCGGTATTGGTTTGTTCGGAGCCAGGAGATTAAACAGCCACCGATCGCAGCCAATGATTGAGGATGAGGGTCACACTCCCAGTTAAAGCTCGCAAACCTGTGACCAACATGTGAGAAGACAAACAAAATGACGGGACTTGCGATCTACTATTTGCTTCTCCTTCTTTTACGCTCTGCTCTACATCTCTCATTATGACCAATCTTTTTGTCGCCCTGCTCTTTTTCAGAGCCTTCTTTAGCTCAGTTCATGCACTACCTCGAGATCATGTTGCACAGCGCTCCAGCTCTGGATGTGGCAAGAAGCCGTTCCTTCCGGGTGTCACACAATATCGCTTCCTCAAGAGCAGCAATAAAGACCGCAGCTACTCCTTCCACCTACCTAGCTCCTATGATGCCAGGAAGCCGTATGCAGTCGTACTTGGCTTCCATGGCTCCAGCAGCATCGGCGCATTCTTCGAGCTGGATACCAAGTTGAGTCAAGAGAGGTATAGCAGCAATAAGATCATGATCTATCCGAATGGTGTTGGAGGAAGCTGGGCAGGGCCAACGTATCATGATGGCAGCACTATCGCCGAAGACGTCCAGTTTGTACAAGATGTTATCGATGATGCGAAAGAACAGTTCTGCGTTGACGAAAACCATTTTTTCGGCGTTGGGTAATGCTTCTACATCTTTTTCTGAACACTCTAACTTTTATAGCATGTCCAACGGCGGGGGATTCATCAGCACGCTCGCCTGTGACCCTGTCGGCAGCAAACTGTTCAAGGCGGTTGCGGCGCATTCTGGGGCATTTTACACGGATATTAATGGGCCAAGTAATGGATGTTCACCTGCGAAGAAAATTCCGATACTAGAAATCCATGGAGCAACCGACAAGACTGTGAAATATGAGGGCGGGCAGGGTGACGGTGGTCCTCAACCGGCAATTAGCAACTGGCTGGATTGGTGGGCGCAACGCAACTCCTGCACAGGAAAGACTGAAGAAGTCATCGAAGATGGCAATGTTCAGCACTACTCATGGTCATGTGACGGAATCGAGGGCTTGCTGCAACACTACAAAGTCGAAGGCCTAGGTACGCATAGCATTGACCACTGTGCATCACAAACTCACACGACATTTAGGCCATTGCTGGGCAGACACCGAACCTAACTTGTCTCAGATATCTGTGCCACAACTACCGACAGTGATCAGAGCAAGTGTGATCGCCATGAAGTTCTTTGACGATATGTCGTAGCATCAGTCTGGACCGTATTATAGCGTGTACAATTCTTGTTATCGATTGCATTGCCATCCTGAGTGCGTTGTGAATGGGGCTGAAGCTCGGCTGCGTGTGTTCGGGGGCTGAGACAGTTCCAGAAATCTGAAACGCCTGACAGGACAGCCCCGTAGACTCGTTCGCCACTATAACGACCACATCCTATTGGCCATACGTCGTTCCCGAAGTATAACTGTCTCGAGCGTAATATTCGCCTAAGGTCCAAGTGTGTTATCCAAGGCATTTGTCAACCCCACATTTCCAGTCGCATCAAGAGCCTGTCACAGCACGTAGCACCCGCCTGATCCACAATGTCGCCTAGAAGTTGGCTGATCACACGAAGGCAGCTTCATATCGTGATGAAGGAAGAGCCCCATGCGATATCGTGGAAGTTTCGGACGTTCCAAGCATGGTATAAATCAGATTCACACCCGCTTCGTTGTCATGTCATCTCCAGCCACTTCAGCACTTCCAACTCACTTCCACTTACTTTCTTCTGCGTCTGTGACTGCAATCCGACCCGGTGTCGTTCATTCAAGTACATAATCATTCACCAACTCTCAACAACAAACCCAAACCACCCCAAATAAATCAACATGCGTTTCACTATCGCCACCCTCATTGCTCGTATGTGGTTACCTTTCCAATGTAATCAACGTTTGCTAAAGTCCATACAGTTGCCGCCACCTCCATGGCCCAGGTCACTCCCAACAATGCTGGTGCTGCAAAGTAAATAGGACAAAAGTCTATCAATGGGAGAAAAAAGCTAATGGTCAACAGTGTTGGCGCCGGAGACGGCTCTCAGTTCATCACTGGCGGTTGTGTGGCTGACGCTGATTGCTCCTCAGCATGCTGTGCTCAGGTCGAATCGTCTGGAGCTGGCGTTTGCTCTGCTGAGGCAGCAAGTCTTCAGAACGGCAAGACAGGTTGCGGGTTCACCGACCCGAACGCGGACCAGGTTATCGCTGCCGCTCAGGCCCAGGTCGAGCAGCAGGGCTTCAAGCGTGTGGTCAGGAAGAGCGAGTAGATGTATTGGTCCTGGGATTTACGAGAACATGATCAACGTCATATAAAGATGTTGAGCTCCAAATGACCAAACAAAAAATCTCACACCATCAAAAAGCACTCTTCTTCACTTGCGGTACTGTGATGTGGCTACGACAACCTTGGGTATTTGGAAGGACGTCCTATAACTTCAAGACTTACTTATCTTGGCAACGAGAGTCTACACAAGACCTACCCCCATATCTTCAGCTTTCTACTACCGCTCTACTAGTTCAGCAGAGTTCAAGCTATCTTCTACTTCTACTTTTGCAGTACTGGCGGACGTGGGTTTCAGAAGGACAGTGTTGGGCCGCTTGACATTCTTGAGTCTGGGAATTTAGGATCTGCACAGCAGTCAGAAGCTCTTGCAGTACCTGATGCCAAAGATTTGACAATAAAAGGAGATAAAACGCGGAGCCACGGCAAGAACATGCTGTTCAGGACAGCTTTAGAAAAGGGACATGAATATAATACAGGCGCCACTGACTACTTATGTTACACTTGACGCACTACCACCTTTGGACTGCTGCGTGCATCCCGCACCAGCGGCATACCACTGGAATGCGTAATCTCATTATTAACAAGAGCTTGATTTGGGATGGCAAGCTCTCTACAAGCGAGATCAGGGGATGTCCCGGGGAGAGGGCTTCGAGGCAAAGGTTTTTGCGTTCTCATATTATTTGTCGGGGACAGAACATGGGCGTTCCGCTGGCTAAGAGCGCTTCCTGGCGTAGCAACTGGACTCAACGCCACTGGTGGTGGTTCAGCTTTTGGCACAGCGCTGGAGAAATAGTTGTTGATTGCAGCACCCATGGGCGAGACAAGTTCTTGAATTGAGTAATGTCTCCGTTTCGAGGTCGGGGATGTTGTTGTAGATTGGGATGAGCTTGCGTGATAAGCTGGACTGAGCTTGGAAGGTTGCGTGGTGATGGAAGGTTTGTGACGATCTTGATCTGTGAGTGGACGTCTGGTGGGTGATGTACCAACAAGAGCAATATCAGGGTGGAATGAATTTGCCAAATGGCGGGCCTCTGACATCGTCGACTGCGGAAACAGGGAGAGCAATCTCGCTGGCCTGGCTGAGCTAGGAGGAGAGAGGCTGCGGCTTGAGTAGCATGAGCTTGCTGTTAGTGGTCTGGGACTATGCGTCTTCGGTGGCGGAGTAGGCTGGTTTTGAGCGGAAACTAATGAGTGCATGGATAGCAGCGGGGTACATGACGGGGACAAGGCGAATGAACTGGCCGTGTGTGGGCTTGCGACGTCAGATGACCGTGGAAGGGACTTGCTGCGCTCCGGAATATTAATACTCAGGCCATGACGATTCGTTGATCCGCTCCGTGCTGTTGAGGGTCGTAGGCCAAATCGCGGAGATGTGAGAGGACTAAGGGGTGATGGAGTGGGGATTTGCGGCGACCTATGTGGTACGCGCTCATACCGCAGGCTGGCAACCGCATTAGAGTTCCAAGACTTGAGAATCTTTGACTTTCTCTGTCTACGACTCCATAGTGGAGATGGTTTAGGTGAATGTGTTTCCTTGGCTCGAAATTCAGTCGTCGTCGGTGAGTCATCTAGGCGTCTAATAAAGACCATGTATGGTATGCACGCTGTGCATACGCTAAGACACACATGGATCTGTGAAAGGATAGCCGGCATCCATAATCCATTGTTGGGTCGAGAATTGAGGTGGCCATGGGATGTGAGGCTATCTAGCCATATCAATCGTATTAACGAAGCGGCCGCAACAAGCGCTCGGGGACTGAAGCAGGCGACGACAGCCATCTTGAAAGAATTGCTCAGTCGCTTGTTCATTACCAGGCTCACGGATAGCATGACCATAGCTACCTCGGTGGACATGTCGATTATGCAGTAGACCATCCAGAATGCTCGCTGATCTCGTCAGTGCCCGATATTATCCTCCATGCTTTCGGTCTATTTACTTACGGTATCGAAGCACCTTCGGGCGATTGATTCCCAAGGTGTTGGTAATTGGCACTGGAAGGCGATAGCAACTATCGACGCGATGCTCCAGAAAGAAACAAAAGTCGCAAAACCGGCTATTGCTTTTTGGTGCATGCGCTGAACAGGTAGGACAGTATAAAAGAACGGAAGCAGCGAGATCTTCGAGAAGTAAAGCGACGCAATGTAGAGGAAGTCGGAAGCGTAGTTGCCTTTCATGAGGACACTGGCACGCTCAATGGCCAACAGCCCCGGATAACTGAGGCCTTTGTAGGCAAGTAGAGACGTCGTAACCGATAGAGCGATTGAAAAAACCTGCCAGCTTAGCTTGAGGGCTTCATCAATCATTGACAGGACTTACAGTTGCTAAAAAGATGAGGAGGTCATCTACCGTGACCTTTTGTAAAACAACTGCTTTCAGGACTTGACGAGCAAAAAAAACAGATACTGTGACTCCTAGAAGTATCCATGTCGCTAAAAGGATGCTGTCTGATCTATCCTGACTTTCTGCGTTTGTTTGTTGTGTTGCAGTGGCTGTGGTCAAATACATGACGGCATCAAAACCGCGAAATCAATGCTGCAGGAGGTGTTTGACGAATTAAAAAAAAAACAGATATGAACTACGCGGAATAACGAATGAACATGAGAAATGAAGCGAGAGAATGGGGCGCCTTTCGGGTTGGCCGTGATGTTGATCGTAGATGAAGGACGAGGAGTAAAAGTACAAGCAACCCCGGGGTAGCCTCGTAGTTAGCATGGCACAATCGGGTGTTTAAAACTATCCGGGCATTATTCCAAAATCAGACATGAGACATGACACGCTCAGAATATCAATGAGCATATTCTCGTCGAGGCTCACTACGAGCAGCAGCTCGGCAAAGGTGGATGTTCGACGATTCCACTCTGAAATGGGACTAGCAAGAAGCATAATCTAGTCCTGCGAGCTATACATGGAATAAACCACTGTCGTGTAATGGTAAGCGCATAGGCGAACGAAAGCAGTCGCGTCACTCATCTATTCTTGGGGTCAGAAGCGCCCGCTTCCATCTGCAGAGCGAATCAGAGCGTGCTGACATGCAGGACAGGGCTACGCATCCTTTCTTATCGATACCAGCGGATAAATGCTCTTTCGGTACCTTGGCAAGCCAGATTTGCATCTATCATCTCGGTAATTGTACGCAGGCTGCAGTGTGAACAGTAGAGAGTCGGGAGGTGCGCTTGTACGCTTCGTAGCTTGATGGATAAAACCGCGACCAATATGTCTCTCAAGCTCGAGGAGTAATGCACTTGATGCGCTACCAAATGCGAGGTCGCCGATTCATTTGCTGTGCGCAAAGTTTCGGCAATTGCCTTCCAACGTTAAGTCGTGGGTCTCGACGTCCAAGACGGGAGGGAACGGCACGCAATAACGATGGGCGTAGATTGTCCAAACGTGCACGCACCATGGTTCAGAGCTATGAACTGATGTTCATTGGGATATAGATGCTGACATCGAGCACGGAGTACTACTTACATCCTGGGCCGTTTCAGGTCTTCGGGCACCGAACAACATTCACTGCCCCCATCCTCTCTTGCTACTCGTTGCTCAGTATCAATCAAGGTATGTGAATCTCTTCGGCCACAATATCCTCGCCCTCGAAGGCGCATTGCCTAGGAGATGCCGCTTTTGAGACCCATGTGGCGAGATGTGACAATGGTGACAAGGCGCTGAAGTAACGGTAGTGCGAGACACCTGGACAGTTAGCATTAGACCTCTGGATAGGTGCATTTTGTAGCTTTGGAAAATATTCCACCTACTAGAAGTCCCTCAGTGGTGCAGTTTTGTAGAAGCCACGGCTCGTCCAGTACATGTACCCTAGCGAGGTTGGCTGGCGAAGCAACTTAAGGATGGCGTGGTTTAATCGTGAGACGATTAGAGAACAAATTCGAGAACCCAAAGTTACATTCAATTTGGATTGAGCTATGACGATCCGCGTGAACACACCGAGAATCTAACGTTGACTTAGTAGAGAAAGTCCTTTTGTGCACACGTTCACTTCTTCAAAGTAGTGTTTGGCGTTTCTAGTTGCTGAACGCCTTGGGTCAGCACAGCACACTCCGAAATTCCGTGTCAACAGGTCCCAGTTCATCAGTGAAAGCAAAGTAGAGTGCAAAGAGCCACAAAACTACTCGTATCGCACGACGGAATACAAAGTGCGCTTTGAAGACTTGAAGGTACTTGTGAGAAGAAAGTGCTGATGCGAATCGCACGTCACCACATACCATAGGAATGGCACATAAGCGCTGCATCCACGTTTCCTTGAAGAGAAGCATTCTAGGACCGAGTACATCGACTAGGTTCCATTCGGGGTGACTCTCCAGCCACCGGGGTAAGTCAGCACATTTTGATGAGAACGCCCGGTTTGACCGGTTAGCGATTCAATTTTTGCGGGATCCCATGATTAGCAAGTAAGCTTCAGCTCACCCCCATTTTTGTTCCACTGCGATTTTCTCTTTCATGACGCAATTGCGTCCGTATGTGCATATAAGATCGTAAAAGTCTCCATTTTACACGTTCTATAGGAGAAACTTCTCTTTGCCCGGCAGTTTCACAGAGCTCACTTATCGCATGGCAACCATGGCCAAAGACTCCTTGGATGAATCGGAACGTTCCCTCCTGGATCATAGGTCTACTGATCGCAAATCCCAAGAAGGTGAACATCCCGCCTGTCGAGATCCGCTGTTAGAATGGGTCTCCCGGGTCGATGCTCCTTTTACTTCTCCTCGATGCTATAACTCTTTACAAAGTCATGCTAGGCATTGGTAGAGATCCAATGCAGTATTAAAACATCTCCAGCATGCTACAGGCCGATATTTTTGCTCTAGCGGAGGATAGGACTGAAGCTGTGCCGCACTATAGTTCCAAGCCTTGTGGAAATAACGGTGTACATATTTAAGACGATTAGCAGTTCCGATAGCTTCAAGTCTTCCAGAATGAGTCTCATTTTCAAATTGATGCACCTATATCTGCATCAGAAGATGACATGGATGCACTAAGGTCGGCTTGGGCAGAGTTATCATCCAGTGAACGAAACCTAGTCTCACACAAGGTCCCCTTCCGATATGCTTCCAAGGTAGTGCACATGTTCGCTTGAACAATGTAGACGAACATCTAGTTCCACCGCCTTTAATCGATTCCCCAATGGACGGTGCAAAATCTTACGTAGGTTCGGTTCTACATCAAATCCATTGCCTGTGGGGTGGAGTTCCTTCCGTGTGAAAGCCGGAGCTAAATCACGGCATAGCAATAGATTCAAATGAAATTTTGCCGCTTGGTTCGAGGCCAACCCGTTATCTTAGATGTAGAGAAGAAGTCTTTTGTGAAACATTTCAAACTGTGTTGGTCAACATAGCTTACTTCAACTCCTTCGCTCATGACTGACCTTTGCACAACATGTCTGCGCGATTCCATTACATGCTGCGCACAAAGGGCACTAGGAGCAGATAATCGCGCCCGAGGCATTGGGTCGATGCGTATTTGCAAGTACTAATGGGGCGGACTAGCGTAGGCAAACGAAAACAGCCCGTAAATAGCAAGAGAGAAAAGTGTGGAGATGTTGGTTTGGCTGTATGACATGAATGTGATGAACTCAAATGTTAGACTGGTTGTGATTTTCAGTGTTTGCTACAAACCGTTCCATTGTTGTCAATCGTCGGCCAGCTGGCAGTTTCAACGTATGCGACGGACAAAAAGAAGTTTACAATCTCCCGTGCGATCATGCCGAGATTAGCGGGTATCTTTTATCCGATCACTTTGCCTCAATACCTACATGGAAAGCCATGATGTAGCGGCTGTAAATTGCGGGGAATGTGGAGCGCGGATGTAGGCGGAGTCCTGGCAGTGAAGTGCCCGCGGGCGCCAAGCCGCCGAGCGGACGAAACCTGCAGAAGTGGATCTGTAGACATCATACTCGCTCCGCCGAGTTCAGGAGGTTATTAGACTTCTACTTCTGGTTGCTCCTCTGTGACGAAAAGCACGATACTCGGACTGGTATCAATTACATACACCAAGACAACGATGCTTGCTTTCTGCGCAGCAACATTGCTGCTGCATACTCTAGTGGTTGCCGCTAGCGGTAATGATGCGCCACAATGCTCCTCCGAAGCCTTTACCGACCCGCAGATTGGTCGTGGTGTGACCATACTCTCGGTGGAAGCACAACCCCAGTACAACTTTACGAGTGACCAAGGAGCTCCTTGGCAGCCTGCCTTGAGCGGTTTAAGCTTTTGTCAGGTTCGCGTTTTCCTCACGCATCAAGCAAGGAATCATGTCGAAAGCCAAGACAACGTGCTTGTCGAAATTTGGCTGCCACTCGATGCACACGACTGGAATGGACGTCTTCAAGCCACAGGCGGTGGAGGTTTTGCTGCTGGTAAGAAGAGTCTTCGCGAAACGCACAACACACTGCTGAAACAGCCACAGGCATGATGGGGGCACATTTAGGTTTGTTCGTTTTAACTTCACATTGCTATTATCTAAAGCATCTTTAGGTGAGGCCATCAAGAAGGGATGGGCAGCAGTCTCTACGGATGGCGGACACGACCCCGCCATTGGCAAATTTTGGGACGCCTCGTGGCTCTCTACGAACACTAAGACACATGATGGGCGGAGTGGAAAGAATGGCAACAGGGACATTAATTGGGGTTTGCTCCACAACTTTGCGTCACGCAGTACGATCGATCAGATTCTCATCGCCAAGAGCATCACACATCAGTACTATGGGTCGAAACCGCATCACTCTTACTGGAACGGATGCTCGACTGGAGGAAGACAGGGGTACGCTGTGGCACAGAAGTACCCTGAGCTTCTTGATGGTATCCTAGCGACGGCCCCGGCCGCGAGTTTCGTGAATCTGGTCGTTGGTGAACTGTGGCCACTGGTCGTGATGAACAAGGCAAAAGTTTACCCGTCCAACTGCGAATTGGAATACTTCCGATACCAAGCTATAAAAGCTTGCGAGAGTGAGTATGACCTGAAGACGGGCATACTCGAAGACCCTCAGGCGTGTGAGTGGACACCAACAAGCCTAGTTGGCGAAGCATTCGAGTGTGAGGGGCAGCAAGTCACCATTTCCCAAGAGATGGCTGGAGTTGTACAAGCTATTCATGATGGACCAGGTAGCACGGTTGCCGACAAGAAATTTACTGGACTCGCTTGGGGAGTGCCAATGACGGTTCTTGCAGATATAACAACAACCGAAGATGGCACCCGCTCCGCAAATCCTTTCAGTATCTCCGCGAATTGGCTGCGACAGGTGATCCTACAGGATGAAAATTTCGACTTCTCTACGCTAGATGAAGACCGCTGGTATTCACTCTGGGTATCGGCGTTGTCTGAATTTGGTGGCATCCTCAACACTGACGACCCGGATCTTTCAAAATTACGCGACTCAGGAACGAAAATGCTCACCTGGCATGGAATCGATGATCCGGCGATTCCATATCAGCATACCATTGAGTATAGACGGAAGGTTGAGGCTATTATGGGTCGCGATGTTGATGACTACTATCGCTTGTTCCTTGCGCCTGGCGTGTTGCACTGCGGCGGTGGTGTCGGCCCGGTTCCAAAAGACCCTCTAGACTCACTTGTGAGATGGGTCGAAGACAACGAACAACCTGAAACTCTGGAAGCCGAAATCGTAGGTGCAGATGGAGATCTTATCACCAGAAATCTTTGCATTTATCCTGCTGTTGCAAGGTATATCGGGATTGGTGACACTAAGCGAGCTTCGACCTGGACCTGCGTTGGCGGCACTGAAAGACCATCTACAGCCGAGCAAGTCGTAGAGAGCGAGTTTGACTACGGAAGTATGCACCAAGCTCCATTGACGGGTGGTGGCCGCAAGAAAGAGCCGGGATCGCATGACAATGACAAGCCGGACAAGAAGTCAGGTCGCGCCGAGGAGATCTTAGGAGGACTCAAAGATCGCATTGAAGGCCTAGGACTTGGCCTACATGCGCAATAAGACCGAAGAAGTCCTCATGCGTGGTCGGAATCGGATCCGTTGCTGCAATCTCCCTCAAAGCCACCGAACATCGGTCGGCAGCAGAGCTATGCTACATCAAGCCCGCGTAAAGTCGCGAACAACACTAGCACGCGCGTTACAACTGCCGCCGAACCATGCTTCGGAGAATTTTAATCGATGTGGAATCTAACCGAGAGCGGCTATGGAGCATATTGGTGGAAGATGATTGCTCAATTTGATTTCTGCGGGGAACGGCCTGTGCCAGAATTTACCCATCATCATTCATTTACTCCAACTGACTTTTACTGTTCTGCAACACTGAATTTTGAAATGAGCTACTTCATATCGAATGTGAAAAGATATACAATCATGGCATTTTGCTTGTGCCCCAGCCACATAAAGAGTGCTGTTGGCATTGCGAAGACTGAGTGCAGCAAATCGACAGTGACCCAAAGAGGCTTTCCATCAAATGCATTTGAACTTTTCCACTGTCGCCATGCTATTGTATGCTTGTGCTGTAAGGGCGCAATGGCCTGACGACCCTGACGACGATAGTCCAGGCTGGCCAGACAATCCGCCTGACGATGACCCACCACCATGGCGACCAACGCCCACACAGAAGCCTACTACTACTTCCGCTACTCCAGTACCAAGTCCCACAGAAGATCCCGAGGACCCACCGGCACCAATATTCACTGGCGTCGACACTTTTGATAATGCGACAGTGTATCAGCCAGACGATTCAACACACCACCTCACATCTCCACGTACAGAAAACCTTCCAAACAATACCATTCTTGCAGTTTGGAACGATTCTGCCCAAACAAGCGGCCCGCTACCAATCTACCAATCTACAAACAATGGGTTCTCCTGGTACGCACACGGCACTGCAAGACCAGCTACCTCGGGGAGGAAACTTCTTGAGCCGCATCTTCTTTTTGTACCATCACTAGGCGATGATGCCAATGTAACACTCCTCGTCGTCAATGCTGTAGATGCTAAAAGCACCAATATTGAGCTCTACGCATCGACAGATCTCGGTGCTACGTTTGACTTTGTGAAGCAAATCGTTAAAGGGGGTGAGATTGGCCTGAAAGCTGTGGGAGAGCCTCATATGGTGCTACAGTAAGTTTTGACGATGAGGAGCACTGCACATTGCGATATCTGCTAATTATCGACCAGCAATGACCGCTTGACTGTCTACTACTCCGATCGAGGAGATGACAAGCATAGACAGAAGATATCTCAGAAGTCAACGAACAGTGTTTATGGAGCCTGGAGTGGTGCTACCGATGCAGTTGCGTCAAGTGTCTTGGCAGATCAAATCGGCATGGGAAGTGTCGCGAAGGTAGGCCGGTAATATCGCGTGGCAAAACAACCATTGACAAAACTTACAGGTCACGAACAATCAATACATCATCACTTTTGAGTCAGAAGAAATCGGCAATGGTACTAGTCCACTGAGTTCCGTCAAATTCAAAATTGCCACATCGCCCGAGGATTTTGGCAAAGCAAGCACGCACGACGTCATGACTGCCGCTGGCCTTAAGCCCCAGGGCGCTCCTTCCGTTACATGGTCTTCGATAGGTGGCCAAAATGGTACCGTCATCGTTTCTGGCTCGACATCAAATCTTTTGTTCGTCAATCAAGCACTTGGCCAAGGGCCATGGAGAGTCGTGGCAACGACCGCAGCTCGCGCCTATGGGCGAGAGGTGCACGCAGGTATGGCGCCATAGATCCATTGAGTGTCACGCTGACAGCTTGTAGTGCCTGATAAAAGAGCACTGCGCATCACTGGTGGCTCAGAGGCCATGGATAAATCGAGCGACATATTGGTAACGTACATGAATTTCGAGAAAGCTCTTGCGGCTGCTGTATAGGGTGCAAGTTGAGGAAGACGACTTTGGTTCATTTGCGGAGAGTTGCTGTACCCTTAGAAGTAGGTATCCATTATTGCTCGACTTCATGGTGCGTTGAAACCTGGGAGACTGAACCGAAGTGCCTGAGAAGGCGCCATTTTTGTAATTCCTGCTATTCGAAGGGCTTCTTCGCTAGTTTCCGTGCATTGTGGAATCCCTGGTCCTGCTCATGTGAACTTCCTCTGGCCGTTCCCACATTGCTCAACTCGTCATAACACTCTTACTTCTATTCGCGAGCACAATCTATACCCTGAGACTAGATTCGTCAGTGACTGCGAAGCAATTAAAAGAGATCAATTTGGCCTTACCCTTAGATTGTCGTCTACTACTCTGAGCCAACCATTTGTCGTGAGCTCATCGCTCGCTTGGGTCATGGTCGGCGTAGAGCCTTGATTGCCAAAATGTTTTTTAAGAAGGAGAACTTTGAAACTTTCATCCGTGGTTGACCAGTGTTTGGAGAATAGGCGATATCAGGTCCAGCACGAAACGATAGGCTGGAGTATCGATCACATTTGACTCTCGCTGATAATGCCTAGTTTCAATCCGAACTTCGAGCGTGGGGTGGTGTGGTGTAGTAGTTGCGCACGTGATCGGATGATGAAGTAAGCAACCAGTATATTAGATTAGATCACCCTGAGGGCTCAGGACTTTACCGACACCTATCGAAAAGCTAGCTAGATGCTGAAATCTATCATTTCCTCACTGACTGCGGGTCGCTCCCTGGGTATTTGTGCTATCAGGAGATGGCAATACGACAGTGGTAGTGAACGAGGGCCAGGTATTGTGTTTATATTTGATTTTAACTCATTTCATGGTTCCCCCTTTGTCACTTTAGAACACTGAATGGAGGATGCTCGGGCGATCTGCGAAGGTGCGACACAGGTACAGAATAGTAAAAAGAACAAAAAGAGCAAACGCAAATGCAGACTAGCAACGCAACATCGCAGATCCGCCACCTAGTGTCTATATACACCAGCCTCACTCCACGCTCACTTTCTCAAATGAGTCTGGACACTCTTTCCAGAGATGTGCCGATTTTCCCGATCCGCAAACACCAATACCGTTGCTCACTCTCGCCAGTGATGTGGAAGTCGAGTTGGCCTGAAAAGCCATAGCCTTAGCCGAAGTGATGAACAATGCAACAACGTCGTTTTGAGGAATGTCGTGAACGCGCTGCTGGTAGGTTTTGTTCGAGGTCATGTTCTATGGAACGAAGTCTTAGAAGTAAGTTAAAATAAGCTCATGCCCAGCATATAGGCGTTCCTGAATCGCTTGCAATAGTAAGTAACATAGCTGTTCGAGCTTTATGCTTTAATTTGAGATTGTTATGCTTCGATTTAAGGCCGCTAGCTTGTCAGAACGTGTCGTTCTAACAGGCTTCTAAGGTGTTGAATGCCTATAAACTTGCAATATGTGTATTGCAAGTGTAGGATTGCTATCTATTATAAGAGCTCTCGAGGTTATACATGCGCTGCTGTGGTTGACGATGCCGTCCTTGCACACTAAAACATCTGTTCTGCCTCCCTTAGCCTAGTCGGGGAGCAACTCAAGGGCTGCGTTATGCCTGTCGATGAACTCCTTGTGTATCTGCACTGGATTGTTGCACTTCCTCTGATCATGGAGGACGAAGCCAGTATTAGATGACAGTAGCCTTGTAATCTCATAGCCAAGCAATTTCCAACCAGCCTTCGAAGAACATCGAACCCGTTCGACACTAAGTTTACAGGCTCCTGAACCAAGGCACTGCTTCTTGAGACACTCACGATCCGCCTTTGAGACTGATGTAGCAGTCTCGCCGCGTTTATCGACGTTTCAAGCTTGCGCATCAATTCAGTGAGCATGGAGGTACTCACTCTGTCGAACTGTAGAAGCTAACCCATATAGATCGATGGATATACAGAACAGGTGGTGGACATGAGCGAATGCTAATAAAACTCGATCTTTTGGCCTATGCATTTGCTCTTTGCTGTTCATTTCGCTATATGGTACCCGTCTCATCTTTCAGGCTCACTGAAACAAGTGGCTCATCGACAAGGCAATACATTCAGGAACTGGCCAAGAATGTACTGTGGGATTGTAAGCAAAGGAGCCAATGAGTACACAGCACCTCGTCGAAAGTTCAATGAATCTATTGTGACAGTCCGCGGGTGGGACCAGCTCCACGTGAGCGCGCGTCGCGTCATTCGGGCCAGTACTAGCGCGCTTCCCATATCCTCAAGCTCCGCCGACCTTGAACTTCACTTTGCTCACTCTACTGAGCAGCCACTCTAGATAAATTTGCTCTGCTATCCAACGTAATGACGGAGTCGGTAAATCTCGAAGCTGAGTGCAAGCGCTTGCACGAGCGAAGCCTTCGGTGAGCACGCTGAACAGGTACGATAGGGAAATACTGACTGAATACAGAGCACTAGAAGAAGAGTTACGAACAGACAAGGAGCACCAGGTCATTCAGAAAGAGATTAAGCAGCTACGACGGCATGGCAAAGCACTTCTGCAGTGCTCCAATGATAAGAAGAGCGCGGCAACGAAGATACTAGAAGATTACGCCAAGGCTGCGTGCCGCAAGTTGTGCGAAGATGTTTACGGTGCCTTCCCTCGCGAAGTCCGCGATATGATCTATGGTCATCTACATGCACGTGACGAAATGCGCGTTACTCGTGGTTTCAAAGGCCGCTGGAGTGATGGCAGCGAATCCTACTTCAATTCCTGCTCAGAGAAACACTGGTGCGCATCTGGTGCACACGAAGTTGCCGGGACAAAAGACCTGTGGTGGGATTCATGCTGCGTGGGCGAAAACATGCTACGAGAGTTGAGCGAGCACTACTACCGTACAGTCCTCTTCTTATTCGCAGCCGATTGCGAGCTTCTTCTGAAGTTTCGAGTCACCGATCAATGGGGCCTGGGGTTCGTCCCTGGTGACATCGCGACCAACATTGGAATCTCGATCGATTGTGCCAGGTATGACTTCGCTGACATAGGATTGATCTTACGCGATGATTCCAACTCAGCCAATGCTAATATCAGCTGGTCTGCCTGGGACACTGACTCTACCCCGGATCGCAAACCTTGCGAAGCATTGTCACTGGATCTTGAGCACCTCTTCGGTTTTAGAGCTGGCACAAACATCTTCATCCAGGTTTCAGTGGAAAAGATCAAGAAACGCAGCCTTCTGGAGAACCAGCAGTGGATGTGCGACGCTGTCATGCCAATTCTCCTGTCAACACTGCAACGCCTCAAAGTGGCTGGTTACAAGCTTAAAATAGTTCTCAGCAGTAAGGAGCGTTGGGCTTTCAGCCGCGACACAGAAGACGATTTCACATTTTCGGGGCAAAAGTTAGACATGGATGTTATGCAATCTTCCTTCAGACTCGTAAGTACGCGGTTCCTTTAAAGTGTGGTACGACGCTAATGGTCACAGTTCAAGGTTCGAGCGCTTGGAAAGATTCAACTCAAGAAGGACGCCGAAGAGGGGAACGACAGTTTTGGGGATGTAGGAGACGATGACGAAGACAACGAAGAAGGACACAGTAGCAACTAGGGCGACGATGATTGAAATGGCGAGATGCTGCACACGAGGAGCGAATTTAATGAAGTAGAGACGGGAGATCAGTGTCAAACGCATCACAAATGGTGGAAATACGAAAGGCTATGCGGACATCAGTACTGCTAATTTCACCTTACATATGGGCTTTGCTTACCCTTTCTTGTGCTTTTGCTCCCTTAGCTCGCTAACACGTCGACTAGATCTTACTGCGTCCTCTTACCGACGAGGCATAACTGAACCACACTTACACTGAGGCTTGACTTGCTTGGGAGCTAGAATGTTGCTTATTATTTCATTTTGCCTCTCGCTACGTGTTATCGAGTAGTCTCTGCGTATATTACCCGCTTTTGATCTCGCTAAGCAAGGCATCAGCGGCTCTCTCACCTGTAAAGTATCCACGCTACGAGGCGGACCCGATATGCTACAAAGCACCTCCTCATTTCCTTCAATTATTCCTACCAGACAGAATTGTACCCTTGCGAGACGCCACTTTCAGCACTTGCAGTATTCCCAAAGTCATCCAAAGCCCAGAAGTAGCCAGCACACACCATGGCCTCACCCGATGAACATCACGAGAACATAAAATGCTTCGGCAAGCGATACTACAAGTAAATAATTCGCACATAGACCGCATTGACGCGACTAATCAAACCACAGGGCACTGAGGGCGGAGCAAAAGAGTACTGCGAAGCTCATTAGGCTACGTCAAGAGCTGCACCTTGCCGAATTTGAGTCAAATAATAACACAAGGATTGCCGAAGCTGCCCTAAGGGATTATGCCAACGCGGCCTGTCGACGTCTCTGCCGCAAGATCTATGCTACCTTCTCGCGCGAGGTCCGTGACATCATATATGTACATCTTTTACAAGACCGACCGTACCGAATCTGCGACGATGGCTATGCCAACGGAGGCATAGCTAATTGGGGATCAAGTCCCCTACTGCGGTTCAGTCGACACACTCATGATCATCTCACCAAAGCAGCATCTGTGGGCACACACATTGTTCGAGAGCTGGAGGAGATGTTTCTCCGGACCACCACATTCCTCTTCACGCATAACAGCAGATGCATGTCGAATTTCAGACTTACCGACTATTTGAAACTGGGTCTCATTCCCGCCGACTTCATCCTCGACATCCAGCTGCAAATCGCGTGTGGGTCGTTTGATCTACTTGATCTGCGTCCTATTCCCCATAGCAACAGCCACTGGGACTCACCGACTAATCTGCGTCCTGAAGCACTTGCGATTAGGCTGGAAGATCTGTTCGGCTTCAGGCATGGCTCGAAGATTACAGTGGATCTCGACGTCGACGCGATTCGCTTACCCGACACGACAGCTAAGGAGCAGTGGCTGTTCGACAACGTGGTTCCTCTCATATTTGCAAGCCTACGCCGCCTGATTCAGGCGGGATACAAACTCAAAGTCATACTCGGCGATGATGACTTTGTGCTGCGCGCGCCGGACGGCAGGTTCTCCTTGGAGCAGTGGACGGTCAAACTCGTGCAGGTGGGCGCCATTAACAAAATTCAGTCGATCAAGCTGACAATTACAGATGCAAGACAATCTCAAACGCCGTGAGGAAGAGCAAGACGCGATCCATTACTCTCTTTGCGCTGACAACATCTTCGATCTGCCAACGACGCAAGCGATCAACTCATCCAATGATGCTGTCGCCGTTGCCGGGCCTGTACAAGACTTTCCACTCGATGTCGATGATCAATTCGTGGAGGAGAGCAGCGAAGAGGACGTCGCGCAGGGGGGCCATTTCATACAAGAGACCAGGGATGGAAGTTATGACAACGGAGTGAATGGCATGGGAGATGAAGACGAAGACGGCAGGAACGAGGGAGAAGACAACGTTGACTCCAACAACGATAAACACGACAGCGACGAGGCTGCGTATGATAACCAAGATGACGACGAGGCTGTGCACACAAGCGGTGAAACTTCCGACAAGCTCGAAGGAGAAGGGTAAGTTGTCTTCCCGCAAACTCCTCTCCAGGAACCGAAGTTTCGGAGCAGCTCCCACAAAAGCGCGATCCAGATTTCCACCAAAGTACACCAAAGCATCTCGTTCTTACCTGCTTACATTTTGGCGTAAGCAGCCATCAGCCCTACACATGCGGCTGAACGCGCGTGCTAATCGGTCAAACCGTTTTCGGCAAAGTCGCTTGCTAGAACACATGCTTCATGCGAGTCAGACATGGGATTGATGGCGTGAGCACCTAGATAAGCATATAAACATACCTTGATGAACATCGTGCTTGGCTTAACACTTCCTGTATCTTTGATTTTGGCGATTGTGGAATAATTATTTGATTTTTCATGTTTGAATACAAGTGCGAAAAAAAGAGCAGAATGGCGAATCAACATGTCCTTCGCGAGCATGCGCTTCGGTATGCAATGCATAGTTTCGAGTGACAAAGATACTGACGGGCTCAAACAGGACGCACCGCACTCTTCACCACCAACAAGCCCACGCCCCATTCCTCCAAACCCAACTCCAAGCCCTCAAAACCTCCCTCCTAAAATCCACCGCCGCTGAACAAGTCGCCCTAGCCGCCCTCGCAAAATCCGAATGCGCCCAACTCTGCAATCTAGTCATGACCCACCTCCCCCGCGAGCTGCGCGACATGGTCTACCAGCACCTCGTCCCGTCGACCACACGCATCAGCCGCGAGTACTTCCGCTCAATCAGAGACCCCATCTCGGGGCTACACACTTACGACGCCGCGAACTGGAAAGCCGCGCACTATCCCGAGCACTACTGGGACGCATCATACGTGGGCGCGCCCTTCCTGCATGAACTAACCCAGATTTATTTTCTCACCTCGACATTCGCATTTGGCGACGACGACGGCCTCATCGAGCAGTTTCTGACTACCGACCTTATGGACGTCGGATACGCGCCGGCAGAGCTCGTGTCGCGGGTGGAGGTGTATTTAAACGCAATGACGTACGATCGCACGACGTGCGTAGGGTACATGTTTGGGTGCGCGACGAAGCCGGAGCGATTAGTTGCCGCACTGAGAGGGGTGGAGGGGTTGAAAGAGGGGGCAAGTTTGTGTGTGCATTTTGAGACGAGGGCAGCAGATGGAGAGGTGAGGGACAAGCAGATTGGGACGGTGTGTGACGCGGTGAGGCCGTGTTTGAGGGAGGTGGAGAAGAAGGGATGTAAGGTGAGGTTGGTGGTTGATAAGAACGACGCAGATTGGACTGGGTGATGGAGCGGGAGAACGTGAGGAGAGAGGTGTTGATGTATCGAGTTGTGAAGCTGAGGTCAAGGTAAAGAGCGTCTGAGCCAGACATGGATCGGATCTAACCTTGCTTTTCCAAGCCGAGTATGCTAGCCCTCCAAGTCCACTCTGGTAAGCTATAGTGCGATTCGTATCTCTTGTATATCCTCAAACATTTCCACATGATCACGTAGAAAATCTGATATCCGTGTATCTACCCCAACTCTTCTAAAAGCCACAACGAGTGCTATACATCCACCTCTGAAGACCATTAGCTCATGATGTGCAGGTACCGAGCGGGGCCGAATTGGATACGTAAAATCCGCCCTTCTAAGTTTCGAGAGCTCGAATGAGAGCTTCAGGATGATCAATTACGGAAGCCAATTTACGTCACTCAACGAATGAGCAGAGAGACATAAGCAAGCGCTCATGTATATTACCTTCGACGTCTACGGCATCGACAAATGAGTGCAAAACCACAAAACATCCATCGATGCGCACGAAACAGCTCCAGAATTTCTCCGCGGCTAAGGCTAAACAGCATGTTGGCAACACGTAAGAATGGCTTTATAGACCTCATGAGCAGCGCTCGAGAACTTTTATGGTGCCATGCAGTCCTGAACTCGCAAGGGGTCATGACCTTGCAAGTCCGCTACAACGTCAGTGCGCCGATCTCGAATTAAAGAACGAAGCTCTACGGGCTATATTCAGCAAAGCAGCACATCTAGCAACTGAATTCTAGATCCTGCTGATCCTTTCGTTCCGCAGAATATTATCTTCAACGCAGACTATTAGCATGCATTTGTGGAGCATGTCAAGATGATATACTTGCGTTGTTTGTTGAATGAGATGATTCTAAGTAGGCTCTACGTCGACATCGCTGTCTAGAGTAAGAAGTGGCGTTGGGGGCAGTGGCTTAGGAGAATGGGCACATGTCTTCCCGCTGTCCACAGGACATGTATCTCTGACTTTGAGATCTGGTGGTAAAGAGTGGCCCAGCTTATCAGAAAAATTGAGCGCGGAGTAGAGATTTGGTGTGTACAGACACTGGACGTGCACAACAAGCACAGAGACAGATCAGGGGCTTTTTACTCGGTATAGAGGAAGATAGTTTGGTACAGCAGCTCGCAGATGTGATAATCAATGCGAAGCTGGTCAGAAATGGTTGGTCAGATCAGGTCGTAGGCCGAACGTGTCCTTGCAGACCGTATGCGTTTATTTCATTTGAGCACTAGTAATCTTTCATCACCGTTGCTTCCGCTGAAGAGTGAGGGCTCACAACAGAGTGATACCCAGCTTCGGTAGGTTTTCCACATATGTTATTCGACTCTTTCCTCGAATGTCTCCCCAGCCTATCCTCATGTAGCACGGGCGAGCAATATCCATTCCATCGATGGCGGCTTTCAGATCACACATCTTATCCACATGCTCCACTATCGTCGTTGGACGTACGATGATGCCCCGGATACAACTTTTTCCATGAGATACAGTCCTTATTGGCATAAAGCAAATACCATCTTGTGGACCATCCATGTCACTGAGGTAGTCGAAAGTCATGGAATGATGCATCGCACTGTCGTGATCAAGACTGTAGCTGTCGTAGTCGATCATCCACATTTCTGTAAGACCCGACTCATGCCCCGGATTCTTTCTCAACGGCATAAGTGGACCATACAAGCCCAATCCAGCACAGAGAAACTGGCCGAAAGGACTACCCTCATTTGCTAATTGTAGGTAATGCTTTTGAAGTGTCGTGAAGGGAACGTGCTGATTCTCAACCTGTGAATTGGCACCCGTCAGATCCACCGGTGCATCGTGTGCTGCCCAGCTCCGAGTAGGCGCCCGGTAGAAGCCCAATGGCGGGACAGGCCGTCCCGGGCTTGAAAAATGAGATAGACTCCAAATGAGTGAAGATGGCAATTCAGCGAGGAATAGACCAGCGATGTAGGGACTGTTACCGTGGAAAGCTTGCATATGCTGTGCAACGCCTGCGAATGCGACTAGCTTGTCTTCGTGTGTCCGCGTCAGCTTGCATTTGCTATAATTTTCGATGAGCCTGTGCCACGTGGTCTGCGCGTCAATGGCGTTGGCGGCTGATTGAGGAGCGACTCTCGGCAGCGAAAAGAACTTGGGAGAAAAGTGAGCTGTCTTGAGACCCTGCGGAAAGAGTTCGGACACGTTCAAGTTCGCCGTTTCGACACATTCCCAGAAGACCTGGTGCGTCCCGATAACGAGGACCCGACGTGACAACAAACGCTCTTGTAGCGCCCATGCGCGCATTGAAAGAGTTGAGTTTTGATATCCACGCAACGCTTCCGTCATGTCAATCAACAGGTGGTCTGCGCCATCGAATAGAAGAGGAACCGGCGCAATGCTGGTGATGTCTCGATCTCTGAAACAAGACTTTGTGGCCTCATCAGTAGCTCCTGTGGCTATACATACATCTGAGGTAGCATAGACTTTTCGCATGATGTTGACGTGGTGCTCCCAATCTTCTCGACTACCAGGTCCCGCCTGGATTATGCAGAGCGAGTCGATCCAGAGATACGGAATCTGTAACCAGCGACATACCTCGATCGCATCGCGGAAATTATGTGGCAGCATCGTGGCGTCAATTCCATGCTGCTCGGAGGTAGGTATGGCTTCTTGTGAAAGCCCCAGGAATGGAACCTGGCCCCAGCAGTGGCTCAGAGCAGCGAATTCAGAGTCCTTCCGTACCTTGAGGCGAGGAACTAGGCGGACAGGATCTATAGAAACGTCAAGCAGGCGTGGGGGATACCAGTTGGCCTGGTTCTCTGATCGCTCCGTGGGGTCCGTACAGCGATTCTCGGATAGCTCCAAATCGTCATGGTCAGTAAGATGCTGGTGCTGGAAAGTGTCAGAGCACTTCGCATGACCTCGTCGACATGCTTGGTACCATAGACGTGAGAGCTTCCCAACTTGATCCGAGCGCGTAGAAGAGGAAAATTTAGTGTAATCTCGATGAGCTTGGTGGTCGTTAGGAGAGAGACCCAGATCAAAATGGCAGTAGTCATGCTCCGGAGGCGCCGGTACCAGTAGATAATTCCAGGAACCCACACAGTGACCTAGAGACTCCATGAACGACAAAACATTGATGAGTCGATGGCCATTGGACTCATGAGTGGGCAATCTAAGAAACACGAGCTTCGAGCCCGTGGCTTGTGTAGCCGCTGTATCGGTCTCGGCGATAACTCGACGATGAACTCTGGAGCATACGATGCAGCCTTGTCCGGCACCGAGTATTAGTTCGTCTAGGGAAGTTCGCCAGCGTGTTGCTCTCTCTCCTCCAGAGCTGTCGGAAGGCATGTAAGGTTTGCAGTCATCACACAACATGACTAACGATGTTGTCGAGTTTTGAACATGATGGAAGTGATGCGCATCGCAAAGCTGCTGATGCAGGGAGGCTGTGCATGCGTCTGCAGCTCCTGCTTCATGACTTGTTCATGTCGCTTACGGCCCCGGACTCTCCAATGTTGCAGTGATGAACTTTACGAATGCGGTACGACTGCGATACTGTCAGATGAGTTGATGGTTCGCGGGCGTCATCGGACGGTGACATGGACGAGAACTGGTGGACAGATGTTGGGCGAGATGTCATGACGCCATCCGCGATGTCTGATCGTCAAAGCTCGAGCTCGCCGCCACCCCGCGGGTTCGTGAGCATCTGAAGCAGCTGCGCATCGCTCTTTCCCTCAAAACTTCGTAAAGAACACACAAACATCCCACATGCGCTTTCCCACCTTCCCTACTCTCCTGCGCACCTTCCACACCGTCTCCAACACGACTAGCGCCTTCTTCCGATCGAGCCCGGCAAACACCATCGGGCGAACCATCTACGGTACACCCCAGCGCGCGATAATCTACCGATCTATGCCCAACATCCCCTTCTTGGGTGCGCTTTTTGGATCCTTTAGCAGCATGGCGGACAACACAAACTACCCCGTGCAGAAGGCCGAGGGCGAGTGGCAGGCGCAACTATCGCCAGGTACGTCTACGCTCTCACAGCTTCGGAAGCATCACCACTAACCTCTTGCAGAGCAATTTCGCATTCTCCGTAAGAAGGGCACCGAAATGCCTGGCTCCGGCACCTACGACAAGCACTACCCCGACGCCGGCGTCTACAAGTGCACCGGCTGCGACGCGCCGCTCTACAAGGCAAACCACAAGTTCGACTCTGGATGCGGTTGGCCAGCCTTCTGGGATGCCGTACCCGGCGCCGTTGGACAGCGACCAGACCCCGGCCTCGGCATGATGAGGACTGAGATTGTGTGCAACAACTGTGGCGGCCACCTCGGACACATATTCAAGGGCGAGAGGTTTGGGAACCCCAAGGACGAGAGACATTGCGTGAACAGTGTCAGCATCAATTTCAGCGCCGACGACAAGGAGAGCAAGTGACTGTCGAAGAAGGGATTGGAGGACGTTAGAGAGAAGCTGTAGAATATGTGTATAGTGACGATGAGATGAGAAATGATGAATGAGAATGACAGCATGCGGCGCTCGTTATCAAACTGCATACTTCTGCATGTCGTGTGTTATACTATTAAGTACACCAGGTCGTGCTTGCCGATGATTTTCGAAGACGGCAGGCACCACGGCCGCAAGAGTCGCCGCATCTTACAACACCAAACCTTCTACACTCTCAGCCGTAAGAATGCTCGTCTCTTGTCTGCATGTCCTCCACTACCCATGATTTTGCCACCATCAGTCTGTCGCTCGCGCTATGTCCTAACCCCACGCCTCGGAGCCTTTTAAACGCCGGCATCTGCAAGTGACCAGCCGACGTCTTTGAACAACCCACCTGTACCCAATGAACGTCCACAAAGACCAGCCACAGCAATCGCTTTAGCTCCCGCGGCCGATAGCCCGCCTCGCAATATTCTTCATCATGCGCCCGTCGTTGTGTTGTCTTTTCCTTCATCCCTTCTTCATGCTAACACGCCGGCTTTCAGTGGTCTGCATTGGTTTGAGCGCGTCGCGAACTTCATGACTGGCGTCTTTGGGCACCAGCATGCATCTCCTGCATCCAAGACTTCCAGCGACTTCTCAGAAGACAACTTCAGTGACGACTCAGAGAAAGATGCTTTCGGGGACCTATCACCGTCTAAAAATAACACTTTCATAGGGCCTGGGCCATACCGAGCACACACAAGCGACAGTGACGATGAAGACACTGCCGATCATTCCGACTCGCGAGGCAGGTCACGCGACCTTTCCGTCGAGACGAACGTCCATCCCGGAACAGCCCTACCACATGTAGATGATTCAGAGGGCGCGGATGCCTCCAAGTCACAGCCCGTCTCATGGCGCTCGCTGCCCAGAAAGGACCAGCTGTTCGTCCTCACCCTCGCACGTCTTTCAGAGCCCTTGACGCAGACTGGACTAGGCTCGTACCTGTTCTACCAGCTGCAGTCGTTCGACCCTTCGCTGCCCGACTCGACCATTTCGTACCAAGCCGGCATCATTCAGGCGGCATTTCCATTCGCTCAGTTCTTGACAGCCATGCTGTGGGGACGTTTCGCCGACTCACCTCGTGGAGGGAGAAAGAATGCCATATGCATTGGGCTGCTGGGAACCATGTTCAGCATCATTGGTTTCGGATTCTCCCATAGCTTCGCCGCGTCGGTGACATTCCGACTCATTGGAGGCATTTTGAATGGGAATATTGGCGTAATGCGAACGATGATTTCTGAGATCATCAAAGAGAAGAAGTACCAGAGCAGAGCGTTCCTGCTGTTGCCTATGACCTTCAACGTTGGCGTCATTGTCGGTCCTATTCTTGGTATGTTAATGTCATTCGTCCTTCGAGAACGACTTGCTGACCGTCGTAGGTGGTATTCTAGCTGATCCTGTGACGAGTTATCCCTCTCTTTTTGGACCAGGCTCTCTCATCGGTGGTGAAACTGGCGTTGGATGGATGAAGAAGTGGCCCTACGCTCTGCCCAACTTGCTGAGTGCCGGATTCTTGCTGTTCTCTGCACTAGCTGTCATCTTCTTCCTCGAAGAAACCAGCGAACTATGCAAAGACAAGCCCGATCGTGGCCTACGCCTGGGTCGCTGGGTTCGTCAACACATCTTCCGCCAGAACCCCGCGCCCGACGCTGGATATAGCGCCATTGCAAGCGATGAGGAGACCGCTTCGAGCTTCGAATTACAAGACACACCGACTTTCGCTCAAAGTCCCGACAAGTCCACCAAACCACGCCAAGTCCTCCCTTTCCGCCGCATATGGACCCGTAGCCTCATCACCACTCTCTTCGCGCACGGCTTCCTCGCCATGCACGTCGGCGGCTTCAACTCTCTCTGGTTCATCTACCTCTCCACCCCGCGCTTCGACCCCTCCCATCCTCACCCACCAGGCTTCAAACCCCACGGCCTCTTCCACTTCACCGGCGGTCTCGCGCTCCCACCGCCACGCATCGGACTAGCCCTCGCCATCCTGGGCGTCATCGGCATAACCCTTCAAATCTTCGTGTACCCCACCCTCTCGCACCGTCTCGGTACCGCCAAGAGCTACCGCATCTTCCTCGCGCTGTTCCCACTCACATACGCCCTCGCGCCCTTCCTCAGCCGCGTGCACAGCTCGTCTGCACCGCCCGATGGCGTAAGTGGACCGTGGATCTGGCTCAGCATCACCCTCGTCCTCTTCATCCAGGTCCTCGCGCGCACGTTCGCACTCCCATGTACCGCCATCCTCATCAACAACGTCTCGCCGCACCCGTCTGTGCTCGGCACGGTCCACGGTATCGGCCAGAGCGTATCGAGTGCGACGCGCACCTTCGGGCCGATACTGTTTAGCTGGCTGTTTGGCAGAGGGCTGGATATGGGCATCGTGGGGTTGAGTTGGTGGTGCATGGCTGCTGTGGCTGTCGTTGGATGGGTGGTTGCGCAGGGGGTGCGGGAGGGGGATGGGCATGAGGTGTTGTTGGAGGGGGAGACCAGGGGGAAGAGGGCGGATTAGCATGGAGGATAGCGGAATATATTACATGGTTTGATTCATGTTACTCATTGTTCAGTGCACAAACTTATCTATTTATGTCCTGGATATTTCTGGGTATTGTATTCGTTAAGCTGTTATCTTCTTCTCCGCCCTCATCCCTCTCCCCTTCCATTCCTTCTCCTTCCCTCCTCCTTCCTACCATTCATTCCACCTCTTTTCCTTTCACAATCTTCCCCACTGTGCGAAGTGCTGTGTAGTGCGTCGACAGGGCTTTATCGCCTGAACTGGCTTCTCCGCTGTGGAGTTGTAGGTGCTGTGCATTGACATCTAGTCTAGGGCTTTACTGCCTGTACTCTGGTCGATGCGATGGGTATCGTTAGGTGCGGCGAGGCTTGTGGCCGCTGTGGTCATTTCTCTGCTGTGAGAGTTGCTGGGTGTCGACGTCGTAGTCCAGGGCTTTATTGCCTGGACTCTGCTCGACGTGACAGGGTATTAAGTTGATCAGGAGTCTTCTTGTCTGCCGTGAAGGGTAGGAGTCGCGTCGAAGTCGTTGCCCAGGGCTTTAATGCCTGGCCACTCGACTCCTTCAGGAAAAACTCCATGTCTCCAGCCTCTCAGGCCTTCGGAACACGCTTCTTGAGCTGCTTCACGACCCTCGGCGCTCCCGTCGCCTCCTGCTCTCCATCCAGCCTCTTGCTCATCTTCTCAATCTCGTCGGCCAAGCACCGCGCCTCGTGATACTGCTCAACATCCGCCAGCTTGGTCAAGTGGTCCTCCGCCCAAAAGAACATGTCGTTCCGAAACTGCCCGAGGCCGGCGCAGTCTGCCACGTGCTTCCAGCTCCACCAAGGCTTATTTGCCGATTCGGTGATGTAGGCGCAAGCGGTGCGCAGGAAGCGAACGTCTGCGAACTCGATATGGCATTTGTTGTTCAACAGGTTGACCAAGTGCGCCCGCTGGGCCGCGACGATCCGGGAGAAGTTGTTGTGGGAGAAGAGGCTCTTGATGTGAAATAGGCCGGTGATGGAGGACAGTTGGTAGGCGCCCTTACTGTTGAGGATGTCGTCGTCGGAGGTCGCGAGGATGGCGGCGTCACTGTAGACGGTAGGCGCGCTGCCGGCACCGAAGGGCTCGTTCGCACTGGGGAGGGTGGCGACCGGTTCCAAAACTGCAGTCGGCTGGGCAAAGACGTTGCTGGCCTGGCCAGTGATCGGTGCGTCGTTGGTGACGCTAGAAGAAGACATCTGCGCGTTTTTTGTCGACGTGGTTCCAGTTGAGCCGCTGGAGGCATCCAGGCCTGCAGATGAGTCGCCAACATCTTGCACGGTTACAGCTGAAGTCTGCGTGGCAGTCGCAGGAGAAGCCTCAAGACTGTCCACATTTGACGGCATGCTGGCCTTCAATGCTGCTGAACAACCATCCATGATGAACGTTACGTCGGCGCGGAGGGCTGTGACGCTGTCGGGTACTGCGGCGCTGTCCCAAGCCGAGAGGTTACTGTGGAGGGTCTCAACAGCGATGAGCCACGGCTTCGCGAGCTCGATGAACTTGGTGATGTCGAAGTTCTCTTGCTTGGAGGTGCGTATGACAGCCGACACTCCGAGAGCCATCTCTTTCAGCATGTCGGTCTTGATCGCTGAATGCTCTCCTCGGATGCATTGTTCCAAGTAGCTCATCTCCTCCTTGCAGACCTGAAGATACTCATCACACACCAATTGTGTGGCAAGTTCTTCGACAGTTTCGAAAGTGATTGGCGCGGTTTCGTCGGAGGTCGTGCCAGCAGGAGTGCCAGCAGGAGTACCAGCACCTTGATAAGTGCCGATTGTTGGCGCGCTAGATAGGGAGTCGCGGAAGGAAGCGAGACTGGCCGTAGAAGAACCAAAGAGATAGCCTTGTGGGCTCCCGTGGAGGGCCTGGTAAGCTGAATCCCACTTGTTGAGAACAATGGGCTTTTGCGCAAAGTCCTCCGAATCATCCATGATATCTTCTTCGGCAGACTTAGCGCGTAGAGCAGCTGCGTTGGCATTGTCGATAATGACCTGCCAGAACTTGGAAGAAAGATCAATGGGGATGCCCGAGTAGTAGTCATCGATCGTGTCGCCGAGCTCGATCGAAGTACTTGCGGCAAGCTTCTCCATTTTGACGATAAGGCCCTTGTAATGGTACTCAAGGTCTCCTGCAATCATGGACCGATACAAGTCACTGTGGACCGCACGATAGACGGAATGATTCAGATCCTTCCAAGACCTGTTGGCGGACAGACTCTCTGCGAGAACCAGAAACCTCTTCAGATGCAGCAAGACGAGCTCGTTGTCGCCGCGATATTGTCGCATTGTAAGGAGGTGCTCGTTCAATCTCGGGACCTTGAAGTCAACGAGCGCCTGATTGCGCAGACAAATCCCGTTCAAGCTTTCAATCCGGTGAGCGTCGACCTCCTTACCAATCTTGAAGGCACAGCTGGCTGCAGTACTCGACAACGTCACCTTCTTTCCCTCTCCATTGAACAGATTCCGCACTAACGCAACATTCTGCCGTCGCACAGGCTGCGGCGCATGGTCGGTGTGAAGCTGCTGATACCGGAGCGATTGGCCATGTATAGCGGTGACGAATTTGGGGCCTGATAAAGGCTGAGAACTCTGCTTGGGATGTGTAACGGCACTTCCGAGACGCTTGACTGCTGGTCTGATCTGCGATGTATGCAAGTTGCGGCTTGGCGCGAGCTTGAAGCGACTGTAAGAAGCCATGGTGAAAAGGGTAAGGAGTATCGCTGTAGTCAGAGGGTGTATGGTGATGGGAGAAACAATGGAAATGGTTGAAGCTGCGGCAAGCGGTGTGGGATGATCGGTTGCTGTCTTTGGGTTGAGAAGAGAGCGATGTGGTGAGGGTTTGGAGCTGGGTGTCGCAGTGGAACATATGAACGTGATCGAGGGTGCTAAATTAGCGTGGTCGGCCGCCAAGTCTGGAATGACTCTTTCTCAAGGTCAGGTTGCGGAACCGGAGAGGGATCGTGTGGGTGGTGGCTGGGAGGAAGTGAAAAGGTGAGCAAACGCTCTCCGGTGGTGAACGCGACAAGTATCTCGGCTCGCGACCGACGAACACGGCCAGAAGACGAACCATCACTTAGGTAAAATTGATATTTTACTAGCTTACATAGTATATATAGTAGCTTACGCTTGGTGTATATATTCTTGGAACGCTGGTGACTTATACTAGTGTGGTGCGAGTATGTATGTCCTCTGAGGCCTAACTAGCATGTCCAGCGACGAGCCTTCCTATATGGATTCAATAGGAATAACGAACATCGCTGAAATCCTTCTGGAAGATGCTAAGTCTTTGTTGTCAAATTTGAATGTTTGCCCAAGTCCCGATGTGTTCTGGAATTGCACGACGGCAGCTCGTAGCTATTGTTCGATTGGAATGGCCAGATATTCCAGACCTCAGTCCATGACATCATTTCTTATCCTATTGTGTGCGAATAAGTATATTCTGTGCAAATTACGTATTCACTGCGCGGTCGGCCTGGCACGCACGTCGCTTGTTTGCAACTTCCCCACCTCGCTTGCACTTGCTCACGATCTCTTGCACCACCACGACCTTGAACTCACACAACAACCGCAAGGCGCCCACTCAATAATTCCAAAATTTGCCCAGGAATTTTGGAAGTACTGATCGATCCTCTGTCTATCCATTGCAATACTGAGACCATCGACGAGTTACCTATCAAACATTCCTACACAATGCCGGACGCCAGCACTGTCACAACTCGCCCAACTACCTCAGAATTCGCCAGCCCAGAGATGGACACTTCCAAGGCCACTCGCACTGCTCAGGATATGCCGTCTCTCGTTGCCAAAGAGTCGGCCACCCTGGACCTCACCGCGCCTTCCTCACCCTTGCCGCTCGCGCCACCTCGCGAGCCCGTGACTTATCGCAGCACTGCGACGCAGATCAAACCTCCGCAGACTGGCGCAGAATTCGTCCGGATATATGGCTATGAGCCAAAAATGCATGATATCGAACACAAGATCGGCCTGGCCGCCATCGGCCGCTACAAGCATCTAGACGACATACCGTACGGCGTGATCCATGGAGTGCCTTTCCAACCGGCGCATAGTGAGCGCAACCCGTCTTATAACAGCTCAGGCTTTCAGATCATGGCCCTAGGTGCTCGTAATATGGCGGTCGCCAAAGCAAAAGCGAAGGCCGGGTTCACTGCAATCAAGTACAAGAACGCCCTCGCAAAAGGCGGAGAGAAGATCTTGACGCAGTCCAAAGACGAGGAGATAGTTCACTCGGAGCAGTACCCCTCAATCATCAATGTCAACAAGGATGGCACTGCACAGCCTGGTCAAGACCTCACTGGGCGCTGCTTCTGGAACGTCTTCAGGGCCGATATCGAATGCGATGACGCAGTAAAGTGCCAGCAGCCTACTGCACCCCAGGTCTTCGCGGCACGCCTACCACAGTCAATGCTCCACACACATCGCGACGCGAAACGACGCGCAATTCCGTCGCTGGAACCTTCGTCACAGTACGACCTGCCAGATCCTATCGTCCAGCAAGACTTTGCTGGGTACGAATACATGCAGGAGGAAGACCTACCATACGCTGCTGACACCGATGCCTTTGTCGTGTTCAAGGCCGAGCATCATGTATCGTGCGACCCTCCTCATGAACCTTTGTCTACGCCAGTACGGTCTCGTAAGCGCAAAGACAGCTCCCAGCTTTCCAACGAGCGAGACAGCAAGCGATCCAGATTGATTGCGCCGTCTACGAGCATTTCTTTGGGTGAGAAGCACGATATCAGCGCTCGTCTGGACAAAACGCCTCCCAAGAATCCTGAGCTTGCTCCTTCACTTCCTTCCCCTACTCCAGCAGCGCTTCCCATGAAGGACCACTTGTCGCAAGAGCGTCTGGACGCGCATTCAAATCCTTTCCCATCCACTCGTGAGGACCGCCGCACGGACGCCGGTCCTCGCTCGAGCTCTCGTCTCATAGATGCGTCTCGTACAGAACACCGCGAGTCGAAGTCACGAGGTGATCGAACCCGTGCTCGGTCTCGCTCGCCAACACACGGCGATATCGAGGTTCCAGGTTCCCGAAAGTACAGGGACCGCAAGGATATTCAGGGTGCCTTGGAAGCGACTACGAGTTTAGACAAGAGGCACACTGAAGATGTTCGATCACAGGCAGTACAATTGACACCTACACCCACGACCCAAGGATACAATAATGAGACGGACCTTTCAGATTCTCTCACATCATCATCTCCACCAAGCTCGCGATCCACACTCGCAAGCTCATATGGCTCGAACAAGAGCACGCCAACCTGTGAGCCTCACGATGAGCAACCCGCGCAGAGCGCTCTTGCCACATCAAACAGTGTTGCGGCTAATACTACAAACACCGGTAGTCCGGCTCCACTTCGACGTGTCCGGCGCGATACCGTGAAAAAACATGCACCACAGATGCAGCAAGATTCCACAATGCCACAGGCATCCGGAGCTGTCGAACAGGATGTCGGCAAAACACATGAGTCTGCAGCAGAGCTGACACAGCCCGAGCAGCATAGCCCTCTCAAGGCACAGGAGCAAGAGCCACAGCCGAGTAAGAAGCGCGCGCTTGGAGACGTTGACACAGATCCTTCCGAAGTTCTGCAGGATCAACAGCGGTCCAAGCGACCAAAGAAACAGCTAAAGGCACGCAAGCAAGAGCCAGAGGAGAATCTGGATCGCGAAAAGGCTGTCGAGCAACGGGACAAGACTTTGCAGGAGGGAGCTGAGGCTTCGACGCCATCAAACAACGCTGAGGCATCCAAGAAAGATGAGCCTCCTGCCGAGCATACAAAGCCATCAACCGAACAGCAAAAACGAACAGCGCAGAGCGTTGTCGAGTCTACGAAGGCCGAGATCAAGACGGAAGATGTGAAAGAGAAGGTTAAGACCGACGAGGCCAAGCCAGAGATGTCAGATACCCAGAAGAAGCTGGCAGCACGCCGCGCAATGCGGGCGGCAAAGGCAGATGGCAGGCCATATGTTCCTCCAGCGAGACGTATCAATGCGGCAGGAAACGCTCCTACAGCGAACCAGAACCGCGTCGTGGGCAACAGGCACCACAAGCGGTAGACATTGACATAGACACAGACAAAGCGAAGGGGTGGACAGGTGGGATAGACCCACGGGAAGAATTTTTATCGGTATCTCATAGGGAATGTGCCCTGATCGGCAATGAATGGTTCATGCCTGGGGCGACGCACACGTTTGGAGTGTTGACATATACACCGCAAAGTACAAAAAGCATTGATAATTTGAATGCATTCTCGCATGATTTCTCGGGCTATGATGGTGCACAATATGGCAAAGGGAGAGCGTCTTGAAATTAGTGTCATGTCTTTTTTCAGTTGTCAGAAACCAAACATATCCACTATGAGACTTGCAACGCGAACTTCCACCAACACATGCCATGTCAAAAAAGCTCACATGTGCTTGGTGAGCTGCCGTTGCGTGTTTCGACAGAGTCGATGTGAACATCCAGAACTCGCTTGGCAGTAAGGTTGCGGCCCGTCCGATCCAAGCTTCAGGGCCGTGTCTAGCTGTCAATGGACAGGGCGGCTGTTCGCAGCAGCAGCTGGGCACTTGCCTCATACCCACTTCAACGATGGTAAAGCATGCAAGTTTTAGCTGCCAGATCCGCCTGTGAGCACTACGATCCGACCTTGCGCAGCTCTTGGACAATCGTCACGAATTCCCTTGCCTCTGCGGCAGATTCAGAATGCACAGTACACGTCGCCTGTGGGTAGTCTATATGGTCAGCATCTCGCCAGCGGTGGTTCTTCGGCTGCTTCTAGTCTCATAGAATTGGGAAATTGATCACCATGGCAGTTTGCTCCTGGCCAGGACTTATCAGGTGTCCATGGGTTCATCCACAGCCAACAGACGCCCCTTGGACGGCAGTTACCCAACAACCAGCCCTTGTAGCCGCAGCGTCAGCACAGGGCACCTGCAAATGCTCCAACAGGTCCCAATCCCAAGACCCAGTCGTCCCTTTCTCGAGCCGGGCGTGTCGCTGATCAGCAAGGCCAGCTATGACTCCACGACAGGGCTCTTCCGGGAACAAATCTTTCGCAGAATTGATCGAGCAGACCCATCTCCAGCAGGCCATTCCGACGCGCCACAGCTCAACGGCGGGAGCAAGCGCAAATACAGCAACTACGAGAACCAAGACGACAGCGATGAGGCTCCCAAGTGCAAGATGTACAACGGCGCAGGTCGCGGTAGTCGAGGTCCAGGATGGTGGCCATGGCCGTAGCGGCGGTCGACCTTCATGATGAAAAAACGCACAAAAACAAAACGAAACATCAAAAAAGTAAGACCAGACAAAGATGAGAAGAGATCGATAAAACGCAGAAACAGAGACGGGCTGATGTGAGATGCAAGATGAACCAAGATACTGGAAGTCTGATGTGAGATATAAAATGAAGAGCAGGGAATGCCCACGGAACACACCTTGGGCGCGAAAGAATATGCCTGTTTCGATAATACCAAGAGCGCGCGGGCGGGCGCGAGTGAGATGAGAAACCCGGCGACGAAAAAAATGCTGGCGATGAAGACGCGTCGGAAGACACGCGTGGAGAGAAGAAGGTCCGACAACGGCGCTAGACGGACGCGTCTTAGCGCGTGGGGCTCAACGTCTGGGATATCACAGTTTGTGGAGTTGGAAAGAAGGGGATAGTGAGGATGAGAGAACACGAGATGTATATTGGGAGAGTGAGGGTAGAGAGATGGGGATGGCGAAAAGATAAGGTAGTGAGAGGGAGAGGGAGAGAGGGCAAGGAAGAGGAAGAGATGGGATATGGGAATAAGGCTTTAAGAGTACAAAACCAAACACAATTTCGTGGAGAGGATGGAGAAACAAGGAACCAAGCTTAGAAAATACACCAAATTCAGAACACTAACCATTCATAATGACCGTAATCAATACTTCTTGCCTTGCTATCCCATGCCCTCAACTTCCATATCTACCTCTCCCCGCTCCCACCTACTTCCCAACCACATCCACCAATTCCTTCGTCGGCACCAAATACTGCTTCACCCCCTTCCTCGCCCCCGTCCTCTGCTCAAACGCATACCCCAACCCCACAAGCAACTCCTCGCTCCACAGCCTACCCGCAAAACTGATCCCAAACGGCGTTCCCGGTCCCTGTGCGACCAATCCCCTGCGTGTCCGTTCAACAGTCGTGTTCGCAGGATATGCGCCCAGCGGCACTGTGATCACCGGCCCGCCGATGATGGCGGAGATGGACGGCGAGTAGTCAGTTGGCAGCACGACGGCGTCGAGGGCATATGTGTCGAGGGCGCCGAGGAGGCCGCCGGGCCCGCCGAGGAAGAGGTCTTCTTGATACGCGGCCCAGAACTCTGGACTCGTGTTGGAGAAATTGAGGGCGAGGGCATCGTCGAATTCGGCTGTGTCTCTGTCTGGGTACGCCTCTAACGGTGAAGTCTGCGTGAAGTTTGTAATGTCGGCGAGGCTGTGGACGTTGTTGGGGTTGTATGTGAGCTGCGAGAGGTAGGCGGCGAGGTTGGGTCCGAAGTCTCCGGAGAGCACGGTGCCTTCGGCGCTGGAGTTTAGGTACGCGGCATACGCAGTGTAATTTGTGTTGTCGACGATGATGGCACCAGCGTTTTTGAGGACGAGCAGGGCGGCTTCGAACGCGTCGTAGAGGGGGGCGGAGCTGAGTGTTCGTGAGCCGATTGCGTTGCGGGGGACGCCGATGCGCTTGCCGAGGAGGGCGTCAAATTGGCATGCAGCAACATAATCAGGGACGGTATGGTTTGTAGAGTTGGAGGCCCAGGGGATGGCGGATGTGTAGTTGTCGTACTGGTCCGGTCCGACAATGGCTTGGAGAATGTATGCAGCGTCTTTGACAGTGCGAGCCATGGGTCCAACGGTGTCTTGATGCTCAGAGATGGGGATGACGAGAGAGCGAGAAGTCAAACCGACGGTGGGCTTGATGCCCACGATGTTGCTCTGCTGACTTGGCGATAGAATAGATCCATCAGTTTCAGTACCCAGAGATCCAAAAGCAAGACCAAGACTAGAAGCGACACCACTGCCACTGCTGCTTCCACTGGGATCTTGGTTTGGGTAATAAGCAGCAGTCGTCTGACCGCCATAAGCCGACCATCCATTGGAAGAATTGGACGAGCGGTAGTTGGCCCATTGTGAGAGATTAGTTTTGCCCAAAATGATGGCACCAGCTTTGCGTAGCTTCGCAGCCACGGTTGCATCACGAGGAACTTTTGCTCCGACGAGGGACCATGATCCGGCAGTATTGTTCATCTTGTCAGCTGTGGCGATGTTGTTTTTGATGAGGATCGGCAGGCCATGGAGAGGTCTACTCGGCATTAGTCGTTGGCATGAAGTGATGCATATTGAACCACGAACCCGCGAAGCGTCCCACAAGCCCTCTCCTCATCTAACTCTTTTGCAATAGCCAATGCATCCGGATTGATCTCCGTGACCATGTGGAATGTCGAGTTCACCTCAAGGATACGCGCAACGTAAGCCTGGTGTGGCGTTAGCAACCGATCTCCTCATGTAGCTAGAACCGCTTTTGTGACTGACCTGCACCAAGTCTACACTCGTAAACTGTCCATTCTCAAGACCAAGCGTGAGCTCCTCGGCCGTCGCGTCTAACAGCAACGGTAGCGACGAATTGACAGGTGCACAGCTCGTCAACGGCGCAAACGCCACAAGAGCCTTAAAGATCAGCCACGCAGACACCATGATGCCAATTGCTACGAACGCTGCCGAGCGAGTGGGAGGGTTGGGACCTCGATAGCGCTGGTGAGCATCTTTATAGATCAGCTTGTTGTTGTTCCCTAACGGAGATTGCGCCGGCGGCTTGTCATCCATGTCTTAAGACCAGGATGGTACCTCCCATGCACCCGTTCATGGGAAGAGATCGCTGCGATAAGCGTAGGTTGATGTAAGGATGTTCAACTTGCAACGGCTTGTACCATCGCACCAGCGGTACCTGGACTGTGCTACTGCACCGGTACCTGCCCCATCCGTGCTTGCACCACTTCGGCTCTTCACGGCAACAAATCCTACAATGCACAACTTACGTTTTGTATCACGTCCTGCAGAAAACATTGCGCTCAATTCTGGGGCTGTCACATTCGCAACGGTTAGACGCTTGATGGTCTAGGCCAGAAAAGGAAGGTATAGAAAAGCTTAGTGATGGACAATTACTCCGCGGCGTGTTTGATGCGGGTGTGGCTGCGGGTACGTATCGATTGCAATTGTCGATGATGGCGAGATGCAAAAATCGGAGCAAGGCACTGCTCGACCTGCCATAAGCGGCGAGGTATTAGCATACGCGATGCGCGTCTTCATCCCGGCCGCAAAAGTGCATGTAATTGGGGGACACAGCCTATCGCTGTGTGTTCTACATCATGTCGTGGCGTTGAGCTTGCTATTTCACGTCGATACCGATGCAGCTCAATCGAAATAGCCGGGGAACAGCCATTGCAGCTTCTTCTCCGCGTCTTGTCCACGGCCTTCCTTCTTGGTCATGGCGCCAGCAAATCGCATTTGGCCTTCGATGTGCTTTGCCAGGACCAGCTCTCCGTGCTCCTCCTTGGTGAGCTCGTTCAAGACAGCGCCGACAAACCGCCTGGCGTTCTCAGCATTGGCCTTCATGTGCGCCATGACCATCTCGACGTTGACGTCCTCGGAACCGTCACCCCTCCAGCAGTCGTAGTCGGTTGCCATGCAGATCATCTGGTATGAGATCTCTGCCTCTCGTGCCAGCTTGGCCTCGGGCAGCGCGCTCATGTTGATGACGCTGCCACCCCATGTGCGGTAGAGGTTCGACTCGGCGCGCGTGCTGAACTGTGGTCCCTCCATACAGATCAACAAGCCCTTGTCGTGCAGCCTGACGCCCTCGCCCTCGAGGCTGTGTCCGCACTTCCTCACGATCTCGGCCAGTGACTTGTCGAACGGGTCTCCGAAGCCCACGTGTCCCACCATGCCCTTCTCGAAGAAGGTGAAGGGCCGGATGCCCTTTGTGCGGTCGATGATCTGGTCGGGGACGACGAAGTCGCGTGGGCGGACTTCTTCCTGCAGCGAGCCGACGGCGGAGAAGGCGATGATGGTGCGCACGCCAATGTGTCGCAGCGCCGCGATGTTGGCCTGATTCTTGACCTCGTGCGGGGCATGTTCGTGGTGGAGACCGTGTCGCGAGAGGAAGGCGACGGGGACGGGCTTGCCGGTGGTGGGGGAGTTGTGCTGCAGGATGCTGATGGGCGACGACGGCTTGCCCCACGGCGTGTCAACGTCGAGCGTCGCCGCCAGCTCGAAACCAGGCAGCGAAGAGATGCCCGTGCCGCCAATCACGGCAATGTGCACTGGTGCTGGAGAAGGTGTGAGCCATGCGTGCAGGCACGCGCCTGAAGGAGTCGCGTACCGTCATATGTGCTGGGAACGCCCGCCATTCTGCGATATGGAATTGAGATGGAGCGCGAAAATGGAAAGGGAGCGCAACGAGAAGTGAAGATTGGAGGCCAGAGTCTGGCGCGCTGTAACATGCATTCACCGAATATGCGCCATGGACAATTTCTGTCGCGGGGTAGCTCTTGCCGACCCCTGGACCCTGATGGCGTCACCGCCAATAGCAGCGAAGCAGCCCAGCATGCTTTGCATCTTTCGGTAGTCGCAATGTCAATTCATCTTTTACTACTACAACTTACTACAACTACTACAATGCCAGTGCGAAACCCAGACCAATCGCAGCCATGCCTCCTCCGAGCCTGCCAGCACCGCCAGTCGCTTGAGCTGCCCCAGTCGCGCTTCCAGTGGGGGTAGCGTCACCACCAGTCGAGTTTGACGGGAGCGTAAGGACCCTGTTGATCTTGTGGACGACGATGCCTGGGATGGTCTGGATGTCCTAAAAGAGCTCGTTAGCATCAACAAGACTTGCCGACGGATGTACTTACCGCTTCAACGACCTCGCTCGACCGTCCCTCCGAACTGAGGACCGTGGCAGCACTCGTCCCATTCTTTACCAGTCCGGCACGTGGTCCAGTAAAGTTTGCTGCAACAAGATTTGTGGCTCCGCGTTGAGTGTACGACAATGTGCTAGCATACTTTGGCTCACTCGTAAAGTCGGCCGAAGTGTACGTCCCATTGAGAACGTGGTAAGACAGCAGCTTCTCTAGCTCATCGTCGCCGCGCCCAGAAACAGCGCGACGCTCGAAGCTGTCTGGTCCTGCAGATAGAGCCTCGAAGGCCTCGTTGGTCGGGATGACTATGGTGATGTTGTATCGGCCATTGAGAGATCCTGCGAAGCTGGACACGTTGCGAAGGAGGCCGCCAAACTCGCTAAGATCGGGATTCGTCGCAAGGAGAGCTGTCATGGACATCGTCTGTGCAGCTGCGAGAGCTGTGAACAGCGAGGTCGCGAGAATAAAAGTCCGCATGTTTGTGTTACGGTGTGTTGAGCAGTGGATATCCGCAAAGATATTGTGGCTATTAGAGGTGCACAAGCAGACTAATGATCAATATGAAGGCTTCCATGCTACTCTTATATATACAAAGGCAATTGTTACCGGTTCCTGCTTTAGCGACAGCTGAATTGCTAGCCCCTGGGCATTGCCAGAATGAGGAGGCTATGCAGGCCTTCCGCGGAGCTTATAGTCGCCTCGCAAACGAGTGATCGTCACGAAACATATGCGCAGCAAGGCTTCCTTGCGGCGCAGGAACATACGATTTAGCCGGCGTGGTATCGTGAAGCACCATAGGTTTGCTGCGTGGTGTTGGAGCTCCAGTAAACAGCTGATGATGTCAGCCAAGTGGGGGCTTGATGTCGGGCCGAATGTAGCATCCTTGGCTTTGTCCACAGCGTGGAGATCTTCAACTTCATCCATCACACCTTTGAGTCTATCGACATGTAAACATCTTGCATGCATCAATATGCTTTCGCGTCATGTCCCGTCCATTGCCTATCACGGCAAACCCGCAAGAACGCGTGGTCCACGCGACGTGAAAGTTCAGCCGCGCCTTCAAAGAGCTCACGAGCGCGACATTCGTTGCGACATTCGTTGCGAAATGGCGTCGGTGCCCAGTTGAGAACACGCAAAATCGATGACACCGGGTCCAGATAACGACTGAAAAGGACGAGAACATGAATGTGGAACTGAAAACGAGGAGTAGAGATTCGAATCGAGCCTATAATGCAGCGCTTTCTAGCCAGTCTGTCTTGATGAAGCTCCATCACTAATGTCCGTTGAAAGGTGTTGTGTCGACGAAATAGCCAATCCGATTCATGTGGTTCGTGTCATGTAGTGCCATTCACGTTGCAAACATCGACTCCAAACCGCGTCCTGTTGCTGGTTCCAAAAGCCAGCTGCGCACGACACCAGACGGACGAAGATCAAGATATTCTCATCCTTCTTCAGGCGCTTATACAGCACCATCACCAGAATCTCGGCTTTCGGACTTTCTCTTATTGAGTTTCCGTATTGTTTGCTTGGGTTTTGCGCGGACTTAGACGGACTTAAAGCAGTAGGGCGTGATGCATGGCTGGATTGAGGCTTTGGCTACAATGTTATACGACTACAGCCTAGCTTATTTGCACACTCGGAGGGGCTTTCAGATCCGAGCCCGGAGTGTGCTACTTGAGAAGTTAGCATGTGTATAAGAGAGTTGCCACGAAACTCAGTTGGCATACCAGAGCAAGATACCACAGCTTCGAGATCTTCACAACAGCCTCTACCACAATACTAGATCAATCTCCCAGCTCTTTCATACGTTTCCAATCATGTCCACCTCCCAGACCATCCACAACGTCGCTCTGATCGGAGTGAGTCAGTCCTTCCATCCCCACACGATTGCACTGACATTACTGTAGGGCACAGGCAGCATTGGCTCCCACATCCTTAAATCCCTCCTCTCAGCCAACAAACACACCATCACCGTCCTCACACGCACTACAAGCGTAGAGACATTCCCCGATTCTGTCTCCGTCAAGAAAGTCGACTACACCTCCTCCGCATCCATCACCTCCGCCTTGACCGGCCAAGACTTCCTCATCATAACCCTCCCCGGCACCGCCCCACCCGAACTCCACCCACGCATCGTCAACGCCGCCGCCGCCGCCGCAGGCGTCAAGTACATTATGCCCAACTACTACGGCTTCGCGCTGTCCGACCGTCCAAGCGCCGTGCCCGCCGACCCGCTGCTAAACTTCGAGCGCTACGTCGACGACGTGCGCGCCGTGTCTTCGCAAGGCGTAAAATTCATCGCGCTGGCATGCGGGTTTTGGTACGAGTGGAGCCTGGGCATGGGGGAGCAATGGTACGGCTTCGACATCGCGAAGCGGCGCGTCACGTTCTACGACAACGGGGAGAAGAAGATCAACACCAGCACGTGGAAGCTGTGCGGCGACGCTGTGGCGAGTATTCTCAGTGGAGATGTAGACAAGTTCGCGAATAAGACGGTGTACATCTCCTCGTTTCTAATCTCGCAGCGCGACATGCTCGACTCGCTGCATCGCGTGCTCGGCACTGCGGATCGCGATTGGCAGATTGCGTATCAGGGTGTTGAGGAGCGGTATCAGGAAGGGCACGGGGAGTTTAGCGAGGGGAATCGTCTTGGGTTTGCGAAGCTGATGTATGCGCGCAAGTTTTATCCCGAGGGCGATGGGGATTTCGAGACGGGCTGGGGGGTAGACAATGAGAGGCTGGGGCTGGAGAGGGAGGAGTTGGATGAGGCGACGGGGAGGACGGTGCGGATGGTGGAGGATGGGTTTGGGGTGCAGACGTGGATTGAGACGGGGAAACCGAACAGGGTGCAGTAATTCACGTCCTCAACTGAGTTGCAGTCACATGATTTGCGGTAATTTTCTCAGTCAGGCCTACAGATATCTTCGCATAAGACAGATTTTGATACTTGCATTCCGCACTATCTACCACACCCAAAGGAAGCGAAGAAAAGATGCCCGCAAAGTACCCAATGTCCTCTAAATTACCACCAGCGCCTACACGACGAAGCATCGGTATATACACTGCTGTAAACATGCTTTACGTGGTTCTCCAGAAGTCCTTGAATATATACAGGCTGCTTCTCCACCCTTATCGCCGGGAGAACGCGTGCACGAATTTCCCCGGCACCTAGCGACCGCACCTGATCCGACAAGACACCTACACTTACAGCCTGACCAGTTAAGGCGTATGTGAATTATGAAGTATACATTCTATACAAGAGAATCGTCGTAAACACGCGCGCCTTCCTCCCGCTTTCCCCATTTGCACTTCACTACCAAAAGTCGGCCAAAAAAGTGCCAAAAATATAACCCCCGAATCAACTGCGCGATATTTGACTACCCAAGCGGAGGATCGAACCCTCGCCCACCGACTTTTGTAATCACCCTTCACATGTCGAGAAGAGAAAGACTTATAAGGCTTGTTTGAGTCCAATGCTTCCGAGTCTGGTGTCCCGCCTGATCGCGCCAACTTGTCGTTGTTTTGATTGATGAGATAATGTTGGGGGGATTTGGATTTATAGTGAGAAGGTGCGGGGTGGGTGCGTGTTTGTTTGTGGATACCGGAGGTGAAAGCAGGCCGGCGAATTCTTCTGGGGAGATACTGTGAGAAGAAGCGGGGAGGCGAGGCGGGTGCGAGAGGTATGCTGGATTCGAGAACTTGGAAGGTACACAGATGTAGCAAGAGTGAGACGTGAAATTACCAGATACTGTCGTCCATGTGCCTGTCCGTCGCTTTCACGTGTACGCAGCCTTTCACCTGGAAGTGTATATGTTGTCCTTATTGCATGTTAGCCGTTGTGAATGGAAGATTGCTTTAATTGTTTGTCCTGGCATTGGTTGCGTGTGCAATGTTGTCAATCTCTTCCTGCAGTTGCTTCCCTTCACCTGCGAAGTGGGTGTTTAGCACCTAGCGCTCAAGACCGCTATATGCTATCCCTTTACTGCTTGCTCATCCTCTCTTTCTGCACCACAATCGACACATCTCTTCTTCTCTAAGCTAATCATCCGTCTCTTCCTCGAGCCCTAACACAGACAACTCAGCTTAATCAAGACTTTCCCAACGACCAAACTCTACCATGAAGCTCATCAGCACCTTTCTATCTCTCGCCACTATCTCCAACGTCACGATCGCATGCGAGCTAGGCTCTTGAAACGCAGGGGATATGATGTACGGTAAGTGTCTATCTACCCCTCCAATCAATACGCATGCTGACCGAGCCTCCCCCTTTCAAGTGAGGCTAGGCCATCTTGTACTGCGAAAACGGCTGCTTTGGATATGATGTGTGTCATGACTGCGATTGGAACTCTGCGTGTGGGTGGATGAATGTACTTTTATCTACGTGGACAGGACTGATTTTTGGAAGGCATCATGAACTCGCCTACCCAGGCTCATTGCAGATAGAGCGGGAACGGGCTTAACACACAAACGAAGGGATATCATGGATAAGTCCCAGTCTTGAGGCGAAAATCATGGACTATCTCATTGCATATGGCGGAGCTAAGTATTCATTGAGGTGATGCTACAGCATGTGGATCATGATCATAGAATAAACCATACTTTTATACCTGTGTCACTTCTGTGTACCAGCCCAGCTGCAGTGATGAAGTTAATTGACAAAGACAACAAAAATGGTCTACCAAGAGTCGAATTTGTGGGGAGATGGTACTGAATTGTCAATGCGCTGAGAGACGCGAGTGATCAACTGCCTCTTGCACGGATACAAGTACCATGTCACATACTTCGTGTCGACCAGCAAACAAGCACATGATGTTCGCCGTCTCGGGATACTAGGTGAGATACACAGCCTCATGAGTAGCGATTGGATGAGCACACTAAATCATCACATAATACAACACTCGTGGTATTGGTTATCACAACGTACACTGTCAGACACATCACTTCCGCCCCTCTACAAAAAAAAATCCTCGTATCCAGCTCGAGGACCTGTGTGGGACTGCCATAAAAGCTCAATCGTCGCAGCATCTCATATTCGTCTCAATTTCATCTCCTTTCATCATTTACACTGACCACGCCATCATCACTTCTACTCCATCCAGCTCTCACCATGCTTCTCTCCTCCCCCTCCTACTCCTGACCCTTAACCCCCTAGCCCTTGCCGCCCCGCAAGCGCCCAAAGAGTGCCCCGGCATCCGTCCCGGCCCATGCCCTAACCAAGAAGGCGCAATCCGATGCCGTGACGTACTCTTCCCCCACCATCACGCCAAATCCCGCTGACGAATGCAGTGGATAACCATCTCAACATGCATCTAATTCTTCGATGTCGAACGGGTGCTGGAATTTCTTCGAGCAGTGTGCGGATGATCAGTGGTGTAAGTGTGGTTGTTTGAGAAAGAATATGGATGTGGGCTGATAGAGGAAATAGGTTATCCGGATCCCGTGGCGCATTGCGTTCCTAAGGGAACGATGTCTGCGATGACAGGGTTGCTGGAGGGAAAGGAAATCGAGGGATCGGAGGCTTCGTCTGCTGAGTAGCTTGATGGACATGGATGGGCCTTGGACAATGCGAGCTGCTTGGAAAACGCACATGAGCCGTAACTTGGTTACATGTGATGTCGACTGTACTCGAAATCCTCAATTTCACGTCATGATTCGATCGTTGTGGTCTGCCGAAGCTTGAAGCATTCGTTTAGGTGTTGGTGAAGCTATCGCTGAGGCGGCTCCCTGCGTCACTGTTTTCGCGTTGCTCTGTATGAACCTGTACCCACACCTGTTGAGGCGAGTCTCAGCACGAGATCGACGAGTGTTGGTATTCCAGCAGATTGCAACGCGTGAAGAAGCCTAATCTCGAGAATTGGCACCTGCAAAGTTCCGAACTCATTATCACACCTGGGCGTGTAGTCTTTGAAGAATCATATGAATAGGACTCAGAATGCGGAGCTTGAGCATCTTCAGAAACTTGCACCACTCGCGATATGATCGTGGATTCTGGCTAGTCCACAATTCTTGGCGGAAGTGGTTAGCTGGAAACAAGAGTATGCGTGAACCCTGCGCATTATCTGGCAGCGCTATATGACGATGCGAACACAGTTTCTTCGATCAAGGCATGTGTAGTTGTAGAGGTGTGAAGCACGTTGCGACACATATGACGCACGTGGTAACAGCTCGTCTTACGATGATTTGATGCATCCGACACACATCAGCTTGGAGTAGGATCATCCAGTTCGTTAGTCGTGCTCCCGTCACGTTCCCTACTGGCAGTACCCTGTGAGTGAGATTCACTTCGTTCGCGTCCTTGTCTCTCGGAGCGACACAACGCGCAATGTGGCAAATGTGCAGCGCAGTACTTCTGCGATACATCTGGTCGCATCATCCACAGTGTCACCATACGCGCGCGTGTATATGCCATGCGAACGTCGCGGGCCCATCGAGTCCTGCACCGTTGTGGATCTTCCTCACCTCTGGGTCACATCCCACCATCAAGCGGGTACCGACAGCGATCACAAAGTCTCCTTGGAACAAAGCTTCCAATCGGAGACTTGTGGCTTGTGCAATAGCTAATCTGAGTTGTAGGATGCGAACGTGTGGGGAGGCAAAGACGGAAGTCGGCACCGCAACGTCTTGGTGTGGGAAATCTAGTCAAGAACACGCAAGACATTTGGATGGATACCATGAGCTTATCTGGACGACGCTCAAGAAGATTCGCGTGAGGTATGTTCGATCGATTTTTGAGTGTCGTATGTGTCGTGTGTTTCCATCGCTGGTGGCTACATTATGATGGTTCTGGATACATGTTTTGCGCGCGCTGACGGGCCCGGCGCACACCAAGTCGGTCACTCCCAGACTCACGAAGTCTGGACCTTGTCCCGTCGCGTGAGACATCCTCAATTTCCTCCTTTTGCTTTTTGCTTCTGGAATGCTGAAGGCTGAGAGTGCTCGAGTAGTCCCGTGCCAATAGTGTAAGAGAGGCGTGATGTGTCAGGCTTCGGCTCTTCGTCCTCTAAGTATGACAAGGTACAATGCACCAAATTAGCTCACCGAAACCCAAGAAGCCGCGAGCGGAGTTGTAGCCCTGCAGAGTCGTCTGACAGGATCCATGCTCCTGCGGTATTTTGGTGCGCACGGGGATGGCGCGTCCATATGCCTGTATACATCGAGCTCAGTGACATGCGTCTCCCTCTTTTGGGTGCCCAGAAGGCGAAGTGTCGCGTTGAGATGGCGCTAGGGAGATCTGACCAGTTAAATCGCAGCACGTGTGTTGCAAGTGCACACTCAAGACGGCCTTGTTCTTTCATGCGCCATACTCCCGCCGCGTTTCCTAAGACCCGCCGCGCCTTCGCATGCGTTCCACCGAAGCATGGGCCTGGGAATGACTACGAGGGTATGATCCCACGTGCAGAAAGTGAGTCGATGATTGTTTCACTCTCGACGACTAGTAGTTGCAATAGCGCATATCTCAAGTGTATTTTTTTCGCCATTCTCGCTCGTCCCGAGGCCTTTCTGGCTGTCTTGCCCTTGGCTGTGCCAAGCAGCGGGTTCCGTCTGTGGCAACGCGTTCCAAAAAGATCGTCTATGCAGGTGGGGGGGGGGGGGGGGGGCCGCAACGGAGGGGCTTCCAGACGTGAGTGGTGAGCGCGATTATGACCTTCCAGATTGTTTCCATGACTGTAACCAATCACGCGCCAACGAAGACTGCACACGAGGGTTGCATGCCGCCCTGTTAGGCAGGTTCGAGGTTCGGGCAGCTGGAATTGCACCCGGGATGTCATGCTACAGGCTGACAGGCAGACAGGCACATGCAGACATGGTGGCTTCATGGCTGGGGAAAATCTTGAGGATGGCTCGGTGGCCTTATCCGTTTCCGTTGGGGTTATGCTCTACCGATGCGAAATGATCATCGCGCGATTGTGATGCAGCTGGAAAAACTTGTGCAGTTCAAGACCCAACACCGAGGAACTCGGTCGCGGAACTCGATGACACTTTCGAAGACGACCCGGCGCACGCCGATAACCATGTTCTCGGTTCTCGTACTACGGTTGGCTGATCTAGGTTACCTTCAGTTGGACCATGCACGCGGTGCGGCATATCAGCAAATGGAGCGAGCGCCTGCGGCAAACATCTTCAGGGCCACCAGGGTCAGCGAATCTCCCCAAGCGCTAGTTGTATTGTTTCGATGCGCAGACTCGCCCTTGGATCCGCAACAATCACACTGCCGCCACCGGGAGCATCGTCCGATGAGCGGCGAGACTGCTGGCCTTGGTCAGCGCAAAAGAAACGCGTGTAGAGCCATTGCCATGTGAGCGCGCTACATGAATGCGTGGGGAAGAGGCGCACGAAGATATCGACGGACGCAGGTGTGGTGTGCTGGGCTGTTTGCGGAGGGAGGAAGTGAAGTCGAGATAAAGTCGAATAGACGTTGGAGATTAGGGCCACGTTCTCCAGACTTTACTGTGATTGGCCCACCCTCAGAGCCTCGACCTCTCTCCGCAAGCTATGGGGCGCGGTCCCCAAGAAGTGCCAAGTAGATGCCAAGTCAGATAGCGCCGGTCAACTACTGCGTTTTCAGACAGCCTGGTATCCGCTCCTCCAAGCTCCATCGCCTGATGCCAAATTTGCTTGAGCACGATGAAGCTATCCTTACAGGATTCTCGCTTCACGGGCTCTCCGCGGTTTCTCTTGGCGCCACCCGCCCAATCAGACGGCCCCCTTTTGGCATGTGCGACAGAGTTCACCAACATGCCTGAACGTGGCTAAGAGTAGGCGAGCAAACCCAGCGGCGGATTCGCCCTTCATGGGTCCCTTGGCTTGTGTCACCCCCCAGCCTGGTCCCTTCGCGTTTAGGTACGAGGGTAGCACGCTCAGCGCCGTATAGCCCATGCCGCCGACAGATTGCACATATATATCGTCTCACTGGCCCCGACTCTCTTTTGTATCCCAGCTCCAAGCGGACCACCAGCCTTTGACCTTACCATAGCTACCTGCAGCCAGCAGTGATCAACCGCAGCTATGCCTAAGCTCACTCAGTACAACTATGTCTTCGCCATCGGTACCTTCTTTGCCATGCTTGATGCATACAACAACGGTGCTAGTAAGTAGAGCCCCTCAAGCATTCGGACTTCATACTGACAATCTCCAGACGATGTCGCCAACGCGTGGGCTACTTCAGTCTCGTCTCGTTCGGTCTCTTACCGCCAGGCCATGATCCTTGGTACCATCTTCGAGATGGTCGGTGCCATCACTGTTGGAGCCCGTACTGCCGACACCATCAAGAACGGCATCATCCCCACCAGCGCTTTCAAGGGCGACGCCGGCGTCCAGATGCTTGCTTTCACGTGTGCTCTGGCTGGTGCTTCCATCTGGGTCATGTGGTGCACCAAGCACTCCGCTCACGTTTCCTCCTCGTACTCGCTCATCTCGTCTGTCGCTGGTGTTGGTGTCGCTGTCGCTGGTGCTAAGAACGTCCAATGGGGCTGGAACAAGGGCAAGGGTCTCGGTGCCATCTTCGCTGGTCTCGGAATGGCTCCTGCTGCCTCTGCCTGCTTCGGTGCCATCATCTTCATGTTGATCAAGCTCACTGTCCATCTCCGCAAGAACCCCATCCCATGGGCTATCTGGACTGCTCCTTTCTTCTTCTTGATCGCCGGTACCATCTGCACGCTCTCCATCGTCTACAAGGGATCGCCCAACCTCGGACTGAACAAGAAGCCCGCGTGGTATGTCGCTACCGTCACCGTCTCCTGCGGTGTTGGTCTCGCTCTGCTCTCGTTCCTCTTCTTCGTTCCTTACCTCCACACCGTCGTTGTCAAGCGCGATCACTCTATCCGCTGGTACCACGCCTTTATGGGTCCCCTCCTCTTCCGCCGCCCTGCCCCCGAGGGTGTCGAGACTGCCAACGTTCGCGACTACGCTGTCGTTCAGGAAGACGACCACATCAAGACCGGCTCTCTCAGCGACTCTGAGCACGGTGTCATGGCTACTTCTGGGTCTCAGGATGCCGAGAAGGGTGTTGTCGTTGCCGAGCACCCCCAGCTCAGCTACAAGGATCTTGTTGCACAGGGACAGGAGCGTTTCCACGCCAAGCTCCGCGCGAAGACTGGTCCCCTTGCCTGGGCCATGCGCTACCTTCACGAGAACAAGATCCGCACTGGTGAAATCTACGAGAGGCAGAACATGTTGATCACTCTCAAGCGTATCCCTGCCATGATCATGGTCGGTGCCCTTTACGGTGTCAACTACGATATCCACGCAGCTCAGACCGGTATTCACGGAACTCCCGAGGGCGCTCGTATGGAGCGCGTCTACAGCCACGCTAAGAAGTACTCCAACGAGGTCGAGCACACGTACTCCTTTGTCCAAGTTCTCACTGCCTGCACTGCTTCCTTCGCTCACGGTGCCAACGATATCGGTAACGCAGTTGGTCCCTGGGCAGTCATCTACTCTGCCTGGACCACTGGTAACGCCGCTCAGTCCAAGGCTCCTGTTCCCATCTGGCAATTGGCTGTTCTGTCTGCCACCCTGTCTCTCGGTCTCATCACCTACGGTTACAACATCATGAAGGTCATGGGTAACAAGATCACCTACCACTCTCCCAGCAGAGGTTGCTCCATGGAGATGGGTGCCGCTCTTACCGTCTTGATCTTCTCGCAATACTCCCTCCCCGTCTCAACCTCTATGTGCATCACTGGTGCCACCGTCGGTGTCGGTCTTTGCAACGGAACCATCAAAGCCGTCAACTGGCAGCGAGTCGGTCTCCTCGTCTTCTCCTGGATCATGACCATCCCCATCGCTGGTACCATTGGTGGTCTGTCCATGGGCATCATCCTCAACGCTCCTCACTTTCCGTTAAGCAGCGGGCCGGGTCCTCACAAAAATTGTTCGCTCGCTATACCCTCTATTATTCACGCGCTTTCTCTCTTTCTCGCGCCATAGACTTTTCATGTACTGTACGAGCGATGGTTGATGGGTAGCTTATGGAACTGTCGCATAGACAATAAACAAATACTAATATCACCTTCTCATCTTCTGTTGTGATGCCTAATATCGTCTTCTCATTTTTTTTGGTGACAATCTTAATCTCGACATGTGCAAACAAACTTCCAATAAACCGGGGTCATGCTAGCCCGCTCAAACAGGTGAATAGTTTCGGCGCTACGCGACACTTGGTAAGTTCTTGTCGGCGTTTCGCCGCGCCCACGGACCGCCAACGCACAGGTTGCAATCGCAACTTTCCTCACTCACCCGCATACGGATAATTGACAGCGGCAAGGGTTCTCGCCTTGACATGTATCACAACCTTATTCAAACTCATGGTCACTGCATCGGCCCAGTCTGGGGTGATACACCGGTACAACACCAAGAAACGCAGCTCGGTACCTTTCGGCCTTATTTGCTTGAGATGCGGCTCAACATTTCTTGTCCGTTTGGGCGTGATCTTGGACTTCTTGTCATATGCACAGGATGGAATTAACGAAGCGCACGAAGCGCTGCAGTGGAGTCCGGGGTTTCGGGATGTTGTTATGCCCACGATGCACGACGGGTCTTGTGCAAGAGGAGGTGGGGAAGAGAAGACGGTGCTGTGGGTACGTTCAGTGAGGCACGTGAACTCAGAACAGCATACGTCGCACTCGAACATCACGAATTATTGCGCTGCGCAACTAGCAAGTATGACGTTAACAACAAATGATCGAATGCGACATGCAGACCACGATAGATATTGAGAACTACCTCGGTTAAGAACTGTTAGCTGTAAAGCGTCCTGAGCTCCATGCAGTAGCAGAGAAAAAGACCTAGATGACAAGATCCGGATGCTAAGATCGACATCTTTGTCCAGTCCCATAGACGGCAAGAGCAACAGCAACGACCTCGAGAGACTACATAATGATTGACATGGAAATCGAGGCTTGGATGATGAGGAGGCTGTTTGAGGAGAAAAGGAACCCCAGATGACAAGATCTGGATGCTAAGATCATCATCTTCACCCCACCTCAAAGCCTCTTATAGACGGCGAAGAGCAAGCCCATGAAGCTCGACTTGGAAATCATGTCTTGGATGATGAGGAGGCTGAACAATAGTCTCAGAGACGAAATTCACGACTACAAGCTGACCTCACCTCGACGTCAAACGCGGAGCGCAATGTCTTGGCCAGCTTGACCGAAAGCAATATATGTTCACAGTGGAAGATGGGGATCTAAAGCAAGGGAAAAAACTAGTCGTCTCCAGCTGTCGTTGGTTTATGGGTAGTGCCCACGCCCCTCGCTCACGAACCCTGATACGTCCGAAGCTACGAAGACTTTCGATGGCAAAAACGCCTCGTAGACCGTGCCGCATGCATCGCCTTCACGCGAGCAACTACTCAATACCATGGCCAAGCTTTCCTGCCGTCTCTGCGACTGCAGCGCACAATGTGTGATTGAAGCCAAGTGTCGCGCTTATTCGCAAAATGAGATGTTTGTTCGGAAGATCGATCGCTCCGACACTTCGATGACCCAGATCTAAGCATTATCGCCACTACAGTGCGCAAGAAGCTATGTGTTGTGCTCATTTGTAAAACGACTGTCTTGCTCATCAGATCGAACGTGCATCTGCTTTGATGACCCAATCTCCGTCTTGACCCTCCTCCAACACAACACACAGCACATTCTCGCACCCACTTTACTTCGCCGCCCCCTATCCAACGTCTCAATTTTTCTTTCTCTAAACAGTACAAACCCCGATCATTCATCACCCCTCGTATAGACGCGGACAATTCCAGATCCACCCAACCAACTCCTTTCACCGACAAGACACCGCCTACCCCGAACGCCACCACATATGCAACGATCTGCGCAAGGGTCTGGATCTCGACATGTAGCCCTACCCGCACAACAAGCAAACATGTGTAAACGCAAGGTGCAGGGACGTCTGGGCACGATCAGATCGCGCAGTGGGTAAGGAAGAGCTTGAATGTGTGTTTTGAGACGTTCAAGCAATGCTGAAGACGAGGATGAGTGCCGTGTTTCCGGCTTGTCGATGGGTGGATTGGGCGTGGCCAGTTGGATGCGATGTGCGAGCACGTGGGCTTGGCGGTGGGGCTGGAGGATTTGGAAAATTGAAATGGCGGTTTACAGACTTCTCGAAGATTTTTTATCTAAAACTTGAGCTGTCTGGCTTCGGTGTCGCTGTTGAGAGGAATTGTGGCTTGTGTGGATTGGTACGACCTTGTCTGCGCATGTGAAGGTGATGCGAGCGCGAGTCTCTACATCTCATCTTTTTCCCTCTTTCTTTGGCGATACAGGCCCCAAGTGAACGTTCGCCGCAACGAGCGCCATGAGGAGCATACCGGCCAATCCCCATCTGCCTCCTATATCTGAGCAGGTCTCTGATCATTATTCCACAGATCCTCACTTTCTGTCCCATCACCTGCCAGATACCAGCGAAGGTTGGCTAATCAGGGCCCCATATCGGTCGAATGTTCTCTAACACAACATCCCTGATCATAGAGATGCTGATTAGAGAGTTGCGCGGCTACATCGGCGCCCACAAGAAGAGGAGGGTGAACGGTGGCAGTTTCGAAAGCGCGACCTCTACGCGTTTTGTCCGACCAGATCTGGTCACCCTCAACCATAGTCCCGTCAGTTGTCACCAGATAGTTGCAACGTAAGTGTGCTACTCACACATTAATCCCTTTCTCCCAAGCTTTTACGTCCAACAAGCGACCCATGGAGACAGTATCGCCGAGAAGCTCCGCCTTCATGCAGTCTTAGTCGTTACAAAAGCAGAGGAACGCGACGGTACGCTTCTTCGTCTTCTCATGGTCTGCGGGACAGGTGGAGATCGGACTGGTGGTAACTTATGAAATGGTGCATTATGTCGAGAGTGGTTACCCTCAGGTGGACGCTGGAGACGCGGATGACGCAATCTTCCTTGTGGAAACTGTATCTCATCTGAAGTAACACGTCCGATACTCCCATGTTGAGATGGGCCAAGAAGAGTACGGTAAGACGATGAGATACTGTGGATGAGAGTCCATCGGAGGACTTATACCACACCTCAAGATAGGCAGACATCATGATGCCGCTCGTGACTCGGCGCTGAACAATTGGTAGACCTCGTATAGGGCTTGATCATGATGTGGCTTGAGATTGTTACGTGTTTGATGATTATCACTACCTCGTGAGTTACGTACGCACTCAAGTGTAGTCTCAGGAAAACAGCAATGAGCGGCACCGCTGATGCCTGAAATCGGCAAGAGTCACTTATTTTGACTGCATAAAATGCAAACAGGGAGGGCTACATACATTGTGTGATATACATCTTGTTTTCATCCGCTCAGTATCGATCTTCTCTGTGATTGCCAAGCAACGCAAGAATGACGTATGTAGCAGTAACTTAACAGAGCGATTATGCATCTGGACGAATTTCAAGTCAGTTAAATAAGCTTATAACTGAGATAACCGGGTTTTGGCTGTATATTTAGATCAATCTGGTGTTTCCATTGTGGTATATGGTATCATGTATGTAATTAAAAATCCCTTGATGTTTCTCCAAGCCGTCTAGTGACATCCCTCAAGCGATGAATAGGTATAGGACATCCTATTGCTCCGTGAACTTTTCATTATCCTTAGCACCGAATCCACCGTCGTCCTTCACCAAACGATCAACGTTCGTGTTCTTGGCTTTCTGCTCCGCCTCGACGCCCCTGAAACTATTACGACCGAGGTTGCACCAATCGTCGGGTGTAATCATGTTCTTGGAGCGATCGTTAGGATCGTGGCCGTTCAGGTTCCAGTTCTTGTTAGCGGGAGCGGGAGGGACTAGGGAAGGTTAGCTGAAGGTGCATGTACATATCGTGGGGGTTCGGGCGTACTGTTCATATTGACGTTGGCAGGCTGACCATCAAGCTGGGCTAGAACGAAAGGCTTGAGGCGATCTCCGGATATCTGAGCGGCCTTCTTGGGAATGTCAAAGATCGCATCACGCGCAGAAGCAAGATCGCTGGCTTCGCGCATGTCACTGCGGCTCCTGAGGCCCGTGTGCTCATCCTTCTGGGCCTCGACATCTTTTTCTGGAGTCATCGTGAGGTTGCTGATCGCCGTAGCAAAGTCGGTCTCGTTGGCTACAAGGGTAGTGGTGGTGTTGCCAGCGACAGGAAGAGAGACAGCCGGAGCCTTCAACGATGCATCCTCTGTTACTAAAGAAGGTCAATACGACTCGACGATTTCCACGGCCGCGCATGACTGTTGCAAGCAACGAAGCAAAAAATGGCTGTAAACACCAAGACCACGCGATGATGTACCTGGTGCCGGGCCGAGGGCGGGAAAGTCGGAGTCCACGAAGGTCGCCGAGGGAGACCCAGGAGTCTCAGGAGCCATGGAATTCTCGGTGCGAAAGCGCCTGTTGGACCTCTTCTTGGTCGCTGGGCGGACGAAGGCAGTCTCGGATTCGTTCACTTCACGTTGTCAGTCAGTATGATGGCTTTGCTGTACAGGTGGTATGGCCTACGAGTAAAGTTGCCGTTACGGGCAGGTTGGATTTTGATCTCGCGATCGACGATGGTGAGACCGTTTAGCTCGGTTGAGCGAATCCTGTCGGCAATAGTCTTGAAAAGAATGTACAGAACTGAATTCGTGCTGGTGCGCGTGTTTATAGTGCGAAACTGGTCGACGATTGCGAAGCCCTCGAAGATGTTCACAATAAACTGTTCATCAGCGTGGAAGTGGACGTTGGTAATACGAATGATTCGATCACGCGCAGGTTCTGTGAGCGCGAATGTGGTGGCCATTGTGGGCGTAGATGTCAGGTTGATGTGGGTATACAAACACTTGATCTATGTGGAGAGAATTTGCGGTCTCTGGCGACGAAGAACAGAGGCTTTATGATGAGAGAGCTCAACCGTAGACTAGGTCATGCACCTGGATCACGTGGTCGAGAGCAATACCTGTGACGTAGGCGCGGTCGAATTGTGAAAAATATGACCAGGGGATCAAACGAACGAGGCGGTACACACAGGCAAAGTGGACATGCGAAGGTATTAGCGGGATGGTCAACGCAGACTTAAGCAATATGAGTTTTGTGAACCGTAGCTAACCGCCGACCAATGTCTTTCAAGTGCAGCAACTAGTGGTGTTGAAAATTGAATAGCCGTAGAGATAAAACAGTAGTATCTCGTTTTGAAGCTCTTCATGAGTGTAAGAGGTCGCTCGTTCTTGTCATGAGTCAGTATATATCAGATGAAATTGAGTGAGAATGATGGAGACACAACGTGATGGTTATAATGGGGAGAACATGCGTAGCTTGAGTCTGTACTTCACTCAAAAAAGCTTAACACTATCTTCTCCCACGTGACCTCCCACTGAATCTTGTAACTAAACACTGCGTGTTTCTGTAATCTCCATTCCATCTTGTCGTACAATAAATTGCGATGTCTTGCCACGAATTTAGTCGAATAAGCACTTTTTTTGTATCGAACTGCTCGAAAAATGAGCTTGCACAATGAGTCAGCGTTGCTTTTTCCTGGACTTCTAAACACACTAGTTCTCACAATGCATATGCAACAATGTGCGAACTTACTGTTCATCCACAGTGCAGAGATATTTACATGTACATAAATGGTTCCTAGGAACCGCGACGAGAGCTTTAAATCATCATCACTTTGTATGACATCTTCTCAAACAATAGCTTCTGATACGACAGACTTGCCCATTTCACTAGACATGACCCGTTTCACTTCAGCCTCGAAATCATCTTGCGATACGCCATCTTGCAATATGCTGTCTTGCGATACGGTCTCCTGTGGTATAGTGTCTCGCGATTTGGTATCTCGCGGTGTGGCATCTTTTGATATGCTCTCACAGCAGGAAGAGCACAACAAGCCGCTACAAGGCCTTCCAGATACTGTCAACATAGACGGCATAGAAATGACTTTTGGACCGTATCTACCTGCGCGTAGAGCAGCTGAAGCATACTGTAGGTCTGTTGGCATCACCCTTCCGTTCCCCAAAGTCTACCAGAAGCTGAACATCTCCAGAGCAAAGCAAGTCGCGCAGCTCTACGATGAGATGAAGCACATGCCTGACGACCCTGTCGTTATTAGTTCCTACAAGGCTCTCTGCGATGAGACCTGGGCGCAGTGGCAGTTCATCAAGCGCACAGGACTGCACGTCGAGTTTTCTCCCATGGAGCAGCCTTATGCTAACCCTCGCAAAGCCATCCTGGACATCTCCGAGAACAACCACTTCTACGTCAATTCCACACGTGGTGCATTTGGCTCCGATGAGCAAGGCTCCGCGTTGGCTCTCGAACAAGATGATCCTAATCCGCTACTTGTGCTCACTGACGAGATCATCTCCGGCCAGGCGGCGCTCTTGAATGACATCTTCCGCATCGTGCACGATTTCTTCGGCCATGCGAAGGAGGGTCTAGGCTTCCGTGCGGCAGGCGAGGATAACGCATGGCGGGGTCATGCTACCATGTACTCGCCTCTGGCACGCCGCGCACTGGCTACAGAGCTTCGTGGACAGAATTCCTGGGTCAACTATGGACCTTATGGGGCTTCCAATAGGAAGGCTGGCATGGATGACACCGTCTTTGCTCCGCAGAAGCTTGGGCTTTTACCTGAGTGGGTAGCTTGGGAAGGTGCTGCGGATGAGGTGGTTCAGCCCAGCGCTGTATCACTGATTTCTTGTAGCGAGAAAGTTGTGTGAAGCACATTGTGTTAGCATTGTACTCACCTTCGATCTTGAGGGCACCCGTAGTAGCTACAGATCCTGATTCAGAATAATAGATAACGTTTAAATGTATGACGCGCTTTTCGCACCTACCTACCACAACTATTGACTGGGATTTGATGTACTCGACAATAGCAAAATATAGATGCCTGGGAATGTTCGGAGATTAGTCAAAACTAGCTTTCTCATGTAAATCACAAGTACATTAACCATCGCTTTAGACAAGACGACGTTGTGACATGGTTCGCGTCGAAAGAGCAGTCCGGAAGAGCTAGCCCGTCTTGAGCTCTAACGTGCATCCATGGGTCACACAAAAACCCCCGTGCCGCAAGTATTCTACACATTTAACATCTTGAATATCTCTACATTGCTTCTACCGCTCTATAATACTACACACTTATTCTATAGGTTTTACTCTATCGCATAGGGGCTTGCGGCGAAAAGATACATAGTGTTAAGGAGTGCTGTCGCTCGTGCTTTTCCATCTATTGGAAGCTGCATTACCCATATATCGGGATGACGGCTGAATAGACTGATGATAGGAGAATATATTCCGAGACTCGTACGGATGCTCGAACTCAAACGAGCACATTCCGGATTTGTCCGTGAACAAGACTAAATCCCGTGCCTTGGCATACCGTATCATATCGCGTCTGTCCTAGAGCCAGCTTGATAGAATCGAGGTGTGGCGCACACTTCTCGAAGCATCTACGCTGGTCACGTGCGTGCTATTTTTAGCATAAGCGCGTTCCTTTGTTCGGTCCGGGAATGCAGAGCTGCGCTGTGCGTCGTGCTGGCCCGAATAGCAGCATTCTAGACAACCGATCTCTAGAGCGAAGATCGTCGTGCTGAACATGGAGAAAGACATGTGAAATGCATCCCAATCCGCTTCCTTCATCGACAGCATTCATATGCCCATCTAGCGAGAACCCTACCACCTTAGCATATAATGAATTGAACTAGAGCACGCTGCAAATAAGGCTGGTTGCTGTTTCCCTCGTTCTCGCTGTCCTGTCATTGCAGCAGAACTCTACCAATCCTTCGTGTGACCTTGTCGATAAGATGCAGCGCCCTTACGCGATTCGCACAGCAGGTCCTTGCTCAGCCTCACTGAAGCCGCGCACCCTTCAGCCTGGTCGAACGTCAACGATGTTACCTTGTTCACGAAACGTTTCTCGCACATGTCTGCAGTCGGCACTCAAACCCTTCCAACATGGATCCGATGAGTGCCACAGCCAGCGTCATCGCTATCCTCCAGCTCTCAGCCAAAGTCCTCTCCTACCTGAACGACGTCAAGGACACCTCCAAAGGCCGTGTGCAGTGTGCGATCGAAGCGAGTAACCTCCACAGCCTCTTAACAAACCTGAGATTTCGACTAGAAGATGGACATGGCCATCAGCCATGGTTCAGCGCGGTACAAGCCCTTGCAGTCGAAAACGGGCCGTTCGACCAGTTCAAGCAAGCGCTAGAAACTCTGCAGACAAAGATAACATACGGAGGTCGGCTGAAAAAAGCTAGGGAGGCATTACTATGGAAGTTCAAGAAAGAAGAGGTCGACGCCATTTTGGCTCGCATGGAACGACTGAAGACGCTAGTGGAGATCGCGTTGCAGATGGATCACTTGTAAGTTTCTGTACTAGCACTATTCAACGCCTAAGCTTAGACGTGTAAGCAAACTCTCCCGAGCTATCAAAGATGACACCGGCTCCATTCGTACGCACGTATCAGCTATCGAGTCTGCTGTCAACAAAGTGCAGGAGGTACAAGTCACCGCAAGCCAGCGCATCCTTTTGGAATGGATATCGTCGAGCGACTATCCCGTTCAGCAATCAGACATCATAAAGCGCAGGCAGGAAGGGACAGGCCAGTGGTTCCTAAGTGCACCTGAAGTGGCACGATGGCTTGACGATGCCAAGACCACTCTCTTCTGCCCAGGAATTCCAGGCGCTGGCAAGACCATGGTAGTGGCTATCGCAGTTGACCATCTTCTAGACTCGGCGCAAAACGGTGCATACGGAGTTGCGTACGTTTACTGCAACTACAAATCTCAAGCAGATCAGGACACTGTCAGCATATTAGCAGCCATCCTCAAGCAGCTAGTTCAGAGCCGACCGTCAACGCTGGGTCCTGTGGAAAAATTACATCAGAAACATACCGGTCGCGGGACGAAGCCAACACTCGATGATATATACAGCGCTCTTCGAGACATGCTCGTACAGTATCCGTACGTTCATATAGTCGTCGATGCGTTAGACGAGTGTCAGAACGAAACACGCCGAGAGCTATGCGCTAAGCTCCTTGATCTACAAAAGGGAGCAGATATGCGACTCATGGTTACCTCGCGTTTTGTGCCAGATGTTGAGGAAACTTTTCGGCTGGCATCGAGGCTAGAAGTAGAAGCTAGCGATGAGGACGTTAAGCAGTTCGTGGCTGGCCAAATACATCGGCTGCCTGGATGTGTCCAGCGAAGTGCAGCCTTGCGGACATTGGTGCAGGAAAGAGTAGTGGAGGCTGTCGGCGGCATGTAAGTCGCTTCACTTCTTTACAGCTATACAAACTTACATACTAGAGGTTTCTTCTTGCTCGTCTACACATAGATTCCCTATCGGACAACACCACAGCAAAAGAAGTGAAGTCAACTCTCAACACACTCTCGAAAGGTGCAGCTGCGCTCGATGATGCGTACAGTGAAGCACTAGAGAGGATCGATGGCCAACGAGCTAGCCATTCTAAACTAGCAAAGAACGTTCTAACGTGGATTACATTTGCGAAGCGACCGCTCACTACTGCTGAGCTATGCTGCGCCTTGGCAGTCGAGCCTGGCGAAGCTGAACTCGATCCAGAAAATAAACCCGATGTGGACGACATAGTGTCTGTATGCGCTGGGCTTATTGTAGTAGATCAGGAGAGTGCTATCATCCGTCTTGTGCACTACACTACGCAGGAATACTTTGAGCGTATCAGCTCTAGGCTGAACCCAGATGGACAGCTGGAAATAGCCAAGACGTGTCTGACCTACTTATCCTTCAGCGTCTTCGCAAGCGGCAGCTGTGCCACTGACGAAGAGTTTGAAGAGAGGCTGTGTCAGTATGAACTCTTGGACTATGCAGCCAAACACTGTGGTGAACATACAAGATCTGTCGAACCTAAGGTTGATTACTTAGCTTGTACGCTAGTTACTCACACTGGCATATTTTCGTGTGCAGCACAGGTATTATTCGTGCCTAGCTACAGGTACAGAGGGTACAGTACGAGTAATCCTGGTGTTACAGGGTTACATTGGATAGCACGGTTTGGATTATATGATGCGGCGAAGGAATTTCTGCGCAGAGAAGAAGACGAAACATGCGCAGTGAATGCGACGGATAGTAATGGTGAAGGCTCATTAATGTACGCAGTGAAACATGGACACTATGCGATGGCTGAATTGCTGCTGGAGAAGGGCGCCGACATCAATGCGCAGGGTGGACGCTTCGGCAACGCACTCCAGGCGGCTTCATTTGGAGGCCACGAGGCGGTAGTAAGGCTGCTGCTGGATAAGAGCGCCGATGTTAACGCGCAGGGTGGACGCTTCGGCAACGCACTCCAGGCGGCTTCATTTAGAGGCTATAAGGCAATGTTAGAGCTGCTATTGGATAAGAGCGCTGATATTAACGCACAGGGTGGAGAGTACGGCAACGCACTCCAGGTAGCTGCATCTAATGGCAACGAGGCAGTGGTGAGGCTGCTGCTAGACAAGGGCGCCGACATCAACGCGCAGGGTGGAGAGTACGGCAACGCACTCTATGCCGCTGCGTATGCGGGAAATATCAAAGTGCTTGAGCGTTTGATCGGGAAAGATAGCATCAGGCACCTCCAAGATCCCTATGACCGGACTCTACTCTGGTGGGCTGCGGCTGGCGGCCAGACTACTACTATTCAAGTGCTTATTAGCAGATACCACTGCAACTCTCGAATTGCCGACAAATTCGGGCGGACGCCCCTCTGGATTGCCACGAAGAAGGGGCATCATGCAGTATCAGAACTCCTGTCTAAAGAGCGTGGACCGACTGTTCCTAGACGAACTACGTCACCCAATCATAGGGATGATTCAGGGTCTCTTGAATGCGACGTGTGTACTTCGAGTATAAGGGCGACTGATTTTCACTACCACTGCCGACATTGCTCTGATGGAGATTGGGATGTTTGCGAGGATTGTAAGGTTAGAGGTGCCTTCTGTCCGGAAGAGACGCATGTTTTGGTCAAGCGTACAAGAATGGACGGAAAGTGGGTCGAGATGACGGCTAATAACGTCCAAACTGCATCACCCTACGAATCTTAATTCGAGCACCTGCACTTCATCTGTACTATCTACCATGGAGATAACAAGTTAGTTCCTCGGCTCCACAGCCTCAATAACAGCATCAATGATTGCAGACTATACAGCCAAGTCCAAAGTGGACCCTTAAGACACCAACCCCCAAATCTTCCACCAATCAATCTCACGACAAGACAATCGCCCCATCTCCGTGCCGAACACACCAGAGCGTAGTCTATCTTCCATTAGAAAACACAGAAACCACAATCAAACCCTTCAAGCACCATATTTTCCCGTCACCATGGCATCAAACATCCTTCTCAACTCCCTAACCTCCGCCTCGCTCCTCCCCTCCCCCATAATCCCCACCTCCTTCACCCCCACCGTAAACCTCAGCATATCCTACCCCTCCATCTCGCCCTCAAACGGCAGCTTTGTGCGCGTCAGCCAAGTCGCACACACCCCCAAGATCTCAATCAGCCCTTCCTCCCCATCCGACTCGGAGTCGTATACGCTGATGCTCATCGACCCGGACGCGCCGACCCCCGCTGATCCAAAATTCGCATATTGGCGGCATTGGGTCGTGTGCCACATTCCCTCTACCTCTTCTACCAACATCTCCGAGTCTGGCGTCACACTCACGAAATATCTGCCGCCGGGGCCGAAGGATGAGAGCGGGCCGCATCGGTATTTATTCCTGCTTTTCAGGGAGCCGGCGGGGGTGGAGTTGGGGAAGGAGGATGTAGGTGGGGAAGAGTTTGTGGAGAGGAGGAGTTTTGGGGCGGCGGAGTGGGTGGAGAGGCATGGGTTGGAGTTGGTGGGGGTGCAGTGGATGAGGGGGGTCGGGGATGGGTGGGTTGGGGAGGAGAAGGATGAGTTGTAGAGAGGGAGGAAGGAAGGATGAAGGTAGAAGAGGAATTGAGGGACAGGATGCCACATGGTCAAAATATTACGACGCAAGCACGGGGTATAAATCATAAGTTTGTTCAAGGTCTGTCCCTGGGTTATCGGACGCACCCTGAGACGGGACGAACCGCAGGTAATTTGAGATTGAGCGAATCCAATCCTCCGAGCGCATTATATTCATCTACGGCCTTCGGTTACCGCCTCTGTTCGAACTGTAACATTGGACTGGCATGTTGTTAACCAACTTCAGGGTGACTCGCTCAGCTTGCTTGAAGGCCGCCTATAAAGCCCGTTAGATCTTGAATCCTAGCAAATGCTGGGCTGCTCACATTTAGCATTGAGAAGTGCAAGCAGAACTCCTCCATGACCCGCCAACTGATCCACAACTGGCCTGACTAGTGTCTGCGCATCCTGAGTTCGATGGTAAATTACAGCACCCTGCATTAACCGTTGCAGCCGTAATGGCAGTTACAAGTAGAAAACTAAGGTACTGTCGAAGCATCTTAAGAATGATTGTTGAGGTAAACGAATTCTGTCGGTATGGTTTGCGTTGGTAGAGATTGGATGAGGATACTACGATGTCTCTAGTTGGGCTAGAGCTTGAAATATATAGATAGGTCACCTCTTTCTCACTTGGCTCGGAACCTCGGGGACATTGTAGGGCCGACTAATTAGATGCAAATTTATGAAGTAAGCGAGGATAACCTTCTCAGTTTAGTATAGCTACGTCATTCAGCTTACATATAACTAGTAGACGGAAATTTACAGAAGTCCGCTACTATTACGGATCGTGGAAATGTCTATTAAACGTTAAAAAGACTTACCCTCTAAGCTACGAGAGCTTAAAGCAAGTCTACAAGCCTTAACTAAGCTTTGCCCTAGCGGCCTGCGTGTTTCTGATGAAGCAGTGACGGAGAATTGGCTGAGCGAGAGCTGACGGCAGCTCGGTACTATCACGGTACATTACGCAAGACACGCCGACGGCTTACCTCAGACTTGGGCTTCAGACCGCGATTATTTGGGCAGCGAGCGGGATCAGTTGCTTGATTGACCCGTACCGACCTCAACCCCTTATTGACTATGTACAAAACATTATCCCTTTCACTCATGACTTAAGCTGTAACTATACTTCACTAAGATGAACTTTATGAGCGCACTCTCTTCCCATGGCTTCAGGTACAGTTGGCTGTCAGCCTTGTCCTTGTCAGAACTGACACAATTCCTCCTCGGGATCCATTTCCGCACGTCCCAACTCTTCAACCACACCTTCAATCGTCTCCGCCAACTCGTCCGCAGTGCCACTGAGAAGCTCTGGAAGTTGCTCCAAAGCCAGGAAGAAGGCGTGGACAGGGTAAGCGAGGTCTTCGGGCTTGTCTGCAAATTCGGAGCTCCTGCTTCCGGAAGATCCCACCGCACTTGCCGTTTGATCACTGTCCGTAGATGACCGAGAATGTCGAACATAGTTCGTAGCCGCCCATTTGGACCAAAATACCGACTGCTCACTACACCAGTCTATGATTGTTCCGCGCTAAATAGTCTTGGGACAAGGAGTTGCTCATCTTCAGCCCGACGTATAGAAACATGAATGCCACGGGGTTGGGTGCAATCTGACCAATTTGCGCAGTTCCTTTGCGAAGCCATCAGATACTGCAAACGCTAGGTGACTAGAGAGAGCAGGATTGTACTCGCTTGAGCGCGTTCGGCGCTGATTGAGCCAAGTGAGCTTCCGCACCAACGAGCACCGGGACGGGATTGACACATGAGAGTATGTAAACACAAATTTATACGCAGCCAGACAACTACGGGCTATCACTGCCTGGAAGGGTGAGCAGGAAAGCATTGTGAGCACCTTTCATTCGGCTACGCTTGGCTGGGTGTGGTAGGAAGCCAGTCGCTAGACATGGCCTGGTCCGTGTAAGAGGGCAACTCAGATAGAGCATGGGTTCATGATATAGGAACAGAGAGAGAATGAATGATTGAAGAAATAAGATAACGATATTGGTCGATGAGGAACGAGTGTGATGAGTCTCTACCTTCAACCTACGTAATGTACAGGCCGTCAAAGCGGTTTGCTACTTCTAGTATTGTACAAGGAAATCTATTGCGTCAAGCGTGTTTTACAAACTCTTCTGGGTGGCATTTGTAGCCCCAAGTCGAGCATTGATGTGCGGTGCCGCTGAGGTGCGAACGGCATGCGGCGCCATGATCTGGCGTAGAATCGCCCGCCTGGGCATGGAGATGCGACTGTAGAGCACAACGGCACCAGTCAGGAGGGCGAGGGCGCCAGCTTGGTGTGCTGAAGCCAGCCAAGTGGGAACCATGTAGATCAGTGTGCTGATACCAAGAGCGACCTGCAGTGACACGAGGTGGACAACGCCGAGGACACCATTCCGGGCGTCCTTGGGAAGCTTGCTGCGAACGCCCTTGGAGAAGCGAGTGTAAGCAAACAACGAGATGATAGCAGTGAATGTGGTTGTGGCCAGCATGCGATGGTCAAGCTGGACGAGCGATGGGTTCTCGAGCATGTTGCGCCACCACAGATCAGACTGATCTGGCACGTGGCTGTAGAAGGGATCGAATAGCTCCTTCTTTGGTGGTGCGAGGCCAATGCCCATCCACGGGAACTCGTTATAGATGAGGCCAGCATCAAGTCCAGCGACGAGGGCGCCCGACATGGCGGTAGTGAAGACCAGCAATACAAGACCGGTGACGGAGCCGCGGAAGAAGCGCAAGGCGGGATGCTGAAGCGTTTTGATCTTTTCAGCGGCCTTTGCAGGATCTGCCAGAGCATGCGATGTTCCTTGAGGATCGAGAGGCCGGCCAGGACCATGGAACAGTAGACGGTAAAGGCCGCGCCGAGATGGGCCGTGAGCCGGTACTGGCTGACGCGCGGATGGCTGCCGGGGTCGAACAGGTCGTCCTTGAGACCACTCTTGACCATCCACCAGCCGATGAGGCCCTGACAGCCGATCATGCCGCAGATGCCGACAAGCTTCAGTGCCATGGAGGGCGCGACCTTTTTGCGGGCGATGAAGTAGGCGGTGGGGATCAGGAAGGTGACGCCGATGACTCGGCCCCACAGGCGGTGCGCCCACTCCATAAAGTAGATTTGCTTGAACTCGGGCAGGGTCATGCTCGAGTTGAGCTGGGCAAACTCGGGCGACGACTTGTACTTGGTCCACTCGCTCTCCCACTCTTCCTGGCTGCCGGGCCACAGCGAGCCCGTGACAGGACGCCATTCGGTGATGCTCAGTCTGCCAAGATCAGCGGGTGCCGTGGGTGTGGGTTTCCATCGCACCTACCCTGACTCTGTGAGGCGCGTCAGACCTCCAAACACGACGATGCCGAAGACGCTCGCTGCACTCCCCAGCAGCCAGTATGCAACGCTCTTCGACGACGTCTGCGGGAAGCTGCTCGCCTGGGCCGCGTCCCTCGCAGCTGCCTCGAGCACTGGTGCTCCGACATGCGGTGCGCCAATTGTCGCACTACTCCGCAGCGGCTGGGTCGACTTCCATCTCACCGATTGCGAGATGGACGGCCGGGGTGCGCAGGATCGCGATGCGGCGAGTGAGGATCGAATCGGTGAATTGAGGCACGGCGTGCTCACAAACAGTCGCCGTGAGAGGCGTGGTGCTGCCGTTCGCAGCTGTGGAAATGCCTGGAATATGGACGCCATGAGGGCAAGGTGAAGTGGGAGGAAAGAAAGAGCGATGCAGTCATTGATGCCATGACTTTTCTGGTGCATTGAATTCCGCCGCGGGCTGATTGGCGGGGGGCGTCCAGGGTCCTGTGTCGGGCCATCGAGGGCGTTGGCGTGTCCTGGCGCCGTCATGTGTGTGCGGGAGCGACGTTTGGCACAGTAAGCGGGTCCATCAGACAGATCAGCACCCGTGGTCATTCTTGCAGTATGGCTGCGGCTGCGTGACGAGACAGCCCTCGCCATGCCCGCACGCGTCTGCAGTCTGTCTTGTCTCTCTTCTCGTACATGATCGTTTTGCTCCGGGGACTCCCTTTCTTTTTCGCCCTTTGTCGTGTTACAAACCGCCATCTGATACCCCGCCGCCGTTGCCATCGCGTTCCCCCATGTACCTATGACGGCGTATAGCATGGACTCCGCCCACACCGCGCCAGACAGCCACGACAGCCACGACAGCCACAACAGCAATGATCTGACTCCAGACACCCACACCGCGGCGCCCGCGTCGAACCTCAGCGAGACATGGTCCTTTTCCTCGGTCGCACCCGCCGTCGATAGTCCCAGCAGCAGCACGCCCTATGTCTCCCTCTTCTCGCCAAGCCAACCTCACGTGCTCCCCACGGCGGCGCCTACTGTCGTGTCGGAAGGCACCAGGACCCATGTGAGCAGCTTCACCGCGCCCGGCCCGTCACGCTCGCCGCCATCGCTCGGCTCCATCTCCAACATGCCCAAGCGGACGGCGCGTCTGAAGGTGTCCGACTCCCACCCGCCCATCGTGCAGCTGCACGCCCAAGTTCCTGAGGCAACAAAGAGCGGCGATGATCCGACCACCCCGCTCGACAACTCAAGCCGGAAGCGCACCACCATGGACGTTGTCACGTCGGAGCGCACCACCATGACGTCCCTGTCGAAGCTGTTCAGCGAGACCACCGTGTCACACTCCCGAGCGCCCTCTTACAATAACGCTACTGGGCCTCTCTATCTTCGTGGTATGCTTGATGAATTTCTGCAATGGCAAGGCTAAATCAGACAGCTTCTAATGACGCCATCCCTCTTCCAGACCACCTCTACACTCGCGGCTTGCTCCAAGGCCGACACTCTGACATCACCCTCATTGCATTTGGCCAGCGCTACAACCTGCACCGCCTTATCCTTGACCGCGCGCCCTTCTTCACCACTGCCCTTTCGGAGCCATGGATCGAAAGCCGGTCCAAGGAAGTCACCCTACACCCTGAACAGATCGACGACAACATCACCCAAGCGTCGTTCGAGATGGCAATCAGGAAGCTCTACGGTGTCGATATTTCGCAAGAAGCGGATGCGGAAGCAGTTGGTCTCTTTGCGACCGGCTGCTGGCTTGAGATGCAGGACCTCATCGATTCAGCTATTGAGTCGATTCTTCGCCAGATGGCTCCGGACACGCTCGCCTTCCTCATCCGACTTGTCACGACCAACTACTACGGCAGATCAGGTGACCGAATTCTTGAGTCTGCGAAGGCTATGCTCAGTAGGAATGGTTGGGAGATGCCGCTCAAGTATTGGGATGATATGCCCGGTGACATCATTCGCGAACTTGTGGGATCTGACGGCTTCTTCGTCGACAGCGAGTGGGATCGATGGGTTCTATCCAAGCGTTTGCTCGACCGTCGACTGCGCCAAGCTGCGATGGAGGCCGGCCTGATGCAGCGTGGCCAAAGACCCGTTCCGCAGGCACCAAACTCACTTCGCTTGATGGCTGTTCGCTTCGACGGAGTATACCGACAAAATGCCCTTACCACGTCGAATGCATCCTCAGACAGTCACGGCGACTGGCTTGCTTTGTACACTAACCCTGACATTGAGCGCATTCTTGTCCTCCTGGATGAGGGCATCCATTACATCCACATGGACTACGAGCAGCTGGAATTCATTCGAAGTGCACGTGACGTCTTCGGTCTACCGGTTCTTCCCGAGCGAGTTATTTCCAGCGCGCTGTGGCAGCAGCTGTCCCTTCGACAGCGAGTTCTGAATGCCGACGAATCGGCACAAGAGCTTGGTCTCTGCGACTCACCGCCAGAAGTAGAAACTTTCAATTCAGGGACTAAGAGTGAAGGTGTAGCAGTGATCAAGGGCAAACAGAAGGAAGTCTTTACAGTTGAGGAAACGGAGGTTGAGTCTGATAGCTGGGATGGTAATGGTCGGCCGCGAAGATTCTGGATCCCGAGCTCCGACTGTAACATCGTTCTCGGAAACGGTGCTGACCCAGTCGTCACCACATCGAGCTCTTTCCAGCGTCACGCGAACCGACTGTCAGCTACGATACAACCGGAGGATGCGCAATGGGCAACTGATTTCGCATCGACTCCGTCCACTTTCACAAACCCAAATGCCCGCATAGATCAGTCATTTCGACCCATTTCAGCAGGCGGAAGCAACGCTGGTCAGCCGAAGCCCATCTCATGCACTGAATTTCCACCATTCCGCTTCTCTGCAGAGTTTCCGAATCCTCGCTTCTTGAAGGAGAAGAAGCGCGTCTATTCACGGACCGTCTCATATGCTGGCTCACTCTGGAACATATACATTCAAAAAGTGCGCTCAGCTAAAAACGTGCAGCTCGGCGTATATCTACACCGCGCCAAGGACCGTGAAGCAGAAGAAGTTGCACAGGGAAACGGCCTCAATCAGCAGAACAACAGCTCAGTCGACGAACGCATCGGTCAGCTCGAGCGCGAAATGCTGATGCGCAGCGAGCGTCGCGACGTTCGGCGCAGTGCACGAGCCATGCTCAACGACCAAACTGGTGAAGAGGACACTAGCGGTAGTGGCGGCGACGCCGACCCATCGCTTTTCTCTCCAGTTTCGCGAAACCCGTTATTCTCAAGCAGTAGCCTTGGTCGCCGCCGTAGCGCCAACACGTCGCGTCTCTCGACTCGAAACTCTAACCTTCCATCTGTCCAAAACCTCGCCACATCTCCTCCCACCGACGGCGACTCTCCCGCCTGCCCACTAACTGCCTACTCGTCTCTCTCAGACCCCGATGCATCCGACTCAGACGACGACCTACCACCTAATCCCTCCCGTCTCCGCCGCTCTTCTGTCCCCGCACTTCCGCCCTACGTCGACGGTCGTCCCACCATCAAGACCTATTTCAAAATCTACTCGCCGAGCAAAGGAGGCAGGATGCTGAGTATTTACGAGTCTGCACCTGACCGGTTTAATTTCAGCCAGAGCTGGGGGTGGAAGAGCAGCACGTTGATGCTGGATGAGGTCAATTTGAGTGTCGGAGATGGAGAGATGGAGAGTGGGCGGAAGGCACTGAGGGGAGAGGGTAAGTTGAGGTTCATGGTTGTTATTGGGAATTTGTAGATGAGCAGGGTGAATGGGCAGTGTATCGGCGTTTTGTGTTCTTTGCAGTTTTGATACCCATACCATGATTTCAATGCGAGATTGTTCATGTTCTATGATTTTGAGACGTCTGAGTGTTGTAGCTCGGATGTCGATTCCATGAGAGTTCACCGCCCTGGTGGGCTCATGTGTCTGCCACACCCTGTTAGGTGTCTCTGTGCGAAAAGAATCACTCACCCTGATACGCATCACTCATAGAGGACTGAAGGATATCAGGCTGTCTTTTGTAGATGTAAAGCTCAGACAGAACGAATTGGCGGCGAAAACGTTCTAGAGCAGCCTTGTCTAGCCTTAGTTTGCGGCTGACTGCTCAGCTACTAGAAGATCACCGCTACATTTAGTTTAGCACCTTGTCTAGCTACCGAGCTTGCGCTTCGCTAATATGAATACAGCCTCGTTGTAGATATTCCTGTGATCTAGATGTATCTAGGCATACTTGTGGCTTCCAGTTCGGAGCTGAGTTGTTTGCAGCCGGCATGTGTATAAGAGTGCGCGGAGAAGTATGTCCAGCTTTTTCACCCTATACCCAAATATCTCTTCTTTGTACGCCATCATGCGCGTTACTTCTCCTACTGTTCTGAGCATTCTTGCCTCGGGCTTCTTCGTATCTGCTGCGCCAGCGAAAGGATGCAACCGCGTGGACGCAGTCTACATGCTACTAAAAGGCTCACTGCAGTCTCAAGCTTCTTCTCTCTGTGTCCAATTCCTTGGCGGTGACCAGACTGTTGTGCAGACTCAGGTGCGCTAATCAAATCACATCGCAGACTCTAGAACTCTACTAACCTTGGAACAGATTCAGACCGTGACAGGACCGGCGCGCATTGCTACCATCACAGCCCCTGACGAGACTCAAACGATCGATGTCGAAGTCACCAACGTCAACCAAGTCTACAGCACTGAGACGGTCTATCTCCCACCGCCAACCACAACTCAAACGGTCACCGTAGTCGGTCCAACCCAGACTATCTACCAGAAGCGCGGAAACCATGTCGCGCTCCCACCAAAGCTTGCATCCTTTGCATCGTCACGTATATCAAGTGCGTGCAGCTGCATCGCCACCCCAACCACCCGCACCATTTCCGATATCCAAACATTCACAATCCCCGGTTCACAAGCCACAACAAAACTCCCCGGCGCAACCATCTCCGTCACACTGACCAAGACACTCCAAATCACCTCTGTATCCTACACAACCACCACCCTACCAGCAACCACAACCATCATCGCAACCGCCACAACCACCGTGCGCCCTATCCTCGTCAAACAAAAAATCTGCAACGCCAAAGGCCTGCCTGGTAGCAATGCATTCAACTACGGCGCGAACTTCAATACTAACCAGGATGCTTGCGTCGCGTCGTGCAAGACGGACACGCGCTGCTTGGCGACGGGGTTTTATCTTGTGACGGACCCGTCGACTGGCACCACGACTGGCACGTGTAGGAAGTACGATAAGGCAGTGGTAGACTCTGCGGATTTGGGGTTCGGGTATTATAATTTCAACGACAAGGCTTGTTGAGATGGATATCATTACTAGAACGTCAAGATTGATACTATCTGATGAACTTGGATAATTGGATTGCATATATATATCAACGTCCGCAGCCGTCTTCTTTTCTGATCACACATGGCATGTATAGATTCTCTCCGCCGCATTCCTCCAGCCGATGTATGTCTACCAGGGCGTCCTCCCCACCCCCGTGAACACCAGTGCGATGCGAAAACTTGTTTTGCCGCACACTTCACCTCGTTGAGTAAGCTTCGAACAGACTGATTCGCCTGCCGCCCCAGTGTGCCCAGAAAATCCCACGACCTCCTGAACCATCGCAACAATCTCCACGCTCCATGCAAAAAAACCTCTTCTTCCCCCGCATTCCTGCACTGGCAGCGCTTGTAGTGCTCATTGTGAAGAGCTGCACAGGGTTACGAGGTGCTGCCTACGTGGTCTGCTGGGTACGGTTGGGGGCGGTATCCTGATTTTTGTCTGCGCCTTGAGGAGCCATCGTAACTGATTGCACGGAGCTCCGAAGTGGGCTTGATGTAGCCGGCTGGGAGGAGTAGTTGGGAGTAGCATCCTGGCTACTGGTCACAGTGCTCATCGTGAACGCCTGTACAATTTCTCTGTTTGCATGTGGTGTAGTCGGATGGGACGCCTTGCTTGGGATATTGGCAGCAGTGTTGCCCGCAGGCGATGACGTTGAACGCGCTGGAGCAGAGCCTTCCCATATTAGATTGACACTCCTTGCCTAAAACGGGGCGTCGTATAGAAAGATTACTCACTTTGAGCTACGGCATGCCCTGCCTTCATCATGCCCATGAACAGTGGAAATCCAGACATCTTGAGGATATGTGTCGAAAAGTATAGAGAATGAACTGAGAAGTAACAAAGGTCATAAAGTGGAGTGAACTTGATAGACCACTCGGTGTGGTAGAACTTGCGGTAGATGCAAATAGAGGCAGTCCATTGTGGAGAGTGCCAGTTGGGGTTGCTGTCGTTGAGCAAAATAGTCGAGTGAGGTAGTCGAAAGAGCATCGCCGGTGGTGCCACTAGCAGAGCCTAGTGCGGGCTCAAAGACCCGTATGCACAGTGCAGGACTCGCGGGTCCATCTTCAATCGCCAAGGCCCAGTGACGGTCAGGCCAGGAATATCTTGGGAGGCGGGAGTGGCGAGGTCGTAAGTGAAAGGATGCACGTGCGAATATCATCCACATGAACTCACTGGGGCCGACAAGCATAGTGACAGGCTCTAGAAGAAATGGAAATGCAGCAAAGTAGAGATGTAAGAAAACCCGCCATACAAACTAGGAGAGAGTAGACGGAGCTAATAGTGTATTTGCTGCTTGCTACCAAAAGCTATTAATATATAGTGGGACAATATAGAAAACTCAATAGTAGAGCTCGATAACATGAATCGTAAAAAATGGGCAAGGTGAAGGAAGCCAGAGATCAGTATCTCCTATGGCCAGATCCACTCAAAACATAGGAACGCTCGCATGCACAAATCTTTGTAGTTGCATGTTTGTGACTTGTACATTATGAGCTTCGGCAAACATGGCCCATGATCTAATAGAACACACCATTTCACTAAGGCAAAGGAAGAGGGACGATGAACGATATATTGTTGCACAAGTAGCGGACCTTCTTATTGAGTAATAGGAAGTTTTAAGACGATAACTTTGTGTTATTTCTTCAAGCTACAGGTAATATGGAGGTGTCTCGACATCATGCGATAAGAGCATCTGGTTTTCTGGGAGAATTGTAGTTGCTTTTGCTGCAAACCGCAATGTGGGAACGTTTTTCGAGGCGGTACGAGACTGGGTTGAAGACTTCTGGAAGATGCATAACCAAATCATTAAATGGTGAACGATGTAGCATATCACGCGGATAGTCGTCATCATCCTGGTGGCGCTCTTCATACTGGCCGTAAAAGGACTCAGCTGGATAATAACGACGCTGGTCATCAAAGCGCTGATCGTAGCGAGAGTTGTGCTGGTCGGAGAAGCGATATTCCTGTTGATGACCGTGCTGTTGCTGCTGAAAGCCGCGCTGGTCAAGGAGTTGATCATGATGATGCTGGAGACCGCGAGCGTCTTGGAAGGGAAACGTGCGCACTTACAGCCGTAGGAGCTCTCCTAATCGTCATTGTACCTGTTGCCAGTGTTTTGTCCAATCACTGTTATAGAGAAACGAATGAGGTGTATAGGAAACATACTGTGCTCATGGCGACCATGTCGGCGTCCATGATTGGATCTGTTGCTGGGTTGCTGATGGGCATCTAGAGCTGTCAGTGAAGGTATATCAAGAGAACTAGTTGTACTTACTGCGCCCCTGATAGTCTGAGTGGTCGTTTCTATGAGACATCTAGTGCTGTTAGCGCGGGCGTCTGCATGCGAGGTCGAAGTTGCCTACAATTTTGGTTGGAGAAGAGAGGTGGGGGTGGGCGAGGCTTCAGACATATATGCGAGCGGCCGCCGCGGGGCGCTGGTATAACCGAGCACATGATTGCGATTACCGGGCTGCGTTTGCTGCAACAGGAGACTGAAAAGATCCTGCCGACGCGGAAATCAGCGATATGGGCGCCAGAGGCCGCATGTCCACACTGCGACAAGATTCACATCCGAAATCACGGCCAGATTTTCCTCTCTGTAACCTCCCGGGCATGGCCTGGATGTTCACGACATCCGGATATGTGAACGACCGGGACAGGTTCTCCACATCAACCGGATAAAACGGGTAGAAACTGGCCTCACAGTACGTAGATTTGCAGAATGTCTTATCATCGGTATTTCTGTTATTCAAGGGTCGCTGTGGGACTATGTATACGAGGACGGTTGTAACAGAAGGCCTCATGAACCTGCGAGCCACTGGCGGCTACACAACAGCATGCCCGACATCTCTTCCCATCATACATTGTCGACTCCTCCAATTGAAATTCTACTTCTTCATAAATGAGTATTTGAAGTGATCGCGAGCACTTCGCGCACACCCCAAGGTCTGCATGGAACAACAAGAATGATCTGCCGCCCCAGGACCAGCGGGAGTCTCGGGCACGATGAGGCATGATTGTTTGGAAATTTATTGAACTTCTACTGAGCTCCCATGGTCTTGTGTGTGATTTTGCTCGCCTTGTTTGTACCCGGAGTCCTCCACCACACCCGTTCCTGCAATAGGAACCAAATAGCGTGCGCCCCAGAGCACCGATCGTATGCGCATGGCTTTCAGACCATCCGAAGGCCTGTAGTTTACATTTATAGATCTACTTTAGGCATTAACGACAGATAGGCCGATGCTATTAGGTTGCGGTGCATCTGGGGGACTCGTTGCCTCAGCCCACGCTCGTGTGCACGACTTTGGATAATGTCCCCAACAACAAAGATCACGACATGGTTCTGCAACTTGGAAGCCAGAGGTATTATTTAAAACTGTCTGTCTCGAAGAGGACTTCGTGGCTAGAGCTCGTGCGTTGTGATATCAAGAAGGTTGAGTCCGACCACTGCAGTGAAGTGGACGTGGTTAGCGCACCATCAAGAGCGAAATAAATACTATGGGCGCCATTTACCGGGCTGCACGACTCGGGAATTATGTAATATGAGCTGTTTGCTCACTTGTGCGAGATGGTGCGTCTACGGGTCTTCGCGCTGAACCGCAGTTTAGGAGGTGTTGATGTCGCTGTGGGGCTGAGGAAGACCGGGTCGCCAAGTTACATGGGTAAGTAGGTACGAACCTTTGCCTTTTAAGTACAACAGCAGCGCTGCCTGCAAATATTCTCTCACGTTACATGCTTCTTTGATACCCGTGAGATAGACACAAACTTTCTGGGTATTACCAGGGTCGTAGTCCTTGGTCCAGAAAAGGTCGGTTGTGAATCGCGGCGGGTGTCGCATGTCCGAACGTCGGGAACCATCTTCTTTAAAGTCTCCACAGTGAGACAGCAGAAAAATGCGCGTTCAGGCATTCAACGCGTATAACCCGTTCTCATGTAATGATGGGACGTGCGAGCACCTGTTGGGACCAGAGGGTGGCAAGGAGGGTCGAACCAGTGCAACCGCTATCTTATAGCAACGCAAGGAGAGCGCAGCCTTCGCCGCCTGCCAGATAGCGTGCAACTCCAATGGCTATGCGAACAGGATCCAATTGTCTTCTAAATACAACTCTCTTTGCCATCGTGTGACTTCAGCCCGGGAGTTGACAATGTGGGTTAGCGCCAGCACTAAGCCACAAGCCGTTAATCGCTTTGCAGAACCCGTACGGACTCCGACAAACCAGCGATCGCTCCTGCACGCCATCACCGTCACATCTCGTTTCAGGCAATGCAAGGTGTATCACCGTCAGGAACATACCGCGTACCTCTTTCTAGCGTTCTTCTGTACCGTAGCTGATGTTGGGCCTTGACCATGTGCAGCCTCATTTCCCCACATTGCAGTGCGCCTATGTAGCACAGACTTTGCGCTATTGGCTTCGATGTCCGACAGATGAAAACCGAAAACCACACTGTCAGCATTGTATGTACATTGCCAACACGTGGAGCAACTCTTTATGTCTTGGCACAGGCTTGACGTGCCCGAAATGCTTGAGGGGCTGGGCAGGCGAGAAGTAAGGACACTGGCTGAAGCTTGGAGCTCTTGTTTCGACGGTCTCTGTTAGGGAATTACACTGAGGATCACAAGTGTGGCGCCCTCGGTTGATCCGAGCTGCATGCTGCTCGTCTATGAGGCTGAGGTTGAGTATTCATGCTAGTTGTATTGCTCGAAAACGCGGGATACTTGCAAGATGCTTGCTGTGTCTGGTCGTAGCGTGAAGGGTTTGGGCGTCCTCGTCGCGGTCGCTTCCCGCCTTGAGACATGTTCGACTGCATGGGCCCTCGGAATCCTCGCATCTGTCGGGCTTTCGTCTAGACATGGCTCTTCGTTCGACCCCACAGTCTGACCGTACCTGATCCCCGTAGCCGTGCTACAGGTGTCCGCTGGTGGTTTGAAACGTGATCAGCATGTTGACTGCCATGAACTGTTAGTACTCAGTCAGTGACCTGCCAAAAGAGCTCAGGCTTGGTGCAAACACCTGGACAGCAGCACCAACTCCGTGTCCGAAGCGTCAAGACGTTGGTATGGGCGCGAGAAGTCCACGATAATGAGAGACTTCGAATGGAGGCAGCTTGATGTATAAGTATCAGACCATTCTCCCTCAAAAGTAGAATCATCACAACAGCAATCAACAGCACAACAACAGCCCAGCTTCACTTCCAACCAACATCTTCTACATTCACTCAACGATCTTCCTTCGTTCCAACCAACCAACCAACCAACCAACCAACCATCAAAATGCAGTTCTCCATCACCACCATCATTGCTGCTTTCGCCGCCGTCGCCATGGCTGCGCCATCCGCCGCTGCTGGCTCTACCTCGATGGTCGTCCGTGACACTTCGGCCGTCAGCGCCCTGCAGGCCCAGGCCGAGACCTTCCTCGCTGCTAAGGAGGCTGCTGGCTGCTCCAAGCTCAGTGAGTACTTAACACTATATCACATCTTCGATGACACTGACCAAACCATCAGAGTGCATTGCTGCTCTCGCTCCCACTGCCGCCGCTTGCGCTGCTGCTCTCGCCGAGGCTGGCCTGAACCCCCTTGCCGACGCCGCTTGCCTGGCCACCCTTGCCAACAGCGTCTTCAACGTTGTAAGTATTCTCAGCCATGTTTCTCGCTCGAATAATGCTGACTTCGATATAGCCAGAGCCCTGCAAGGGTTGCTAGACAGCTTTCGCAACTCTCGGCGGGCTAGTACCCGCGGGCAAAGTTGCTCTGGACAGCAATGGCCGATGAACGATGTCGGTTGGCAAGTTGAGCTGGGCTTGAAACTCCTTTTCTCCTGTATATGATCGATTGCTCTTGTATATGAACACCTTCCTGTCTTTTTTAGATCGCATAGAATAAAATCGCTTGGCCAGGCAAACAAATGTTCCAACCCTTCCTTTCTAATTTGACAGCAGGCTAAACACCTTGACATTGACATCGCTTTCTACCAGAGATTTCCTTTCGCATGACTGAATCTTCGGGTGAATACTAGAGTGACATAACAGATTGGGCAGAATTGAAATAGGCAGAATAAGACTCGGCTTGTGGTCTTGCCTGGCTAATTTGGATGATTTGGTGGGCACCTTTTTTAGAGCGCTTGGCTGCTCTTCCAACGATATAGTGCCCGCCAGGTGCGACTGACCGCCGGAAGACAGCAAATATTGTAATAAGAGAATACTAGCGAGTCGGTATATTCTGTGCATGCATGGTGGTTGTTGTAGCACTATAACAGGCCAACTAGCAAGATTGCATGGGCCTCTAGTATGCAGTGTGTCTTAGAAACAGACCGAGAGGCTTTTTGGTTCTAAGGTTGAGCTGAATCGTTATAACTGAAGCGCACCGATAACATGGCAGAAGTTCTCGTAATCATTTCGCAAGTAAGAAGCGATCTATAAGGTCGTCGTAACTTTGCTGCAGATATTGGCAGTAATTAACACAGATACACAGAAGTTAAATCATTCGGACTATATGCGCGTCTAACATGGACGCCGCACATGTCGTCTGATTTAGTTCATGGTGTGAACAGGGCGATATATAAGACTGTGCCGTAACTAAGTGTATCTACTGGATAGAAGAGAAATGTGAGACTGCTAACAAAGAATCATATCAGACATTCTTGAGTGCAAGATTAAAGATAGTACAAGTGCAAAGTGGCACTGCACTGTGAAGAGGAAAGATTCAGAATACCATGGGTATATGAGCGGCGAAGCAATCGCAAAGACAGCTCAATCAATTGAAAGTTAAGCAAGTGCGTTGTGTCAACCAAGTAGTGCCTGCGTCAAATGAATTTGGGTGAAGGAAGAGTGACGTTCAGAACCAGGAAAAGTGGAGGAGCAATAGATTAGTCAGCAGTGCCAAGGTTCTAAACATCACAACAAGGCTGGGATGAACAAATGCAACAGCACTACATTAACCTCCATGATCCACACTTATAGCTCGCAAATCGTATTGAGGTATACGAAATCCTGCGTGAATGATAACACTGTGTAGACTACGGCACATCGACTGCGACACGTCACTCTCTCAGACCGCCCCTGATCTCGTCCTCGACACTACGACGACCGCACACGTGCGTATGGCATGCATAGAGCTTGTCTATCGCCGCAAGCATTCCATGCTTCTCGTAGCTATTTCACGGTGTCCATGACTACCTCGGTCGACCCAGACCTTGCTGGACTGCTTCCTCCGGCGAGAGAGGGGCTACACAAACCTGGCTCGGTACCACACTAGTGACAGCAGGCTGTCCCGAATGGGGATGGATCAGACCATATTTCTGGGGCGTAGAGCAAGGCGTCTTTAACTAGATGCTGTCATTGGATGTAGCCCGTTTTCACGTCTTTTGCGGAGATCGCCGCGAAAGGCGGGTGTACTTGATACAAAACCTGCAATGCTCCTTTCGGCAGCACACATCCACCAGGATCGTCCCCTTTTTGTGTATCTCGCTCTCCGGTTCCTTTTCTTAGCCCTGTTTGCGTCCCGAGTTTTGGGCATTCTGGTTGCTATGTTGATGGTTTTGTCCTGCTTCTCTTACATGATTCGGTCTTTCGGGTTAATTCCTACACAGTACATGCTTGGAAACTCTCCGAGATCTCAGTGAAAGCGAACGGTATATTGATGCCGATTGGACACGTGCCGTTGGCTCATGGTCTAAAACGCTCAGAGGCTCGAAATTTCAGGCTATGATGTGCCGTGGCCCAAGAACTTCACGGAACTCGCGAGCCATTGCCTCTTAGCTCCTTGCATCGGCTTTCTCATTGATATCAATGTAACATTCTACGTGTCCGTTGACTTGATCATCGATAATTGCTCGGCATCATGCCCGCATTAGTATTCAAGGCGATTTTTGCATTGAGCGTTTCACGGTCATTTGAATTTGAATTTTCACACTGACTCAAGACGTTCACATAGGACCAAGGTAAGATTTGACAACTGCGAGTTTACGTTATATTAAGTTTTGCGAGCACGCAGTGGACTTACTCGCTTAGGTTTCCTGCGTCAGACTAACGACGCACGCTGCTGCAGTCTAAAAAGAAGAGCGGACTCTGTTCCGATCTGACTTCAATCAGAGAGAGAAAGGATTTCGATTGCATCCGAATTGGTCATTGTTCGCTGTTTTTCTCGGTCAATCTAGGTCTACAACTGGGCCGTTTCAGCAAGCGCTTGTTCCATCTTCCTCCACTCTCGACATGCGGTTCCTTCTGGTCGTATTATCAACGAAGTGGCAGTCAATCTTGCAGCGGCGTGCACATTAGTCGTTGTTGTTTCCATCTACCCCTCCATCTCCCGTGTCCATTGTCAGAAGCTTGCCCGTTCTATCGGTCCTTCTCCACATGTTGCTAACCGTCACCGCCTATCTGCTAGTAGCTACATTGGCCTCAGGCGCCTGATGATGCAGTGTTTAGCCCTTCTTGACCACTCTATCTACTGCCTTGCATCATGACAGAGGCTTGGCAGCGATGCATTCGAAGGCTAAGGCTACCGATGAGCCGAAAGACCTAAGCATACTGCGATGCTGGTTTGGCGCGGTTGTACTGCGATTACTCAGATTGCCTCCCAGTTGCACGACATATCCTGATCCAGTCACCCGGGTTGCTTCCTATGTTATGTTTCCGAATGAGAGAACAATATCTTGGCACGCTGATATCAGCTTAACGAAATCGCTTCTCGCACTTTTGCCAGTGATTTCATCAGATTCGATACATCAGCGTGCCATCTAACGTGAATTCGCTCCTTACCATGAATGAACTCATCTCCGAGCGCTGTCGTCATCGGCCCTGTAAGATGTTCGTGACCTGATAGCTGAACAGGCATGGCTGACACGCCAATCGACATGTCAGTCCTTGATCCTAACCTGCATATGCGGCTAGAGGATGGGTGCATCAGAATAACCCTCTCTGCTCGTGCTCGCTCGGAGCTGGCATGGTCACTACCTCAAGGGTTCGGCAAGGGGTGAGTAATGATGAAAATTCTCCAGTCCTGGGGTCTCGCCACTTCATTTGCTCCTTCTCGACAAGGCAGATTCATGTGGCATCATCATGGCAGCCTTTCCGTCACTTCCGTACTGCCGCGGTACTACCAATCTCACTCATCAGGGAACTATATACCACTTCCATCGGCTTCCAGAGCAACAAGCAATATACAGATGTAACGTGAGACTTGTTCATTCGGCCATAATAGCACCTACTGTCGGTATACCTGTATCGTGCGTCCCGCTCAGCCAACCAGTCTACCTCGTCGCGCGGGGATACCAATCATTGCACACAGCCCAAGCCGGTTCTTCGGTGACCCACCACGAGCTCGTGCCCGCCAATGCGAACAAAGCCGCAGCATCATCACAAGCTTGCCCACTCACTGTTCAAGCCCGCCAGTGAGCGAGCGAGGCCCGGCGACCGTGGTTCCGGCCCACACACGCACAGCACTTGTCCGTCTCGGGATCAAAATTGCGTGCGACCTTGCTGTCAGTTCCTCCACTACCCCATGTGCTCGCGCATTACCCAGCAGCATTTTCAACTCACATGACGAGAATCGTGCGCGGTCTGCCTTGGAGCAAAATCCAACGTCACGTCTTTCGCGCAACGGCCGGATTGCTCAAACTCTCTTCTGTGCCTAAAGCTACTGGACAAGAAAACGATGTCAAACCGCCAGAGCAACAATGCCGTGTACATGGGGCCAAACAAAGGTAAAATCAGCGGTAGATCAATTGGTCAAAATGCTAATGGCATGGCTGTGTTACGTGTTGGTTATGGCCGCAGGATGGTCGCATTTCCCATGTTTATTATGATGGCTGGGGAGCTGCCAATGCATGACGCGAGGCCGTACTAGGCCACAACAACAGCACCCTACCTCATATGAGCGATTGAAGTGACCGACTTACCATGTTTCTCGCACCAGCACTCGGCACTGAGTGTTAGAGAACGAGTATTCAATCTATCTACAATATAGCAGGCGGCTCGGACATGTGGAATAGTTGCCTTTTCTGAAAGCAAGGCAGATTGCTCAAGATGACTGACGACAGCCGGCTGCATCATCTTGCCACCACATTGGCCGAAAGACGATACCATTGGCATTCTATAGCCCGTCATCGCGGATACACCGGTGAAGGCGGTTCAACAGATTCTGCCTGGTCATCTTGTGACGCCCTTTCTGCGGATTGTGGACATGTAATCCATGCTGACGTTACGGGAACAAGTAGGCGACCCGACACAGACAACAATCTCGTAAAGCCATGATTGATGGCAAGATGAATGTCCGGGATATGGCCTCCCCCTTGATCAACCAAACCGCGCTCGCCACGTCAGAGGATCTCCGACGGGGCATGCTTTGGCCGCTTCTAGTGTCCATCTGGATCCAGATGATTCCGCTGATATGCAATGCCGGCCTAGGTTCCGCATAAACTTTCACGCCAGCCTGTTATCTAACAGACACATGCCTGTAAATATGCATGGCCTAGCAAGCCAACAACAGGCCAGGCGCGGGAAATTTGAGCCGTTGAGTGGAGGCATAGATCAGCTGAATGAACTTTGCCGATGGTGCAATGCAACGTCCATGCGGTGATGGCTAGCGCTCCACTCTTGTGGCGGTATGGCATGATTGTACATGCTTCCCTAGCGATGGATACTGCAGCGTGTGCAGATAAGGTGACTGGCCGATGATGCTTCATGCCTGGGGAAGAGGTGGGCAGACCCTGTGTCAGCGAAGCGAGATATTCCGAGTAATTCGTAAAGGCTTGGACACTGGAGCCCATCGGTGAACAAAGCTGATGCTACACACATTAATTAGCTTGACTCGAAACGGCAAGAAAGACACCAACTAGTGGGACCTGGGATGCGGACAACGCCCGGAAGCCCAAGGCTACGGTCATTTTGAACCAACGAGACAGCACGAGCGAGCCAATGTGAGTGTTCAAGCCATGGCTTAACTAAATGTCAATCAATGCGTTCCGGAACAGCGGCGAAGCTTTGCATGAGGGCGAGCTCAGATTTGCAGTGCAAGATTGGTCTTTGCGGTCCATTTGTTCCGAGGCAATGTTTGCATCCAATGGTAGGTAGCACTTCTTCCGTTGGTCGGTCTTCTTGACACAAGCCTAGTGGGAGCGAACCATAGCGCGGCATGAGCTGGATGGCACGTGATCTTCTCGCTTCACGAATGCTCAACCTCAGGAGCAATGAAAGGCCGAAAATGCTCGAAAACAAGTCGCACACATCGAGCCCAGTCCGGCTGAGATAATTTGACAAGGGACATGAGGCATTTTTCACCCCCAAGGAAGCAGATTGCGCAGTTCGAAGAGCCACGACACGTTGATCCCCTAGCAGGTGTGATAGCCTTCTGCAGCTGGAGACGCCGGCGCCGTCTAGGGTATCATTGCAGCCGTCTCCGCAGTACTCTAGCGCCAGAGTGAAAGGGATGTGGTGATCGTGGCGACATCGTTGGATGCAACGGAGTGGGGTGGTGGCATGTCGAGGAAAGGATAGGCCATGGCATCAATCTATCGTCCGACCGTGAAACAAGCCCGGGGCCAGACATATTCCTCTGTGTTGTCGAACCCACAGTCCTTCGCAGCATAAATAGCAGCGTTGCTTCGCAAACGAGAAAGTCTTCACACTCTTCATCAACCATCTCTTCCAGTCATTGACGAGCATTGCCATCCATTGACGTCTTCTTCGAACGTTGTGACGTTCCACATCCTCCTTTTCACATCCAAGCTTTGATATCTGTTGCTGAAGAGCAACCCTCATCCAACCATCTTGTATGTGCCCACCAGGACGTCGTTGATATAACCCCTAGTCTGACCCTAACCAGGACGAGGACCATCAGACCAATCGCTACGATCCCGTGTTTGGGCGTTCCGAGGCAAGGTTGGTAAACGATAGCTGCCGACCAAACATCAAAAGAACACCGCTGACTTGTTATGGCCCAGACATCCAAGCTCTTTAGTCTTGAAACATGTGCTTCTTCGATCAGCACCGCTTTGCCTGTGGCGACTGGAAGTGGGGTCACTTCCGACAGCACTGCGCCAAGGAGTACCGAATGGGTGAGACATGCGGCATGAAGCTCGTAATGCAGACGGTTCCCACGGGCACAAAGTGCAAACTCTGCGACAAGATCGATACGAAGATGCGCCGCCGGGCGGCTGAGGTCGACCGAATTGGTCGGTGGCAGCGCGAAGGAGCCAAGTTCCGCGCTTCGATTGACAAGGCGATGGAGATCATCCGAAACTTGGACTGCGAGATTTACGAGCTGAGTTGTGAGCGTCAGCGACGACTGCAAGCAATTGGCCATTGAGATCATCATGATAATGACGCGGGCGTCTGGGTTTTCGTTTCAAACAGAACGCTTCAGGGTCTCCGCTCGGATTGAGCCCATCCATTTTGTCAATCAAATTCTGAACTGACACAAGGGGGACGGGTAGTGAGCGACAAATGTCGGAGCGAACGAGGCCGGGCGTTACTTCTTACAGTCGTTTGTTTTCTTTAATTCGATCCTTGAGCTTTAACGACGCAATGAACATATTTACCATTCATGATTGGTCCTTTGATGGGTTGTGGTGACGGTAGCCGCTGTGATGTGAGATGGGGGCTGAAGCCGTCCAATCCGTGATTGTCGCGTAGCCACAAATAGCTTGAAAATTGTTTGCGCACGGCCCGAGGGGGTGGGCACTGCGCCTCTCCCGTCGCCTTCCTAGATCATTCCATCATCGAATATTTTTGGCACTCCTTAAAGTCGAAGGGATGCGACGAAAGTGTGAAGCTGACTGGAGCTGCGGTGTTGTTGTGGTCGAAGACATGCGTGGTGGGGTAATTTTCTCGCCCATCAGGCACGTGATCGAGCTAGTGCTGATATCGTTAGCCCCTGCGGCAACACCCGAAGCCCCCGCGGTCCCGCGGCACCCTCCTGTAGAAGTGTCAACAGACATGCTTCGACCGCTCCGATATATCCTCCACGTTCCCATCGCCATCGAATACGTGTTGTATAAGCGTATCCGCTCTATTTCACAGTAACTTGGCTCGGGCCACGCTGTGTGCTGTAGTTGGCAGCCACGGTGCGATGCTCTCGTTCGCGCCTGTATCCGAGACCAGGTTGTTGGGACTGGGAGACGGAGCCCTTGTTGGTATTCTATTGACATGCCGTCTATACCTGCTGCGCTCCTAATTCCGATTGTCTTTCACGCTCCTCGTTACGTTGTGTTCCCAGATTGTTGCTTTCACGGCATCTTTCGCTCGGATCGTTTCGTACGCGACGGCGTATCTGTTGTTTCGTCTCTTTCTGGCACTGTCTTTTGAGGTAGTGTGTGGGCATTGCTATGAGATAGCTGATCCGAGGACAAAAATTACCGTTGCGGGCCTCCAGACACGTTGAATTGACCTTGATTACGTGGCGAGCGCTGAGTGGCCTAGAAAGCGGCCGATCGCTTTCCGCAGGACGTCGTCGGACGACACTCAAGCCATGGCCCTCTGGAATCCGAACCCTCGAGAGCCGGTGTGCAATCTCATCAATGGTACGATGTTGTTGTACGTTTGTCCGGACTACGTGGAGATTCGTGGTTCATAAGAGAGGGACAATGAGGGTATGGGTCTGCGCAGGTATTTGACTACCCGCGAGCAATGCCCTGTCAAGGCGAATAGTTTAAGCGCTAGCCACCTAGGACGAAGTTAACGCCGGTGTATCACGCTCAATTGAGGTACCGGAAGAGATGGCCACATGGAGTCGAAAACCTATGTGCATCGAGAAGCCAATGACGCTGCTCGACGTGCCATCTGGATGATAATGAAAGGAATCCAGCCCAGCGAATACGGCAACTAAGCTTCCACAAACAAGCTGCAATCTGGATTTATTGGGCAGCAGCCAGCGTGTGTGTGCATATCTGGGACACTTGTATGGCGCCCACCAGACCAATCAGAGGACGAGACGGTACTTCCAGCTCGACTGGGCAGATCGCCTCGCTCCTTTTTCGTCTTGTTCGATCCTGGCAACGCGACTATGTTTATCCTGCACGTTTGCGCGTATAGCCACCCGGCTGCCAATTGAGTTTATCAATGTTGCAACTCGAAGCCTCGCGCATGGTAGTCTTACCTCTTTTGGTCGATCTTGCTTTTCCATAGCGCTCCCGCAGATTATCTGCAGACGGCACGGGTGCAGGACATCACCCGCACCAATGACACAGCTCTCAGCAAGCAATGCAAGGCGTACCTCCTTCATGGCTCAGCAAACGACATTCCGCCAGCGCCAGTTCATTTCCCTCATGTACCCCGCGCAGCATGTGGAACGCAGCAACTTCGGCGCTTCTGGCAAAATTGCTCATCATGCAACACACAGGGCGACAAGGATTGCTGTAATTGTCGTCTCATATGCTGTCGAACAATCGCAGATGTTGTAAGACGTTGATGGTGGTACGACATGCGACGAATCGCCGACCAATCAAAGCGTGTAACTGCCCTGTCTTCTTGATCTCAAGCCGCCCACTACGCCCAACAAACCGAAGACGGAAATTCACGAAGACTCACAGCGCTAATAGTATTTTCACAATTCTCGAGAGTTCTCTTGTGCACGTTATTGCTTCAAACATTGAACTGATGGTCGTTGGTGAGAGGTGACGTTTGGCAGGCCAGCTTTGTGCACACGCCCCCGATCTGCCTACCCGGCGGCTCGTCTCGGTTCCCTTTTCAGGGATGTTCCTGACACGACCACTCTGTTCGTCCAACGGGTCTCCCTGGCTGAATGCCCAGCCATGCCGGCGTAGTCTCCAGAACGTGGGGTGAACTTAGGAGAAAACCAATACTCTCATGCGTCTGCTCGCGCAGGTTGGCAAGCACGCCTAAATCGAATGTGAGGCCGCCAAACCGGTTCATTGGGCTCGACTGCAGGCATCTAATCTCCACCTCACTTTGGTGTCGGCACTCACACTCTGAGCGGGGCCATCACACATCGGTTGCCAGCAACGCTGATATGCCCTTCTATAGTATCGAAACCTCCACGCCCCCACGTAGTCCTAGCCAAGTGATCACCATGTTGGTCATACACCTCACTACACCATTGTGAACATTGGACATGCGCCCCACTATCATCGCCATGCCCAAGTATTCGTTACATTGGTCATGCACGTCACCACATCATTGATGGTGCAGAAAACACAGAGGTTTCGAAAAGCCTTCCTGAAATTATGATCATGAGCTCAAGGATGTATGTATATCGAAGCTCCGTAAGCATGCTCCAATCGGAAGCACACCTAATTTCGTAAGGAAACACGCCCCGGTACATCGTCCGAGCGGTAGCAAGAATAACTCATGGCCTCTCCTTTGCTGGCGTCGGTATCAGATCACTCGTGCGATGCTACCTGATTAATACTCAATGACCACAGACATAGTCACCCAAGAACATCAGACACCTAGAAGCAAGAGAGAACCAACACAAGACATCCTCCCACATAGCATCCAATTACTCATCTGAAACGACCCAAAAACATCATGTATTCAAGAAAACAATTCTAAAGCTTCAACCTCTCAACTTCAAAAAAAAAAAGCCTCCAAGGCTCTAGATAATACCTCGAACAAGAAAAAAACCAAAGCCAAAGCATTCCAACGCCGACATGTTCATTCTCGTTGCATCATACCTCCCTCATTCATATCGCCGTCTGTGATTCTCCTCACTCCCTGACAAGACTAACCTTCTGCACATCAACCCTCATCCACCCCTCATCCTCCTGCGCGCTAACTGGCATACCCTGGAATCCCGCACACTTCACCAGGCACTCCAAATCCGCCTCAGCCTGCTTTCCCGCCGTGACCGACGCGTTACTCGGTGTCCACTTCTCCTCGGGCTCAACGCTCAGAATCTGCACGCGCGTGCCGTCCGCATACACGAGCGTGGACGTCACGCTGCAAGACGCGAGTTTCTTTGCCTGCTGCGTGCTGATGCTGAACTGGTATTTCTTGCCGGGGCAGAGCGTCAGGGGCTGCTTGACGAGCAGTTCGCGGCCCGCGGCTGCGGACTTGAATTGTGCGATTGTGCCCTTGCCGTCCGGGGCGGAGACGCTGTTGAGTGTGATGTTGGGGTCGCTGGAATCGGTCTCCCAGCCGCTGACTGTGCCGTCGGAACCTTGGGCAAAGTCAGGGTTGCGCACGATGTTGCCGGTTAGGCTGCAGGCCGCGTCGCGCTGATAGGGGGATGCGCGGGAGTTAAGCGCGCGGTACACGGACTCGCGGGAACCGCCTGGGGTTGAAGAAACGTCGGGGATGGAAGCGCTGTAGCTGAAGTCGGTGCCATCAGGAGTGGCTTTGGTGGATTCAGGAGCGAAGGACAGGGCGCTGGCGAGAGTAGCTGGGGTGAAGGATGCAGATGCCGACGATGCAGTAACCTCCGCGCCGAAGGAGAGAGCATCAGCCAGAGTTTCAGCAATGAAGGCTGCAGTGACGGTTGAGATGACTGTCGTGGGTGCAGTAACGGTGGAAACGATCGTGGTCGGTGCGATGACGGTTGAAACAACCGTAGTAGTAACGAATTGAACGTTGGTAGCGAGTTGGACTTCGTTAACTGTGACAGTGACAGCCACGGTTGGGCAGATTGATGCAGGTGGGAGCGTGCTGTTGAACGAAGGCGTCGGGCTTGCAGAGGGAATGGATGACGAGTTGACGCCGCCTGTCGGGAGCGGTGGTGTGTATGTAATGTTCGATGAAGCAGTAGGTGTCAACGATGGCACGCTTGACGTGATGTTGACAACAGGAATAGTCACGGGAATCGTGAAATTTGCGGAGTTGCTTGGGATAGTGATCGAAATGACCGTGCCCGAAGATACAGTAAAGTTGCCGCCAGTTGGTGGGATAATGACCGTCTCTGTCACCGGTGGGCTCGAGGTGATGTTGCTAGATGGGTACGGTACGCTTGCGGAAGGAGTTATCTGCGTGAAAATCCCAGACTGAGGTGTCGAGCTCGCTGGCACAGTCGAGTTGGCCGACGCTGGAGGAATCGCACTCGAAACGTTGAAGCTTGAGCTTGGCGTTGGGATCGGGAATGGCGAGCGAGGCTCATCAGAGTTTGTGCCTGTTGATCCCAAGGATGTAGTAATGTTGACGCTAGAGCTTGGCGTCATGCTGGGAGGGACAGTGAGCGACGATGGCACCGTCGAGTTGGCTGATGACGGCGGAATCGAGCTTGAGACATTGAGGCTGGAACTTGGTGTTGGGATCGGGAACGGAGAGCGAGGCGAATCAGAGTTGGTTCCCGGTGGAGCCCAAGGACGTCGTAATGTTGGCGCTGGAGCTTGGGGTCATGCTCGGAGGGACCGTGAGCGAAGAATTGACTGAAGGTGTAACCGAAGCGCTGACAGTCGACACGGCCAGAACGGAAGTCAACGGAACAGTGATATTCGCGCTCGAACTTGGTAAGCCGCTTGGTGGGATAGTCACAGAGACGTTTGAAGATTGAACGATTGAACCGCTACTTGGCAGAAGCGTTGAACTCGTGAGAGGGAACGGTGATCGCGGCTCGTCAGAATTGGTACCTGTCGACCCAAGGCTGCTGGAGACGTTCACGCTTGGGGTGGATGGGGGCACAGTCAGAGTGATCGTGCTCGAACTAACGACAACAGTAGAGTTGAGCGATGGTGCAGGCGTGCTAACGCTGCCAATCGAAGCGGTTGAGTTCAGCGATGGCGCAGGGCTACTGATGGTGCCAACTGAAGTAGTCGAGTTCGTAGACGGGACAGGCGAGCTTGCACTTCCGACCGGAGTCGATGAGCTAGTGAGAGGGAACGGCGAACGCGGCGCATCGGAGTTGGTACCAGTAGATCTCAGGCTTGATGTAGTGTTTGCGCTAGGGGTAGATACAGGTACAGTCAAACTGAAAGAACTCGAGACCAACACAAGAGTCGAATTGGAGGACGGCACGGCAGAGCTGATGGTACCCCACGGGAGTAGTAGCGTTGGAAGACGGGCCTGGTGTGCTGGCGCTGCCTACTGGCGTCGACGAGCTCGTGAGAGGGAAGGGACTGCGCGGCTCGTCCGAGTTAGTGCCCGTAGAACCGGTTGAGACTGAAGCGACTGGCCCGGTAGAGTTGGCTGAGGGCGTGATAATGCCGTTACTTCCAGTAGCTGAGGAGGTGTATGTGCTTCCCGAGATTGTGATTTGAACTATCTCGCCCGTGGACGAGATCGCAATCACAGGTGTAGACGTAGCGCTAGTTGGGGTGCTAGCAGTCGCGTTTGACGACGCAGGGGGGATCAGGCCTGATGCTCCAGTCGAAGTTAGTGTGGAAGTAGAACTACCCGTGGAGAAGATTCCAGTGCCCGAAGAAACAGTGATATTAGGGAACAAACCAGAAGCTGAGCTTGGTGGCGGGATAGCGCCAGATGCGCCGGTAGAAGTACTGAGAGCAGTCGAACCTCCAATAGAAATGATCTCAACGCCTGAAGAGATGCTCCACCGTGACGTTCAGGCCCGGGGTTTGGGTTGGGAGAGCGTTACTGGAGATGTTTGAAGATGGTGGCGGCACGGATCCTGACAAGGTAGTAGTGGTTGTCGTCGTAGATGGTCCAGGCGGTGGTGCTGACGAACTCGTGAGCGGGAACGGGATCCGTGGGTTGTCCGAGTTTGTCCCGATAGAGCCGGTGGATGATGGGGGAGGAATAATTCCCTCTCCACCAGTGGAATTTGCCGTGATGGTGCTGCTGCCAATAGTGAAGTTGGCGCTGCCAAATGAGACCGTTTCAACGATCGTCACAGGACCACTCGGACTTGGGGTAGGAGGAATAATACCATTGCCGCCAGTCGAGTTCGCGGTGATCGTGCTGCTGCCTATAGTAAAGTTTGCGCTGCCAAACGAGACCGTTTCGACAACAGTTACAGGAGCGCTTGGGCTTGGGGTCGGAGGAACAATACCCTCTCCACCGGTGGAGTTTGCCGTGATGGTGCTGCTACCGATAGTGAAATTTGCACTACCAAATGACACGGTTTCAATGATGGAAACTGGGCCACTGGGAGTCGACGAAGGAGGAATCAGGCCCTGTCCACCGGTCGAGGTCGCCGTAGCCGTGCTACTGGCAATTGTGAGGTTCACACTGCCTAAAGAAACGGTCTCGACAACAGTGACTATAGAGACGCGTGGAGTGGAGGCAGGAGGGATTTCTCCGTTACCACTACCACTGATCGTTGTCGCTGTGGAACCAGAAATTACGATTATGGTGGAGCCCGCTGATACGATCTCGGTGCTTCCCAAGGAGACGGAAGCCGGAGGGATGGCACCGTTGCCTCCAGTGGAAGTATAAGTCGAAGTCGCACCAGATATAGTGGTGTTGTAGCCGAGGGTGGTTGTCGTGGTTGTCGTACTCAAGATTACTTCGGGCACGCCTGGCGACGATGGAATGACACCCTCACTTCCGCTTGATACAATGGTGGCAGTCGATGCGGACACCGTGATAACGCTGGAGCTGTTCGTGTAAGCGCCTCCGCTAGGCGCAGGCAGACTCAGTGTAGCACTTGCCCCGGTCGTTGGCGGAATGAGACCAGCGTCCCCAGTTGATGTAGACGTAGCGGTGGAAAAGAAAGTCGTTATCTCACCATTGCCACTGGTGGTAGTGGCAGGCACGAAGCTAGTGCCTGGGCCAAACAAACCTCCGCCGTTCGAGATGATCCGGGTGGAAGCACCAGAGATAATTGTAGTGGTAGCGCCATTGATGATGGTGGTGACATATGAAGTTGCAATGGTGACTGGTACAGCTGTGGGAGCCTGTTGTACGATAGTTTGAACAACGGTGCGCGTACACGACCAAGATGTTGCATAGACCGCCTCCCAGAAACTGGACGAGGCAGACACGGCGTACCAACTCCAATGGACGGTTCCACCAGCGTCGGTAGAGTTGGCGGACACATAGGTCTCGAAGACTCCACCACCATTAGTTTGGGTGAGGAATCCTGGCGTAGAGACGGAGACACCTTGGGTGATTGAAGCAACTAATGCAGATGTATCGATTGTCCTGTTCGCGTTGGCTGCATCTAGCGCGGCGCAGTCACCGTTGGAAGATATTCCCGTGTTGACAACGGTTACCGAACCCGGCTTAGTTGCGTACTGGGTCTCTTTACCACTCAGTACACAGCTTCCACCAGCACGTCCATCGGTGTAGGGTGTCCAAGCTGCTGCCTGACAAGCTCCTTGGCCAGCTTGAGCGTTGAGAGCCGAACATTGCGCTGCGCAGGTCGTCTCGCTATCAGTATCAATTGGCTTGCCAATGCGATCCTCTGATATAATTTCAGTGTTGCAATACACCAAGTAGTCGAGTTTGAAGCCTCCAACGACCTGATCGACCTGGGTGTTGGCAGCTTCTGGGCATGTAAATGGAACGCCTCCTACAACAATCCCAGATGAGTTTGAAGCAGGTGCACCTGGCGGGGGGACGGCAACGTCACTGGGCTCAGTGGTCTGTATTGGGAGAACAGCAGTCTCGGCTGAAAAGGTTGACGACGATGTTGCGTTAGCTCCGGCAGTCTGGGTGACGGTCGTCATGACGGTGAATCTCCTCGTCTCTGTCGTTTCTGACACGACGATAACACGGTAGCCCACGGTAGTGTACTGTCAGGTCAGTCTCCGCTCCAGTACAAAAAGGCTCAGAACTTACAGCTGGAGGTAACGCGTATGACTCCGTTACAGTTGATGTAGGGTCAACGAGTTTGCAGGAACATGCGTTCGCCAAGCCAGAAGCAGCCTGAGAGCGTTGCGCATTGTCATCGGTCGACACAGCACTTGCGGGGACTCCGCTATTAACAACTGCATTGAACATGTCTTCGGCAACGGCAGCGATGTTAGCAGCTCGAGCCTTGACTGGCGCAAGCGTTTTGGTAGCTGTGCTGGTAACTGTTTCGGTAGATATTAGGCGGGTAACGGAGGTGGTAGTGGTAGTGATTGAGTCGCTCGTCGTGACCGTACTAAGAGGGTGAGCATGGAACGCAGGCCGCATGTCATATAAACTCACATGGTGGGAACATATTCGATCACAGTAGTAGCCGGAGGCAAGCCTAGCCACTCGTTGCAAAAGGTTTGCACACTTGGGTCCGGGTTGTTATTGAGGAACTGTTCGTAGCGATCGTTGGGGCAGAAAAGCTCTGTCGTCTGCCTTTTCTCATTAAGATCTTGCGCCTCGTGGCGGCGCAACTCGACTGAAGCATCCTCGGTCTTAGCGCTCTTGGTATCAACTTTATGGTACAATGCCCAGGCGTCCGAAAGTGTACACAAGGAGAGGACGACGGCCGAAGCCTTCGAATAGCGAGTGAATGACATGATCGAGCACTCGAGTGAATGAGAGATGCTCTGATCTAATGTCCCCCGTGGTGCTGAGAGGCGTTGGTAGGACTGATGGCAAGCCGCAATTCGCTGATTATACCTCTATAAGAGCCAGTGAACAGGGTGGGACGCGGACGGCCCGTGAGCCAGCCATCAGGATTGCGGATATGTCCAGCGTGTGCCTTGCTGAGGGACCCGGAGTACTGATTCGGAGTAGAGTGATCAGGCTGGAACTGTTTCGCGTGGAGCGTGACGGCACACAGCAACCTTGCGTAGATTACTCGTCCAGAATGCGGAAAATAGCGGTAGCGAGGACGGCTTTTACCAGGTAGAGAAGGTTTGCAGAAGCTTGGCGACTGCCATACCTTTCGCGGTCGATCGGAATGGAAGGGGTGTGCCATTGTGAGCGCGTTCTCGCATTCTCTTCCCAGCTTCACCAGCATCAGATAGCACAGTGCGTATACAAAGGGAGGCTATGTTTCAGACAGGCACCGAATATGGTGTCAAGAAGGGTCGCAGTGAATAAGTCTGGAGGCCATATGGCTTGGAGGTGGTATGGAAGAAAATAGTCAAGACTTCGTCTAGACTCGGCCGGGAATACATTGTACCTGTAATCGGGCAAGGTGCCCAATCTAAGCGCAATTCAGACGCGATGATCGATGACGACGCGGTGCCTGGGAGCATCACAGAGGATAGACGCGATCGGTAGCAGGGACAGGAATGCCATGACAGTCATAGTCATAGTCATCAAAGTGGTTTAGTCTCAGCCACGGCCTAAACAAGCAAATAGTAGTTTGTGTGGTGTGAGTGAGTGAGTGAGTCGAGAGCTTAGCTGGGGCGGAGGTGTCAAACGTCAGGTACGCGATGACGGGTTGGAGTTGAGGCTGGATGCCAAGACGCCCGGAGATTTCCCTGCCGATCCCGTCACCACAACAGGAAACAACGGCCAGCGGGCTTGGGGCAAGAACGACGCCAACCTTCTCTACTCCACGTCTCAGCTCGCTGACGATGGCTGCATGCTCGTTCCCACTCGTCGCACTCAATTAATACGCCATCTCCCTCACTGCTACCCCGCCTTTGAGCGCTACACATCGCCCCATCCGCTTCAGCGTCTGCCTGCAGGCCTCATTCCATGGGTATCTGCTCGTCGTGCCTCGGTGGGCGGCGGCCGTCCGAGTCAGAAGTGAGTGTGACACAGTCCAGATGAGCGAGTTGATGCTTACAAGTCTCCCTTGCAGCAGTCGGACACGTCGCACCTGCTCCATGACCCATACCAGCCAAACTACGGCACCAACAACGGCTCGCACAACGCTCCACAGCCAGATCCAGAAGAGCTGCGTCGCCAGCGCGAGACGCTGGAGCGCATATGCGCTGAGACGTCCGAGTGAGTGCCTCCTGCCAATACACGCCCGCGCCCCTTCCTCTGCCCGTACTAACGTGTATCCCTTGCGCCAGGCAATTGATCCCTGTCTCGCAACCAGCAACCATCCCCCCGGAAGTCAGCGAGCAGCCTACGAACGACGCAGAATATGCCCGCCTATTCAACGAACGCTTCGCGACGCTACGCAAGACCCCGAGTCGACCTTCGTCAGCTGACGCTGCAGACACTGAAGACGATGAGGCCGCCTGGCTAGAGCAAGCTCTGGGTGGCCAGGGCGAAGACGAGGTGGACCAGATTGAGCCCACGAAGGGAGGACTGACGATTCAGTTTGGTGCCCGATAGGTGCCGTGGCACATTTGCCAGTAACGTTTTTTCAATGTTGTTCGAGTCTCTGCACTGCCCCCGGGCAGCCTATTCTGGATACCCCATAATAATTTCCTTTCTTTCTCTATGTCTAGCATTCACATATCATTCTGTCAGCAACTATTAGCATCTGGACACATGCGGTGCAACACCGGCCCGACACCAATACATCGTAATACGACCTTCAGCCTCATCGGTGTCTTTCTTCTGTACTTCGTATCTCGACTAGGTCAACGGTCGCCCGAGACTCCCTATTGAGTCACGGAGCATATCATGGCGCACGCTACTAACATGACAGGTCAGAGGGCGGTCGATTGTGTTCGAGACTTTGATTGCTCACACGATATGCAGAGACTATCTGAAAAAGCATCCAGTTGTTAAACCAGTGCACCATACTAAATACGAAAGTGGGTATAGCGAGTAATTTCCAACGGCAAGGTCCTCCTTCCAACGCCTCGTAACGCCGCAAACCATCCAACTGGCACAAAGACCTGGATAAATGAACAGAAAAGATAAGAAGGGAACAGCTGTGCCACATGGAGAAAGTTGCAACACCAACATGGTGCCCTTGCAAACAAAAGATCCCCTCCCACTGGTGTACCCGAAGCATGCTCGGTCTACGTCGACGTTCCACGGTCCTGTATGAACTCATCAAGCTTGCGGCTGGCGCACTCCCTGATGACATCGAAGAGTTGTCTTGTGTACGGCGTATCGATGTGGTCAAGGCGCATATCAAGGCCCCGCTCGACGGTCGTCTGCAGTGGGGGTGGTAGTCCATCGTGCGCGCGCAAAGCCCACTTACGAGCTCCTTCTTTGATCGCGGACGTCAACTCCTCCTTTTCGTCGGTGTTCAAGTCTGGAATATGGTTCTGGGCCTTGAGGGCTTCGGCTTCGGCAAAGCCCCTGACGGTCGACGCGACTTTCAGTTCTTCGGCTTGCGCCTTTTGTGCCTGATTTGCATTAGCCAGATTTACGGAATATGCATGTATGGAGACTTACTTGGAACCACATCTCGTTCTTCCTCGCCTCTAACTTCTGCACCGCGGTCAGACGCGGTGTCTTATCGCCCATGCGCCGCACAGATTCCGGAATGCTAATCACGCGGTTTGTCACCACAGGCTCTTGTCGACCTAGGAAATGCTGCTCATACCAGTGACCTGGCGTATTGACGCCCTGCCAGCCCTCCCAAGAGGCTTCTTGGGATACGGGCCCGTGGGGCGGCGCGACGTTCTGGGGGGTTGATACGCTGTTCTTCGCCCGTCTGCTCGGAGTCCTTGTTTGGGGAAGGATTGCCAACAGATTCGTTGCTGGGGGAGCTAGATGGTGAACCGACATCGACGTACGAGGACATGGTAGGACCGGTACGTGATGGACGCGCAGAGGTTGCAGTTGGCGTATCGGTGATGTGGAGAGTAGTACGGTGCCGCTTGCGGGATGTCGGTGAGGTAGGGTCAGGCATGAAGTCGTCGCCTGAAGAGTCATTCTCGATGATAGCCTTACTCTTCCTGCTGCTGACGATCCTCTTCTTGCTCGCTGGTTTAGCAGTCGCACTCGCCTTTCCTTTACCCTTTGTAGTGCCCTTCTCCCCAGCACCCATCATCTGTTCGTCGTCATGTTGCCGTGCCGGCGTGCGCCCTGGCGCAGGCGTAGGTGATCCCGGCATGTCCAACAACCTCCTCCTCACAACTTTACCACTACCCAAACCCGATCCGAGACCTCCAGGCGTGCCCATACTCCCGTGCGTGAGGCTCCGACCCTGACTCTCCCGCTTCTCGCGACACGTCTCGCAGATTTGCCAGGTACAGCCGGGACACCGCTTCATATGTCCCTTGTTGCGTTGGTCGCACACTGTACAGATTGCCGTGTGGATTTCCACCTTGTCCATGCGGTCTGCATCAGACGTGCATGTAAGTATGCCGCCGCCGGGTGTGCGTGCTGGAGTCAAACTACGATGAGGAGTCTTGGCTGGGCTCGTGATATCGCGACTTGGTGCTTTGCGCGCAGGGGACGGGCTAGCGAGCGAGAGCGGTGTGGTGCGGCTGCGGCTGCCTGGCGTATCGGGGGCGACGTCGGAGTGCGGAGAATAGTCAGACTTGGCGCTTGCGCTTGCGCTCGTGCTTGCACGTGGTGTTGCCGGCTGAGGCATGGGAGCGTTTGGTGGTACAAGCTGTGCTTGCGGTGGTGAAGGAGCCTTGGCGCCTGTCGACATGGTGGCGTGGTTGACAAGTGATTAATCTATCTCCTCGGAACTGGTTGGCAACAAATCTATCAAGTAGCTGTGGACTGACAGGGGAGATCTGAATTTATAACACAACAGTTAGCTCAATAGCTCCAAGGTCCTATCACATGTCTACAAACGGGGATATTCTCGAGACGACTTGCATTCAATTGCTCTCGGCAGCAGGACAAACGGACGAAAGTGAGCCCGAGCCTTTTCAGCGTATGTGAGCGCGGATTGTTTTCCGGCGAATGTGAGTGCAGACGAACCGATTTGATAGTGGAGTTGTGTTGGTGCGGTGTGGTACAATGTCCAACGATCGAGAGAGCTCGGGCAAGGAGGGGACCTAGGCGTATTCCGATCGAGAGCTTGGACAAGATGGAGACCTAGGCACAGTCAATCGAGGACCCAGCCGGCGTACCCTCGCCGTGGATTGGTGGCCGCTGTGGGGTCAGAGTGAAAGGCGTGACCCTGGGTTGCGGGAAGTTGGGGAAAGCGAGGGTGACGGGCGTGATATTGACCACGCGGATATGGCGAGGGCGTATAAGCGCCCCTGGTCAAGATAGTAAAAAGAAAATATACAAGTTTGAGAAAGGTCCCTGATTGTCGAGACTTGGACTACCCAGAATGCCGATATACAATATTAAAGCCAGTATGAAGAAGGTAAAACCAAAAGCCAAAAAAAAGAGCCGACTGTTATACAACGAAAGCAATTTCCTGTGAAGAACGAAAAGAGCGAACGACATTGCCCGCTGAATGGCGATTGCTTTATACCATACTACGTGCGGGGTGGGTTGCAGTCACATAGAAAAATTGGAGTCATGAAGTGGTGCACACGAGCGTGCCCCTTCACATCCCGCATGGACGGGCCTTGCTGCTGAGTCTATCAAACGGGAGCACTGGTTATAGCGTTTGCTGCCGTGTTGGTATTGAGATTAGCTGTGCTAATCTGGAGCGCGAGCGGTGGGGTGCTGGCATGGCGCAGTACCAAAGAGTTGAGTAGTGCGAACGATAGAGATTGTATTGATGGAGATGGAATACGGAGACAAAAGAAGTGGCCAAATAAGACAGATTGAGAAGGTGAGAATGGGAGAAACGATGATGAGATTTGAAACTCCGTGTTGCAGCCAGTTGCACACAAGAGCTGAACGCGTGCGTGCTTGGTGTTACCAAGTGTTTGTGCGATGTAGCGGTTGAGTGTCGGGTCATATTGATACGGTCGATGCGCTCGAAGCAATGGTTCGAAGTTAGGTGTTTACCTCGTTGAGGTAAACGTCGACGTCATATGTCCCCTTGCTCAGATGGGATTCGTCTTGGTGAGCGTTGGTTGCTTGTTAGGTGTCCCTCATATCGGGAGATCTAGTTGCGTACCACATGGTCACGTGGAGAGAGTCTGTGTACCTAAGAAACGAGAGACTCGGTGTTCGAAGAAGATGTGGAAGCAGTGAGAGGGAGAGGAGAACGAATGAAGTCTGAGAGATGGAGCCGAAGCTGGAGCAGCAGGCGCTAAGACACTTCCAGCTCTCGGGGCAAGAACATCCCGGCAATAGGCACCCATACATGAACCTGGTGAACATCCCTTAGCCACGGTAACATGTAAATATGCGTCGTACATGGAGCCATTCAGCGCTGACACTCAGCCCACCGCGTCGTTGCATTTTTGCTTGCACCGCTTGGAATCGCTTGCATGTGGCACACCGCGCGCAAGTTCACCGGCGCCATTAAGAGCGACTCATGCCACACACCATGTGCATCTTACGGGCATCCATCTTACGGGGATCCCACCTGCCTGGATCTTTACGATTTATAGTTCAGCCAGTTGTGAAGCTGAAGATGACTCCTAGGCGGTGTGCGAAGGCTGCAGCACTAGCCACAGCTATACGCGCCTTCAGCCATTGACTGCCGGAAGATCAGAGCCTGTCGCGCTTTTCCAACTGCTGCGCGTAGGGACTGCGAACTCCCTTCACCTTCGTCAACAAGGCTTGCAAATCGTGGCGAGTATTACGCAAACGTTTGCCGGACTAGTCTAGGCACCAACCAGTCGGCGTAAGAACCGGCGCCTCTCTAACAATTTTGGCATCTGTTGCGCCCTTCTCCTTTCACTCCAAAACACATTTCATCACAGTGCATCACATCGCTCTTTTACCGGCAGATTCGGAGAAGTGCGCTGTGGCGGTGCTATAGCCTCGACTTGGCGTGGAGCGCATTCTCTGCTCATTCCCAATAACCCGAAGCCAGGCAGCGCATTTTCGGCAGACTGGGCGGCCTCTGACAAAGAATCGCGCAATAATGAGCACCTAGAGTCACCGCCCTTCCTTTGGTGTTTCCTGGGTCGTCATCCCTTCACCCTGTCCTGCCGGCCTCTGTGCACTCACATAACACGCGTCAATCGTAGTACTATTTCTACCTGTCTTCGCGCTAAAGGTCCCACACATCAACGACTGCCACACCGCGACTAGCATCACCATCATCAACAAACATCACACCAATCATCATCCACTTCAACAACATTGACATCGCAAACATGGATAGCTCAGATCCGCCTGCCCCTCTGTCTTCGGCCATGACACTGCTCGACTATATGCATGCACCGACAGTGGCCTTCTACTTTCTTGGAGCATGCGCATTCGGTCTCTGTGTTCTACATAAGCCAAAGCCCATATCCCACAAGCGGCGACGAGGGATAGTTTTACTTGTTGCAATCACACTTATCGCCTACATTACCGAGGTCCTCTACTACTTCAGTCGGTCAATAGCAGATTGGGAATACGAACCGCCGAAGCCAGCCGCAATACGTTGTCTTGGCTCGATACTGACATGGGGTCCTTTGTTGTACCAACTATGGTCGAGCAAGTCGATGCGGTGGTATCCCTACTTCGGCGCTTTTGTCTGGCATTTCGCTTTTGAGACGACAACATGTCTTATCAGCGGGTTTGCCATCCCACTGGATGGCAGGGAACACGATGTTGCATTTGTACTTGGTTGTATTCGGGCTGCGGTGTCTCTGATCCTAATGATCGACGGGTTTGCCATTCTCCTCTCGAAGCACGTGGAACGGAGCACAGACGAAGAGCAACGGCCACTTCTTGCCAACAAGCCCAACAGCGCTGCAACGGAAACAGCGCCGGCTGGATATGGTGCCATTCCCCCTGTGGGGCCAGGGGATCCAGATGATTCAGACGATGAAGGGGGTCATACCGACGACGACAAGGACATCAAAGAGCGGCAGGCGAAGCGCCTTGAGGAGGAGGGAGGCTGGCTTGGATACCTAAAAGCGTTCGCAGTCTTCGTGCCTTATTTATTCCCTAAAGACGACTGGATGGTCATGGGTGCCTTGTTCGTACGTTTGATCCACATGCTGCAAGAGCGGTTCCTGAATCTCCTAACACCTCGACAACTCGGTATCATCACGAACAGACTCTCGGAGCCTAATCCGACCATGCCCTGGAAAGACATTGGACTGTGGGTCTTGTATTCCTATATCAACAGCTACGCTGGGTTGGGCATTTTTGACGGCATCGCCAGCATGGTCATCACTAACTCGGCATATCGAAGGATCACGCTTCTCGCCTATGAGCATGTGCTCGGATTGTCCATGGACTTCCACACGTCTAAGGACTCTGGCGAAGTCTTGAAGGCAGTTGAACAGGCGTCTTCGCTCAATTCACTCATCGAGATGGTCTTGTTTGATGTTGGTCCCATCTTTCTTGACCTCGTCGTTGCAATGTACTATGTTACATCACTGTTTGACGCGTATATGGCTTTCATTATTCTTTTCATGGGAGCAGCATACATCGCCATTGGATGGTATTTTACTGGACTTTCTCAGCCCAAGCGACGAGATTATGTCGAGAAGCAACGAACTGAAAGCTCCACGGTCAACGAAACAGTGCACAACTGGCAGACAGTCGCATACTTCAATCGTCTCGCTTTCGAACACAGCCGCTATGCTGCCAACATCATAAACTCGATCAACGCGCAATACGCCTATTACTTCCGCTCTATGGGAGGTCATGCGGTTCAAGATCTCGTCACCACTTTCGGCTTTGCGGGATGCTGCATCTTCGGCATGACTCAGATCGTCTCTGGACGCAAGAAGGTTGGAAACCTCGTTACGCTTTTGATGTACTGGAACACGCTCACCTCGCCTTTGTATGTTCTGTCTTACAGCTATAGACATATCTCAAGCTCGCTTATCGACGCGGAACGACTTCTACAGCTGCTCAACACGAAGCCCACAGTGTCAGATCAGGAAGGCGCCAAGGAGCTCGTAGTCAAGGAAGGTAAAGTCGAGTTCAAAGAAGTTGAGTTTGCATACGACCCCCGTAAACCAATAATCCGGAACGTCAGCCTGCAAGCCGAAGGCGGCCAGACGATCGCGTTCGTTGGTGAGACGGGAGGTGGCAAGTCTACTATGCTGAAGCTTCTCTTCCGCTTCTACGATGTCACCGGAGGTTCCATCATGATCGATGGCCAAGACTTGCGCTCGGTGACACAGTCCAGTGTGCGTGAAGCACTTGGTCTTGTGCCTCAAGATCCTGTGCTTTTCAACCAAACCATTCGTCAGAACATCCGTTACGCACGCCTCGAGGCCACAGATGCTGAAATCGAGGATGCGTGTCGTGCTGCAGCCATTCACGACGATATCACAGGCTTCCCAGACAAATACGAATCCAAGGTTGGAGAGCGTGGAGTCCGGCTATCAGGTGGCCAATTACAGCGAATTGCAATTGCGCGAGTGCTGCTCAAGAACCCGAAGATCGTCATGCTTGATGAAGCTACGTCTGCCATTGACTCCGCAACTGAAGAACAGATTCAAACCGCGTTCCGCAAGCTCAGCAAAGGCCGAACCACATTCGTGATCGCGCATCGTCTCAGTACCATTGTAGATGCCGATCAAATTCTCGTCGTCGAGAAGGGCGAGATCATTGAGCGCGGATCACACCAGGAGCTGTTGGGTGTTGGTGGCAAGTACTCTGAGCTTTGGACAAAGCAGACAGCGGGCCATTTGTCGAATGCCAACTCCAAAGCGCCTTCAAAGGCACCATCCGTCAAAGGTGATAAGGATACCAGCACACCACTGATCGACATCACACCCGCGGAAGAGAACTCGGCGAAGGCGACAGGTCGAAGTGACGATAGCGATGAGACAGTCGGAAAACGCAGATGATGCAGCATTGCAAACATCATGCTACGCTACATGATAATGTATTTCTTAGCTCGAATTTGCTTTAATGCCTCGGCCACTTCATTTTAACTTCGGCCTCGTGGGCGTACGAGTCGTCCAATCGGAGCGCGGGCGGTCACGGACGGACACGGTGGATCTTTCGACTTCGACGCGAACGGCGGGGTAACATCGCATCCCTCTACTGAAAGCGGAGGGATTTTTAAGTTTGGTAGACGCTGACCCTCTAGCCAGGCGTAAACTGTTCTCAACATTGATTAGGTGTGGCAGGTAGACGTCAATTGTTCGAGTACGTATGTAATGATATCATGAATGCGATGCATCCTTAACAATGCGTAAAATCGAACTCACAATCCGACTGCTAAATCAAAATGGAAGCAATTTCATGCCGTGGTATCAGCCTCAGCTATACACACACTACGTGCGTCCCTCAGATGTTGATGCAAGACACGGCAACAACAAGCACCGACTACGTGGCGCAACCGTGTGAAATTCATAACACCACACACAACCTTCCAAGAAGCGTACTCGCACAGGTAGATCGTGTCATCCGTCGGTCTTATCGTCGATACCCGCAGGCCAGGATTGAGGTCCCGACCTTGTGCTCCTGGATGTACGGGTGCTGAAAATTCAGTCCGCTGCTTACCCTCGCCTGGGTAATTTCTCGAGCTTCTCGATAGAGACGGACGGAAGTGTCAGATCCAACCCACAAGGCAACCATCGATCGGCAGCGTACTTGCGTCGTGTTGTGAGCGAAGTAAGGCGAAGGGAATGCGGAACGACCAATCTCGCCGCTGCACCGACCGACGCACGGGCCAATGAGCAGCTGCGGCAAGTCGTTTACGCATCAAAAGCTTGAAACTACGCGTGTATGGGCGGGTGGTGGCGTCCACTATGTTAAGAGGCTGCACGTCCTCTTCGCTTCTAGATTTCCATCTCTTGTCTTTCTCTTGTTGTCGTTGTTGTGGACTATTGCAGTCACGATGGCGATTCCGAAGCGCGCCCTGTTCCTGTCTTCCTGCGCCCTCACATTCTTCGCCTCTCGGTACGCGCCGAATGTCGCCTTCTTCCCACGAAGCTATTGCTGGAACATCGCATCACTTTTCGTGATCCAGGTGTTTGCGCAATGGGGATGGCAGATCGTTGTGTATCCGTTGTTCTTGAGCCCGTTGCGTCATTTACCGCAGCCGCCGGTACGTTTGACATCCGACGTGCATGACACGATCAACCACTAATCGACATTTACAGAACGGACACATTTTGCTCGGGCATTTCAGGAGAATATTCAAGGATCCAACCGGAGAGCCCCAAAGAGATTGGATTGACAATGTGCCAAATGATGGCGTGTTGTATTATCGATGGCTTTTCAACGAGCCACGTGTTCTAGTGACGAATCCAAAAGCCCTGGCAGAAGTACTGGTGCAAAGGAACTACGAATTCGTGAAGCCGGACAGGCTCCGCAGAGGACTCGCACGACTGCTTGGAGTCGGGATTTTGCTGGCCGAGGGTGATGAGCACAAACGCCAGAGAAAAGCACTCATGCCTGCGTTTGCATTCCGACATGTCAAGGACCTCTACCCGATCTTTTGGAACAAGTCGCTGGAAATGACGAGCCGAATGGCTGCGTCAATCAAGGACAGCACGGAAGCTTCGGACGTGATTGAGATCCGCGAGTGGGCTTCGCGTGCAACACTCGACATCATCGGCCTAGCTGGCATGGGCCAGGACTTTGACTCGCTGGCCAAGCCAGAGAACGAATTGTATCTGACATACAAGTCGATCTTTGCAGGCAATCGTGGTGCGCAAATTGTTCAAGTCATCCTCGGCATAATACCATACTGGCTGGCCATCGCATTACCATTGAAGCATAACGACGAGATTGGCAAAGCTGTCAACACTATCAAGAGCGTGGCCCGCGACCTCATCGCCGACAAACGTGCCAAAATCGAGAAAGGCGAGGCGAAACAAATCGACATTCTCTCCGTAGCTATGGAATCCGGCGGCTTCACTGACGAAGACCTCGTCAACCAGCTTATGACCTTCCTCGCCGCAGGCCACGAGACCACCGCATCAGCCCTATCTTGGGCCGTCTACCTCCTCTGTAAACACCCCGACACGCAAACGAAACTCCGCGAAGAGATCCGCAGCCAGCTGGATCTCAACGGCGAAATCAACTCCACCGAAATAGACCGCTTGCCCTATCTCAATGCAGTTTTGAACGAAACAATGCGCATCTTCCCCCCAGTCCCTCTCACTCTCCGCGAAACAGCCCACGATACCACCATCCAAGGCCACTTCATCCCCGCCGCTACGACCATCGTAATCTGCCCCTGGGCCGTCAACACTTCGGAGCGCCTCTGGGGCTCCGACGCCAAGGAATTCAGTCCCGAGCGCTGGCTCGGTGCGGGTCGGGCAAACACCGGCGGCGCGGAGAGCAACTTTGCAGTAACGACTTTCCTACACGGGCCAAGAAGCTGCATAGGCAAGGAATTTGCCAAAGCGGAGTTTGCTTGTCTGGTGGCGGCGCTGGTGGGGAAGTTTGAGATTGAGTTTGAGGATGGGGAATGGGAGTTGAAGATTCAGGGGGGCATTACGGCGAAGCCGAAGGGCGGGTTGAGGGTTAGGTTGAAGGAGGTGGAGAAGCAATGATGTGGGGCGAACGACTTCACGTCAGTATAGTCTCTGCGATGAAATGAAATAATGACTTCTATTACTCCATCATGTCCCATGGTACTTCAACTTGCGAGTGCCAAGTCATCTTGCAACTATCCGGCCACATCTACCTCCTTCCTTCCTTCCTTCCTTCCTTCCTTCCTTCCTTCCTTCCTTCCTTCCTTCCTTCCTTCCTTCCTTCCTTCCTTCCTTCCTTCCTTCCTTCCTTCCTTCCTTCCTTCCTTCCTTCCTTCCTTCCTTCCTTCCTTCCTTCCTTCCTTCCTTCCTTCCTTCCTTCCGACTTGCCTTTTTTATCCCGTCTGCGCCTTCAAGATCAGTACGCGCGTCTCGAATCGTATAAGTCCGGAGAACGCTCATACTCGCAGCTCGAGCCAGAGGCTTTAGATCCCCTCCCGTCTTCTTGATCGATCCGCCCATCTCCCGGATTACAGACTCCACGTCCTCGACTCTCAGTATACGTTGCCGTGCGGCTTCATTATCGTCGCCAATGCCGAAATAGTACGTAGAGCGCGCCTTGCAGATACCAGTTAGTAGCTTCCCAACGTTTATCGCATTTGTGTCCGCCTAGATCGCTCGCCATAGATGCGATCTCAGATAGCTCGGCGAGGGCACCGAGAAGCTCGGGATCCCAATCGAAGCTGCTATTTGTGGATGTGATTTTATGGTCTAGCACCCTCTCTAGGGTTAAGTACCAATTCCTAATACAGGTTTCGATGAGGGAAGGGCGGTCGGCAATAGTGTGTTGGTTGGCCTTTAGTGACATTTCCATGTCGTTGTGGGTGAACATAGTGCACTTGAGCTAGCTTTGTTTAGTGGTTGAGTGTGTGTGGTAGAGAACAAAGAGTTGTAAGCGTAGTAGTGGCCTTACCGCACAGTTGAGGTAGACAAAAGAAGGGCCGCGGAAACAAAGAGAAAAGCATGAAGTAACGATAGAGAGATTAACACTATACTGCGACCTTGAACAGTCACGATGTGGCCATAGCGTTTAGTGATTTTTTGCACTCGAACTCACAAGTTGTTGCGAAGTGGTGCCTGACTTGATATGCACTGAAACCCTGTGCAGTTCGATTTCATTCTTTCATCAGGCTTTTCTAAATCCGGTTCGCTAGATTGGCCACATCAGCGCTCCGCAGCCTCTTGACCGAAACTCTCAATTCATCCGGGAACCAATCTGCAAGCCGACCACCAGGTCGACCAGACGTTTCCTCCACATCATCATTTTCACTACCTGCAATCATGATCCCAAGCCCCGTCCCGCAAAGCCATGCCCAAATCATACCCTCCCCGCACCACCCTGCTGCAATCCACTCCCCACGTCTGCCTGCACCATCCTTGCTCTTTACATCTCGCTGTGTCAACCTTCCATCCAACCTTCCCACAAATGGCACTAAGTCTCCTGTCATGCCCAGAATTCCAGACCACGCGTTCTTCAATTCTGCACCTGCGCCCCATTTGGGATGGAATACTGCTGGGAAGATGCCGGCAATGTGCGAGACAGTGAGCGGATCAAGAGCGGCGCCATCATCATATATCCCAAGTTGGTCCACGCCTTGTTTCGATGAGCGCATGAAGCCTCCACCGAGCATTACATCACCCTGAGCTTCTTCGGGCGTTGATGGACGTTGAGATATGTAGTCGAACCCACCATTGTAGATCACGGACCATGAGCGCATGCCATTACACCTTGGGAATGAAAGGCCTGGAGCTTGGGCAGACATATGAGCGCGTGCGCCAACGATTTTCTTGCGAAGACCAGGGACGAGTTGACTTGCAAAGCCATTGGTTGCGTGGACGACGTGGCGGGCGAATACAGTGCCTCGAGCAGTTTGGACAGCGTATGGAAAGTTGGAGGGTGCATCATTTGGAACACTGATTGACTCGACGGGTGTGTTCGTCTCAATGGCCAGAGTCTTGGGAAATTCGTTGAGGAGACGCTCCCATATTGACACAGTGAAGCGATATGCCCAGATAGCGCCGGCTGTATATGAGAATGCTCCCACAACGCCTTCGTTGACGCCGAATTTCTACTATGGTCAGTAGAGCAATGGCCTTTTACACATATTCAAGTAACAACTGACCTCTTGAGCTTCGTTCCCTTCCCATGTCTTGATCTCAATACCAGGCATCCACTTCCTCATCTCGTCTACGTCCTTCAAAGCTTTCTTCCACGCTACATCATCCAGGAAAATATCTACAGTCTCCACCTCCCTCGCCTCCGCACCTTCAATGCCCTCACTCTTACAAAGATCAACGAGACACTTCAAATGGCGCATTTGAAACCTGGTCAACGCCACCGCGCGTTCCTTGGAATATTGCTGACTGAACATGTGAAATGCCTCATAAGGCGAGGCTTTGATGTGCCCGCCATTGCGCGCCGTCGCACCACTGCATAATTCGCGAGCTTCTAGAACGACTACATTCTCAGCTGTATCGACGCCACGCCGACGGCGCTCGTGGAGTATTGAACGTGCGGTTGCTGCGCCGGCGATTCCGGAACCAATAATGGCTACATCAACAATCTTAGGTAACGCTGATGACTGTGCGTTGACAAGATCCGGAAAAGGCGGATTCTCGATCCAATACGGGCGAGTAAATCTCGGAACTGGAAGACCTGGAGGTAAGGATGCACGATGTAGTGCCTGATTGAATTCGTTCGATAAGGCACCAAGGAGCGCAATAGCGGAGCTGAGTGATGCGATTGCGTCCTGTAAGAAAGAAAGAACGACACCCATGATAGTATAAGAATACCTTTCTGGAGAAGGTGTTGTCAGGTCTCGATGTCTGGATGGAGACAGGTGAGGTTGGAAAAGACGACTCGCTTATCGATGATCCATGTCAGCTTCCTCACGCCGACATGGCACCGCATACCTCGGCATCCTTAACATGCATCCTTCAAAGATCGTAGGGCAATAAGAAGTAGTCTTCGATTATCTTCTAGTTATTTTACATTGCTAAAATACTGGTATCGCAAATTTAATACTCCTGACATGCTTTGGAAGCGAAACGAAACCCTACCTGCATGATTCAACCACAAATATCCAGCATGTACCGCGAGTGAGGCCGGCATACCACGCCTCGCCTATTCCTCCTCCCTTGCTGCTTTTCCCGTAAGATGTATTTATGTGCCCCGCTGTAAGGAAATGAGAAGCGGCAGGGGCCAGTCTTCTGGGTGGCCATTAGGCACGGCCATTTCGATGAAAAGGGCGCTGAGGTGTGTGCCAAAGTTCTCGGTCATTAATTATACATTTCCCAAAAGCTACTCAGCGTATATTAGGTGACAGGCCAGGTTTTGATACGAATGTGAGTCATTTTTTTTGGTACATGTAGTTGAAGGTGCGATCCTTTGTTGGAAGGCGTTAAGTGGTGGATGAGGTCCAGAACAAAGAGCAAAGTGAACAGTTCGGAAGTTGATCGCTTGTTAAGTTGACTGAATGGGGTTAGTAGAGCAAAGAGTATCCACAGCGCGTGCAAGCCAAGTCCGCAAAGTGAATGATGACGGTACGACGGTAAGGAGGAACAATCTTTCACGCGATCACTCATGTTGAGTCACAAGGGCCTGTTCTATGATAGGGCTTGTATTTGTACGAGTATCGATTTGATCATATACGTACGTGCGAAGAAGAAGCATTCTCATGCATGCCCAATGACGTTGTCTATACGATATTGTAATCCGCTGGTCTTTGCTAAAAATTATCAAGATGGTAGCACGCTGAAGACGAGGACAAGGATGTGGTTTGCAGACTCCCGATCATTTTCTTTCTCTTAGCTCAAACCACATCCACTTCGTCTCGACAACTGTATAGACACCCTCTTGAAGACGTTCTGTCTGAATTTGCCGCTATGCAGATGCGCCGAGGTCAAATGTACCCAAGTTGGCCACTACATGATCGAGTAGTAATGTTCGCGGTGGGAGATGAGCTGGTTGTGGGAAAAGAGATGGATCTGTGTAGAGTCAAACTTTCTGCTGTGTCATCAGTGTAATGCGCCGACATGTAAAGAAACTCAGCCTTTCTGTCCTGAATAATAGCCGCATAGAACAATAGGTCGTCACACACTTTCGCCGAGCTCTCACTTTCACCCGCCGTCGTGCCCCCGCCGTAAGTCGCGGTGAATACCTCTTTCGCACTCAAAGCCCCCACGTGATACCACCTACAAACACATCCTCACGCCAGAGGCCACCCTCAAATATCTGCAGTCACTCTCCGCAGTCTTTGTTCCATCAAAATCTCTTCCGCTCAGCCCAAATACTCTTTCAAACAAGCACTCCCCTCAAAGTCCTTTATTACCCACCACACAACAAAGCTTTCCGCTCCCATCAAGCCACACTATCGTATCTTCGCGCACAGCTCGAAAACACAGCTTAGAGAATAATGCCTCGATTCACTACCAACCACTGCGACACGCTCATCGACACCATCATCGCCAATTGGCTCGAGTGTCCCTCGCGCCTGCTAGACGACGAGATCCAGCCCACCGAAAACCCCAGAGACTGGGACATCGGCCTGCTCGCCGCCCTCGCTGACCTCACCGAGATCACCAGCATGGAAGATGGTGACGATACGAAGCGCACCACGGCGCTGCAGATGCTGCAGAGTCCATGTGAGGCGCGCTGCGTGTATGCCAACGACCCGCAGGAGGCGCTGGATTTGAAGGCGCTGAGAGTGGAGGACGTCGAGTCGGTCATCAGACAGATGGGCGGCCGCAAAGAGAAGGCGAAGCCGCAGACTCGTGTCAGCGTCGCGGCTGGTGAGCCTGTCCCGCTGCGTTTGGAGAGCACTGAGATGGTTCCGCGTGTCGCGACGCCGTATCCGTCGTCGCAACAGGTGTCGCGGGCGGGTACGCCTGACCCTTCTTACGACTCCCTCTTCGGCAGTTCGCCCTCGCCAGAGCTCATCCAGGCGCCGACATTGCCGTCTGAGCAGCCGACCCGCCTGACTTCAGGCCTCTGGCAGCCTCCTGGCCCCCTTTTCGCGTCGCGCTTGCAGCCAACGCACGCTGTGCCGCACTCCCCGGTGCGCCAGCGCCTGGTGCTTTCAGAGGAGCGACGCAAGATCATTCGCGCGCGCAAGATGCGCAACCTCAGGAATCAGCTTGAGGGCCAGAACTTCGGTTTCGACCGGACTGTGACGAAACGAGAGTTGTGGGAGATGGAGGATGAGGCGGAGGATGAGGAGCAGCAGGAGCAGGAGTCGAAGAGGATGAGGTTTGAGTAGGGGGATGATGGATGGTGGTTGATGTGGTTCGAGGACTGTGGGGGTAGATAGAAAGAAGAATCGAGAAGTTAGACAACTCATCATTGCATCCAATCGAATGGACTGAAGAGTATTGAGCCTCTTTAGCCTTCACTATCAGAATGCGAATGTAAACTCCCGTGTCCCAAAGTAAGCGTTGTATTTTGGTATAAAAACATATTATGCGTGAAGAATAAAGCGATGATACACCCAAGGCCTGACCTGACCTCGACCCACGACTCCGGTGAAAGCAGAATGACTTGCGACGTTGACGTCTAAATGGTATATGCGGAAATAGTAAAAGCAGCGCTAAATGCAAAGAAGTGATGACGCGGGCGGAACGCCGAACGCTGTGTGGGAAATATACGTCACACTGCCCCTGACTATGCGTGAGTGTGCGCGCGGAACAGCATCTTCAGACCAGAGGGTTCCTTCTCCTTCTTCTTGGTGCTGGTCTCTTTGACGGTCTTGCTTCTTCGGGTATCAGAAGTCTTGGTTGTCTTGACACTCTTCTCAGACTTGGCCTTGTGGGTCGACTTGGGACGGCGTTCGCTGTCGGCGCGGCTCACTCGGCTTCTGGCGCTGCGGCGAGACTTGAGGTCGTCTTCGTCCAGGACACCAGCGGCGATGAGCTGTCTTGATGCGCCGGGGGTGACAAACTCTCCGTCAATAGAGGTACCGACACTCTGAGCCTCGACGTCTGCGATGCCACGACGCCACAGCTCGACGCGGCTGAGCTCGGCGGGCTCGAGTTCGTCCAGTTGGTCCAGGTCGGCGCCCGAGTCAACCCTGGCACGCATGGGCGCCATCGGGATTTCCACGGGTGCTGCTACCTTCTCGGCGCTGTCGGCCTGGATCTTCTTGATGATTTTGTAGCCACCAAGGGCAACGATGGTCACACCAACAGCAACACCTCCAGCAATCATAAACTGTGGGCTGAGGAGGAGGGCAGCGACGGCGGGGAAGCTGCCCTTGAGGGTCAGAAGAACTCCGGGTCCCATCTTGCCAACGATGGCGCTGATCTCAGCAAGTGTCAGTGAGACGGCGGCCAGTGCCTCTGGGTTCTTCTGCAGGTTCTCGATGGTCTGGGTGACGGAGTACTGCAGGCAGTTGGCCTCGTCCAGCAACATGGTGATCTTGGATGCCTTCTCCTTCAACTCGCCGTCGTCGTACTTCTTCGCGGGAAGTGGAGGCGGGATGTCGCCATATGCGAGGTCCATGTCTATGTAGCCCTCTGACTTGCGACGCGGCTCTGGTCTGCTCGACTTCTGGACGGCCTGGTCCGAGTTTCTCCGAACAATCTCCATCCTGTGCGCATCCTGTGCGTTTCCTGCGAGGTCATCCTCGAAGCGGTGCTTGCTCGTGCGCGGGCTGTCGTTGGCATAGAAGCTGTCGGTATAGCCCCGCTCTATGCCGGGCCTCACGCGGCTGGAGGGTTTGTGGCTCTTGGAGCGCGTGGCTGTCGTCTTCTTGGAGCGATGCGACGATGCACGCGACTGGACATCGTCGTCGATGCGCACGGCCTTGACGCCCTCGTTCAGCTTCTTCAGCTGGTAGGCAGCCTCCTTCTCGGCCTTGATCTCTGCCTTGCGCTCGCGGTAGGCGGCCTTGGCCTCCTTGAAGACGCTGACAATGTGCTTGCTCTGGGGGCTGTTAGCACGGTGCTTATCGTGGCGCATCAGGTCCTTATCGGGTACTTACACTGCTCACAACCTTGCCCGACTTGTTAATAACGGTGATGGTCTCGCCTACTCCCATTGCGCCGATCTGAAGAGAGTTCCTGCAGGTGCAGCGCAGTGCGGACGGGAGGGATGTCGTGCGACCGTATAGCTGGGTGCGGTGTGGTACTTGACGTGCTGGTGTGTGAGGCGGTCAGGAATGATCAATGCTTTCGGAAACGGTCTTGAATCCGCGCTCCACAAGGTCCACTTGATCACCAGCTGGATCGCAGTGCTCAGACAGGGTCTTTGGGGGTAACTCGAAGGTACTTGAAGAGCTGAGGAGCAAGAGGGCGCTGGCGGCACTATAGAGTGAGGCGGCTTTACACTGGAATGGCAGGGAGGCAGCATGATGGAATTGGGCGCGCGGGGTGCCAGGCGAGTGGTCGGCACCTAGGCACCCTGCACCAGTCACTGGTCTGCCCGCTGCCCGTCTATCGTGACTTGCGACAATTCGCGCTGGCATTCGCTTGCAACACGGGGAAAGCGGAACCAGCGAAGAGTGTTGGCCGGCGCATCGCCAGCTCACAGGCAGCCCCTGGGCCAGCGCTAGGCGAATGTGGCCGCATATGCGGGCGGCGTCTCGCCGCATACATGCTCACTTGCTTTAACGTATTGCTCGTGCAGCCAAAGCGAACGTGTCGTCGCTGGGAGTGGTCGACTGCCCGCTGCAGCCTCAATTCTCGCGCACACTGATGCCATAGCGCAGCAGATCTGGAGATTCGCGTGCAACAATCTTGCTGCTGCTGCCCAATTCTCGGAAAACACGCATTGGTGGCCCGCGCGCCGTGCTTCAGCTTGCATGTGCGTACCAGCCACACTTGTGGCGGTGCGCTCGTCATTGGAGACGGTCTGGGCCTCCTCGACGACGTGTCCATGATGTCAAATTCGTTCCGAGATGGATGAGGACTGCTGGCGGTTCACGCGCTCAACGCTGGCTGAGACGGATGGTGGTGACGGTGGGCCGGCGGTTCTTCTCACTCTGCGTGGGTCCAGATGTCGCTCCTGCCTGACGACACGCCAAGACATCCCACGTGCCGCAGGCTGAGGGAATATTCTGGCTCAATCAGACAACAACCCGAAATCATCACCCTCAACACGGAATTGGCAACCTCGCCCACGAAAACGGCAATCCGGCATCGCTTGGGGCGACGACAAACCTCACTGGCGGGCCATCCCGCAGCTCGGTGTGTCTGCGGACGCAGCATGACGATCAAGACCCTCCAGAAGGCCGCAGAAGCGCACGCAGCGCGACAAGCTTCCGCGCAAGGCAGGTGGGGCACGGCCGGCAAAAGAAAAGAGACGACCATTGGATATCACTACAGTACATTATCTACTACTATCAAGTTCGACCCGCGACCCATCTCAACGGCCGGAAAAGCCATCCTACCGCCGCACCTGTGAAAAGAAGGCGCATCGCGCGGCCCGTGAATAGTCACGAGCTGGTGATCTCTACAACGGCTGCAGTGACACCCGACTTGTGGTGCCGTTCGCTCTCGTGCTTGCGCAATTCCTCGTAACGAGCTTGCAGGTTCTTGAAGTCAGTCTGAAGCTGGCTGTCTGGCACTAGCTTTTGCTTCTTCTTGTAGTCCGCGAGCTCATCCTCCGCTGCTTCGCGGACGTTCTCCGCCTTGTCCAGTGCTTCCTTCAACTCCTTCTTGGCCGCTCGGAGTAACTCGTACTTCTTTTCCTGTTTGCTGGCCTCGGTCTTCAACTCGTCGATCTGAGCCTCAAGGCCACTAACCTTCTTCTTGTGCTCGCTAATGTCATCCTCATGCTGTTTGATCAGGTACGCGGAGCACTTCTTCTCCTCTGCAAGATCGTCCTGTGCCTTCTTGAGTTCGGACCTGAGATGCTTCAGACCCTCCTCGGCGATGGACAGCTTGTGCTTCCAATCCTCAAGCTGGCGCTGAATCTCGGCCTTTTCCTTCTTCTCCGATGTCAAGGCTCCGTTCAACCGTGAAACGTCCGCCTCCAGTGTCTTCACTTTCTGTCTTAGGGCTGTCAATGCCATCTCCAAGGCCCGAATTGTCTCATCCTTGCAGTCCGAATCCTCCTTCAACTTTCTCGCAAGTTCCTCGGCCTTCCTTAGTGATGCGTGAGCAAGATCAATGGCCTTGTGGTCTTCTGCCTCGTGTTTGCGGTGCTGTTCCTCGTGCCTACGGTGCGCTTCCTCGTGCTTGCGATGCTTTCGTTCGCGCTCAATGTCTGCCAACTTGTCCTTGTCAATGTATTCCTCGAGTTGAGCCTTCTCCTGCTCGAGCTCCTTCTCCCTGTCTTGCGACGCTTTGAGAGCTGCCTGGACTTTGCGAAGGTCCTCTTGGAGATCTGCTTTGGCTTTCGCCACTTCCTTGCGTTCCTTGTCCATCTTGGCTTCCAGGTCCTTGTTGCGCTCAGTCAAACCATGGTTGTCTGTTGTAAGGCCAGCAACATCGCCCTCAAGCTTCGCCACCTTGGTAACACGAGCCTCGGCCTTCTTCTCAAGGAGATGGTATGAACGATCAAGTTTCTCAAATTGCTTGACAGCATATTTGGCCAAGTAGCCGGCCTGATCAACGTATGCAGCAGAGTAGCTCAGGGTCTCCACGAGGTCGGCAGGGAACGGCAGAGCAGCATTGATCCTTGGTAGTGCCGGCTTAGCGTTTGGCAGACTGCACTCCAGGGATATCTTCTCCTGGCGTGATCGTGGCGGTGTGAAACGGTGCTCTGCACCTTCGGTATACGGGGCTAGTTCTAGCTCTTTTTGCGCCTTAGCAGCGTTGCTGGGACCCCTGACGGTAACTGTGAGACCTTTGGTGGCAGTAACGACCTGGCAGTCCAAGGTATAGTATTCGTTCTGCGTGAATGAGAACTTGGCTGGGGTTTCGGCTTCAGACACCTGCTTGCTGACACCATATGAGAGCGTTTTAGCAACATCTTTGTTGTCCTTGGACCACTGCCAGATGGCAACGACAGGCTTTGAATTGCCTAGACCCTGAGGCGCAATGATAGCAAACGATTCATTCTTCGCCCACTCGTGGAAGTCGATGGTACCCGTCCAGATCTTGGGACGCGAAGTGGGGCTGGCCGTCTGGACTTGGTCGTAGTGGCGGGTCAGCGCAACGGTAGCAACTTCACCACCACTGCGGCATGTTCGAGTCAGCTTGATCTCTTTGTACGCCTTTGAAGTGACGGCTTCGAAGTTGTAGTAGCCGTCTTGGAGGGCGAAGCGGTCCTCGCCATCGTCGGTGACATCGACATCCTGGACACGGTAGGTAATGAGTCGCTTCTGGAAGTAGAGGTGGACCTGGTCCTCAAGCTCGACGGTGCCGTTGGGAAGAACAGCCACGAAAAGCTCATCCTTGAGCTTTCCGTAGTAGGTATAAAAAGACATGATGAGCTCTACTGAAGAAATATTGCAGGAGGGGGAGGAGGAGTGTGCTCGTTGAGCTTGCTGATATCTTTTTCAACGGGTACAAAGCTCTGCTTTTATATCCTCACATCATCTTTACATGCGGCCTGGTAAAACACTTCAAGGTCGCTCCCATTATCCGAATAGTTCCTCCACCTTCCTCAGCACATTCGAGACGCATGGAAAGTGCCATGGTCTAGCGATACATCTCGGTCTCTCAGGATGCAAGCGAGGACCTCAGCTGTTTGCGGCGTTGGCCAGACAGCTTGATCCTTCCCAATGAAGAGCTACGGTACACACCCCAAACACTTTCAGCGCTCTTTCGTCAAGCCTCGCGAAGCAGCAAATGCGAACGATGAGGGTCCAGCCAGCTAGCGTGGCGCCACATTGACTGGGGTAGTTCCCGTTCCCGCGACGGCATCCTCCTAGATGATCACCCCGCACACGGAGCACGCGCACATGGTAAGCTAGGGGCTGTTTGAGGCTGGCTGTGTCGCCGTTTCCGTGCATCGCGTAGAGAGAGATGCGTGTGCTTAGCGCTTCAGCTGTACCCAGAATGGATGTACTAGGGTTCAGCCGCACCTACGACGGACGAAAGAGGATTAAATCTCGCTTCAAAGCGTGCTGATAGTCTAGATGGCTTGCGCAAGCCGGCACTTGATACACTATAGACTTTCTTTATCGGCTTTGCCGTGGCATTGTACTGGAAGCGACATTACGGTCCGTTTCTGGTCCAGACCTATCGAATTTAATGCTGGAGACACGCGAACAGGTTCTCATTGCACCCAGGGCTGAGAATTCAGCTGTGCGTGGCGTTGCTGAGAACCATTGAAGAGCAATCTAGACGAATCTGTACGGAGAAGGGATGAATATGCTGCGACAGACAGTATAAAGTTCTTCAGCCCTGTCTGCAAAACTCGCACAACACCTCCTCTTGGGCCTCTTCTCATATCATCGAGAAATCTTCGGCCTTCTTGACATTCGTTTCTTTCCACAATGTCTACACAAGCTATGGGCGTTCCCGAAGCCTTGTCAAAGAGCAAGCTCGAAGCTCTGCAAGTCAGTGTCAATGAGGTTGAGCCTGACAGCCCTCCTCATGATTCTCCTCACGACTTCGACCGCCTAAGTATTCAGAGTCCACCACCACAGCTGAATCAGACAATGATGCAGCCCCATCGTACCATTACGCGCGATCCAAACATCGTCTGTCGCATGCCTGTAGACGATGGCAGACTGCGCTCTCCCAGCCCTACCGGGTCTGTTCGCAGCTCATTCACCTCCCGCCGTCGTGTCAGCCGCCGCTCAGGTTTCCGTAGCAGCCATGGCCACTCAAGATCGCATCACCACGAGGTCTCGAAGGAGCTCACTATCGAAGCCGAAAGCGAGTTCTTTGCGCTCATGGAACTCATGTCTGGTATCACCCTTCGAAGCACATCTTTGAAAGAAGTGTGGAGGAAGATCATTTCGGAGCGCGAGTCCCACTGCCATGAGATGGAGTCTATGTACGAACGCATCGAAGAGTTCACCGAGATCATTGAACGCCATGAGAAGGAGAAGCATAGCCACAGCCTTGACCACGAGGAACGACAGAAGATTGTCCTCAAGCTTGAGCTTGACCTGAAGATTGCCCTTGAGGCATCAGCCGGATACAAGAACCAGCTTTTTGACAAGGAGTGTGAGCTCGAGAAGGCTCACGGAGAAATTGCAGAGTGCAAGGATGTCTACAAGTACCTCGAGGAGAGACACGAGGAGACCAAGACAACCCTACAGGAGACTCAACTGCAGCTCTCTGCTTGCAAAGAGCGCTGCCGTCGTGCTGAAGACGACTGTGAGAAGCATCACGGTGAAGTCCGCAGCTGGAAGAACAAGTACTCTGAGCTCGAGACCAAGACGACGGAGATCACGACCAAATTTGAGTCTACTCACAAGGAGCTGCTCAGCATCCAGGCCATCAACGCCACCTTGAGCAAGGAAAGGCACGACTGGCTCTGCGATAAGGAAGAGCTCGAAGAAGAGATCCGCAAGCACAAGCACCACGAGCACGAATACCAGCGTGAGCTCAAAGAAATCACCGAATCCTACGAGAAGAAGACGCACGAAGTCCACGAGCTCATTGAGAAAGTCTCCAAGATGAAGCACGAGCGCGAAGAATCCACAAAGGAAATCAAATCCCTCAAGACGCAGCTCAAAGACGCCCACCACCAGTGCGAAGAGCACGAACACGCCTGCCGTAAATGGAAGCGCAAGTGGGAAGACTGTGACCGCGAACTCACCACTCTCCGCGCCTCCTTCACATCCCTCACCCTAACCCACACCGAGATGTCCGAAACCCTCACCAAAAAGACCGAGGAAGTCCGCAAACTCACCATAGAGCGCGACGAGTGCCAGGAGCACTTCCACGCCAAGTGCAAAGAGCATGACGACGCGCGACGCGAAATCATCGTGCTGAACGAATCGATCCGCCGCTTTGAAAGCAGTATCAAGGAGAAACTCGAGATTATACACACACATACAGAGCGCATCGAGCGCCTCACCGCCGACCTTCGCGAAACCACGCGCCACAGAGATACGCTCAAATCCGACCTCGCCCTCTCCGCCAGCGCAAAAGTCGCGCTCAACATCTCCCTCGAATCCCTGACGTCCTCGCACGCCAGCACCTGCGAAAAGCTGCGCGAGTGCGAAACGCGCTACGAGTCGGTGCACACGCAACTCTCGGAATTCCACGAGAGTGGCGGCGAGTGGGAGGTGGAGTGCGAAAGGCTGGAGGAGAGTCTAAGGGAGGCGAGGAGCCAGAAGGATAGGGCGGTGGAGATGAGGGTTGAGGCGGATCGTCAGCGGGATGAGTATGTGGGCAGGTGGGAGGCGAAGTGTAGGGAGGTGGAGAGGTTGAGTGAGGAGAGGAGGAAGGGGAGGATGACGCTTGGACATCATGGAAGTAAGTTTGGGGGGAGTGTGTATTCGAGGAGTGTTATTGGGGAGGAGGATGAGAGGAGTGTTGTTGGTGGGGAGGCGTAAGAGAGGGGGGGTTGAGAGTCTTCTTCTTCTTTGTATTCTAATTGTTGATGGGGAGGAGTTGGCGGATGGAACAGGTGGTGTTTATACCTGGGACGTAACTTCCCTTTCGTAGATATACCAAGCTTTCTTAGTTCTCATATGCGCATCGTTCCTTCTTCCTCTTGCCTCCTTTCGCTTTTTCTGCTCTCACCTTGAGTACCCGCGCCTGTCATTTGTTTTTCACGACTGGTTTACGCTCTGCTTATCGATACATTGAACGTGACTGCCGCATGGTTCCCAAGCTCCACCCACATAGCTTGGCTGTTCGTGATCTACATTCCACATACACAACTTATGCGAGGCTCAATGCCAGGCACGGACATGCTAGGGAAAGCACTCGATTGGCACGGAACACCTCCTCATTCCCCGTCATCTGGGAACTACAATAGACCACTCGTTGACATGTCTAGCTGACAAGCGAACACGTGTTGAACGTTACCTATGGGGAAGTGGTTGAGAGTCGGCGACCAATACAAAAGCAAAGAGTATGCCAGTGTACCTCTATCACATCAGCGACATGGCATACGAGAGTCAGACGCCCGGAACTGACCGCCGAGCTCACAGCGATTGTTGCCCTGTGACGACCCGAGAGAAAGCAATCATTCAAGGGGCGCAAAGCAGAAAGGGCTCATAAAGCTGCAGGACGCTGCTGCGAATTGCGCCATCGGCCAGGCATCGCTCGCCATATGATATTACCGCAGCGGTGAGACAATGTCGCACTGTCCAAGCATACCTGATGAAGATTCGTCGAGCGAACCTGAGTCTTGCTCCGACATCACACTCCTCGAAGACGCGCCGCGCTCACACCGTCGCGACTCACTGACCGCATGGAGTGACGACGGGAATGATCCCGTGGCTCTCTCGTTCTTCCCTTTTCATCTCATCTCGGGCTGCAGTGCAGCTGAACGAGCCATGTGTCAGTTTTCCGGATCCATCGCGTCCCAGACGCTGCAGGGGAGGATTGGTCTGAAAGGTACGTTGACGTGGAGGGTTGTGGGCCGCAGAGAAGCCCCGCGGTCCAAATCTTTGGGCCGGCCGGGCGGTGGACCCTGGAGCGTGCCGTCATCGCACCGCACCAATTGTCGACAACACCACGCGACATGCGACTGCGACGTCGATATTTGATGAAGCCGGGCTGACTGCGCTAATGACAGCTCCTCCGCCGCATCTTGAGGTTGCGAATGGCAATGGCGTGGGAAAGTTTGCGGCCGGCGGTGAGAAGACGCCCATGTTGGCGCATCGCATGAAGCACGACAAGAGCATACTTGCGCTGGTTGTGTCGTCGCAGTACATATGGGCGGGCACACAGGGAGGAGAAATACTCGTATGTGGTACTGAAGCTACCATGTATTCTTAGACTAATCGAATCAGGTCTACAGTCTCGACACGTACGATCGCCGGAGAGTCATCCAGGCGCATAAAGGCAGCGTGCTGGGATTCTGTCTGTCGCAAGACCAGAAGCTGCTATTCTCAAGTGCGACAGACCCAATCATCAACGTGAGGAGTCTTTTTGAGGAGGCAAGGCATATTTACTGACTTCGCAGGTCTGGTGCACATCCACCTTCCGACACCTCTACGCTCTTTGGTCGCCCTACGATATCGGAGACATTTTTTGCGTCGCATACTCGTCCTACCACCGCACTGTATACCTCGGTGCACAGAACACAAGCATACAAGTATGGTAGTCATAAAAAATGTGGAATTCAGTGCTAACTGTTGCAGTGGTACGATCTCAAGGAAAAGGACGCTCGACCGACTCCTTCCCTCGCTTCACACCCGTCAGAACGCAAGAATCGCTTCTTCGACTCGCTCGGCCCCGGCGGCGTGCAGACACCAAAGCCCAGTGGTGCAGAAAATAGGCCCAAGGATGCGGTAGGAGGACAGGAGCTACAGATTGACAGCCAGGATATTCACCAGTTTGCACACTTTGGATACGTCCATTGCATGCTTCTTGGCAGGGGCATACTACCTGAAGCACCCGAAGAAGAAGTGCTAGTGTCAGGGGGCGGAGATGGTCGCATACTCTTGTGGAGAATAGATCCCTCCAAAGGCGGTGCTATTTCACCGATATGTGCACTCGAAGATGGCAGAGAAGAGGGCGAGTCTATACTATCGCTCGCACGAGAAGGCACCTTCCTCTACAGTGGACGTTTCGACGGCGAAGTCAACGTCTGGGACCTTGAGACCAAACAGCTTGTCAGAAGCCTCAAGGCGAACACAGGCGACGTTCATACCCTGACGCTAGGTGCTGGCGTGTTGTACGCTGGAGGCAAGTCGGGGCGCGTACAGGTAACTTGCAATATCAAACTACCCTGAAATGACACTAACATTTTGCAGAAATTCAACGAACACTACGAGACCATCGCGTCTTTCAAAGCGCATGATGGCCTGATTCTCGCTTCAGCTTTCATCAAGTACAAAGACAAGCCAACGCTGGTTACCGGTGGCAATGACAACACCATCGTCATATGGGAAGTCAGGGATTGCAGCGAGCCCAACTCACTCGCCAAGAGGAGCAACAACGGTTGGTGCACGGAAAAGAACCTCGGTAGCTTAACTAATCTTGCCTCCAGATCTGATGTTGGAGTCGTTGAACCAATTCGTCTCCTTCCAGACTGTATCATCGATGCCAAGATATCGCGCCGATTGTCGGAGAGGCGCATCATATCTGCGATCAGTCTTCCAGAACTTTGGCGCTGTCACGGAGATGATCAATACCGCCGAGCCATACAACCCAATCGTCTTCGCCAAGTTCAGAGGTAACCCCGCGACGGCGGCATCGAGAAAGAAGATTCTGTTCTATGGTCACTACGATGTCATACCAGCTGAGAACGAGCATCGGAAGTGGAAGCATGACCCGTTTTCGCTGACTGGAGAGGGGGGCTACTTGTATGGTCGTGGCGTGTCTGACAACAAGGGACCGATCATGGCTGCTATCTACGCCGCGCATGAATTAGCCAATGAGCAAAGCTTGGACTCGGACATCATCTTTCTGATCGAGGGCGAGGAAGAGAGCGGCTCTCGCGGATTCGAAAAGGCCGTACAAGCGAGGAAAGATCTGATTGGTGATGTCGACTGGATTTTGCTGGCCAACAGCTACTGGCTCGACGACCACGTACCCTGTCTGACCTACGGCTTGCGGGGCGTCATCCACACCACAGTGCAGGTCGAAAGTAAGCATCCAGATTTACACAGTGGTGTGGATGGTAGTGCCCTGCTTGATGAGCCGCTGAAAGATCTGGTCATGCTGCTGTCGAAATTGACTGGTCGACATGGCAAAGTCCAAATCCCTGGCTTCTATGACCCCATCCTACCCTTGACAGACGACGAGAAAGAGCTATACACTGAGATTACAAAAACTCTACTTCGAAGCAATCCAGATCTCGGCGACCCAGAAGAGCTTGCGCAGTCGCTTATGCGCCGATGGCGCGAAGCATCGCTGACGATCCATCGCTTTCAAACCTCTGGCCCCGAGAATTCCACCATCATCCCACGACTCGCCAAAGCTGCACTTTCGATCCGTCTTGTGCCAAACCAAGAGGCATCAGACGTAGCACAATCCCTCATCACATACCTCGAATCCGAATTCGAAGAGCTCGACTCGAAGAATAAGCTCAAAGTCACTATCGACCACCAGGCTGAGCCATGGCTCGGCGACTTCAACAACGAAATCTTCCAGACTCTCGAACGCGCAATCATGAATGTCTGGGGCCCGAATCTAGGCCAACGACGAGAAAGCGTGCATGCCCTGAAAGCACTAGATTCACCTACAACACCCACATCAGCCAAATGCACACCAGCAACATCAAGCACCCTCGCGCAATCCTCCGACTCGCGGCCGTCATCATCGAGTAATTCCACCTCCACGGATGCGCGCACGAAACCACTGTACATCCGTGAAGGCGGCTCGATTCCCAGTATTCGGTTTCTGGAGAAGGAGTTTGGTGCGCCTGCTGCTCATCTACCGTGTGGGCAGGCGAGTGACTCTGCGCATCTGGACAATGAACGTTTGCGGCTAGTGAATTTGTTCAATAGCAAAAAGATCTTCAAAGAGGTGTTCAAGGAGTTGCCGAGGCGGTGAAGTGGCGTTGATAGATACACAAATAGCAATGAGACTAAACGACTAATGTCGTATCGAAGTAAACCTGACTTATATTCCCAATCTCGCCCTTTTCGCCATCCGCTTCGCCTCCCCATAACTTCTCTGCGCATCCGCATATCTCGCCCGCGCGGCATTCAACCCTTCCTCCGCAGCCTCCAGTTCCATGCGCGCCAGATTCGCCTCGTGCGTCGCGGCCTGCGCCGCACCCACATCCACGCGCGGAATCTCAATGAGCAATGGCGAACTCTTCTTCCGCGGGAGTGCCTGTCTCCGCCCGAAGCGCGGCTCGTCGTCGAAGCGCGCAGACAGAGGCGGCAAGATAGCCACATCTCCACCCACCTCCTCACATCTCTGCCGTTTCTTCTCATCCACGTCGTGGCGGACACTCCATTTCCGCTTCCCATTCCCCTCCCCTTGCACACCTTCATCTCTGATAGAATACTTCCTCCCCGCAGTCTCAATCCCCTTCCCTACACTCATCCGCCGCGCACTCTCCACTGCTTTCTCTACATCTCTTACTTCTACCTCCACCCCTTTCCCCTTCCGCCCCCGAGCCTCCCGGATTCGACACACATAGTATGTATTCACCAGACTCCACGCGCGCTCGGGTTGGCCCTGCGTGTATTCCGAGAGCGTGGCGAGCGCGCAGAGGAGCGCGGGGGTGAGGTCGTGTGGGATGTGTGGTGGGAGGAGGGAGGGGGTGGAGGGCCAGTTTTGGAGGATTGTGCTGAGGGAAGAGGGGTTGGAAGATGTGGGTGAGGTGGGGGTGGGTGGGTTGTTGATGAGGAAGTCGAGGGTTGGGGTGTCCATTTTGGTAGGTGGTTGAGTGGAAAGGACGGGGTGGGATTAGCACGGGTGTTGAGTACAGCGGATTGTTGAAAAATGAAGGTATTGGGCACGCGTGATGCGTTCTGTGGAAGTCAAGCTGAGGTGCGCACGTGTGAATCGTGCTGCAAATTGTTGAGTAACGACAGTGGAATTCGATGGTAGTGATGGTGAAGCATGGGATAAAGACATGTCGACGACAAAGCTGTAGGATGCTTTGTCTTGTGAGCGCAAGACGGGTGGCTTTGTTGGTGGGACAATGGGGTTCTGTCATCGCGGCGACATTGTGAGAGGAGTCAGTGGCGAGATTCTGCGCAAGAACTTCGGTATTAATGATGGCGATGTACATGCTAACGAGCTACGAAAGTGTGGAATCTTTGTAAGTAATGGATGTGATGACGTGTAGCTTGATACGAAATTGTCAGAACACAGGGCTGCACTATTGCGCCGTGCAACCGTTCAGGTATGTATGATCGACTAACGATCTTCATGCTGTGTAAGATAGGGTGCCGCGTCGAGCGTTGCAGCATCGCCCATTGTTACTGCTCCTCTATTCCAGTGTTCATTCCAAACTCAAGTCACCCATTTGATGCTCCAGACTCATGTTCTGCTGAGCTGGACCCATGTCAGGCATAGAGCCATTACCACCGGCCGATGGTGGCCGCATGCCTGGGGGAGGTCCCGGATGAGGAGGTCCTGGACCCGGTGTATCTGGAGGTGATCCTGGCGGGGGTGGAGGAGGCGGCGTTCCTGGTGGAGGGGGAGGAGGTGGGGGAGGTGTGAGAATCCCGGGCCATTCACTAGGTATCGGGATGTTGTAGTCATATACTGAAGCGAAGTTATGGCTGTTTTGCCAGAACGATGTAATCCGGAAGTTCTGATGATCTACACAGAATACTGTTAGCCATGTTCCGCAAAACCTTGGACCAGCGAAACGTACATGGAGTGATGAGTAGGTTGGGTTGAGGCGGCATCTGATTTTGGGGAAGCGGGCGTCGAAATTGTGGATACGGAAGCATGCCAGCAGGTATTTCACCGTATTCATTAGTCAAGCCTATTTGGTTGTCTTGCCGCAGTGAGTTCAGACCTCCAATATTCAGGATTCCTGTAGCCCAGAGGCTGTCGAGTAGGGTCGTGAACCGTCCGAGACCGGGCCAGCGATCTGGCCAATTACCGTTCCGTGGTACATCGTAACCTGCTAGCATTCTCGTTATTGTCCTCCCACGTATGGGAGACTGTTCGCTGTCATCGTGAGGGCAACGGATGATGATTCGCGCCGTGTTTCCCAAGCCACTGTTGGCGCCTCGCCAGTCCACACGCCAGCCAGGAGCGCCGTGAACACCTGGTGTATTCGAGTTGATAGCGCGATTACCATGGTAAAAACTGACAGCAGTCTATGATCGAGTCAGTGTGCCATTCGGATGATATCACAGTCACAGCATGGCTCTTCTCATATGACTTACGAATGCGATGTAGCTGTGCCCATTTGCCCCGGCCATGAAAACTTGCCGATTATCATCAAAGTGGAAGTGTGCCATGACCCATCTGTCGCGAATGTAAGGTTGGTCGCGACCCGAAGTCCGCGTATCACGGTACCCATCTAGATTGAGTCGTGCGTCTTCCGCCCCGTCCTCAACTCCAGGCCGCGTTCCTATCCACCAAGCTATTTCGAGCATTGGCCTGTGGGTGATGAGCAAATCGATGAAGAAACTTGCACATGGCAACTAACCCAGCAGGAGAATCACCGTCACCATCGTAATATTCCCATCGAGCATAGTGTAGACTAAGATGTCCTTAAAGAGTCTTGTCAACTAAGTAACGAAAGAACGAAAAAGCGCAACGTACCGCGTTGAATGCCCAGAAGGATTGTGTTCAGTAAAGGTATTTGAAAATGCGGGTCTCTCAGAGCTTGGCCCTTAGATGGTCCTGCTATGTCCGGTTGGATGAAGCGACTCTGCAATGGCCCCGATGTACTGGGTGTAGAGAGATTTCCTTGCACATCGCCCAAAATCGCGGATGTGGACGTGTCTGCTAAAATGGTACCTGTTCCGATATCTATTCGATAGCAGAATGTTGAATTTGTTCCTTCGAACGTATCTAGAACCCGATTCCAGATGGTCAGATTGTTGAGCATGGTTTCCAACAATGGCTGCGGGTTGAAATCGGGGTAATTGTCCTGGAAATCGCGCAAATCGGCCACTGAAGTCCTCGGATACCGGATAGGGACGTCGTCATTCCAGTCCCTCGCCATGTCGACTTGATCCACAGACCATTCATTTTCAGGGGTTCTGATGAGGATCCGTAGTTCTGGTTCAACATGCATCCACGCCTCGCATGGATCAATGCTAGGTACAGAAGGATCGAGCGCTGCTGTCTCTTGTCCTGCTTCCGCGCTCGTGTCCTCATTCCCGCCGCTGTCTTCTTTCTCGTTCTTGTACCAACTGAAACGGTCAGTACATTTGCTACCGCAATATGCAGTCGTGCTCACCTGTGCAGTATCGGTTTAGAGTCCGTTGGACAGTTGCCACCAGCAAAAGCTTCAAGGTAGCTGTGTTCGTTTAGCACGGCAACCACTTGTTATCAGACTTCTATACATACTCGCCAAGAGCGTGACGGAATTCCAAAGCCTTCTCAGACAGCTTGGGCAATGTTCCTGGCGGATCAGGGTTGACGTAGTCAGGCAAGTCAGAAGGGTTGTATCCATGACAGCACAACGCCATCTTATCTTCTCCGGCGCAGTGCCCAGAATCAACAGCAAGCTTGAGATAGTTTGGTGGACAATAAGCTTCGCATCTCTGTGCGATACTCATCTCCTCTCTCAATTCCACGGCCCAATAACACTGTGAGAAGGCTGGCGGTAGGAACGCTCCGTTATTGTAATTCTTGCAGCAATAAGACTTTTGTCCTGCAACACGTGTTAGTACAGATTCGTATACGTTTGAGGGGACACGGTTCTAGCGGTCCGCCAGCATCTGAGGGAATTTCTCCAGGCTACGTACCATAAAAGCAGGCCCGTTCGCCGCCAAATTCAACCCTTGATCGGACTGCGACATTCGGGAACTCTGGATTGCATAGATACTTACCAGGTCCTTCTTTAGAGGGGCCGGAGCACCAAAAATAGGGTCCTTTCCATTGGCAGTTGTTATATGCTTCTATGCTGGGCGTGTTTGTTGTACAACAAGCGCTTTGATGCCCGGTCTTGCAGCCCCAGGCGATACTCCAGACCTCGGCTTCCCCTGCATTGCATCCCGGCGTACAGCCTCCGCTGTTGTGGTGGCCCCTCCAACCACAAGTGGGTTGTGGTAGGCTCGACGGGCAACAGAATATGGATCGGCCGCGACCGTTGCATTGCAAAGCATCCCCCATTACTTCGTCTTTTCGAGCGCCCTTGCCTGTACGAGGAACGACGACGAAGCCGACTGGGCATCTTTCGTCGCAATTAGACCAGCGGCATGTCCTTTCAATTGTCATGGCGTCGTCGTTGCGGGTAAGGAGTTCCGCTGGCACAGCGACGCATCTTGCGAGGTCTGCACTGATGAGCAAGATATATAGAAGGATAGTGAACATTGTGATGAGGCGCTTTGAAAAGAAGTAAAGAAGTTCCTTGAGTTTCAAATATCTCCTGCCTTGCACTGCGAAGGTCTTATCATCATATCAAGAGTGCAGACCACTTCGTGCAGTCACTCCTTCTCCGTACGACCTCCAAAAACTGATTGTCTGTCCAGTCCTATGGTTCATAGTGCACATGTAGCTGAGCACTGCAGATACGAAGTATCGGTTCGTAGGGCCAAGAGCTTTTTGTGCTCGTGTTGTAACGGTGGTGACTGAATAGAAAATCGAGACAAGGAAGAAAGAGCTCTATCTAGATATACCTTGCCTTGATAGAAGGACTCTTGGTAATTCACTCACGTAATTCCGCCCTCTTGTGATTGAGATTCGAAGCAAAAGTCGCTGGACATTGCACTCATTGCTCAGCATTGGGCGCAAGCTCCCGGAGGGCACATCCAAACGCTTATGATCAAGTCCTCATACTTGAGATAAATACTCGAAGACGCTGCTGATCATGAGCAACCAACACTGGCCTTTTACTGTGCGTTTTACTGTGTGTTGAAAATATTGCTTGGGACCAAACGAGCTGGCCTTGTCGACATGTGCAATGATGATACCCGAATCACCCGCGGCACACCTCGGAATACATCGTACAGGTATAAAATGGCCAATCCCTATAACATAAAGATTCTGCAAGTTAAGCGTTGTTCTCGAAAGATCCCGCGTGCGTGTGTGACTGGTGCGGCTCGTCATGCAGTGCCCATCACGGCCTGCTTCGGCTGTCACTTTATCGCGATACGCGACAGCCGGTAGAAAAAGTCTTCCTGTATATGCGGTGCGATGCGTACTCGCTCGCTGTGCATCGATTAAATGTGATGAACACGAGATGGGGAGGATGTTGGCAATGAAGCGGACGTGACGCGTTGAGCTAGCATGCTTTTGGACACAGGTGATCCGGCGTAATCGTTCGCCCGGTCCTGAAAGCTTCACACGATCCACTGCATACATGAAGTCTCTGAGGTATAAAGTTGCTCGTATTCACTATTCACTTACCCCTAGAATGGACAGTCTCGGTTCTGGGCACGCCTGGCTACACGCTTGTGACAGCTGTCGCACCATCAGTGCCTGCTCCCGGCTCGTTATCCATCACCATCACCGGTCCTCGCCTTAGCATGTTAGATTCGCCGAGAGGGACAAAACCATAGCGCAGATACACAGGCCGTCCAGCTGCTGAAGTCTCCAGATACATTGGCGTGACAGGGTCGGTAGCATCCGCCTGGCTGATGCCCCAGTTCAACAACATTTTCCCGACCCCTTTACCCTGCCATTCTGGAAGAGTGTACAAAGACGCTAGGAACCAGTGCGGCTCGTCACCGAGCGCTTCTTTACGCACGGCATCGGTTTGCGCAAAGTGTCCGTTCCACGCTTCATCATCTACATGCGACCACAGCTCTTCAAGGTCCTCATCTGAGCAGTCGAACTGGTCTCTCCAACCATAAAACTCTACAGCGTCTCTGCGGAAGAATTCGTGGACTGGATTCCCTGGAGCTACCCACACTGCGCAACCAATGATCGCATCTGAAGGGTTGTGTCGCACGATCAACCAGTGGCAGCGCGGATGTGAGAAAGAGGGGCGGATTCGTCGTATGAACCGCTCGTGTCGCACTGCTTCCGAGGGACGGAGTTCGACTGGCTCCTTCCTGTCCCAGAAACTGCTCGGAAAAGCTGTGTAGAATCCTTGGGCCTTATACAATTAACAGTGAGACGAGATTGGAATGGCAGCGACATACGATGCGAGGTAAATCATCAACCGTGGCCTTTGAAAGGCTGAAGTCGCTGGGCGCATCGAGCTTTGCGTCGCGGTCTGCTATCTGCGCCATTGCGACTGCGTCTATCTTGGAATGAGCTGGCAACGCACGCTATTTATCACCGCGCAGTCATCTCTCTGGGCACTGCGGGTATTGCCTTGGCTAGCAAGGCAGCCGCCTTTGGAGTTCGGAGCTCAGAGACATCATACCTCTTAGCATCGTTAACGCCGAGTCGGTAGAGCCACACGCCGCCCATGGAACAACAGCCCATGCAGAAGCGAATTTGTTCGATCACTTGATATTTTCTTTCATCATTCAATCTGCTTTCAAAGAGGTAGCTGCGCTGCGATGATCATTCGCGACGAGCACAAAGCTGCGCTTCTAGCAGATGCATAGTAATTTGCCCCACCATCCGTCTTCGCTTAATTTCTCACATTTAGCTGGGAATAGGCTGACCAAGATCTTGAAGTGGCTCTTTGATGGCGAGGCAATTAGTCCGCTGTTACTGTAAGTCATCAATCACAACGCAAAGTGGTCTAGGTGGAACCTCAGATAGCCTGTACCATAGCCGGAATCACCCACGATTTGTATTACTTCTGGCAAACGCTACATCTTCGATAGTCCCCAAATCATGGGCCGTAAAAGGAGCAAGAAAACAGCTCTGGCGCGAAGCAACGCCCGCATCGGTCTTTGCGACATATGCGCAGGAATACCTTGGGAAACACTCCTTGATCTACGAGTGAGCAAGACACATAGACTACCCAAGATCAATCAGACTGTCGATCATTTGAGAGTGTCGTCCTGTCGCGTCTGTAGATTGATTGCTCATGCCATGATCAGCAACAAGGGTGGAGAGTTCGTAGGGAAGCCTCCGTATATTCTTGACCTGCACGGCAGTGTATGGTCATCTACTGGAGCGCTTGTTCTGTTGTATTTAGACAAGCCCAACTTGACGTCCTCGGGTCGTTTCGAGATACCGCACATGGTGCTTGTGTCAGTGCAGCCTAAAATCTCGTCAGGTGGCGTAGATGCTCGACCACCAGCGGACCGGCTTGTACTGGGCGGTATACCTATAGTGCTAATGAAAGAGTCAATCGATGTCTGTAAGAGAGATCATGGGAACACTTGTACTCCAAAAGATTCGACCGCGCTATTAGGACTCAAGCTAATCGACTGCCTCACCAACACCGTCATGCTCGCTCCCCGTGCCCCTGAATACGTTGCTCTATCATACGTATGGGGTCGAAGAAACAACGGAATAAGTCTCGCAGATGCCGCGCCGCTTTCCAGTCCGCCGAAGACCGTGTCTGACGGTTGCTACCTGGCGCGTTCACTTGGATTCAGGTATCTTTGGGTGGATAGATATGTAAGACTGCAGTACTGACCAGAAATGTCCAATCTTACTAAGTCAATCAGTGTATAGATCAAGAAAACCACGCAGAAAGGACTCAGCAGATTGCACAAATGGCCGACATTTACGCATCTGCGCAGCTAGTGCTTCTGGCTGTAGGCGCAAAAGACGCCGACTTTGCGTTTCCGATTTCCGACCATGAATCCACACACTCCATTCCGCAAGAGACGGTAGGAGATGTCAAAATTCTGTCCTGTGCAGCTCCGCTGAGACATATCACATCCGACGACTTAGAGCCGCCGAAATGGGCTTCCCGAGCTTGGACATTCCAAGAATGCTACTTCTCTCGCCGGCGATTGCTTATCACAAAAGATAAAGTTCTCTTCCGATGCAATGGCCGCAATCGGGAACAAGTTGTCGGCAACGACTGGTACCCTCCGACCATCGCTAGAGGCGTGGGTCTAGATCTCGAAGCCCACAAACGTGTACTGTCAGGCTACGCGGGCCGTCAGCTCACATTTGAATCTGACGCACTTGCTGCCGTCGTTGGTGCACTCAATGCGCACAAAACTCGAAAATCATGTGCGCACATCTGGGGCGTTCCTGTGAGTAGGAGCAGGGGAAGTGGAAACGCGCAGAGAATCGCTTTGATCTGGGCACACGATAGCCCATGTGAGCGACGCAAAGGCTTCCCCAGTTGGTCTCCGATAGCCTGGACCGGGCCAATCTCGTGGCCCTCAAAACTCGATGTGAGTACAGAGGGCGTTCGCCTTGTCAGCGACGTGGAAGATCGTTCAGTAGTGTCTTGGGCGACACTGAGCAAAAGCAAACACCGTGACTACGAAAACGCTCCACGGTTCCTGGAGATAACAGGAGGATTGGCGCCCCTAAATATGGTGCGGACAACACGCACAGATTGTGACATGTCTGTCCTAGCGCCCGAAATTAGAGCAGACTGGATATCCTTTTCTTTAAAAGGCGACCTGGAGGTCATGCTCGAGCCGCGATGGGATTTACCATCTGCGCAAATATCCGAGGATCCGATTTACGGCCTACTGCTCACTTCGAGAAGGCTGCATGACATGAGCGCTGACAATTTGGATGATGCGCACGTCATGATTCTTCGGCGCTGTCACAAGTGCTATGAAAGAGTCGGATTTCTTACGCTTCCCAGCGTGTTGGAAAAGAACCATATATATAAGAAAGTGCAGTTTGGAGAGCAGGGTACCTTGCAGACTGCCTTGACGAGCTCGGACGATTCGCCACCAAACTTGTTCTCGGGGAGTGGAGAACGTTACGATTGGGCGGAAATATTCGAGGAAGACACAATCGTGCTTGGTTGATGTGTTCGCCTCTTAAGATTCTGGGCCTTTAGCTAGTGCGCACATTTTTTCTCGTGTGTCCCAGGTCATGCTTCACACAAATGCTGGCCAACGACGGGCTGGAGCGTAGACATGATCACTAAGACTTGGAAGAGACATATAGGATGTGGTACTACATCAAGGTAATTAAATTCTCTCAAACAAGCGTCAACTGAGCGATGCGCTTGCAGTCGGACTTCGACCTGTTGCGTCATAGACATTCGCGTGCTTTACAAGGCCTCCTTTGCGGGGAATGACATGTGCGAAACATCCTCCACTCGCTCCTCATCACCAGCCTTCTCCAGCAAGTCAGTGTGGCTCGCCTCGCCCGAGAACAGGCGGTCAACATCTTCCAGCTCAAGACCCTTGGTCTCAGGGAAGAACAAGAAGATGATCGGTACCCAGAGGGCATTGAGCACGGCGAAGATGATGTATGTGCGCCATCCGATGTTGTTGATAGCGGGAGGTGTGACTTGCACGATAATCTGTCGAATGTCAGTATGCAAGTCTCGCTAGGTCCATTTTGCTCAAACTCACGTAGTTGCATATCCAGTTGGCAGCCGTCGAAATGGCCGATCCACGCTGTCGCAGACGCAGAGGCAGAATCTCGGACCTATTTTACGTCAGCTCGTTCCACTTTTAATCTCATCGACAGCACTTACGGGTATACCCAGACCGTCGCTTGGAAGCCGATGGTGAAGGCTCCTTGGAAGATGAAGAGCATGGCGGCCGCTGCGATACCTGCGCCCTTGGCTGAGGCGGTTTGGTACTGCACTTGGTAGATGAGGCCGGCTTGGACTGCCATGACGGCGGCCATGACGCTGATCATGGACAGTAGGAGTGGTCGTCTTCCGATCCTGTCGATGAGGAACCATGGGATGAATGAAGCGACGAAGAACCAGGTCTGTAGGAAACCACTCATCAAGGACGCCATGTGGGTGTCGAAGCCGATGCTCTTCTCAAAGAGAGTACCCGAGTAGTCTGTTGTTGGTCAGTATTGCTTTACCAAGGACGGCGGCTAGCTTACAGATGATGGCGTTGATACCACCCAACTGCTGGAACATCTGAATACCACAAGCGATGAGGAAGCGCCTCCTTGACTTGATGGGGTCGCTTCGGACGATGTCCTTCCAGCCTGCTTGTCGCGAAGCCTCAAAAGCAACAGTCTCGGTGATGACAGTATGGAGTCTCTGCACCTCAAAATCTGTCTCAGGGACGTCCGCAACACGTGCCAATACCTGCAAACACTCATCCGGGCGATCATGCGACGCCAACCATCTCGGTGTCTCAGGGATCAAAGTCAACAGACCGAGGATCGCGACGAGGATGATGCACTGCAGGATGGTGGGTATGCGCCAAGCGTAGCTGGAAGTATGGGAGACAAAAGCGTAGTCAATCCAGTATACCAGGAAGATACCGAAGTTCAGAGTCGACAGCTGCGCGCAAACGTAGATACCACGGCTCGCTTTGGGACTGAACTCCGCTTGCATGACGGGCACAGTCGAGTTGATTATACCTAGGCCAACTCCCGATACAATGCGGCCAACGATGAGGTGGGCCCGTCCGTAAGCGGTGGCCTGGAGGAGGGCGCCAATCATGCTGATAATAGCACCGATGCCGACACTCTTGCGACGACCGAGTTTCTCTCCGATGAACGCTGTCGCCATGGCTCCAATGAAGCAACCAACTGTAGATTCAGGTTACTACTGTTCCTGCATCGTATCCATCGTCTTCACTCACTTTCGAAGATGGCCACAATCGTGCCAATCATGTCCGACGATGGGTGATCGAAGGTTTTATTGAAGGCTGGCGCCCCAACAAGTCCACCCATGAGGCCATTGTCATACCCAATTAGCATGAACCCGAGGGAGGTAAGAAGACTGATCGTGAGCATCAACGCTCGACCCCTGAGTTGAGGCATGATGAAGGTAATGGTGATGATTGTCTCTCGAAGGAACGAAGTCACATAACAACGTTATCAGGCGCGCAGCGATGATGCTAATATATAGACTTTCAAACATAAGCATGCAAGGGGCGGAACGCTAGGTGTCGGTCTGCGGGGATATCCCCATGGGGTCGGCAAGCCATGCATATCCCGCGGGCTTTGGTGTGCAGATGGGAGAAGTTTCGTGAGATCTCGAGACCTGCCTCGAACACCAGGGCGGTCTTTGCTCGACGGACTCCAACGTGACTAGGATGAACGGTGTGTTTTAGGGTTCGCTCGTGAACGAGCCTAGATGCAGTCCGTCGCGTGCACGTGTTAATTTCACCGATGCAGGACCGAGCTCCGCATGTCAAAAAGGCTTGTCTATGACGCGACTCAAATGCCGCCTCCGATCGGCAAACAAACCTGAGACTGTCGGCGACGGACTCAATCACCGTCGCACTGTGCTGGCAGTCCAGTTGTCCAGCTTCAATTGCCGACAGAGATATCTACCATCGGTCCCTCTCCGGTGAGACCAAACTCTATTCATCCTCGTCACTTTTACAAACGGTATGCACTTCAGATGCAAATTTGAACTTGTGTGTACACCGCAAATTGACATATCACTGAGTTTCGCCATGGCTAGTCTGCCCTCGTGGGTGCGCATCTATGATGATTCAGCAAAAGCAATACTAGGAGACGAACCAAAACTCGATCTACTTTGCGAAGAGACGGAACGGCCTTTTGCACATGAAGCTGGCGTATACATACCCGAAGACAATTCGCTATGGATCACCAGCAATCAATATCCGCATCCAGAAACTAAGAGGCCACACATCCACATCTCGCGTGTCCAACTACCATCCAGCACCGACAGCACCGAAGCCGTGCACGCAGAGATAGATGCAAGTAACATTCCCCTACCAAATGGCGGCGTCAATTACAAAAACGGAATTCTCTTCTGCGCCCAAGGAACGCTCGACACACCAGGCGGCATAGCCTTCATGCCTCTGAATCCGCCCACCACCAGCGACAAATACGAAGCGAAGCTCCTTATCTCAGATTTCCATGGCCGACCGTTTAATTCACCAAACGATGTTGTTGTTCATTCAGACGGCTCCATATGGTTTACGGATCCGATTTACGGCTGGGAACAAGGGATTCGACCGCGACCACGGCTACCAAGTCAAGTGTATCGCTACGATCCGGCGACAGGAGGCATTCGTGCTGTCGCAGATGGATTTGAGAGACCGAATGGGATCTGTTTCAGCCCGGATGAGAAAACTGTGTACATTACGGACACGGATTGGATTCATGGAGATGGATCGACTGACGACATGAGAGTGTCGCATATGTAAGTATATCCTGGTTGTGAGGTTTAGACGCAGTTGCATTCCCGACCTCCGTCACTAGTATTTGAGTCAATAAAGCCGAATACTGATTGTTCTGACAGATATGCCTTCGATGTGATCATCCGATCTGGTCAACCTTTCCTGGCCAACCGTCGGCTGTTTGCTATGGCCGACGTAGGCGTTCCGGATGGCATTAAATGCGACAAAGCTGGCAACGTGTACAGTGGCTGTGGCGATGGGTTGAACATATGGTCAGCCGGCGGCGTATTGTTAGCGAAAATCCTGCTTGACGGTGGAGTGGCAAATTTTTGCTTTGGAAGAGATGGACAAGTTTTCTTGATGAATGAAAGCTGGCTGTGGAGATTGCAGCTGGCTCGGAGTTGCAAGGGTGCATTGCTAGGACTTTGAGATGCGAGCTAGGCGCTTCTGGGCGTTGGATTCTTGATCGACATGAGAGATGACTTGAGATTTCCCCAAAGATTGCATATGGGAGCATAAGGCTGGAGTTCTTCGTCAGATTGTGTAAGCCGCCTAGAGAATAGTAATCTTCTGCTTAATACATGTTGTGTCGGCAGTGGTATGGCTCCAGCTTTGATATGTAGACCAACGCGTCTGACAAGAGACCGGCACTGATTGAGTGTGTCGCACGTTGTGGTCGTCAATTGAATGAAAGATGTCAAACCCTTGATTATCGGATTTCTAGCAAAGTTTTTGCAGACTTCCACGTTCCTCTCTTGCCAGTCGCAATTTCGTCCAGTTTGCCCCGGAGCCACGCTCCTATCGCTGGACTTGATTTTCCAACTGCATCATATGCCATTCGGAGCGGAAAAAGTAAGAAAAAGCTACCACGTTCGCCGGATGGCCGACCATAATGATATTCGACGCTACGGCAAATGACTATCCCCGCCTCATGCACCCTTGCTTGAAGGCGCTGCGCATGATCATGCTGGTCGGTGGCGATGTCTAAGCTCAAAATGAATTGCAGGACTAAAATGAGGGCGCCATTGTAAACAGTGAGAGCGTTATGATCATGCACGGATTTGTACTGGAGTATAGTCGACCATATTGGGACCTCATGTCCGGTTGGGTCCAGAAATGTAGGTGTTGATGACGGCGAAGGTAACTCAACGCAGAGGTGCGACACATCAGAATCCCAATCTTGACCCCATAGCTCTAGGTCGTGTAGGATGCTACGTGCTTTCGTGGCGAGATTCTGCATTGCGTTGATTATCTGACTACCGTCAACGAATTTTGATACTCGATCGCGTGTGACGAAGAGGTCCGGACAGTCACTGAGAATGTCGAACAGTTTCTTTCTGTCGTCAATGTGTTCAGGGTGCAACGACCAAGGCAAAGTCTTCCATCCGGGGCTTGCGAGAATTGTGGACTTGTGCAGCACAATGGCAGCGAATATAATTGCTGGTCGGGTCTGCTCCAGTATCATCAGGCACGGCAGAGACATCATTCGACGTGCACCTCGTATCTCGAAAAGTCGTTCGAGGCCCCGCGCATGGTTCATCCAGCCGTCTTCGTGGTTTGAGACTAAGAACTACTCGAGATGAGTTGTGTCCAGACAAGGCTCCGAGGAACTCACTTCTATTATTGCCATGATCGTAACAGATCCGAGAACATCAAAGGAGTGTGCGGCTTGTGGCTTCGCTAGCGTGCCGTTGAGCACACCTAGCGCTCGACCGTATTTGGCAAGGCCATCTTGTGTGATGTACTGGTCGTGATGCTTGACACCGAAATATGTGTAAGAAAGCGCTTGGAAGCATCGCGTAGTAATGCTACCACCCGCGTCTCGAGGAACAACGATATGTCCATTTTCAGGCAGCAGGTGGTGACGCGTGAATGCGGTAAACACTTCATCACGCGCCTGTGGCAAACTGAAGACGGCCTCGAAGCTTCCCGGACGAGATGCTTCTTTTTTGTGTTTCACCAGTGATGTACCTGGATCGTTGCTAGTGCTCGGCTTATGCTCGTCGCGGCTATGTGCGCCATCGTAAACGACGAAAGCAAGGTCAAGAGGGCCTCCACATGCTAGCTGCGATTTGGTGCATTGTCCACACTGGGGTTTCTTGAGATCTTGCATAATCAGCATGCATGACATGTCATTTGCGTTGTGCGAATTACTCACCACACTTCACATGTCGGCGCCGACAGTTCTGGCAACCTTTGGAACGACCAGGAACGCCAACCATGTTATGCAAGCTGGCGGATACATGCCGAGAGTGAGCTAAAATGTATATCGGCTGGAGAGTGATGAGGATTGGGAGGAAACGCCGACGCAACGAAGTTGATGACGGAGGTGGTCCGACAACCAATAGGGGCGCAGCAGGTGGGTTACGTCCCTCGTTCGGGGAGTCGCGACCTTGTCCTCACACATCTCAATATCTGCATCGACAGCCACAGGCATCAATGTAGTCTTCCAGCATAATTGACCGAAATCTCATGCATGGCAGCTTGTTACCGAATGGGGGAAGCCAACGCAGACGCGGCGCTCGCGAGCCTATTTGTTCACGTCTACCTACCAGCGGAAGTCGAATATCAAAGCGCAGACTTAAGCTTCTAAGTTTCGTATACGCTGAGATGACCCTCGCTAGTAGCCATACGACACAATGGGGTCCGATCAAGCCGTAATGTGAGACTCGCAGTTCACGGCATCGGCCCCGCCATTGCCGAAGTCGTGTCCCATCAGATATATGTAGTGGCCGAAGCATCTGAACCACTTACACAGCATTGCACATTGATCGATACTTCAGCCATGCCAAACGGAAACTGGATCCTCGGAGACCTGTTCACCAAGGACTACGGCCACGGCGGCAGTATCCAAAAGCTCTGGGAACAACGTTGGAAGTTCCCATGCACGAAGGGTGTGTATCCGTTCCACGATGGGAAGTTCGAAGACTTCGAGCCGGTTTTCAATCACTTGATCGAGAACAATATCAACGACCCATATGATAATGCGTATACAAATGCGTTCGTACCCACTGCACAACGCCTAGTGAAGGAGGCAGACGATGAAGCAAAAGATGTTGAGACGAGGAAGAAGCTCTACCTCAACGCCAATGCTGTATATAGATTGGCCAGATTTCCCTACATCGGCACTCAGCTCAAGGCGCGAGTGTTTGAGGAGCAAAAAGAAGTATACATGAGAGGATCGAAGCTCTGGAGCCATCCCATCTCCGAGATCACCATACCGCACAAGCACGCCGCAAATGGCGACGCATCCAAAATCCCACTGTACATCCGCAAACCATCAGGCAACGGTCCGTTTTCAACCATCCTTCTTATCACTGGCCTTGATGGTCACCGCCCCGACAACACGGAACGCTCGCAAGAATTCCTCGATCGGGGTTGGGCTTGCGTTATCTGCGACATCCCTGGCACGACAGTCGATTGTCCTGCGAACAAGCGCGATCCGTTATCACCCGATCGCCTCTTTGGTTCGATATTCGACTTCATCCAGGATACGCCATATCTGGATGAGAGGAAAGTCGTCGCATGGGGCTTGAGTGCGGGTGGATACTACGCCATTCGTCTCGCGCATACGCATCGCGAGAAGTTGATTGGGAGTGTCGGTCACGGCGCTGGTGTACATCACTACATTGGACGTGAGTGGTTGGAGCAGGTAGGTAAGCATGAGTATCCATTCGGACTGGAGCGTGCATATACGCAAAAGTATGGGTATGAGTCGTTTGAAGAGATGAAGGAAAAGTGTCAGGATGAGTTTAGCATGATTAGCGCAAAGGGTGAAGAGGTTGCTGTTGTCGGTCAAGGGATGAAGAGTTGCAGGATGCTGTTGATCAATGGTACGCTGGATGGCTGCATGCCGATCGAAGATAGCATGGTGTTGGCAGAGTATGGGAGTCCGAAGGAGATGCGGTTTGTACAAGGAAGGGCACACATGGGATACCCGGAGGCGAACTCAATTGTGTATCCGTGGTTGGAGGAGGTTATGCGAACAGGATGAGGGCGTGTAACAGTAGGCTCTGATACCACAAGAAAATCGCATTTTCACATGATGGAGTTGATGTTGGTGGTGAAGGTGAACCGCGGCGTACCACCCATGTAGGTAAGATTGCGAGGGATTACGTCACCTGGTCAGGCCAGATGCCGGAACACAGCCGATTCAACCATTCAACAACACCAACATGCCTGTTACAGCAGCGCCCATCCTGTTGCGCCCGCCTATATCGAGGGGCTGCGGCTGAGAAATATTCAAACTACACTTGAGCGACTGCTTCAAGTGAATGCAATTTTCTTCAGCAAAATGTTAGACCACACAATACCCAACTACGTGTTTATACGCACCGTCATCCTCGCCCTGCAAGCTGTGACGCCGATCTGCATCTTCATCGTATCCTTCAGTATTGCTGAACCTCCGCATACCCCATTCCGCCGCTTCCTGCTTGTCTGGGCGCTCATCGAGACGCTCTTCTGGGTTGGCGTCTTCATTCCCCGCAAGCGCGCACTCCAAACCGCAGCCAAACACCCACCCGCGCTCAGCAAGGAAGAGAGGAAGGAGCTGTTCTGGAAATGCTGGGATAGGGTGCCGCACCCCGAGTACTTTGTTAGCCGCTGGTTCCTTGGTGCGAGACCGAGCGATGTTCGACGGGACAATGTGCGCGAGTTCTACGAATGGGCGCTGATGAACCGGGGCGAAGAGACAGAGGAGGACAAGTCGCAGAGGATGCAGGAACATCCAGACGAGTGCAGAGAAGAGGAAGAAGAGCTTGACAGCTATGTGGACGGCATTGAGACGTTGCTCGGCAGGAAACTGGAGCCTGGCAAGGGCAGCGCGAAGTGCATGCGATTGACGGTGGATTCTGTCAACATGTCACATCGGCCGGTTATATGGTACATGATTGTCATGCTGGTGGACACGTTCACCGCAGCACATCTGCGATACACAGGCTTCACGTTGTACCGCACGCATCTACGCTCCGCACTCTCCATCTTCCCGCCTCGACCTGCGAGCCTATTCACCCGCCATATCTCGTCCGCGCCAGATCTCAGCTACTGGTACCGCCCGCATACGTCACGAAAACGTCTCCCGATCCTCTTCATCCACGGCATCGGCATCGGCCTATACCCATACGCGAGATTCTTCGACGAGATAAACAAGTACGACCCACAAGGCACAGAGGATGGAGACATCGGCATCATCGCTGTCGAGCTCATGCCCATCAGCTTCCGCATTACAGGGCCTATCCTGGACCACGACGAGATATGCCGGCAGATCAATATCATCCTGACGCGCCACGGATTCGACAAGGTTGTGCTGGCATCGCATTCCTACGGGTCTGTTGTGTCGACACATCTCCTCCAGGATCCAACAACCGCACCTAAGATTGGTCCGATGCTATTCGTCGATCCCGTCACGTTCTTGCTGCACCTCCCCGACGTCGCATACAACTTCACCGCACGTCAACCACGGGCCACGAACGAACATCAACTCTACTACTTTGCTTCGTGCGATATGATGGTCGCTCATACCCTGGCGCGCCACTTCTTCTGGGCCCACAATCTGCTGTGGAAAGAGGATCTGCGGGGCCGTGATGTTACCATCAGTCTTGGCGGCAGAGATCTAATTGTCGACACGGAGACTGTTGGGAAATACATCAGTGGCGTTGATCTCAAGAGCGAAGACAGGAAGTGGAAGGAGCATGAGTGGCATGGCTCAGGTGTAGAGACTGTTTGGTGGCCAACTGTCGATCATGCGCAGGTGTTTGAAAGGAAAGACGGGAGGGCAAAACTAGCTAGGGTACTCCGCGAGTATTGCAAGAAAGTGGGAGAGGATGTTGAGGATGGTGTATAGAGAGCACCATCACGTTGCTCATGATCGGAATGAACTACATTATCCAAACTTTTTAGATGTAGATTCCTACTGTGATTGCTCTATAACTAACCTCGCGAGCTTACAACCTGAACCTGTCACTGTTCACAGTACATCCCAGTGACTTTTGTTCAGATGCACTGTTTTGTGATCTTCAGTGCGGTCGTGCTGCGATAAACATAGCGCGGGACAGGAACATCCTCGGGCCGCGAGATTTCCTCAGCGCTATGACCTTTGCCACTTCATGCCAGTCCGGACGACAACAACGTCCTTGACAGGGGCTCCTGTAATTGCAGTGCGTCTCGAACAACCAGCCCTGATCGAAAAAAAGAACACAACATGCACGCACCTAAAGCATCTCGTTTGTGCATTCCAGTGCGCTGGCGGACGGAGCTGTTCTATTGAGGCCGCGCACGCAGGCCGTCCCGCCTGGGCAATGTCGCATCGCGCACGAACGGACTCCTTACCAGCTGCATCTCAACGTCACCCCACGGACAAGTCTAGAACGGTGAGAGGTCTGCCTGAGGACCGGCCCATGTATTGGCAGCTTGGCGCTCCACAGTTTACATCTTGGTTCGGAAAGTACGAGCCTCATCCACGTCACTTCAAGGTTGGCATGCGCTATCAATGCAGGAAGCGATGATGCGCAGGGGCAAATAAGTGTTCTATTATTATATTTTTCACGATCTTCTTAAGTACTGCATTTCCGTCTGAACTTGGGATACCAGCTGCTTCATTGTCTGCTTCACAGTAAACGTTAATTAATATACTTTAATTTTTTTAACTCTTCAATATGTGGGCTAAGGCAGCATCAATCCTCGCTCTGGCGTCTACCGCCGTTGCGCAGAGCAAGGGCTTCAACTACGGTGCGACCAACGCTGATGGTTCATGCCGTGGTTACAACGACTTTGTTCGCTTCTTCAATGAAGCGAAGAGTCTTCCCGGAGCGTCTGGCTTCACGACCGCCCGTCTCTACACTTCCATCCAGTGCGGCACTGCCTCAGACCCCATCTCAGCCTTCCAGGCTGCCATCGACACCGACACAAAGGTCCTTGTAGGCCTCTGGGCCTCGGCCGGTCGCGGTGCGTACGAGAACGAGCTCAACGCCCTCATCCGTGGAGCAAGGGAGCTCGGCAGTGCCTTCACCGACCGCATCATCGGTATCAGCGTCGGTTCCGAGGACCTGTACCGCAGCAGCCCCCAGGGTGTTGCGAACAACGCTGGTCCAGGAGCCACTGGTCCTGAGATTGAGGGATACATTGGCTGGATGCGCGACTGGATCAGGGGATCTGCTCTTGAGAGCAAGCCCATCGGTCACGTCGACACCTTCACCGCCTGGGTCCTGCCCGAGAACCGCGGTGTTGCCAACACCGTGAACTGGTAAGTTACATAACCGCTATTTGCATCATCTACATAGTGTTAACCTATGATCCTAGGCTCGGCCACAACTCCTTCCCATACTTCGAGACCACCCGCCCCAACGCCATCGAGCAGGCCCGCGAGAACTTCTACGCCGGTCTCGGACAGACCGAGGCTGTGTCTGGAGGAAAGCCCGTCTGGGTCACCGAGACTGGCTGGCCCCACAAGGGCCCCGTCTCCGGCTCTGCTGTAGCCTCCCTCGAGAACTCCAGGCGCTACTACAGCGAGGTTGGCTGCTCGCTTTTCGGCACCCGCAACGTTTTCTGGTACACCCTGAAGGACGCCAACTCGGCTCAAACCGACCTGTCGTTCGCTCTTACACCGCTCGAGAACAACACCCCTTACTTCGACTTGAAGTGCTAGATTATATGAGAATCATGATTGCATTGGCGATTTGCATTTCACGGCCTTTTGGGTGTGCATCGCGATGGAGTCTATAGATGGCCTCGCGGCTGAAAAGTGAGAATTAATCGTAATCGTTGGCATAATCTATAAGCCAGATGTTCCAATTTCCTGGTCATTGTGATGAAGCATGCACCCCGCTGTCGTCACCCCGGATGTCAGATTATAAAGTGCGAAGCCTCAGCCGGCAACTAGCGGTAGCTTGATCGGATGCGCCAAGATTTGAGGCCGACGTCCCCTTTTCTGACAACATCCCAGGTCAATACAATCTCATCAGCGTCGTCCATTCTAGATTCAAGAAGAAACGTTCGTCCTACTCTCGCGTCGTTGTGTACAAGTCATGAATTTTGAAACAGTAAAATGTCCAGAGTACGGAGACGGTGCAGGCGAGTCCCAGGAAAGCAGTAACCGAAAATGTCCAACACCCATCCATCTGTCAGTTTCAAAAGACCATGTATCAATCAAAACTCCCAAACTCCTCCATCTGCCTACCATGCCGTCCCATTCCACGCATCATCCGCCTTCCACCCATCCTTCTTCACCCCCACAGACCTGACAACATGCTTCCCAACCCTCTTCTCCTTCTCCGCCCTTTCCCTCGCATTCGACTGCATCGTCGCAACCTTAACCCCCTTCTCCCCCACCGGCCTCACCGGCTCAAAATCACTCGGCTTCCGCACGAAGTCACCTGGCGGCGGCGTCGCCGCCCGCTCTGGTACCAGCACATCCTCAGGCGATTCCATCGGCCAGATACCACGCCACTTCGACGGGGGATGCGAGCCCTCTGGCGGCCCAGCAGGCAGGTAATTGATCTTCCGTCGCGCGTCGATTACGCGGCGCTTCCACCCGATGAACTCAGCGACGTGTACGCAGAACCGCTCCGTGTGGCTGCGGACATGCGTCTCCGTGTCGCCGAAGCGCTCGCAGGCCAGACAGTACACTGGCGCTGCACATTGTTGGAGGATGTTTGTGTGATCGCGGCCGCCGCAGCGCGTACAAAATGCCACACTGCCCCACGCCGACGCGAAGTTGTCTTGTGAGTACTCCTCGATTTCCGTAGCGACAGCTTGCATCGTCTTGGCCATATTTCGCCTCCTGCCCGCCATCCAATTCCTTAGCGCGAGGTTGACAGCGCAGAAGATGGTGCGCGCGGCGTCGTTGAGCGCGGTATGTGGGTCTTCGTGCGCGAAGTTGAAGACTTGTTCGCACAGGACGTCGAGGCCGATTTTGTTGCCGGGGAAATCCGGGGCGGTCCAGGCGGACAGCTCGCGCACGAGTTTCTGCGTGTCGATTTCCGCGACGATGGTGGCGTGCTGGGTGAAGTCGTAGTTTAGCCCGGTGGACTGCATGTGCTCCGTGTCGTGATCGAGCGTATGGCCGACGAGGATGATGGGGCGCTTCAGGCCTGCGAGGTCTGGGTCATCAGAGATGATGGGCTGGTTGAGGATTCTGTCCAGGATCCTGCGCGCCTCGGCGAAGGTCACGAAGCGCGATTGTCCGAAGCGATTGCCTTCTGGTCCGCGCATCCAAGGCGAAGTTGTCTTGAGATGAGCATTCTCACAGATGCGCAGGTGGTGATACTTCATCTTCTTCATGACGTTCTCAGCGTAGTCTCCAATCTCCGCGCCAATTTCTTTCCCGTCTTTGTACTCCGCGATCACGATTCCTATCTCTGTCATCTGGTCTGTGTTTGCGGTCCATGCTTCCGTGTCTACGGTAACGACGACGCAGTGCTCGACGAGCGGGAGCGCGGGTGAATCTTCGGCGCAGAGAGGAGTGTCAAGCATACCGAGGACTTCGAGCGTGACGAGCCGGAGGGGTTTGGCGGCATAGGTGGCGATGAGGGCGTCATAGCGTTCTTTAGGTGTCGGGAGAGGTTTCGGGGTGGACGTGATTGTAGCATAACTTGCAGACATGGCGCGCTTGATAAGCAAGCGTGTCGTCAGTTGAGGTTCGGGTTGATGGGCAGTTCTAGTGGTGAGTTGTCTATCATAAGAGCTTGGAAGGTCGGTGGTGACTTGTTTATCGTAAGAGGTAGAGAGCTCGGTGGTGACGATGTAGATCGGGTGGGACTCTGAGAAGTGAAAGATACGGCCTTGGTGAACAGTCATCACATAGTTTCGGAAGATTGTGGTATTTTCTCTTTCATTTCACTGTCTCGTGTCATATTCATTCCCATCTATCCGCAGTCCCGCAGTCTTCAACACGTCTTTCCAAGTGCCCTGTACCTGCGCCTTATCACCAAACGCCATCTAGAAGAACCTTCCCAGGAACCCCGGAAGCATTGGTTACAAGCACACACGCCATTTCACATCTATCAAAGACCATCATGCTTCTTCCAGAGCTCCTATCAACATTCTACCTCCGCCCTTCATCGTCCACTTATCCCTGCTGGTAACCAGCCCTGCCACGGCCATCGCCTCGAGCGCGACCATTACCACGACCACGGCTGCTACCACGACCATGTCGGTATGAGTCAGGGTAGACTCCATAGCCTGCACCATCATGAAAGGGCTGGTTGTTGAAGTCACCCTGATAAGGACCAGGCTGGTAGTTGTTGAAACCACCAGTCGGCCGGAAGTTGCCATAGCCAGGATAAAAGGGGGATGCTGGGTAGTAATACGGGCTACTATCCCCAGAGAAGTTGACATAGTTGCTGTGAGGAGCATACGGCTGGACAGCATAGTCCTGGTACGAGGGCTGTGTATACCCACGACTACCCATGTTGCTGCCGTATGGGCGCCGATCAATGTAGTCTCCACGTAGTGAAGGACCGCCCAGACGCATAGGCATTGCATTTGTAGGCGGAGGAGTGGACGGGAAGGCAGGCACTGGCGGGTATTGCCTACGAACTTTCTGTCCAGGAGGCGGTCCCTGGTCGGCAAGAGGCGAATTCTGGAACGAACGACCGATCCAGACGAATCGCTCCTCAAACACACTGGAGCCCTTTTGCTTGTCGTAATAAGCTCGGCGCGTGGCTATCTCCTCGTCAGAGGCGGGTATAGGCGTAGGCGAGTTCGGAGCGAAGGCTTGCAGGCGACCATTGCTGACGAAGGGATACTTGGGCTTCCACTCCGCCGGCTGGCCCTTGTACCAGGCGAGGCGTTCGGCCGCGACTTCATCACGGATAATGGGGCAATGGGCTTCGATGTGGAACTTGGCCTCGATGTCGAATCCGCGAGACATGCACTCTGGGCATGGACCAGTGCGACGTAGCTTTCCGAGCGTCATGCAGTCTTGATCTCCCATGTGGCCGTCTTCTCCGCACATGCCGCAATACAGAGCGACACCTCCAAGCGGGACGAAGTTCTCGCGGCTGCTGGTCTCGAGGTCGTAGACGACCTTTTGCGTGTTGCGGCGACAGTTCTGACGAGCTTTCTTTGGCAGGACCATCAGCACTCCAGATATGAAAGTACGGGCCGCATCGTTCGCGGCTGTGTGCGAGTTGGTATGATGGAACTCCAACTTCTGAACCAGTGTCCTCAGGCCGATTGGATCCTTGCAGCCAAACCAGTGCTTGCTATCCAAGGTGATCTGCTGCGTATCAATGACACGAGCGACAGTACCGGGAGAGTCTATATCGAAACCCAAATCTTTTCCGTTGAGGTGCTCTCGATCGTGGCCGACAGAGTGGCCCATTAGGACAATAGGCCGGTTGTACCCATGTAGTGATGGTACATGGTCGATGGGCTGAACCATAAGATCCCAGAGGATGGAACGAGCCTCAGCGAATGTGACGAAGCGGGCGTAGCCGAACGAGTTGCCGTCGGGGCCTCGCGACTTAACGTTGGATGTGGGTAGATGCGTCTTCTCCTTCAGGCGCAAGAAGTGGAAGTTGGCCTGCTCCAAGATGTTGAAGCCGTGGTCACCGAATTCTCCTGCGCGCGAGACCGGAGCCACATCTTGAGAATGTAGGACGACAATTCCAATCTCTGTCATCTCGTCACTATTCAGGGTCCAGTGCTCCGTGTCAAGACAGATCACGACCGTATGCCGGGCCAGCTGCTCTGCGATGTTGCGGATGCGAGAGATCTCTGGGTCTTCGCTATAGCCCATGTTGATGGTCGTGATGCCGAGACAATGGCTGAGCACTTTGAAGTCGCTATGTTTTGAGAAGCGGTCCTTGATCACCTCAAATGGTGTGGGCACATCTGGATCGGCCATGATGGCAGTCGGTACCTGTTTGCGGATGTTATACAGCGTCTTTTCCGTGCTTAAGCCCCAAGATGTCGTTGGTTGAAGACTTGGCCGTAGTTGAGCTCTTGCGCGGCTTGTAGGCGAGAGATGGGGGTGTTGCGCTGGCAAAGTGAGCCCTTATGGTTGCGGGTAGGGGACAAATAACAAGCGAGCGGGAGTTGCGCGATAGACAAAGTGAAAGAGACTGTGCGCGTAGATTTTTTCGACGCAACAAACGCACACGACGGCACGCATAGTGAAGGGCCTCTCCCGCCCGCCGCGGCCCGCATTGCAGAGGAGTTCCCTGATCAAAGTCAAGAATATTGACAATAGCGGACGGTTTTCTAGGTCGAGCTGCAGTGGATCACGAGGACCAAGATATATCATTCTCGATATCACTACATCACCGGCTAGAGGCCTAGATCATGGATGAAGTTGGGAAATCAAGGGTGTACGCAGGAGATCAGGTAGTGGTACAATTACATGCAATTGTTCATCATGTTGCCGCTGACACTTAGTCAATGACCCGTGTCTAGAGAAGGTACATGGATGGGGCAAATCCAATCGCACTGTATTCGCAGCTGTTCAGCCAACTCCAAATTCATAGTGTCTGTGACGTAAAATCCACACAAATGTCGAGACTCAAAGCACATCATGATGTGCATTCGCGAAACTCAGAACTTCACATTTAACGCTATTGGTAAGCATAGGTCTCAAACGAGCATAAACAGAAATAAGGTCACTTACTCTATGTGAGAGTGGATAAATGATGTTTTATCCTCAAGACTAGCTGCGAAGATCTACTTTATGTTCTGTGGATGAGAGGGAAATTTGAGCTATGTTCAAAAGTCGCCGCTACAAGCAACATGGTAAAGGGCACTGTAGAAAAGAAATTGGAGAAAATTGGAACCATGCGATGCGAGTGTACCGCATCATCATAACGCCTCTACCGAGTTTGGCCTAATAGTCAAAGCTCATCGCGCTCATGCGATTCGTTACTCGATCAACGGAATCCTCCTCTCCCTCTACCTCGGGACCACGCATTGCAGAGAAGATACAGTTCTTCGTCGCATGACCACGCGCAGCTTTCCGGTGGTTCGGAGCCTTGGAGGCACTACAGTGGTTGTACTGCACCTTGGCACGGCATGGGGTCGAATCTGTGTTGCCAGGAACATGGGCTCGTCGACCGCAGCGGATGCAGTACCCCAAGACCAGTCCTGATACTGACTAGCCTCCTCGATTTCGTCGACAACATCTTGTCGGGTGCGTGGACCTCCATCTGTCGAATTGCCGGAAGCATTGGTCTTGAGCTCCGATGGCAATACCATGTGCACTGCACAGATTAGAGTCATGGCGGCATCGTTGCAGGCCGTATGTGTATCGCGGTAGTGAAAATTGGCCTCGGAAACTAGTTTCTGGAGATTAGCCAGGTTGTGATAGGTCCAGGAGCAAGTCTCGCGGCACAGCTGCTGTGTGTCGATAATGGAGACGACAGTGTCGAAGACGGCGGCATGCACGCCGAGGGTGCGGGAGAGCATGGCGAGATCACCGCTGAGGGCATGGCCCATGACAATGACAGGGCAGAAACCAAGTTCAGGGTATTCCGCGTCGAATGACCACTTGAAAATGCTTTCGAGCATCTTGGTGGCATCAGAAGAGTTGGCGAAACGGGTCTGTCCAAAGCAGTTCGAGTCCAGATCGCCTGGGCAGTACTTGATGTTTATCACATGGGCGTTCTCTTCAATTCGGGCATGGTAGAAGTAAACTTGCTTTAGCAAGCTGTCGCCATGCATTCCCGGGCTCTTAAAGGTGCGCATGTCGCGCAAGTCGAAGGTCGCAATTCCAATCTCGGTCAGCTTGTCGTGGTCACGCACCCAGCTCTCGGTGCCGAAGCAGACGACGATCATGTTGTCAGCCAGCTTGGGAAAGTCTACCATGTTGTTAAGACCAAGAGAATGTGCAAAGACGTCATCTCTGAGTCTGTGCGAGAGGACTGCTTTGAGCTATTCAAGTGGAGTTGGGGGTGATCTTCTTCTCTATTATGACTAATAAGTCTCGCTTTAGATAATATAGTTAGTTACTTTATGAGGCATAGATATTATCTACGTAGTCTTGGAGTCTTAGAATACTCTGCCTCTCTATAATATATTTTCTGTAAAATTAATATTATAGTGCAATGTCTCAAAGCTATTTGTCGTACTTATCTTTTAGAGGCTTGCAGTTTTAGAGGCTAATTCTCCCGCCTATTTTAAGTTAGGCAGTTACAGTAGAAAGGCGAACCCTGCAGTAATAATTACAATGCACTGCCCGAAATAACACTTAATGCATACAGAAAAATCTTTGAATTACTAGATATCCTAGTAACAGATCCATCGTGCCCGCTCCCGCTCAAACTTCCACATTCTTCTGAATTGCTTCAAGAGGATTTGCTAGTCCCTTAGCGACAAATCAGTAAATTTATATTCGAGTAACTTACATATTAGAATTTACCTTTTTGAGTGTGGAGAGTTATGCCTTTGCCTTCATAGCAAGGAATTGCCCCGCAACACCCCAACCAAGGACCATAGGATTAAATCTGTGCGGATATTTTTTTATCATGATAGAGTAGAGTTCCTCGAAATTGTGCGGCTTGGTCTCTAAAGCCTTCGTGAAGTCTCGGATGTACTCTTTTGTATTTTCAAGGTGCCACACTCCATGCATTTCGGTTGCATTCTGATGGCCGCAGACGACATACATAGGATCGAGCGCTTCAATCTTTTCAATTGCTCGAATCCATTCATCTCGCTTCTCCTGTGTGTTGGCTTCGAAGAGCATCTGGTGAACATCTCCGTACACAACGTCACCGCAGACCGCGAGCTTCAAGGCTGGAACCCACAAGATTGTTGTGTCATATGTATCAGAATGACCACACTCAACTGCCTCGAACTCCCAAACACCCTCTAGGAAAAACTTCTGGTTGTCTGGCAGCGGGTTTGCCAATTGAGGTGGTCGGTAAAGTTGATCCCCGGGGAAGAAGGCCAGCCAAGTCTTGGTGAAAAATGGTTCTGCGATAGCGTCCTTCATGTGTTGAATGGTGCCTCTTGTTGCAAGCGGGATGGCCTCTGGAAAGCGTTGTAGCAGCTGAGGAATGCCTAAAAAATGGTCTGGATGGCCATGCGTAATGTAAATGTAGGAGAGCTTGCGCCCCGGAGCGGTCTTTTCGATCCACTGGATTAGATCTTTGTTCTGGTCGATAGTGATAGCTGTGTCGACAAGAACCGCCTCACTCTCTGAGTAAATTAGTGTGCATGATTCTGGAGACCAGGTTGTGTTGGGCTGTCCAGATACGTGATCAACGCATGGAATCGGAGGTGCGGTATACACGGCTACGCGAAGTCCTGGCATATTCGGCTTCCGAGAAATAAAAAAGACGATGAGAAGAAGTAAGGGATGATGTGTTGCGTGACTGAAAGATGCGAATTTATTGCCTTCTATCAGTGTGGACTGTCGGCGAGGTAGTTAGTAATCCTTTAAAAGTGTTTTCTCTTCGCCGGTATAGATCCGCATCGATATCTTGGCCGTTCCGGTATAGTGTACCTATCCCAATATTCTAATGTCCGATGACGTGACGCTGTCCGTCAGGCCGCCGTAAACCAAGGGAACCCAGCTCGACTGAAACCGAGGGCCGAGGCTACATAAATGTGCGTTGCGGCCGATTACTTTATATCGCCAATCTTATGGGACAATAAATCCTCCGAGAGTGTATACGTATATACTTTTGTTTTCTGATACGGCTAGGCACCCTAAGGGTACGGCCGGCGCTGCGTTGCAAGACATCGATTACTCATAGTACCGCCGAGGTGTTAATTCGTCTGCAATACTAATCAACTAGATGCCGAGGACTCCTTCATAATCAATTATTTTCAAAGTATCCTATTTGCATTAGCGCATTCGTCAAGGTTCATCAGGCATTTCAAACAATCATTAAACCCAATCCAGCGGCGCTATTCGCATCCCCGCCCTGATTGACTTTCTGGGTAACGTTATGATTAAATCCATTATCTTGGGTTAAATGTATGTAATCTATTGCTTGCACAATCCTACACAGCCTATTGCAGTGATTTAAGGTAAAGAGGGCATCGATTAACGTAGACACTAATCACATAAACAAAAGACTGACTCGGGCGGAATAGGAGATTTTGATCAGTAATGTTTTGTCTGAGGAACCCGGCCTAATTCTGTTCTTGACTTGCGGAGTACAAGAAGCTGCTAAGTTCTATAATTCTATTGCACTCTCGAGCTATAAAGCCACCTTGCCGTTCAAACCAAGGTACAGCAATCCTTTCTGAACAGCTTGATTTCCTAGAAAGAGTTTTTTGCTTACAGAAAAGTACCGCTACTATGCCTGACTGGAGAATTTACTATCCCTCCGGTACCTTCACAGAACCTGAAGAGAGAGAAAAGCTCTCGCAGGATATCACCTCGATATACACCCGCTATGGACTCCCTGCTTTCTATGTGGTTGTCCTCTTCATTGAGATGCCTGCAGCTACTATTTTTCGAGCCGGACTCCCATGCGTAAGTCTCACCAGGACTTTATTGCTGCTCATATTCTGATCATATATACTGGGAAGCCAATGAAAGGAAAGAAGCCTTTCATCAGGCTTACATTCAGCCACATCGCCAGGCGCTTCCCTCCCGGCGAGAGCCCTGTGAGAACTCGTTTCATGAAACTCGTCCACGAGGCCTTGAAGCCACATATTGCAGACAGGGGTTACGATTGGGAAGTCAATGGCGAGGAGCTCGAACGAGAGTTTGTACATATCAATGGTTTGAGAATCCCCCCTACCGACTCCGAGGATGAGAAAAGGTGGTTCCGCGACAATGAGCCGTCACCTTGGGGCCCTTATCTCAAACAAAAGCTCTAAAGTTGTTCGTTTGCGAGATTGAGGCCCTCGATACTGTAGAAATAGGAACGTGCACTCTAAGAAGTTGCCCCATCATCCTTTACAATGATAGTAGAGCTACTTTCGAGTATTTGCGATCTATCGAAGATTGCGAAGAGGCTGTACTGTGCAGAAATTTGCTCCAAATTCAATAGTCTAAAATTCATCAACATCTGTCTAGAAGTTATTAAGATACAAGGCTCTGGAGTTAGTTAGAGTAGTTTTGATATTCTAACGTAATTGCATAGCGAGCAGATTAGCTAACTAAGTAGACTGCTCTCATAAGCTATTAAGCTCTCTTCAAACCTTAGTAGACTGACTGCTTTACCTTGAATTTCTCTTAAAGAAAAATATAATTAAGCAGTCGATACGTTGATAAACGACATGTTGAACTGGACGGTAATTGAAAATGATGAAGCAACTTCATCAGAATCAGTTCTGACCTCACGACGAAACACCAGAGGAGACGTTAGACCCTAGCTAGCCGAGTGGAGAAACAAACAAAGATCAAAGGAAGAAGATACTGTTCATCATTTACACTTTAAGTCCCTCTGTCTTCACCTCTCCATCCTCCTCTCAACATCGTCCCCTTATAGCCCATCAAACTCTCTCTCTCACTCGCACAAAAAACCAAGCGAACTTTATCGTAACGAGCGTGAATTCATAGTGTCCCTTTTCTATTATATATACACATTTCCCATACCCAATTCCTAGTACCCGATCATTACCATCGAAGAAAGTGCCTCCTACCCATCGAAGCCCAGAGTCTCTATAGAAGTTCTTCAGTAGACATCTAGTCCTCCTCCTGAGCATCGGCGGCGGCAGAGTCGGCGGCGCCGGCTGCGCTGCCTTGCTTCTGGGCTCCGCCATTGGCTCCGTTGGCAGCGTTCGCACCGTTGGCAGCGTTGGCTCCATTGGCAGCGTTTGCACCGTTGGCGGCATTTGCACCGTTGGCAGCGTTGGCTCCGTTGGCAGCGTTGGCTCCGTTGGCTCCGCGTTGGCTCCGTTGGCAGCGTTGGCTCCGTTGGCAGCGTTGGCTCCGTTGGCAGCGTTCGCACCGTTGGCGGCATTTGCACCGTTGGCAGCGTTGGCAGCGTTTCCAGCGTTGGCACCGTTGGCAGCATTTGCCGCACCGTTGGCGTTGTTGGCAGCATTTCCAGCGTTGGCGTTGTTGGCAGCGTTTCCAGCATTGGCGTTGTTGGCAGCGTTGTTACCAGCATTCGCTCCAGCACCAGCTCCAGCACCGTTACCCTTAGCCTTGCCAGCGTTGGCTGCACCGTTTCCAGCATTGGCGGCGTTTCCAGCGTTGGCAGCGCCGTTGCCTTGATATTGTCAGCCGGATCATCCTTGAGAAATTTGAAGTCATGCTTACCGGCGCCAGCTGCAGCTCCTGCGCCGTTGCCCTTGGCCTTGCCTGCGTTTGCGGCACCGTTTCCTTCAAGTTGTCAGCTCAATCCCGTTTGGTATCCAGGAATGGGATCATGCTTACCGGCGCCAGCTGCAGCTCCTGCGCCGTTGCCCTTGGCCTTGCCTGCGTTTGCGGCACCGTTTCCTTCAAGTTGTCAGCTCAATCCCGTTTGGTATCCAGGAATGGGATCATGCTTACCAGCTCCAGCAGCAGCTCCCGCACCGTTGCCCTTGGCTTTGCCAGCGTTCGCGGCAGCACCATTGCCCTTGGCCTTGCCGCCAGCCAGGTTTGCGGCTCCGTTTCCTGCCGCGGCGTTTCCAGCAGCGGCAGTGCCGTTGTTTGCTGCACCACCAGCAACCGCACCCTGTTGATATCAGTTAAATGATATAGTTCATGAAGTAATGTATACTTACAGCTCCAGCACCGGCACCAGCAGCTCCCTTGGCCTGACCCTTGGCCTTGCCGTTCGCAGCGTTGCCAGCACCGGCGGCTGCGCCAGCATTTGCACCGTTGCCCTTGGCTTTACCGTTCGCTGCTGCGTTTCCGGCTCCAGCGGCGTTTCCAGCTCCAGCGGCATTTCCGGCTCCAGCAGCGTTGGCGTTGCCTCCAGCGCCGCCGAGGAGAGCAGCGAGGCCGCCAGCACCACCAGCGCCTGCACCAGCACCTGCAGCACCAGCGTCTCCCTTGCCGCCGAGAAGGCCGCCTAGGAGCTGGTCGAGCTGTCGCTTGTTGTTGGCCTTCTCTGAGACCATGCGGCGCACAGAGGCGGCGTATTCTGCTGGCAATTTGTTGCCAGTTGTGTCGACATAGCGCCTGGCAACACCGTCATATGGAGCCGGAGCCGCGACGGCCGCAGCAGCCAATGTGGCGAGAATGATGGATGTGTCGAACTTCATGTTGAAGAAATGTGTGTATATAGAGAAGTGTTTTAAAGGTAAACTGCCGGCAGTGATGTTCAAGTAAGAAGGAAGGTAAGAATATAGAAGCCGGCTAGCAGCAACGGAAGAAGAGAAGAACGGAAGAAAAGAGACTTAGGAGACAAGTTGCTTCAAAGTGACTCGATCGGATGGGATATCGATTCCAAGACTCGCATGCCCTTTCATCATATATACCTCCACAAGAAAACAAACGGACCGATCCTGGTAACAGACGGCTGACGCGTTCTGGACCGATCGACGGTTCATCGCGGGGTGTGCTACTCAGGCACAATGGTGTTGCTACACGAGCCGCCGGCACGTCAGGGCTCTGTAACCAAGAGTGTTGTGAGATAGAAACGATGCTTGGTGTTTTGGGACTCCACACGTTTCTTATTTGTGGGTGGGTCTGGGGAGTGTGCAGTGGAGCTACACTACTGTTATGTAATTCTCCGCCAGCAAAAGTCCAGGCTTTGTCCTAGTTGGAATTTCTACGCGGGTCCGGGGTTTCGCTACGAGTAGTTCTCCGCTCGAGAGACTGGTTTGATGTGCGCGTTGGTGGTGTTGATCGCTTTTCGTTAAGTGTTTCACATTCGCTTCCACAACTTCACTTTTACAAAAGTTCCACTCGGCCTATGTCCCTCCGCGCAGTCGCAGCATCTCAAGATTTGTTAGAACCATCAATAGAAGCGATCGTCCAAAGTCCCCAATATTTCTCTTTCGAGGATGACAATTGCGAAGGCGTGCTGCTGCCCCAGTCGACCCTCTCACCGTTTCGGTTTCGCATCCCGTGAAACGGCAGCGCGGCGTCCATGCCGTACGAACAAAACTTGCGCGGCAGCGTTTTGAAACCAAGGCTTTGCGTTCGCATCGCAACAGAACGTGTAAGAGGCATTATTTGACATGTCGCAGCTGCATTGCGTGCTCTGGTTCGAGACTCTGAGTGGTGGATGGTGCAAGAATGAGGTTGAGGGAAGGTTAAAACTTAGCGCGCCGCTAGTGGGAAGGCTAATCCGTTGCTTAATGGCAGCATGATGAAGACAGTTTGGTGACATGAGGCTGCTCAATGGTATTCACATGTTATGAGCTTCACATTTATTTATATGACAGCACTATGCTATGCTATGCTATGCTATGCTCCATCGCCCCATGATCGCTATGCACAAATCGCACTTCTAAATGTCTATAATATGCACACAGAAAGGATGGCGAAATCTTCATCACTTCCGCCTTGAATGCCCGGTAACGAGCAGTTCTCCAGTTCCAACTTCGACCTTCCACCCATCGCTGATAAGCGTCTTCAGCACCGCAGGCGTCAACTTTCCTCGTCCGCCTTCGCTATGGCGTCCAAGACCTGTGACTATTCTATAGCCCTCGCCGACGCCGCCACGAGCATTACCCCATTCGCGGATTCTGCGCTCACCAAGACTGTCCCACCACACTTGTGTGCGCTGCTTCGCGATACGCGTCGCATCTGCAACAGTAACACCATGCAAGTCGAGGTACGTGGTTCCAGACTGCGCAGCGACAAATGAGTCGGCCTCGACCTGGCTCATAGCCTTCAAATTGGCGTTGTAGTTGCGACCCTCTTGCGCGTAGTAGCCCGCTGCCTGTCGCATGAGAGGAGTCGACTTACCCTTGCGATATGCGGCCGACGCTTGCTGGAAGGCATCGCCGCGTGCGCGAGCCAGCGATGTAGAGTCGTGGAAACGTGCAGAGGGCGCAAGAACCGGTAGTCGTGGTGATGCAGGCTCTTCCTCGGCCAGATTGACCGGCGCATAACGCAAATCGAGCTTGATGCCTCCTTTTCCTCCGGTTTCGCTTGCAGGCACTTCCATGAGCGCTTTCGCAAGATCGTGGGCCTTCGTGACCGAAGGATCTGTGAGTCTCACAAGTGCCAGAGCATACTCTAGATCGATATTGGGGAAAGCTTCATTGAGCCCAATGGCGTCTTGCACAAGGGCTGCATCGGGCTCTCCGTCTTTTTTATGGGCCTGTATCTCCTTCCGCACGAGGGCAAGCACGGTCGCCGACAGCGACGCGCCATTGGCGTGGTATATGGACGCTACAGTCTTATGGCCTAAGTTCGTACGTGAAGTGATGTATCCAACGTCACGACTCGTGTTTGCCCAGTGATTGGTGATAGGCGACATGGGCTCGGAATCGGACGTGTTGGCTGAGCTCAGACTGCTCAAGGCCAGCTTTTGCCTCTTCTTGTTCTTACCTTTCTTGCTGCGCTGAGGCACATGGTAGTCCTCGGAGAAAGCATCAATACCCTTAGCGACTGAACCCTCCTCCATCGGACTTGCCCTGGAGTCCTCGAAAAAGACGTGGTTGAGCAGCTCGTCTGTTGCCTTGTCTAGGTCGTCTCCGCACTTCTTCAGCGTGTATGCAATGAGATCCAGACGCAGACTTGGGAACGTTTCCGCAAGCACGTTCTCCTTCTTCGGCGTAGTGTATTGTTCAACATCCTTCCAGTATCCGCCGTCCGGAAGACCTTCTGAGCTGGAGCCCGATTTCCCGTCCAGGCTCATTGCAGCGAGCTCGCTGGAGATATGCGAGTGGTCGGTCAGGGTCGTTTGCGTTGCCCATGTATCGGCGTTCGAGTCGGCATCGTTGCTGCGTTTGCCAGGGCTCTCGTGGAGTCCACTACTGTTACCCGACGCATCGAAGTCGGTGAGCTGTTCAGCCGTGGCTGTTTCTTTGAAGATGTCGAGTATCTGTCTGGCCTGGCCAATAGCGTCTGGCTGGCCAGCGTAATCGGATAGGATAGCAGAAACGAGGGCGGGGTCCACTGGAGGACAGTATTCCTCCTGTAGGTCTTGCTGTGAGCGCAGTTGTGTAACCGTTTTGCACCCCTTACGTACCTCTAGGATGCGGAGATCTTCATCCATTTTTGATCTTGTAGGGCTGTCTTCTGCGAATGCGCATGTACAACACTTGCATACTCGATTTGGGATGAAATGTAGATGGGTAGTCGCCGATACAATTGCTTGCGCAAATGGAATGACGGGGAAGATTGCGGTCGAAAGTTTGCGCGCGATGTACGTTGCCTATTGCAGAGTCGTACGCGTACGTGCGATGTTGTGGTACAAAGAGGCGCGTGATAGCGGTGGAGGGGCGAGAGATTGCCGAGCTTGGCGCGTTGAGGGCCGACGCACTCCGAGACTGCTCAGTGCAGTGTCATCTCAATGCAGGTACGTAGCGGAGTGTTGCGAGTAGCATGCGATGTTTCTTCTTCATGTACAGATTCACGAAGAATAGGCTTTGGCTGGATGCCAGACGTCATCCCGAACCAGCGCGTCATGCACAGATCGAGCGGGCGCTAACAAATATCGATCCGCCTTGACTGCAACCGGCGTCGTCCCGACCAACACCAGCACAACCATTTTCGATCTACCTTAACATCTTCTCACGGCAAAAAACTGTTTATTGGGCGTACCCTTGATGCTACCACGACGTCACGAAGTGAGCGGCACGGTCACCCTCGCGAACCGCCGATCAGTTCCTTTGCTTTAGGCCCCCAACTTTTTGACCAACCAAAGATTGATAGCTTGTCCACCGTGGTTTACGCCCTGTGAATGTCTCCACAATTCGGGCCATATCTAAGTATAGAGACAATTGAGTGCGATGCTGTGCCTCTCACAAGTGCTACAAGATGCACACAGTCCCGTTCCTTCCAACTCTCTTCTTCTATCCACATCTTACTTTTTGAACGCGCGCACACCAATTCGTTCTTGTCTGCATCATTTTCTTCACAGGCATCGATCTTCTTTTCACAATATCTTACCATTTCATCAATTTGCCATCGAATATCGCGGAACACATCACCGCTTCGACAAATTCAACATGCCTCCCCACCACCTCTCCCGCCGCGCCCAAGTCACCGTCACAGGCTGGGCCGGCATCCTAATAATCGTCATCGTCGTGTGCGCCGTCCTATTCTGCACCGTCGCGCTCTTCTGCATCTTCAAGAACAAGCGAGCACGCCGCCAGCGCGAGCGAAAACTCATTGCCGAGCAACACACAGGGTCGCCGGCATACAAAGCGCAGCCACAACACGTGCACGAGTATCGAGCGGTTGCAAATGATCCTAATGAGGTGGAGTTGGAGACTAGAGGGCCTGTTGAGCTACATGGCGAAAGAGATGGGAGGACGGAGCCGCAACAGTTGGATGGGTTTGCGGCGCCGGCAATGGAGGCATATGATGGCAGACCAGTGGAGATGCCGGTGCAGACAGCGACACGTTAGATGGAGCTAGCATATTGGAGCTATAGGAAATATATTGATAGCGTAAGCTAATTTTCCTCCATGACTATACTCCCGACTTTCTGACCTTCCACGAAGACGTACAAATTTTCCAAGAGCCTGCTTATCCGAAGTACTTTTCGACCACGTGTTGATAACATCCGTCTTGGCCTCTCAGCCTTGTCTTCATGCCAGGTGGAAGGCGATGCTTCTCGGTGTGTTGCATCGAGTTTTGTTCAAGACGGCGTCTCTACCACGCACCCTTACCGATACGACCTCCTCCACCAATCTTCCCACGATAACCGCCTCTGGTACAAGAAATATTTCTGTCGTACGAGGACTTCCAGCTACCTTTGTACTTGCGCCTGATTTCAGCGTACGCACACTCGACAATCTTGTACAGTCACCTAGGCAACACTTCACCTTGGAGCTCGTAGCGTCAAGTCATATCAGTGAGGTATCTGTTTACTCGAACGGATTCAAGATGCTGTCGCGTGAAGTAGAATCGTGGAATTGATTGCCCAGGTGGACGGTGTGCGGCGTCGCGTGATTCACTTTACTACAATTCGACCTGTCCACGTCTCGTGTCCCACCCTGCACATCCAAACAACACATCGGTGACAAATATCAACTGCACACCCATTGTAATAACCCTTCTGCCCTCCTTACCCTCATTTCTCCCATCCATCCTCCCAGAACAACCATGAACAGCACTTCAGACTTCCTGGCCCTCCCTACATCCCTCTTCCGCGGCGCAACAAACGCACTCCCAAGGTTCTCATTCGTCCAAGTGCCACACATCAAGCCCGAGGCCGAGCACCAAGCCCTCGTCCTCTTCGACATGGTCAAGATAGGCCTGGCGTACCGGGAAGGCTGGCGCGACGGTAGGAAGAACAGTTCAGCTAGAGAAGCAGTACGAGAGCCCGACAAGAAATCTCGGGAGAAAACGCGAAAAAACAAAACAAAGGGCAGCAGAGTCATCGGACGAGGAAAATACACCATAGTTTTCCAGTGATGCACTAGCTCCAAACTCTCCACCACCCCATAAATAGCATAGGAATAGCAAAAAGAACAGTCTGCCCCTGCCTTGGGCAGAGAATTTCATCTACGTCTTGTCTCGTAACTTGCAAGTACCTAGCGCGCACTTGGAAGTCTCCAAGGTGATGATATCACAGTGTTATGACAGTCGATATTCAGAATTGTGACATGGCTTTTTACTACGACTATCTCGTGTTTGCTCTGGCAGAAATCAACATGGGAAGGAGAGAATGGTGTTAAGCCTCGGCCTCGTTATACGCACTAGCTGTTCAAAGTGGCCATTAATGAATGCTCGTAGATTGTGTAATTATAATGGATTAAATGCTTGCAACGTGCAGTAACATTCATTCCAAGACAATTGTGCACATACCAACACCAGACCATACTTTAAGTTTGTAGAGGATTGGATATACGTTCTATATGTGTGCTATATACAAGCCACCAAAAGATTCCATCATTATAAACTTGCAGACATCATCATTCTCATTTCCAACACATCTCGCTCATACCCAAACAACAAAAAGATGCATGGCAAAATCAAACGCCAGACTCAAATGCACAAAAAAAAAATCGCTTTCAAACGACAGTACAATACAACACATCACCTCCATCACTAGTAATACTCCTCCAACCCACTAAAACTATCATACGTGTTCCCATCAGGACACTTCCAATCGCGGTCGTACGCCTTCTTCGGGAGAATGCCCGCCTCCAGCCCGCGCCTATAACTCCACTGCGTCGCCTTCTCCGTCTCCCACGTCCAATAGAACCAGCCCCAGCCGGCCTCAAAGCTGTCCATTTGCGCAATGGCGAACTGGTACAGCCACTTCTTGTAGCCGTCGGAGTAATTTGCCGGGTCTTCGTTGGCCTTGGTGCAGCTGCAGGCGGCCGTTTTGAGCGGGCATTGCGGCGCGAGGACGGATGTGGATGCGTTGCCCGTGTTGAAGGTGCCTTCCCAGCGCGTGCCGGTGGCGACGTTGTTGATGTATTGCGTGCAGTCTGTGTCGGCTTGGGACCACTCTCCACACATTGTAGGGCCGAAGCCTGTGGCCTTGTCCATGGAGCGCTTGGATTGTTGGGTCCAGGCTTTGCAGGCGAAGTTGAGTTTGTCAGTGTGCTTGAGGCTGAGCTGGTCGATATTGAAGATGACGTATTGGTGCACGTCGAGGAGGAGATCTTTGTTGTCTTGGAGCTTGCCTTGCCAGTTGTCTAGGCCCATGAAACCGTCGCCGAAAACGATGATGGCAGTGATGCCGTCGGAGCGGATCTGGGTTACGGCTTTTTGGGTCCAGGCGACGACTTTGTCCGTGTCCAGTTCGACGTTGCGCGGCTCGTTGACCAGGCCGTACATTGTTACGAGGTTCTTGTAGCGCGGCTGGGCGAAGAAGACGGAGAGTTTGTGGTGGATATCAAGGGTACGTTGGGCGTTCAAATCACCGTCTGGGCCATTGAGCCATCCTATTTTGCCCTGGCGACCAGAATGGTTCCATCCGTTTTGACTCCCTGGAGCGCCGTGCAGATCGAGGTTAACGCGCAGTCCGTTTTGCCGACAGTATTCGATGCCGCGGAGCAGGTAGCGCCATGAAACCTGAGCGACATAGGGCTCGTCGCCAAAGTTCTGTACTATCCAGTAGCCAAAGGGGAAGCGGACATGGTCCATGCCAGCGGCGCGAATATCTGAGAAAGTCTTCTTGGTGATGAAAGTGGCGTAGTGTTTCTCCATGGTGTCCTTCGCTCGCGAACCGAGTTTGGTCATGAGCGTCCACTCGTCTACAATACCCTCTTTCGAACCGTAGTTCTCGAAGAAGGACGGCGTGATGAAAGGCTCGATATTGAGCCAGCCACCCACATTGACACCGCGGATTGGCATCTTGCCGTACTCGAATTTGTCTTGCAGGTTTGGGACCTTTGGATTTGCCTGGACATCGTCGTCCCACGAGTCATGGAGGCCGATGATGGGCAGTCCGCCAACCGTCTCTTTGGTATATGTGACGTTGAAGTCCATAGTATCATACCATGACCACGGATCGTAGTATGTCCCCCGGTCTTCTTGCGGAACGCTGTTGCGATCCTTGCCCTCTAGATTGCTGGTGTTTGGTTGTGTGTCCGCGGCAGCGCCGCCCGAAGAACTGTTATTGCCACTGCTCTTCTTCGACAACATGACTGCCACGGGGATGATGATGGCAAGAAGTAATAGAACCGCAATCACCGCGATGGCTATCTTTTTCCACTTCTTCCTCTTCGCGAGTTGTTCTTCCGAGTAGACTGTCGGCGACCTGCCGCCTCCGCCTCGCTTCTCCATCATGTATTGGTATTCATCGTCGTCTACTCCGCCTTCTTCAGCTAGTGGCCCGCTGATGACACGCCGCTTCTTCTGCTCCGTCCTGTGTTGCTTCTCCTGTCGTCTACGCTCTCTCTTCTGATCAATCTCAGATGCCGTGTATTTTGCCTCCTGTCTGCGTCTCCTCTCTTCCCTCTCATCGTCGGTATGTGCACTCCTCCTCTTCTCTCGCTCATCAACGGGCGGAACAAGTGGCTGTTGGCTTTCTCTCTGCTTCCTCCTTTCCTCTCGCCTCCTCTTCGCCTTCTCTTCTTGCATCGCCGCATCCACCTCGGTAGCACGTCTCGCCTCCACTTCCATGTTTTCCTTCTTCTTTTCAGCGCGCTCTCGCTTCACCCGCTCCTTTTCCAGATCCTTCTCCTTCTTGCGCACCTCGCGCAGATACTCGTCGTCGTAGTCATATTGGCCCCACCCACCTGCTTTCTTCGCATTGACCTTGTCTAGCTTCGCCAGCGCATCGAGACTCAACTGCGCCGACTGACGACTCCGGCTGCCACTGCCATCTGTCGTAGAATTGCGCCGCGACTTGCGCGGGCTCGGGCTCTGTTTCGCCGAGTCGCTCTGTCGCCTCGGTCGTGGTAACAAATCCCCCGACGAATCAGTCGCGCGGTGTCCCTTTCTTCTCCGCCCGTCCTGCTCGTAAGGAGTGTTCTCGCCGCGGGATTCTCTGCGCCGTCTGCGCTCCGGGTCTTGGTCGCCGTGCGATTCTCGTCTGCGTCTTCGTTCTTCGCCGTGGGGGCGCCGCCGGGACGGGTCGCGCTCTGCGTCGCTGGGCATCTAGGTCGTGGAAAACGTGGCTGCCGAGGAATGTGGGAACGTCGACAGGTGGTAGATGGCGGTGTGGAACAGATAGCGATGCGAGGTAGCAATGCGGGGTAAAAATGCGCTCAAGTCTCGCTCAACACCAGGAAGCGACTGTACATGGACTCGTGAAGATGCGCGATAGTATGTACGACTTTGGTAGCGGGCATGTATGATCAACGGGTGAGGCTGCGGGTGTGCTAATGTTGCTATGGAGACGGTGTTGATTTCCTGCCTGACGTGGCCGAGCGTCTCGGCGCTAGTAGTGACCTTGGAACAGCATCTTGGAATCATGGCACTTGCGACGCATCGGCTGTGCCGGCACCTTGGAATCCTTGTCCAATCGAAATTTGACGTGAGTATTTGCATTGTTCGTCATCCTTTGCGTATTCTCCAAGAACTACCACCAACTCTGCCGCGGCCTGTTCCCACGTGTCTATCTACAATATTGAGGCAAGGAGTCAGCTGACTGCACACACGCAACATCAACAGAAAGTTGGTATGCTTTGACAGCTACTAGATACTGTTTCACCGCATGTACAGTACTGAGACAGCCAAAAAGGATAGTAAGAAAGAACACCCCAAAGATTGCGATCCATATAGTTGCGATTTGTGGCAAATTGCGGGTATCAAGCAATGTCTGAGCAACCGTTTCTGGAGGTCCATTCAGTAAGAGGAGTAACTGCGCAATATTTGAACGCCAGTATCTGAAGTCGTCGAGCTCAGTGGCGCGAGGCAGTCCAAATGGATGGGGCGCATGGAGCTGCACCTGCTCGGATGCGAGAAAATCGTCTGTCTCTGAGTGCCCAAATGGAAACAACAGATCGAGGGAGTGTATTGCTTCGTCCAAGATCTCCAATGGGATGATTGTTGGACCGGGCGCCTTTCGATGGTTGATGAGACAGATCTTCTGGCGATAGATGGACAAGCTTCGCTGGCCCCGTGTTCCTGCCAGCTTCAGATGGTCGGCCAGATTGTCCGTCCATCGGATCTGCAGACGACATATGCGTTTCAGGCTGACTGCATTGAACGACCCCTGGAGTGGCAAATCGATGGCAGCATTCTTGAGAGGAAACGGCTTGAACTCATCTGAGACTAGAGCTTCGAGAGTTTTGTTGTCGGGCCATTCGATGCGAGTGTTTCTCGAGTTGACAGGTCCTATGGAGATTTCTTTCGAGCTTATATGTATGCCGAGCCACATGCGAAGGCCCAGTTCGATCGATCGTTTGATTTCAGCATCTCCAGCATTGAAGTAGTTCGGTTTGATCTTTACGACGATCTCTTCCTTTGTAGATTTACGTTCTGTGGAGGAAGTTTCGACAATAGCGAGTAAGCTGGGCAAATCCTGCGCTGCGAACGCATTCGAACGAGGTTGCAGCTCTTGCAGAGACCTACTGATGAAGTCGAAGAAGGCTTGGTAAACTTCTGAGATGTAGTCTTCCTTTGTAAGTTTGAGTTGAGGCCAAAATACGTTGATAAGTTCAAGTTGCTTATCAACTCCTAACAAAACGACAGTGTTCCGTGGTAGCTTTGTGAATAAGCTTGACGTGAAAGGCATTGCTGACACGATATTCGCACTGAGAGACTGCCTTCAGCTTTTGAGCGACCCGTCTACTCTCTTGTAGAGTAACCAAAGTGCGGGGGCTGACTACTGAGGCTGTGTGAGTGAGGCTATGTCCGAAGCCTAGAAGGCGCCTCCTTCCAAGGTTGTGCTGCTAAGCGACGCCAGGTGTAGGTGTCCTTCTCTTTCCCCACCGCAGTATTGTTCTTCCACCAACTTCATGAACAACCAGCAAAAACAACCGGGGAAAATGCAGACCGCAAATACACTTTTGTAAGTTCGAAGTGCTGAGTCGTGAATCTCATTATGCTTAACTCAGAGCAGTCTCGATCTTCGTGACAGAGGTACCCTCGTGCAGCCCATGTCGCTTATTGATGCGAACACTGGATGTTCCCCCTTGACAGCACCACAACAACCTGAAAGTGTGCGCATCAGAGCTTCTATAGACAGCAAAGTGGTTTTCGAACCTCCCGTGGTGTCTGCTTGTCCATATGTGCAGTATCATCCCAGGCGCAGCAGCGTCCATAAGATAGACAAGTTTTATGTCGGCCTGCTGCGGGGGTTGCCACCACCCGATGATGTACAGGTGAAATGGAATACAGATGTCCGAACGGTCCTTGAAAATGATTTGTGTCAAGCGACAAGACAGCTTCCGCAACATATGACTGACGAAGAGGTCATGATCGAACTAGTTCTATGCATGGCTGGAAGGAAATGTTCGAGATCGGAAAGCGCACTGCTGATAGGGAATCAGCAGATCGAAAATCCACTAAGAATGAAACCGACAGTGTGGATACACTGCGGGAGCAAGAAATGCAAGAAGAAAGTGAGTCGATCTAAGAATGCCTGGCCGTAGGAAGTTAGCGGAGAACCTTCAGTCGAAAGTGGCCAACCTCAAAACTTCTTTCTAACACAGGTTAGGTCGATGAGACGATCAAAAACCTATCGTATCTCCACCAGTTCATTCGTAGATTCGATCTCGACCCTCCCCATTCTTCTTTGCACGCACCTAGGCCTGCAGCATCCGAGACCGCGCCAGAGACGTCTCCCCTAGATGATGGTCGTCAGATATTCTTCGATATTGAACGGGTAGATGATGGGGGCACGTTGTGCGGAGTGAAGACCCAATTTATAGTGAACTCTGGTGGTGTGACCACGACAATCTGCTCTACGATTGGTGGTGTGGTGACTGTAAACGACAAGCTGTACGCACTGACTACCGCTCATGGGATCGTCAACCATATCCTTAGTTTACAGCGTGGTTCAAGAAGGAACGACCCGAGAGACGCAAAGGGGAAAGAGGAAGAGGAAGAGGAAGAGGAAGGGGAAGAGGAAGGGGAAGAGGAAGGGGAAGAAGGATCGAGTGATTGCGAGTCAGAAGACTTATCGAGTAGCGGATCGGAGACAGCTCATCATTACTCAACACCAACGCCAGAAGCAGAAGCCAAGGACACTCCGTATACTCCTTCAGGCTTTTTAGATTGGGTGAGACTCCCACTTCCCAAGGTGCTGAAATATCTGCATCACGGGACAGCAGTCGGAGATTACTCGCTGCCAAACATGTCGACAGCATCAAGTCAAGCAGATTTTGTTCTCATCGATCTTGAAGCGGCAGGTTTACCTACACCTCTAAACATGATCGTTAGATACGGATGTCCGAGTTTTATTAATGATCACGTACCAGCATGGCATCTTGCGGAGGGTATGGTGGATATCCCCACGGGCAGATTTGGCCAAACCATTCAAGGGTATCTCCTCCAGGGCGACACTTCACTAATTTTGCGAGGGACTGTAATTCGCACAAGAAAGATCCAGGTAGATCGTGCCGGTGGTGAGTACCAATGTCCTGGAATGTCTCAGCATTCGCTAATTCCAACTGTAGCTGCAGGAATTTCCGGTTCTTGGGTCGTCAGGCACAACAGGCTTTGCGGAATCATATATGCAGCGTATGATGAAAGTCCGTACCTACACATGCTTCCAGCCGAGACGGTGTTCCAAGAAATTCACGCTATGATGCCTGGAAGTGGCGTCAGATTACCAACAGGCCCAAGTAACCTCTCCACTTCTCAGCAAGCATTTAGGCCAAAAGCTACTCCAAACAACGAGGAAGGACGCTTAGTAAACATATCAGCATCCTATGGACCGCCATTTCGCACGGATGATCTGTCGATCGCCTCGGAGAAGAGAAGTTTAGCACGGTGAATTTTGGGGAAAACAATCCTCTAGGCGCGATCAACTCGGTACCACATCGTGCCTCAATAACACTGCTAAAGAACCCACTATCTCTCTCTGCTCAGCAAGATTACAGCATGGATTCCAGGGGTCATCGATCATCATCGATCGAGCCAATGGAGCAAGATTGGTCACCTACCACGTGTCTACCTAGGATGGATCCGATAGCACCTTACGCCGCGAACCAAAGCGCACACTGTGACGTACCAGGCTCATCTGTCCCCCCGCAACCACAACGCTGCATTGCATGTTCTAAGCATTATGTGCCACCATCGTCTTGGGAAATTCCGTTTCGGAGTCCCAAACCACCCGCAAGGGATGCAAGGGACTTCTGGACTCGAGACCGCAAGGTAGGAGAAAAGTTTAAAAAAGATCATTACGAGCAATGGAAGCAGGAACATGAAAAGTGCTCAGCTCCACCGGCCGAGCACATCAACTTAGGCGTCTCTGAGATACCGTCGGGCGAGCGCAAGTTGGAGTCGCAACAAGAGGAAGCGGAAGAAAGCATGAAACGGTATTTCGATGGACTGGGATTAGGAGACGCTTTGGACTTTTCCCAATAAAGGGTGATCGCTTTTCAAAGCAAATATTTATCATGTAGTCTGCAGTCGCCCGATCAATTACCCTCTCCTAGATAGATAGCGCGAGAAGTGCAGACGCCCGATGGGAGTACGAAAGGAGACGAAGACTCCTTTTCTGTCAAATTGAGCTGCTGCTGGGACCGTCTTGTCTGACTGGAGTTGATGGGGCTGTCTAGAGATCAAATTCACATCCTACGCGCAGGCAGAGTTGTCAATCCGCAGTTTTAAAAAATCGATGATGCCATCGACCCTCACGCCCGACATTGTAATCTTCACCGAACACGCATAGAAGCCGTAATTTGCAACGCGAGGTCAGTGATCTGCAGTGTTGCGGTAATACACGCAAGCAAGGTTCCAGTGACAGGACCCTGCATATGACATCACAGCACGTGCAATTCCCACTTTCTTATCTCACAAACCACCAATCCTCAAGGTAGTGAAGAAACAATTTGCCTTTTTTTGATGCATGCAAGGGCATTTGGTATCTCTGTGGTATCGTTGCTAAGAATGACGAAAATATTAATGCAAAATGCCACCCGTTCCCAATGCGGGTGTTGGTATCTGTCCGCACTGGCGGGACCCGTGTCTCCTCCTAAGCCTTCCATGGCTTTTAGTGCTGCTCATGCCGCGTGGGGTCTGATAACCCAAGTCCGCGGAGATGGTAGGGTCGAATCGGCGGCGCGGCGCGGCATGTGGTAGAGTGTAGATGAAAATCCAAAATCGCTCGTACATGGTCCCCCGGCGTTATTCATGAGGTGGAAACGGCTAGTGATGAGCCGGCAGCGTCGGTGGAAGCTGGCTCTTTGCCCTTGTCGCTCTTCTTCTCGTCGTCGCTGTAGAGACCATGCTCGTAGATGTAGTCGACGACCTGGTCAGGGATGTAGTAGCGGATGCTCTTGCCCCGCTTCCGGAAGAGGCGGATCTTGGTTGAGGATACGTCGTTCTGGATGAGTTGGGGAATGACCCGGATATGGTCGCGGAATTGCTGCAGGCTGACAAGCGCGTCGTCTGTTTCATGTTAGCTATGACGTGAGTAAAAACTGCTTGCCCGTCGTACCAATGTCTGTGCCGCTGCGCTCCAAGATGAATGCGCCGTAGTGGCCCAAGATCCGGTTGAGATCCTCTTGCGCCCAAAGCCCCGGTGTGCTCATGGTCTGGATCAGATCTGCGCCAGCGAGGAGCGCAACGTGGATGCGCTGCTTCTTGCCATTCACGTCCGGAATGCCGTCCATGACCTCGTTTAATTCGTGGTCGAAGTGGTCCAGGACCTTTACAGTTGGCAGGTACTCTTTGTGCAGCGGCTCCCACGGATCGACGCCAATCCAGGTCGAGCTGTCTTGTACGGCGATGCGCGTCATGTTGATCCGGTGCTGCGCAGATGCAAGTCCAGCCTTCTTGTATGCATCGCCGACGGGGCTGAAGAAGCCGCCAACGACTTCGTATTCAGTCTCAAATTCGCAGTAGTCTGCTGCTTCCTCGAACATGCGCAGGTGTAGGTTCGTAGGTGGGGAGAATGAGCCGCAAGATACCAAGACCAGCGGCTGCTTGTTGGGTTTTGACAGACTCTTCTTGAGTCTCTGTGAAGGGAAGGTGTAGTTTTCGAGTGTCATGTTTTCGGTGCCGCTCAGGCCAGCGTCGATGGGCATGTCGCGGTTGCTCGTGGAGCTCATGTTTGCGATGTGGGGGGTGCGGAGGAGGTGCGGAAGCGGCTGGAGAGGGGTAGAGCGCCCGTTGCAGATGGAGCGTGACAGGCGGGCAGGTCGCGTGCGGCGTTGTGGGGTTGGCAAGCTATTTCTATAGGGTTCGACGGAGCTGCGGAGAATGGTCAATTGGCGGCGGAGAGGAGTCATGAAGGTATAAGCTCACGGTCGGTCGGAAAGAAGCCCGCGGTAATGGTAGGGTACGCCTGCTCGCTAAGGTATGACGCGCGGGGGGGCCTTCGTCGGAGTTTGCCGAGGAAATTGCTTGCGGCGATGATTGTGAATCGCTGGAGTGTGAAAGAGAGGGAAAATAGGGCGAAAGGAAGAGAGGGCGGACGAGGATTTAGTAACAATTTGTAACCTGGGAACGATTTGTCTAGTCCAGGCTGCCGGCTACGTCCAAAGCAACTGGCCCCGCATTTCCACAACATGTCTCGACGCGATCCGCCACCAAAAGTCCGTAAAGCCCGGCGGCTCAGCTGCTGCACATAATCGTGCGTCGCCGTGCAGCTGAGACACTGCCGTGCCCTACCCGAGATCTCGCGGAATCCACTCAATGGGTCACGCTTCGTGCGAATTGGGCGAATTTTCGTTTCATTCACCTCATCTCGTCGCCCGTCAGAGCGTAAAATCGCTGAGCGCTGCTGACTGATGGGTGTCGCATGCTCGCTCTAGGCACGCCATCGGCCTCCCCACGAGACGTGCGAGTTCGGCCTTGTGCCGCCGTTGGGGGTGCATGGACTAAACACGGCCGCGGCTCGCTCGATATCGAATTGGCTCATCGCGTGGGAGCCAAGGCGGAGACAGCCGCAGTGGAGGATTGTAACATCTTTACCACTCTCTTGTAAGCGACCTTGGAATGGTCTGATTTGAAAGTGCCGCACTTTGCCATGAGTTTTGAAGGAACCGCATGGACCTGCACATGGCATTCTCGAATGTCTGGTGAAACAGACGGCTTGGAGCATGGCTGCTTTACTGGCAGATGTAGAGCGGTACGGTACGTAGTAATTGTGGAATCAGTCCAGTGCGCATGGTTGCGTGATGTTCGCTTGCTGTTGCTGCATTCAATGGATATGGCTCCTGCGAAGTGGCAGCGCGAGCAGAGAGAGTTGTATCTGCACTTGTTTGAATCAATCAAATACATCGGTCATCTGCGGCCGCTAGATGAGCATTCGTGAGAAGACTGTCTGCGCATCTGCAAGGACGCTCGGGGACTAGTTCTGCAACTCGCTGCTTAAGACGATGGTCACTGAGCTGAATTATCTTGCTGCATGCGGAGTGATTTTCGCATAGCTTCAGGACAGAGGCGTATACTCCACGTTTTACTTTAGAAAGACACGACAGAAGTGTGATTGCGGAAGACTTGACACCGATGACGGCCTGCAGTTCTGACGCTGGATGTTCGTTTGACATGACTTGAGACGGTACCTAGATGGCGCCATCCGGACCGCGTCAACGGCAACTGTGTCAACGGCTGCGAGAGTCTGCAAATACGAGCATCGAAGCGAATGAGTTTATGACATCAGAGAAAGTTGTTGTAGAACTACCAGCAGGCGGCGCCCATGTGAACGGCAGGCGCGTTGGTTATCGATAAGGGCAGAAAGCACGATCCATGTCCTTCTCCACGCGCTCCGACTCTACAACACCACCCTCGCCCGTCCAAACCCATTCACTCACATAACACCCATTTTTCTACACGTAATCAGCACACTACACGACTAGCACACTCATTTGCCTGCCTCCACTGCAGTCTCTCACTTTGACCACACTAGCTTCCCGTCTTTGGCAACCTCATGATGCACGGCCTTCATGACCGCTCATAAAAGCTCCAACCTTGATAGGTACGCCCTGCCCGCTTCCTCATCTCCGCCGCAGTACAACCGCCCCCATCACATCATAGCACGCCCCAACTACTGCGGCTCTCAACCCTCTCTTACTCTGTTTCTCTGGTACAGCGCTGCGACACCCGCCAACGGGGCCACAGACTGACCGCACTCTCGATTGTCGATTTATCACGCGCACATTCAGAACACAATCTCATGTCGTCCAGAGTGACCCGCTCCGCCGCAAGGCGATCCACAGGCTCCGCCGACGACAACACGCCCAACCCCAATCCCCCACCTCCACCACCTCCACCACCGCCTACCCGCGCGCCTGCCTCAAATCGTAAGAGGAAGACCGCTCCGCCCAGCTCAAGCCCGGAGCCGGAAGCAGAGCAAGAGGAAGAAGCACCTGCTCGAAGCAGCCGTGCTAAGCGCACCAAAGTCGACTCTCAGAAGAAGCACGCTCGCTCGAAGAAGGCCAAGGGCAAAGCCGCCATGTCTGCCGCCGAGTCTGTGCCAACAGCCCCGCAAGAGGACGTCAGACTGACATCAGACAGCCAATCGAACAATCCTACAGACGAGAAGATGAGCACGCCACAGCCCTCATCGGCACGACGAAAGGGCGCCCGCAAGAACGACGGCTCGCGGCGGAACCCCAAAACGCCCGGCAACGACGCCGACCCCGACGCTCCTTCCACATCGCTACGAAGCTCACGCAAGGCAAACAATGCCGAGGAAGACACCGCCATGGAGGATGCGCCAGAAGAGCAAGAAGACGAGACACGGCCTCCAGGCGAGGACAGCGATGAAGACGACGAGGAAGGTCCTGGTGGTCGCTATGATGAGGATGACGATGAGGATGATGACGACGACGACGATCCGTTCTCGTCAGGCTTCCTTGGTCGTAATCCACACAGTCTTGCAGCTCTGCGGCAGCTGACAGGCATGATGTCAGGCACCACCCAGCGGCTGCGAGGCATCCTAGAGCAACTTCGATCGGTGGACGTCACAATGCAGCTAGTAGCTCTGCAAGAACTGTCTGAAGTGCTTCTCATTTCTACCGAAGACAACCTGGCTGGCCATCTTCGCCCCCGATGCGTACGTGAAGGAACTGGTCAAGCTCATGCAGCCGAACGAATTTACAGGCGAAGAGAATCCCGAGGTCATGCTCCTCGCATGTCGTTGCCTCGCCAACCTGATGGAGGCTCTCCCAGCGGCGACGGCAAACATCGTCTATGGAGGCGCTGTGCCAGTCTTGTGCTCCAAGCTGTTGGAGATTGGCTTTATTGATCTGGCTGAGCAGTGTCTAAGCACTCTGGAGAAGATCTCTGTCGAGTTTCCTTCATCGATCGTACGCGAGGGTGGCCTGACGGCGTGCCTCACGTTTCTCGACTTCTTCGCAACGAGCACGCAGCGCACGGCAGTCACGACTGCTGCCAACTGCTGCCGCAACATTCCTGAGGACTCTTTCCCGACCGTCCGCGACGTAATGCCTGTGCTCGAGAACATCTTGAACAACAACAGCGATCAGAAGGTGGTGGAGCAAGCCTGTATCTGCGTTTCACGTATTGTACAGAGCTTCCGGCATCAGGAGAGCAAGCTTGAAGAGCTTGTCAGCAAAGGGCTGCTCAAGGCTATTCTGCGATTACTGCTGCCTGGATCCACCAATATGATTGGTCACAATATCCACACCCAGTTCCTTCAAGTGCTTGCATACACTGCGAAAGCCAGTCCAACGCTGTCCGCTGAGCTCTTGAAAATGAACGTTGTGGATACCCTGTACCAGATTCTCACAGGAGTTTCGCCTCCATCGGGTGCCGAAGACGTTGCAGCCAAGATCGACTCTGTGGTCATCATGCAGGCGCTTATCCACCGACCCAAGGACCAAGTGTACGAGACTCTGAACGTCATCTGCGAACTTCTCCCAGATGTACCCAAGGATGGCCTGCTCTACCTCGACGACCTCAGAGATGCCGGGTACCCCGGCAATGAACCCCAGCCGCTGTCTACTGAGAACAAGCAAACGTCAAACGAGAAGCGCATCGAGCTACTGGAGGGTTGCAAGCCCGAAGTTAAGCGCTTCGCTGTTATCCTTCTCCCCACCCTCACAGATGCTTACTCGAGCACGGTAAACCTTGGTGTGCGAGAGAAGGTCTTGTCTGCTCAATTGAAGATGCTGTCAAATCTAGACACAGACATCTTGGAGGAAGCCCTGCGCTCGGTGCCATACGCCTCGTATCTCGCTTCCATCTTCTCACAGCAAGATCACCCTAGTCTGGTCACATATGCACTCCAGGCAGCTGAGCTGTTACTTAAGCGGCTGGAATCAATCTATCGCTATCAGTTCTATCGCGAAGGTGTCATTTCGGAGATTTCGCATCTAGCCAATCGCCCGTCACGAACTCCCGAAGTTCAAACTAAGCCCAAGACAACCTTAGAGATTGAGGAGGCAGCTGAGTCTGCCCCAAGTTCGAGCTCTTCTGGTGGTGATCTTGACATGGAGCAAGAGCCGATCCAAGATGTCGAGATAGAAACACAATCTGAGGATGGCGACGACGACGACGGCGAGAACGAGGGTCGCATTGAAACCCACGACATGCAAGATGATGACGATGATTCTGATTCTTCCTCTTCCTCCGATCGGCCCGAGCCTCCCGTGGTGCAAAACATTGAGGACATCATCACTCTACGAGCCAAGAAGTTCCTCGAGGTCCATGAAAAGGACAGCGACAAGCCCATTCGCGACAAGGCGTCGGCTGTCCTGGAAGACCTCAAATCGCTCGCAAAGGAGATTCGCGGATGTATCCAAGAGGGCACGCAGAGTAAGTGCACGGAACTGTTTACACGACTTGCAAACTACTTTGAAGGCGATGCGCTGGACAGTATCACCAGCTATGAGTTGAAGTCTTCCAAGATCGTGGATGTGCTGCTCGAAGTCTTCTCCACAGCCTCACCTCTCAGTAGCGTCGACCATCGAGCGATATTTCTGGAGGTTTTCATGGGACGTAGCAGCCAGGCGAAGATCAAGACTGCAAGTAGCGCGTCGCCAGCGACACCGTTCAGCTCATTGGTCAACAAGCTCCAGGACCTTTTGAGTAGATCGGAGCATTTCGAAGTCTTCACCGTCCATCAGCATGCGCACGACGGCCGTGGTGGTGCTACTTCCATGCTAGCCAAGCAACTCCGACTAAAGCTTGTGGCTGATGAGGACTCTGGCATTCCCAAGTCGTATCGAAACATCATGGTATCAATTCACGCAATCGCCATGTTTAAGGCACTGGACGATTATCTGCGACCTCGCATTAGCGCCTCTGAGCGTCCTCGGGGCTCGCGAACACGGGATCAGTTTGCAGCGTATGCTCAGGCTCTCGCCGAAGGCCGTGCCCCACCGCCACCACATACACCTACTGATTCTACGAGCCGACAGGCAAAGAAAGCGGCAAAGTCAAAGTCAAGCCCCAGCGACGACTCTCAAGCGGGACCCAGCTCTGCGACGAGAGACAAGACCCGCCGATCGAGCAGACGCCAGCAGAATCAACTACCACCACCACCTCCACCACCTCCGGTAATCCCTCGCTCAAACGACGACCAAGATCAGGTAGAATGTGCAGATGAAGAGCGCTTGTCTGACGACGAATCCATGGCCGATACCAGCGCCCTAAATGCGATCGTGGATGATCTGGAAGAAGAGCTTGACGAGGATACGCATGATCCGTCTGCAGTTAGTGTAGAGGTTGCGCCCACTGGAAAGGCTACCGCTCGCAAAGAGGATGGCACTAGAATTTCTACCCCAGTGCAAGGCACCCCCATGGCCAAGCCTCCCTCAGAGACCCGCACGCCGTCATCTCGATTGTCAGCTCTGCTCCAAGACTCCGCTCTGCAACGACTCGGAAATGCCGCGAGCGCGCTTTCCTATGCAGCTGCGGTCCAGTCGACGCCACAAGATTGGCACATTGAGTTCAGCGTCAATGATCAACCAATCTCGAACGACACAACCATTTACCGTGCTGTACATTTCAGTCAGTCTCAGCCCCCAGAGATTGCACATCGAACCGTATGGAATGCAGTCCACACCATCAAGTTCAAGCGCGTTCAAGGCCCGCCTCCAACTGAGTCAAGCTCGCTTACGCCACCCCCGGAGTCCGCATCTGAGGCCTCAGGAATGCCAGCATCCTTAGATCAACATCCTGTGACATCTGGTATTCTACGTCTGTTGAGCATACTTCACGGCTTGAACGCTCATTTGGATGACATCCTGTCCGACAACAAGGATCAGATCAAACACAACGCAGAGCCACTTTCACAATTCGTCAATACAAAGTTGACAGCCAAGCTCAATCGCCAATTAGAAGAGCCGCTGATAGTAGCGAGCAATTGCCTGCCAACTTGGAGCGAAGACTTGGCTCGCTTCTATCCCTTCCTCTTTCCCTTCGAGACCAGGCATCTGTTTGTCCAGTCGACCTCCTTCGGCTACTCCCGTTCCATGACCAGATGGCAGAACTCGCAGCCAGCGAACGACTCGCGACGTGACCGTCACCGTGATGAGCGTCCGTTCCTGGGCCGGCTCCAACGTCAGAAGGTCCGCATCTCGCGCTCGCGCATCTTGGAGTCAGCGATGAAGGTCATGCAGCTGTACGGAAGCTCGACCAGCCTCTTAGAAGTAGAGTATTTTGAGGAGGTTGGCACTGGACTGGGTCCCACACTGGAGTTTTACTCCACCGTGTCCCGAGAGTTCTCAAAGAAGAAGCTCAAGCTGTGGCGAGAAAACGAATCTTCGGAAGGCGAATATGCGTTTGGCAAACGTGGACTTTTCCCAGCTCCTATGAGTGCAGCAGAGGCTGCATCTATCAATGGCGAGCGGCGGCTGGAGCTGTTCAAGACTCTTGGCAAATTCGTCGCTAGGTCAATGATGGACTCGCGCATCATCGACGTGTCGTTCAATCCTACGTTCTTCCGCATCGGTGATAGCGACACCACAGTCCTCCCCTCTTTGGGGGCTATCAAGTCGGTCGATGAGGGGCTCGCAAAATCGCTCAATCTCCTCAAACAGTTCGCAGACGCGAAGTATCTTGTGGACACAAACGACAGTTTGACATCTGCGGAGAAGACGCAGGCGTTGAAGGACATCCTCGTTCAGGACTGCCGGGTTGAGGATCTTGCCTTGGACTTTACTCTTCCTGGATACGATACGATCGAACTCATCGACAATGGCGCCAATACGGCCGTTACGATCAACAACGTTGACAAATACTTCGAACATGTGTTGGACTTCACACTCGGGTCGGGAGTGCAACGCCAAGTAGATGCGTTTAGGGTTGGGTTCAGCGAGGTGTTCCCCTACTCAGCTTTGAAGGCGTTCACGCCAGATGAGCTAGTCATGCTTTTCGGTAGGACCGACGAGGATTGGACTCTCGAAAGTAAGTGTTCCTGTGTTCGTATTGTGAATTTCGCTGACTTCCTATAGCTCTCATGGACTCGATCAAGGCGGACCATGGCTACAATCTCGACAGCAAGAGCGTGCGCAACCTCCTCCAGACAATGAGTGAATTTAAAGACCAGCAGCGGAGGGACTTCCTGCAATTCATCACCGGCAGTCCGAAGCTGCCTATTGGAGGTAGGTCTACGTTGTATCTGATTTATCTTCAAGATTGCTAACTCTTCTCCAGGTTTCAAGAACCTCACGCCCATGTTCACGGTCGTTTGCAAGCCAAGCGAACCACCATACTCGTCGGACGATTATCTGCCCTCGGTCATGACGTGTGTCAACTACCTCAAAATGCCAGACTACAGCACCGTGGACATTTTGCGCGAGAAGCTCAGTGTGGCTATCAGGGAGGGCCAGGGCGCTTTCCATCTTTCTTAAGTTGTCTTTGGGGATTTGCAATTATACCATGTAATACGACATCAGCATATGGGTAATGAGAATGGATGGACGGATACGCATTGCAGGTGCCAAGGATCATTGGGGCGTTATTTAGTCTTATGGAATGGCGACGCTGGTTTTATAGCAGTCCAAAGGGATGTACTGTAGACATCGCGCTAATTTTATGCTGAATGCCAGTGTTGTTTGAACTTTGATTTATTTATTTGTGTGCAAAAGCACCAAACCGCTATATATTCTCCCCTCAGGCCTCCGCCTTCTCCACCTGCCTCATCCCAATCTTGACCATGGGACTCTGCATCAACGTCTCCCAATTATGGATAAACAGCGTCTGTTTCAAACTGACCCCCATCTCCGCCGTGCCCCTCTCCAACATCTCCTTATCATACTTGTCCACCTCTTCCCCCAGCCCCGCCCCCTCCTTCACCCTAATCATCGCAGCCACAAAATTACTCGCATCCTGCAACGCATTGTTTAGTCCCTGCCCGCGATGCGGCGTCATCGGATGCGCGGCGTCCCCACACAGCGTGATGCGGCCCTGTCGATTGTCCCACGCCGCGCTGTTGGCCCAGTACGTGCCTTTGTCGAGGGGGAGGGATAATGAGGGATCGATAGCGGCGCCGGCGGAGCGCCAGGGCTCAGCGTACATGGCAGCGCGGGATTTGAAAAAGGACATGCGGCCAGACGGGGTGCTGAGGTCTACGTCCGCGGGGACAGAGGCGTCAGTCCAGGATTGGAGGACTTGGAATGTCCATGTTGCAGGGTCGGCAGGATCGGGGACGTCTTGGACTGTGTTGTTTCGTTAGTATATGGGGAAGGGGAAAGGGGGAACGGGGAACAGGCATACTAGACAGCCAAAACATCGCGCCGTTATCCGGATGTATACTCGTGATGAACAGTTGGTTCATGTCGCGTATCTTCCTCGCCAGTTCGCCGGGGACTTTCGACGGGAAGTTGAACATGCTGACAGGCACGTCTGTTAACTTTGCGGCGTCTTCGCCGACGAGTACGCTGCGCACGCGTGATTTGGCCCCGTCGCTGCCAACCAAGATATCGCCCTCAACCACTTCCCCATCCGCAAACTTCACCTCCACCTTGTCTCCTTTGATCTCCGCGCCCACGAACGTCTTGCCATATCTTACATCGATCCCCTCGGCAAACAAATTGCGCATTTTCTTGCGGCTCACGCGACATGGTTTGTCGGCGCCCATTTCCATGATCAGCTCGCCCGTCGCGCCATTGTAGATGGGCAGGCCAGTGACGGCGTCGGGGGACTGCGTGGGGTCGGCGTAGGCTTCGTTGAAGCGGGCAACGAGGGATTCGGGCAGGCAGGAGGCGATGTGTGAGCTGCCCCAGTGCAGGGTCATGCCCCATTCGCGGGGGCGGGTTTGGTAGGTTGAGGGGGTTTCGGATTCGAAGATTGTGAAGGGGATTGAAGCCTTGAGGGTGTGAGTATGGATGAGTGGTATGTGGTTATGAGGATTAGTATGATGTGAGGGATATGGAAAGTGTACCTTCTTCAGACCTTGGGCAATCAAGAGTCCACTCGTCCCTGTTGTGCCATATCAGCAATCGCGGATTGCAATTGCCCCTCTATCGACATACCCGCTCCGATGATGAGGACGTGAGGTGGTTTGGTGCCATTGGTCGCCATTATGGAAGTTTGATGCTTGTGAAGCTACCAGGACACGCGACAATATAGAAGAAGTTCAATATCCTCAAGGACAGCATGATCAATGCATCCATTCACACTACCAGCCATTTGGCGACTGGCTGGCGGCAGTTACATGGTGCTAGTGTGTCTAGTGCTAGTGCGGCAGTCGTTTAAGGGTCTTGTTGGTGGGGTGTCGATCCACATGCCGAGGGAGGCCTCGACCATCAAATCTGCTGCTTGGTGATGCAATGATACATCTGCCATGGCTGAATGAGTCTTGGGCTGTTTCCATGTCGGCATCGCATACGAAGCTAGTGCTTTGTAAGAGCGATGATCATCGTGTAGAAGTCTTGAGCTGTGAACGTGCATCTTTATGATCGGTTCAGACGTCGTGCAGTAGGCTAGATACCCCTCGGAAAAAAACTCTGTATCATGTGCGAAGTATGCTGTATCAAAATCTCAAATCGAAACCGTACGGAAAGTATTGATTTGATGTTTAGTAGGGTCCAGCGAATTTGTGGAAGAAGGTTTAGTCCGGCCGGATCGTGCATTTCCTTGGCATGCCGTTCTTCCCAATTGGATACAACGGCTCGTTCCATCTGACAATTCATCTTCTCGGAACAAGTTCATGCGAGGTCTCCAATAGCAGCCATCGCTCTACTCCGCAGTTGCTTCTAACCTGAGACATGTAGGTTCCGTTCAGCCACAGACGTTAACCAATGCTCGCCCTCTTTGGCCGGTGTCCTTGGTCGGCGAATCGGGAACTGTCGACAACCTCCATCAGCTGGTCGCGAGCTCAAGGCCCGCTCGTCCTAGCTATGCAAGTGGCGTCTTTGAGTTCCCTGCGCCGCGTGCCCGCGTGAGTCGGCCCGTCGTGCGCTGTGCATACTACTTACAGAACTCAACCCTGCTCTGGACGTCTTGTCGGGACGCTGACAAGGGCAAACCGCTGCCTGCCGGACGTTTCCTGGCGGAAGAACACCATTTTATTAAACCTCGCAACAACTCAACAGGGCGCTACAAATCACAAAAGTGGCCGGAAGGGTCCAATTCTGACAGCCTCTGAATCCCCAAATCGGCGTTCTTCGGCAACATCTGGTGAAAGCAGAACCTCTGGATAGAGGAAGCACACGATGGCAGGAAACGCTACCAACGACCTACAGCATGTTGTACAACAAACAGTGCCTGGAGGCGAAACCGTCGACCCAGTATCCGACGATGCCGACTCCGCATACGGGGATGTAGTGTCCGAAACGGCCTCTTTGACTTCTAGCATCATGAAGGGCCGCTACGAAAACGGAAGACGCTACCATGCGTACCAGGATGGAATTTATATGTTTCCGGACGATGAACAAGAACAGGATAGACTTGATATCAAGTACGCGTCGTTGCAAAATGTGTTTAGCGATAAGATTGTATTTGCGCCATTGGAGGACCCACAGCAGATTCTGGACATTGGTACGGGGACTGGCATATGGGCGATAGATGCTGGCGAACTTTTCCCTGGTGCAACAGGTGTGTGAATTGTCAATTGCTGTCTGGATTATTAGCTAAGTGTACAGTAACCGCGACGGACCTAAGTCCTATCCAACCAACATGGTGGGTGTAATACAGCACTCCGATATGCAAAACCACTGACGCACCTCAGGGTACCGCCAAACGTCAAATTTGAGATCGACGACGCTGAACAAACCTGGACCTGGGACGACAACTTCTTCGACCTGGTCCACCTGCGGACCATGACCGGCTGCATACGAAATTGGGACAAGCTTTTCGCTCAAGCATTCCGGTAAGTCTCTTCGAGATAGCTCGCTCAAAGCACGTGCAAACAGTCTTTCAGGCACACCAAGCCAGGCGGCTACATCGAACTCCAAGAAATGGACTACATGGGCGTCATCCAAGAAACCTCTCGCAACCCCGGTACCTCCTTCGTCACATGGTGTACCGAGCAAGGCAACGCCGGGAAGAAAGCCGGCATCGTTCTGCGCACCAGCGTCGAGACGTTGACTTCCGCCCTGCAAAAAGCCGGCTTCGTGGACTGTCAGGTCTTCGAGTTCAAGCTGCCCATCGGACCGTGGCCAAAGTCCCGGCGGTTACGAGATGCGGGTTTGTTGCAGCTGAGTGCGATGCTGGAAGGTATCGAGGGTTTGAGTTTGCGGCTGTATACTTTCTATGCAGGCTGGAGTCTGGATGAGTTGAAGGTTCTGCTAGCCAAGGTGAGGACGGAATTACGAGATCCTGGATGTCACGCGTATTGGCCCGTGTAAGTCTCTTCAATCACCTGAAGCAAATGTATTACCTTGCTAACGTCAACAGCATCGTCGTCTACGCAAAGAAACCCTTGGACCCATACTCATCGTCATCATCCTAATTACAACCTCAATAATAAATACAAACAAATCACTTCCTACATGACATATTAAAAATCGTGATGCGAAAAGTTCAGTGAACAAACTCATCTCACTCAATAGCACTACAAAAATATTAAATCCGCTGCCATCAACCTCACTTCAACAAAGCCTATCACCACCCAAACGCAGCACGGTACTCTCCGCCATCACCATCCTTCTCCTCCGCCCAAACTCTCGCCACCCACCCCTCCCATTCAAAAGGAAACACCTCAAAACTCAACCCATCATCCGCCACTCTAACATTGCACTCTGATCCCTCGATATGCTCAATTTCTCCTTCATCGGTTGTGCGGTACCCAGTACGCGCTTGGTCTATCAAGCCTTCCAGCGCCTGCTTTGTCTGCTCATGGGTGCCACAATACCCGTTAAATTCGACGATGTCAGAGGGTGCGTTGATGTAGATTGCTTTGACGTGGTATGTTGTGGCCGGTGGCTGTGAAGTGGGGCTGTTCACGGACCCTGGTGCTGGAGTCTTTGTGGGGATGATGAAGGGGCCGAATAGCGAAGTGAATGGAGCGACACGGTCATCTGAGGCTTTTGCGACGGGCTTGGAGGTTGGTGGCTTTTTGGGCGGAGATGGTGAGCTGTCAGGGGGTGTGGGGGAAGACATGGTCGTGTGGGTAGGAGTTGAAAGAAGGAATGTGGTGATGAGTATTATGAAGAGTGGGAGCTTGCTACCTACGACGCACTGGAGTGGCATAGCTATTTGCTAGGCGATCATCATACGGACAAGCTGCCGTACATGTGACAGGTGATTCAACAGGGGAAAGATACTCATCAAAACGTTTTCCTTCCGGGAAAATCTACATGGCCCTACACCACGCCAGAATTTACTCATGCGCTCGTGCCAATCAGTGCACGGCTATTGGTATGATTTAGAACATTGGAAATATCGACATAAAAAAGACTGTCTCATATGTGCCACCTCGTACCTCTTTCTCTCCCCTCTACTCCGCATCAACCAAATACTCACGATCCGGTCAATTATCAGTACAACCATCCATCCGCAGTCGTTCAGGGTTCTTGTCATCCACATCCATACCGACCTCCTCTATATGATACTGCACCCAATATCTCTGAATTCTCTCCGCCACGTCCCCCCTCGGCAAAAAGAGCTCGCACGACATGCCATCATCCGCCAGTATAGCATTAACACCTCCCTCACTGCTATTCGTGCTGCGAATCATTTCGGAAAGATTCCATTCATGTACATATCGGAAACCCAAACCACCTCACTCTTCTTCCGCATCTGCAAGCCACTCTGCATTCCCATCGTCCCAGTCACCACCCATCTCATCATCTCCCCCCTCTTTCTCCTTCTCTACCTGATACTTCATCACGCACTCATATCCCTCCACCCCTTTTGGCTTAAAGACCTTACACGACATTCTGCCTTTCCCGTACTGAGCCCATTGTTTGCTCTCTTCGTTGACCAGGAGAGCATTGATGTTTTCAACGATTTTGACGAGTTCGGCCTTTGCTTCTTCTTTGGTGGCGAAGGCGCCTGACTGAAGTCGTAGTGTTGGGGTGTTGGTGAAGAGGATCCAGGATTTTGAGGAGGACGTAGAGGGGGGGTTTGTGGCGTCTTGTGGGTGGCGGTCGGTAGTGTTCTGCGTGGAAGAAGACATTTTGTGGGTGGTCGTGGCGGGAGGGAAGTGGGGAGAGGGTTTCTTGTCATAGCTGAAGCTGTTTGCTATGAGTTCTGGGCTGGAGGTCGTGATTGGGTGTCTGCTGATGAGGTTGATACATGCTACTGGTTGTCAATTCACATCAAGCCCGGGTGGTCTGCTTGCTGTACAGAAAAGACGCAGGTGGGCTCGCTGCTATTTTTGGCTGTTCCGTAATTTCGATGTCAAGCTGATGACGCTCAATTATTTCACAGTGTATCACGAAGCAGAGAAACAAGCCGTCAATGCAGCAAAACGTGTTGTAATAGACAAATTAAAGCGAACTGTCCACATCCCTCTGCCTTCTCACAGTTAGTTTTGTTTCATTCAATCCAACACCTGCGAGTGTCAAGCTTGCTGAAGGAGTCAGACACAAGTGGCGCATGTTTCCGAGCAAGCAAGAGTGGCTTGCTTGACGTCTCATGGTCGTGATACCGAGGCGGAGAAAGTGTACATCATACACCTTGCCACGATCGGCATAGTCGCACGAGAGAGTACAAATAATGCCTGAAAAGCCATGACTTTGCGAAACACCAAATCAGTTTAGTAATTCTCACAGTCTATCTGCCTATTACGTTCATTGTCGATTGCTTATACACTCCAGCTTGCCTGGGAATCAGTTGTATCCATGCTTTCGCATCTTCAAGCGATTCAAACTTCGCCATAACTTTGGTGCCTTTGTGGGGTCCAACGGTAAGATCTTGCATTCCTCGGTAAGTTGTCACACACACATGAGCACGAATTCTGATCTGATATTGCTGAGAATGGTCCGAATCGCGTCGATCTGGGAGGCGTTCATGGTGGAAGTCATGATGTGATGCAGATCGAATGACAGGGACGGCGGCCGTCTGTCATATAGTAGTACTTCAAAGGTCTGTTATGGGTATCACATGAAGAAACCACAAGCACTTCATATGCATATGCCAATCAATTCAGTGTAAAAATCAAGCCTCTTTGCAAGCACCGCCAGATTCCCGGTTCCCGCCGACTCTCCAAACCCTACATGCCAATCCACCATCTAGATTCCAACTCACAACCTGCCTCCTCACATCCTCTCCGTATCTCACATATACCCGTCTGAAAAGCTCTCCGCAGGCGAAAAGATCAAAGCCGAAGTCCTCTCGATCCTGCAAATCGACCTGAAAACTGACCCTTTCGCCAGGTTGGCCGTGCAGAACCATGCGTTGTTGGCGATTTCTCCTACACTCACACATATGTTTGCGCGCATCGTTCCATGTTAGGCAGGTGCGTAAAACGGTCTCCTGCCATCCTGAAACGGTCCGATCTCGCTGGACGATAGTGAAGGGGGCTGCTGAGGGGTTCAAGGGTGAAATGAAGTTGGCAGAAGATGCGACATGCCGCATTCGAGAGGATGGTACGTTCTGTGCCAGAAGTTGTGAGCCATAGGCTTGGAAGTAGCCTCTTGGAGCGGAAAGCGTGAAGCCATTGACGTCAAACTCTTCAATATCTCTCAGTTCATTCCCGGGGTGTTCGGTCTCGCTTGTGGGGGTTCACATATCTCGCGGAAGTTACAGAGAGCTAGGCAGTCACAAGAAGGGTTGTATATCGTATAGCGTCACTGAAAAGTTTGTTTCATGGACGTTTTACATCTGTCCAGATCATTCTCCATGCTTCCATTTCGTTAAAATTCTTGCTTTCCGACATCTTGATCACTGATTCAACGACGTTTCAACTACCCTAACCCTCATCAACACATCTACCCCAGCACTGACCGCATACCCCAGACCGTGGCCTGCGTCCGTAATCTGGGAGTACCTCACCTGAGAGTCTTGCTTCATAGTCGCAACAGTCCTGCGCGCGCTGTCTACTGTAAGTGAGACCGAGGAAATGCTGGTTGGTTGGGAGGTGGATGGGTAGTCTACGAGCGTGACCCAGCATTTAAGTTCCGTGGTCGGGGCTATTTGTGCCGGTGGTGTCTGTGCCGGGGGTGATGAGCTGGAAGGCTGGTGAGTGCGTTCGAGAGACATGAGAAGGGGAGAGAAAGCTTTTGAGACGATGAATGATACCGAGTGGCGAGCAGGGTAGTTATATGGGACTGAGCTGGCTGCAAGCTTGCTTCAGACGATCACATGGAGTTGTCAGTGCGGAGTGTGATTGTTGATGGGGACGCAACTTCGCGAGCCAAACGTGACCGCGAAGATCTTGATCGTGATAATAATTCGTGAATCGAGATACAACGGACATGCTGAGTCGCATCCGTTCAAAAGTTGTGAAAAACTCAGGCTGACTCATTGAACCTATGCACCTCTCTCTTCTCCATTAAGACTCGCAACATCCCACTCCATTTGCAGCGCTGATCAATGAAACTCATGGAATTGACTCCCTCTTCACAAATTTATCCTCTTTCCCGTACATTCCACTCTACTGATGGGTATATTCCACCAAATGGATCGTTACACGTTAGTGTTTCTCGACATTGCCCCAAGACGAGGAGCCTTCGGCTTTCTTCAGGCTGAAGATAAGGATTGTGGCGGGTGACGAGGTGCAGCCATGTTGATCGATTCTGATAGATAACGTGATGGCACCTGAATAAGACGTTATAGACTACCAGTAAACACGGAACATGGATGTTCGCGCGCAGTGAGAAGATTGGAGACTGAACAGACACATGGTAAGAGCTAGGTAGTGGAGCACTGAAGACGTTTTGGGGCCGTAAGCGCGGGGCTCAAATACTCAGCCTAACAGAGTCAGCAGCAGCTGTCTAGATGCTCTTAGTCCTTCTCGTGTTCAGGATCAAGGTGGGTGTCTTCTAAACACAGCGATCCAATCGGACCTGTTGGTATCACTACAGTGGTTTGGGCACAGAGAGAGACTGATAAGGGAATAGCAACACAGCTTCATTGACAAACGTTTTGTTGTTCTAGTGTAATATAGCGATTTAATTATAGAGGGCTAGTAGAGAGGAGGTTCTATAGGAGCTGAGTAGCAGCTAAGTCCTCACATACTATCAAAACCAGAGAGGTGATCAGACCTTCTTCGTCAACCATCTATTAGTAATCTTCGACAATGCAGCAAACAGAGAATGTTTCAAAGAACCACTGCGCGCTGTACAAGGAGTATGCGAGTTCAAGCACATCTTTCTACTCTATCCGTCTACCAACTTTTCAACAAATCGCCACCCTTAACAATGACAACTCCCCAGCTCTACGCGCCATTCTTCCTCCTCTCCTCCAACATCTCCTCAACATGTCCGTTCAACCAATACTCTCCTAGCACATCCTCGCTCATATCCCCCGCGCCACTAATCGTACCCTTGCACCCCTTCTCCCCACACCCACACTCAAACGGCTGCGCCATCTTCCACTCGGTGCTCGGGTACCAAAACGTCAGCTCGTCGCCCTCCTTCAAGTCCCTGTCTGGCGCCACGCGGACCTCCCACCGTGCCATGTCGAACACCAAGCTGGGCCGGCACGAGTGGTTGATGTACACTAGGTCGCAGTTCAGCTCGATGTGCAGGTCGCGCGAGGCTTGCACGGAGGAGTAGGCGACGACGGCGGGGGTCGGGGTTGTTATGCGGGCGAAGATGGAGTTGGCGGGCAGCGAGACGAGGGAGATGGAGCGGCTGGCGAAGGAGCCCGGGTTACGCTCGACGCGGAGGAGGCGTGTGAGGTCTGGTTTCACCCAGGCGGGGATGTTGGACCCATCTGCCTTGGGATAGACAGTTGGTGGTGTTGTGGTAATAGTCTTGGCATGAGGTTTGCTGCCGTTTGAGGCGGGTGGTGGGACAGCAGTGGTAGCTGAAGGAGGAGACATGTTGGTCTAGATCAACTTTAGACGGTAAGGACTGATGTCTGTGAAAATGTAGTGAATTGTATAAGTTGTTGTTTGCTTCAATGAGGGGTCCTATTTTCTTAGGTTCAGCTTCACGACAGCAATTCACTCAAAACAGATGCCCCTCATTCAACCTCGCTTCTTAGGCGTGCTAGGCCCACTGCAGAAGCTGTTTTTCCATAGCTGTGGAGATGCTGCGGCTTGTTCCATATGGCCGGAAGTCTTTCAGTGTCTGTTGGGGCAGGGCGGCAGACAAAGACCCGAGGTACAAGGTGTTGCACGGCTGGCGAATGCCCTCGTGGGGCTCACTGCCTATGTAAGATGTACAGTAAGAGCAAGTCTGCAAGGCACGGGTCAGGGTCAAGGCCTTGGAAGTCTTGCGTGGGTGCTGCATGTGGAGGCTTTGGTGGTGACGTTCCGGCGGTTGTTCCGGCGCGAGCCTTTGTTTTGCCGAGGCTATCGAATGCAGTCTAGCGCAGCACGTGTATGCTGGTGGTCAATTGAGGAACGGGATTTGAGTAATGAGAAATTGGCATCATGTGCTTGGAATGCTGTACTGTCATTTCCGATGCATAGGCAAGACCACAAGCGATCATTGCGCGACTCTCAATCCCCTATAATGTCTCCTTTGGCCCCTCTGCTCCGGACCCGCTGCCCTCTCCGTCACTGCTGATCACGCTCGCGCTTTCCAATCCCATCTTGCTGGTATCGTATCCGTTCGCCAACAAGTACTCTCTGAATTTGATGTCCTCCTGGTCAATAGTATCTTGGCCGATATGTGGGAGCAAGAGAACCAGTCCAGCAGCAAGGAACGCCAGACTCGATGCTACGAAGAACGGGTTCCGACCTGCCGCGATTGTGTCGGCACCTGCTGCTTTCTGGATGGCGTCGAGGGCGTACGAGCCTGCAAAGGCACCGATCTTGCCGAACGCAGCAGCAAAGCCGTAATATTGGCCTCTGTCCATGATTAGCATCTTTGTTTTCAATACGATCTGGAGAAGTAAATCATACCTGATTCCAGTCGCACACGTCTTCGAAGCGATGAGCCCAATGTTGTCACCAGGCCCAAACTCGCCCAGAGCCAAGAAAATGCCGTACACGACAACAAACCCAGCAACGTTCTTGGGGTCATTCAGATAGGGGTAGCATCCCGCCATGATGAAGCCGATCAGTCCTTGAAGGGCCACTCCAATAAACAGCGTCTTCTTCGGGCCCATGGACGGCATGTCCGCCACAAAAGCACCAGCTAGACAACCAGGCATGTAGAAGAAGTTGATCAAGATATTCCACGCAAGTGACTTCCACAACGGCGCTGATTCACCAAGGAGGTTTGCCAGAATCGACGTCGAGTAGATGCCGAACGAGTATGCGCTGAAGTCGTAGATGAACCAGATGACGCTCACAATGCTGAGTCTGTACCAGTAAAACTTGATGACCAGCAACCATGGTGTCTTCGCTTTCGCAAGTGACTCGCGCTTGAAAGCTTCGGGCTCTGACAGTTTCAGTCGAAGGTACAGGAGCGAAAGCGGTGGTATGATTCCGATACCGAGGCAGACGCGCCATGCGATTCGTAGACCATGGAGCGAGTCTCCTGTGATAACTACGACGATCGTCGCAACGATCGCGGAGATTAAGAACGCGAGGTCGATCTGGACGTTGGTGAAGAGGATGAACCATTTGTTGCGTGAGCCTTCTTTTAATTCTCCAGTCGACTCGGCGCATCCAACACTGCCTGCTGGATATTCTCCGCCAATACCTTTTCATATCAGTCTCGAGACCACACGTGACGAGCCTGGGGATACTTACCGATGCCCAAGAAGAAGCGATATGCGACAAGCGCGGACAGCAGACCAGTCGGACTACCTCCAGCTCCATACGACCCCGTGCCAAGCGCAGCGAACAAGATGATAATGATCGTCGAGGCGAACAGCGACCACTTCCTCGAAAAGTGATCCGACGTGTATCCAAAGAACAGCATACCCACCACCGTCCCTGCAAACGTGATGCTCGCGACATTCGCCTGCGCCGACGAGCTCGCATACGCCGTGGGGTAGATCCTCTTGAGCATGGTGTTGACGGGACCGATGATCTAGACATTGCAATTAGCATACAGATTGTAGCGGTAGTCGCGTGAGGAAACCGTACATTGTTAAGATACCCATCACTAAACAATCCCGCACCGCACGCAATCACAGGCCAGAGGCGTTCCCATCTCCCCTTCTCCGTCCTCGCGACACTAATTCTGCGCTCGGCATCGCCGTCGTAGCCATCGGTGTGCTTCTCGGTCGCAGAAGCCATAGTGTCGGTTCTTGTCGCAGCTAAAGTGGGAGGAGCACTTCTTTTTAGTTACCTTTTCACTTGCGAAGCTACGGTGACATGCACCAAACGGCGATCCTGAGGCTTATATTCCCTCGCGCCGTCGCCATCGCTAGGTACGACCCTGCGCCGCCTCTCAAGGCCCTGTGATCGCCGCCGTCAACCAGTAATCAGACGCCGAATCCCGTCGATGCATGCACGTCACACGAGCCACTTCTTCCTTCGAGGGCATCTTATACCCGGCCAAATGTCCACAGCAACAATACATCACATGCATCTCAACTTCTTCCACCATAGCATTTCAAGTGAAAACCTTCTAGAAACGTTAAAAATACCCAAAAGAATAAAGTTGCTTCAGAACCTTCTATACAGTCCTTCATATTCATCAACCTGAGGTTGGCGCATGACCAAGCTTTGAGATCCCCGCAGAAACCGGCGCCACCGACGCTTGTGCGCGCTCGGGGTCAAAGCTTGCTCGGTGGGTCCGGCGCTATGTTCCGTTGCGAGCATGTGCAAAGGCCCCCAGCGATATTGTCCAACAATTGCCAAGTGGGTATTGGCATGCAAGATGAGAATTTCGGGCGTTGGTGTTGGGGAAGACGGGTTGCCTTTGGGCGGGTTGTAAGGCTGACGCTGATGGTGAGGGTGGAGTTGCGATACGAGATTGAAGCAGCTGGCGGCCTGAAAATTGTTTCTGCGGCACGGGAAGACGGTGCTGTTGATGCTATCACGATCCCAGACAAAATCCTCAAGATGAAAGAATGTATATCTATTGACTGCGCGCATTCGAGCCGCGTCCCAGGGTATCACGCTAACAAGCACACACAAGCATTACACAAACCGTCTGTCAAAGACGCTCTACCTACTCTCCATCCTCCTAATCTGTTCAGGCGTAACATCCGTCTTGCGGATATCCGTCGTCGTCGACCCAGCCGTGTTCTGCCTGTCCATCTCTGCAAACCAGTCCTTCGAGTTCTGCTGCGTAACACTAAGGTTGCGGTCTGTGGTTGGCGTGCGGCACAAATTGCGCGTCGACTCGTGTGATGCGCGGGGTCCGGTTTCAAAACCCATGGTTCTGCCGTTGGAGGAGGCGGTACTCGGTTTATGACCGTGGTGAGTTCGTGAAGCTGGGCGTTCGTATGTTTTTGTGATGACACTGAGTCTGTTGGCCTTGCTGCCGTAGTCGTCCTTCGAGTCTTCGAGCTTTGTCCATGGGCCCTGATCCGCGAGGTCTATTTCGCCATTGGTTGAGAAACTGGGCTCCCCGGACTGTGTTTTCGACGCGGACTTCGATCTCGTTGACGACCCAGATTTTGTTGGTAGCCATGTTGGCGATGACGGGCCAGAAGATGGGGATGGATGCGGCGATGATGGCGACGTTGACTTCGAGGACGGAGAATACGTAGATGAGCGGCGTGTGATAGGGCATGTCGATGATGGGAATCGTGCCGGCGCGGTTGACAGAAAGTGAGATCAATCGGCCGACGGATAAAGCGCATACGCTGGTCCCTCATTAGTATTCTTCTATGTGTAGTTGCAGAGCATCGTGGCCACTTACATTAATCCCAGAGAGAAGAGGGTGATAAGACCTGCTCTACTCTTTCCAGCAAGCCTCAGCATTCCCAGAAACGGTATCGGCAAGAGTAGCACGAACATGTCTAGAACCATGTTGCTAGCAGAATGACCTGCAAACATAGGGAAGAACATGTCCGGATCTTTGCTGCCCCAGCCGATGCACTTTCCTGGCTTTCGCGGATGCCACTCCTTATTGATTGGTTGACATGGAAACAGGGCGAGCATAGAGAAAGCAAAGCCCCAGAGTGAACTGATAGTAATAAGGCCGACCGTGACCCGACGAGCGAGACGGTACTGGGCAGTGGATGTTGAAGCTGCAGTCTCGGCAAAGAGGCGGAGAAACTGAAACAAGATGGCAAGCTTGATGAACGTAGCACTGATACAATACGCCGCGTTTGTCACGTAGATGTGCTGATCCATGTTAGCCATGGTATGCTTAGAAGCTGGAGGTGCTTCTCTGCGCTTACTCTGAAGTAGTCGGAGAGCTGCGTGGAGCTTAACGTCCAGAGATGCAGGCCGAGTCCATCCCCGGGCACTGTGATGGTTAATTGAAAAGATCATATTTCGGGATCAAGAGTTACTTACTAAGGCAGACGAAAGTGTCACCCACAACACTTGCTACGCCGGCAAGCAGAACGAACAGGTCGTCCCAGCCCCATAGCCTATCACGGAAACGAACCCATAAGCGCAGACTGATGGCAAACACAGCCGATAACTTGTACATTCTGTTAACATCGCCAGGATACATAAGGGGAGGGACCATATGCATACCATAAATGTGACCGTAAGGCTTATGATGGTTCGAGGAAGATTGACGTTCGGTACATTGGCATTATCGGGGTGGTCCCTGGGATTCGCATAGGAAGTCATTGTTGCTGATGCACCCTGCGCCGGTAAGGGAATCCAATCGTGAATGCTTCACGTCCAGTGATTGATCGTTCGTGTACGATGTAAGAAGTAAAGCTGTTTTCTACCTCCTACATGTTCCGAGTCGATGATGTGGTTGAGTAGACGGGCCTCGTACAGTGCTCTTACACACCTTGGTCGTACAAATCCGGAATTAGTACGCAAAGCGAGGCTGAGTGAAGGAGGGTCTATGAGACCATATAACGGCAGAGAGGTCCAGGGTCAAGATTACCGGGGAAACTAAAACTTGGTGTGCAGTATCAGTGCTTCACTACCTGGGCCAGGTGCCCTGCCCTAGCGAACATCCTTTTAGGTCGTCCTTCTGCGGGACCCTCCTTAGCATGCCCGAATCCCTGTTGCCAAGTGGCGTTTGGTTCCTATCCTAGTCAGTATGTGACGTTGGACACTGTTTTCGGACCCCGGGAGCTTGAGCTTGGTCAACGCAGCGGTCCGATCGAGGCAGCAGGAATGCAGTGCATGTGTGGGAGTGTGATGTCGTTGGCTCACCACTGCCACATCATAAAAGTTAATATTCCTTTTGAATTGGAAGGTAACTCTCGAGCTACAGGTCGAAGTTTAGGTTCGTTGGGTGTTTGGAAGCTCTGATTGGTGGATACCCTACTGAACAGCCTCGTGCCGGACTAGATGAAACAGGACAGACAAAACCTTGTTCACTAGTCAGGCAAATGGGTCTGGGTCAGTCGAGGTGTTCACCGTTTGTTCTGCACCAACCTTTCCGCATCGCACTTTGACGTCCGGCCCTACTATCGGTCTGACTTATCGAGGTAGTCTACTCGGGAAGGAATGGAAGCGGAAGGACTTGCGTGAGAGAGTACGGCGTTCTGTGTCTCGCGCACGTGCAGGCGACGTATGCGTATTTGCGGCTCAGTTTTCATCTCACAACTCCGTGGTGATCCTCTTGAAACCCGATGCCAGGCTTCAATTGGGGTAAGAGCCGCGCCGTACACCTAAATTCTCACTGCAAGCGAGCTTGTATAGAAAAGGGTGGCCCTAGCCTAAGTCGCTTAGCCGGTGGATCCGTCTGCGGGTGTAAGTTAGCGCGTGCTACAGCAACGGCTCATGTTGCAAGGGTTCCTGCTGCAGGCCATCTAAACGGGAGCCGTTTCGAAGGGTGTTTCCCTCTAGAGAGATGCCAAATTGTCATGAACATGATGATCAATTGTTTGGCCGGTGGACCCTTCCTGAGGGCTATCTAGTCACGTCGGCACGTTGCGATCGCAACTCGGCACTTCTCATCGAGCATACCAAGACTGACAGCCCGCAATCCTTCGGTTGGTGGACATGCAAGATGATCGAACAGGACGTCCCAAATCTGCATCTCTCGGGGTTGTCAAACGTGGCTGTGGACACCTTTCATATGGTGCCGCACTGCACGCTGCGGTCATCAAGCAGCGGGCCCGCGGTGCAACCCCGAGAGTGGCTCGGGACTAATCAAAGAGCCACTGACCACCTGTTTGGTTTTGCAGAGCGCTGTCGATTTCGCAAGGCCCGACTGCAGCACTATAACTGTCAGTCGGTGGTGTGCGGGTGTGGTGCAGTCGCATCATTGTGTCGCTAGGTAGTCGTGCCACAACTAGTTGCTGCTGCATTGACATGCTAGATCCTGGTCGCTTGTTGAGATCCCACAGAATCCCATCCGGCACACTTTCCGTGAGGTGTTGCTGATCCAGCATGTCGTAGTGTCATCACCACGTCGCTGGGATAGGCATGCGTGTCGCTTTTGCGGGGTGTGATGAAACACCAAGGCGGGTGACGAGGCGGAGCGGGCGATATATCGCCGAGTGTAACCAAGCGAGGTGCTGTGGGCAACCACGTTGTGACCCAGAAGCAAGGCACAGGTATCAACACACCCTCCTATATCTCACGCTTTTCCATGCATTTAAGTTTGGCGCACACTTATCACAATCTGATCACAATCAAAAGTCAATTTCCGCACACCAAGGCAGAAGAAATTGTAACCTTTACGGCTGACATGAGTTGTGCTCGCCTGCAGGAAACTTGCTTTTGCTCTGTTCTGCAAGCGATGTCGTACCAAGCAGTATCCGTCAAACACCATGCGTCCATCCTGGATGAAAAATAGTCGTGTATCCAGGCAATACGGACTACGCAAACTCGCCGCCTCTCGAGCAATAAGGCCGATCATATGGGTATTCAACTACATCGCGTATGTTCTCCGTGTAGAACCCTCAGGGGTATCGCACCCCACGTGGGCTTCACGTTGCTCTAGGCAAAGCAATAGACGCTAGCACTCGACCGAGCTCAAGTTTCTGTCGAAGAGAAGGTTAGACGGTTCGCGCGGTTGAGGCGAAAAGTCGAGCTGTCACATACACCTGCATGGCAACGGCATAACGACGGAATTGCATTAGCATATAGGCCTTGGATGCAATCGGTCCTACGATGTAGGTGCAAAGCGACGAGAGGACGAAAAAAAGATTGCGTGATGCATTCGAAGAAGTGCGAATGGTCGACAGTTTCTGCTGTTCGATGTGTCAACGTCTCATCTGCTGCAGTGCAGACAATGGCCTTACAAGTAACCATGGCAAAATTTCTGCAACAGCGTAATTCATCACCTCACAATTGACCACGCCAGAGTTTCCCCAGAACGCATCAACACCTATATACATGCAGGTAATCATTTCCACAGCTCCATCTACCTACATCCACAAAACTCCTGCAGTCTCTACTCATACACCTGCACACATAAAACACGCGCCTCCACTCTCTACACCACAGGTACTACCATTCTCAGCGCGTTCACACCATATGTACATACAACGGGCTCCACCAAGCCAGTAGAAACCCACCCGCATAGCCCGCATCAGTACACCTGCACACTCCAAACACCCATCTCCACTCCGCATGTAGACTATTGCCAGCGCAATCGCCCCATTTCTACACCCATCTCCACCTCACTATCTACACTCGTCTCCACCCCATCTCGGCCCGTCCTCGTCACCACTCCTCCTACTACGGTTGCTCCCGATGCAAATTGGTTACGCACCTCGTCTCGGTGACCGTGGACGGCCCGACCGAAGCACCGTACCCAGAAAAAACTGCATGGATGAACCCATGAGACGGGATCTGGGGATCGAGATATTTAATGGGACAGCGGGAGGAAGCACGCAAGCGTTGATCCTGTTTGAGAGGGACGGCATGGAAGGGGGGGGGGGGGACGAAACAGCGGTGTTTTCTGGGACTGCTGTATGCTTTCATTTGGAATGCTTTTTTTTCCTTCTTCTTTGAGACCACACGTGCTAGATGGAAAGGGATCTGAAATTGTCTCTTTTGAATGTATTAACAAATAAAGTCTCTTCTTGACTCTCATGTCCTCATTGCCATTTCGCAACCGCAGACTTGACCCCGTCATCCCCGGGATGTGCGCGAGCCCTTGACTGAAATGAGGCTCACCATATACGCCGGAATGAACCACTCAGCACCTCCTTGTTCCCCAGCGCTTTGCTGACATCGGCATTCTAGGTACCTCCACTGACACGAAGCTCTCGACAGTGACCTGGTACCTAGGCCCAGAATCGCCTTAAAGATGGATGGTTTTTGTTTTGCTGGACAGAACAATCAACACCTTCTTCCTATTCCTCTGCCCTTACCCCAACGAAATACGCACTTTGTATGGTCATGGCTCGATGGTGGAATCGTGGTCCTGCCGAATACGCAAGCTCTTTGTCCCGCGGACTGAGTTCTCAGTAACGTAAGCGTAGTAGTAGTCCTCAGTAATTCGGTAGACGAACGACATGGCCCCGAGCCGGTAAAAAGATGACGGATGTTTACTCTGCCCTCCATCTGCGCAGTTATCTTCTTTTCCTCAACTGACTGCTCAGTGACCACCTCCTCGTCCCCACCAATACACAATAGCAATGTGTACACACATCACAGCCTATCAGTGCGCATCCAATGTCCAACAAAAAATTATCATATATCGCCTTGCTAAAATGGAAAATCTACGCCCACTCAATACCCCCACCATCTGCTTCTCCCCGTCTGCATCTAAGCAGTCTTCTTCCACTGCCCCCAAACCCCCAACAAACTACTCGTCGTGCCTGCAAGCCCCACAATCCCATCATCAAGATCCACCCACCCGAGCGCTGAGCTCGGAATCATGATATCGCAAAAGTCGCTCAGCAGCTGCACCGTCACGGCGTTAATCTCCTTGGCCACCTTCTTCGTCTCGACAACCTTCTCCGGATCGCTCGATTGTCCCACGCTCTTCTGGCGCAGGTTGAGGTTGTAGTAGCTGTACAGCCCGGATGCGATGCTGAAGGACAGCCCGGTGAACCACGCTTTATACGCCTCCCGTCCGATGCGCGGCGCCGTGCTGAATTTCCGGATCCCCGTGGCGTCGAGCACGCACACATTGTCCAGGAGCATGTACATGGCATATCCCAGCTGTCTGCCGACTGCGGTGAAGCGCAGCACGGGGTCGGTGGCCTTGGCGTCGCTGGCGACGGCGGCGGCGCGGAAGTGCTCGACGAACTTTCCCACGCGCATCAGTTTGCGGGTGGCGCCGAATTGCTTCTTGGTGGCCTCGAAGGGGGCGATGGTGCTGAGGGGGCGGTTGGTGCGGTAGAGGTACCAGGCGAGGAAGCGCGAGAAGTATTGTAGGGTGCGGAGGAGTTTGTCGCGGCCGACTGGGAGTGGTTAGTATTTGGTAGCGGCATATGGTGGGGCTGGCTTGTAAGGGAGTGAGGGATGGGGATATGGGATATAATGAGAGACATACCAGTCGTCGCGACAAACTTCAAGTAATGCGACACCGTCGGGTGGTAAACAAGTGCGTCGGCGACCATCTTGTCAGAGTCTCAAGTCCAGCTTCAGAGGTTGCGATTAAACTTTCAGTGATGGCGGACGATCAACAGTGGATAGTTTGCTTGGGAATGGAATGGAAGTCGCGTGGAAAAGGAGCGTGGAGATGAATGCGGAGGTAATGCGGCTGCGATTGCGGAAGGACCGCGAAACATGTGGTTCCGTGAACAAAGCCGAGGTAGCCACTTCGGCTGGATCACGTTCACGCTGAGCGCGACGTATGACGACGCTACAAGTAAGCGAGAATAATATATGCTTCATGTGATATTTAGACACTTTTTTGTCTTGTATCTGATGTTGTACATGTAAATCCATATCTGTGAACGCCATCTTGCCCAAGCCCTCTGAGGCTCTTCTTCGCCAATGCGATACCATGCTCTGAAATCAGACCTTGTAGAAGCAGAAAGTATGGTAAAAGTCCGCAGCCTCCAGATCCTCCTCTGTTGACAGCAGACGGCCCGTCGCCCTATCCCGAACGCCCATGCGCTCGCTCAATGGGCCAAGTTCTGGATCATCCTTCTGCTCGTCCCATACCTCACGGAACGGCTTGCGATACTGCAGCTCGAGGTTGTAGTCTTCTGCCAATGCACGGAAAGCTTCCCAAGGTACGACGTACTCGGGGGCTTCGACAGCTTCCTCGAGAAAGTAGAAGTATTTCCAGCCATAGGGCGGTCGGAATGTGCCATCAGGCGGTGTCTTGCCAGGGAAGCGGACGCTGTAGATGCTGTTGCCGAATCTGAAGCCTTCCTCTTCAACTTCTCCATCCTCCTCGTCATCCTTCTTCGGTTCCTTGGCCTTGTCCTTTGACTCGCCGTCCGCTTTGCCCTCGTCATGTTCGGTATCGCCAGGCTTCGGGCTGTCAAGACTCTTTTCCGGGTCCCAGTCGTCCTCGTCGTCGCTCGCGAAAGTCGGTCGGTCGTCTTCGTCGTCGTCCGCTCCGGCAGTCTCGGCAGGCGCGGTGCCTCGAGCCTTGTGGTGCTCGATGACTTTCTGAGTGAGGACGTCCGAGTTGGGAATGCAGCCAATAAAGCGGCCACCCTTCTTGAGCGCGCCAGACACGTTCCTGAGCATGCCCTTGGCCTTCTCCTCGCTCTCGAAGGCGTAGTGCATGCAGAACATCATCGTGACCATGTCCCAACCTCCGCCTCCCCAGCGCTGGCTCATGGCATTGCCAGGTCCCGCCGCAGGATCAATGCCAACCTCCTTGATGATGGGTATGTCTCCTAACCACTCGCCGAAGCAGTCCTTTGCGTAGAACTCGGCGTGGAATATGCGGCGCGACTTGCGCTGCATCTCGGCGTATCGGTCTTTGGCCTGCTTGATTGAGACATCTGCAGGATCACAGCCCACATAGAGCTCAACCTTCCTCGACGCCTGCCACTTCTGTAGATCTCCTCCCTTTCCACAGCCAATGTCGAGAATCCTCAGGTTGCGCTCATCGCCAATGAACTTTTGTATGGTAGACGACTTGACCCAGTTATTGAAGCTGCGCAGTCCCTTGATCTTGCTGTCTGTCTTGCGAAACTCACGGCCGCGCTCAGGCACCATGTTGTAGTGCTGCTTGACCACATCGTGAACGCCTCGTTGCGCAGCCTCGCGCTGGGCTCTCTGCTGCGCCTCTTGTTCTCGTTCTTGCTGACGCCTGCGCGCGGCTTCTCGGTCAGCGGCGGTCAGACGTGCACCAGCACCGGGACGCTTGCGCTGGCGAGGTGGTGAGCGCGAAGTTGATCTGGAATTTGAGCGCGCGCGCTTGCGGTCGGGCCCTGAGCTACCTGCCATGGCGGATTGCCCGTGGAGACAGAATTGGGTATGTGCTTCTTTGAGCGAAGTTGTATATTCTATGTATACAAAGCACTGTAGGAAGTCGTTGATGTGCCAATAGACTACCGAAGAGGTCTAGGCTTGTTTTCGCTGCTTTCTTGGGCAGCAACTACAGCGTAGTATATGTGAGAGCGGAGAAATCAGAAGTGAGCGCAAGCCACACGTCCTTGAGAGTGGAGAAGGAGAGATGGGGAGCTCGCAGGGCAAGAGCTCTCAGTAGCGGACGTCGCGCCAAGGCTCAACCCGCATCATCGCGTTCCTAGCTCTAGCTGCAGAGCCTCAAACACCACACGACAACTGCAACTCACCTTTACCTCATCCCGAACTCCAAATCACCCCCATCCGCCCTCCACACAGCCAAGATGGGTGATCCGCAGTTTGCCAAGTACCCGGACCTCCAGCTGGCCCAGAGCATCTTCCAGCTCACCAATCCCGCCGCCTCCAAAGCCGCCAAACAGTCGTCGCTCAAGTCGGTCGAAGATGCCATCACCGAACACAAGATGGCGCCACTCTACCGGTACCTCGCCCACCCGACAGACGGCGTCTTGAATGCACCGGGCGAGGGCACGTCAGACCAGCCCAAAACAGCTCGAAGACCCTCCGCCAGTCTCGCCAACATGCTCGCCACACGGAAGCCTTCACTAGAGGTGCCGCTGTCATGGGACGAGAAGCGCTATGAGAGCCTGAAGGCAGAGAACGAGAAGGAGCTCGAGGCAATACAAAAAGAGGAAGACGAGGCAGCAGAGAAGGCGGGTGAGACTGAGGTCCAGGCGGCTCGGGGCAAGCGGGCAGAGCTCTACAACCGCATGGGAGACAAGGTATGGCGCACTAATAGGATGTCCATATCTCGATACTGACTATGCACAGGACAAAGCGATTGCAAGCTACGAGGCCATTTTCGAGAAGACGGGCATCCTAGGCACCAAGATCGACCTGGTCCTCGCCATAATACGAGTCGCTCTCTTCTTCGGCGACAGGGTACTCGCAAAGAAGAGCATCGACAGGGCGACTGCATTGGTAGAGAGCGGAGGTGACTGGGACCGCCGAAATCGTCTCAAGGCATACACTGGACTGCACTACCTCACCGTGCGATCACATCTGCAGGCTGCCCCGCTCTTGCTGGACAGTTTGTCTACTTTCACGAGCTACGAGCTGTGCACATACTCGGGCCTTGTCGTCTACGCCATACTCGCAGGCTCCGTTTCACTCAAGCGCGTTGACTTCAAGTCAAAGGTTGTGGATGCGCCCGAGATCAAGGCCATTGTTGGCGGTGGAGAGGAGAAGCTGTCCGCCCTCTCTGGCCAGACATCCGCGGGTCTGGCAGCTGGCGATGAGGAGATGACTGATGCTTCTGGGTCAAGTGCGACACCAGCACCGGCTGCGGTCAACCTCACCACGCTTGGCGGACCGCAGGACAAGGAGATCCCCATCGACTTTTCACCTCTCTCAAAATTGGTAAAGAGCTTATACGAGGGCGACTACAAGAGCTTCTTCGGCGCTCTCGGCGAGGTCGAGGTGAACTTCCTCAGCCAGGATCGCTACCTTTACGAGCACCGCGGCTGGTACGTGCGCGAGATGCGTCTGCGCGGCTACCAGCAGCTCCTTCAGTCATACCGAGTTGTCGGCCTACAGAGCATGGCCAACGACTTTGGTGTCACTGTTGACTTCCTCGACAAGTGAGTCTGCCATCAGCCAATTACATGATCGATACTAATTGCAAGCAGGGACCTTGCCAAGTTCATTGCCGCAGACCGCATTCCTTGCACCATCGACCGCGTCAAGGGCATCATAGAGACGAACCGACCAGACGACAAGAACAAGCAGTACGCGGATGTGGTGAAGCAGGGTGACCAGCTCATCACCAAGCTGCAAAAGTACGGTCAATCCGTCCGATTGAGGGGAAGCGAGCGTGGCTAAACGCGACCATGAGCGCGGGATGTGTAATGATTGAAGCATTGTAGACTTAGACCCACACAGCGTAATGTTCGCTGAAGGAATACAAAAGCTGATATGAACGACGAAACCTACTCACAATTTCGAGTTTCTGCCAAATTTCCTGAGACGGAGGTCGCGGCAGATTCCAAGCATGAGGCTCGCGAAAGCTTGCATCCAAGAACATTTCTGTCCGCCCACGCTTGATGTTACGTTTTATCGCAGCGGTGCCCGCGTCGCCTAGCCTAAACGGCTCCATGGCCCAAGCTCCAAATATCTCCGTGTGTCGGTGCGGGAGAGTTACACGAATATGCGGTGAGATAGGCGAGAGGACATTGCTTTTATGCTGTACTCCCACGCGTCCTCTCGTCTGACGTTCATCTTACTTACGAAGTTTACTGTGCACCTCGACCAAGCCAAGCTTCAACGACTCACAACTCGCAACATTGGGCATTTCATCGGCAGGGTGGGGTGGGATCGGACGATAAGCTGGACCCTGAAAATGAAGCCGTCATCGGCGTTGGGTCAATGTACCATCAGCTCGCTCCGCGCCAATATCGTGGGGATACGGACGCGGCCTAATGGCATTTCAGCAATAGGATATGGGGGTAAAAGAGGTATTTGTCTTCCCTAGTCCTTTTGTTCCGGTCAAGGGTCCATTGCGGCGAGACACGGAGCTGTCACTGGTAGTGGGGCACCACGCGCTGAGCATGAAAAAAGCCCACTATCTCGACGCCTGTTGATTCATACACGTCGCGGGGAAAAAGTACTGTTAAAGGAGGTACTTAGACTATCGCCTTCGCTGCGTCATCACTTGGACCAAAGCTCACTTTCCATCTTGCCCAGTATACAATAGAACCTTCAACCCCCGGAGCATTTCCCCGTACACTATTCGAACCATGTCGTCGGGTATCTCGCACAAGGTCCTGAACCTTGACAACATCAACCCTCATGTCCGCGCCGCCAAGTATGCTGTCCGCGGTGAGCTGGCTGTAAAGTCGGAGGAGTACCGCGCGAAGCTGGCAAAGGGCGAGGGCAAGGACCTGCCTTTCGACACCGTCATTGCCGCCAACATTGGCAACCCACAGCAGCTGGACCAGAAGCCCATCACATTCTTCAGACAGGTCGCAAGTCTGCTAGAGAACCCAGGACTGCTGGAGCATGAGAATGTCCTCATCGACAGTCTTGGCTACAAGTCGGACGTCATTGCGAGGGCGAAGAAGCTGTTGAAGGAGGTCAAGAGCGTGGGCGCATACAGCCAGAGCCAGGGCGCACCAGGGATCAGACAGAGCGTTGCAGAGTACATTGAGCGTATGACTGCATACTCGTAGTGAGGAAGTATTGCCACTGACAACAGACAGGACGAGATGGCTACCCAGCCAGCTTCGAGAACATCTACCTCAGCAACGGCGCCTCATCCGGCGTGAACACACTCCTCCACACCATCTGCGCGAAGCCCGAGACCGGGATAATGGTCCCCATCCCCCAATACCCTCTCTACACCGCCACTCTCTCCGTTCTCGACGCCCGCGTCGTCCCATACTACCTCGAGGAGGACCAGAAATGGGGCACATCTATGGATGCTATCCGCACCGCATACGACAAGGCAATCGCAGAGGGAACCGACGTGAAGGCGATATGTGTCATCAACCCCGGTAACCCCACGGGCGCATCGCTGCCCGCAGAGGACATCAAGGCTGTCCTGAAGTTCGCCGCGGAGAAAGGCGTAGTCGTCCTGGCCGACGAAGTCTACCAAACCAACGTCTTCATCGGCGAATTCATCTCCTTCAAGAAAGCCCTGCGCGATCTCCAGAAAGCCGAGCCAGGAAAATACGACAACATCGAGCTCGCGTCGCTGCACTCCGTTTCCAAGGGTATGGTCGGCGAGTGCGGCCACCGCGGCGGATACTTTGAGCTTCTCGGCTTTGACCCTGAGGTCGCCGCGGAGGTGTACAAATTTATTTCGATCCAGCTGTGTCCGCCAGTGCTCGGCCAGTGTATTGTCGAAATGATGGTCAACCCACCGAAGGAGGGCGAGCCGAGTTACGAGCTGTATAAGCAAGAGTATGACACCATCTTCGCTGGCCTCAAGAAGCGCGCATACGCCCTCTACGAGGCATTCAAGCGCATGGAGGGTGTCGAGTGCGATGAGCCACAAGTACGTATCCAAACCAACCCAGCACCCCTCAATATGTTTACTAACCTATCACAAGGGCTCCATGTACCTCTTCCCCACCATCAAGCTCCCGCAAAAGGCCATTGAGCAAGCGAAGAAAGAAGGCCGCGAGCCCGATGAGTTCTACTGCTTCCGCATGCTCGATGCCACGGGCGTGTGCGTTGTCGCAGGTTCTGGCTTTGGCCAGAAAGAAGGCACGCTGCATTTCAGAACCACGTTTTTGGCGCCAGGCACCGAGTGGACGAATAGGCTGGTCAAATTCCACGAGGACTTTATGGCCGAGTTCAAGTAAGCTGCTTATAGGATACGTCCTTTGGGAGACGTCGTATAGGCTTGCTATGAAATGAAATGACGGAATGAACTTCTTCAATCTCTGTGCTTCTCCACAAATCGTAGTGCAGCGGTATACAAAAAAGTGGGGGTGGGGTAAATGTAGTTCGATCGTCCCTGCCGAACCGTGATGGATGATGATGCACCCCGGCCTTGTGGCTTCGGCAGTTGCGTCAAGCCTCCTTCATCCACATCCGTCACGAGCGCATCAATATGTAAGACATCATGGCGCCTCTCCATCATACTTCTCTACCCTATTCTATTCCCTAGTGCACCTTCTCTTCACAATTTTACCATCGTATTCTTATCGCATCTCTACAATGACGTCGTCCCCGATATCCCATCTCCCAGAAGAACTCCTCGACCGCATCTGCCACTTCACCTCCACCCACACCCTTCATTCTCTCTGCCTGGTCAATAAAAACTTGAACCGCATAGCGACAGCGCATCTCTACACCACCATATCCCTTTCGCACTCCAACTTCAAACACCTGCGCCCCCTGACCCTCATGCTCTGGACGTCACCCAAACATCGTGCCCTCGTGCGATCAATTAGCGTGCGGCGCGCATATGGCGGGGATTTGGTGCCCTGGCCTGCGCATAGTGATTTGGATGGGCTTATTGAAGAGCAGGTGGGCATGTATGTGAGAGAGGGGGAGAGGGAGAGTTGGAGCAAGCAGGTTAGAGATGGCATGGATCCGTTGCCGATTGCGAGTTTGTTGCTTAGGAGTTTGCCGCGGGTGGGGAGGATGGGGTTTGATGGGTTTGAACTCGTGGATCCGAAGGGGAGGGAGGGATGAAGGGGACATGAGCGGAACGTAACCTAGGTTTCCTTCGCTACCAGACAAACATTCCACCAATCTTGAGTGGCGTATAGCGACGAAGATGTTGCCATGGATGATGGGTGTAAGTTGCTGATACCGTGTTTTTACTGCTTAACTAACGATGTGCTAGAGCTGACGTATGAGGCAGAACTTTAGAAGACACGGTTGATATCATGCTTCTCAAGGCCACCCAAGATTGAAAGGCTTCTAGGATATTTCTCTACCAAAATATCGAAAGTGTTTCGGTGCATCGATGATTGGGGAGCAGGCATGCACTGCTTATCATGAAGTACTTAGTGGTACAAGGCAATGTATGCGTCAAGGTACCTTGGTAGGGCAAGCCATATGCAATTCTATAGGTATTGCTGAGCCTTGTCGGGTTTCCCCACGTCGCCTCCGGATGGTAATTCGCAAGAGTTGTGGGTTCTAGTCAGGGTCTTACCGACGTCCATACCATGGTAGCCTCTAAAACGGACCACAACCCATGACGCAAATCGCAGAGGGACGAACTCCAACATACCATGGGAATACCATAGGAAGATTCAACAGTTTTTTTCATGAATTTTTGAATTGAGAGGTATAAAGTCGCCGTAGCATGGTTTCCCTCTACTTTTCATCAGACACTCTACAAGCTCACCGGTTCTAATATAAAATTTGCATTTTCAGCAAGCATTCTCAGAGTTCAATTCCAAAATGTCTTCCACAAGATCCTCAGTCAGCTGTCCATGCACTGACTCCACCATCACCCACACTCCGCCCAATGAAGTGCAAGAGCCTGAACTTGATGAGAAGTTCATTCGGCCAACACTACCGCCTTCTCTCCCCTCCGAGGGCGGCACACAAGAGTGGAAGCGTGGTGCAGGGCTTCTGGCGATCCTTTGTCGCCATTTGCATACCACTGCTTCTCTCAGCTCTGGAGGGAAGTGTCACCAACACCGCGCTCCCCCACCATTTCGGATGCGCTCGACCTCGGCACCAAGTTCTCTTGGGTCGCCACCGCCCTTTTCTCCTGGCAAGCACAATCTTCCAGCCGCTGTACAGCCAGCTGGGTGATATGTGGGGGCGAAAGTACCCCATGATGCTGGCTGTCCTTGTCTTTGCTGTCGGAAGCGCAATCTGCGGCGCGGCGAATTCTGGCGCCGTCTTGATCTTTGGCCGGATTGTTCAGGGCCTTGGAACTGGTGGTATCGATCTTTTTGCGGAGATGATACTCTGCGATATCATCCCGCTGCGCAAACGTGGGCCGTATTTGGCCATCAAGCATGTCACCTTCGCCATCGGAACCACTCTCGGCCCCTTGCTAGGTGGTGTCTTTGCAGAACATGGCTGGCGTTGGTGCTTTCTAGTCAATATTCCAATCTGTGGAATCTCTCTCGTCGTCATATGGTTCTACCTCAACGTCGGCCGCGGCGCCAATGCCAGCGACGTCAAGCTCCTCGACGAGCTCAAGAAAATCGACTACATCGGCTCCAGCATTCTCACCGCCTCCGTTGTCATGCTCCTCGTCGCCCTCAGTACCGGCGGCGCCCCAAACCCCTGGTCCCACCCGGCCGTCGTCCTCCCACTAATGTTCGGCCTGATGGGCCTGATCGCCTTCATATGCTGGGAGCGCTCGCCCTACTGCAAACACCCCATCATGCCGCCCCAAATCTTCTCCAACCGCACCACAAACATCGCCTTCACTCTCACCACCATCCACGGCTTCGTCACCTACGGCTTCCAATTCTACCTCCCGCCCTTCTTCCAAGCCGTGCAAGGCTCATCCCCCACAAAATCCGGCCTCCAAGTCATGCCCACCACGCTCGTCGTCGTCGTGCTCGCCGCCGTCGGCGGACCTCTTCTCTCCTTTTGGGGCAAGTACAAGCCCCATGCACATCACCGGCTTCGCACTCATGACGCTCGGCCCTGGGGCTGTGCGCCACGCTCGACTCCACGACGCCCTCCCGGCGCATGGCTGTCTTTCCAACTCGTCGCCGCCCGCGGGCTTCGGCATCGTCATCTCCACCATGCTGCCCGCCGTGCAGGGTCAAGCTCCCCGAGTCTACCACGGCCGTGAGCGCGGGCTCGTGGGCGTTCCTGCGCGGCACGGGATCGCTCTTCGGCGTCGCGGTTCCTGGCGCCGTGTTCAATGTGCGTTTCGCGCTGCTGCTGCCGTCCATATCCTCCCCAACAGCGCGGGCCAAACTCGCGCATGGAAGAGCGTATTCGCGCGCTTCGTCGAAGTTCACGGAGAAGTTCGGCGCAAAGGCAAAGGCCAGAGATTGTCGAGGCGTTTACGCTGTCGCTCAGGAGCGTGTGGATTGTGTTTGCCGGTGGTCGCGGGTGTAGGGTTTTTGATGACGTGGGGCGAGAAGGAGTATAAGATGCGGAAGAGCCTGGATACGGTGTATGGGTTGAAGCCACCCAAGGGTGGTGTTGGGTCGAAAACGACGTCGGGTGCGAGTACGCCCGAGGGAGAAAAGGTAGTTGCGTGTGGTCCTAAGTGGGGAGACTCTGTTGTGGGAGATCAAGTTGTTTAGTTGGTTTGATGGCTTTCAAGTACTCCTGTTGTTTGGTTTGCATGGTTTGAGGCGTTGATCTGGATGAGGCTGTGCTGCGACAGATCTTATTTCTCACCACATATTGTATCAACGGAAGGTCATTTTGTTTTTCGGAGTTGCCACTTCGGATGAGAGTGTTAGCAGTTGTTCCTGCGGCAAATTCTCATTTCTCACCTGGAGTTTCAACTCAGGTTATCTTGTTTCTCGGATTCGTCGGTCTGGGACGAGGGCGAAGTAGAAAACCTTCGTCAGATGCTTCCGTCGCGCAAGCGCAAGCACATCGGCGACTGGCTCGAGGAGGAGAAAAACAGTACAGAGAGAACCGAAACGCAAGAAGCCACCGAAGACGAGTCTTCTTCGCGCAAGCGTGAGCACATCGACGACGACGTCCGAGGGGGAAGCACAAAGAAGATCAAGACGCGAGCCGCCGAGGACGAAGGTGTAATTTTTTATCTATCTGAACACTTTGCAGACGTCAGTGTTGTTGAAATAGCCGACGGCTACCAGCGCCGCAAAGTTGATAACTATATTCGTCAAGCGCAAGCAGCTCGCCCAGTTTTGCCTGAGCGACGGTTTTCAGACATGTCGCTATGTTTGGCATCTGACAAATTAGAACTCGACGCAGCAAGTGTTGACTAGATACTCAAGGCATACGAACCTATTCTAGCTAAACAACTATACTTCATCCCGCTTGGTATAAGTCACGAGAAATGGACTAGATAATTACAGACGTAATTCGCACGTGAAATACGTGCGTCTAAGATATCGGCGTCGACATGAATAAGTAGGCGTGCAAAAGTTCGCAAGATGTGATGCAGTTAAGGGAACTCAGAAACAAGCAATTTGCATGCTGAAATGTATTGGCCTACCTTTCTTAACGAGAAAATCAATATATAACTACACATTGTATTTCGGGTGTCAATTGAATTATATTATTAATTACTTGTTACATTCTATCGTGCTTCATATCTTCATCGAACCCCTAGGCAGAGATACTTACGTCCAATCCTGATCGGCAAGTATCGACTTGGACATGATCTGATGACAATGAGCTCGTGCGTTCTCGACTGCTGCCCAGGCGTGCGCCTGCAGATGCTATCAGATTTGTAGGGTTTTGCTGAAAAGTCTCAAAATCGTTTTTTTTTTTGTGAGATTCGATAAAGAGAGGTTGGGAGAACGGAAAGCAGAGACACGCGAGGTGCTGAATGACGGGTGTTAACTAGCGTAAACAATGGCGCGTCCGATTTACGGTTTGCTGTTCAGTATCACCACAACTGCCGTTTCATTCACGAAACAGTCTCTCGAGCCCGTTCTGAGTGCTCCTCACAAACTTCAAGTTGATAAGTTCTTCAAATGCAACTTTATTTCACGACTCCGTGCCTGTTCTACCCTTGCGGCTCTATCGAGATCCCGTGGGTGCGCGGGTGACATGTTTGCTCATCGGAAACACCATTTTGTGCGCATATAACACTTGAAGCTCTCCTTTCTATGGCCCCAAAGATACCACTGTTCTGTCTCTCGTCGATCGGGTAAGCTTTGGGTGGGCGTTTTGACTTCTGCAGTGGACCAGCTAAGGCGCGGCTAAATTCGAAATGGTCCCTGAACGACCCAGGACACTCGACGGAATTGTCACCGGTGCCGTTGTTAGCCCCAACATTTAGGAGTTACCGGCGGCGCAAGTCTGTAATATGCGCGTGATCTCGCGAGGCTGAGCTTGACTTCGCCTGAGGATTAGCGCAACTATACTACTCCGTACCGTCAAGTACGACGGAATGACTAGCTTCCGGAAACAACAAAGTCAGCAGCCAGCTGTTGTTGATGGTACTGATTCCATACCATTGGTACATGACAAGAGTCGCATCATGCAAGATTCGGTAAACCCGCGTGTCCATGGGAACACTGCACAAATCGAAGCGTAGACCCCATTCCTCTGTTTCCGCCCTTTGGATAGGTACCGATGGCAATGATTCGAGCATGGATCGAGCTTCCCCCAAATTCGGATAAACTCTACACGCCAATGCACGCTTGCTGTGTTGCAGACAAAGGAGCGGGTCCAGCCTCGCGAACCCTAACAGCCCCTCCAGCCTTACCATCAATTGGGCTAGCTTGCCTCGCCAATTTGCGTTGTTCTACGCCATCTTCAGCATCGACCCATTTTGTTCTCACTTCAGCTTCGCCAACTCCGTTAGTGTCAATTATGTATACGGGTTTTGGTCGAAAAGGAGCCACTGGTGCCACGTTTTCAACCACTTCAGCTGCTCCCCACGTTGTGGCTTGCGACCCACACAGGCTACGTACCCACCAATGCTTCTCAGCTTAGTCCTCAAGCTTAACATTCAATGCCGTCTTGTTGTCACTACACCCGAATTGGCTAGCTTTCTCTACAGCCGGAATCTCCTCCAGTTCCAAGGCGTAAAAGAGCTTGATGTTCAATCTCCACGATGAACAGGAATGAAAAGAGGCATGACTTTCAAGACGATACTGTGTATCCTACAATCCTTATGAATATGACTTCCCATGGCGCCGAGATCCTTAGCGGGACCTTTCCACTATTATCAGGTGACCAGTCAAGCTCTTCTAGGCCTCTGGTGGACCAGCTGAACTGTCGGCTTCTCGTGGGAGCTGAGTTCACTCGGAGCGTCCGCGTTTCTCTCATGATGGCTGAACTGGCTGATGTGGCGCGCAGGACTATACTCTTAGATGTTGATTGAGGCATGTCTCGAGATGCTCCAGACTCCAGACTGTTTGTGCATGCTGTGTTGGCTATCCTCAATTGGGATTTCGCAGCCTTCCATATTGCAGCTCTTGCAGATATATAAACCACTCAGGATGTGTCCGATAGAGAATGAACCAGCACATGCCATACGCAACTTGCACCTCTCTCTACTCTTTCAACACTATGCGGTGTCTTACCATTGCTGCCCTTGCCGGGCTCGGTAGTGTCGTTTCTTCTCAATCAATCGACTTGGCTTATGTAAATGAGCAACCAGATCCCACATACACAGTAGTTCCGGATCAGCGCACGCAGACGGTCGCATACAACCAAGACTCAGCCATCGCTTCAGTTGTAGCGGTTGCCCTCAAGACTCCCGTACCTGACCCCGGCGAGGGTGCTCTCCATGCGCGTAATGCTTTGGGAAAACGCGCTGGGCCTTGCGAAGATCTTCAGAACAATTCGAATGACTACAACGCCAAATTAGACCCTGCCGAAGCTTTTTTGGCAGACGAGAGCTTGCAGAACGAAGCGAAAAATGCCAAAACTCCGGGTGGATACACTCAAGTATACTCCAATTTAAAGAAGTCGGCTCAGGCCAATGGTTATATGGGGTAAGTAACCTTGAGCGGTTATCGCATATATTTGACTGACGAGAAGGCAGTTACACAATCATGCCAAGCTACAATGTACAGATGTGTGCAGACAGGTGTTCGAACACCCTCGGTTGCCAGGGCTTCAACACCTACTTCGAACGCAGCCCCAGCAAAGCACCGGCAGCAAGCTGCCAAGATCCTCCTGGCAGTGCCAATCCGTTCTGCGTGCTATGGGGAGGTCCGGTCTCCAAAGAAAACGCACTCAACGAGGGACAGTGGCGCGAGAAGTACCATGTTGTCATCACGGCGTCGAATGGCTATGTCCGTACATCGTCCCTTGATCCTCAGTCTGGCAAGGCTATCAACGCACCCCTCGACTGCAATAACAACGACGCTTATATGGGTATGCGTCTTCTGACTGACAATGCTCCTTTCGATCCGCAGAGGTGCGCTGCAATCTGCGAAGCTACCAGCGCCTACAATATCCAGCATCCGGAAACTGGAAAGGCTCCGCGACTATGCAAGTTTTACAACACCTACATCCTGAACAAGAACTACATTTCCCAGGGTCAGGCGTGTTCAATGTACACACAGTACTGGGATCCTAACACCTACGCCACCAATGACGGTCAATACGACGGTCAGGGCAATCACTACACCATCTCTTCGAGCACGTTCTTTTCGAACAAGACAGACATTGTTACACCTGTGTGTCCCACAGATATCGACAAGCTCAAAGCCAATGCCGACGCGAGTGCTTTCTGTGCTACCTACATCAACTACATTCCCCCATCCACCTCTACTGTAACTGTTGGGGGCGTCGCCACGACCATTGAAGCATGCGGACAACCGACCAGACGCGTCATCAAGCGCGACGATAGCGAACCAGTATTGATTGAAGCTGTAGTAGGTGTCTTCCCTAGCAAGGTGGACAACGCTGCAGTGACTGGCGTAGAGCCAGCTCTTGAGACTCTCCCTGCAGCGAGTGCTACTAACTCTGATGCCCTTGCCGCGGCTACCTCGGCGGCCATAGCGTATCTTGAAAGCAATGCGGGTGTTGCATCATCTGGACCCACACCCCTGGCTTCGAGCATACAAACCGCTGCCATGCCTGCTATAACTAGCTCAGCACAGTCTTCGGACGCCGTGGAGAAGCGTGCAGCGTCGACACCTGATGCGCTTGCTGGTCGTAACCCTATCGAGATTTCAAGCGCTTGCTCCAAGATCGTAGGAAGCAGCACACCCACTGTTACTGTGACCGCTGCTGCATCAACCGCAACCTCATACAGGAAGTGCAGTAATTTCCCCGCCAAATGTCCAAATAGTTCTCCAGCAAAGCCCTTTGCTGGTGACTTTGACGGTTCTTATTCCAGCTTGGATGACAACGTCTACACAATTAACCTACCTTTCACTGTCTGCATCTACGACACTTGCAGCAAAAAGGTCAACCCCACAACTAATGGTATCATCTCACTGGAAGAGTATCGTAACTCTGGCTATCTCAATGATGACGGTCTACCGAACTTCGGTGGCAAAGCAGTAAGTTCCTCCGCGTACTCCACACCCTTTCCAAATTAACGATTTGCAGGTACTGTCTGCCCTGTGGCAAGATATGTACATTTACGAGGACGAGCCACAGTGGATGTCATACACTACCTGCGGCGACACAGGCAAGCGCACAGTCACATTTGACTGGCGCGTCGGCAGGTACCAGAGTTCCGAGTTCTACAGATTCTCCGCGACATTCTACGAAGACAAGCCTGGCCGCATTGCGATGCGCTATTTCGAGATGAGCGACAAAGGTTCCAGCGCTACCGTCGGTATCGAGGGCAAAAGGAACGGGAAAAGTAAGTCGTTCATTCGCAAAGAATGGAGCTACGTCACTAACTATGTCTCAGCTGCTTGGTCTACGTACTCGCAGAAGCAACCAAAGATTACCGCCGGTCTTGCCATTGTTTGGGATCCTGTCGCGCTTTCATGGAGTAAAACCGCCTAGAAACCTTCGACATGGTGGGCTAGTATTAAGAACTTCACGCTTTTTCTTTTCAACGTACATATTACGACTGCAAATCATAATAAATGATATTTCGCACTGCCATAAAAGATTAAGCTGCTTCTAGTACTCAACTTGCCAGGGAAAGCGGCCCATACTCAATGTCGAAAAAATACTTCTTGCTACAATGACTGCTGATTTTACTTTTGCAGGCAAGCTATCTCCACAGTTTCGACATCTAGCCAAGCTTTCCATCTCCTAGTTTCTCAACTTCAGCTTCTGAAGCAATGCCTCCAGGCTCTTCTGGTCTGACTCCAAGGTTTCCTTGTGCATATTGATAGGAAATCCGTCGTCCAGAAACGAATGTATCGTTCCATCAGGCTTTGCTTCCGGCCAGTGCGTTGGCAAGATCCCGTTATCGAAGCAAACATATCTCCGCGGGAACACCCTAGCAGCGCAGTTGTTTCGTCCTGTGATGATATACTCAGGTGCCTCATATGACGACCCGTAGTCAAATCGGAAGTCAATCAAATTTGGCAAGGCTTCCGCGATGCGATCGAATCGTTGGCTCCATGTTCCAGCGTATGAGAAGTCCTTATGCCAGTCTACGTCCCGGTCGGGCATTGCGGTCCAATCGTGCGTCCGGACCTTCCATTCGTCCATGTTATCGTTATAAATGCTCATCCAGGAATTAATCATACAATTGTGGAGGATGAGCTTTCGGAGTGACGTAATAGCTAGAACCCAGTCAAAGTCGTTGTCGTGCGCAAGGGTATAGTAGCCTAGGGCTAATGTCTCGAGCTTTGGGAATGAGATGCCGCTGGGGTCGAAGAAGCCGGGGAAGGGACCCCAATTGTCTGTCTTGTTGTAGATGGATAATGCGTTGAGATTCTTTGAGATAGGTGCAAGCCAGTGCGAACAGAAATAGGCCGGCCAGGTCTGCAACTCGACTTTGGTGTAGTCATGGTCGGGTCCATGCTCATTGCACTCTTGCAAAACAGATATGTGCAGCTCTTGTAGCTGACCCATTACATCGCGGAAGAGATCGGACGAGGTAAATTCAGGGGTGGGACAATTTTGGAGGTTGACGATTGTTAATTTGCGAATTTTCCTATTCTTTTCGTCTGCCGCCCTGTCCTGGATGGCCTGGAAGATTTGCGTCAACACGTGTTCCCGCTCTGAGATTTCCTCCGCTGTTTCCTGCCAGAGGTCATGATCTCGGCCTATGCATTCCGGGCTGAAGCCAATCTCCAATGAATCCAGGTTGGGAAACTTCGACAATGCTGCTAGGGCATCCCCGAAACATTCCAGGGCCTCTTCCTCATCGCTTTCCTGGTAGTTCCACCCATAATCTTCAATATCTGATCGCGTGTGTATTATCGCATGGCGAGGTAACTGACGCGTAACATCGTCCTCGCTAATACTGGTCCAGGCGCTCAGGTGCCTCTCCGCCGGGGAGAGGATCACTTCTTTGAACAGCTGTTTCACGGCGTGCTTGTCTAGTGTTTTGCAAGCTAGTCGAATATTGGACAGGTCTCCTTTGTGGCTGACTTGCTCGACCACGTTTTCCACGAGCTCTGGAGCGAGGTGGATAAGTTCGAGGCTAGGCTGTGAAGACATGATGCTTTGAAGGGTACAGGATGGGTAGGGAAGAGAGTGCTGCGAAAGAAAGAGCGGAACCGCGCGTCTTTATACTCCAGAGTGTTAGTTCAGTCGCACTTAAATATCGAGAGAATGGCTAGCTTCCCGAGGTCTGCCTGAATCCTCAACCAACGCTATTCCCAATTCAGACTTCGTGCCTACCTAAGTTCCAGGCAACACAACACATGAAGCAAGACTCGAAATCGCTAATGAAGCATTGCACTCATATTTATATCCAGTCGCTACTCCAGCAACCATGAATGGTGCAAAGTGTCCTCAACGTTCGCCGCAGTAATGGAAGAGAACTTTTGCGCGAAAAGAAAAATTCTTTGGATGAAACTTCACTACCTGTGTAGGCTGCACGACTTAAAGAGTCATTCTTGCGTTGAACTGACTGCGATTTTATCAATCGCACTTACCCACGAAGCCCTTGTTCCCTCTTCCGCGGCACGATGGTATGAAGACGGATATACGATCAACTCGGCTTGTCGGCCCTAAGCTCAAGTCCTATCAATTATTGTGTAGCCTCGTTAATGTTGCTGACGGAGCATGCAGCCTGCTTGCTTTTCAGACTGATATACTAAAGATTATGTGGCTGCTTTAGCGGTGAGTTGGTGGAATAAGCCAACACCAACACTGTTCGTTTGCCGCCCCAAACATCTTCGGCGATATGTTTTTGGGAACACATATAAACAAGCAGCAAAAAGGACCTTGTCAAATGTGTTATTTGATCTTCGTATCGTCCCAATATGATATGTCTGAGACAAGAGTAGTTGTGTTGATGCCATATTTTGTAGGCTTAGGTCAGCTTGCTCACTGGCTGGTTGTGTTTTAAGCTTGGTTCGCAATTCCTGTCCTTCTAATACGTGTATCGGAGTTGGTAGGAGCGTTGTTGAGCAAATCAAGCTTTTCGTTCTAGTCGTGATTACTGCAAAGCGACTTGGCTCATGGCAACGCATCTCAACGCACATGCAGATGGAAAGCCCCGCATCTTGTAATCTCTGAAAGCTATTCATTTCTCATACCTATAAAGGTTCATCGACATCCCTCTCACAAACTCTCAAGCAAGCCATCGACCCGTCCTCTCAACCTCCTTTTGCAATCATGCAGCTTAGCGTCATGTTCTACTCCTTCTTGCTCGGAATACAATTTGTCTACGCTACCCCGTCGGATCAGGATACTCGCCAAATCATTCCGTTCAACATCGCCCTACTGAACACCAACTTTTGTACCGAACGCTATAGCACCTCTTTCCCCAACAATGGCACCGCATGTCAAGTATTGAGCCAACCAGCCGTTGGCGCCTTTGCTACGACCTCATTGCCTTCTGGGTGCACAAGTATGTCTCTGCTCATGTGGATCACTGATCTTTGTTGATACTATGCGCAGTTCTCGCTTACCCCAACCCCACATGTACCGGCACCACCTTCATCTCAGTTCCAAGGGACACATCATGCTTTAGCTTTGGCAATAAGCAAAAAATCACATCTTGGAAGGTTAGCGGGACGTGTCCTTGGTTTCAGTCCTAGGTCCCAGGAGCAGATAGCTGGTACAAATCCTCGTATCCAGCAAACGACTTCCCATCAATGTTGCTCTGCCTTCTCCTTTCAAACCTTGTGAAAGCTATCAATATCATGTTACTTCCTTCCATGCTAGCTTCAAACTGTAGCTTTACTCTAGAGCCGCAGAAACTGTCGCGTATGGTGACGTCAGGAATGTGCTGGAACCACTAGAGACTGTTAGCCGACTGCATCGTCCCTAACAGCTCAACCAGAAGTGTACATTCAGGGCTATATTCTAGAATTATAGGGTAGAAGCAGGATGTAGTAGTTGAGCTCAACGAGGAGTGCGGAGGCCGTGGCACAATCTGACACGTCCTCTTTAGATTTAGCCGTTTTTAGTGCCAGTCCCAGCCATGTGATTTCACAAGTCACAGGTCCGATTCATGTCTCAATACGTCGACTTTTAGTTCATCAAACTATTTCGCTTCCTCACGATTTCAGTCCGTGCAGCAGAAAGTATCCGGCGTCCCGATGTCGTGACGAGAGGAACCATCCCCAATAAGGCGATAGTGAGTTTTTTTACAGCGTTTCATGCCTTATACAAGAAGCGCACTGCAGAGATAGCTTCGAATTCTACAGTGTATCGCATTGTATTGTGTGTTGTATCCATGGGACGATGCCTACGATTGGCAAGCCACCATGCACAAATCAAGTGAGGGGCTGTTGGGGGCCAAATTCATCAGCCGTGTCATCAACCGGTCAAGAGCTGAGCCTCAACAGCTTCAAAAGCTTCAAGTCTCCGCTGCACATGTATCTGTGTCCATTTGACGATTTACATGACAGACAGTTCGGCGTGACTGACTACGAGGACCGGAAAATGAGAACGCTACAGCCAGCACGATCCTAACATCACAGTAACTTACGATGAATCGGGCTACGGCAGCCTCGCGCTTCGAGAACAAGCCCTATCTTCAATGCCTGGAAACGCTGGAGAACGCTTTTCCCGCGCTCAAAACGTTCCTAGAAAAGCTTGCCAACGAAAAGGAAGCTGGTCGGGCGGCTGTACATCAGTATTACAAAACCACAGAAAATCGCGTGCCAGGAAGATGCTATTGCCTGAAATTCACCGAAAAGGATGTCTCAATCGTACAAGAAGGCGGTTTCGAGAGTCCAGCAACTTTGAGGACGTACCTTGAGACCCACCCCGCTACGCAGAGCCGCCAAGACAAACAGCGACGCCTTTTCATACTTGAGGATATGGAACCGGACTATGTCGATGCCCTTGGCCACCATCTAGGGGTTGACCCCTTGGTTTTTAGCGAGCAGATGAACACATGGAACTTTACAGACTCTTGGTCTATACCGCACAGAGGCCTGCCCTCCATGTCGATTCCTGGACAGTCTTTCACGTTGCGCTACTACGAGCTTCGCACGTTGTTCGATTCGAAATCGGTCGATATTTCGAGCTTACAAATGTCATTTGCGATCAATCGACGCAGGTACGAGAGGTGGAGAGATATCGACATACCGTCATCTGGCGTACCCGATCGGAGACATGCATTTGTCAGGCGATGTGCATCATTCTGGACCTCGCAGGATATGACGCCGAGCGGTTCTGGAAACTCGCTAGGCTGGGATGGTAAGCAGCATGATAGACAGACGAAGCCACGGCTGACAAAAACCTTTTACCATAGCGGTCATTTTAGTGGACCCGCCATTCGCAGTCACATGTGGAGCACCGCGGGAAGGACTATTTAGTGCGCCAACGACATTAAGTAAGACAGCTCCGCATATGTTCACACCAGACGGTATCGAGCTTGATGATTCTGCTGTCCAAAGCTTAGAAGAATGTTCTATTCTCAAAACACCCAAGACTTATGCCAATAGAGCATCACTATGGAAAGCACAAGGCTGGAAAAAGTTTGATTCTTTAGAACGGAAGGAACATATTAGCTGGCCTTATCACGACGGCTGCCCAACGCTAGCGCCATTGGTATTCTCCCAGATCGGAATCGGTGCTAAAGAGGCGAATATTCGTACCTTCCAGACCAGACGAAATCTCAACAGTGCCATGGACGAAATGGTCTTCTACTGGACAAAACTTGCCACACCTGAGCTCCTCATGGAGACACAAACAAAGTCATCGAATGCTGCGTTCTACTTGTTGAAGCACGTAGCACAGCACTGGGTGAACCAACTTGAGATGACTAATACTACCATAACCAAAGCAGAGTGGTTCTCGGAGGACTATCAAGCAAGGATGGATGACAATATCAGTCGTCGGAAATGGAAGGCAGAGTTGGTCAAAATCAATGAAATCGCAAAGGACATTAACTACATGCGACAACAATTGAACCACTTTTGGCGCGCAATGTATCTCAACCTGGAGAGGTTGGGCGTACAGTTAGGCTGTGAAAGCGTGGATGAGAACGCATCACTTGCTATCAAAGATGCACAAAAGGACTTCATCACTATCCACGCGCGAATGCAGCCATTGCGAAACCGCGCAGAAGCGCTAACCTCTGTGTCCAACGACATTGCGAACCTGCGCACGGCATTCAGAGGTGTCGCGGACGGCGAATTCAGTCTTCGTCTAAGTTTGTTCGCGTCCGTGGTCTTCCCACTCACCCTCTTGGCGGGCATCTTCAGCATGGGCGATGATTATCGTCCGGGAAGGCCGCAATTCTGGAAGCTCTGGGCTATTGGCGTGCCGTTTTGTGTCACCGTGGCACTTGGATTGGTATATGGCAAACATCCCTGGACCGTGTTCATCGACTTGTGGGAGTATGCAGGAGATTGGGTAAAACGACGTGGTCTTGTCCAGTCGAGGGCACACGAAAATTCGTTTGAGAAAGTGACGGGTAAGGAACAAAGCGGAAGTGCAGCAAAAAACAGGCCGTATGCAGAGAAGAAGTCACTGAAGAGGGCGGCTTATAGAGCGGATGAAGAACAAGCTGTCATCGCTTGAGAATATCGATGACTGAAGCTGCATATGGGTAGCTTGATTGATTTGACGCGACCACGTCGTCTCTAAACCAGCTTACTACCTACAAGAAAAAGACACAAAGTCCAAGTATTGCAACGCCAATGTGCCGAAATTCTGGTAGTTCTCTGAAGACGTCCTATGTCTAGATGGGAGCCATAGTATAGGGACCAGCTTTTGCTCCAAGAACTTATTTTCCGAATCCGTTCTCCTTCGTGCATCCAGCACAGCCGCTAATCTTTCCGTCGATGATGTTGAATGTGCCGCCATCGCCAGTATTGCATCCTAGGACGCCTTCTTGCGAGGTGAAGGTACAGAAAGTGCCCTTGGGCACTCTGACGCCAGGGTCAGCTGGTGCGCCAGGGACAGGTCGCTGTGGAGTTGGTGTAGCGATGGCGGACGCCGCCAGAGCAAAGGTCGTGATGAAGAAGGTAGAACGCATATTTATGGTTTGCTTGATTGACTGCCGGAGTCGTGAATGTGGAAGGTATGGTATTGATGGTTGGTAGTGATGAGGATGCAGACGCTGATTCCAACAAAGCTTTATAGTTGCGAACTCCCATCGTTTTCACAGCCGAAACGTTGCATTAGGTCACCATGGCAGAATCACTGTCAAAGCACCTTGGAGTATATTGTGAAACATATATCCCACCAATTGATGCTTGTCGGTTCATCGGAATACTCGCGCTTCACGTGCAGCTACAACACCAATGTCTTGCCGCTTGTTCCGAAAACCAATTGCCTCTCACTTCATGTGTTTCATGGCCCGAAATATGGCCGACAAGTCGTATAAAATGCGTAGCGAGCCTCTTAGCTGTCCTAAAACTCCTGCCAAGATGTTTCGTAGATTGAGCCATGCCTGAATCTGGCGACGATGATCAAGTAATCAATGAGACTGTAGCCACTAAGCCCATTAAGGCAATCCTGATCGAGTAATCATTCTAGTCGAATGCGTCCAGTCTATGAAACTGCGAGTTCTTAAAGTACATCCTTTGTATCGATAATGAATGGTCGGACTCTGTCGAGAGTCCCTAGGACGCTGGATCTGAGATGTCTGAGTGTGCACTGCTCTAGTTGTCGCACGCGCAGCCGATGACGTGTCACGGCGTGAATGTTCACAATTTCCTATGTGGTTGTGAACTCTTTTGAGAGTTATCCTTACTTACTTAGCCTATAAGGCTTGTCCAGGTCGCTCAGCGACTGTGTTGCTCATCCTACATGATCTGATACTTCATGAGACGGATGCCACAAATGATAGAACAGCTCGAATACCACAGCTGCCCCTTCATCTTCATACTTTTTTTCGACCTTGTTCATACTCCATCTACGTCAGATCTTAGTCCCTAGCCTATTTTGAAGCAATCTTATTGAGCCTACCTATCTGCATTTCAATAGACCACAGCGCGGAAATGAGTCGCTGACATGTTCGTCCACGAAAATTTCCTCCACGAAACTTCCCAAGAACCCGAAACACAACTCGGCGGTCACGGTAATTTATTCTGTCTTGGATCGCATGCGAGCGGGGAGAAAAAGGAGCGCCTAATTTATTCAAGCTGAGCTCTGGAGCTCACGTCATGCTGCACCATTCACTGGATGAATCGCTGGATTGGAATTCGCATTTTTGTGATATATTTCAATTTATCATTATTTGTGTGAGCATCGTAAGTCTATTCATGTCACCGGCGATGTATCACCACCATCCAGTTGTACCTCGAGGATTGCTCTAATCCTCGCTTTCTATCCCAATAAGAAAACCGCGCTCTAGTTCAATTCGGCTGTGGAAGTACCAATCTGCTGTCTCACAGTTGTGATAGGACCGTTCATCTTGATGTCGAAGTCGCCGGAAAGAGTTTTGCTACGATCTCGGGGTTAGCATATATCCCGACTTAAGTTCAATTGCAATGACTTACCCGTTGACAGCGTGTAGCAACTTGATTTGGTGGCCTTGTGCCTCGTTGATCTGGAAGGTCCACGCCTTGTTGTCGCAGGCGTACATACCACCAATCACGTAGTGGTCAGCGCCGCAGTTGATGTCGTCCACGGATAGGCTGAAAGAGATCTGGTCGTAGCCGCTGACACCGACGTAGAGGAAGTTGGAGATGGTGACGTTCTCGGCAACGGCAAGGCCGGCAAAAAGTGCGGTGATGGCGAACTTCATTTTGATGGATGTTTGGTTTAGTAGCGAAAGTGCGAAAGTGTGAAAGTGGAAAGAGTCGTGCAGCGAGAGACTGATCGTTTGCTGTTGAGGTAAAGATAACTGGGTGTGGACAGGCTGAATGTTATATATGTTTGTCGAAGTCCGTCGTTACAGGGAGGGAAGCCATCTAGGGTACGCCTATTTTGGGCGTCGGCGCGGCGAAAGCTTGTGCATCGATCTATACGATGTTACTTCGGAGACCACTTGCCCGTGCGGTGATTTCATGGGCAAATGCTGAACTTAGTGTTGTTAGTGTTGCCGCTCAAGCCACTGCCGTATGGTCCATCCCGGCGGGCGATGGCGTGAGCGAATGAGTGCAGCCTTCAGATCTTGTCGCAGCCACATTAAAAGTCCCCAGGTTCGCTTTTGTCAGTCAATCCTTTCACACGCTTTCCTCAATGGACACAAACTCTAACAGCAGAGTCTCTTTGCGTCGCTGTAGGCAAAGACGAAATTGGATTTGTGGGCGGTCTCCATAACCTCGTAATGACGACGAACGGGCCTTTGACCGCTTATGCGCTCGATAGTGCTGCATCTCCATAGTATCTCCAAGCAGGTAGATAGGCCGATTTCAACGTCTTAATTTGGGAAGAATCTCATCGCCATACGAGAAACTTCAAGAAGCGAATGCGTCAATATCAGAGCGCTGGAAACCACTGCAGACAGCTGTAGAACGGTAACATAAGTTCACCACATTCCGCTGATTCGGTAATTGTGGACGCAGAAACTGCCGAAACTAAAAATAAGACGAAGATATCATGCCTGCGGTCGGCGAAAGTTGGCGTTCCGCCAGATCATCAAGGGGGTTGGCGCTAAAACAATAACACGACGACCCTGTTTCAAACTATCGATGATCGATAGCCACTAATTCGTATGCAGCGATCATTTTGTATTAAACAGAATTTCAGAATTCAAGTTGCGCGTAGCTGCAGAGGGGATGTTTTTCTACGTGTTGATAAACTTTCATGTTCCTGAGGTAGGCTTGGCAGTCGGAGCTACATGCGCCGACCTTAGCAGCGACTCCCGAAGATTAGCCGATTTCCAAGCATACCTCAGGAACATCAAAACTTGGTGTCAGCAGGAGGAACAACCCCTCTGCGGCCACGCGCGACGTAAATTCCGAAATTCTGTTCAATACAAAATGATCGCTGCACACAGATTACTCGGAACGCAGCATGCAGCAACGAAAAGCACGCTAGTCGCGAAGTTGAAATTGTGAGATCCACAGGTCTCATGCGGGCTCAATGATCTGTGCTTTGTCCACGACTTCACCGCTTTTCACCGGGTCTGTTAAGGGTAGTACGAACCACCTCGTATGCCGGGTGCCAACTATCCTCAATTTTCGATACTTTGCTCGTTGCATCGCATGGTGACAATTTGTCGATCTCGCATCCATCGAAGTGTGTGACGAAAACTGCGCGGTCCATTATGCGCAAATTCTAGCTATCTTCGCCTCAAAACCATCTCTACTAGAGAGCCTTTTCAGACCCCTTGAGTCCATGGGTATCTAAACGCGCTGCAATGTCATCTCTTCAAACGCCTGAACAGATCAAAAACTCCTCTCTCGATGAACTCATTGCTATCGTTCAACCCACCATCCCGCCAATTACCGCCAGAATCTCTTGCACCCTGAATGGCTTCGGTATAACAGTATCCATACCCGCCTCCATCGCCATGGCAATCTGACCCGCTCTCGCATTCGCTGTGACGCCAACGATTACGTTTGGAGTGCACGCCAGCTGCTTCTCTATCTCTCGAATTCGTTTTGTCGCGCGGAGTCCGTCGCAAATCGGCATTTCCCAATCCATCAATATACAGTCGAAATGTGCCGCTGCTCCTTGTATGGAAGGCGGGGTGTCGAATTCAATGGGCTCGTTGTGTAAGGTGAGGATGGTATCAATGGCTTCGCCGCCATTGCTGCAGACATGTACCGTGCAGCCGGATCTTGTGAGTTGCTTGGCGAGGACCTTTTGGTTGAGGAGATTGTCTTCGACGAGGAGAATGCTGTGTCTTGGTAACGGTGGCGGTATCGATAGCTGCGGACTAGGCAGTTGTGGCCTTGGGTGCGTTTTCGCAGTCGATGCGACCGTGTTTGTTGAAGATGCCGATCCGGTCTTCACTGCCTTCTGTGCCACAGACATCCGAGCTTTTGTATAAAAGGCGAATGTACTTCCAACGCCATATTCAGAGCTCATACCGATTTGGCCACCTTGTAGCTCTGCCAGCTCTCGAGAAATGTACAGGCCAAGACCTGAGCCACCGTATTTTGTATGCGTTCTACGTTCTGCTTGCTCGAACTTGGCGAACACTTTGCTTTGGGAGTCCGCTGGTACACCTGAACCGCTGTCTACAATAGCAAAGTAAAGATAGACTTCTTCACCTTGCCCATAGTCTGTTTCTTGCGTCATGTCGGGTCGTGCTATCCCTGTAGAATGCCACGCAAAGCCCAGGCCAAATAAGTCAGCTGATGGAGGCTGTGGACTTGAGCCAAACCTCATCATGATGCTTCTTGTTCTTCGGGTCTTCGTGAACTTGATGGCGTTCGTAAGCAAGTTCACCAGAATTTGCATCAGCCTCGAAGAGTCGCCAAGGACTGTCGATGTGACAGTCAGAGGCGACGTTTCGTCTACAGATCTTTTGGCGTCGATGTCTTGAACTTCGAATTCAGTTTTGAACATCTGCGCAGCGTGGTCCAGCAAGTCGAATGGATAAAATGCTAGTGGACAAATGGTCAAAAGCTCTGAATCAAGCTTGCCAAGCGTCAGGATGTCGTCGATGATGCGGCGTTGATGGGCTGCGCAAAGCAGTATCGACTCGGCCGCTTCCGCGTTGAGCTTGATGATCTCGATAAACGACTGGTTGTCCATCGTCAACTTGGCGTCTTCATACGATAATATCACGCTATCAGCACATTGAGTGATGGCGGATAGAGGGTTACGCATCTCATGCGATGTGATATCGATGAACTCTTCCTGCCTCTTTTTGTCCCTGAGCGCAACCTCGGCATTGTGTACATGGAGATGTTCGATCCACTTCAGATGCGATATGTCTGTCAGGGAACCTTTGAGCGATTGTACCATACCATCTGCTCCGACATCTGGAGAAGCAGTGTGCAAGACCCAGAATGGTACGTCCGTTGGCGGGTGAGCGAGACCTATTTGCGGAGGTGAATAGCGCCGTTTGAGACGCAAATTACCGGAAATCTCCACCCCATCTATCAGGCTTCTTATCATCTCTTTGTCGCTGAATTCGTGATCCTCCGGAAGTATGTAGTCTTTCCAGACGAAAGAAAGACCACGGTGCTCTTCCGGTACGCCCAAAATGTCGTAGAAGTGACTATTTGCCCAGACAACCTGTCCCGTAGGCGCGAAGTCGTAGATACCGACGGGTGCTATCTCGGCAAATCTGCTCAAGCGTCTTTCGGTTTCACCCAACTTGATAAGCAGTTGGTCTTCGCGCATCTGAAGCTCTTCCTCTGCTGTGACCCTCGTAGCGATCTCGCGTAGATGACGTGCTATGTCGGTGACGAACTGCTTGTGGTCTGTATCATAGTCTCGCCGGGGGTTTAAGCCAAGAATGATGTGCCCTTTGTCAACTCCGCGGGCGCGCAATGTGATGACAACGAGGTATCGGCTTGGCTCACCAAATCCGAGCCAATCGACGTTGGTAAACAGTGCTTGATCTACCTCTTCTTCAACTGAGTCCTGAAAGCGAGCATGAAAGATTAGCTTCGTTCAAAAAGAGGATTGGAGAGCAGTTGCATGACAAAACTTACAACGACTAGAATACCTTCAGCTGAACTCATAGCACGGCGGAGAAGTGGAGCTAGCAAAGCGTCAGTGCCGGTGGATTCGAGCTGCAAAAGGGTGTTAGTCAGTGGACCGTAAAATCGGTACACTCCGAGCAGTCATTCCTAGACTGACATCTAGATAGTTCGGGGCAGCGGCGTATTTTGCACCAATGCCTATGGTGTGTTCCAGGCGAAGAAGTCCGTCTTTTGCACTTCCTTCTTGGGTGCTGTACATGATAGCCATCGGAATGTCGAGCGGATATTCTTGAAACACTTCGTAGATGTGTTGCCAGATGAGTTTGGTGCTCACGACTTGCGAGTGACCAAGTCTGTTGATCAAGGATGTCCTTCGGTCACGCAATTTTGTGCGTGTGACCTCTACCCAGGAGAAGTAGACACCTCCATGGTTACCGTCATCGTCCTTGAGTGAAACGAGCCCACCATCCCACCACGTCTCTTCCAGAAAGCCATTCCGCATGAATGAAAGTTCTAGTCCTTTTCGAGCAAAGCCATGTTGTTCCTTTTCAATAGTAAGAAAAAGCTGACCAAAAAGATCCCAGAGGCTTGGCATTACTTGTCCAATTGAGCTCGTCATCATGGTGGGATCAAGGGCTCCGATAAGTGACGGAAGATGCTCGTTATAGATTGCGATGCGTTTGGGACCCCAGTATATGGCAGCGGCACGGCTGTCCGAGAACAGCATGTGCGTGTACAAGCGGAGTGAGTGCGGCCACGTCCTGTAGTGGCCCAGAGGACTCGCTCCCCAATCCAACTTTCGGAATAAATCGACATGATCCGTTGTATAGAGATCATCAGTCCAATTCAAAGCTTTCGAAAGGCTCGTAAACTCGGTTTCAGACGACGTGGGAGTTAGCTTTGGTCGCAAAGTCAATGACTTCTGTTGCGTTGCACTCTCAAGCTTCCATTTCCCAAGCTCTTTGTCAAAGCAAGCTAAGCGTGTCTCAATCCCGTCAATGACGATCTCCAGGTTCCAAGAAATGTTTCCTACTTGGTCACATGACTGTGTTATACCAAGATCCGCGAGTAAGCCGTCTGGAGCGATGCGATCCATGTTACGCACGTGGGAGGCGAAAGCCCGTTGCACGAGGGGCTGTTCTGAAAAATTTCAAGCAGAATAATTATTTCTGTGTTTTACATGGCGGTTCAGCGGGTTCGGACAGCGAACTTTGAGCGAGCGGCTGGAGGTAGTACTTGGAAGGCGACATTTACAGGCTCGTCAACGCTAATGTGGACAGGGTTAGTAGCCATAATCAAGTGAGCAAATCGGCCCACTGTTATTATCGTTTGCAAAAGATGTGCACCCCCCCTCAGCCTCACTGAATAGAGCGTAGAGACACCTCCGTATACTCCTATTGGCTTAGATCTTCGTGATAGTCTAAGAGGGTCTAGATAGCCGTTAACAGGTGTCACTTTTAGAGCGAACCAGATAATTCTAACCTCTAAAATTGCTGCCCGCAATATGATATCATCAAGTACATCACCGCTCTCCTATTACATCATTATTTATCATAGACTTTTGTCATTATAGAAGTTCTAGGGGGGTGCACATCTTTTGCAAGGCACCGATAAACCCTGTGCCAATCAGAAGTCGATCCACGCAACCAGGGGTATCAACCGAGACTTGGCCTTGTGATAATTTCATGGGGACGGAGATCGAAAATAGCAGTCGCTTATCGTAAGTCGTGTATTTGAAGTCCTGGAAAACCCAAACTCCATCAATGCTTCAAACACCCTACAATGCCCATATATCCAACTCCACGCTATGCTTATATACAATCCGCTCTGAATGCAGCAAATGATTAGAAACTGAAAAGACCACTCCTCCTCTTTCCTAGGGGGTAGACGATCAAAGCGGCTAGGAACAAGCCCACCGTGATACCAATGGCGATCTGGATAACGGAGAAACCAACGTTGAGCGCAATGCTATTGATCGTGCTGCTTGCGCCAACATCTGCAGCGCTGATTGTAGTAGCGTTCGCTGTGCTGTTACGAACGATTTGATCGGCTGACACAAGACCGGAGACGAGCGAACCCTGGACACTGAGGCCAGAGGGCACTTGGACGAAGATGGCGGGCAGCATGGCTGCAGCAGCAAGACCATAGCCAATCTTGCGTGTGTGAGGAACAAAGTCGCTAACGGAACTGGCTCGTGATGTCGGCTGGCTGCCACTGTGCGTCGGATTGTACTCGGATCGCTCGACCTTGTGAGTGCGGAGAGGACCATGACTACGTCGACGCCAGACCTTACGGATCTTGACGAGGCGAGGACGGAGCTTGTCCTCCCATGTACTGATACACCAGTTCTCGACATGACGGCCAAATCGTGCATGTATGTTGGCAGCGATACCAATAGCGAGGGCGCCGAGCGTGTTGCTAACCTGGGCGTTGCTCTTGAAGTAGGTAGAGCTGTGGAAGTTGACGACCCAGCCGATGAAAGCAATGACGGTCATGGAAGGCATTTGCTTGTACTTGGCCTGGTTGACGATCATGAGGCAGAGAGCAAACGCCGGGACGAAGAGATAGTAGAAGTTGGTCGACATCGGATCATGGCACGTAGTGCGGGATGTTGCGTTCTTGTCCATCATACCATACAGGACCGTGCCGATCGTAATACCGAAGCCAAGGAAAAGGGAATAGATGATCGCGTACACCATTCGTACAGAGCCAGCAACAATGTGCTTAGATTGCAGTTCCAGGGAGGCGCATAGAACCATGAATCCAGGTAGGATGAGGGCAATGGACGACTGCGCCATAGCACTGAAGCAAAATATCTCTTTGCCATTGCTGCCCTTGATGGATCCAAGAGCGCGCGCGGCGAAGCTGGTGATGACCGAAGCGCCGATCTCGAACACATTGCTAATGAGGTCGTTACCAGGAGCGACAATAAGCTGCAACCATCCGATGAGACATCCGAGAAGGAAGCAAAATGGAAGGTCGATGAATCGAGCTTGGAAAGCAAATGGTCCGACAGTGGCAGATGCGCAGCCATACATGAACACTCGAAACCAGCGCCTGAACTTGGCTTTACGTCCCATGATCTCATCCAAGCGTGGCGTAGCTTCTTCAACACCGATGCGGTCGTGTACGACATCTTTGTAGATTTCGTGAACGTCGCGGAGCTTGCCAAGATCGACACCTTGAGTAGTTCGGACGAGCTTCACCTCGCTGGTATGAACAGAAGAGTCGTCAAATGCGACGATCATGCAGCCAGGCATGTACAGAAACTGTGCCTCAATCTCCAAAACGCGAGCCGACATGTTGAGGTACTCTTCCAGTCGATGTGTGGGTGCACCATACATCATCAGAGCTTTGCAGAGCTTGCGTAGATAGTTCTGACGCGCGAGGGTACCAGCACTGCAGTAACAAATTAGCCTAATACACAATCGAAAAGACTGTGGTTGACTTACAGGTGGATCTTGATCTTGATTTCAGTGTCGCGTCGTTTAGCTTTCTTGAACCCGAGGACGGACTCGTCAGACTTTGTTCGCTTGCCCATGCCAGGACGGGTCTTCTTGACCTGTTCGTCGAACTCATGGCCCAGATCTTGTTGTGCTGGCGTGGCAAAGCTACGAGCAGAGGATCCCACCAGCTGCGAGATAGACGTTCCCGACTGGTTGTTCTGATGCCGGAACCATGGTCGTGCAGCCCGCGGGGTGCTGTAGCCCGACTGCGGCGGTGATGGATTGGGGGAGTTCGCGGCAGTCGATGCACCGCTGAAAGTACTTGCGCTAAGGTTACGGGCATGACTATTCTTATATGATCGACCGGCGGCACCTGGAGCCTGCGCGGCGGCAGTGTTGGCTCTCAGAAGGGTACCCAGAACTCCCGTTCGGTACTTGGTGGGCCGTGAAACGCGCTCGTCTTCGACCTCGATATTGTCTGGAGTCACTTGGCCTGATTGAAGTGGTGCATCGGTATGATAGAGGTCTTCAGGACTAATAAGACCTGATTCTGCAGCACGAATCGTATGTTGACGTAGAAGCATAGAAGCACGCTTCATGAACTGGGGATCGTCTTCTTCGTCAATGGCTTCGTCAACAAAGTCGTAGGTTCGTGTCAAGTCCTGAAGCTCGACTGGGGGCGACACAAGCTCCCGTGAGTTGCGGCGACTGACTGGTGCAGAGTAAGTTCCAACAGACTTCGACAGTCGTGCAGCTCGCTGTTGAGCTGCGAGCCCTGAGCGCTGCTTGAGCTCTGCCTCGGCCGAAGGTAGTATTTCGGCAGTATCGTCGAACGGGTTGTCGTTGAGATAGAACTCAGGAGGCGTACGGGGTCCTTTTCGAATCGCTGGTCGAGGCCTTTGTACATCGCGAGGCAGCTCGATGAAATCTGGACGCACTACTTCTGCTGTCGGTGGTGGCTGTGACTCAGTGTGCTCTTCGGCCAATGCGAGTCGCAATGACTCTCGCATCGCAGAAAGGTCATCTTGTGTCACATCCGGCCTCTGGAGAGGAGTATTATGACCACCAGATCCAGTATCTTGGTCATCGGGGGATTGTGTGGAGAAAGGTCGTGGAGCATCTGAAGTGAAGCCAACACGCTTGCGCCCCGCACCGGGGGTAGTAGCCATGTGATCTTCAGCGTCGTGGTGGGACTGAGAATGAGAGTTGGGAGGCCCAGCGTCTTGAAGGGGATCCATTGTGGGATTATTATATGCCCCAATGCCCACCTGACACACTAACGGCGGAAGGCACGCTTCCTGTGCGTGAAAACGGCAGGCTCAGAATTTGAGCTATGCTGAGTTGAAACACTAACGGAAGCACGTGTAGCTATTGTCCGGGAGTTCAGTGGCTAGCGATAAGCTTCGGGACCGCTTGGTATACCTAGCTGAAGATCCTCAAGCTGCGGATGGGCTTTTGGTAAATTGCGCTGTCGGGTATGAATGGGTCCTTGGGCGCGACGGTCACTCTTGTTCGGCGGGCCACTAGTTTGTGTTGATGAGGACGACCGTGGCTTAGAGCTGCAGTATGCACGATAATGATTCAGATTGGCGAAAACCCGTTGTCGACGGTGGTGACTGAACGGTTCTGTAGACCGTGAATGCACTTTTTGTGGTACTGATAAGAGACTACTAGTGGCGCATGGACTGCACGCGTGTGCGACAGATGGCCAGATAGGTTGAATACAATCTGAGAGTGACCTGTGGCGAAGTGCAGACCCAGTTTTGTTTCAATTTCGTACGGCCAGACTGTTCGATTTACCTGTTCGTCAGCTTGGACAAAGAAATGGTGGAGCTGCAGGGAAGTGTCGAGAACACCAGAACCCCAACGCGCATAAAATGCAAGGGAAGCTCTTAGTGCTGGATGCGGCTGACGGGAGTGGCTGCCATGGCGTGGAAGTATATCAGGGTATAGTAAGGGCCGATTTTGTTGTGTCGAAAGTATGCCGAACGTTACATAGAATAAATGCCCTATCTGGCCGAGACAGAAGAATTTTTAAGGGGAAGCAAGTCACGGCCGCATTTGCGCGAGATGCAACACACATCATCAGAACGAACAAATGAATACAGCCAGAATGCAGACAAGACAATGAGGCTCTTGACTGACGACACGTTCCGGACACAAAACTCAATGCGAACAAGATGTGCGACTGGCCATTCCATGCTCGGTAGCGGGCGCGAGGGAAAAGTGGACATGTCGTTCCAAAGGCTTGGTGTGTGCTCGTTCGGGCAATCCGAGATAACAAGAGAAGTGGGTATAACTGGGTCAACTGCGTCTCTGTTTGCGCGGTCACCAATAAAGGGGCATCGTGCATGCTTGAATGCATGATAAGCTAGGTGGAGCATTTCTGATGTTGTGTCGAGATCGAGGGCAAACAGCAGCTGGCATCGCATCGCGCGAACTAAGTCACGGCCAGCAGCGGCAAAGGATTGCAAAAGGATTGGGAGAAGTCTGCTGGGGCGAATAAAGACTCAAAGGCAGATGGCGTGCTGGCCGTCGTAGTCGCTTCGATGTCGTTGAGATGGTGGCGGCCGTACCTAGGAGGCTGAAAATGCTTATTTTCCGCCGGATTCCCAACAACACAGCTCCGACGCACGCACTGACCTGTTTCGGTGTGACCATCACATGTCTGGCCATGAACGTGGGATGCGATACGGATTGGTGCGGGTCGTGTCCTTCGATGACGTTGCTTACCAAAATAGATGGCGCTTCCAATTTTCTCGAAGCTCAACAGCGGCAAGCAATCGGACATGCGCGGCTCCGGACGCGTACAGGAGTAAAGAGCACTGTAAGTACTCATCCAGAACACTGGTTCCGGCGCCTTCGCTTTCGATGTATAGAGGACTTGGTGTTTGGATTGTGGCTAGAAAAGGAAGCGCGGTTGATCTGTTTGATCGCTGAAGTGAAATAGCGATCCACGCATATCCGTTTGCGGAAGACACCCGTGGACGTGCGTGCTGTCGCGTCCCAGTTTATGCCAACGATCCGAGACCAACATAGAACAGCTTCTATCCGATGGTGCAGTGATGCTTCAGGGTCATGAACGTCATAAGTCGTACTCGCCCATCGAGCAACTCCACTTTCCCCTCGACTCGTTCCCCGACCGTGATTGAATCAGTTACGCATCACGTGCGCCGAGACATGACGTCGGAGCGGTCCTATGATCCGCCGAATGCCGATTAGATCTTGTGGAATGTGGGGCATCTAAGGCCTCTTTCCCCGCAGTGTAATTGCAGCACGGCACGTCTGCTTGAGGAGAGCCTGGAGAGGAGATCCCGTCCCCAAGGGGTCCATATGCCCCACCTTGACGAGATGTCATCTAAAGGATCCGTACCGTGGAAAGATTGACCAAGTCTGACCTACAGTACTGACAGCAGCAAGCTAGAACATCAATATGCCTAAGATTAACCATGTAAGTGCACATCCATCCTAGCGTTACATGTGCTGATTAAGCAGGTTGTGATTGTTGGAGCTGGCCCTTCAGGCCTTCTTCTTGGTACACTGTTGGCGCGCAACCTGAGTATTAAAGTCACCATTCTGGATGCGGATACAAAGGTGAATGGCAATCCACGCGCAGCCCATTACGCGCCATCAGCGGTATACGACTTCCATCGCGCTGGTATTATCGATGACATTCGAAAGGTCGGTCTTCATCCTAGGGGCGTGTGTTGGCGCTTGCAGGATGGAACCTTCCTGGCAGGTATGGGTCGGGAGCCAGAAGATTCCAAGTACTCCATGGTCGTGCTTCCTCTGGACCAACTCGGACCACTCATCATCAAGCACTTCGAAAGCTACCCCAACACTGAGATATTGTGGGGCCATAAGCTCGTGGGTGTCGAACAAGATGCCAATAGTGCTACTGCCACAGTAGAAACCCAAGATGGACAAACCAAGAAAATTTCTGGGGACTACCTCGTCGGCGCTGATGGTGCATCGAGTGGTGTAAGAACTGCGTTGTTCGGGAAAGAATACCCAGGCGAAACACTAGATCAGCAAATCGTGGCCACAAACGTAAGTCATAAAGACGAAGATTGATCATTTTGCTGAGTTGATGTAGGTCTACCTGCCATTTGACGAGAAATTCGGCTTCTGGGACTCCAACTTCATCTGCCACCCAACAGACTGGTATATGGCTGCCAAAATCACGAACGACGGCTCTGGCGCGTAACTTACGGTGACGATGCCGGACTTTCCAGAGAAGAGCTCATCAAGCGTCAACTGCGCGCTACGAGAAGATCTTGCCTGGAAACCCGAAGCATGATGAGTACAAGCTTCTCAGTATGAGCCCATACAAGCTGCAACAGCGCTGTGCCCCAAGTTTTCGCGTGGGCAAAATCGTGCTTGTAGCGGATGCCGCGCATCTATGCAATCCCTTCGGTGGTCTTGGCCTCACCGGCGGCTTTGCAGATGTCGGATCGCTGTACGACTGCTTCACTGGTATCCATCAGGATGAGCTGGACGACTCGATCCTCGACAAGTACAGTGAGATACGCATCAAGATCTGGCGCGAGATGATCGACCCTATGTCGCGAGAGAACTTCCATCGCCTCTGGGATCCAGCCTTCGAGAAGAAGCGCGACGAATTCTTCAAGATGTGCGAAAAGGCGAATAATGATCCGGTGTGGGGCAAGAGTATCGCAGAAGCGATTCATGCTGTCAGACATGACTTTACGCAGTATTTCAAGAGCAGACAGCAGAATGGCACGACAAATGGGACGAACGGAATCGATTCGAATGGCGACGTGAAGCATAGTATCGCAAGTAAAGCTGCTTCTTAGCTGATGTTCAATAGTTGAATAAATAATTAGTATCATTCATTCCATAATGTTGTACTCCTTTGTATTTATGGGTTCGATCTATGAAGCACTCGGCGGCGGCGGTCCCGGAATCGCCCCGATTTGCATCATCAACCCAAAGATATCTGGCTGTCCCCTCTCCTCCACAATCTTGCCATCCGCAAAACGATAGATGTTGAGAGCCGTCATGCAAATGCTCTTCCCTGATGCAGGCACACCCATGAAGTCACCCTTGTGCGTGCCCCGAGTTTCAAAGCGTGCGACTACCTTATCGCCTTCGCTAATAGTTTCTTGCAAAGTCCAGTTGATGTCAGGGAATGCGCCGCGCATCGTTCCGAGGATGTGGAGATAGCCATCCAGTCCTTTGAGAGGCTCGGGTCCGAAGGGGACGTGGAAGATGGCTGAGTCGGATACAACTTCTTGGCCAATCTTTGTGTCGCCCGAGTTGATAAATTCTATGAAGCGTTGTAGGTGAGGCAGGTTGTTTGCGGCCATGGTTCGAGATGGATGAAGGATAGAGCTTGACGAAGGCTCTTGTGAAAAGTTCACGGAATCGTTGTAACTTTTTCCCTGAGATTGCTGAATGGAGAGCTGGTATGTTTTTTTAGTATTACAAGAGTCCTTCCCGTGGAAGCTGTCATTTATGCAGACGGGATCCGATCGGAAAGCACGACATCATAGCGTCGCGTTGATTTTTGCACTAGCGAGGATTGGGAATTGCAATGCCGGACAAATAGACCCGCTCGGCTTTCTTGCACCTTCTGCGCTCCACAGCAGACACGAGATTGGCGGCTAATATTTCAGCATCACAGCTCTGAGATTCTGAAGTTTGAACGTGAAGAGCTGCAACAGTATCAAGAGCTTGATAGTGGTGATGAGGTGAAGTAATGTATCACGCCAACCTTATTTAAGTCTAATCTTCAGCCCCACCCTTGGCTTCAAGATCAATGTGGCTGAACAATGTAAAGTTCGAGTGATTGATAATTGCTGATTGATTATTATGTGAGAAATGGTACCAGTAGAAACGATTCATGGCCCGCAGACAGATAAGGACAGAGCTGCCGACGTCGGATGAGTCCCCTGCATCTTCGCACTTCCGCCGCAAAACTGAGCGGATACCGAGAACATTAGTAATCCAAGGGGATTGCATGCTTTGAGATATTCTCTCCCAGATGTAGAAGGTAATAACGATTGAGTATTATAGCTGTATTTCTGTGAGATATGTAAAAACGCTGCGCGCAGTTGAGGAGGTGAGAAGGCGGCAGCAACGGTCCTTTCCAAGTATCATATGTTTGGAAGGCAAGCAACACCATAGCACTAAGATTGTTCGCAAGTTTTTCTGCATCTCTCTATGCTGCGGAAGGATTACCACAACAACGCAAACAAATCAATGAGTTATCTGGACAATTATTCAGGATATTCATGCTTTCTATTCTAGAGACGACTGATACAATATTCCCCACTCCTTTGCTAATATCACACTGTAGCGAGAAAATCAAATGTACATGGACTTATAATTGCTCCAGCTCCAGTCAGCGTACCGTCCCGCCTCGCGCTCCCCCATTCACAGAACATGGACATGATGCGTGCTTGCAGCTGCAGGACGACAGACGTGCGCCACCTCAGCCGCACATCCTGGGGGCGGAAATACTGCGCCGCAATTCGTCTCACTACGTGACCTCTGCACTCCTTCTATTTCTTCTGCCTGACATAAAGACACCATGCCTAGCAGCGACCTTCGCCTGCTCGCCCTCGACGGCGGCGGTGTGCGCGGCCTGTCCGCTTTGATGATCCTCGAGAAGCTGATGGAGGCTGTCGACCCAGACGCGCCGCCAAAGCCGTGCGATTACTTCGACATGGTCGGCGGGACGAGCACGGGGGGGTGAGCAGTCGTAATCGCGGGTTGTGAAGAGCGAGCTAACCCTCCAGCCTCATCGCCGTCATGCTGGGCCGGCTGAGGATGAGCGTGGCAGACTGCATCACGGCATACCTGTCACTCTCCAACCGCGTTTTCCGCAAGACGCAACACCGGGTGACGGTCAAGGGCAAGATGCAGGGCCGCTTCGACGCAGAGGAGCTGGCGCGGGCGGTGAAGGAGGTGGTCAAGCAGCAGGGCCTGCCAGAAGATGTGCTGCTCAAAGACGCGCCTGAAGCAGGATGCAAGGTGTAGGTCAAGTGCGTATGCTTTAGCGAACCGTAGACTGACCACGACAGCTTCGTGTGCGCAACGAGCAAGGAGACGAACGAGACGGTCTGCCTCACGAGCTACCGCACCCCGCGCGGCAACAGCGACCTCCTTAACAGCGTGACCATATGGGAGGCGTGCCGAGCCACGTCGGCAGCCACCTCCTTCTTCGACCCGATCGCGGTGGGCAGGTTTGGCGAGGAGTTTGTGGACGGGGCGACGGGCGCAAACAACCCGGTGCGCGAGGTGTGGGACCAGGCGCAGCTGGCGTGGGGACTAGAGCCGCTGGAGGGCCGGGTCAAGTGCCTGGTGTCGATCGGGACAGGCGTGCCGTCGCTTAAGCCGTTCAAGAACGACGTGCTGCACATCGGCGAGACGCTGGTGGCGATCGCCACGGAGACTGAGCAGACGGCAGAGAGGTTCCGACGCGAGAGGGCACTGCTGGACAGCACTGGACGGTACTATCGCTTCAATGTGGTGCGGGGCCTAGAGGATATTGGACTGGAAGAGGCGAAGAAAGTGAAGGAGATGGCAGCAGCAACGCGGCGGTACATCAGCTCGCACGAGGTGCATACACAGATGCAGGCGTGTGCAGGCAGCATTGCAGGCAGAGAGTGTTAGTCTGGATGTCGCATTCGTGCAGGGTCTAGCTAAGATGTGTAGACTTTGGCGAATATCGAACCGTCTTCAGCCTCGAGGGCGTCCCAAGAGTGCGTCAGTTCGTGGACAGGCCGGCGGAGATGGCAGAGCTCGAACGCGTGCTGGTGCCAGGACCACGACAGAATCAGCGTCAGAAGATACACGTACTGCATGGCCTCGGCGGGATAGGCAAGACGCAGTTGGCGGTGGAGTTTGCACGGCGACACCACCGCCGGTTCAGCTCAGTGTTCTGGCTGGACGGACGAAGCGAGGATACTCTTAAGCGCAGCATTGCGAGTTGCGCAAGCAGGATCCCTCAAGGCCAGATCTTAGAGACGAGCAGAACGTATGCTGCTGACAGCGGCACTAATGTGGATGCGGTAGTGAAGGATGTAATGGCCTGGCTTGCGCGGCCTGACAACACTACCTGGCTGCTTATCTTTGACAACGTCGACCGAGAGCACAAGGCGCAAGGCGGCGATCCAGATGCGTACGACGTAAAGCGCTACCTGTCAGGCGCCGACCACGGATCGGTGCTGGTGACGACGCGACTGGCGAGGCTAGAACAGCTCGGCAAGTCGCAGCAGCTGGGTAAGGTATCTGAGGAGCAGGGCCAGGCCATCTTCATGAGCTGGTACAAGAAGAAGCACGGTAAGCTGAGGCGACGGGCGTCTGGATGCAAGTCAATCATGCTAACAAGACACTCATAGACACAGCTGAGAGCGAGCGGCTGCTTGCGCTGCTAGATGGACTACCACTCGCAATCGCGCAGGCGGGCGCGTATCTGCAGGAAAGTGGAGTCGGACCGGCGACGTACCTGCGCTTCTACGAGCAGCAATGGAGCGAGCTGATGGAGTTGGACCAGCTGGTCGACGCGCCGCTCCAGGACTACCCTGATCGTAGCGTGTGGACGACATGGGCCATCTCGTACCAGGCGATACGCCAGAAGCACGAGGTCACAGCAAATTTGCTGCTGCTGTGGTCGTTTCTCGACAACAAGGACCTGTGGTACGGCTTGTTTGCTATGGGATGCATGCAGTCTCCTGTAGCTGCAAGGATGCTGTCAAGGTACATTGGAGAAATCTCGAGCAGCGAGATAACGTTTAGCAGAGCAATGCAGCTGCTGCGCAACTACTCGCTCGTCGAAGAGGTGGCAGAAACAGGAAGCTATACAACGCATCCAGTAGTCCATCAATGGGCATATCACTCGCAAGGCAGGTGCTTCGCGACGGAGCTGAGTCGACTGGCTGTAGTTGCTATAGGCTGGGCTGTGCCGAAGAGCTCTACTCGCGACTACACTACTTTGCAGCGCCGGCTTCTCCCACATGCACAGGCGTGTTCTAGACAGATATCGAGGGAGGAGCCAGCATGGAGTTGTGGAGATTACGGAGGTAGCAATGGCGCTGCGGACGACAAGGAAGAGCAAGAAACAGTGCTGAACGCTGTACATCTCCTGGGCTTACTCTACGCAGACCAAGGCAAGCTGGGCGAGGCGGAGCAGACGTACGAGCAAGCGCTGCGAGGGAAGGAAGAAGCATTCGGGCCCACGGACACGTTGACTTTGCAGACGATCGAAAACCTAGGCATCCTCTACGCGGACCAAGGCAAGCTGGGCGAGGCGGAGCAGATGTTCGAGCGGGCCCTGCGAGGGATAGAAGAGAGACTCGGACCCACGCACACGTCGACTCTGCATGCGGTTAACAACCTAGGCATCCTCTACAAGAACCAAGGCAAGCTGGGCGAGGCAGAGCAGATGTACGACCGGGCGCTGCGAGGGTACGAGAAGGCATTTGGGCCCACGCACACGTTAACTCTAGGAACGGTCATCAATCTAGGCATCCTCTACAAGAACCAAGGCAAGCTAGGCGAGGCGGAGCAGATGTACGACCGGGCGCTGCGAGGGATGGAAGAGGAACTTGGACCCGCGCACACGTCGACTCTGCTGGCGGTTAACAACCTAGGCAACCTCTACAAGAACCAAGGCAAGCTGGGCGAGGCGGAGCTGATGTACTTGCGGGCGCTGCGAGGGATGGAAGAGGCACTTGGGCCCACGCATACGTTCACTCTACAGACAATTAACAGCCTAGGCAATCTTTATGCAGACCAAGGCAAGCTAGGCGAGGCAGAGCAGTTGTACGAGCGGGCGCTGTGCGGCTATGAGGAGGCTCTTGGCCACGATCGAGTCCAGCAGTACAGGCCGGCACTTAACAACCTGGAAAATTTGGGTAATCTCTATGCCACACGAGCAGAGACCACCAAAGCCCGAGCAGTGTATACCCAGGCACTTACAGGACTCTCTCATGTTCTTGGTCCGTCGAGTGACAAATGTATAGAGTTAGCTACTAAGATAGATACTCTTTCTGTTCGTGACACAGGCAAAGAAGAGGTCTGAGACACTGCGCGAGGGAAGCAAGAAGAGTTCGAGACTACCAATACGGAGCGTCGTTAGGAAGGCGTTCTGATTGCGCAGTTTGTGAACTCCTAATACCTGAGATATATTAACAGCTAAAGTTTCGTATAACTAGATACGCTCAAAGACCTGCTCTATACTTAGGTCATACTATTCTTCCCTACCACAGTCGCGCTACTGGGGCTTTCCAAGCCTGTACTTCGCTCGTCCTTGCACCTGTAGCCTTTGGCTCTAAGGGTTCAGCTCTTTGTCCGCCTTCAGCAACCTGTACTCGCGGTACCTTGGCCTTGGGTTGAGAGGGGCCAACGCCTTCCGCAACCTGCATGCCGCTTGCCCGCACTACCTTGACCTTTGATCCTAAACTATAGTTCGATAGACTCGCGGAATGATTTTTAAGATGTTTGATTGGGAGAAATTTCTCGTCACGGCGTGATATTCGCTACGTCGTATGATATATTACTTCGGTCACTCTCCTAATTCACAGCTAACGTCTAACTTACTAATACGGTCAATCTCTAAGATTCCTTATTCAAGTCACTGTCTGGGGCACCATAACTAAACACATCGCATCCGTCGTACTACACGTCTGCCAAACATATGCCTCGCGGAGTACTTGGGTAGCGACCGCAGTAATCTGCGCGCTACTCACTGTAACGTTCGTTGTACTCGCTACCACACTAGTTTGAGTCACCGTCACATTACTTGTAACCTTCATTGTAGGCATTACAATCGTCTCCGGAGATTCGGGATGCTTGATGTAGTGCGCGGTTCGCAGCGACTTCCCGGTGAACATCGATGCGACGACCGCGCCGATGAGTATGGCTAGGAAGAGGATGATGCCGAACGTGATCTGGACGGGTCTTCGACACCAGAATAGGGGTATTTCTGGGCGGAGAGGAAGGTATTGTGGGAACGGTTCAAGTTCCACGGCGCCTGGGTGATCGAAATGGCTGGGTGAGGGGAGAGCGCTGTTGGGGTTGCTATGGTAAGACATGGTTGTTAATGCAATAGATTATGTTGACCAGGTGGGAATTTCTATGTCGAAGTCTTATTGACACAACATGAAAGGGCATTGTGCGTCTTTGATGCGCGTCAAAAATGCACTGTGTAAGGGATATGTGAGCGCACAACGTCTGGGTGCTGGACAGAGGATTGTCAAGGTAGTTAAATATGACAGGACGATCGACATAACGGCATTAGATTGATGAAAATAGGTTTCAAAATTTTAAGAGAGAGAATCAGTTGCGAGAATGAATTTAATTTATGTGGGAACTGCGAATAGTTCATACCGCACCGCGACCCTGTACTCGCATACACGAATACATGAGTCATACTTATGCCTTACATACTACACAAGAAAATACTGCTTTTGGATCTACCTGGCATGTTGCGGTCCGATCTTCCTTAAGATCGAGCTCCTGTTTCGTGCAGCGTTTAACGCACTCTGCATTCGTCGGCCAGTTGCCGACAATGTAGCACTGCCTACCTCCACCTTTCCCACGTCTAGGTGTAGAAGTTGGTTCTTTGGGTGCCTCGGATATAGGGCTTGGTTTCGGTGTAGGTGTCGAAGTAGGAAGTGGTGCCATCGAAGGCATCATACTCATACTGGTAGTGGTGATGGTAGTCGGTTGCGGGGTGATGGAGAGCTGCATCACTGATGTTGAATACTCTATCGTAGTGATGTTCTTAGTCTCGTGCTCTATGGGTACCGTGGTGAAGACAGGTCGGGTGGGCCTCGTCGCCATGTCCATACCAATTTTGCCGCCGACGAGGACAGCTGTGATGAGGGAGAGGATGATGACGATTACGCCGCCTATGATCCATCGCGACTTGCTGTTCAAAGAAGGGCGAGCTGACGGCTGCGCTTCCAAGTCACCAGGAAAATGTGGGTGGTTCGGATCGCGGTGGTCGACTGGAACTCCTGTGGTTTGAGCCTCTAGGGGCTGTGCTTGGGTGGTGCTGTCCATGCTAATGCGATTTGCTTGGGTCTGAAAGTTCATATGTTCGCCTGTGCTATGTTTCAAGGGACCTTGAGAAAGAGTTGGATGATTTCGCATGGACCAATGTACTCTGTTGTTTGGGCATTGTGATTGTGCAATGCGAAGTTTGCGACAATGTGCTTTCGGCGTAGGAGACCTGCACAATGGTCTTGGTCTTTAATTGATTGAGAGAATCGCTGCTGACAGCGCAAACACGCCTTTGTGACATGTCGAGCTATAATGCTCGAGGCGCGTTCGCTGTTCGTGTCAATAGATGGTCTTTCTGATTGTGGGAAAGGGTAGATCTGATAGCAGAACATCACATATCCACGGTTCCCTTTGCACCGAGTTGGCTGTAGCAGAAGTATCGCGCCTCATCGTTGCTCATCCACCTCCAGGTTTCGGCTTCGGCTTCAGCGCATCTCCTAACAACCCCGGGTCCAGCATCTTCGCCTCAGGCACCTCAACACCGCACTTGACATACATGCTACTCCACAGTGCGCCCACAGGCCTTTCTTCGGGCATAAACACAACAGTGTTGACAAATGTCTTCGTGGTGTTGAGGCAGTCTGGCATGTTGAATAGCTGTGCTTCGCAATTGTCGCCCTTGCTAGACACGAAGACGCCGCAACGCGCCTCACTCGGTAGATTAACGCAAGTCCCGTTCTTCCATTGTTCGAGCGGGCGCGGGAAGCGCATCTGCTGCACAACGTTGCCGCGACAGTGTTTTGGACCACCAGAGCCAGAGTAAGACAGTGCGACGATGGGGAGTTGCGGTGTTGGTGGTGGTCGCGGTGGTCGCGCCGGTTTACGCGAGGGCGAGGGCGTCGCGATGGGGCCGATTGCGCCTTCTGCGTCCCAACTTGCACTGGTTCGAGGAGTCGGAGTCGCTCCTAGCATGCCTTCTTCAATTCCAAAGGTTGTTGATACTGGTGGCAATGAAGTGCCTGGTATTATAGACGTTCCATTATACACATCGACGCGGTCGAAATCGCTTCCGTTGAGGCGTGCCTTTCCGGACAGGAGCCTCTCAGATTCTCCAACCTTAGCTGCTTGCGCGACTGTTACTTGGATGATCTTGTCTGGGGGTGCGCGGACTTCGATGGCGGTCGCGAGCGAGAGGGCGATGATCAGGATGAGGACGACGGATGATGCGATTATGATGATCCGTTGCGGGACTGTCATGATGGAGGCATCAGAGTTTATTTGTTGAAGATCAAGAGGAAGAGCAGCATTTGAGGTTCAAGATATCGGAACGGCTGCCAGGGTATGGTGTCGCGTTGCACGTTTCATCTCCACGAAGTCCTGAAACGCGCTTCAGAAGCGACCGTTCCCCAGCGTGCACACACAATTTTGTGCATCTAATCAAGTATGCAATGGGTGTTCAAGATCTAGAATCTAAGGGTGCTCTGTCAGTCAAAAAGAGTATGACTGGGAAGGAAATTTCCGGACCACCGCTTGCTCCTTGTACACACCACCGTCAGAATCTCTAAAAGCGTACACGAGAACATCCAGACACCTCAAATCCTCAGTGATTGTTCATCGCTTCCTTCACGATTCGTATCCGATCGCCATGTCGCAGCCAGTGTATGGGCAGTGAAGCCCACTCATCTCGGCTTAAGCACGCCACGAACGCGAGTTGGTAGGAAACGCTTTGACTGGGCCATGGGTCCGGGATCGGGTAGCTTCTGGTATGCAAATAGGCAGTTGGCAGTCATGTGTGTCCTATGGGCGTTGTAGAGTCGCACGACTCCGGAGTCCCGACATATGCTACAGCTGACTGTTGCAAAGCAATCCGAGCGGTGGTGATTCTCTCGCTGACAGCGCGTACAGAAATGCTCGCGGCCCCAGGCGGGAGGAGGATATGACTTGCCAATGGACACAACACTCTCAACTACTTCCTGTATGTTGCGGCCTTTTACGACAGCGGGTGGTTTGCCGACAGGATACAGGCCGTCTTTGAGTGCGAGGAGAACTGCAGCCATGAGCGTTCCTGCTGCATCGTTTCCGGCGGTATGCAGGTTGTCGATATGAACATTGAAGTATGTTAGGAGGTCACGCAGGCCGATATTCGGGCCCTTGGGACCTGCAATGCCAGCCTTGGTTGCCATGGCCTGCGTATCGATGACCTTGACGACTGTACCGTAACTACGCAGGTCCACTCCGAAAGCGCGCTGGATATGCTCGAACTCATTCTCCACCGCGTGGCCGATCAATATGATGGGCTGTAGGGACCCCACTTTATCACCACCCAGGCGAGGACGCACGAAGGTATCGATGACGACCTGCTTCGCTTCCTCCGCCGTGACGAACTTGGTGGTGCCGAAGTGGAAGATCTCAGGATCGCCAGAGCCCTTGAATGTATTCAAAAGATGTGCATGTGGCATGATCCGGGCATGCGCTACTTGGATGCCTGTCAAAATGTTCTCGGCGTGCGCGGTAGGTAGCATGCCTTTGGCTAGAAGCTCCGCGATACCTAGCACTTCAGTTAGATATTGCGACTAAAACAGATAAGCTGTTAAACTTACCAAGCTCGGTCGTGGGCTTCGGCTGATGCTGCCACCATTCAATATCCAGGCAGACAACGGCAGCTTCGTTCAATACCGACGGTGCGCCAAGGAGAGGAAAGCCGACGAAGTGGCGGACCACATCCGCTGCGTCAATGTCCGCCAGGGCGCGGGTCAAGTGCGAGTTCAGTTCCTTAGGCGAGAGTTTGTTGTTGTCACCCATACCGAACCCCGGTGGCCTCACTATGTGCACCATGTTGCAAGTGGCGCTCCAAGATGTGAGAAGAGTTGAGATGTTATGGTTGTCGGACTTGTGGAGTGGGAAGCGTTCCATGTGGTGCAGAAGTTGGGGAGAGAAATCTTATCGCCGGTAGAAGGTCGGAGCAAATAATGGCAATCTGCGGGAAGGTCTAGTGAAAGAGGTGAAAGTGGCTACCTAGGCTGTGACACACGCCGTAGAGAATTGTATGTTTCGTTTGCGTGCGCCACAGCAACCTCTGTCAGATGAAAATCCACTTAGAAGAACTTATTCGCAGACGAAATCATGCGAAATGTTGATCTCAGGAAGTAATCAGATCAGGTACAGCCAGCGCAGTTTCGAGACACTGGGCATGATGCTTCGGGTGATAGTATGGCAAGCATAATCGGGCGCATTGAGCATTGCGCTCTATTCCTACGGCCATTGATACGGAACAGGGGCGCATCTATAACAGAATGCTTGACAGGTCATAATGAGCTTTTGTTTATGTTGTTGAAGACCCCGAGAGAAGAGTGGGCTAAACATGTTGGGTCTAGCGCCGTTGACAAACACTCGAATCTGAGGTTTTGGCGAGAGCCATTCCATCTCTCACCCCGACACTGTCCAGCGTTTTCGTCCATCTTTCATAGCAGGGTTCTCCATATGAATCTTCCAACATGCGGGCACCAGACGCCACTCCGTGCGACGATCTTTTAGTCCCAAATGCCCATTTGCGCTACACGGCTTCGCAACATGCCTCTCCAAGCACATCATGCAGGCGTCATTGTTGTCCGCTTGTCTGGCTCGGAAATCGGGTAACCCGTTTCCAGTACCCTGTCCTCGGGCCTTCACTACGCTACCCACTGTTTTATTCTTATTATTAGCATGTCATGCTTCCGAGCCTACCGCTTGCTTTCCTTTGTTCGCTCACAGTCGCCGTCTATTTCTTACCCGCCAACTTGGAAGCGAACTGCTAAGCGTCTTCAGTCGAGCTATAACACGTGCGCCCGTTTCTAAGCATCCCAATATGGTCGTCGGCGAGAGCGAACTTGCTGATTGTCATCCTTCGCTCATCAAGCACTATCGAGACGGTGTCAGGCCCCTACCTGGTTTAGCAGCCATGGCGCAAAATCCGCTTTCCACAAAGACGGAAAACAAGCTAGTTTCTGAGTTTAAGCAGTCAAGCCCAACGATCTAGCTCATCGTCCAGAGATAAGCGAGCCGCAAGTTGATCTCGCGTAAGGCCTTACGATCTTGCTCAATCACATCCCCTCAGAGATACAAGCGAGTAATACGAATGCGGAAATCAGGAAACAAACGTTCCTCGTGATGATCATAACATTTATCGAATCGTCGCTCTTGGGTGAACTACTCTCTTGGTGCTCGGCGACTTACTGATGCAACAAGTATCAAAGCCTGACATGTGCACGATAGCCGTGGAGGCGTTGAAGTCAACGGCTATGGCGCATATAAGGTTAACGGCTCGCGTATGGTGACAGTCAGTATTCTCACCCCCTCATCCTACCGAGGAGCTTTTATAAGCATTTCTCGGACGGTTTGTACTTCAAGTTGTGACGTTAAGTCGCCTCAAGTTCATACCTGTCATCTTGTCACAAGTCGCTTTCGCTTTCCCTGAAGCTCAAGCCGGAGAGCCAAACTTACAGATCATTTCAGACACTTGCTAGTTGCTGCTTCTTGGCCTCACGTATACTCAAGATGCATCCTATCATTGCTATAAGCCTAGCTGTTCTAGTAGCCACCTATTTGGTTCTGCAGCTCCTGCTTCATCTCACGCAAAGCAAACGCGAACCACGCCTTCTAGAGTCGACACTACCATTTCTCGACTCTGCCATTGACATATTCAAGCACAGAGCTAATTACCTAGCAAGCCTGAGGTAATGACTCGGTGCTCTTATGGTTTGACCTTCTCTAACAGTGCTCGTAGAAGCCGATACCAAGTCAATATTCATACTTTGCGAATGCCATTCCAGCGTCTCTATGTTGTACACACATCGGACTTGATCCAGGCCATTCAGAGTAAAGCGAACGCAACTACCTTTATTCCGAACCTGTTAGATTTCGGTATGCTTTTCAGTGGTATGAATAAGAGGTCGCAGGGGATCTTGGCTAAAGCCTTTGGAGTTAATGGGAACGCCTTTACCATGAGTGTTCATAAGCACTTGCTCTCTGGTCCGTCACTCAGAATAGCCACGAGCACAGCTGTAGATAGGCTAAGCGCAAGCTTGCCGAACAACTTTACCGAGAGAGGCGGTGAAGGACTACTCGAGCTGGTTCGCCATGAGCTTACCTTGGCGTTGACTGGCGCTATATATGGCCCCGAGAACCCCTATGATGATCCCGCAATCGAAGCAAGCTGGTGGTATGTACAAACTTCTTTCTACGATTGATGAGCTTTTAGCTAACTTTCGTCAGCCAATTCGTACCGGGTATCAACCATTTACTCTACAGCCCATTCCCAAGCTTGACTGCGCGTAAAGCACTGCAAGCGCGCAGCCGAGTCGTGAATGCCTTCAGAAAATACTTCGAAACCGATGGCCACCTTCAAGCGTTTCCAATGATACCGGAGATGTACGAAACCAATAGGAATCAAGGGCTCATTCTGAATGAAGCAGCAAAAATGGAAATGGCAACGTCTCTGGCCATGCTCAGCAGTGGCTCGAACACCACGTTCTGGCTCCTTTACCAAATCTTCTCCAACTCTCATGCGCTCCAAGATATCCGAGATGAACTTGTCGACCTATCAACTGATGACGCGGCGAGTGACATCCCAAGACGCAGAATTTTGAGCCTAAACTTGATTAAAGCGCGTTGCCCGACGCTCTTGGCGATGCTCAACGAGACCTTGAGATACCACAGCAGCGTCATCAACATTAAGCAAGTACAGCACGACACAATACTGAAAAACCAGTACTTCCTGAAGAAGAACGCGATTGTCATGATCCCAGGGCAGAGCATACACCATGATAAGGACATATGGGGTCCAAGCGCCAATGTCTTTCATCATTCTCGGTTCCTCACCCCTGACAGCAAGCGACGATTATCAAGTACCTCCGCTTTTCGGCCATTCGGAGCTGGAACAACCATGTGTCCAGGGCGGCACTTTTCAACGAACGTCATTTGCAGCTTGGTAGCCATGGTGGTGCTGCAGTTCGACCTCATGCCAATTGATGGCCAATGGATTGCGCCAACAACACGCAACGCAGATTTATGGAATGCCATGCCAAAGCCTGATTGGGATGTCAATGTGAAAATTACTAGACGTGTTGAGGAAAAGGAGACTGAGTGGAAGTTCGTGTGGGCTGAGGCAGATCGGACCTAATGATGAGCCTTAGCTGTCCGAATGTCCGACGAGCCTGTGCCGAAACTTACAGGTGGAAGGAAGTACGCTTGAGCCTTGCTTGTATCTTATCACACCGCAAATGTACATTACTATTAGAAATCTCGCCCTGTGTTGTTCCCTGGATAATGCAAGTTCAGACCTTCTATATAAAGCTAGCGCTGGTGCTGCTCTGAATTTCGGCATCGCGGCACAGCCGTCTTCCCCACTCTCCCCGCCACTTGCCTTTCATCCCAAGACTCATCGCAGACCGCGCCATCGCATCCATTATCGACCGGCATAGTGGATGACGTAAATAAGCTTTGAAGAGTTAAAGCAAGCATGCTAAGCACAGCGGCCACGTCTTATCCCGTCCCTGTACTTAGGTCCTTCTTCTTCAGGCAAAGACCTGCGCGATGTCGAAGCTTCTCAAACTAGACGGACGAATTCTTGCGATTCGTCCCGTTGCGAAATGCTATGATTTTCCGTACAAGCCCGTCATAATCAGAAAATCCCTTGCGCATTAGCATTGGACGTACCACAGCAAGTTGCCACAAGATGGCGAAGAATTGTCGTACAAGATGTGCCTGGTGACGTGCTGATTAAAAGCGACACCATTGTGGGCCACGGACCGTCGTAAGCCATGATCTTCGCACTTGTTGACTCTATCCATCCAATGGTAGTCTTCTTGTTGTGCAGGGCCATAACACAGATGCCTAATGGGGACTAAGTTAATGCGAGACAGGCCAGTGCTGCAACAGTACCAATACATGATCATCATTGAACAATAGCTACGACGTGAACGCCTCGCCGCCATGGCCGGCGGTATTAAGGGTATAAAGGGCGCTTGTGGTCCAAGAAGATTGGCACGCGTCTTGTCAACTCTTGTTCCCGTCAAGCTACCCACTATGGCACGCTTCACACAACTGACAGCTTTCTTGGCAGCAGCCTCATTATGCAGTGCCCGCAAGCCTACACTGGCGGAGCGTGGAGTTCCAGTCAACGCTACTGGTGTGAAGACGATCACATCTCCTCAAGGAGCATCGATTAGCTTCAAGCAGCCCGGAAAAGAAGGCGTCTGCGAGACCACCGAAGGCGTCGACGACTACGCTGGATACATATCACTCGACAAGACCACGAATATGTTCTTCTGGTTCTTCGAAGCACGCGAGAATCCATCGGAGAAGCCATTGACCTTGTGGTTGAATGGTGGCCCAGGAAGTGACTCGCTTATAGGCCTCTTTCAAGAGCATGGTCCTTGCAACGTTACGGAGGACCTAAAAACTCAGCTTAATCCTTACTCATGGAATGAGCACTCTAACATGCTCTACCTGAGTCAGCCAGTTGGTGTCGGCTTTTCGTACGAGACGACCGAGACCGATGACGAAGGAAGATACTCCCTTGTCGATCCGGACAAGGCCAACACTACCGATGCTGCAGCCGTTGGTGCTTGGCACATTCTCCAAGCTTTTCTAGACCTCTCGCCGCAGCTTGATCCGGACATCAAGAATTTCACCTTCAACTTGTGGACTGAAAGGTGAGCTCCTTCATCTTTTGGCCTTGTAATACCATGCTAATGTACTACTCAGTTACGGTGGGCATTACGGACCTGCTTTCTACAACTACTTCTACCAGCAGAATGAGGCCATCAAGAACGGCACAGTCAAGGGCGTCGAACTGCAAATGGACACACTCGGAGTAATCAACGGTATAGTTGACGAGCAGATCCAAGCACCTTACTACCCTGAGTTCGCCGTGAACAACACGTACGGCATCAAGGCTATTAACGACACTATCTACACCTTCATGAAACAAGCATACTACATGCCCGAAGGGTGCCACGACCAGATCGAATACTGCAAGCAGTCTGACCGCTCCACCGAAGATGGTCAACTGACATGCGCGTCTGCAACCAACCTCTGTCGTTCTTTAGTCGAAGAGCCATATTACGCTTTTGGCGGCCGCGGTGTGTATGATATACGTCACCCATACGATGACCCTACACCCCCCGACTACTTTGCGGACTTCCTAAACCTTGCCTCGACCCAGCAAGCTCTTGGTGTGAACATCAACTACACATCCACTAGCTCCCGGCAAGTAGGCAGTGGCTTTTCATCCACCGGCGACTTTGTCTGGCCTAATTTCATCGAAGATCTTGAGGAGATTCTTGGCTACGGCGTGCGCGTCGCACTCCTGTACGGAGACGCCGACTATATATGCAATTGGTTTGGCGGGCAAGCCGTCTCTCTCGCTGCCAACTTCAGCGATGCCGCTGCGTTCCGGGCCGCTGGCTACACGCCCTTCCTCGTTGATGGCGTCGAGTACGGCGAGGTTCGCGAGTACGGCAACTTTAGTTTCACCAGGATCTACGAGGCTGGACATGAGGTGCCGTACTATCAACCTGTGGCTAGTTTGGAGCACTTCAAGCGAGTACTGGATCACGTTATTATCGCGGATGGAAGCATGGTTGTTACGGATAACTATGGCACGAACGGATCGGCCAAGGCGACGCATACGGAGAGTTATGTCAGCTTACCGCCAACGAGCACGCCCAGCGCAGCCAGTAGGGTCAAGCGCGGAAGTTTGTAGAGTATGATGAGCATGAAGAACTCTTAATGTAATGATCGTGAGCCAATACTGAAGGTCAGTGGGAATTGAACATTGACTTCGTAGTGCCTTTGTACGACAATTTCTCACAGAAGACCCCGACCTAGGGCTAGATGTTTGAAGCTTTCTCCATGCGCTACGGGACGAGGCTGAAGTGGACAGACCTAATTCCAAAGCGAACTTGCACAACAGAATTACATGGCATGCTGCTATGTGCTGAAGAAGACAACACATCGTCGTCCAAGTGCAGACAATTTGAAACAGGCCACCGCATGTATTGGCTGCTCGGCGTGCGAAAAGGGCGCAGAGCCATTTGAGGCTACCGACTAGCATGCCACAGCTGAGGCTCATCAGCTTCCCCTCAATACTCTCTCCAAATGATAGCGTTGTATGTCTCACAGTGGATTACCGAATGAGTAGTCATTGCCAATGGGGCCACACCTCCTACTCTGGATATGTTTTCTTCAATGAAGAGTCAGTTTCTCATGCAAACGGAGCTGTACAAGGTGTAGGTTGCCTCAGTATCACATTCACCACGAGCTCGTTTCTTGTCGCGCTAGTCAACAATTTAGCTCGGCCACTTTCAAACACCTCAAAACTTTTACGCGGCTTACCAGACTCCCCTTCCGATACTCTCGAGCAGCCGCCAGCGATGTCACTCTCTACGCCTACTAAGCTGACCAACCTCCGCAGTCTTCTCGCCAACAAGCCGCAGCAAGAGGTCTTGCGCTTGTACCTCCACCAGAACCAGGATAATCTCCTCAAGGAAGCGGTACTCGTCACGATCTTTCGCAAATGGTCTGTTCTTCCGCCATATACCCTCACTGAAATTGGTGTCACTACGTACGAACGCCAACAAGTACACGGCGGCCGGCCATGCCCTCCGGGTCCGCATGCAGAGGACCTACTGCGACACGTCTGGTCAATGCATTATCGCATTAGAGAGAACGCGCATGTTTCTGCAACCAAGGAAGACCCGACGGAAGCCGATCAGACTCCCTTTCACTTCGGATACTCGGTGTTCGTCACGCTCGAGGACGCCATGGACGTCTTGCAACAAATCTGGCACCAGCCCATCGACATGATGAAGCTCGAGAAAGGACATCGCCCGGTCATATGTCTCTCCTACGGCAACAACGACGCGCTTAGCAAAACTAGACACGTTGACTTTGACTTCTCACCTACAAAGATTGGAACAACGGTCGCCATGCTCGACGCGCAGAACATTGCTATACAAGCTAAGATCACAAGCTCAGGCGACGCGAGCATCGACTATCTCCTCCCCATCTTCCAGATCAGGCCGTACGACGAGCATAACGCGGGTAACGCAGCAATGTACGTCACTGTTCTCGCGTTCCTGTCGGTTCTGCGTAAAGAGCTCTACGGTTCGGAGGCCAACCCGAAAGCGAGGCCGGGCCAACAAGGCATCTCGTCTACGAAGACAGCGCGAAGTGTGATGCAGTGGCTGATGGACCATCCAACCCCGGTCCCGCCATTCGGAGTGACGACTTACTGCTCAAGGTGCAGCAGCTTCGTCCATACGGTAGCCGAGTGCCCGAACACCGACTTTGTGTGCAGCAAGTGTCTGGCATCGAAGATAAAGTTCAGGCAAGAAAATGCGGTCACGCACATGGAGGGTTTGTGTATCTATCGCTGAAGAGGTTTCAAGTGCTGGTGTCTTCAGGAGACAAGAGTCATGTGGTTCGAACATGGCAAACACGAGGTCTTGAAGTAGTTGTAGATGGGTGCCAGGTACAAAATGAGGCACGTCACGACATCACTTCAGAGTACAAAATATTAATGAATTACCATTGTAGAGACCACGAGAAAGTTTCGAAGCTTCAATTGCTCATTATATTGATCACCTATAGCTGCTTGCAGTCACCCAAAACGCGCCGATACTCAATCCTTCTTCTTAACTATGATCCCCAGATCTTGGGATATTCCTTCCAGAGCTTTCGAGTGTCGATAAAACGGTAGGCGACCAAATATTTAGAGATACTGGATCTCGAGAATCTCGTTCGTTCACTGTAGGGATAAGTATTGCCTTCTCAGACGAAGACAACGCAAATTGCTTACAAAGACACTGTTTGTGCGAATCTTCTCTTCCCATTCTGAAAGTGGCTTGTCATAATCGAAACTAGGGCTGGGACCAGCATAACTACCGTCTAGATTTACTCCTTTTACTTTCATCCAGTACACGTTCTCGACCAAAACTTCTTCGTATCTCCCCGCAGCCTCTTGTCCGATTTTAAGTATAACTCTGAGCTCGAAGCCGTCTAAACGCTTGAACAGCTCACATTGCTTGAGACAAGACGCCTGTTGCTTGAAGTGGTGCCGAGTGGCGTAATACTCGTAGGAATCTTTGTGGTCGTCCATTATTCCCCTATAGTTTTCCAATGAGAAATGAACTTCGAGTCGCCGGATCAAGGCATGTAGAGATATAGATGAGGGATCCGCGAGGAGCCCACAAGTAAGCGTAGTCTAGACAACCAGGTGATTCTCCACTTTTTTCTCGACATGCTCATACCACGATTGGCATATTTCGTTTGTGAAACTGGTCCCCATGTAATCTCTGGACAAGTAATGTGGCAATGGACTGTACTGAGCGTGAGCGTAGAACATACCAGAAGCTGGCGTAGGTTTTTTAAAGGTTGAGGGCAATTCAGGTTGTCCGGTCGCCTTAATAAGGACGCCAGAATCAATCGCTTTGCTTATCGGCAGCAAATATGTTGTGTCTCTAATCTCGCGTGCGGTGATGGTGTTGATGAGGCGCTGGCTGAATGACCGGCACCACATACGCGAACAAGCTTCTGTCGCATATAGTAGGTCGCTTAAGAAGGCATTGGCCTACTATTGACTTTTATAGTGTTATCAGATTGTTTACTTACTTGCTTAGACATGCACCATCGCTTTTCAGGACCTCATCTTTCACGAGAAGCTACTTATTTCGACTTGAATGTCTACGCACTTGGCCTTTGAAAGCTCCATCCTTCTTTGCACCCTAGAACATGGTCAGCGACTATTGCTACTGAGACGTTCACTAGGATGATTACGTACAGTTCTAAGGTCTGGAAGCTAAGGTCCACCTCTTCCGCGGTCATCCCGACGGTGAGTTGATGGCTCATAGTTGAATGATCGCTTTTCTCCGGTGGAAAACGCAGTTGACCAAGTTTATAGGGCAAGTAGCAGATATCGAGATCTTATGTACAACGGGGAGAGAAAGAGGAGAGAGCAGTCATCACGCTCGGACGCAGCAGCCACCGATCCGTTACGCTAGCGAATGTATTCATGATCCGAGATCGATGTTGCACCCGAGGATATTGTCCAACTGATTCGAAGAACTCGGCTTCATAAAGAGGATTCGGGGGTCGTTTGTCAAACAAGACATGACGATGTACAGAATGAGGTCAGTGAAGTACAATCTATTCAATATTTGGGTATAACAAATGACAACAATCGCAAATATTCATACGTCCATCTCACTCCTTGTCTTGCGGCACCTTGACGACGATCTTTCCCTTTGCCCTTCCGCTCTTTAGCTTCTCATACGCCTTCGGCGCATCCTCCCACTCAAATATACTATCCACCACAGGCTTGAGCTTGCCCTCCTGCATCCACTGACCCAACTGCTCGAGATTTGGCTTTGATGCTTGCGTCATGAGCAACTGATACTTTGCCTTTCCACCGCCCAAGAACCCAGGCCGCAGCATATTGCTTCCAATTTGCAGAGCGCTTCCAAGCGAGGGAGTCGCGCCGATTTGGGAAAATCCTCCGCCCGGTGAGATGAACGCGTTCGAGGCTTTGTAGAGATTTGCTGGTGTGCCGATGTTGTCGACGACGTGCTTGAAAATCGGGCCTTTGGAGGAGAGAGATTGAACGATGTTGGTCGACTTGTAGTCGATGACTTCGTCTGCGCCGAGGCTCTGGCATAGCTCAACGTTGGCTGCTGAGCATGTTGTTGTGACATGGCAGCCCAAAGCCTTTGCGATCTGCACACCGAAACTGCCTGTACCGCCTGATCCACCGTTGATGAAGACTTTGTCTCCGGCCTTGACGTTTGGTGCGATGGCTTGGTACTCAGTCAATCCGCAGATTCCTGCTGTGGCGGCTACTTGAGGATCAACGCCTTCGGGGAGGACGGCAGCAAGTTCTTTCTTCACAACAACGTATTGCGCAAGGGTGCCGTTGAGGTACTCTCCCATCTTTGCACCAAACACAAATTGGCCTTTGGTAAACCCTTCAGCATTCTTCCCAACCTCGGCAACTTTGCCGGAGAAATCTGAGCCCGGAGTGAAGACTGAGCCTAAGAGTCGGAGCGGTGCTGGGCTCTCTGTGATTTTGTGGTCGACGGGGTTGAGGGCCATGGCGTGGACTTGAACCAGGATTTCGTTGTCATTGGGCACTGGTATAGGCGCGTTGTCGTTGATATGAAGGTTCTTCTCCATACCTCCTGTCACTGACTTGTATTGCCATACTTTCATCGTTTTAGCCATCTCGTTGCAGAATTAGAATGCTCGATTTCAATGAAGAAAATGTGAATATTGTTGCTGCTGAAATAACTCGAAGTGATGTCGAATGAATTATATACTCAACTTTCAGTCCCTGCGCGCACATGCGGAAGTCCGCACGCGTCATGATGCGGAGTGGGGCTGCGCGAGCGGGCCTTCTATCAATCCGCTCATTGCCACATCTACCCTGTACACACACACTCGGCACATCTGTGACACGTCCTTGTTACTACATTGCAAGGTACGCCTCAAGGCTCAATGCGCGACAGATGCCGAATGTATTCGCGCTCGTCGGCGCAAAATCCACCCAATGCGGTTAGACATAACCGGACACGGCGAATAGTTAAATGCCGTTCCAAAGACACTTGATAACTACAGCTATCTAACATGCACCACGCAGTCTAACCACTTGTCGTGTTTGCGGCTGGATAAGTCACAAACATCTTCTCGAAGCCCGTCACATTCCATTCACCTGTCGCAGTGTTCAAAGTCAAATTCGTCGGCACAGTCTCGCCTCTCTGAAGTGCACCGCTCTCGACACGACCTCCCGCGACGTTTCGGTCAAGGTGGTTGGCGCCAGCCTTGACCGTGAAGTTCGCCAGACTGACTTCGAAAGGGTTGCGGGTAGCTACTGACGGGGAACCTGAGGGTAATCAATAAGCGCCTGGCACCAGGGCTAGGATTAAGACTTACCGTAGTAACGAGCATTCAGCTCTTCGGGAGAGATGTGAAGTTCGTAGTACCCGCGGTAGTATCCTTCAGTCCATTGAAGCTCCCTGTTATCACTAACGAGTCGGGCTGCAAGCGTGCTGGCATTGGCGATGCTACGACCTGCTCCATAACCGCTTGAGGATACGGCAGTACCGGCAAATTCGACACCGATTGCGCCAGCACCAGTAGCTTGGTCGTAGGGAGTCTTGTCGAGCCATACGAGGTCTGACACCCAGTTTGCATGGGAGTCACCAGCTAGGAAAGCAGTGTTGCTAATATTTTTGCTGTATAGATGATTCAGGGTGCGGTTTCTGTTCGAGGTGTAACCCTGCTGAGTGTCAGTGGTGATCGCTAATGCAATACGGAGACACTTACATCCCACTGGTCTGCGTTGATGCCATCTCCACCGTATAATACGGTTTGGTTCACGCTACTGAAAATGATCTGGTTACCGATGACCCTCCACTGAGCGCCCCGGTCGCTTGACTCGGATAAAGTTCGATAAAACCAGTTCTCCTGGCGGCTCCCCATAAGCGAACGGCCAGCATCGTCCTTCAGCTCCGCAATGTAATCATCGTTCCAGTCAAGTGTGGTAATGCTACGGTCGTAGTTACGAGTGTCCAGCATGACTAACTTTATCAGCATCCCATCTTGCGTTCTTATCTCACGTGGTTGGCTTACTCAGATCAAAGAGCTTGCCCATCTTGAAGTTCCTCCAGATACGGAGATTGTCATCCAAGTCGACCTGACGAATAGGCATCCACTCAAAGTAGGCACGTACAGCGTTCATCTTCCGCGAGTCGACACTGATGCGGCCGAACTTCAAGAATGAAGCCTCAGTATTATTCATGCCGCTAAAGCCATCTCTGTAGCCATTGTTTGCCACCTCATGATCATCCCATGTTGTGATCCAAGCAAAGTTCTGATGGGCAAGACGCAAGTCCAGGTCTGTACGATACTGGCCGATACGGGTCCGGTAATCATACAGGCTGAAAATCTCTCCGCGAGGAGCAGTTGCGCGTGAATCTTTACCAGCGACTCCTTTCCCGCCCTCATATATGTAGTCTCCGAGATGGACCTATGGGTATCAGAAGTGTATCGAGGTTAAGGTGTATTGATCTTACAAAGAAGTCCACATCATCTTTACGTGCCGCATTACCATAAGCGTTGAAGTATCCATTCGGGTAGTTGCTGCACGAGAACACAGCCAGACCTACTTTGGACACACTGTCGTCCTCGTTCGGGCTGGTCTTTGTTCTTCCTACTGGACTCTTGTTGCTTGAACCGCACACGGTGAATTGGTAGTAGTATGTCTGAAAGGGTTCCAAGTTCTTCGCCTCAACCTGCTTGATGTCAGTTTTATATTGAATTCAAAGTGGACGAACACTGACCTTGATGGTGAAGTCGATATCTGAGGTAGTGTAAGCTGTACCGCTGTCGACTACACTCGAAAAGTTCCTGTCCGTTCCGACGCGGTACTCAGTACAGACGGGGTTCGGCGAAGCTTTGATGTACTTTTCTGTCTCATGGCTGTATAAATCGACGTAGCCAGACACAGTCACATTAGACCTATCGTGCTCCAGTGATGGTGCAATACGAGTCCAAAGAATGACCGAGTGGGGATATGGGTCGCCCGATGCCACACCATGCGTAAAGTTGAGTTGAGCTGGATCCCACGGAGTTGCACGCTTCACGAGACTTCGCTTCGCCACTTTTGGCACGTCAATACCAAGACCAGCATGCCTTCGGGACGGCGACTGATAGTTGAGATTGGCGTCGAAAGAGGCTAGGGTCAAGGAGGCCAAACAGGCCGTTGTTAACAAAGCCAGCACCATTGTGATTCTTTTCTGGAAGCAATGGAATCTCATGGGTTACGGCTAATGGGGTGGCTTCTTTATACCAGTACATTTTTCTCGTGCCGTACCTCGACATTACGGCTAAGGCACGACCTACAGGACTAGTACAATTATGAAGCGGGAGCCATCTCATGCACCAATTAGAGGTCTAGCTTTGTCAGTGTGTAGAAATGAACCTGTTGATCATCGGGTTCGCATATGCGTGATGCGCATGTGCGGACACGGCGAGTTAGTATTGGCCCGTCAGCCGTTGCAACTTTCGTGCACACGGGAGGACTCGCTTGGCATCCGCTCTGACATGACCCGGCACGGCAACGTAGTCTTAGAGTAGCTCCGTGCGAAAAGCTTGTAGAAGCGTGTGTGTGTGAACGGCCGTTAGCGTTCATCGCGAGAAGTGGAGAAAGAAGCACAGAAATAGCTTCACGTATCGGGGCGCCAGTCAATTGATCGCACTATAGATCTTTACCATTGCGCGCTATATGGAAGATGTTCTATGACACTCCTACCTATTCTAGAAGCGTAGCTGTTTGTACAGGTCGCGGAAGTTTGGTGAGGAAACAGGGAGTCGCGGAGTGGCCTCTTGGTTTCTTGGCACAGCGACTTAGTCGCGACCGCGTTGAGCAGACGAACCTCACAAGGATCACAACACGTCGTGCGCTGCCGACTCGAGCGCCTCGCGCCTCGTTTTCCAATAAGGCGAAGCCATGTAGCGCTCCCTCGGCTGACAATGCACGTGTTTACTCCAGTTCGTATCAGATGTCGCACCCTACTGAGCACCCGTGCCGTTCACACGTTCTTCTCGCCAAAAGTCTATCAACCCCTGCCATACAGAATTTGGCATAAGCTGATCGATCACTATATCAGAGCAGGGATGTGGTAAGGATAGTCCAGGTCAGCAGGGTACGTATGTTCACTACTGAAGAAGACGTGAGACAGCTCTTTGTCGAACCCGGCTTTCAACAGGAATCAATTCTTGTGAGCTATGACGCTGAAATTGGCCTTGCACATACAACCAGAAAGCTTGTGGTTCTATTGAGGAGTCCAGAGCAGGTACCGCAGGCCATCAAAGATCTTGATGGGGCGATCATGTTTGATTCGAGGCTTGGTGTTGTTCCTCACCACAAGACTCCCAACCCTGGATATGTGGAATATTACTGGGGCTGGTTTGCTGTTTCTGATCCAAGTCTTTTCAAGCAAAGAGCCCCCATTCTGAAGATTCTCACGGATATAAGTGGAACGCCCATTCGCATGGAAGGTAATTATTTTCTTACCAAGTTTTCGGGTTTTCGCACCGCAGCGAGAAGGATGAGTCCTCATATTCGAACACGTTCGCTGTCTAGAAAGGAAGTTATTTCCTCCCTATCTCAACTCTATCTATCACATGCTCTACAGGTTCGATGTTGAGGGGCGGATTCTCCTGGGATGGCGGCCGTCTAGGTCAGCACAACACAGCCCGAGTGCGTGTGTACTTTTCCCTTGTATCTAGGGGAGCATTCTGATTTTATATGTCGGAATAGGATCAACGATATGCGGTCGGTACCAGCTTTGAAGAGGTATGCATCTTCCCTGAGATCGGACGTAAGGCCGCAACATCGCCGTCAAGAACCTTGCGCCGAGAACGTACATGATCTGACAATCCTACAGGCACAGGAGGCATTGTTCCGGCGTTGGTTTCTGAAAGAAAATGATAGAGGGCTTTGGGCACCAGGGGTGATTATTCTCCATGTTGAGTCCCGTTAGCTGTGTGCTGATCAACAGAGCACACGTATCACCAATTACCACGCATTCGCAAGCAATGCTAAGCGCAGAAGGTGCACCAGACGTCGCTACTGCACATACCGCATGTTCGCTGTATGGCAAGCGACTTTATACACCGTGTAGATAAGATCAATCCGAACAAGCACTGATCGAGCTCATAGGCCATAGCGGAAGAAGTATGATTTTCTGACGACACTACTCGACCTTGTAGACCAATTTCACGCCAGACACCTTGCCATCCTTCAGATCTTGCAGCCCCTTTGGTACACCTTCAAGGCCATTGCGCACCTCCGCCGGATGCGTGCGAATCTTGCCAGAATTGATGAGCTCCTCCGACGCCTTCCAGAACTTGGAGCCAAATTCGTAGTCCTTTTGACTTTCAGGAACCTTGTCGTTGTATTTTTCGCCCAGCGCGGTGTACGCGAGCGTCCAGACGGCCTTGACATCTTTGCGCGAGACTTCCTTCGGAGGGGGCAGGAGAGCTGACAAATGGCCACCGCTGGATCCGATCGCTGCCACGCCGATCTCGGTCGAGCTACCTTCACCGATGCAATCGAAAACGAGCTTGAGTTTGTCGTTAGCTGCTTTGCGTATCTTCGCGCCCACGTCGGCCTCCTTGTAGTCGAAGACGTGGTCGGCTCCGAGCTTGCGCAGAAGATCGAAGTTGTGCGGTGACGAGGTCGCGTAGACTTCGCATCCGGAGAGCTTGGCGTACTGCACAGCGAGTGTGCCTGTTGCGGTTGAAGCGCCGTAGATCAAGATAGGAGTCGGCTCCTGCACCTTGTTGGGCGGGAAGGGTAAGCCGAGTTCCTGGTACAGTCCTTGCGCGACGGTAGATATACCAACGCCCAGCGTTGCAGCATCTTCAAAAGAGATGTTGTCGCCGAATTTGAGGTTGATGCCTTCTTTCGCCTTGATATGTTCGGCAAACGCACCGTTGCCCTTGTCGTAGGGGTCGCCTAGATATGGTCAAAAAATGGCACACAATGCAGTTTCAAGGCACTCACCTCCTCGGACGAATCCGCAGACCCTGTCGCCAACCTTGTAGTTGGTAACACTGCTTCCAACTTCCTCAACCACACCAGCGTAATCACAGCCCGCAATGGAGCCTGGTGAATTGGATTTGGCAATGTTCTTCCAGTCTGTGGGGTTGAGTGCAACAGCTTTGGTCTTCACCAAGATCCAATTATCTCCGGAGAGCTGTGGAATCGGTACATCGTTCTTGAGCTCCGCGACATTTTCGGACACATGCACGACTGCTTTTTGGGTGGACATGTTGGATATCTGCAGATGATTGACAGATGGTGGTATTGGGTGATGTCGTTACCAGCAAGTGCTTCTACCCACACCTTTATATTATCCACAATAGACCTGCGATGATGCAACCTGTACCTAAATCCACTAGTCCGCGTAGCTCCCCATTTCGTCATTTGTCATCAGCTTCTCTAAGAAGGTACGTCGTTCGGGTGAAGCTCGGTATCCAAGGTGAGATCCATCTACTGTCCCGCTGACATGCATGCTTTTTCAATTCTATCACCTCACACTGCATACATGTGTTAACAATCAACCGGCTATTGTCGCCCTATGCCGGGTGGCTGTCTTGTTGGTGACGGGATGAATGCGGGTGAAAAGTTGCGTCCGTGCTCAAGCTTCACCACTAGCGCAAAAGCCTCCAGCAAGGGTCCAGCCCGCACCAGTCTTTTGATCAACGCGTTCGAGTCGCGTAACTGCCGGTCAAACACAATCAAACATAGCCTTGCACCTGTTAAAGCCCTATTAATTGACGCCCGCATATTCAGCATGGCAGACGCAGACGCACAACGACAGGCAGAAGAAGACGCGAATCTCCAACTTCCGCCCTACCCACATCCCCCACCTTTTTACCTGAAGTTCACCACAGAGAACAAGGATAGACTGGACGAGATCAAGAAGGAGGACGGTATCGACACAGCTTCAGACGGCGGCAAATCCGCGCAGCTCTCTACAGAGCAAATTCTCGCCTTGCCGACCGAATTGCGCTACCTCATCCCACCCGAGCCACCCGCGGACACTGAAGAGTTCAACGTCTTCGGCACAATCAACCAGCTCAAAGACCGCGACACCTTCAATGGCACCATGGAATACATAAGTCAAGCACTGGCCAAACTTCTTCCTGACTGGAAGTACGAACAACTCTATCCCACTACCGATGCCTCCAACTCCGCGTCCTCGACCCTCGACCGCCAACGCTACCTATTTCGATTTCTGCGAAGCATACTCGTTGCGTATATTGAGTTGCTCGGCATAGTGGCCATCAACCCGACGGACGAGCTCAAGGACGACAAGTTGAAGGACATCTTGACCATGGTCACGAATATGCATGCGTTGATCAATGAGTATCGGCCGCATCAGGCGCGGGAGACGCTCATTAGTGAGATGGAGAGGCAGGTTGAGAAGAAAAAGATGGAGATACAAGGTGTCAGAAAGATGAAGGAACGTGTCGGGGAGGTGCTGGAGGGATTTGGGCGGGAGATTCCGAGCGAGAAGGCTGAGGATAGGACTGAGGAGGCTGCAGTCACGAGTGAAGAGGAAAGGAAGAGGGACGCGCAAAGGCAGATGTGGCAGGCCATGGACGAAATGCTCAGCCAGTGAGCCACACCACCCTCAGATGGGGCTGAATATGCGAACGTCGTAAACAGCAAACAAGGCGCATTCGAATGTGAGATCGCGCTTGTGAGATCGCGCGCTGCGGCCCGGTACCTTGGAAACAGGCAATATACAAGAGCTTGGCATCTGCAAACACGCTAGCATCGAGGCTATCAACGACGGGCTAAGTAATGACGTCAAACCGGTGAGATGGACACTTGAGCGCAGATCTCCCCTCAGTCTCCTGAATACAAGTTGTTCAGTGTGGCTGTTGTGTCTCAAGCCATTTTGCCGCTTGTTCGTGAGTGTGGCACGCGCTCGTGGGGCACGCGGTCAACTTGGCCCCAACAGCACGAGGGACGCACATCAGCTACGAACTTGGGTTCAGCTATCTGCAGAGGACGAATGCGGAAACTGTGCGCGTCTTTATACACCTAGGCAACCTTTCAACCTTTTGTCACCATCTCTGCAAAGTCTCAGACACCGTCTCAACCTTACACTACTTCTTCCACGTACCTCATGATGCCTTCATCGGACTCAGCCCGCCCTTCGAAGCGACTGGTCATCTTCTGCGATGGCACTTGGGTCGGTCGCGAAACCAATGTTCCTGGCGCGCCCGCGAGCAATATCCGCCAGCTTGCCAATATGGTCGGTGAAGTCCAGTACAATGGTTCCAATATTGAAGAGTCGGCCGTTCATCCACTTCGTGTGCATTCACACGTGCAATCAGGGTCATCTTCCGACAGCGTCATCGCTGGTTACCAAGAAGGTGTAGGCCTAAACCGTACGTTCCTTGATTACATCTGGGACGGCGCCACAGCCTCAGCCATCGGCGATGAATGCATTGCTGTGTACAAATTCATCGTCGAAAATTACACTGACGAGCATGAAATTTGGCTGTTCGGCTTCTCCCGCGGCGCTTTTACGGTCAGATGTGTAGCAGGCATGATCAACAACTGCGGCATCATCAAGCGCCTCCCAGAATTCACCGACGACGAAGTTCACAGACTCTGCTACGATGTCTTCCGCACATATCGCAGCGCACTACCCAACGACGGGCCCCACAGCGACTCCAGCCTCAAACTCAAAGGCGACGCAAATCATATATGGCAAGTTAGTCGACCTATCCGCTTCATGGGCCTCATCGACACGGTCGGGGCCCTGGGCATCCCGCGCCTGAACGCAGGCATCGGCTTCGACTGGGCGCCCTTTGAATTCTTCGACCAGAACATGTCCTCCGTCGTCCAGGAAGTCTACCACGCGCCCTGCCTGCACGACAGACTGTGGATGTTCCAGCCCTGCCTCGTCTATCCCGGCAGCGGTAAGGACAAAACCCGCGTCCACCAGAAATGGTTCCCCGGCACGCACTACGACGTCGGACGCATGACGTTCCGCTTCGTGCGCCAGAGTCCTGCGAATTGGATCGAGAAGGTGGTGGGCGCGTTGCCGGACCTCTTGTCACGCACTATCTTTCCGAATGAAGTGCTGTCAGACTGTGTACTGCGCTTCTTACTCGAAGGCATTCGGGACGTCGATTCCTCCTCCTCGAACCCACTCATCCCAGACATTCACGACGTAATTTCACACCTGGACAAACTCATCACGCATCCCGTCCCAAACTCTACTGGGTCGGGCGACATCTACGGCGACGTGCTCAACTACGCGCCCGGCGGCATCCTGCTCGGCAGTCTCCAGCGCGTGGGCAAAGCATTCACATCCACCCTCAACACTGTCCTGCCACAGCTCGGCTCGAATATCCAGGATCTACTCGGCATTAAAGCGATCATAGGGATTCTGACGGCCACCAGCGATCGCAGGATCCCGGGGGGTGAGGAGGATGTTTTCGCGTATGCCGAGGAACAGGTGCTGTTTGTGGAGGGCGTGCAGGAGAGCGTGATTGTGGCGGAAAAAGCGGACATGCGCGGCGTAAATGAGTGGGGGAAGGTGCGGTATGAGAGTAAGACGTTTGAGAACTGGGTGCTTTGGAAGAGGGTTTTTGGCGGTGGGGAGTTGGAGGTGATGAATGGGAATGGGAACGGAGAGGAAACGAATGGGAAAGGAGAGGAGTCTAATGGAGGCGGAGATGCGAATGGCAATGGGAAGAAGAAGAACAAGAAGAAAACTGATAAAGCTGGGGTGTAGGGATTCAAGTGAGTTGTAGAATAAGGTCAGAACCAAGGCACTCTTTTCTTCTTCATTCGAGAAAACTTGCATTTCCAATGCTTGTTTATATACTACAGATTCGCCTGTCTTTTCGCACGTATAATCCTACAATCCTTCCGCCTTTCATCCCTCATCCAAAACCCCCTCCCCTTCACATCAGAAAAAAACGAATGGACGTCCGAGACCAGCGGGTAAGCATCGGGGTATCTCGAAACACAAAAAGAAAAGAGTAAAAAAAAAAGGTAAATCATCATCGACCGGGCTCCCCTGCAACCCCCGATCGTTTCATTCAGAAAGACGCAGTGGTTTCTGGTATTCAAAAGCAGGAAGAAGAAATGTGGAAACGCCGTTGCAATGCATCATATGCAAAAAGTACCAAGTTTTGCGCTTTAGTAGTGCTGGTCGTAGCCCTGGTTCTGGTCATAGCCGCGCGGGGGGTAACGCGGCTGAGACATGGGCGTATAACTACGATCCGGGCCCATGTTGCCTGTGTGCGATGTAGGAGTGTAACTACGATCTGGCTGAGACATGGGCGTGTAACTACGATCCGGGCCCATGTTGCCTGCGTTCCAAGATGGTTGTTGGATCGGGGCAGTGGCGCTGCGTTGTTGGGGGACGGAGCTCGTCATGCCGCGGTTTGGCAGCGGTTGGGAAGCTTCGCGGCGCTGGATGGCGGATGTCAGGGAAGCAGGGAGGCCGGGACGGGGAGGCGCGGTGCCGACGCGTGGTGGTGGTGCGGTGCCTGCTCGTGGGGGAGATCGCGGGCCTGAGGGTAGGCCAGATTGTGCGGGTGAGCCGGCGCGCAGGGCATCGGGGATTGGAGGGGGTGCTTGGAGGGAGTTGTATTCGTCCAGGATGCTTGAGTTTGAGTAGTAGGGTTGGTGGCCGTGTTCGCTTGACATGGTAGTCTCGACTGGTGAGAGTTCGTATTGCTCGGCTTGAGGTGGCCCACGGCTGTCGAAGGGACTGAACTCGGGGTATGGTCGGGTTGACTGTGGTGGTGATGGTCCCCGGCGATCGTTGGACAGGGGTGAGGTGACGCGAGGTTCGGATGTAACGTGGTTGTTACCCACGGTCGAGTAGCTTGTGTCAACTGGCGGCAAACCTCCAATTCCTCGCATACTCATTGGAGTGTTTGATCGGGCATTAGCCGCTTCAGGGTACGGCCGGCTGCTCGGCGTGTAAGATCGAGGAGGCTGTTGGTTGAAATAATCTCTTCGGTCCATTGGTGGCATTGGGTCGGTAGGCGTTCCAGTGGCCATGCCACCGGCTTGGTCCAGAAGGGGTGCGTTGGAGCGGTAACTGGCGGTGGAATAGTTTGTATCTGAACGAGTGGGGTATACAGGCCTCTCGTCAAGCGTGGGTAGTCTGGGGTTCGTGGGACCACGGTTGGTGTTCGAGGTTCCTGGCCTTGCTGGACCGTTGGCGGAATATGGTGGAAGCGTGGTGCTGGTAGTCATGGTGTCGGAGCGTTGCACCGAGAAGACAGTAGAAGTGTCATCGTCAAGGTCAAGCTTGGGCAGCGTAGGGCGTGTCTGTGTTGGGTCGAGCTTGCCCTTCTTGATGGCCCTCTCCTCTTCTAGCCTTCTCTTTTGATCCGCCTTCTCAATCGCCTTTTTGACCTTCTTGCCCACAATACGCTCAAGACGAGTCTCGACCTTGCGTCGGCAGTACTGAGTCAATGAGCCATCAGCTTTGGGAATGTAATGCCATAGGAAGACAATGTAGAGTATGCCCGAAATGATGAGGCCCAAGGCGGAGATGACCCAAATCAGTAGGGAGAACAACATGGTGAAGTAGATGACAGTCTCCTGCTTGTTTCCGGTCTCGACCAAAACTTTGATGTTCATGAAGAATTGCTCAAAGTTGGAGCGATCCTTGGAAGCATGTTCGCCGACTGGAAGAAGTTGGGCCTGCATGACTGCATACAAGGTCATGGCGTTGATAGCTGTGCGAGGCCCTTGTGCAACGATGAGAAGCAGGGCACTCTTGAACTGGAAGTAGACAAAGAGAGCGATGTAGTTGGCGCCCTTTTTACTCTTGGTGAGTTCGGCGAAAACCAGGAAGCGTCTCCAGCCCTGACCGGCCTTGGTAATGCGCATACTCTGCCAGATGACAGCCACGGGCTCGAGGTAGCATTCGGTCACACTGCCAGACTTGATAACGCGCATGGCTCGGAAGTATCGGTAAAAAAGGAAGACGTAGGAAATGATAATGGTAATGGCGAAAATCCACTTGGCAATCTCGAAGGGAACCGCGGGCTTCACCTGGCTGGACCAGTTGTTGAAGGCGAGGAGGTTTACGGCGGTGAAGCCGTCGGCGAGGTAGATGGCGCATGAGATGATGACGAGGATCCAAAGCCACATGTAGGAGAATGGCGTGAGGCAGGAGGTTGACCTGAAGTCGGAGAGGTTCTTGGCTTGTTAGCAAGTGTCGCCGTCGCCGTCGCCGTCGCCACCACACTCACGATATAATCCCACTTCTGCTCCTCGGACACAATGAGGCCCTTCTCTCGGTCGCCACAGCACCCCATGATTGAAGATGTTTGGTATTAGATGGAGTGTAAGTATGTACCCGGTCAACGGTGCGTCGCCTGCAGTCCAGCTGGCGGTAGAAAGAGTGGATGTAGTCCTAATTGCACATTGGCTACGCTGAGAGAGTGGCAGTGTAATCTGGTTCACAGAGACGGTGGACGGTTGCGTGGAGACAGGCCGGCTGCTCACCACTAGCGAGCAGAGGGAAGGAGCGACAGGGGACGGCGCTTTTTTACAGCACAGTGGAGAAGTGAGGCTGAGGCCAGGAAGAGAACACGGCTGCGATCGTGGTCGTCGGTGCTCGGGTGCTCGGGTGCTAGAGGAGCGTGGAGTGCATAAGGCGCAACACGAGGTGTTGCAGTTGGTGTGTGATGATCGCAAGGCTGGAGACCTCTGGACAGCGGATGGGGCGGGCCCGGTAGACAATGCGCCGTATAAATATACTATCAATGGCGCTGTCGGTGCAGTGTTTTCCTATTGTGTCCACCGGCGCGGTGAAGGTGAGTGTGGCAGTGAACCACTGGACTCGAGGCCGGGTAGTCAAGGAGTGGCAGGCGCGAACGAGCGCGCGGGGAAATCGCAGGACGGGCCGAGTTCGAATAGACTTCGAAGGCTAAAGAGCGACGAGAAGGAGACCGCAGCGCCAGCGTCTACGTGTTTGTCTTGACAGCACGACAGCAACACGAGTGGTAATGAGGAGCCGCTGCGAACGCTGGCGATCTGGAGTTTGGCGTGGGTCGCTCCTTCCTCGAATCGTGCCCTGCGCCACGCCTGCCCCCAGTGTGCCGCCCTCCCGCAGCCCATTGGCCAGCTGCTGTTTGGCGCTAGCCTGTTCCTTTGCCGTACTCCCCTGAAACGACCTAGCACAGATTGCCATCCTAATCTAGAAAAGGCCCTATCAGCGCCATCGTTGCTCTGGCCGCACTGGACTTCTCACACCCCATCTCGTGCTACCACCGTGGTTTGGCCCATGAGCCACGAGCGCCGTCCAGGAAAGACAGTCGCGCAGCACACTGGTCACGCGTAGCACCAGCGGCTCGCGCATGGCTGCCTCGGTGCAACGGCCCTTTCTCCCTACCAAGCTACGCCCAGTGCCACATTTCAAGTGTCATGCAAGAACATCAACACCAGAAGAGGCAGCTGCATGTCGTCACTGGAAATGCGCCGGGAACGTCGGATGCTTCACATTCTCAGCCTCAGCACCTTAGGCAGTTCGAAACACTGCATGCAGTGCCTCTGCCATTGGCCGTGCGCATGAAACCAACCTGGCCGGCATGATTGCCCTTGGTTGCGGAAAGTGCCATTTGGCCGACTGCATGCTATCGACGATATTACTTGACCAGCACCAGCGCAAAATACGATATGCATTTCGAGAGAGTCATGTATTCGACACGCCGCATCAACTAACAGTGAAGCCCGTCATGCCCTGCTGTCGGACTTCGTCTATCCTCTCTCTGTATTCCGACAGGCCACCAGCGTACGATAATGGTTCTTGCACCTTGCCTGGTATGTTTCCGCCATTCCATCCGCTCGGTACAGTGTGTCTCAGCGTTGCCACACTGTGGGCGATGACTCGCTCCTTCCACTTCTTCTCTGCTTCTTCCGTGGCTTCGATTCTCTGCTTTCCTTGTTTTCTCATGTCGTCCAACACTGCGATGATCCAGTCGGCTTGCGGTTCGACTGCACTTGGTCCATTGGCAAACGCTGTCGGTGCCTGCGGTCCGTACACTATGAAGAAGTTCGGAAATGACGAGACAGTCATGCCGAGATGAGTCCAAATGCCTTTTTCCCACTTGTCCTTCAACAGTCCCTCTGTTCCTCGGATGTTGATGGCTTTCAGTCCGCCCGTAACGCTATCGAAGCCTGTAGCCAGAGCGATCGTGTCAAATTCGTGCAAAGTCCCGTCTGCTGTCCGGATGCCTTCTGGAACGATCTCCTCAATTGGATTCGCCCTGACATCGACAATGTCAACGTTTGGCTGGTCGAAAATGTCGTAATACCACTGCTCCATACTCGGTCGCTTGCCACCTAGGAGGTGAGGTTTCTTGAGTGGAGCAAGCAGTTCTCTCTTCCTTGGGTCCTTAATTCTCGCTCTGACTTTCTTCGCCCAAAACTTATATGCCTCATCATTGGCCTTCTCGTCTGTCAGCATGTCGCTGTAGCTCATTCCGTGGAACCTGAATCCGCCCTACATTCAGTCAGCATGAACAGACCAAAACCATGTATTCCAAAAACTCACCTTCTCCCATAAATTCGTAAAATACCGCTCCCTCTCCTCCTCATCATGATCAAACGTCTTCAACACTCTCTCAGAGTCAAACGCAAACCCACCCCTTGTCCTCCGACTTGTCTCCATAATCCCCTCAATCTCCGCCATCATCTCCTCATTCTCCTCCTCGCTAATCTTCCTCTGCTGCATCGGAAACCCCAACTGCGGCGTCCGCTGAAAAACCGTAAGTTTCCCCTCATCCCCCACCTCCTTCGCCCACTCCTGAATAATCTGCACGCCCGTTGCCCCCGTGCCCACCACCGCAACTTTCTTCCCTTTAACATCGACGCCGCCCTTGGGCCAGAAACTACTATGATGCATCTCGCCCTTGAACGTATCTAGCCCCTTCCAATCGGGAAAATACCTCTTCGCCGCAAACCCGGTGCACGCAATAACATGTTTCGCATGCACCAACAACCCTTTCTCCGTCCTTACCTTCCAACTCTTACTACCTTCATCCCAGCCAACATCAACAACCGTCTCGCCAAACACACAATCCCTATACAGCCCCAACTCCTCCCCAACAAACCTGAAATACCGCTTAATCTCCTCGTGCCCCGGGTAGTGCTCGCTCCATTTCCACTTCCTGTAGATTTCTGGTATGTTGAGCGCGTACACGGGCCATTGCGAATCCACGCGCGCGCCGGGGTAGCTGTTCCAGTGCCATGTGCCACCGAGGTCGGTGCCGGACTCGATGATTTTGGCGGTGAAGCCGCGCAGGCGCAGATGGTGCAGGAGGTAGCAGCCTGCGAAGCCGCCGCCGATGACTAGGACATCGGGGGTGTGTGTGGGGTGAGAGTTTGGGGTGTCGGAGCGGAGGGGGATGGCGGAGGAGGAGGGGGTTTGAGTGAAGAGGGAACGCTGCATTATGTTCTGATCAAGGAAATGGGAACTTGGGGAATACACATGTGGGATGGATTTATTCGAGGTCTACTTGAGATATTGGTATCTGGTCGCGTTCGCGTGTATCTCGCATCGAGATATGGCGAGTTTGGTCGAATCGGATAGACGGGTATGCGATTGGCTGGTGCCGAATAAGTACAAAATGTGCGTGGCGGACCGATTGGGGGTGTTATCTGGCACGTGGATGGGTGTGGAGTAAATGGTGAAGCTACCCCGCGATTCTGGACTTTGGGTTGGCGAGTGCCGAGTAGTCCGATCGTGGACGACACTAACTTCAGGAACGCTTTGGATACTTTTGATGTATGTTATGGAGGTGTAGCAGTCGAAAGACCTAGTGAATTTGATCAAAGTGTAGGCCTCAGATGTTGGGCTTTTACAGATTTCGTTTTCGCGATTTGTCTCTTCACCAGATACAAACTCGAAACCTTGCTTCATCAAAAGAGTACCCCTTATATATTCCACTTGTACCGATGTCTTTTCGTCCGATGTGCAGCGTGGAGATAAGTTCCAAATTGCTAACTTCGAAGACAGCATAATGACTACTTGCCTATGAGTCCATCATACAAAGACTGTAGTTACTATACGACGCCGAATGTATTTCTCTTACATCGATTTACAGTGATATCAATCTCGCATTCCTAACTTGTTCTCCAATCTTTCAAAGTGTATATTATATCCCGAACGATTTCCCATTCTCACACAATTGGTACCAGACATTGTGAACCAGTGTGAATGGGCCAGTGAAACGGAACATCAGCTTCGTACTCTTGGATCGTAGCCTTGGTGGGCGACCGCTGGTGAAATTCCCATATGTTTTTTTTGCTGTTTCTTTGCAGCTTTTCGTGCAAGGTGGTTTAGGGAAAAAAGGGTTTCGCGGGGACGACGGGGGAGTAAACAACGATCCCATTCCGAATGCTGAGTTAGTAAAAGAGGGAAGACAAGCATAAGTGCTCAGCGCGAGAGAAAGAATGCCATTGTTTCTTTGCTGTTGATTTGTACATTCAAAGGGAATGAGCTCTAGGCAACGCCATGTACGACCTTGGGAGCCACTAGTTTTTTGAAACGAATTGCGCCGTTGTTTTATATCGAACTCTATCAAGCATATACACCACATCACGCGGCTTGGAGACTGGTCGACTCTGTGTGGTGAGTGTGCTCATTCATCCATCTACTATTTCTTCTACTACACTACATCATAACGCACATTGTCGGAAGCCAGAGTGTTTTTGTCTTCTGCTATAGGTCCACCCAGCTCCTTGACATATCGTTGCCGATAGCTCATAGTTGGGTTTTCTTCAACGGAGCGTGCTAGACCTAGATGGTGTCAATGAATGACCCTGTAAAAGTCCTCGAATATGCTGTCTATCCACTCTACCTAGAAATCACCGGTGTAAAACCGTGCACACCAAACCCGTAGTGGAGACTATCGAGAGATGGTATGTGCTGCTCAACGTACGCTCCATCACACAACGTGGGCGACCAAGAACGCCGGGATACTACCGCACTGAAATGCGCGGAGACAGCATATATTCAATTTGAGTACATGTGGTGCTTTTATTTCCAACGAGACGCCCACACAGATTCATTATCCAACGCGAAGAAAAGATTTAGATGTGCAGTGAACGATACCAAATTTGTAGATACTTGACCCACACGTCTGTGAATACGTCGAAATCCGAAAATATAATTACGTGGTAGAAGCCTTCGCTGAGCGTAGCGTCGTAGAAGAACATAAAACAGCTAACCTCAACATATGAGCCGAACACAGACGCCATGTTCTTACGCGCTGCATGTGCAAACCGCCACTCCTCTGTCCGCTCTTCACGCCTCATGTCAAATCCTGCCCTCTCCATCGCTCAAACCCACAGAAGGCCCCAAAAAACCCCATCCCAAAATCCACTCCCCACTCATCTGAAAATCTTCATATTCTAGACCTCGATCAAGCTCTCCGCCAATACGTTCTTACCTATCGCCATTTGCCCAGCATGCAGATCTTGCAGATCTCTACGAACCCGATCGACGATGACGATCGACAGGCACACGCACAACATGTTGATCTCTGGGGCTAGGCAAAGACGACGTTCGAGATGTGTGCGTGACCGGATGGAGAGGGGTTAGCCGGGCGATAGATGCAATAAGGGCAGATGGTGGAAAACACTATTGCGCATCTGCGGCGACCATGTGCTGTGAAATTATGTCAAACCACGACGCGTATACTGACAGATGCCGTGTTAAACTCTGATACTTTGCCGCGTACGGTAATCAGGCATGCAAGCTAACGGTGAAGTATGCTGTATCCGCTGATGAAGCGCACGCCGTTGCCGTCGCAACTCCATATTCTACCTCCTCACATATACGCAACCCAACCTTAAAGTCACAGTGACATCACGCTCTCTCCTCTCCCCTCCCTACGTATCGATAAAGCATTACGCACTCTACTTGCACCTAGGAGTCTTAGCGTAAGCAACCTCCGTCCCCAATCAGAAAAATGCCGAACACGAATGTGTAAGACTTTTTACGAGGTCCGGTTTGTATGGTGGTACAAGTGTAGTCGCGAGATGAGGTGTGCAGGACTAGAAACCCCAATGAACTCTTTTAGCACGAGCGAAAACACACGTAATGTCGATGCTTCACTGTGCGTTGCCGGGTGGTCGGGCAACCTGCCCTCTGCCCTATGGGAGGGATAACCCTCCACACTGAGATGAAAACTGTCGTCATCGTTCATAAAAAAGACTCCAGGCTAAAGTCAAACCTGCAAAAATTCTTGCGCAAGACTGTACGCAGATTGGCCAGATGGGAGAAAAGCGCAAAGTAAAAGAAACTTCGCCTTTTTCTTCTAATCCACGCCCAGCGCCGTTGCAGCGAACAAGAACCCACCACGTCGCATGCGACTTTGCTCAACAAGGCTCAAGTGCTGTACGACGAGTGGTGGGATTCCATCGCCACGTTGCGATAACGAGTCTTATCTTCTTGTGCCTTGCAGGAAGGCTGGGGGCTCCACAGATGTTACTTTGGCCCATGTATGCAGAGAGGTGAGTGGAGCGAAAAACCGCGCAGCTGCAGATGTGGCTGCTGTGAAGATCGAGTTCGGCGAGGGATGCATCTGCGTCACGGCCTTGAGTGACGTGGGAGGGGGAGTGACGGTGACAATGAAGCGGGAAGAAGACATGCTTTCACAAGAACAGGGCGAGTCCCCGCGCCGTTGACTGCGCACTCAGTGCGCATGGGAACAAGCAATGCAGTGCACACCAAGTTATTGCCAACACAGCACTGCGGCTGTTGAGAAATGATTGCGCGGCGACTCGACTCGTTTGTAGAATCGACTCGGAGACAGAGACGTTCTGGAAGAGGCAGGCTCCACAAGCGTTCGCGGCGACAAGAAGGGCCACGCATGCATGCCGTCCCAATCACAGCGAGATGGCCCGCCGTGTTGACGATCACAATTGCGCGGCTCTCATCTGCCGCCCCCCGGGGCTATTGCTTGCCCAGCCGTGCACTGTGGGTGACGGTGCGCACAATGCAAATTGGCCTCGACCATGGGATGCCAGCGCCGCCTGTGTTTGTTGTCGTGGCTGTTGACCGCAACGCCAGTTTGACAATCTGTCGGCGCCGTCGTCGCGTGCCGCCTCAAGGAATGCCACGTTCAGGGCTGGTCTTGCGCTGGCGCTTGACAAGTGTCTGAAACTTCGGTTCCTGGGACAGGCACACCAATCAGAGCTCGCAGCCGTGGACAGGCACTTGTCCAATCCAGCATTAGCAACAGGATTGGCATTGGCGCGCTAGCACATTCTCGACTTTCAGG